CAATGCATGCAGGAACACATTTATTTAAATTAGTGTCAGCCCAAGTCCTAAATATGTGAAAATAATAATTTAGCTTTTTTGGAAGAAAATGTGATTTAATTAATGTTTATTACTCAAATAAATTAACATAATATTAAGCGTGATTTAAATCTATTAAAAAAATGATAAATATGTTTTAATTTTAGGGGAAAATTTTTAATGATAAGTAGAAACAATTTTTGAATATTTTCTTATAAAAAGTCATTAACTTACTTTGTACTTATTATATTTTTAGCTTAAAAATTAAAAATATTAAAGTAATAATTAATTACCCAGCTGGACAGGTTACACATTAATAATTAGAACCATATTAGCCTGCAGGGCAAGTACATTTACCTGCATTCAAAGTTGCGCCTGTAGGGCAACTTGTGCATTAATTAGGAGCTGGACCATTACAAGAAGCACATGTTTCATCACATGTGTCTATCCACATCCTAATATCATTAAAGCAAAGCCATTCATGATTATCAACCAAGTTATGTTATACTTAAATCACTGCTGATGTAGCTGTATGAGTAGTGTTAATATGAAATATCACTAATTAATTATTTACATAAGATCCATTTTGATAATCAATATCACAGGTACCTATTTTATTAGCTGTACCAACTACTACACCATCTAAGATTGCACTTACAAATTAGTTGGTAGTCCAATCACCCATTTAATAAGCAAATAGATCAAAGCTAATACTCCAATGTGGAGGAAAACTACCTCCATAAGTCTTTTAAGTAGATTTAGTGTGCTTATCGTAAGCGCCTAAGCAACCATTTTCTGATTCCTTCAAAGCTGTAAGGATTGTTAGAGATTTAAAGTTAGACCATCCAAGAGATGAAAGATTATAAACAATATCTTCATATAATAATACTATATCTATTTTTTTATTCAATAAAAATATAGTTAAATATTTAAATTTGTAAAAGTAGCAAAGAGTCTACCTCCTAAAGCAAAAGTTAAAAGAAAAGCAAGTCTTAATATTTTAAAAATAATATTTGTCATTAAAAATTTAAATTTAAAGTAGTATTTTTTTGTCTTTTTTAGGATTTGGCTTATTTTTTCCAAATAATTGTTACTAATTATTTACAAAAATTTGATTAGCTTAATGAACATTAAGCCTATTTTTTTAATGTAAACATAATTATCATTTACCTATATGACATAAATCATGACAAATAATTAAATATTGTAATTTCCATACACCAATTAAAAGTTATCGCGATCTAAATAAATATTGATTACATATCTTCTAATTAATTATCCAAAACTCAAGTTTTTCGTGATTCGATTTAAATATTAAATATTTTTCGTCAATCTGGTAATATATGAATCAAATGTAAAGTGAATAAATTATACACAATCTGGTTATTGTTTATTTTATTTGTATAACTGATAATGATTATTTGATTACTTTTTCATGATAAATAATTCATTCAAAAAACATTCAATCAATCCTTATTTTCGTAAATATTACATTCTTTATAATTACCCATTTTTTGTAGATAGTCAGGAGAGAAGTTTAAAAATTTATAAAATAGAATTTAATCTTTGTTTAAATAAATTTTTATAGATTTAGTTTATTTTATTCCGTTATTCATAAATTAAAAGAATAAATTACTTTTAAATACAAGAATATTTTATAGAAATTTTAATAACAGAAAACATATTATTGTTTTTATTTTTAATGTAAATTTTAAATCAGAATTTATTCTCCTAAATTAATCAAATATATATGATGACATTATTAATTAAAACTGCAATATTTTCAAATACTATTTACCATTAAGGCTTTAAAATTTTTTGGTTTTTTAATTAAATAGAAAATTTATTTATTTTAAATATTAGGGGGAATTATTTTAAACTAGTTTAATAAAAAATGTAAGAAATTTTATACATTTTAAAAAATTTATTATTTAAGTTGCATTTAGATTTTAAAAGTAATTTATATTAAAAGTTAAATATTTTAGTAGCATAAATTTTATTTTATATTATTATTATTTGCGATTATTATGTATTAAGAAAAGAAAAAAAAACAAATAAAAAGTATTCAATTTGTAATAAATTTGTTTATTTTATCACTGACTGACTATAAATTTTCTTAATTATTTAAACTTGTAAATAAAAAATGAAATCGGGGAAACAATTTAATTTGATTAGATTTTAGTGATTTAATGATAATAGTTTTTCACTTTGAGGGAAATACCGATAATCAATCGCACATGACATATTTACAATATTTCTTTTACAATTATATTTATTAAAGATAAAGTGATAATATTACTCTCAATTTAAAAAAATTTTACTTATTTACAATTTAATTAGAGTAAATTTGATATTGATTTCAGAAAAAATTACAAATATATAAGAAAAATTAGTAAATGATATCACTTAAAAATGTATAATTAAAAGTAATTAATTTTATATTTTATTAAAAATAAATATTAAAAACTACTTTGATTAAAAAAGAAATGATATTATTATTGAATTATCTAAAAAATACACTTTTTAGCTTCTCTTTTTAACAAATAGCTTTCATTAATATATTTCCTAATGATATTGACAATTTTGATAGATTATTTTATATTTATATGGGTATAAATGAGTTATATTTTATTAATTTATTAGAGTCATTGAGGGTGGTTGGTTAAAATTAATAATTTTTAATAAAAAGCTTACTAATTAATTAAAAAAAGTAGATTGAAAATTTAAGATTAAATTTGGAAAAAAAGAATCTGTTTTGTGCAAATTTTTCTTTAATTTAGACTTTTCGATAATTTTATTTTTTGGTAAAAACTGTTTATAGGCCTCTATGTAATTTTTTTATTTATTCTCACCCATACGAATCCACTTTGATATATATTTTTTAAAGCTTTTGAGGTGAAATACTTGATCAAATATTTAGTAGATAAAAAACGGGCTGTCCCAGTCATATGTATACCTTATAGATCTATCAGCTGCTTGGTTAATACATTTTATTACTTGGTTTATTGGCCAATCAATTCATTAGAATCCACCTTTAGCAATAACTCGACATAGTTTTTACTGCAAATAAAGTAAGGACCTGAGATATTCCAAAGAGACACTCCAACAAGTAGGACACACCTTGCTAAAGTGTCACTTAGGTCAATACCTACTGCCAATTTATCTCTAAATCCAGTAAAAAATAGAGAAGTCTTTTTAAAAGTTAACACTTGTTTCTAAATTAAAATAATATTTAAGTTTAAAATGCTCATAAAAATGAGGTATGCTTCAAACATATTTATATAATTTTTGTAATTTGGATTTCTGATTGGAGCAAATTATTTAATTTCAAATATTTTCTTTTAAAAATTATTTTGAAATTTAAATCATTAATAATTTGGTTAATTTAATAAATTAAAACAATTTAAGTTAAAATGTATTTCTAAAATTATAATTTTAGTATAAAAAAATACTTTAAAAAAAAATCTAATTGTATATTTATTTATATTTGACATTACTTTTAAATTTAAGATTCAATCTAATATGAGCCCATTTTAAATTTACATTTAATTTTAAATTCATATAAGCTATTAAAAAGAAAAAATTAAACATGCTTTAAAACAAGATCTTTTATTCCTAAATAATCTATGATTATACATGACTGCATTTTAAATAATAATATTAAAAATCTAGTAAATCATCATAATTAAATTCATTGCATTAACTCTCAAATTTGAAAAATATTTTAATATACTTATTTAATACTACATTTAAAAATAAAATATGGAACTTAATTTATTGATTTGAAGTACTTTAGAATAAAAATACTTTAATTATTAAAATTTTTGATTTCATTATTTTTTTATAATAGCATTCTTGAGTAAATGTTAAAAAACTAAATCAATCAAGTATAAAAATATATGATACAAGAGATTATAAGATCAGCCATATCTTGTCACAAGGACATAAATCAACATATTTGCACTTTTTATACACATACTTTTTAAAAATAATTTGTATCATCCATACCTTTAATTATCCATATTCATATTTTCATTTAATTGCTATATGTTGCATTTTTTTTGTAAATATTTTCAAAATTTAATCTAATTTTTTTTTTTTTGAGCTAAACATTTGTCTAAATTTCTTTTAATTAAATATTCATTAGTATAGCCTATTCAAAATTAAAAAGGTATTTAACTCTATATTAATTGCTAAGTTCTATTAAATGGAGCATACAATAATGATCTTGTTTGCTCTGAGTATATTTTATCTTACGCCAAAACTTCTTGTGTTAATTGCTCTGTTTAATAATCTGGAGGTTCATACAATTCATATAATATTTGTGCTGATTATGCACCTAGTATTACACCAGGCTAAAATACTTGCTTAGACTGAAAAGTTAGTAATATGCCAAATTTTACAAGACGTGGTAATAGTTAATGCGCAAGCTGTGCCCTCTCTTCTGGTGGGGCTTGTACTTATTCTAATGTATGGTGCTGTTAAAGTTATAAAATAACAAGAAATCAATGTAATGATTATAGTGCTGTTAATGCAAGTACTTGTAAAAATAACTCTAAGATTTAATGGAATTAATTAATGTCTATACTGTTCATAGCTCTAATAATGATTGCCTCAACAGTAGTGTTCCTAAATGCTCTAATTTTGCATTAGCAGCATCTGGATAATAATATATAGACTTTTCTTTATCAGATTCTAATAGTTATTGCATAAATTTGAGTGCTTCTACAGGTTTGAAAGACTTTATCTTCTCAAGTGTATACAAATAATTTGTAAATTGTGCAGCAGCAAAGAACTCATAGCATATTTACTAATATGTAATTGGATGTTACCTTTATAAATATGATTCATCCTCTTAATTATGTGTTGACTGTAGTAAGGCTTCTACTGGGGGATGTGTCAACAGTTCTACAGTTTGCTCAGGATATTAATAAAGCTCAAATTCATCCAAGTGCATTAATTGTTCTTATCTTTAAAATGGTTCAGATATACTATGTTCTAATTTCAAATTTGATAATTTGATGGTTATAGCACTTGCGTTGACTGTTCTTTAACTGTTGACAAAGGTGGGTGCTAAAACTCTTCACTAAAAGGTTGTTTGAATTATCACTATGATTATACTTCAAATTTATGTTATGACTGCTAAGCTGTTTCAGGAGAATCTTGCAATTATTAATCTAAAAGTGAATGCAGTACTTTTGGAATTATGCAACTGGTTCATGCTATGATTTTTCTATTTATTAATCTAGTGGCTGTATAAACTAATTTATTTCAGGATGCTCAAACTATAGGTATGATGGTTCAAGTAAATGTGTAGATTGCTGTTAAGTTTCATCATGTGTTTGAGCTAATTTTTCAGTAGCTGGATGCATAGCTTTTTAATATGATTCTAAATTATCAACTTGCTTTACAAACAACTTTAAAAACTTAAAATTCTATAAATTTACCATTTTCTTGTATTATAATTTTTGATTTGCCATCAGGTTTTATTTGAGTCAAATATATATTTTATATTTATTTCTTTAAAAGATATCTCTTTATTTTTATTGTTTAAATTCATAAAAATAGATTAAAAATATTTTTAAATTCACTTCATAACTCAAAATTCTTTTTTTGATCTAAAAAACTTAATTTTAGCTTCTTTTTAAATATGAATTTAAAATAATAGTAAACCTAAATAAAGAAATAAAACTAAATTAATATTGAAATTATTTTATTTCATACAAGAAAAATAACTTTTTTTACTTAAAACAATATAGTTATAAAAATAGATATTTTTTTAGTAAATTATTATAAAGGTTTTAATATAATTTAATTTTTTAGTAATAATGTTTTAGTAATATTTTGTTTGCTTTTATTAATTTTTTCTTTTATTGTTTGGTCATATGTTATTAATGATTGATAACGATTATTATTCTTGAAGTTTTAGAGTACTTGCCTCTAAAACAGTACTAGTATTATTTTTAGATGCTTATGGAATTACTTTAATTTTAAAGAATTTATATTATCCCCTTAAAAAGTAAACTAAGCCTGCACTACAAACAAAACTTAAAGCTAAACCGCAGAAAATTAATAGCACAATTTATGCTGATTAGTCTGTAACTCTTTTAAAGCAAAATCCCTTAGCATTTAACTCATAACCATCTTGGCATGTTATGCAAGATGAAGCATTGCAAGTTTTACCTTTGAATAAAATTTATAGATTTACTTGATGAATTTCATATAATTAAAATATACAATAATTTGAAGGGCAAGCTGCACATCTTCCAGAGCTTTCAATAAGGAACTTTCCATCTGGGCATTCACATGATTAATCTTAATAAATACCAAATCCAACATTTGGTAAAATGCACTCTTTAAGATAATAAATTTAATAATTAATTTTGTATTAAAAAACAAACATAAGATATATTACTGCTTTGAACAGGGTTAACGGTTGGAATGCATTATTTAAGTTCATTTTCAGTATATCCTTCTATACAAATACAAGAATTATTTAATAATATTCTTTTCTTTGAACTATCACATTTAATGCATCTATCTTATTTACTCTCACATTCTTAACATGTAAAATTACAGTTTTTTATTTAATTAGATTCATAATCAACATAGGTGCCCACTTCACCCTAACACATTCCATCTCTCATGATAAAACCAGGTAAACATAACAGACATTAATTCGGGAATTTGCCAGTGCAGGTATAACATGTAGGGAAACAGCCTTTATTTTAAAATTAAAAAATTTACATTTAATTATAAATTTTAAAGGATAAATCTACGTGAACAATCTTTTAAAACTAAATCATAATAGGTTTAATTAGGGCATTAACAAACTGGTGGATTTATTTTTTTCCCTGAACATATCAGACAGTTGGTAGATGATCCAGAGCAAGATCCACATTTTTTATCGCATGGAGCACAAATAAAATCTTCTGTCTCATAAAAACCATCAGGACATTCACATTTAGGAAAATTAACTCTATTTGCTTTGCATGCAGTGCAATTATCGCTTGTTCCTTAACAAGATCCACATTTTGGATTGCAGTCTTTTATTATTTTAAAAAATTAATTTTCCTTTAAATTAGAAATATTTCATACCTCTGCACATTTCACTTACACCATCATCAAATTTTCCATAAGGACACTAACAACTAGGCAAGTTAATTCTATCACCTCTACATTATGTGCAAGAGTTAGATCCAGAGCAAGTCTAACATTAGTTAGGGCATTCTATTATTTAATAGAATTTATTTTTTTTTAATTTAATTAAATTCTTACTTTAACAAGCTACATTAACTCCATCGTCATAAGTCCCCTCATTACATCCACAATAAGGAGCCTATTTATTTATATCAGTGAGCTAAATTGAAAAAATATAAAAAAAATAAATAAGTAGTTACCCCACTTCGTCCTGCAATACATAGAGTACAGTTTTACTTTGATTTATCACAAGAGTTGCATATTGGATCACAAGCTTTATAAAAATTATTTGTAAATATAAAATAAAAATAATAATAAAATTTACTTTCACAACTTATTCCATTATCAAATGTACCTGATTTACATGTGCATTGAGGAGGATTAATTCTACCTGGAGCACAAGATGTACAATTAGAAGCAGATTATGAGCATGTTGAACATACATTAGTATTGCATTCTATTTTTGTTCAAAACATAAATATTAGGTTTATATTATTTAATTTTAATTGATTGGTTTACTAGAGCATGTAAGACCTCCATTATCAAATGTTCCATCTGGACATTAATTGCAAGAAGGGAAGCCTATGCGGCCTCCAGCACATTTTATGCAATTATTTGGGCTTCCTTAACATCCATCGCAGAAAATGTTACATTCTTTTAATAAAAAATTTTAAGCAAACTGCTAATCGAATTTGTATTTTTACATGCACAGAAATATCCAATTCCTAAATCATAAGTGTTTTTTGGGCAAACACATTTATTTGAAGAAGAATCATATATTTTATTTCCAGAACAAGATGTACAATCATTAACTGATGGGCCTGAGCAAGATGAACATGCAGAATTGCATTTAGGGCAAGTAGGATTTCCATCATCGTATGTGCCTAATGGGCATTTACAAGTTGGGAAATCTATTCTGTTACCTGCACATGTTTGACATTAGTTTGGTCCAGGCCCAGTACATCTAGTACAATTAGGGTGACATGCTGATATTAAAAAATTATTATGAAATTGTAATAAAATAAATTTAATAAGTTATTATTACCTCTGCATTCTCTGTTTGAGTCTTCGTAAAATCCATCGTTGCAGCTGCACTAAGGTGGGTTTGATCCTTGATTAAGGAAATGTATTTTTAATTTAATGAACATAAAATAAAAATAATTTACTATTTGTTGAGCAAATTGTGCATTCAGTCTGAGATTTGCATTTAATACACTTTTTAGGGCAGACTATATAATAAAAATTTTAAATTGAAGCATTTTTAGGATTTGTAAATAAATACCTCCGCAATCTATTGTACCTTTATCAAAATACCCATCCTTACAATCACAAGTAGGAGCATTAGTACGAGTGTCATGTGAGCATTATGTGCAATTATTATCAGCTTTATCACAGCTACTACATTTGTAATTACATGCTATTTTGTTAATAGGCCTTAAAAATTTTTCAATTTAATGTTATATTTACATGGACAATTAGCTTTGTCATTTTCATAGGTTCCAGTAGGGCAAGTACAAAAAGGTGGATTTTATGTTCTATTAGCTGCACAAGTTACACAATTTTTAGAATCTGTAGAGCATGTATTACATTTTGGATCACAAACTAATTATTTTATTTATTTTATTTTTATTGTTCAACACAATACATTTTTATAAAAATTTACTAACACAATTAGCATATCCAGCATCATTATAATTGGAGGGACAAGGACATTAAGGAGTTTGAGGTAATCTATTTCCAGCACAAGAGGTACAATTATTGGCACTTCCAGCACAAGTAGCACATTAGTAAGAACAAACTATTTAAAAAGATAATAATAATTTATAAAACATAAAATAATAGGTATAATTCTCAATGTAATACCTTTGCAAACTGGAGAACCATCATCATATTTATCTGCAGGACAGGTACAATCAGGCATGGCTCTATTTGAACTACAAGAAGTGCAATTATCTGGATTCCCTGAACAAGTTCTGCACTTTGGATTACATGCTTTTAGAAACATTTAAATAAAAATTCAATAGACTTATTTCAAAATTTACGAATGCAATTTAAACTGACTCCATCATCGAATGTACCTTCTGGGCATATGCATTTAGGAGCTTTAATTCTATTTCCTTTACATGTTAAGCAATTATCTGCTTTTCCAAAACAAGTCGAACATTTTTTATCGCATACTATTATTTTTTTTTAATTGAGAAATTAATAAATTATATTTTTAATTTTACTTCCACATACAGGGTTTTAATTATCTTATTCAAAAGTTCCATCGCCACAATTGCAGGAGGGAGTTTTAGGTCTATTAGCAGCACAAGTAGTACAATTTGAAACAATTGAAGTACATGTTAAGCATTTATATGAGCATTCTAATAATAAAAAGAACAAATAAAGTATTTTTATAAATTTAGAAAATAAATAATTTTTCATAATAAGATGCAAAAAATTTACATTTGCAAGTTGGATCTGGAGGGTTTTCATACTCGTTTGACTAGCAAGCACAATCTGGAAGAACAGCTTTAGGCCCTCTGGCAGGTTAGCAAGCTGTACAATTTTTAGGAGAGTCTTTACAAGTTAAACATACAGGACTACATTCTAATTTTTTGGTAAATATGAATTAAATAAAGTTTGATAAAATTAAAAGCAATTGTTATTATTATTATTGAAATTATGAATAAATTTTTACTTTCACATTTTCCAGTTTAAATATTTCCAAAAGTTCCGTCTGGGCATGTTGTTACGCAGATACTTGTACTATCTAAAAATGCACCATTTACACATGTTAAACAAATCTTATCAGTACACGTTGTGCATAATTAGTTTGGACACAAATCAATTACAGCTATCAAATTGGAAATTCCGAAGGATTCGTTTGTTACACTTTCATCTAAATTAGTTTCAAATCCTAAAATGAATGAAGTTCCACTGTGATTTATAGTTGTATCATATTCAACTATCTAATCTTTCCAACCTTTGTTTGCTCCTCCACAAAAATTAACTGAAAAATCGGATGCATCTTTTCTATCAGATATAACTGCTTTCCCATCAACTTTCAAGTAGAAATATTCACTATCCCATGAATCTAGGTAAATTACTTTTACTTTAATTCTAAGTTTCCAATGATATGGAATTGTTCCAGATTTATAATAGATAAAATTACCAGCTATTCAAGCAAAGAAAAAAAATTATAAAAATATTTTATTTATTTTAATAAAAAAAATTTACATCCAGTTACATCAAAGCCTCCAAGCATCCTAACACCATTACTGCAAACATAGAAATTCTAATTAGGATTATGGTGTTTCGTAAAGCTAAAAGTAAACGGAGCTGCACTAGTTTAATCAATAATTCCATCTAAGCCCTAATAAATAGTTTGTCCTCCTTTATAAATTAACAAAAATAAATTATTCACTATTATAGTTTTAAACTAATTTAATACTCGGAAAGCTTTTTTCAAGCGGTTAACAAGTACCAGCACTTGAATCATAAAAAAAGGGACAGCTATTTATGCAATCACCTTTGTAACTTACTTTTCCTCCACTGCATTAATCGCATGATCTTTAATCTTTACATACACTACAAGAATTTTACCCAGCAATACATGCAGGAACGCATTTATTTAAATTAGAGTCAGCCCAAGTCCTAAATATGAAAATAATAATTTAGCTTTGGAAGAAAGAGTGGTTTGATTAATGTTTTATTACTCAAATAAATTAAAATAATTTTAAGTGTTATTCGAATCTATTAAAAAAAGTAAATATATGTTAATCTTAGAAGAAAATTTTTTAATGATAAGTAGAAACAATTTTTGAAAATTTTCTGATAAAAAGTGATTAACTTACTTTATACTTATTAAATTTCTAGCTAAAAATTAAAAATATTAAAGCAATAATTAATTACCCAGCTGGACAGGTTACACATTAATAATTAGAGCCATATTAACCTGCAGGGCAAGTACATTTACCTGCATTCAAAGTTGCGCCTGTAGGGCAGCTTGTGCATTAATTAGGAGCTGGACCATTACAAGAAGCACATGTTTCATCACATGTATCAATCCACATCCTAATATCATTAAAGCAAAGCCATTCAATAGCATCAGAGTATTTCAAATTATGTTATACTTTAATCACTGCTGATGTAGCTGTATGAGTAGTGTTAATATGAAATATAACTAATTAATCATTTACATAAAATCCATTTTGATAATCAATATCGCAACTACCTATTTTATTAGCTGTACCAACAACTACACCATCTAAGCTAACACTTACAAATTCACTGCTATCCCAATCACCCATTTAATAAGCAAATAGATCAAAGCTAATACTCCAATGTGGAAGAAAACTACCTCCAAAAGTCTTTTAAGCAGATTTAGTATACTTATCGTAAGGACCTAAGCAACCATTTTCTGATTCCTTCAAAGCTGTAAAGCTTGATAGAGTTTTGAAGTTAGTCCATCCAAGAGATGAAAGATTATAAACAATATCTTCATATAATAATACAATATCTTTTTTTTTATTTAATAAATATAAAGTTAAATATTCAAACTTGTAAAAAAAGCAAAGAGTATACCTCCTAAAACTATAGTTAAAAGAACAGCAAGGCTTGATATTTTAAAAATAATATTTGTCATTAAAAATTTAATTTAAAATATTTTTTTTGTCTTTTTTAGGCTTTGGATTATTTTTTCCAAATTATTGTTACTAATTATTTACAAAAATTTGATTTGATTAGTCAACATCAAACAAATTTTTGAATGTAAACAAGCGAATTATACTTTTCCTAAATGACATAAATCATGACAAATAATTACATTTTATAATTTCCATACAAACCAATTAAAAGTTGTAGCAATATAAATAAATATTGATTACATTTTTAATTAATTATTCAAAACTCAAGTTTTACTCCATTCAATTTAAATATTAAATTCTATTTGCTTCATAGACAATCTGGTAATATATGAATCGAATGTAAAGCGAATAAATTATACATAATCTGGTTATTGTTTATTTTATTTGTATAACTTATAATTATTATTTAATTATTTTTCGTGATAAATCATTCATTCACAAAACATTCAATAAATCCTTATTTCTTTAATACATTCTTTATAATCACCCATTTTTGTAGATAGACAGGATAGAAATTTAAAAATTTATAAAATAGAATTTAATTTTTGTTTAAATAAATTTTTACAGATTTAGTTAATTTTATTCCGTTATTTATAAATTAAAAGAATATATTATTTTTAAATACAATAATATCTTATTGCAATTAAATAACAGAAAACATATTATTGTTTTTATTTTTATTTTATTTTAATGGTAAATTTTAAATCAAAATTTATTATCCTAAATTAATCAAATATTATTGATGATATTATTAATTAAAACCCAAATCTGTTCAAATACTATTTACCTTTACAACTTCATAAATTTTAGGTTTTTTAATTTAAAAGACAATTTATTTATTCTAAATATAAGGGTGAATTATTTTAAAACTAATTTAATAAAAAATGAAAGAAATTTTATAGATTTTAAAAAATGTATTATTTATGATGCATTTAAATTCTATCTAGTAATTTATATTAAAAGTTAAATACTTAAGCAACATAAAAAAATTTTATTTTATGTTATTTTTATTTGCATTTATTCTGTATTAAGAAAAAATAAAGAATAAAACTTATTTAATTTGTAATAAATTTGTTTATTTTATCACTGACTATAAATTTTCTTAATAACTTAAACTTGTAAATAAAAATGAAATAGGATAAAAAAATTTAATTTGATTAGATTTTAGTGATTTAATGATCATCGTTTTTCACTTTGAGGAAAATACCGACGGACAGTCACACATGACTTATTAATAATATTTCTTTTACAATTATATTTATTAATAAGAAAAAGTGATAATATTACTCTCAATTTTAATAATTTTTCCCAATTTACATTTCAATTTGCTTAAAAAAATTGTAAAAATTTAAGAAAATTTATATAATGGTCTGACTTAAAAATTTATATTGAAATGGAATTGATTGATTTTATATTTTATTAAAATTAAATATGAAAGATAAACTTAATTTGATGAAAAAAGAAATGACATTATTATTATGATATTATTATTACTATTGAATTATGTAAAAAAAGTACACTTTTTAGCTTCTCTTTTTAACAAATATCTTTCATTAATATATTTCCTAATGATAATGACAATAAAGATAGATTATTTTATATTTATATGGTTATAAATGAGTTATACTTTATTAATTTATTAAAGTCATTGAGTGGGGTTAATTAACATGAATAATTATTAATATAAAGTTTACTAAATAATTAAAAAAAGTAAATTAAAATATTAAGATTTAATCTGGAAACAAAGAATCTTTTCTGTGTACATTTTTCATTAATTTTTCTTAGACTTTAATAATTAGAATTTTTTGCTAAAAACTGTTTATAGGCCTCTACGTAATTTTATTATTTATTTTCACCCATAAGAATCCACTTTGATATATATTTTTTAAAGTTTTTTGGATGAAGACTTGATCAAATAATTCATAGATAAAAAAGATGCTTCTTCAGTCATATCTATGTCTTATACTAGCTGCTAGGTTAACATATTTTATTACTTGCTTTATTGACCATTCAATTCATTAGGATCCAACTTTAGCACTAACTCAACATTCTTTTCCTTGCAAATAAATTAATAATCTGAGATATTCCACAGAGGCACTCCAACAAGTAGGACACACTATAGAGTCACTTAGATCAAAACCTTCTTCCAATTATCCTCTATATGCAGTAAAAATTAGAGAAGTCTTTTTAAAATTTAACATTTGTTTTTAAATTCAAATAATATTTAAGTTTGAAATGCTCCTAAAATTGAGGTATGCTTCAAACATATTTATATAATTTTTGTAATTTCCATTTCTGATTGGAGCAAATTGTTTAATTTAGCATTTTTTCTTTTAATAATTACTTTTAAATTGAAATATCCTTAATAATTAAGTAAATTTAAAAATTTATTTAAAATAGCTTAAATTAATTTGTATTTCTAAAATTATAATTTTATTATAAAAAACAATACTTTCAAAAAAATTTAATTATGTATAGCAAGATGCTATTCAAAAATTTCATCGTTTGGATGTCACTTATTATGAAATAGATTTTTTAGTTATTTATTAAAAAATCTGATTTTGATATTTTATAATAAAATTATAATTAATTAATAATTTAATTTATTATAATTTCAAAAATAAATAATTTTTTTACATCAAAATTTTTAAATATATGAGGAATAATTAGTAAAAAAATTATGAACTGATTAAAAAAGATAAATAAAAAATTAAAAATGAAATGAAATTATTAAAAAATATTTTATAAAGTAATCATTTTAAGCAATTTAGTAAATTAATGAGTAAAGATGTCAGCATAGATATTTTAACAGTTTTGATGATTAAAAAATAATTTTAGATATTATTTTTGATGAAACATAAATCTAAATTAATTTCAGATAATAGCAAAAAATAAAGTTCAAAAAAGCAATCTTGATATTTAATTAAAAATATAAAGTATTTTCAAATAATATTATAATCATTAAATTAAACAATTATAAGAATAATTTGGTAGAAGAATAAGAATCCGGAAAATATAGGTATAATGGTTCAAATAAGTGTGTTTTTTATTGTTAAGTCTCATCATGTGAGTGTGCTAATTCTTCTGTAGCTAGAGGCATAGCTTTTTAATATGATTCTAAATCATCAACTTGCTTCGATTGCTATTCAGGAACAAATACTTGAACTGATTCGGAATGTAATTTTTGCTTCATCCAGGCTAATATTATATATGTAGAATCAACAATGACATGATGCTAATCTCCTTATGAAACACAAACAAAATTACAACTTACAATTCTATAAAGTTATCATTTTCTTGTATTATAATTTTTTTTTTTTTGCTTTTAGATTTTATTTGAGACAAATATAAATTTAATATTTACTTCTTTTAAAGATAACTCTTAATTATTTGAATTAAAAATACTTAAAAAATATTTTAAATCTTTTTCATAATTCAAAATTCTTTTTTTTAGATCAAAGAAATTTAATTCATCATTTATATTAAATATGAGTTTAAAATAAGAGTAAACCTAAATAAATTAATAAAAAGATTATTTCATTTCATGCAATTAAAATAACTTATTTTTACTTAACATCAAATAGTTATAAAAAATAGATTTTATTTTAGTAAATTATTATAAAGGTGATATTATAATTTAATTTTTTATTTAAAATATTTAAAATATTTAGTAATATTTTTTTTGCTATTATTTATTTATTGTTTGATCATATGTTATTAATTATTGATAACGATTATTATTCTTGAAGTTTTACTGTAGATGCCTCTAAAACAGCACTAGTATTATTTTTAGATGTTTATGGAATTATTTTTATTTTAAAGAATTTATATTATCCCCTTAAAAAGTAAACTAAAGCTGCACTAAAAGCAAAACTTAAAGCTAAACCGCAGAAAATGAATAGCACAATTTATGCTGATTAATCTGTAACTCTTTTAAAGCAAAATCCCTTAGCATTTAGCTCATACCCATCTTGGCATGTTAAGCAAGATGAAGCATTGCAAGTTTTACCTTTGAATAAAATTTATTGATTTATTTGATTAATATAAAAGAAATTAAAATATACAATCACTTGAAGGACAGGCTGCACATCTTCCAGAACTTTCAATGAGGAACTATCCATCAGGGCATACACATGATTAATCTTAATAAATACCAAATCCAACATTTGGTAAAATACATCCTTTAAGATAATAAATTTAATAATTAATTCTGTATCAAAACACAAACATAAGATATATTACTGTTTTCAACAGGGTTAACGATAGGAGTACATTATTTTAGTTCATTTTCAGTATATCCTTCCATACAAATACAAGAATTATTTAATAATATTCTTTTCTTTGAACTATCACATTTAATGCATCTATCTTATTTACTCTCACATTCTTAACATGTAAAATTACAATTTTTTATTTAATTAGATTCATAATCAACATAGGTGCCCACTTCACCCTAACACATTCCATCTCTCATGATAAAACCAGGTAAACACAACAAGCATTAATTAGGGAACTTTCCAGTGCAAGTTTAGCATGTAGGGAAACAACCTTTATTTTACAATTTAAAAAATATGTATTTAATTATTAAATTTAAAGGATAAATCTACGTGAACAATCTTTTAAAACTAAATCATAATAGGTTTAATTAGGGCATGAACAGTCTGGTGGATTTATTTTTTTTCCAGAACATGTCAGACAGTTGGTAGGTGATCCAGAGCAAGATCCACATTTTTTATCGCATGGAGCACAAATAAAATCTCCTGTTTCATAAAACCCATCAGGACATTAACATGTAGGGAAATTAACTCTATTTCCTTAACATGTAGTGCAATTATCACTTGTTCCTTAACATGACCCACATCTTGGATTGCAATCTTTTATTATTTTTAAAATATTAAGTTTTCCTTAAAAATTAGATATATTTCATACCTCTGCACATTTCGCTTACACCATCATCAAATTTTCCATAGGGGCACTAGCAACTAGGCAAGTTTATTCTGTCACCTCTACATTATGTGCAAGAGTTAGATCCAGAACAAGTCTAACATTAGTTAGGGCATTCTATATATTAATTAATAGAATTTATATATTATTTAATTAAATTAAATATTTACTTTAACAAGCTATATTAACTCCATCATCATAAGTTCCTTCGTTACATCCACAATAAGGAGCCTATTTATTTTATTAGTTATTTATATTGATAACATATAAAAAAAATAAAATAATTACCCCACTTCGTCCTGCAATACATTGAGTACAGTTTTACTTTGATTTATCACAAGAGCTGCAGATTGGATCGCATGCTTTATAAAAAATTATTTGTAAATATAAAATAAAAATAAAAGTAAAATTTACTTTCACAACTTATTCCATTATCAAATGTACCTGGTAAACATGTACATTGAGGAGGATTAATTCTACCTGGAGCACAAGATGTACAATTAGAAGCAGATTATGAGCATGTTGAACATACATTAGTATTGCATTCTATTTTTTAAAAATAAATATATATTAAGTTTAGATCATTAATTTTAATTTATTGGTTTACTAGAGCATGTAAGACCTCCATTATCAAATGCTCCATCTGGACATTAATTGCAAGAAGGGAAGCCTATGCGGCCTCCAGCACATTTTATGCAATTATTTGGGCTTCCTTAACATCCATCGCAGAAAATGTTACATTCTTTTAATAAAAAATTTTAAGCAAACTGCTAATCGAATTTGTATTTTTACATGCACAGAAATATCCAATTCCTAAATCATAAGTGTTTTTTGGGCAAACACATTTATTTGAAGAAGAATCATATATTTTATTTCCAGAACAAGATGTACAATCATTAACTGAGGGGCCTGAGCAAGATGTGCATGCAGAGTTGCATTTAGGGCAAGTTGGATTTCCATCATCGTATGTGCCTAATGGGCATTTACAAGTTGGGAAATCTATTCTGTTTCCTGCACATGTTTGACATTGATTTGGTCCAGGCCCGGTGCATCTAGTACAATTAGGGTGGCAAGCTAATGGTATAAAAGTTATTATGAATTTGTAAATAAAATAAATTTAACAAGTTATAAATACCTCTGCATTCTCCATTTGAGTCTTCATAAAATCCATCATTGCAACTGCACTATGGTGGGTTTGATCCTTAATTAAGGGGAAATTAAGTTAATAAAAATAAAATTAAAAAATGTACTATTTGTTGAGCATACTGTGCATTCTGTCTGAGATTTGCAATTAACACACTTTTTAGGACAGACTATTTGATAAAAAAAATTTTAAATTGAAGCATTTTTAGGATTTGTAAATAAATACCTCCGCAATCTATTGTGCCTTTATCAAAATACCCATCCTTACAATCACAAGTAGGAGCATTAGTACGAGTGTCATGTGAGCATTATGTACAATTATTATCAGCTTTATCACAACTACTGCATTTGTAACTACATGCTGTTTTGTTAATAAGCCTTAAAAATTATTCAATTTAATGTTTTATTTACATGGGCAATTAGCCTTGTCATTTTCATATGTTCCAGTAGGACAAGTACAAAAAGGTGGATTTTATGTTCTATTAGCTGCACAAGTTACACAATTTTTAGAATCTGTAGAGCATGTATTACATTTTGGATCACAAACTAATTATTTTATTTTTTTTGTTTCAATACAATACATTTTTATAAAAATTTACCAACACAATTAGCATATCCAGCATCATTATAATTGGAGGGACAAGGACATTAAGGAGTTTGAGGTAATCTGTTTCCGGCACAAGAAGTACAATTATTGGCACTTCCAGCACAAGTAGCACACTAGTAAGAACAGACTAATGAAAAAAAAAATATGTTATTAATACATAAAAAAATAGGTATAATTCTATATGTAATACCTTTGCAAACAGGAGAACCATCATCATACTTATCTGAAGGACAGGTGCAATCAGGCATGGCCCTATTTGAACTACAAGAAGTGCAATTATCTGGATTTCCTGAACAAGTCCTGCATTTTGGATTACATGCTTTTAGAAAAATTTAAATAAAAATTCAATAGACTTATTTCAAAATTTACGAATGCAATTTAAACTGACTCCATCATCGAATGTACCTTCTGGACATATGCATTTAGGAGCTTTAATTCTATTTCCTTTACATGTTAAGCAATTATCTGCTTTTCCAGAGCAAGTTGAACACTTTTTATCACATACTATTATTTTTTTCGAATTGAGAAATTAATAAAATATATTTTTAAATTTACTTCCACATACAGGATTTTAATTATCTTATTCAAAAGTTCCATCATCACAATTACAGGAGGGAGTTTTAGGTCTATTAGCAGCACATGTAGTGCAATTTGAATCAATTGAAGTACATGTTAAGCATTTATATGAGCATTCTAATATAAAGAACAAATAAAGTATTTGTATTAATTCATAAAAATTATATTTTATGTATTAGTTTTTCATAATAAAATTCAAATAGCTTACATTTACAAGTTGGATCTGGAGGGTTTTCATACTCGTTTGACTAGCAAGCACAATCTGGAAGAACAGCTTTAGGTCCTCTGGCAGGCTAGCAAGCTGAACAATTATTAGCAGAGTCTTTACAAGTTACACATACTGGACTGCAAGCTTAATATTTGATAAAAAAAATGAATTAAATAAAAATTTATTGATAAAATTAAAAGCAATAATTATTATTAAAATTATGAATAAATTTTACTTTCACATTTTCCAGTTTAAATATTTCCAAAAGTTCCGTCTGGGCATGTTGTTACACAAATACTTGTGCTATCTAAAAATGCCCCATTTATACATGTTAAACAAATCTTATCAGTGCATGTTGTGCATAATTAGTTTGGACACAGATCAATTACAGTAATCAAATGAGAAATTCCGAATGATTCGTTAGTTACACTTTCATCTAAATTAGTTTCAAATCCTAAAATGAATGACGTTCCACTATGATTTACAGTTATGTCATATTCAATTATCTAATCATTCCAACTTTTATTAGCTGCTCCACAAAAATTAACTGAAAAATCTGATAAATCTTTTTTATCAGAAATAATTGCTTTCCCATCAACTTTCAAGTAGAAATATTCACTATCCCATGAATCCATGTAAATTACTTTTACTTTAATTCTTAGTTTCCAATGATATGGAATTGTACCAGATTTATAATAGATAAAATTACCAGCTATTCAAGCAAAGAGAAAAAATTAATATCAATTTTTTATATTTTATTTAAAAATTTTACATCCAGTTACATCAAAACCTCCTAACATCCTAACACCATTACTGCAAACATAGAAATTCTAATTAGGATTATGGTGTTTTGTGAAGCTAAAAGTAAACGGGGCTGCACTAGTTTAATCAATAATTCCATCTAAGCCTTAATAAATAGTTTGTCCTCCTATAAAAATAAACAAAAATAAATTATTAACTAGTTTTAAACTAGTTTAATACTCAGAAAGCTTTTTTCTAGTGGTTAACAAGCACCAGCATTTAAATCATAAAAAAAAGGACAGCTATTTATGCAATCACCTTTGAAACTGACTTTTCCTCCACTGCATTAATCGCATGATCTTTAATCTTTACAGACGTTACAAGAATTTTACCCAGCAACGCATGCAGGAACACATTTATTTAAATTAGTGTCAGCCCAAGTCCTAAATATATGAAAATAATAATTTAGCTTTGGAAGAAAGAAAAATTTAATTAATGTTCTATTACTCAAATAAATTAATATAATATTTAACGTTATAAATTTCTATTAAAAAAATAATAAATAAATATGTCATAATTTGAGTAGGAAAGTATTTTTTTGGATAAGTAATAACAATTTTTGAATATTTTATGATAAATATAAAGTCATTAGCTTACTTTATTCTTATTAAATTTCTAGCTAAGAAATTAAAAATAGTAAAGTAATAATTAATTACCCAGCTGGACAGGTTACACATTAATAATTAGAACCATATTAGCCTGCAGGGCAAGTACATTTACCTGCATTCAAAGTTGCGCCAGTAGGGCAGCTTGTGCATTAATTAGGAGCTGGACCACTACAAGAAGCACATGTTTCATCACATGTATCTATCCACATCCTAATATCATTAAAGCAAAGCCATTCAATAGCATCAGAGTATTTCAAATTATGCTATACATTAATGAGTGCTTATGGTGCTGTATGTGTTGTATTAATATGAAATATCACTAATTAATCATTTACATAGAACCCATTTTGATAATCAATATCACAGGTACCTATTTTATTAGCTGTACCAACAACAACTCCATCTAAGCTTACACTTACAAATTCATTGGTATCCCAATCACCCATTTAATAAACAAATAGATCAAAGCTAATACTCCAATGTGGAGGAAAACTACCTCCAAAAGTCTTTTAAATAGATTTAGTGTACTTATCGTAAGGACCTAAGCAACCATTTTCCGATTCCTTTAAAGCTTTAAAAGTTGTTAAAGTTTTGAAGTTAGTCCATCCAAGAGATGAAAGATTATAAACAATATCTTCATATAATAATACAATATCTATTTTTTTATTTAATAAATATAAAGATAAATATTCAAATTTGTAAAAGTAGCAAAGAGTCTACCTCCTAAAACTATAGTTAAAAGAACAGCAAGGCTTGATATTTTAAAAATGATATTTTTCATTAAAAATTTAAATTTAAAGTAGTATGTTTTTTGTATTTTTTAGGTTTTGGACTATTTTTTCCAAATTTTTGTTACTAATTATTTACAAAAATTTGATTAGATTAGTCAACATTAAACAAATTTTTGAATGTAAACAAGCGAATTATACTTTTCCTAAATGACATAATTCATGACAAAAAATTAAATTTTATAATTTCCATACAAACTAATTAAAAGTTGTAGCAATCTAAATAAATATCGATTACATACCTTCTAATTAATTATCCAAAACTCAAGTTTTAAGCCATTCGATTTCAATATTAAATACTATTTGTTTCATATCCAACCAGCTTTGGTAATATATGAATCAAATGTAAAGTGAATAATTATACATAATCTGAATAGTATTTATTTATTTATATAAATGATAAACGCTTATTTAATTATTATTTTTGATAAACCATTTATTAGGAAAACAGTCAATCAATCAATTAGCCACTCATTTTTCAATATTAAATTTTTTATAATCACCAATTTTTAAAAAAATATATAATAGAAGTTTTAAAAATTAAAAATTAGAATTTAATCTTTCTTTATATAAATTTATATTTTTTATATATTAAATTTATTTCATTCACTAATTAATAAATTAATCAAATATATTATTTTTAAATACAAAGAAATTTTATTGCAATTTAATAAATGTAAACATATTATTGTTTATTTTTTATTTATTTTAATGGTTAATTTTAAATCAAAATTTATTATCCTAAATTAATCAAATAAATATGACGATTTTATTAATTAAAACAAAAATCTGTTCAAAGAATATTTACCATTACAATTTTTTAAATTTTTTGTTTTTTGATTTAAAAGACAATTTCTTTAATCTAAAATATGAGGGTTAATTATTTTAAACTGGTTTAATATAAAATGAAAGAAATTTTTTTATCAAGAAAATTGTATTATTTAAGTTGTTCTTTAAATTTAATAGTAATTTATGTTTTAATTAAGTAAAATAAATTTTATTTTATGTTTTTTTTTTGTGAGCTTTTCTTATCATTATATAAAGAAAACAATAGGAAAAAATAATTCAATTTGTAATATGACTCTATATAAATTTTCTTAATAACTTAAACTTGTAAATAAAAATGAAATAGGATAAAAAATTTAATTTGATTAGATTTAAGCGAATTATTGATAATCGTTTGTTTTTCACTTTGAGGAAAATACCTAGAGTCAGTCACACATGACTTATTAACAATATTTCTTTTACAATTATATTTATTAAAAAGAAAAAGTGATATAATTACTCTCAATTTTAATAAATTTTCCCAATTTACATTTCAATTTGAGTAAATTAGATACTGATTTAATAAAAAATGTAAATATATATAGAAAAGTTAGATTAAAGTATGACTTGAAAATTTTTAATTAAAAGTATTTGATTTTATATTTTATCAATATAAATATGAAAGATTAACTTATTTTGATGAATAAAATATAAAGAAATGGCATTATGATTATAATTAAATTAACTAAAAAAAGAACACTTTTTGGCTTCTGTTTTTAACAAATAGCTTTGATAAATATATTTCCTAGTGATAATGAGAATATAGATAGATAGATTATTTTATATTTATATGGTTATAAATGAGTTATATTTTACTAATTTATTAGAGTCATTGAGTGGTTGGTTAACATGAATAATTTTTAATATAAAGTTTACTAATTAATTAAAAAAAGTAGATTGAAAGATTAAGATTAAATTTGTAATTGAAATAAAATATCTGTTCTGTGTAAAATTAATTTTCTTTTATTCTTCTTACACTTTTCAATAATTTGAATTTTTGGCTAAAAACTGTTTATAGGCCTCTATGTAATTTTATTATTTATTTTCACCCATAAGAATCCACTTTGATATATATTTTTTAAAGTTTTTGGGATGAAGTACTTGATCAAATAATTCGCAGATAAAAAACACGCTGCCCCAGTCATATCTATGCCTTATAGATCTACCAGCTGCTTGGTTAACACATTTTATTACTTGTTTTCTTGACCATTCATTAGGATCCATCTTTAGCACTAACTCGACATACTTTTTCTTGCAAATAAAGTAAGGATCAGAGATATTCCAAAGAGGCACTCCAACAAGTAGGACACACCTTGCTAAAGAGTCACTTAGGTCAATACCTTCTGCCAATTTTCCTCTGCATGCTGCAAAAAATAGGGAAGTCTTTTTAAAAGTTAACACTTGTTTCTTAAAGTGAGCAAAATCTGTTTAAAATTACACATTTGTTGGTTTTTCAAAGAAAATTGGAATATCTTTCAACTCTCTTTAAGCGTTTGAGCCTAGAAAAGCTTAATAAAAGCTATACATTAACTCATAACTTTTAAAGAACACTAAAACTCCTCCTTTAATACTTTGATCTTAAATAGTTTTGACTATATTTTAGATTATTTATAAGGTGCTTAATATATTTTATCTCTTTTGTTCTCTTATTTCTAAGTCATCCATGTAAATTTTCTCAAATGAAAAGTTCAAAGGCTTTCCATTGTTGCTGCACTCTTTAATAAATTAAGTGAATACTTATTATTAAGGATCAATTACATGCTTTCCTGAGTAAATTTCAAATTTAACATCGAGATTTTTGATAAGAATATCGAATGGCTCAAGGGTACCACTACTTAAAATAAGCGAATGAACATTCAACTTAGAAAATATTTCTCTGAAAGCATACTTTCCACTTAGACAACCTAATGTAAAGATAACATCTTCTTTTAATTCATTTTTTTGTGCTGAAAAGTAAAAGTCTTACAATTTTTGTAGATCAGGGCTTTCCAAATTAAAATCCTCATTAATGTATTAGTCATTTTATAGATTTTTGTATTATTTTTAAGAACTTCTTAGATAATGGAATGATTATTTTTTTTTATATTGCTATTAAATCATACTAAGTTGATGAAAATCTTTTAAATTAGACAAGAAAAGCACGATTTTTTTAATCTTAGTTAGATGGTTAAGTGGTTAAAGATTATTAGCAAAGTATCTTAATGTAACTTTTAATTAATGAAGGTTACCTTCATAATATACTGCAGATGCTAAAATATCCTCAATAGCCTTTTGCTAGCACTCTCTGGAATATTTTACTTTGATGTATCTTGTAATTTACTAAAATATATAACTAAATTCACTAAATTGACTTAGTACATCCATATTTTGCTAATAATCAGAGTTTATGTTAATTTTTTATCTGAGAACCTCATTTGCTTCCTAAAGGATAGTTTTTTATTCATTTTCTTCTTTTAAAATGTTTTCTTTATCTGAATCATTGTCATGTGATACTAACCCAAATAGCTGATAATACTATTTGATAAAATGGTATTCACTTAATAAATTACTCTCAGCTTTTTAAAGCTTTGACTACCTAGTTAGACAGTAATTTATTAATTTATTTAGGTAGCCTAATATTTTAGGTAGCTTTAACTCATAATTTTAAATAAATTCTTCCAAGATTTTCTTTTGGTTTTCATATTTGTCATCTGACTAGGAATCTCCTTCATTGGTACCTTCTTATTGTTTTTCATTAAAATCTATGGCTATCTCATTTAATTCTTCATCCTCTATTTTTATTATCTCTTTCTATTAGCTTTCTTTCTAAATTTTTTCTTTAAAATTTTGTTCATTTTCAATTTCTAGCTCATCCAAAATACTTTAGTTATCTAAAAATGAGCTTCCTTCTTTAAAATTATTGCTCTTATAATCTGCATTGCAAAAAGATTATTATTCTTCTTTGATTTCAACTTCATTCTCATTTTATTAATTTATCTAATATTTTATTTCTTATTTAATTTTATCATCATCTAGAATATTTTATTCAATTTCTTCATCATTAATTTAATAATTGTGCTTCCTAGTTCGTTTTGATTTTAATTCAATAGTTTAAATATTTATATTTTGTTGCATAATATTAAGATCTTTCTCTTTCAAAATACTAGTTGATTATTAAATTTGATTTTTTTCTGATTAAAGCTACTTGATCTCTTAATCTTTATTTTAAATATTTTGTTCTTCATTTTCATTTTAAACTTATCTTTATGTTAGAGACTATGGTTAAAATTCTTCTTCACTTTCTTCATCTTCTAAATACTCAGACTTTATCTATACATCAAAACCATTTTAGTTGCACTTATCCTGCTAGTCTTATCCTTTCTTTTCATTTTTTTTAGATTTGGAGGATTCCTTAACTTTATCTATTAACTCTAAACCTTTTTGTTTGAGCACATCTAATATTCTTAGCTATTTTGCCAATCTTAAGGTAATTAAAATATTAGTAATTAATTCATGAGATTTTTAAAGGTTTTTGAGCTTGAGTTTGGTTTAAAATTAAGACTCTGCTTGTTGCTCTATGTTATGGGCTTCATCGAAAATGATGATTTATTTCTTCTGTCTATCAATGATATTTGCACTCACATATTTTAGTATATCAGGATTAAGAAGATAATTATAATTCATAAAAACTATATTAGCCTATTTAGCTATGTATCTGTTGAAATAAAATGGACATTAAGCCTATTTTTCTTTAAATATTTTAACCATATCCTCTATGTCAGGTAATCTTTCTTCATAATCAGGATTGATGTCTTCATTCTTAATTGTTATATTATTTGTCTTGAATTATTAATATTTTTAACTATCTCTTTCAAATTCATAGTCTTCATCAAATTCTTCTTCTTGCTTTTCTATCAATTCAAGCAAATTTAAGTGATTTTTTAAATCAAAATCTTAATTTTATTTATTACTATTTTCATTAGAGTCAGTCTAATTCATAAATCTAACTTTGCTGTATCCTGTGAATTTATATTCCTACTCTTTTAGCATTTCATTTAACCCAAAGTGTAGGCATGCCAAATTCTTCTAAGTAATATATTTTTCATTGTTTTAGTTCTCTGTTAAATCAGTTTCAATAGCTGACATTACTTATACAACTCTACTCTAGTCTTATTATTACTATTGTTAATTATTTCTAGTTTCTTTTGTTTGGTCACCAATTACTATGCTTTCAGAAACCTTTAAGATGTTCTCATTATCTAAATCTTTTTTAGCGCTTGTTTTAATTAAGCATTTTTTACAGTCTGTGCAGAAGAGATCATACTTCTTGTGTAAATTCTTTCCATTTGGATCGATTTTATTATCAATCATATACTGCCTAAACTGATCTTTCTTAATGCATAAATTATTTCTACCAGCCAAAATAGAATATTTACTAATGAAATCATCAATATTTCTAATTTTGTTTAATTCTTTAACTAATCCATTTATCTATCCATTTGTTCTGGTTAAAAATAAAATTTAAAACTAAGAACTATGATATTCCGCAAATGCTGCTGCTGCACACATTACCATCAAAGACTTTCCTGTTCCAGTAGGTGACTAAAATAATAGATTTTATTTATTTGATAGAATATCGAGAATAATTTTCATTGATTCTATTTATTAATCATAAGGGTTGTCATAAGGGAAGATCTATAAAATTCTACTCATTTATCTATCTTATATCGATTTAGTATCTTCTTCATATTATATTATCTTTTTCCTATAATTCATTAAAATTAAAAACTTGCTTTGTTTTCTACTTTCTTATTTCTTTAATTAATAAAAATTCAGTATTTTCTTCTACTATCAAATTTTTTATCAGGATTAATTATTTGATTTCTAAATTATTTGGAGTGTTTTTAAAAGCTAAATAATTTTTTATGTATTAATTCATCAATAGTTTGTTTTTTTAATTGAATTTAAATTCAAATAATATTTAAGTTTAAAATGATCCTAAAATTGCGGTATGCTTCAAACGTATTTATATTTTTGTAATTTTTATTTCTGATTGGAGCAAATTATTTAATTTCAAATGTTTTCATTTAAAAGTTACTTTGAAATTGAAATCCTTAATAATTTACTTAATTTAATAAAATTTAAAATAGATTGAATTAATATGCATTTCTAAAATTATAATTTTAGTGTAAAAAGCAATAATTTAAAAAAAAATATAATTATGTATTTATATTTGACATTACATCTAAATTTAAGATTAAATTTAATTTGAGTTCATTTTAAATTTACATTCAACTTTGAATTCATATAAGCAATTAAAAAGGAAAAATTAAACATACTTTAAAAAAAGATTTTTTATACCTAAATGATCTATGATTATCCATTATTGTATTTTATGTAATGATAATAAAAATATAGTAAATACTCATAAATTAAGGTCATATTGTATTAACTCTTAAATATGAAAATATTTTATTTACTTAATTTAATACTATATTTAATAATAAGACAGTTAATTAGGGTAAAAAACGTGTTTTAAAGTGACTTTATTTAAGAGCAATTAAAGTATTTAGATAAATTAATTCTTAATTTCTTTTTAATTAATTTGAATTTATTTTTATATTGATTGAAGTTTACTCACTTAAAATTTGTAATAATTCAAAGATGAAATAAAGCATTCAAAAATAACCAATATTGTTAATAAAACAAAAATATTTGTTTATATCTACATAAAATAATTATATAAAAATTAAACTATGAGAAATTGATATAATATTAATAAATAAATTTTAATCTATATACAATAGTTGTTTTAAATTTTATACTTAGAATGAAGACTTATTAGTTAGTAGGAAGAGATTAAATTTATTTTATTTGAATTCAAATAAAAACTTTTTTGCATATGTAGAGCTCAAGGGTGCGGATAGAATTTAGATAGTAGATTCTGAAGGGAAATGATAAAAATAAAAGGGAGAAAATATAATAAGAAATTCTGTTGAAGAAGATTGGGGAAGACTTTCCAGAGCTTTTCACTATAAAATCATTATTTAAAAATGGTATGGTGTAGCTAAATTCAGCTTTTTCTATGTCATCAGACCTCTGTCTGGATATTTCAATTACTTCATTTTACATCTTTTCATAAGCTTCTTAAGTTTCTGTATTTCCACACCTCCAATATAATACAGGTTTTATTCTTATTAATGCATGAGATTAAAAGAATTCTTTTTGGGCTTGCAAAGGATGACTGAAGTCTTTATGCTAAGAAAAATCAAAAGATCTTTACTCTGAATAAACGAGTTCTCTTACTCTAATAAATTCTTATACTTTTGATTACTTATTATTGTTTTGTGAGCATTGCTTTTATGAGTTATTAGCTTATTGCTATCCTTATTACTATGTGTTATTATTGTTAGTAATATTTGTATTACAGGGGTTATTTTGCTTATTTTTACTTTTTACAACTATCATAAATGCTGATGCCTTAAATTGTATATGCGGTTCTTCATTGAGAGCATTTTTATATAAAAAATAAAATTCATTGTCAGAAATAGTTTTCTCAAATATATCTAAAAAGCTAGTACATAGACATTCTAAATAATATAAAGTAGCACCTAATATAATTAGCCAATACATATCTTCAATTATAAAGAGAATTATGCCTGCAATAGTAATCAAGGTAAAAAATAAACTAAATAATGTGTTATCCACAGAAAATTTGCTTTTTATTATTTTATTTGAAGGTGATAGCAAAGTCTCCTCTTCAATATCATTCACATTATTCATCAGCTCCATTTCTTATTTTTAACCTTTTAAATCTTCAACATGAATAACATTAAAAATAGGAACATCTTTTCTCTCTGAGAGTCTTCTATTGCTATCTTCTTATTTATAAACCTTTTATTTATTTTATCCTCCAATTTTTGTTTGACTACCTATTCGAGAACTGCTACTATTAAGTTTGTTTATATTTACTTAATTTTCATAATCTTAATTTTATTTATTCTATTCCTATGCTATATGTGGTAATTAATGTTCTCTGCGCTGATCTTTTTAGTTTTTCATCTTAATATGAATCGATTGAACTTCTTTATGGGGACTGCTTTGAGATATTTCAGACTCACCCTAATTATTCTAAACATAATTATTGTTGCTTGAATAGTTTGGTTTCTCTACTTGCATACCTACCTTCCTTTAAATATTGTAGTAAATTTAAATATGCTACTATTTTAAAATAAATTAGTAACTTAAATATATCTAAGAATTTAATTTTAGTTAGATTTGCATCAATCAATCAATAAATAAATAATTCATACATGAAAACAAAATAAATAAATTATTATTTTAAGTTAGTAATCAAATTAATATTTCAAATAATTACTAATTACATAATTATAACAAATTTCTTAAAATTCACAATAAATAATTTAAATCTATTTTTTATTTTTTATATTTTTTATATCACTTACTAACTATTCACTTTTAAATCAGTTAGTTTGTTAATATTCAAATCTTCTTTTTTGCGAGGAAGTAGTTGTTGTACTAAAGGTCATAAAATATTCGCCTCCATTCTTTGCTATTCCATAATTCTTGTACTTTTTCTTCTAGTGTAGTAATTTCATCAGAATCTTCTTCACTATATATTTCAATTATTTTTTTAATGTCAACTCTTTTCTATACATTTAATCTTTTTTTAGTTTTGTCTTTTTCAATATCAATTAACAAATCATTGAAATCATTTTAAGAACTAATTTCTTCATCGAATAAATTTTGTATTTCTTAATAAAGACTACTATTTTATTTGTTATCACTACTTTCTTATCTTTAATTTTGTTCTGCTTTTTCATTCAAATCTAGTTATTAATAATTCTTCTCATCAAAATTTTTAAATTGTTAATTCATATCATCTTACCTGAATTAAATCGAATCTCTTTTAATTGCCTCTGGTTGAAGTTTAGTTTATTCTTATTCACTTTTTAATTTTCCTTAACTCATTAATGATTCTTCGATATTTATTGGGTTTTCTTATTTTTAACTGTTTTTATTTGCCTTTTGCTTTAATCTATCGTTTGAAAATTAACTATTTTGCATTATTTATTCAAATCTTTCTTATCTTTTCTCTTCTCTTTTTGCAGATAAATGAGAAGAATATGAGATATCCATTTATAACCAATTCTCCTCCCATTAATCTACAAGATTTTTTATAACATAATTCATTGGCAAAGAGTTTTTAATATCAATTAACTCTTATTCATAAGGATCTGTATATTAAAATAGATTTGGATACTCTTTATAGAAGTTAAACAAATCGCTTAAGAGAAGTTTAGCAAAATAAATCAAAGTTGAATTTGCTTCCATGGCTTCTTAATTAATAATTTACCAATTTATTTACTCTTTTAGTTATAATAGGCTATGCAAATGTATTATCAAATCATAAAACGTATTTTTATTCTCCCATTTGATCAAATAGTATTCATTTTCGATAAATTCAGAATATTTTAAAACTTCAAATGAAAGAATATGTTAATACTCATCATAATGTTCTACGAAGCAAAGAATTTTCTATAAGATTTATTTGGGTAATTTATTCAAGTAACTATCTTTTTTTTATCTTTCTTTATCTAGTAATAACTCATTCTAATCATTTTGACTATTCTATTCAGCCTCTTCAACATTAGAATTCATAGTACTTTCTTCGTTTTAGTTATTAAAAATGTTTTCCATTTGTTAAAACTTTTATTTTATTTGTTAGTAATCCAAATTCTGTTTTGATAATATCTCATACTACCTAATTATCTCTTACTTTTTTATGGAGACATCTTAAAGCTTTCTATCAATATCACTGCTTACTTCAATTAGCAGCATTTTTAAATTAATTTATATTTTCTATTCAAATATTTCAAAACATACTAAATCTAGATCTTCAGAATCATCATCTTAAGAATTTTATATTTCTTAATCTATATTAATTGATTAATTATCAGATTCTTCTGATTTGATTTAACTCATTTGGATACTTTCTTCGTTTTCAGCTTCATTATCTTTGTTGGTTTATTAATTATATTTATTGTTCTCTAAAAATATATATGAAAATTAGGCATAAAGAATCGCTAATAAAACTGCTGTAAACGCTAATCCATATAGTATTATTTAATGCTTATTTAACTGTGAGTTTTATCTTTACTTTGTCATAAAAATGCTTGAATAATATACTGGAATTATATTTTTAAAAGTAATATTTATGAAATAAATACCCTTAATTATCTATAAAAATAATCTTAATGAATAATAAATAATATATTTGAAAAGATTTATGTAGAATATTTAATGATTGTGTTAAATAAAATGAAAAAATATTAAAATAAAACTTAAAATAGATTTTCTTATTGAAAACAATTAATTTAATGATTATTTCAAAAAAATAATTTAAAAGTCTTCATAAAATTATATTTAATATAAAGCTATTATTTTTATGTAAATAATTTAACCATTAAATAATTTTCTTTTTAGTTCATAATTAAATAAATTTATTTTTTATTTTTACTTAATAAATAATTATTTTAATCTATTGTAAATCCTCCTTAAATTCCATTATTGCTATTCTCTGATAATTATTTCTGTATAAGGAAATTTTTATATTTAAATATTACAAAAAAATTTATTTATTTTATTTTAAAATAAAAATAATTACAGTATTTAATGAAGGTTTCTTCCTAAGTATTTAAGTTTATTTAATATAATCAACACTGAAAATAATTTATATCTAAAAAAGAAATTTTATTATTTATAATTAAATAAATGGCGATTATTCAATTATAATTTAGTTAAAATCAAAAGCCTAATAGCCGAAATTCTAAAAATTATAACACAATTATTTGGTTAATATTAAAAGTAATAGATACACTATCACTAATTATTAATTTAATTAATAATAACTTTTAATAACGCTATCTTTTAGATTTGAAAGATAAACATTTAATACCCATTTCAGTATGAGTGGCTAGGTATTAGAAGATAAGAGTCTTGATATTTCTATTAATTATTCTGGGAGATCTGCAAATTCAGGTCCTTCAGCTGACAAAACAATAAAAAAAGAATTAAACACAGTTTAAGTATTATAAGCAGCTGAATCAAATAATGATCTTAACAAAAGTAGTATTTCTGAGCTTTCAAAGAAAGAAAGATTAGATTTAATTAAAAAGAACAAATAGAAGTATACCTTCACAGATAAAAAAATAAGATGTTAGAGTATAAGCAATACTATTGATATAACCAGTGGTTTAAATGAATTTGATTAGTGGAAGATGAGAATTAAATTTAACTAAGATATTGCTTAGTAAAACAGTATTATAGCTTAAAATGAATAATCTCCAGAGTTTAAAAAAATAAAAAGAATTGTTACTTTGAAGAAAATATGTTATCCTAAATCTCCTACTTTTATTGCTTCGCCTGAAAATAAATCTAGAATTAATCCAAATTAAAACCAAAAAGGCCTTTTTTATGAAGAAAAGTCGCCTTCAAAGGTTTAAAATGTAGAAAGCATAAAACATTATAGATCAAATCAGATAGAAAATTAAAAAAGCGAGGACTTATCTGATGGAGAAGATAAGAACAAGCTAAACAAGTCAGAAATATTAAATGTTTATAAGCAATCAAGAGATGAATAGTCTTTACGTAATATACTCTAAGATCCTAATTAGATGAAGACAAGCTAAAAATTTTTAATGAGATAAATTTATTAACAATAGATTAGGGCAATAAAATCAATGAATAAGGTTAAAAATTAACTAGAAAAAAGTAAAAGCTTAGCTTAAAATAACTCACAAATTTTGTAACAAGAAAGCATTTCCCCTAAAAATGAAAGCATGTAATTTGATTTACAGGTTCTTTAGCCTAGACTAATGTCATCTAAAAGAAAATTGAGTAATTAGTAAGAAACAAACAGCCCAAAGAAGCAAATAAATAATAACTTATCACCATTAAATTATAATAAATATTCAATTAATCTTTAAAAAAAAATAAATTAAAGATTAAGTAATAGAAATGATTAACGCTTCTCCTAAAACAATAAAAATTTATCATCTTCGAATATTCAAGATAAAACAAACAATTAAAATTAGTTATCAAATTACAAAAATCATTCTTAAATTATATCTCATAATCCTGATTATCAACAAAAATAGCTAATTACTGATAATTCTGTTTAGTAACTAAACTCTTAAACATGTAATGCTTAGCTATAATAAATTATAAATAATTAAGAATTAAAAAACACAGGTGCTTATAATAGCCAAAAAGTAATTCATTAAATGGGAGGTTTAGTAAATAAAACAGGCTTAAGCTAAATTAAAGATATCTCAAAAGCACTTAATAATGTAAGCTAGGAATATATAAATAATATATCTTTAATTTCTCAAACTGTTTTCAGCCCTAGTAAGCAAATAATGAATAAATAAAACCTAGAAAGGTATCATACTTAGTAATTTACAGCAGCAAACAATTTACAAGTTTAAATTGATTCTAACTATGATTAATCAATAAGCGATATTAGTCCGATAGCAAGAGCAAACAAAACACAATTAACACCCCTTTAAAAATTATTACAACCTGCTACTGATTAACATAGAGTTTTCGTCCCATATAATAAATAAACTAATTTAAAAAGTTATTTATTATAAGATGATTAAGACCAGTTATAAAATTTTAGTAAATAAATAGAGTAAAATTTCGATAATAACAATTAAAGCAACTAAAATGTAAACTAAAATAACAGTTCTTTGCTTTGTAATTAGAATAGATTTTAAAAGTATTAAAAATAATTGAGCTCAATTAGAAAAAAAATAATTTATGATTAAGAATTTTATGAGGCTGAAATCAAAGCAATAGATATGAGTTACAAAAATTAATTAGAAATAAAGGGAAAATCAGAATCAATAAAAACTATAGATAAAGCTCTTCCTTTTACAAACAATTTAATTAAAGAGAAAATTAAACATCTTTTACATAATGGATCATTCATTAATCCTCTACCAAACTTTAAAAAGGTAGCTCCTTCTAACCATCATCATCAGCCATTACCAAAATAAGAATAAACAAATTTGATATAAAGGATAGCAAAATAAAATAAATCCTCTGGTAAAAATAATTCAAAATGCGATTCATAAATTGTTAATAAAAGAAACGAAGTAGGAAGAGCTCAACATTAATCCTACATTAAAAATTAAAATTTCCCAGATTAACCTTCTTTTGAAAGCAGAAGTCCTTCATTTATAAATCATTACCATACTAAGTCAAAATAATCGCAGACAATATTTTATGACAATGAAATAGAAGAATATAATTTAAACAATTATTAGTAAATGGTTTAGATCAGTGATGACAGTAAATTATTGGATATGAAAGATTAACTTTAAAAATATATAAGTCAAAGAAATCGAACTCCTCTCCATTAAAATTTTAACAAAAACAAAAAAATACTCTACTAAAATATTTAATAATAACAAAGGCTAGATACTGTTTGAGCGTATGTATGTATATGCATGCGTTACAGAGAAAATATTATATAAAACTAAACTAAGTTACTTAATTAAAGAAGAAGTGATTAATAAATAATTTATTGATTTATTAAGGAACAAATAATAGCCACTAATTATTATTAGTGTTAAATAATCTGAAATAAAATATAAAGATGAATAATTGTAGACCATAAAATATCATTTATTTAAATATTTATTCATAATTTGTATGTACTTATTTTCAATAAGATATTTTTTAAAAGGATTTTTATAAAATAGAAAATGTTTTGAGTAAAAAAACTTTTCAATAGTTAATTTATCAACTTTTAAATAAAATAGAAATTGTGATTTTATTTGATAAGCTTTTTGTTAAGTGTTATTTAAATATCTATCTATCTATCTTTTAATTTATTGATGGATAATCAGTAAATTTTTAGTTAAAATTCATTTGACTTATATCCAAATTAAATGAATACTATTTAGAAGCATTATAAAAAAAAATTGATTAATATATTTAATTGATTAATCTTTTAATATTAATTATTAAATAACCTTAATTTTACTCAGCATATTGTTTTTAAAGCGAAAGACAAAAGATATTAAAGGCTAGAGTACTTCAAAATCCAATCAGCTAATAAATAAATAGAAAATCAAGACAGGATATCAAAGAAATGTTTAATTCTATTCTTGTTAACAAAATGCTTCCAATAATTGAGGCAGGGTAGTGCTTAGATAGTGAAGAAAACAAAGAATAGATGGTTGAAGCTCTTTTATAAATAAAGCATTTTTACACATTGATAAGATATGAATCTTAAAAAGAATACCTTTTCTAGTTCATGCAAAAAATGAAACTCATAAAATCGAAAAGAGGACAAATTATTTACGAGAAAGGAGCCCAAAATGAAGGCTTGTATTTGTTGATTAAAGGGAATTTATCTATATGGGAACCAAAAACATAAGGAGAGATTAATGATGAAATAGGATTGATAACTAAGCTAGAAAAATTTGCAAAGATAGGCAATCAAAGCGATGATATTAAAAAAAAAGTTCACTAAACTCAGTTTTTATTAGATTTCATCCGCAAAAAGCAAGATGATGAGCTTTTCAAAAATTAAAAAGAACAATATTTTTTAACTGAAAACATTTGCTCTTTAAAAAGGGTCAGATATATATATCCAGGAGGTAATAATTTGGTTTAATATTTATAACATAAAAGCATTAAAACAATATGTAGATAGATAAATATTTAATAAATAAAACTTAAATTAAATACAAAAATTAATTTATATCTTAAAAATATTTTACACATTTTCTAAATCTTAAAAAGAAAAAATATTAAACTAACTGGTGATAAAGTTTATTCATTCACATTTAAATATATTTTACATACAAATTTACCAAATTTAAAAGTCTGCCAGTAGATTTTGATTTTTGGTTGTTGCCAATATTTTTAATTAAACTTAATTTATTGTATTCATCAAAAAAATAAAATAAGAGAATATTGATCTATCCTATAATATAGCAGTAACTTCATCTTCTTTATTTTACATAAAAAATTAGTTTTTTAACGTTTTACTGGTAAAAAATCATAAAAATCAATAATTTTCTAGAGTACTTTTCAGTATTTATTTATTGATTCATCATTTATTTTATTAGATTCCTTGAATGAAGACTGTGTAGTTAGTGGAGCAAAAACATAATATACTGTAATGTCTTAAGAAGATAGTTGCATACTTTATATTAGCTAGCATGATTACTTGAAGATATTTGATTTAGAAATTAGCAAACTTAATTTTATTTTGGATGTATTGAAAAAGAACTTTCCTAACTCTAAAATAGATTCATTGAGGAGACTTTCTTATAAATTTAAAGAAGAAATATTCCCTTATGGAAGCATTATCTTTCATTAGGATGATCCTGCTAATCTTTTTATGATTATAAAAAGTGGATGCGTTGAAATTAGTAAAATTTTATATCCTGACGATGATAAAAGTGATGAAAAAATTGCTCAAAAGAAACACAAAGAAAAAAGTAAAATAAAAATAAAATACTTTACAATTTATTTTAATATTTATTTATATTTGCAGAAGCTAGGTAAAAAACAGAAGAAAGCAAAGAAGAAGATAATCAGCAAAAATCCACAAACAAGAAAAAGAAGACTCAATAATATACACAAGAAGAAGAGGACGCTTATTTGGAATATCAAAGATATTATGGAAGTTCCAACGACAATCCAAACTAGGAAAAAGAAGAAGAAGAATTAGAGCAAGAGATTATGTAAAAACATTAAGATGAAGAAAACCTCTAATAAAAAAAGAAAAAGAAAAAAAGTATGAAAATTAAGCAGTAATCAGTGCTATCTCCTGTCAAATATTTAAGAAATGTTTCTTATATGAAGCTTGGAATTATTGGTGCTGGAGAAATATTAGGATTAGAGGATTATATAAAGCATAAAACTAGAAGCTTTTAAGCCCAGAGCATTGCAGCAGATACTGCTATATATTACGTGAGCAAGAAGAAGATAGATGATGTTATAGATTTAAACGAAGACTTGAATCTTAAAAAAGCTATGAAGCAAAACGGCAATGTTAAAATTGAGTGGTATTCAGGCTTGTAATCTAAAATCTCTAATATCAATTCTATTTAAGAACTCAAAAGTGAAGAAATAATTACAGCTGAATAGGTTAAGAAGCGCTTTACTGGAGAGGAGGAGATTAATTTCAAATCTGTTGTTTCAAAACTTTTCAATGAGAGGCGCTAAAAGATTGTTGAAGACATGATAAGAAAAGAGATAAATAACTGCCCTATTAAAATTCAAAATTTTCCAACTTTGAATTCACCTTAAAAAGAATAAAATAATTAAGAAATTAGTAAACAATAATAAGTAAATGATCATAAATTCAAATCTATCACCTAATCAAATACTCCAAAAGAAGGAAAAAGTGGAGAAAGCACTAAATAAAATAAGCTCAGCTTTTTCTAAGAGCTACAAGATAGCTTATATAAATAGTAAGATGTAAATTAAAATGCATTAGATATACATTAACTGAATCCCAACTAAAATATTAAGTAATAATAGCCAAAATATACTTTATAAGTTAATAGTGAAAAAAAAATACCATCTGAAGCTCTTAATTCAATAAATGAGGAATCTAAATAAGATAAATAAAATTTATAAAAATTACTAACTTCAAATAATAATTTCTAAGATAACTATGAAAAGAGATTCAGAACTATTTTAGATCAATCTTGCTCACCACCAAAGTAATAGAATAAAAAAATAAATAGCGAGAGTTAGAGGAAATCAATGAACGACTTACACTCAAAAAAAAATAACACTTCTATTTTATTAGATGATCATAATTAACAAAGCAGTTAGAAAGAAATTCAGCTTGTAAGAAGCTATCAGCTTGAAACGGCCTCTCTCAGTTTACAATAAAAAATATAATACAAAATAAAAAGCAACTCTATCATTTCTTCTAAATATAAAAAGTATGACCCTTAAAATAGTAAAAGTTTTCTAGAAGCAAGAAAAATAGTTAAAATTTTAAGATAATCATAATAATCAAAGTCGATTTAATAGGGTAATATCCTTAAATAAATGAGAGAAGAAAGATAAAGTAGCCTCAGCTAGATAGTATAAAATATAGTCAATGATAGTTAAAATACTTCCAATCTTAATAGTAATTTAATAACAGATAAGGATTAGGCTGTTTCTTGTAAAAGAATTAATTTACTTGGGAGCTTATGTCAAATTAATGACATTTCTTAGTCAATAATTAGAATTCCACCAAATGATAGTCATTCTATTATTCAAGAAGAAGAAGCTAAAGAAAAAAATTAAAAGTCAATAACTTTACCTCCTATTATTCATTCTATTTCTCCTGACCATAGAGAGCTTTAACACTTACAAAAGAAAAGCAGAAAAGGAGATAAAAATAATATATTTTATAGCCAGCAATAGCTTTCAAATATAGAAGAGAGAATAGGTTCTCTATATCATTTTTAGAGTCCTAAAAATTAAAACTCAAGATAAGTTAATCCTTCCTCATCAGCTGTTACAAATGTGCCACAAAACGATGACTCTAACTCTTGTATTACTTCAAATCCTTTAAAAACTGAAACTGTTACGTAATCAGAAAAGAAAACTAAGTAATATAGTAAATTTTTGGATGGATTAAATGACGAGCATGAGCAATCTCATTTATAAAACAGTAGTTTAAGTAATATCTAAGAGAATAATTAAAATTTAAGAAAAAGTTTGCAATTACCTTAAATTAATCATAATAATAATTAATCATTTATCTAAAGTATGAAATTAAATATTTCACCACAAATTAGTTTTTCTGTGAAGATGTCTAGAAAGAATATAAATAGAAAATATAATGATATTTATTAATCAAACTAAAATATTCCGAAATCAAAAACTGAAAGATAAATCACAATAAGTGACTCATAAAGTTAATAATCATTGATCACTGTAAATAAGTTAGATATAGCAGAAGAGGTAAAGGAAAAGGTCTAGAATAGACTAAAAAGATAAAGTGATGTTCTTTAAGTAAAAAGTAATAACAAAAAAAACAGTATTTTAAGTTAAAGATTTCCATCATTAGGAAAACTTAGTAATAATAGCTACTAATTAAATATTCAAAATTAAATAATTCCTTAAACAACTAAAACAAATAAAATTAAATATCAATTTAGCTAAGAAAAATAGATAGCTTTTTGATTTTATTTAATTATTTTATTATATATTTATGTGTTTAATATAATTTTTTGATTTTTAAAATTAATATAAAATTCTATTAAGCCCATTACTAATATAATAAAGAGATCATATAACAAAATATAATTTTAATCTTTTTCTTCTTTTTTACAATTTACAGTTTATATTTTTAAATTAAATTTTACTTTTAATTTACAACATCAAAGTACAGAAGATAATATTCTTTAATCTATAACACTTAAGTTGCTATTTTTATGGCAATTTTAAAAAAACTGTTTAATATACTCAACTTATTTTTATTAAGATAATGAAATTGCTAATTATTCTTCAAAGTAGTTTTCTTAACAATCTTTTATTTTTAAAAGGTTTTAATAATCTATAAGGTTTAAATTTAGAGAAATTATTTTACTATTTTAAGCATTGTAATTAGTTGATTTTGAAAGCTAAAAGGACTCTGAACAACTGACTAATTTAAGAGTAGCAAACTGTTCTTTACTTAAAATCATCATGACTGCCTTTTACAAAAACAAGATATCTTCATACAGCATTAAGAAATCTATATTCTTATCTATCATCTCTTCAATGATTTTCTTTTTTTAAGGATTTAAACCTAATTGAGATTAGTATTCTACTCTTCGTCTAATCCTTATAAAATTAAAAAAAGAAATGAACTAATTTTACTAAAATATAAATATTATTTTAATAATTCAAATTATTAATTATTTGAAGATAATTTATTTAATCTTAGAAGTTTAAAAAATATTTTTTTTTTACTTAAATTTGAACAAAATATTCTCAATTTTCTTATTTAAAGATTTATTACTAAGGCTTGATAATAGTTAACTAATTTAACTTAAGTTTTTGAGGGTTTTTCTGTAAGATTAATCATTAATCACATATTTTTCATTGTATTATGTTTTAAATGAGCCATTATTTTAAGATTTTAACTAGTTTATATGTTAAGGTTGCTAAATTGAAGAATTTTATTGATCAGAATTTACTCTTAAAAGTCTTAACTTTTTTTTTAGAGATTTACTTTCATCAACTTTTATCTTTTCATTAATTTATTATGCCTACTCATTTTTTTTTTTATTAATGATCTTTTTTTAGTTATTATTTTTAAATTCATGCTAGGGATTTTCCTATAATTTATCCATAATTATATTATTTTCTAATTTTTAAGTTTCTGAATCTTTAACCTGATCTTCTTTTATTGTATAAAAATTATTATGCTTAAGAATATTTTCACCAGATTTAATTTCAAATGTTGGGATAAAGACAGAATCTAATATATCATCTTCTTCAATATCATGCTCAGCAACTTTTTAATTGATTTCATTGATATTTAATCTGTCAAATTTAAAAATATTATTTTATTTTAATATCTTTTTATATGTACCTTGAAAGTAATTTTTTAGAGTAAGTAAAAATAATTCTTATCTAATTGTTCCAAAAGCTAATCTTTTGCATATAAATCCTAAGCACATTAGTAAGGCTAGCGCACTATTGCATAGTACTACAACATCTGCAAAAGTAGGATACTAAATTTAAGTGTAAAAGACTGTTTCATCTACGTCCAAAAAGAATTGGGTAAAATACTTCATATTCATACTCTATTAAATATACTCAGTTTAATAAGATATTGTATTCATAATATAGGACATAGGCGATTCAAATGTATTTTCATATTGCATCAAAAAACCTTACTTCACTTTTGTAATTTATTATTGAGTTTTGAACTCGGTAAAAATAACTTGTTATGTAGACATTAAAATATTCTGGCTTTTATATTATTGCTCAAATTAATTCGATGTAATATTAAATTATTTTATTGATAATTTTACTCGTTAAACATTATTCAAATTATTAATAAATTAATCTATTTCAGTTGGACTTGCACAATTATTAGGAATAAAAGTTTTTCTACTATCAATATCTTAACATCTATAAGCTGAAATTCTTATCATACTTTTATAATAGACAGTATTATTATCACTCATTAATTGTAATGTTTAGTTAGAGGAAATTTTTGAAAAATCGATGCATTTATATCCAATTAGTTAAGGATTGTCACAGTCTATTATTTCTAAATTTTATTCTATACCTTAGTTAACAAATTATGCGAAAGGAACTATATATGTTTTATTATTCTATTTCTACAAAGTTTCTAAATTTAGATCACCTTAGAAGAATGAAAATGAGATTAAATCATTTTTCAATTAAATTTGAATTGAGTTGCTTACAAAACTTTGAGTTCTAAATTTTGGATCAATTTAATTGTTCAAATATAATTACAATAAAGTTATAAAGTAAAATAAAACGAAAGTAATTATTGAAACAGAGACACAGGCTCCAATAAATGTTCCTTTCATATGTCGCCTTTTTCCTAGATTGAATTCAAATTTCTATGAAAATAGATCAAAATATTAAATGAAATTTAAACCCATTTTATTACTTACTTCTACTTTTAAAAAAATAAATTAAATCAACTTTTGTTTTTTTCTTTAAAAGTCAAAATTAAATAATCTCTTTGTCTTAATTTGCATGAACATATTTTATTTAAAAGCATTTTTATAATAATAAATGTGAATTTATTTTTTTTTTTAAATTGATGAAATAGATAGTAATTTATTTTATTAAATTCCAAGTAATTTTTAAATATGATAAATAAATTCAATTATAATTAATTCATTTAAATTATTAATACAATATAATTAAGGCAATTCTTAGGCTCCTCATACAATGATATCTTGTATATTGCCAAATAAAATGATAGCTATACTCGAATAGAAAATAAATATTTAGTAGAATAATAAATATTATTTTATAAATTAAAAGAAAATTCAAAAATAGGTTTTGAATATGAATAAACAAAAAAATAAAAATGCTTAATTAAAGATTTAATTTTTTAATTAACAAATCTAAATTTTTATATCAAACATTTGATCTTAAGTTAAAAACATTTTTTATTCTTTTTATAAGTAAAAAAAAGTTAAATGTAATTCTTCACCAAAAAATGTAATTTGATTAAGCATTTTTTATTTTTTTCACCATTACTGATTACATGATAAATTAATTTAAAAGCTTACAAGCATACATAAAATAGATAATATATAAATCATACATCATAAATGAAAATATATATTAATATTTCTTTTTTATCACATTTATTTATATATTTTAATCAATTTTCTTCTTTTCTAGAATTGTTTAAAATTTTAATCTACAATATCAAATTAAAGAAGATAATATTCTTTAATCTACAACACTTAAGCAGCTATTTTCATGACAATTTTTAAAAAATTATTTAATATATTCAAATTATTTTTCTTAAGATAATGAAATAGCTAATTATTCCTCAAAGTAATTTACTTAATAGTCTTTTATTATTAAAATTTTTTAATGTTTGATTAATTTTAAATTTAATAAAATTTATTTACTACTTTAACAATTGAAAATAGAAGATTTTTAAAGTTAAAATGACTCTGAACAACTTACTAGTTTTATAGCAGCAAATTGTTCTTTACTTAAAATCATCATGACTGCCTTTTACAAAAACAAGATTTCTTCATAAAGCATTAAGAAATCTATATTCTTATCAATCTACTCTTCAATGATCTTTTTTGTTGAAGGATTTAATCCTAATTGAGATTAATATTCTGCTCTTCGTCTAATCCTTTATAAATTAAAAAAATATACTAAGTAATTTTATTTAAATTAAAAAATAATTATTTAAAATTTAAAATTATTAACATTTTCAAGAAAATTTTAATATTCTTAGTTTAAAAATATTATATTTTTACTTAAATTTGAACAAAATATTTTCAATTTTCTTATTTAAAGATTTATTACTAAGGCTTGACAACAGTTAATTAATTTAACTTAAGTTTTTGAGGGTTTTACTTAAAGATTAATCATTAATCACATTTTTCCCCTTATATTATGTTTTAAATTAGCTATTATTTTAAGATTTTAACTAGTTATTATGTTAAGGTTTCTAAGATGAAGAATTTTATTGATCAGAATTTACTCTTAAAAGTCTTAAATTTTTTTTTAGAGATTTACTTTCATCAACTTTTATCTTTTCATTAATTTATTATGTTTTCTCATTTTTTTTTTAATTAATCATTTTTTTTTAGTTATTATTTTTAAATTCATGCTAGGTATTTTCCTATAATTTATCCATAATTATATTATTTTCTAATTTTTAAGTTTCTGAATCTTTAACCTGATCTTCTTTGATTGTATAAAAATTATTATGCTTAAGAATATTTTCACCAGATTTAATATCAAATGTTGGGATAAAGACAGAATCTAATATGTCATCTTCTTCAATATCATGCTCGCTAACTTTTTAATTGATTTTACTGATATTTAATCTGTCAAATTTAAAAATATTATTTTATTTTAATATTTTTTTATATGTGCCTTAAAAGTAATTTTTTAGAGTAACTAAAAATAATTCTTATCTTATTGTTTCAAAAGCTAATCTTTTGCATATAAATCCTAAGCACATTAGTAAGGCTAGCGCACTATTGCATAATACTATAACATCTGCAAAAGTAGGATACTAAATTTAAGTGTAAAAGACTGTTTCATCTACATCCAAAAAGAATTAGGCAAAATACTTCATATTCATACTCTTTTAAATAGCTTCAGTCTAATAAGCTAATGTATTCAAAATATAGGATACAGGAGATTCAAATGTATTCTGCTATTAAATCAAAAAACCTTACTTCACTTTTGTAATTTATTATTGAATTTTGAATTCTGTAAAAATAACTTGTTATGTTGACATAAAAATATATTGGCTTTTATATTATTGTTCAAATTAATTCGATGTAATATTAAATTATTTTATTGATAATTTTACTCGTAGAAGATTATTCAAATTATTAATAAATTAATCAATTTCAGTTGGACTTGCACAATTATCAGGAATAAAAGTTTTTCTACTATCAGTATCTTAGCATCTATAAGCTGAAATTCTTATTGCATTTGAATAAGAGGTTGTATTATTTTCATTAGTTAATTATAATGTTAAGTTAGAAGAAATATTTGAAAAATTGATGCATTTATATCCAATTAGTTAAGGACTATCACAGTCTATTATTTCTAAATTATATTCTTTGCCTTAGTTAATAAAGTAAGCGAAAGGAACTATATATGTTTTATTATTCTATTTCTACAAAGTTTCTAAATTTAGATCACCTTAGAAGAATTAAAATGAGATTAAATCATTTTTCAATTAAATTTGAATTGAGTTGCTTACAAAACTTTGAGTTCTAAATTTTGGATCAATTTAATTGTTCAAATATAATTACAATAAAGTTATAAAGTAATATAAAACGAAAGTAATTATTGAAACAGAGACACAAGCTCCAATAAATGTTCCTTTCATATGTCGCCTTTTACCTAGATTGAATTCAAATTTCTATGAAAATAGATCAAAATATTAAATGAAATTTAAACCCATTTTATTACTTACTTCTACTTTGAAAAAAAAAAATAATTAAATTTGTTTTTTTTTCTTTAAAAGAATTTCAAAATTATGTAATCTCATTATCTTAATTTATATGATCATATTTTATTTAAAAGCATTTTTATAATAATAAATGTGAATTTATTTTTTGTTTTTTTTAAATTCATGAAATTGATAGTAATTTATTTTATTTATCCCAAGTAATTTTTTAATTATGATAAATAAATTCAATTATAATTAATTCAAATAAATTTTAAAAATAATATAGTAAGGGATAAACTTTCACTCCTCATACAATGATATCCTATATTTTTACCAAATGTAAAATCAAAGAATTTTAATTTTTTGCAAAATTTGAAAAGGGAACCTCCCTTTTCAAATTAACCATTTAATTTTTATTTTTGATCTATCAAAAAAAATCAAGGTTCCTTTTTTTTATTTTTGATTAATAGAATAATTCCAGAATATTTTTTAATCAATTATATATTTTTACTTTTTCATTTATATTTCTTTAAGTATTAAATGGATGGGTTTGTAAAAAAGGCGTGGGATTTAAGTATAATGAGCTGTCAGTCAGGTATTTTCAAAATAATAAATTACTATAACATATTTATATTAATTTTAAATAATTGAATTCAAAAGAACAATTATAAAATCTTTTCAATATTCTAAATAAATTTACAAAGGAGATTGATTATTGATTTATTAATAAACAAACAAGAATAAGTATGAAAATAATATTATATAATTGATATTTATTTTGATCATTTAATGTTTAGAGATTGAATATTTGTCTAATAAACTTATTATACTTAGGCTTACTATTAATCCAAATCTTTTTCAGAAAAAATAAAAAATTCTTTATCGTTTTCAAAATCAGACATTGTATCTGATTCATCTATTTTATTTAATCTCGGAGATTTTAATGTCTTAAAACTAGAAAATCTTTAATCAACTAAAGAAGGTTTACTTTATTGTGATAAAATTAAATTTTCTTATTTTTTATCTTCAAGTGCTTAATCATCTTAAAATTCTTAACTAGCTGGTTTATTTAATAAAACTTGCTAAATTTATAATTAATTATTAGAAGGAACTGAACTTAACTTTAAAATATTTTAATTTGGTGAGTTTTAGTTAAAGGCTATGCTGTGATGAGGCTGTATGTTAAAATTAAGTATTCTATTTAAAGATATTATTTATTTCCCCCTTTTAACAAATCTATTAGAGCTATTGAATATGTTTGATTAAGAAGCTCTTTATGCATTTTTTTACTTTAACTAATAATTAGGTGATTGTTGTTATTATTACTGTTGCTACTATTATTATTATTATTATTAATTAAACTTACTTTTGTATTTTAAGAAAAAAGATTATTGTTAAGGTTAACTTGAAAGAGATATCTAATTTTCTAATCTATAAGTTTAGTTTCCACTATTTTAGTTTGATTAGCTTATTTATGGTGAAAAAAAAGATATATTTTAATTTGAAATACTATTCTTTTAAGGCGATAAAGGATTTTCGTTTTAGGTGAAAGAACTAAAAAACTAAGATGAGTAAAAGAAATATTTTTCACAAAATTAAACAAAAATTTGCAGTTTTTTAGCTAAATTTGGAAATTTTAGAACGAAAGTAGTACCTTATGAAAGTAGCTTGCTTAATCCATTAATTATTATTTTAAGAATAATATAAGACATTGTTAATGAATTTATAAATATAATTGTACTCAAAGCAAAAACTTTTATGACTATATTAATATTTTCTTAAATAACTAAAACCACTAAGACTATTGTAACAATACAGGATATGGTGGCATAGAGTTCAATAAAATTCTCAATTTATTCTTTAAATGGCTTATTTTTTATAAGTAAGTATGTGTAAATGATTAAAATTACTATCATCAAAGAAGCTTTTGCATTATACTAAGAGTTAAAAATAGAAAGAACAATTATAATGATTAACTTTTCGTACATTTTCACAAACTCCCAGTAATAGTTTTAGATAGTGTATTCATGGTAAAATAAATCCCATTTCAACCTGAAATGTATTTTATCTAGGATTTTTTAGTTTTTACGAAATAGCCAAAATATTTTAAAAGGTATTAACAGTAACAAAATAAAAACAGAAGGTAGTAAAAGATAAGTAATATAAGCTATGTGCTAAGAAGTGTAGCAATACTCACTTAAATTTGATAGAATATATGATTAGTCTCCAATTTGTATACAGCTCATTAAGTTTATGCCTTATTATACCAATCCAGGCTACAGATAAATAAATAAGAATACAGCTCCAGAGATCAAATAATTTTTTTAGAACCTTTATCTTTTTAATTTTTGATATAAAAAAGCTATAGCGATAACTAAACAATAAAACCAAATAGGAACTGTTAGTGATAAAATATATTTATAAAAGTGGTATGGAATACTTCTAGAATAATTTTTCAACAAACAATCCATACTTTCTATAGATACTTTAATAGGATTGCCAAAAGAATTGAGTACTTAAGGAAAGAACGATGGAATACTAATATTGAAGTTACTCAACGACCCTAAAATTTACAAGTAAGAAGCAATTATTTTGAAATAAGAACTTTATGAGTTAGAATTTTGTGCATATCTCGTTAAAAACTCATTCTCAAACTAATCTTAATCTTCACCCTTTTTTAAGCTCTATCTCTTTCTGAATTTCCATAAAATACTCTAGGCTACCTATTATAAGTTAAGTAAAAATATTCAGATTAAATGTTAAGTTGATATTTATTAAATATATAGGGTAATTATTTTAAATGCAGAGGCTTACAAATTAGGTTTAAAAAAAAAGTATTCTTAAAAATTTTTACTGCTTTTAACTAATAAAAACGCTGAATTATACTCAGCATATTTTGTAGTCACTGGTTATATAAAATTCAAATCATTTTTTTATGCTATAAACATCATATAAATTAAAAAAATAATTTACTCTTTTGTATATGAAAATTGCATTAGAATGCATCGAAACTACAGCTAGTATTACTGTAAAGATAATTAACAGTACCAAGAATATATAGCTTAGAATCATTTAATTGCATTTTACACAACTATATTAGCCTTATTTAGCATAATTATCTGACCAATAATCTGAAAAAAGATCACATTCTTAGCATAGTGCTCCAATATAACCTTCCTTGCAGAGATTATTTCCTACAGAATCTCCACCTATACAGCTTTGAAAGTTATTATCACATGATAATATAGTATAAGTGTCAAATTACCTTCTCCAATAGCCTTCCTAAACAATAATATTTTGATCCTACTTACAAGTAGCTCCCATAGGACACTCTTAGCAAATTTATTAATTGTATGCAAAAGTTAAATTTGGGCATTTATTGCACTAAATAACACTTTAAGATAATCCGACTGATGGCATATTGTAAGGTTAAGAAATAGTTTCAAATGAGGTGCAGTTTCTATTATAAACCTAAGCTATATATTGATAAGACTATTGAATAATATTATTTTAATAATTTGGTATCTTAATCATACTGAAATTAAATATAAGATCAAAATCAGACTCTGGGATTGACCATAAATTTAAATCTATATATAAATAGTTTCCTGTCTAGTTATAAAAGATATTAGTGGATCCTAAAAGGATGTAAGTATTATTTAAATCAGTAGTTGAGTCTAATTATTGTGGGTACTGTTAAATATTTACTTGTGTTTATGAAAATAACTTATTTACATCTAAGAGGGAAAGTATAACTTCTTTTTCACTTTCAACTGATTCAGTAATTGAGTCATAATAATATAATTTAAACATTAATGTCGGTATTTCTTAACCACTTGCATGAAGTAACTAAAGTCTTGTATTGTTTGTTCTCAAATAATTTTTATATTGAGGTGAATTAGATAGAAGGGAATTTTATAAGTCTGGGTAAGGTATTAATTTAATTGCTCTTGGCTGAGAAAAAATAATGTTTCCCATTTAAGCTATGTTATCTATAAAATAGTTAGATTGATTTTATATTGATGGCATAAAATTATTATAAAAAATGCAGGCTGCAATTTTGGCTGAGTTATGTTAAAAAACAGAGTTAGTTATGTTCAATTTAATAGATTATATAGCATTGTTAGTTGGAGAATTTTCAAAAGCTATTGCTCCTCCAAAGTCTTGAGCTGAGTTGTTTTAAAAAGTAGCATTATTGATTACTAAATTCATATTATTGTTTATTTGAGTGTTAAAGTTTGAATAAACAAACAGAGCTCCTCCGGTTTAAGAGCTAATTAAATTTTAGAAAAGTACATTTTTAATTGTGTTTATTCCCTTCATATTGACCAGAGATAAACCAGTGCCATTTCCAATCTAGTAACCGTAGTTTTTAAAAATGCTATCTGAAATCGTTATTTGAGATTAAAAAGCTTGTAAAATCCTTCCTTAGCACATATTAGATAAAGTCTTATTAGTTTCTGCCTATAAAGTATCAGAGCAAAAAACAGCTCCTTTTGCTATTGTTATATTTTAAACATTTTAGAAGTTTAAAAGAGAATTCCAAATATTTTAAAAAGGTAAGCCAATGTTAACATTCAAAGAGCTATCATAAATTTAATTAGAGTTATTAGCAGTAAAGTTAGCTAGTTCGTATTATGGAGCATCTTGAATATACATAATGCCACCTTGAGCATTAATATTGAGATCTGTTAAAGTAATATTCTATCCAAAAAATGATGATTAAGATACTAAGCTTATGAGTACAGGGTGAATAATCGAAGCTTCTTGGAGAGTATGAGTTAAATCATTAACTCGAGGTTCTTCAATATTTATATTGTAAAGTGTGCAAATTGAATTAGAAAAAATATTAAAAATAGAAGAATATATTTAAACAATACTATAAATCTGCAAGGCTTTAAATAATACTATATAAGATGTAACATTTTAGATAAAGCGTTTAACTTTTATACCATTTGCTAAAATTATAGACTAACCTACAGAAAAGAAATAAGAAGGCACTTGGAGATCACTTACACCTGAGATATTTTCTAAAGTTAAATTTGAAAGTTGAATTTAGTTATTATATTGATTATTGTTTTAATTTGCATCTATTTATATAGCAGCTTTGATACTTCCTTTATAATTTTAAGAGTAAAAACTGTATAAATTTGAAAAATATGATGACTAAATGTTTAAGTTAAGTTAAGACTGTGACCCTTACAAATAAATAGCACTGCCAGAAGAGAAAGATACCAAATTAATGAAGTTTGTATTCATGAAAGTTATATTTAAATTCATATCAGAAGGAGTAATGTAGACTGCTCCATACTATGTAACACAATCTGTAAAGGTAGTGTTAGTTATATTCAAAAAACTTGTTTTTGTTTTCAAGAAACCTCCATTAACTTAGATGTCAGAAGATAAAGTTTATAAGTTTATATTACTATAAATATTGTTTGAAAAAATACTAGAAGAAATAGCTACAATTATACCATTAAGAATTAAGGCTCCGTTAATACTATTAGAGTATGTGTCATTAAACGTATTTCTAGACATTGTTATATTGCTTACTAAGCTTTATGAGGCTATGCAACTACTTGAGAGAGTTTAGCTGCTCGTACTAAAAGCTACGATGATTTGAGAGAATGTGTTATCATTAAGAATAATATTAGAATTTGATTAGCCATTAGAAATATAAATTGTATTCACTTAAATATAATATAGACTTGATGTTAAATTAATATTTTAGAATGTATTATTTGAGATGTTAATCGTCTAAGTATTAAATTCCACTAAATCCAAGTAAATAGCAATACAGTTCAAGAAGTTTGTATTAATTAAACTTACTTTAGAAATAGAAATCTAAGATGATTCTTAAATATATATCAAACTATTTGTTCTATTTAGGGCGGATATGCTCTTATTTGTGTTTATAAAGTTTAGGTTATTTAAGTTTATGTTATATATTTGTGTTAAGGAAACAAAACCGCAAAGCACCTCATTCAAGATACTTGATTAGGTCAATTAAAATTACTAGATGTAATTTACTTAAATGTAAGAACATTATATAGTTTACCTCTCTTGAACATATTATAACTGCTTACTGTTATTTTAAGATTAAATATTTCCACTCCAAGAAGGTGGAACAGAAATATTTTGCAGTTAATTGTTTTAAATTTGTATTGCTTAAAAGTTGGCTTAAACAATTAATTGATATTAATTTTACTAATTTAAAGTATATTCATATAAAATATTTTATAGAATTAATCCATTAATGAATTTGTTATTCATAAAGTACAACTGATTTATTTAAATCAGACTATTATTATTAATATTATTTATCAGTATCATCTAATCTTCTGATTATCCTGAGATAAAATTAGTATTATAACAAAAACTATTGCTAGAAATATTTAAATTTTGTATATTAAAATTATGAGTAAAAGTAAAACCTTAGTATGCATTATTGAGAGAACTTTATTGCTAGAGATAGTTTTAGTAGTGAGCATATGAGCAAAAAGTATTATTTAAAATTAAGTTATTAATAATTTGAGAATTCAGATTGAATACTGAATTGAATATTACCGAATTTTCTATAAAACTATTAGATATAGAAATATTAGAAATCAATGCATTTTAAGAATTAGAAATAGAAAATAAAGGAGAAGTGCTTGTTATATTTTATGAATCTATTTGATAATTTGTGATTGTTACTTATTGGCAACTTTAAGTTGTTATTAAGTTTTTACTAATTATATTTTGTCCTTGTGGTATTAAATGCAAAAATATTGAATTGATGTTGACCTAATTTGCACTTTCTATGTTTAAACTAACAAAATTTTGGATAGTTGAATATTAGTCAATTAAAAACTAAATATTATTTATTTGCAAAAATTTCCAGGATAAGATATTAATTGTTTCTTCATAAACAATTACAACAGAAGGTTTATTTGGTATTGTTTATAAAGGAGTAATAATCAAGCAAGCAGTTTATATATTCCAACTAAAAAACTATTTTATGAGAGGATTTTATTTAGAATTGTCTATATTTAGATTAATATTAGCCATGAAATTGCTCTTCCTTAAAGAAAGATCTATCATTTGAATAAAGTTTTATACAAAGTAGAGTCCTTCCAAAATTTAAGCTTAATTTGAATAAGGTGATATTTAGGAACCTATCCCATAAGCCAAAGGATAACCAATATTATTCTATAAAATTAATTGCTGTTTTTATTAGAATAAATTATTTTGAGGATTAAAAGAATAATATATATTAAAATCGCACGAAGATATATTATTAAAATAGAACTAGGGATCAATAGAACTTAATGCATATTAAGTTTCCTGATTAGCCATGTATAATGTCTAAGTAGAAACTTGATAATCCATACCTATTAAAGCAGAAGTTGAAGTAGAATCATAAAACTAACCTAAAATAGGAGAGTCTTTTGAGTTTAAAAGAATATGTGTAAAATTGTAAAATTGTATAACGGCTTAGGAGTTCTAGTTAATAAGTGCAAATAGTATTTATTATTAAACTAGAACATTTTATACATTCATGCTTTATAGGATGGAAAAAGAGTTTTATAAATTTGTAGAATCTACTATTACCAATTAGTTTTTGCAATTAATAATAACATAAGGTATATTATGGTTTAAATATAATATCAACTAGGAAGTTGCCTAACAAGAAGAAATTATAGTTTGTCTTTTGTATTAAAGTGTGTCTAAAGACCAAATATTTAATTAACTTTAACCATTTATACAAATTAGCTCTGTTGTTGATTAAGATACATCGCAAATTTACTTAAATTATTGCTAAATTGCAGTCTGATAATTAAACTATTACTATTGCTTTAACAAAAATAGATTTTAAAATTAAAATTATTAATTAATTGTATAACATTCGATATTGTGTTAAGTAAAGTATTGCTACAAATTTGTAATTAAATCTTGATTGAAATATCCTTTTTATATGTATTGTTAAGCTGGAATATTATAAGAAAGACAATAGTATAACAAATTATTGTAATTATAGCTTATTGTTAAACTCCAACTCAAATAAATTTTTTAACTTGGGTTGCTCATAGGTTATGATAAATCAACAGAAATCAAATTATTATGCACATAGTCGTATATATAAGCGCCTTAGTTAGTTAGCCAGCTACTCACAAATGCACTACCCATACCTGTAATATCAAACCTTTTTGGAAAAACAAACTATTCATCTTGATTAACTGCCTTAACGTTTGAGCTGGAATTTTAATTGGGGCTTATAGATCTAATTCTTTGAACACAATTTAAGCACCTTTCATAAAACCTGTCTGGAATTAAAGTTTATTTAGTTAGAAGATTAGCACTTTAGTAAATTCTGAAACCAATCTAATTATTATCAGCTACTAAGATATTTCCATCATTCAAAATATAATATGCCTGAGCTATTTCTGTGTTACTTTTATTTATAATAATAGGAATTCTGCAATAATTATCTATTGAACCATCTAAATCAAAATCACATTGATTGCTTAACTTATTTTCTAAGAAGGGAAATAATAAATGAGTATCAAAAGAAAATCCATATGCTCTCTAGCTAGATGAAATAAAAGTTGATGCTTGTAAGATGTAATTGTTATCGTTTAAAGAAATTTAACTTGGTTGCTAATTGTTATTGAAATTATTCTAATTTTAATATGTATAAAATGGATATGCTTCTATAATTTAAATAGTAGAAGTATTAGAAATAAATTAGAGTAAATATATATCTCTATAACTGTATTAAATATTTTATTTTATTTATGCCTAACCTGTAAAAAGTCCTATATATGTTTAACCGTCATATCCTATAAAATTGTTCATCTTTAACGGAATATATCTTATCAGATTTAATGAAAGAATCTCTTATAGAGTAATAGATTAATCTACATTTTATTATATCTGCCATAGGTAGAGTTGCGAAGTTCCATATGAAACTAATAAATAATTACTATTTGGTATTTCTACAATACATGCAATTTGTAAGCTATCTCCTTTAATCTTTGATGTAATTAGATTACCAGTAGCTAAATCATAAAGATCTATGCGTCCTATACCAACTTAACTTAGTAATTTATAGTCTTTAAGTTGATGGTCATGACTCATAAAAGAATTAACTGTAGAAGACGTAGAAGTTGAAAATTATTTTCCGATTATTTACCCTGTACTCAAGCTAAAATAATAAGAAATAAAATTGTAAGTTACTAAAATAGCTTGGGAGTCATCTAGAGAGGATTTTTGAATGGCTGCTATATTAGTAATGTCAAGAGTGTAAAAATTTTAGACATTAAAGGTTTACATATTTATAATGTTCAAAAATCCTTAATATGAAAACAATTAATTTAAGCTTTATGAGAAGATAACTTATTGTGTAGAAGTAAGTGTTGTAATAAGTTGAATACATGAATTTGTAGACATTTCGAATAAGCCAAACTATACCATAGATTATTGTTGTAAGCTTTAAGATTAAGCGAGAATCATATTTGTCCCATCAATAGGTATCACATCTTAGTAAATGGAGTTAGCAGTATTTGATAGATATTTATATACTCTAGGACATTCATAACATAAGCTCATTTAAGCAAAAAATACTAAGCTGACAAAACATTTTAATTTGTTTAAGGTAATCTAAATAAGTTGCATGATAATGTAAATAATTATTATTATTTATTTACAAAAGATAGCGCTACGAAGTACGTTTTAGTAACTAATAAACTTAAATTTATTTGGCTTTTTTTAAATGATTTACTTTTTAATCACTTTTTTTATTTTTTATTTTTTTAGAAAGATAACAAACTATTAGTTAATTTATTAATAAAAAAATCCTTAGAAATATAAAAAATTTATCTGTTTTCCTTTTGAAACCAAAATATGAAATTGCTTGATCTTTAAAAATTCAATGATTACGTATATATAATAACTACTGGAAAAAAAAATATTTTGAAAATTAGTTAGTATTACAATTATTTACAGCTAATTTTCCTAATTTTAAATTAAATAAATGTTTAATTATTTCTAAAAATACACAATTTTTTTTTAATAACGAATTATTAGACTAAAAAATACTATCTTTTACTTTTCCAGATTATTTCTTTATTTATATTTGATAAATTATACTTTAGAAAATAATATTTCACCAATGAATGATAAATATTTAAAATATAAAAAAGATTTATTTTGACCATCCCAGTTCTGTGTTTCAGAAATTTCTCTCAATATTTTAAAGTTGTTTTTAAAAAATAGATCCAATCAAAAAATAATTATTTTATTAAAATTAAAATTGAGGTGAATTAGAATTTATTGAGAGTTTTTAATTTACATTTTGTCTCATTTTATAATTTTTATGCTAAATAAATTATCAATTAAATAAAAAATAATTTTAGCAAATTTAAAAAATTTATTTTTCTTGTTTAATAATTTGGAATTAATGACCTTTTAAACTAAAGAATATATAATTTATGATTTTATTTTTAGTTGATATCCAACTGATCATCAGCTTATGAAACTATAAGTCAATATTCTCTAATTTTAACAAACTAACAAATACAAAAATAATAATAGTTTTAATATGAGATTAATTAATTATATATAATAAGTTCATAAAGTTGACAAATTCTGAATGAATTAAAATTAATTTATTCTTATTAATATTTTACATATCATTAATATTATCAAAAATTAAATAATTAATTACAAATTAAAATATTCGTAAACAATAAACATTCACAACTTTAGTTACTATTTTTTAATTATTTTAAAGAGGGTTATAGATTTATAAATTCAGTTAAAAAGACTCAAAATAATTTCTTATTAGAATTGACTAAAAATTTTAACTAATATAAAAAACAAATAGTTAAAGTTTTATAATATTATTAATTAATTAAGTGTGAAAGTATTTTAATATTAATTTAGCTTAATATAAACAATTCTGAAATATTTTATTTAAATTTAATTTCATTCTTACATTGAAGAAATATCTTAGTTGCTAGTAAAAACTGACAAATTGCTTGATATTTATGATGTTTGAAGATTGGAAGTGTTTTGAATGATATTATTTATAGTAGATACCTTTTTTATTTTGGCCATTTCTTGGTTAAAATTTACTCCACTTTTTTATTTTCGTTTGAAATATCTTTGCTTCATATTTTCTAAGGTACTTTATAAACTTTGTTAATATTATGAATTAAGTGATAAAGAAAAATTCTTTTTTTAATATGAAGAAATAATGTTGTTTTAGCTAGATTAAACATTTTAGTTTCTTGCCAAAAATTATGAAACAGGAACAGCTTTGTTTAATTTTTTTTCATTTACATCCACCATTTCTAAGTTGCAAGAATCTATAGAACTGGCTGAAACAATTTTATTTTCTTTTTTATTTTTGTAAGAGGACTTTCCAAAACTATTGAATTCTTCAATACATTCATCCCTATTGAAGAATCCTATCTTTGATTTATCTTAAGATAAGCTATTAAATTAATTATTAATATTTTCTGAAATATTATTTGAGTCTTATTAGGTTTTATTTTTATAGGGGTAATTATATTAATTGATTGAGCTATCTTAAACAACTAACACTTTTTTTTGTTTATTTTCTTAAAAGTTTTCTTTCTCAGGTTTATTTGCATTTAAGCTTAAATTTTTTTATGAATTATTAGCTGACTACTCACCTCTCCATCCGTTTTGCAATTTTTCACTTAGATAATTTAAAAATTTAGCAATTTAAGGACATTTTATAAGAATCATTGGTTTTTTTTGTTTGAATAGTTCATATTGCTCTACATAAATTTTAGTGCTAATAAAAAGGACAAACAGAGCATTGATAGCAATAATAAATGAAATCGTGATAAAATACTAGTAATTTTATATCTATTTTTGAATAGATATAGAAATTAAAATAATTGTAAGGAGTATTGTAAAAGATGATAAAAACTCCATACTGTTATCTTTTTTAAGCATAAATGGTTTCATCTTATACAGATAAAGCATATATAAAATTAAAATGATGATGAGAACTCCAAGTTAAATATTTTAAGCTTAATTAAATAAAGAGATGCTAATAATGATAAATAACTTTTCACTTATTTTTATAAATTCCCAATAAAAGCAATCATCTTTATATTCATGATATAGTATTCCCCATCTTAGTTGGTAACGTATTTTTCTCAATTACTATTTATTTCTTATTAAGTTTATCAATAAGCAGATAGGAAATAGTAGTGATAGTATGATAAATGAAGGATATACTAATCCAAATTCAAATCTATGATTGTCAGAATTGCATTAATAATTTACATTTGCAAGCAAGTATTTTTCACCTGCTATATTTCTACAGGCTATTAAATTTATTGCTTCGTAAACTAAATCTCCCTGCAAAAAAATGTACAAAAATAAAAAAGTTGTATAAAAATAATGAGTCTAAAATTTATATTTGTGTACACAATTCCAGATGAAAAGTAAAGTAATTATTGCTGTGAATACGATGAAGGGAAAGATAAGTTTTAGGATAAAAGAAAAGTATATATAAGGAAATTTGTTTGTGATTGGCATTTTTACTAATAGACAATCTATAGCATTCATTGATATAGCAATAGGACTCCCTACTACTCCAGAAACTTCAGGTATAATACGAGGTAAAGAAAATTTAAAGTTACTCATACAGCTCATCAATGAAAAGTATGATGCTAATATTTTTAAATTTGCACCTGATTAAATCTACTTTATGTCTTATTTATTATATTAATCTAAATTATTAGCACTTCTATTAGGTTTGTTTGATTTTCTCTGTTATTTATATATTGCTTTGATTGTCTAATTTTAAGAAAAAAATATATTATAAGATAATCAACCAACAATTTTCAGTAAAAATTGATTAAAAAATTTATTCTTTATTCAATCAATAAAGAAATAAAAAACTTAGGGCAGATTTTTTAAACAATTAAAATATTTTAAGGATCAAACATTCATTTGGAAGTATTTTTTAAAAATAAATTGGTTATTAGCTAAATTAATAAAGGATGAGAATAAGTAAGGAAAAATTCATAAAAATAATTTTCACTTTTTCAATTCAAATCAACTTTTTTTGTTATAAAACTTAAATGTTAATTTAGATAATTTAATTAAAATAAATTCAGTAAAAAATAATTTAATTTATTTGAGAACAATTTTTTACCTTAATTTTGATTGACTCAGAATTAGAAACAATCGATGAAATAGCGACTATTAAAGTAAGTATGTGAGATAATATTATCAAAAAATAGCTAAATCCTTACTTGTTGCATCTTACACATTTAAAATTTCCTTAACGTGTATAACTATGAGGCCAAACTTCGGCAAATAAATCACATTCTTCACATAACGCTCCTACATACCCTTCCTAGCATAGTTAATTTCCAAAACTATTTCCACCTCTACAGTTTCCTAATTCGTTAAAACACTGAATTATTTCATATGAAGATAATGATTTTCTCCAATATCCTGGTGAGATTTATATTTCATGTTCCTATTTACAAACAGCTCCTTGAGGGCACTCAGAACATACACTTCCGTCTCTAGCAAATGTATTGTCCAAGCATTTATAGCATTACATAATTTAGTTAGACATTTCTGAAGGCAAAAAGTCTGTTTTAGTTGTTATTTCATATTTATTGCATTGTCTAAAGAATACGTTTATTTTAAATTTAATATTTTTTTCTATTTAGTTGAGACGCTTATTTTCATGCATAATTAATGGTGAGGAAACTTACAAAGTTATACTTTAGTTGAAAACTCCAAGTAATTGTAAATTAGAAAACTCTATATAATTACCTTCTTTTTCATACTTAATTTCATCCTTGTTTCTTAAAAAAAACATAAAAGGAGACAAAGGGTTTGCTAAATTGCTGTTTTGTTGGCTAGGATCATAGCTTAATTCAATATTAATATATTCTTAAATAGGTATATCTGTCTAAATTAAATCTAAGTGAACCAAATTTATTTCTTATGAAAAATCATGTATAAAATAAAACTAAAATTTTAATGCAGGTAGTTTCTAACCACTAGCTATTATAATGTCAGCAATATACTCTGAATTCTTATCATTCCAGTGTAGTGAAGAATTAAAATTTAAAATTTATTTAATTTCATCTGTTTAAACTAATTTAATCAAATGAGGAGTAGAAAATATTGTTGATTTTGAAATATCATCTGAATTATATTTGAATTTGTTATTGGTTTCTATATAAGGGACAATGTTTTAATAATATAAAGAAGATCCTAATCTAGAAGTATTATTATAAAATTTATTTTAGCTTATTTAAAATTTGATTCTGTCAGTGATATCTAATAAATTCTCAAAAAAAATGCAACCTCCTTTTTCAGCTTAGTTAAATTAAAATGTGTTACCTTCAAGATTAATGTTAAGTATTTGTTTACTGTCTTAAATGTAATTATAAAAATAGTCCTTGAAATCAAAACCTTAATTAGTCATTTGTATATATATTGCTCCACCATAGCCACTAGTTTTTAAATAATAAAATCTATTGTTTTTAATTGTGCATGAATTATTTGGATTTAGTATAGAAATTGCTGTGCCATTATGAATAGGAGAAACGTAATTGTGTATAATACTATTTTTGATGTCAAATTAAGATTCTTGTATAAAAATTACTTAGCCTAAACAGTGTAATTATTATTATTCATTATTAATTTAATTTTACTATGATTATTAACTTAGTTAATTTTAGTCACAATAGATTTCAAGATTTTCAATGCTTATGTTTTGAATTTTTTTGAGGTTTATGATTGCAGATTGGCCGATTTTTTCTAAATTAGATGTTAATAAATCTTTTATTAATAGTTATTCTACTCTTTCAAAAAATAATTATTTTAATTCTACTTTTTCACTGTCTTTAACATCTATAAATTTTGTAACTAATAGGTTTATTGCACTAAGATTGCTAATTCTAACTGTAGATTAGGTTGCAACAATAAGAGTTTTTTTGTACTTAAATAGATTTTCATGGATATTATTTTGAGAAAACTTATTGGTTATGTTAGTTACTTCTTCTCTATTTCCATAATAGGTAATATTTTGCAAACTAATTTCGCCTTCTTCAAGATAAAATATAGGTGAATGCATAATTTATTCTTTTAATTTATCTTTATCATTAAATTAAAGTTTTTAATGTTAGAATTGTTCAATATATTATAAAAATTCAATTAATTCTTTATATTTTCTATCAGATTTGATGTTAAATTACTAAGCTTGCACATTAATAATTGACCCAATAAAGAAGAACGAATTGAATGAAGATTAAAATGAATTAAAAAAATAATTCTATTTTTGTTCTATAAATTAGGTGATCACATTTGTGATATCAACTTAATCAAATTATACAAAATTTAAATCATTTTAAAATGAATAGTCTTTTTCAATATATATCACAGCTTTTAGCTTTTAGTAAGTATATTAGTTAGTTATTTAAACTATATTCTCGAAAGTACTCTCTTGTATAACCATTTGCAAGATTGATTATGAAGAATCAACATTAAGAACGCTCCCAGAAGATGAAAATGCAAATATTTCTTTGAAGGTACACTTTAATATACTAACTTCAAGTTTATTTTGATTGGATTTAATCTAAATTGCTCCTTAACTTGAAAATGTTTTCTTAAAATGAGTATCTGTTAGAGAAATTGTATCTACTTTTGCTGCTATAAAACCACCGATATTTAAGCTAAATATTTCGTTATTTGATAATTCCATGCCATAATAAATATTGTTGTCAAAAGTGCAGTTCGTAAAAGTCAAAGAGCTAACATCTAAGGATAGAGCACCGATTACACTATTTGAAGAAGTATTAGCAAATGTATTGTTATTAAAAACAGCTTTACTTTTTAAGCTTTAAATTGTCAAACCTGAAGAAGACTTGAGATCACTATTTTAATTGAAAAAAATAATTAGGTTGCTAAATAAATTATTGTCAACCTATATATTAGCATTAGAATTTTGAGCTAAAATCTAAATCAAGTTAACCTGAATATAATGGTATGTAGAAGTAAGTTGAATCTGGTTAAATTTGCATTCTTAAAACTAAATAAATCTTAATTCTTTTTCTCTATTAAAGATGTTAATAACAACCGTGTTTATAAAGTGTAAGTAACTAACTGTAATGTTTTTAAAGTTAACCTCAATAGTTTCCTACATTTTAAATAAATTGTTAAAAAATACTCTAACTGGACCAAAGTAAACATAATTTTTATCTCCTTCTCCTTCTTATTTTTCTTTTTCTTCTTCTTTATATTTTTCTTATTCATTTTATTCTTCTTTCTCTGTAACTTTTTCATTTCGTACTTCTTTATTTTTATCATTATCTTATGGAGGTTAATCTTTATTTTCAACTTCAATGTTTTATTAAAAAATTCTATTTTTCATTCTATTTAATTATTTGAAACTATTTTCATTAACTTTTTGAAAATCAATTTATTAAAAATTTTAATCTTTTTTTTCTTAAAAAATATATTCATTTTTTTGATTAGCTTCTGCTTCTTTGCTTTTAATTAATTTTAGATATCTTTTTCTAACTTAATCTTAGAATTCAAATATATCATTATAGCAGAAATTCTAAATATTTACAAAATTAACCATCTTTGTCTCAATGAGACCTGCAACATTTTCATATTTCATATACACATTTGATAAATTGAGAACTCTAATCATAGAAAGCTATATATAAAAGGAATCGTAGCTTTTAAGATCATAAGAGCCTTCATAATAGGTCTAATAATTCTCTAAAATGGTAATATTATCCATTATTACATCATGCTAAGCAACCAAAAAGACTTCTAATAATATTTGTATAAATATAACTTTTGGTAAATTGATTAAATCATAAGCGTTTTGAGAAAAGGTTATGTTCTTAAAAATAAAAGTAGTTTTAATAGAAAACTGCTAATTTTCTATGAATCCTTAAAAAAATAAATGATCTCTAAATGTATTATTCTTTATCAATAAATGAGTAGCATTAAAATTTTAGAATGTTATTAAAATAATTGTTCTATTTTAACTATTTTAATGAGCTTGTTTTAATTATAAGAGTCTTCTATTGCTTGTTTCTTAGGCAGTTTGATCAGGATCAATTAGTTACACAGTAGGGTTGAATGTTTGAGGTCTACTAGTGGTTATGGACCTAGGATTTATGAAGTTGTTGTTGCTAAATTAACAGTAGACTAATTTTAGGTAAGTCTGTTAACTAGTTATTATTTCACTGGAAACAATGTTATTATTGAAATTTAAATTTCTTAGCTGCACTTTCTGGCAGCTTTAAAAATTCATTATAGCTTATTGAATATTCAAATTCTCAATTTTGAGAGAATAAATTGTTGTATTATCTATCTTTTTGAGGAAAAATGTTGGATAAATATATTTAACTTTGTTTCCATTTTAACTTTATTCCTCTCCAGTTAAAACAGTATTATTTTTTTAGCCTTTAACTGGTTTTTAATCTGATGATAACTTGTTAATTTCGTTAATTATATCTTCAACATTATTTTCATCGTCTCCGTCGTATGTAAGGAATTATACATTATTTAGATACAAATCAACCATATATGAAATTGAAATATTTAGGTTATCAATACATTATGTGCATATGACATTTATATGATGAAAATATAAAGAATTCCAATATTTTATTTTTATATCTTACTTTTATCTAATTGTTATGTAAGCAGGACTGTAATTATTTAGGTCTTCATCATATTTATCATTCGATTTTAAGTTTTATGTCTCTCTTTACTCTTTTAAATACTCCTAAGGTTTGAAGCTAAGCACTTCAATTATAGATTTTTCTTAGGTCCATTCAAAAAAATATTTATTTAGTGGATTGACTTTTGTTGAGTCTATAAAGATCCTAAGCTTTACTTGGTTAAATCCAGCCAAAATATTTTTAAACACTTCTACCCTTAAATAAAATTCAATAATTTATAAGTCAGATGCAAAAGGATTTTCTAAATTTCCATTACCTATCGAAAGAAAGGTTGGATTAAAAATATTTTTGCTTATTTTTTATTCTAGATTATTTTATCTTATAGGGCTATTTCTGTAGTAAGTAAAATTTTAGCTAGGGATGTAAGATATAAATGCATCCATAGTGCATTGCATACAAGAACCAAAATCAAAAATGTACTCTTGATTATCATCCTATATAATGCATTATTTTAAATCTACAATCATCAGTAAATTACTTCCTATCACTGCAACCTTATGTGTTGCATCATCGTATTCGATGTAAACATTTTAACAGCAAACATTTTTATCTTCTATTTGAAAAAGAGGTGGGCTGTTTGCAGGTTTAGTAACATCAAATATCATAAAACCTGGTGAAAGTGGGGCTGAAGCGATTAAAAACTATCCATTTTTTATTAATTAAAGGTAGCTACTTGATTTATTAGCAATTATCTTTGTATTATTTGTATTTATGTCAAACTATATGACAGTGCCGAAATGAACACAATTCATGTATATAAAATTTTAATAAGCTACTAATTGAGTTGTTTCTATACATTGTAAAACTTCTCTGATTTAAATAAAAGAAAAATCCAACAAAGACCAAAAGAGTAATTGGCTATTATTATTCTTACAAATGAAATGATTTGATTGCTAATTAATAGTGCAGTCCATAATATTTTACTTATCACTTAAAATTTAAATTTTCTCGCTATATAAATTATATTTTTTGACAGTATTCTTAGCATCATCAATTTCATAGCATTCCAAATTATGGAATTAAAAGTAAGTTCTTACCTTTTACAATTTTTATGTGTTAAGATTTTTTATTCCAATAATATTGCCAAAATCAGGATAATAAAAAGCAATACAACCAACAAAGATATTATCATAGGAATACATAGCAACAATATTTTTATTTAAATACTTTTTATACTCGATATCAAAATACTGTTTAATAGAAAACTCTCTAATTTCTTTTGTATCATATATCATAAACATTTAGTTTTCGTACTAATTTTCCTAGTACCACATAAATGTATCATTTTTTTAATTCTCATACAATATCCTGTTGCTTTTATTAGGCTTTGATTATTCATCCTAAAAATTCCATTTTAGATTTTTATCGCCATTAATTTAAGACTATTCATTAAGTAAACCCTTTAAAATTCTATCTTATTTAAAATTTTTTAAATAACTAATCCTCCTTACCTCTACTTTTTAATACTAAAAGTATGGAGCCTTAATAGTTTCAATTTCTAACAAATTAGAATTTCTTATTTCTAGCAAACCATAGAAGCTATTTGGAATTAAAATTCTATTGTCTTTCAAATAAAATATACCTATACTCTAATCCCATTTCCTAAATCTCAATATCTTTGGAACTCTGCAATAAAAATCTAATTAGCCATCACCATCATAATCGCACTCAAATCCATCCCCATCTAATAATTCGTAGCTTAAATGTTAATCATTCATAATGCCATATACTCTCATACTTTAAGGAAGATAATTTAAAACAGAAAAGTCCTCTTTAACTAATTATTAGATAGTCCATATCTCTATTACTTTTAATTATATCTTAATGCTTTAATCTTTACTATAATCAATAATAATTTAGTAAACAAAAACCTCAAATTAAATTTATTCAGTAGAACTTTGCTGATAGAAGACTACTAAATTATGATTCATTTGTTTATTCATGTAAAATATCCTAGTTGGAAAGAAATTAAAAATACTTTTTTTAAATTTTTCCATCGCTTTAATTTTATTCTCTTATTTGTCTAAATATATTTCCATTATCAATATTTCCTATAGAGAACTTTAGATAGCTATTAAATTAGTGCCATCTATACCAACTATATCTGATTAGTCAAACAAGCTATTTTTTTTAACATACTCTCTTTAAAAAAGCTAAATGATAGGGATATCTTCATTAAAGCTTGTTGCATAAATTTCAATAGCATGTTTGCCTCCTCTAGCAAATATTTAATAATCTTTTAAAGTAATAATTTTTACGAACCCATTCTAAATAGCATATTTTTGGCCTTCTAAACTCAAAGGATATTTTTTACTTACTTCTTCTGTATTTAGATTAAATCGAAAAGCTCTTTGATCTCTAGATAAAATGAGAATTTCATTCTAGCTATCTTCAATATCCTCTATAGAAACAATATTCGGAATTTAGTATTATTTAATAACATCAAAATATTGAATATGCCTCTCTACAAGCTTGTCTTAAGAGATAGTGTATAGTTTATTCTTTTTTTTAAAGTAGATCGTTTATCTTAGACTTGAATCTATGCTAAAAGAGTGTAAGACTTAGCTTGTTTGCTAATCTACAATTTGAATGAAATTTCCATCTCCTGAATTTGAAGAAGCTCTCAATATAATAGTATTTGATCCTGTTAATTCTATAACATCTCTAAAAGTATAATTCTATTTTTTATTATAGTATCTCTAAATATCTAAGCATTATTTAGGATCTTCAGAGGCTTCAATGAAGCTATTGAGCAATATTAAATATATAAATTCAAATACTAGGACTAATTTATACAAGTATAGCACCATAGTATCTTAAAACTGAAAATATTTCTATTATTGATAAGATTATTCTTTCTTTTTAGTATAATTATAATGTATTTTATCTTAAAAATTACAAAATAAAGAAGTGAGTGATAATAATACAAGGTAATATTTTGTAATAAATTATGTTCAGTATCAGCTGCTAATTAATTATTAAATTAAATTGTTATTTATTTTTCTATGTTATTTTTAAGTACTGTGTTATATATTTATTAAAAAGCTATACTTGAGATGTAATTATTGTTTTCTTACAAAAATATCACTTTAAATTAATATCACTTATATTAAGCAAATAAATTTAATAAATTTTATTTTCGATGATTTATTGAAATAAAATAATTTATTTTATCATAAAGTATTTTTTCTAAAATAATTAATTTATATTAAATTATTTTTTTTTTCTGATCAAAAAGCCATTTAAATTTTAACTTAGATCTATTTATTTTAAAATCTTTGAATAAATTCAAATAATTACTTTTTAACTGAAATTCTACTTTAAATTGATAAATTATTAGAATATTAATTCAAAAATAATTTTGAGATTGTAAATTTTAAAAAGAAATAAAAATTTCTGAATTCTATTTCTAAATTTAAACTAGAAAAAGTAATTTAAATAATAATATTACTCTGCTTATTTTTTATTTTTCATGACGAAGGAAAAGGGTGACATAAAAGTATTAAAAATTATGCAATTGACTTAATATTTTAACTTGCTAAAAATTTTCTTTTTGAATAAAATTTTTTTGTTCTATCAATTTTTTAGTAATATGATTAATATAAAATATGTAATAGGTGTTTAAATCAGTTCTAGTAAAGCAAGAATTTACTTTTTTTATACTGCCTTAATTTTGTTGCTGAATTTTATACTTTTTTTTAAATAAGATTAAAAAGAGATGTTTATAAGAAGTATTTATTAATTTATAATGGCTAAATATAAATTTAATTAATTAATATTTAAATACTTTAATTCATTATCTCTTTTCTATTAATTATAATTGATTCAATAAAAATTTTATTATCAGGTATCTTTTGATGATGACAATATTGATTGATAAATAAAAACATAATTTATTTTAATAAGATATCAGAAAAAATAATTTTATTTGTTTAAATTTAACTTTGATGTTTAATAAAGAAAAATTTACACGAAATTTAGTAATTAACTCATAACTATTTTTGATTTTATTTATATTTTTTTTATTTGAATTAAAAAAGATATGAATGATATTTTAAGACAACTTTTTAAATTTTCTGTTTTTAAAAAACACCTACTTGCAATTTAATGGCTAATTTTGGCTATAAATTTAGTTCAATTATATAATTCATTAAATTATATTTTATACTTGAAGGTTTGAATAAATAGGACTTTAAATATTTAAAAGCATTCAAACTTAATAAAATTAATGGGAAATTATTATAAAAATATTTACTTACTCAATTCATGATTTGCTGTTAAAAATATATTGGTATAATGGTAATATCTTTTTTTTAATAAATTATTAATACATACATTACATCTACTATAACTATGTAAGCTTTCTTTTTGTTACATAGATAGCAATCTTCTAACAAAATTATCAATAAAATAATTTGTTCATTTATAATCTCTAATAAATTAAAAGTAAAATGTCTAATTTAATATCCAGCATTTATATTTCTTTGCTAGTTATTTTTGAAATTTAAATTGTTTTTTTTTGTTTTTGAAATTGCTATGAAAGTGTTTTTATTTTAAATAATAATTAAATTTATGTAAATAAAGGAAATAAGTGTAATAAATAATTTAGTTACACATATTAATAATACTAAGTTTATAAAGAATGCTCATTGAAATATTTCATTTTTACTCAAAAACTTATTTAATTGAGTTTTAAATTAGAATATTTTTAGTATTATTTGATTTAAATATTTTTAATTGTAATTTATTCTTAGCTATCTTTATTTTATTTTCCTTTTTGCCATATTCAAAATATTAGTTCCAGCAATTTTTTCTCTATATTAAAAATCAACATAAATACAGGCTAGAAATGGTTTGTCAATAACATATAAAATAGAAAATAAAGAAACATTATGATAGCATTAATTTGTTATTTTTTAAACTCCAATCTCTTATCTATTAGAAAATATAAATACCCTATGCCTGTTTATATTAGAATTATAATTTAAATGTTTAATTTTGAATACTTAAAATTCATTTTTTTTTACAAAAAATGTTCCAGTATATTTTTATTGTTAACCAAAGAAATTTGTAAGTTTATAGCAAATGTAATTAAGTATTTACCTATTGTTAAGCTATAATTTTAAAGTAAGTATCCTTTTGATATATTCATTTAAAAAAAGTCATAGGGTGGGGTACTCAAAATGTTAAGTTTACATAATCAAAATATAAATTAAATACCTGTTATTCTTGATTTGTAATGAATTTCCTATTAATTATTGATTAAAGCTATTGGTTTATTATAATCTTTTATATCAAAAAGAATCTCGATAGAAGATTTAAAGAAAGAAAGTTCCGTGAAAAATTTAGAAAACCATTATATCTTTAGAATATTCATTTATAAATAAACATTTTTATAATTTAAATTACAATTTTTATAAATAAACTTTACTTTTTAAAAATAATTAAGCCTAGCTTTCTAACTTAACTTTGAAGCCTTAATAGACAAGAAGGTAAAACTTCAATAAAAAATGCGATGAGTGAATTTAGATAATTTAGAAATGGCTTCTTTTAGAATGTTAATCAGACAATGCTTTAAAAAATGATAGATACTGATTAAGTAAAGTGTGTTTTTTTTTTGTATCTATTAATATTAATTTTGTACCAAAATTAGTATAAATTTTTTAAATTACAGGATCCACCAATAAATTTGGTATTGCTTAACTTAAATGTATATCTTATATTAATGAATTTTTATTACAAATCTTTGTTTTCATATTAAGTTATTCATTACTATCAGAGATGATTCATCAATTCACTCATTCTTTTATAATTTATTAATTCTTTAACTAAAATTTTCCTCTTAAATACGCAAGCATACGTGATTTAAATATATAATTACTTTACAAATAGATTGTACATAGAGTTATAGCGCTTTTTAAAATTAAAAACTATTCTACTTTAGTCGAGTTAACTATTAATTTCTGAGTTCTCTAAATCTCCGATTATATATATCTATCTATCTATCTGTTTGTAACATAGTGCTTTAACAAATTTTAGCATCAGCTTAACAATATGTTTAAGACTCTTTTTAAAAATTTAGAAACAAAAAAGTCTCCTAGTACCATTCATAAAATATCTGAATGTTCTCTATAATATACTATGTAATTTTTTTTTCAAGTCTATAAGAATATTAATTTTTTGATTTTACTTTATTGTACATTTATCAATATTTTAAAAGAACATTGATTGCCCTTCGGTAAATCACTGCCATAAAAATGAAAAAAAATTAGGGTTACTAAAATACTTGCTTTTTTAATAAGCTTTTCGAATCTAAATTGTTGCACGTATCTTATCTTTGTAAGTGGAAGCATGAATATGAACCATTTAAAATAAATTAGGAAGTTAAGCCCACCTTCAGTACAAAATTTATTAAAGATTAAAATACGAAATAATTGTTATTATAACCTATGTTTTACTAAATATTATGAGGGAACTTTAAAATTGGATTTATTCTACAATTCGAACAAGTAAACATTACAAATAAATTTTACTTCTTTTAAGTGAAATATTTGTAAAGCAGCCATGTAAAGATTTACAAAAAAATATTTTATTAGATTGAAAACTATTATTTTTAATAGAAGATGAACCAAATAAAATACATTAATATGAATAAATCACATATAAATATACGCATATTACAAATATTAATGATATTGATACTTGACTTTCTATTTATGTTTACAAATGCCAATAGTTGCCTTTCCTTTATATTTTAATGTAAATGTAGTATTATAACTTAAAAAAATAGAAGAAAGTTACGCAAAGTTAAGCAAATAGCAAATTAATAGATAAAATAAATCAAAAATAATTAATTTAATATATCTCACATAGTCGAATGCTAAGATAGAGAAATGAGATGATTTATGCTTTTTCTTTTATAAGAATGATTCTAATTTCCTTTTTTAATTATTCACCCACTTTAAGCTATCCAAGCGAGTAATCTATTTATTTGTATTACAAATTCTGCTATTAAATTAAAAGAAGATAAAATAAATTAAGACAAATATTTTCATAGAGTAAAATTATTGATATAAAGTTTTAAAAATAAAATTATGTAAATGAAATTCAGTTGAAAAAAAATTACACTTCAAAAGTAGAATTTTTTTTTTGTTTTATTTAAAAAAAACTCAAATAACGTCTTTTAGATTTATCAAAAATTTATTATTCAAACTGAATTTAAAAAATAAAAATTGAGAGGATTTTGAAGATTTATTGAAATTTTATTATTTTATATTTACAACACTATATACAACATTTAAATAATTGAATAAATTATATTTTTGTTATTTTTGTTAAATTAGAATTTTTTTAAATTTTGTTATACCGTTTAAGTGTGGGATTGAGATTTGTTATTAAATTAGAAATTATTTGTTATTTATTTTTAAATTTAGTGTAAGATCTTGTTTTTGAGTTATTAATTTATACATTTGAATTTGTTAATATGAATGAAATGGTGAGCTTTTCTATTCTATTATAATTAATTATTTTAAAAGAATAGTAAATTTGTTAAGCTATCATTTGAGCATATTTAAATAGCTTTTCAAAGTTAATCTTCGTAGATTTTGCTTAACAATTAATTAGATAGAGAAGATTTATTTAGAGAGGCAGATTTATCATTTTGAATTTATTTTACTTGTTCAGTAATGCTTTGTTATTGTTATTGTTGTTATTATTATTATTGTTCACTAAATGAGCAAACACTAACAAGAATCATTTAGTTTTTGGAATCAATTTAATATTCAATATATTTGTCTTCTGATTTAGCAGTTACTTTCCATTTATCAGATTTAATTGAGTCAGGAAGACAAGTGCTAAGTTACCAGTATAGGATTACAATAATAAAAGGGGCAACAACTAAGAAGATGCAGAGTACGTTACTATCTGAGTAGAATACATTTAACAAAATAAGAATATAGGTAACAAGAATACCAACTGAAAATAGTAAAGCAAAAATAAAGAGGAAATTAAAAAGAATTTTTTTCTTTCTGGATTAAAATCCTTCAGCTGTTTCTTCTAATTAGAACACTTATTAGCATTATTCACATTTATAAATATCCTTTCCATCAACATTTTTGCATCTCATGATCAAGAGCTTGAAAAAACACATGCTGTGGATGTTTTGAATGGAGCCTTTGCAATTGCAAGGGCTAATAAACTTATCTTCGGAGTTATTATTTTCAGACTTAGTTGGTTGGTCTTCGAATTCCTTTTCTAAACAAATTTTACAAATTTAATCTTCTTATGCATCATGTTTATTTTAGATTTATTCTTATTTGGCAGGAGTACCGTTAGAAGGGATTGAATCAGCACTTTTATCGTTATCAGATTCAGCAGTAGATGTGGGAGAAGCAGGGGAGTTAGGGGAAGAATCTTAAGCTATGGAGTTAATGTCAATCTTAACAACCTGATTTTCAATGTCAGCGAATGTGACATAGTTAGCAGAACATTCCTAAGGGCATTCAAGAGGAGAACTCATAAGATGAATTGTTTGTTATTTATAGATTCGTAGTAAACAATTTTATATTGTACTTTAGAGTCTTTTTTACTTTTTTGATTTGAATTGGTTTATTTGCGAATATATAAATTATACAGATTTTTTTTAAAAGATTTTTAATAATGACTAGATTTCGTTGAAAAAAAAAAATGTAAGCAATAAGAATTCTAAGCTATAATGAAAATAAGATTGCACAAAGATCTCTTTTTTTTAGTAATTATTAATTTTTTTTGCTTTTTATTTGCCTCCCCCCACTAAATACAAATAATTAATAGGGAAAGCTATTATCTATTTTAGAGCTGATTAATTTACTTTACTTTTAGTATTAGCGTATTCGCTCAAGATATACAATAATCAAATCTATTTATTAAACTTTTTGTTTTGATAGATTTACCTACCCCGATAACTAAAATTTTCTATCCTTCATTTTAATTAAGGTTTCATTTAAAATCTGAATTAGGTTGCACTACATTCCTTTGAATTGGAGAAAGACAGTTAAAATAAAAGTAAAAGATAAAATTAAAATTAGAAGATTTTTTAAATTTTAAATGTATTTAATTTGCATATTACAAATTATGAATTTTATCTGCGTCATTTGTAAGATAGACAATAGCTTGCTGTAATTTAATTTACCAAGCAAAATTAGAAAGGCCTTTTACTCATTCCGTCTCATATATTTGATTTCTCTTGAATCCTTTTTAAAACTTCTAGTAATAAATCTTTAGCTATTGATCAACATCAGATCCAAAATTATTCTAACTTTGCATTTAGGTTTGCTTGATTGATTTCTTAATTGTATGATGTATATTTCAATTTTTGTTAAGCCAAATTTTCTAAATTTAAACTCTAATAAATAATATTGTTTGGGTGTCAAAAACCAATTATTTGATTGATTGATTGATTGATAATTAGGAGTATTCACTCTTGAACTAAAAATAAATTAGATGTATCTTTTCTACATTACCTTCGTCATTTTTAAAAAAATTTACGCTTTCTTAAATTCGACACCGATGTCATAAAACTCCTCTATGTTTACACATCAAAAAATATTTAATTAAACATAAAATCTTACCTAGAATATAAAAATTAAGAATTTTCTTTATTGTCTTTTTAAATTAAGTTGGATAATTTACTTATTAATTTAAAAGGGAGGAAAGAGAATCTTTTAATTCCTAAATTTTTGATAATCTTTTTTCAAATAAGGACTTTCCCATATCATTTAAGATAGAAATTTAAATGTATTCTATAGTATCTTGATAATAAATGATTTCATTTAAAGTATTTTTTCATTTAGATCTCTTTAATAAAATGTGTTTATAGTTAAAAGTAATACAGAAAAAGTATAAATTTTCTATTAAAATAAGGATTTATTTCCCATTAGCTAACTAGAGATACTATACAAATCAAAATTATTATTTATCTGATAACGTGAAATATTATATTTTAAATTTTAGCGTTAGGGGGTAGTTGATATAGATTAAGAATGAATTACTTTATAATTTCATCTGTTCTAAAAAGGATTTGTTTGTTTGTTTGTTTTTTAAAGTAGAATGAATAAAAGTAATTATGTGAAGCTTGAAAGCTCATTTAAAATCTATTTCTCATTTTCATATATGTACTGCTATTGCTTTAATAATTATTAAATTCCTTTAATATGCTAATTACGCTTCTTAAATAAAATAAAAAGTTAAGCATGTTATTGACAATTATCTTATTTTTGAAATAGCGTACATTCAATTCTTATGTAAAAGACTTTAAAAAATATAAGATCGCCATATGTTAATAAACTATACTTTTATCTCTTAAATAGTTAAATCTGAATTAAATTATAGAGCCCCCTCCATAAAAATCTTTTAAGTGATAGTCTTTTTAGTTTAGTTAAATAAAAAAAGATTTATTTGCCTAGCTTAGTAGTGCAGGTAGGCACATTTTGATTTTTCTGTGTAAATTTTGTAAAAATATTTCAATTTAAATTATTAAGAATAAAGGATATTAACGCATTGTAATATTCCTATAAGACATCATAATGTGTTTCATTGTATCTAAATATTATTTATTATTTTATCAAATGGAAAATATATGATCTCTAAAGAGAAAGAAAAAATTTAGCTTTCAAATTAAGCCTTCAGACTTTAATAAATTAGTTTGAAGAATTTTCAGAAAACAAAAAAAATATTACTTCTAATTTGCTAATTGAAAATTTTTTTGTGTTGTCTAATGATGATGAAGAAAAATTGAATAATTTTACAATTTTGATTCGAAATAAAGATAATATTTTTTTCATAGAAACATTAAGGCGAAATTACATTTACAAACTTTTTAGTTGAATTTACTTTACTTTATTACACATTATATCAATGTATCCTGAAAGAGAGTTAGTTAATTTTGTTACTATTCACTTTTCTTATATATAATACTGACTCAATAAATTATCAAAAGAATAAAGTAAATTACTTTAGAATTACTGAAATAGACATTGTAGGCTAAATTTTATTCATTTAAAATAAGCTCTATTTGTTGTTGATCCGTTTTACTGAATCCAAAATTTTTTTTGATCACCTTAGTATTTAGAGGGGGAAAATATCGTAATTTACTGTTATTAAAACCCCGCATGTAAATATAATATCTTATTTCTTATTTAAAAAAAACCTATATCTCTATTAAATCCCTTTTTGAATCTGTAAAAAGAAAAAATTCATGGTAAAAATGATATTTATTATTTTAGATTTTTAATAATTTATATATATATTTCAACTAATTTCAAAGGTAAAAAAGCTTTTCGATAATCTTTTATTACTCAAAAAATACATTATTTTTACAAATACACAAATTAAATATTAAATTGTATCATGAATGACCCACACCTTTAATACTGCATGCCTATCTATTATAAATAACCATTTTTCTTCTTTTCTTGAAAATGAATAATTAAGTTAAGCGCTCACTTTTGAAATTGTTAATTTTTCAAGATGATTAATTGGACAGTATTTAATGGTGATGATATTCATTAAAAGCAGATGAATGTAAAAGAAAATTTTGCTAAATCTGACTAACATCAATCACAAATCTAAATGTAATTAGGTGCATATGATATCAATAAATAAATAATAATATTAAAAAATGAATGAATGTTTACTATTTTAAATGAAAGGAAAACTCATTTAAAATATTATTCATTAATATTTTTGTATACTTCTCAAATATCTCCTATAGAAAATAACTTAAAAAAAGCATACTTAGCGTTTTTGGTTTGAAAATAAATTTTATAGAGTAGGACATTAATATTAGGTTAAGAAGAATTGTATTACTGTAAGAATGTCATTTTACACATTTTTTCAGGCTTAAAATAATTAATTGATTGTAATCTCATAAGATAATAAATAATTTTTCAATTAGTTTTAATTAATATTGAATTTAAGTTTTACGCATAAATAAGCTAAAATAGGATAAAAGTCAAATAAAATTTAGTTTACTAAAATATTAATTAAAAAGAAGATTTATATCTTGAACAAAAATTAATAGTATTCAAAATATAATTTTGGTGGGCACTTTTGCCTTATATTTTAATATTAAATAACACTAGATACTGGATGAAAGCTATTATTAAAAAATTTTGTAGATAGATTTTGAACAGAAATTCTTATCATAAAAATAATAAAGCTTCCAAAGATTCATGAAGATATATATGGTTAAGAATTATCTTTTATTGAAATATCATGATTTTCCTTAATATTTATAGGTACCAAAATTAACAATTGATTAAAGATTATTAAAATTTAACTTACAAAATTCAATTTTTTCTAATCCCAATCCAAATATTCATTTACACTTTTAAAGAATGAGCAGTTACACACGTAAAGCTATTAAAATATTTATTTTGTCATTAATTTTTGTGATTTGCCAAAAAAATTTGGAAAACAAAATAGTAATTCAATAAAAAAAAACTCAGCTAAACAAATAATTAATAATTATTCATCTATATTTATTTTTTTTATAAATTATTTTAATTTAGTAAATACTGCTAAAATTTCTTAAAATAAGTAAAAAATTTATTTTATCTAATAACGCTTACCCCTTTTATGCTATAAAAACTCTTAATTTTATTTTATTAATAGAAAAAATCTAGACTTAATTGTTTTTGATAACTCGAAATTTCCATAAACTATCTTACTCTATTTCAAATCTCAAAAGTCTTCAAATATTCAGAAAACTGCAAAAAAAAGATCGAATTTATGTTTTCAATCATTTTTTAATTTTCCAAAACTTTCTCTTTTATATAATAAATTTCAAATCTTAAAAAATAATTTATCCTTTTGAATCAATCTTTAGATAAACAGTTAACTGGAATATAGAAATTTGAGTTGTCATTTACAATAATAAAAGTTGAAATGTTTTTAATAAAATTAATTGATAATAAACAAATAAGATTTTTTATATTAAATAAAAACTTAAATATTTGTTTAATAAAGTTTCATTAAAAAATGTTTAGTTTTATATTGAATTCAAATAAATTTTTTCAATTTATATATGCATCTATTTATTGTATTTTCAAATAGTATTATAAAAGAATTCTTTAAAAGAAATTTGAAGATAATATACGATTAAATTTTACTATTTATATTATAATGCCTCTATATTAATATTCTTTTATATATTTAGATCTATTTCTTATTTAAAACAAATAAATTATTCTTTTATTAAAATAACTGCTCTCCATATTTGTATGTACTATGAGTAAAAGATATTTTTTTTAAAATATTTAATAACATTTCTATTTATTTTGCACAATTTTTTATTTCACATTTGTAAAAAATATTACTAAGAATTATTTATTATTTCCTTTAAGAATGTCTTTCATCTTACCTTTAAAATTTCCAATAATATATAACAATTACACAAAAATTTAAAATAAAATACTGTTATTCTTCATATATTTTCACTAACATCCCTCTTGTTTAAATATATTTTTGTTAGCACTATTTAAATTTTTAGAGAAAAAAAAATATGTTTGGAATTTATTATAGGAAAAAAAAATTAGATTTTTTATTTTATTTATTATTTTTAAATTTTTTCTTAATATCAAAGTGTAAAAACTAAAATAGAATTAAGGTTTATATATTTATATCTTATTTTAAATGAACTTTTAAAGTTAGGCTTAATCATAGCTGATATGTTGATATCATTTAGTTCAAACTTACTAAATTTCTCCTCTCTATTTCTAATAAATTTTTTGAAAGACCATATCGCTGTATCATTAAAAGCTATTTTTTTAATTTTTAACATAGAATTTTAATATTTGGTAGCACTTGAAAGGTTGAAGTTTTCTCAGATTCAAAAGTATCTATCATATATTTTTAAAAATAAATTAACAGAATTCATTCAATTGCATAAAATCTTATCATGATTAATATTCTAAGATAATAGTTAAGTTTTTATCTAATATAAATTTGTATTGCTACAAAAAATTAGAAGAGTATAAAGGATTTAAGTTTAGCAGTATGTATTTCCTTTATAATTTTTCAGCTAAATCCAATAAGCTTTTTTGAATAATAAATTATTTTTTTTTTTCAAGCTTAAGAGATATTTGAAGTGATAACATATGCTATTAAAAATTTAAATAATTAATTAATTTAGTTCTTTTTTTTACTTCAGTTAAATTTGAAATAGTAAATTAATAAATACCAATAATTTTGTTAATATTAATAAATTTAAATTTTTGATATCAACTAATCTAATTTAAAAATGAAAGTAATATTTTTTTAAATTATCTTTAATTCCTTCTAATAAACTCTTTTTAAGTTTAAATTTAAACAAAATAACTCTGTAAATATAATTATGAAACGCAATAAAATTTTCATAAAAATTTTATAAATTATTCATTTTTATTTGAAAATTAGCTAATTATGAAGAATATTAAATTGTGAGTGTTTAAAAAGATGAATGAAAAGAATGTTAAAAATATAGTTAATAAATTTTTTTAATTTTCTAATTAAATTGAAAATATTAAACAAGAAGAGAGAATAAAAATACTTAATTTAACTGATAATTTATGGAAAAACTTATATTTAAATGAATTTTTATATTAATAAATTGATTGAAACTATAATTATTTGAAAATTTTATCTTTTTGAAATAAACATTTAACGATATAAATAAATTTTTTTATCAATGATTTTATAATATGGAAAGCCAAGTAATAAAATAATACACTATTTAAATATAATAATTCCAATTAAAATTATTTATACGTTTTAATTTTATTGCTAGCATATTTTCTTCATTAATTTAAAAATTTGCATCTTCTTTCAAAATTTTCCAAATTTAGTAGAAAATTAGTTGATTGATTGAGTGATAATTTACCTAATCATATTTTGCATTAAAAAAATGTTAAAAAGCTAACATGATTTTAACTTAATTATTTTATATTAATGAAAATAGCTTTTTTGTAAAATTAACTTCTTATTTGGTAAAATCAAGTATTTAATTTTAGTTTAATCATAGATGTTTGTTTATATTAAAAAAATAAATTAGCTATATGAATTCTCTTATTACAAAATGAATAGTGTAGATATAAATATAAGATGCTATTTTGAAAAGTATTAAATATCAAGCTTAGAATAATCTGGAAATAAATAAAACCTTAATCCTTATCATAAATATTATTAATGATATTCAAAAAGAATAATTAAAGGAATAATTTTATTTAGCCTTTTAAATATATAATGATATTGTTTGAAGCAGGTTTTTTAATTAGATTTTTTAGGCTGCAAAAATATTTATTTTTGAAAAAACTATTCAAAGTTAACTTTTAAGATATATAATACTTGAAATTCTCCTTCTAAAAAATGGATGAATGAATAACTAGAAATTTTAATATTTTCAAAAAAACTAATAAAAATTATGTCAAATTTTCTTATTTTTGTTAATAATACCGAATATACACTAATAGTGTTAAGTTTTTATAAATTAAAAGTAATCGAAATATCTTAATCACTACATTCGTACATTCATAAAATCAATCAGAAAGGAATGTATTATAATTTTTTTTAAATAGATAAAATATATTTTACTTATATTTTTACTATCTACAAGACAAGGAATATCATTTACAAAACTAAATATCTGGTTGATTGTATTTGATAAGCAATAAATAAAGTAAATGAATATATAACATAATATTACAAAAAGCTTATTTCTTATTTAATTTTTACCTATTTTTCTTTGTCGAAATAGAAATCAGATTTTTATTCTTAAGCATTAATATTCTTTTTTCGAATATATATATTATCCTTAAAATGAAAAAATTAATTATAAATTTGTATTTTTTTAAATATTAATATTAGCTTTCTACCATTTTTTAAAGAGGATTATGCTTTACTGTGTAAAAATAAAATAATTTTGATTACTAAATACTTTATGATAAAAAATTAAGTTAATGAAGCATTAAAATAATAGAATACAACATATGTAAAACAAACAATCTTAGCTAAAAGTTTTATCAAGCGTGAAATAATTTGGTGTTGTGTTTTCTAATTAATAATTGCCTGAATTTTTTTCTTTTATTTTTAATTTGCTTTTTTTAACCTGAATTTTTTAATAAAAGTTCTGGTAAATTTTACTTTTTAAAATTGAAGCTATCGTATTATATTCTAATGTAGTAACATGCATATCTCAAGTTAGGTTAATATTAAAAAAATTCATATGAATTGTAATTAATTAAGTATTTCATTTAAAAGGTAATTTGTATTTATCTGAATTCGATTTTAAAAATTATATCCATTTCTTGTTTTTCTTTTCAGTTGTAGACAATCTACAATTATCTTCTAATTTTAATTTGATAAGTGATTTTTTTTTTATTCATAAAATCATTTAGTATACTATAAATTAGTATAGATGTGTTTCAATAAGCATCATTTAAAAGTGGAAATAGTTCTGAAAATTAACATTATTTTTAAAAATAAAATATCTAAATATTTCTCTCTTTCAAAATATTCTTTCTAAAGTCTTGATTGCTTTTTATAATTGTATGAATAAAAATGGATTGTTTACAGCTTACAAATCTGAAGTAGAAAGTAGTATATTTATTACCGGATCATTTTGAAATTAAAACTCATTTTAAACCTCAATTTTAATTAAAATCAGGGTAATTTTTAAATCTTGAAATTTAATAAGAAAATCATTTAAGAATACAATATTTCATATTTAATTAAACAGTGTTTCTTATAAATTATATCATTATTTGAAAAATAACCAATTGATTAAAGTAGTGCATGAATTATCAATTAATATAAATATATTGCGAAAATGAGTGAATATATATATTATCTATTTTTATGATTAAATCTTTGAAATTTAATTTTCTAAGTTATTAAAATAGATTGAAAAAGAAGAAACTAATAGTAACTGATTGTTTTAAATACTTGCTATCAGTCATAAAAAGATTAATAATTAAATCAAAATAAAAAACAATTCATAAAAAAAACTATCAAAAATCATAATGAAAATTTCAGTCATCATTTTACTTAGTCTTTGCTTAACTGCTGTCCTTGCTGCAGGTAAATGCCAAAGCCATTAAGCATACTTAAAAGCTAAAGCCTTCCTTTAAGATATAGCTAATGGTAATAGCTAAGCAGCTACAGATGCAGTAAACAAATTTGCTTCCTATTATGAAAATAAAAATCCTTCATCAAGCGCCTCAAGTGATGATTTAGGTGTTTGCAGCTAAAGTGGTTAATACTAGGGTCATTAATCCTGCTGTGATGCTAAAATAACTAAATTTATAGAAAAAGTAGTCCTATTTAAAGTAAAGCCTCTTTAAACTTAGAATAACATAGTTATGAAGTTTTTGAATGCCTTAGTTAAGATAATAAATAAGCCAGCTTGTTCAGTCAAATCAGGAGCAACTAAACCAAGTAGCACTAGCGACTTGATAAACAATTCTGCTTTGACTAATTTATAAGCCCTAATCAAGGGTCATAAGACTTGTAAGGTTTAATTTGCAACTACTATAGTCTAATTTACTAGAGGTGCTGTTTGCACAGTTTGTGCAGGAGTTGATTAACTTTCTAGTTTATTTGATAGCAGTGGAAATTTGATCATAAGCTAATCAAGTGCAGACTAATTCTAAACTGCAATCACTGCAAGCCTTCAATGTTTTAAAGATGCTGTCTCATGGACTAGCGTTGGAAGCAATCCTGGGCTTTAAGCTGTTGTGAATGAGGTATTTGCAGCATATCTTGATAACAGTTGCTCAAGTATTAGTAATTATGTCACCAAAATTCAAACTATATTTGCAAGTAATGGTGGTGTAAAAACTTCAGGTGTTTGTTCGTCTACTACAGTATTTTAAAAATAACCAAATTGTGAAGGAGCCTAGCAAGGAGACTCTACCATTGATAGTCAAGTATCTTCAGCAAGATTTTTGGAATAAATGGGATTTGAAAATATTAGAGTATTATAAAGTGCTGATTCAACAACTTCTTCTAGTGGCGGTGTTAATATTCTTGTTACTTCAACAACAGATTCTTCGATTGACCCAGATGGTAATGTTGACACAACAACTGATTCACTTGGTAGCTCACTTTTAAGCTCATTTTTATTGAGTTCTTTAGCTGTTTTATTTTTGATTTTATATTGAAATATAAATAGAAATAACACATAAAATCAAATAACTTAGAATTTATTTGTGAAAATTAATTATATTTTTATGAGATAAATTTCTTTATGTTAGTTGGTTTTTAATATTATAAAAATAAAAATAATAATTCTTTACAAATATCATTTTTTAACATTTTTTACAGAAAACTCATAAATAAATTAATTTTATTTGATTTAAGAACTTTTTAAATATTATTTATAATCTGTCAACTTTGAATTTTATTTTCTCTTTTATTTTTTTTAAAATTAATTATTTACCAATTATTTTTAAATTTTAAAAGTATTGTCTGAAAAATTATTTGCAGAACTATTTATTTCAATTATTAACTCTTTTATAAAAATAAATTGATATGTCCATATATTGGTTAAATTTTTGAAATTTTTTCATTCACTTTAAATAATAAAATTTATCATTAAACAAATAATTTATTTAATTGAATTAGTAATTGAAAAACATCAAAATAACAAAACAAATAACAAATTAATAACTCTTTTTTTCGCTATTTATTTATTGATAATTTCTGATATTCTCTTAATCAGAGAAGTGGTAGTATTTTATAAGCTTTTATTTATAAGTGGTTTATTTTAAAATATTTTCTTTGAGAATGAAAGATTCAAAAGTATTAATCATAACGACCCATGCAGTAAAAAAAAAATTAACAGAATTTATTCAATTTACATAAAACCTCATCATAATTAATATTCCGATTTAATAGTTAAATTTTGTTAGTATTACTTCAATTAGAAGGTTGTTAAGAAATTAGGTTTAATAATATTTATTTCCTTTAATATTTTTCAGCTAAAAGTGAGTTTTAAGTCTTTAAATAAAATAAATCATTATCTTCATTAAAATAAAATAATACATAATTTGATAATTGTAATACTAATTAAAATGGATATGTACATTTTTTTATTTATTTTAGTTTAGTTTAGTTCGGCATATTTTCTTCAATTAATTTTAAAATTGGCATCTTCTTTCATAAAAAATTTATATATTTCTATTTTTCAAATTTAGTAGCAAATTATTACATTGAATGATAATTTATTTACCTATTCTTATTTACATTAAATAAAATGTCAAAAAGCTAACATGGCTTTAACCTACTTTATTTGTATTTATGAAAGTAGTTATTATGTAAAAAACTAGCTTCTAGAATGATAAAATTAAGTTTTTAGTTTAATTATAAAAATGTTATTTTTTCCATTAAAAAAATAAAATATCTATTTTAATCCTCTTAATGCAAAGTGAATATAGAAGATTTAAATATGAGATGATATTTTGAAAAGTATTTAATGTCAAGCTTAGTATAATTTGAAAATAAATGAAACCTTAATCCTTATCATACATATTATTAAAGGCATATAAAAAGAATTCAGATTTATTTTGAATTAAGGCTTATTCCATACTCAAATTTTAATAAAAAATATTTTAAATTATTTTATTTATTTAAATATTTCAATCAGTAAAATAAATAAATAATTTTAATTTTTAAACTTTTGAATACTTTTGAATAAATATTTTTTTAAATTAGATTTAGTTATATTATTTGTTTTTAGAGACTTAGAAAATAAAAATTTAAATTATTATAAAGCTAACATGACTACTTTGGAAAAAAACAAACAAACAAATATAGAAATTACATTAATATTTTTTTAACAAACAATTCATAAAAATAAGGTGCTTTCTAAAAGTGAAGTAAAAATATACCAATTAATGTAAAATTTTTTACCTCAATTTATTTTAACTACACCCTTAAATATTATAATAAAATGAATTAAGAAAATATACCATATAAATAGACACATAGAGGTAAAAAAGTAAGTATAATAATTAAATTGTTTTCATTCAATTATGCTAATTTTCTTCATTCATTTTATAATTATTTTGAGAGTGTGATAAAAATAAAATGAGGTAGTTTTTTACCTCATTCAGTTTTCAGAAGACACTAAATAATATAATTTAAAATTTTAAAAATATATAATCAAATATATACATAATTTATAATGATGATAATAATGATAATTCAAATTTTACAAATAAGGAAGAGCTAAAATATCAAAAAAGAATTTAGAAAAAGTAAGCTTGCTTTTTTTTGTTTTTTAGTTTAAAATGCATAATTTAAAATGAAGTTAACAATAATTCAAATTTTGCTTGTTTTTTTTTTTTTAGCTTAAATAATTACAAAGAATTTGCTTTGAGTAATTTATTGATAATCTAAATTCTTATTTTATTATCATCTTCTATTAAAATAAGCTGAAAAAAAATCTAAAATTAGTTTATCTCATTTTAATAAAATATTTCTATGATTATTAAAATAAAATTCTGAATATTTTGTTCTTTTATTATTGAATTAGTTTTTGTTAAAAAACAAAAAATAAAAAAGGATTTTAGTAAAAATTATTGAGAGTCTTTTTATTTATTCAGAAATAAACTTCTTTTAAAATTGTAATAAATTAAAAACAATATTAACTTCATCAATACTTTGCTTTTTTAAAAGTTGCTTAATAAATTATAGAGTTGGAATTCTTTAGTTGCTTAAGCTATTTTAGTCTAATTCTGTTTCTTATAATTTTTTTATTTAACTTCAAAAAAGAAGCAAATTAATATCTCAATTTATTATTGAAGACTCTATTCATATATTTAAAAAATATGCTAAAACTTTGTTTTTTTTACAATTAAGTTAATTAATTTCTCTGCAAATAAAAATGATTTTATTTGTAGAATTAGATTCAAAAATTCAAAATAATATTTTTTATTTTGATGATAAATAAAAGCGCATTTTGTTCTACATTTTTATGAATTTGATTGGATGGACATAAATAACTAAATAATATCTACACAATATTCTATTTTACAAAGTAAGAATAAGAGTTTCATCAATCAATTGTAGTTTAAAGTATAATAAATGGTATAGTTACCATAATATGGAAAGTAAATAAAACATAAAGCCTTTTTGCCAATAATATTAAGGACATTTTAATAGTTTAAAGCGTACTTCAGAAGGAATATTTTTAGGTAATAAGATCAACTAGATATTTTATTTTATTTTTAGTTTATCTTTAACAAATTACAATCATATAAAATATATTTAAAATTAAATCTATATTTAATCAACTTTTAAGAATAATAAAATATTTCTTTTCCCAAAAAATGGTACAATTTCTTGATATTTTATTTGTATTTTCAAAAATATCTATATGTAATACTATATCACCTATTAATTACTAATAATATGGCACATGAACTAGTAAAAATAAACAACCAAGTATGAAAAATAGTGGAAAAAACTGAATTTATATGATTCATTCTCTCCGAACCATGTTTAAATTTCCTATTTTTAACATAGAAAAACTGTTATTTTTGTTGATAGTTTTTTTTATTATTAAGAAGTAAGTCATTTATGCAAAAGTAGATAGTTAGCTTTTAATTTGAATTTGAGAAGAGCTAGATAAAAAAGAAACTAACTAATTTATAACATTTAACATAAAGTAAAAATTTTATTTCAAAAAATTAAATTATTGAAATAGATAGAAAAGAGACAGTCTTTATTTTTGGGCAGTATAACTTTAAAGAAATATAAATGAAGCATCCAAAAATGGGATAAATTCTTTTTATGAATAAATTAAAATGTTTTTTCGATTACTTTATTTTATTAAACAAAGTAATGTTTTCATGTAAAAATGAAGCATTTTTGAAACAAATCAACATGGATTTTTGGTAGTTAATATTTAAAAAAAAAATTGTTTTTTCATTGTCAAATAATAACTCTTTCAGTATAACATGTTTAATTGCCTGAAATTTTATATAATTTATTTTCATTAATGTTTCAATACTCAATTTTAAAATCTGGCTATTATTTATCTTAAACTTTTTAAGAGTTGAAATTAAATTAAGTGATTAACTCGAAAGTCTCTTAATTTTGGTTTAAACGGAAACAAATTATAATGTGGAATAAGAAATATTATTTTTGATATCAGAGGGAATTTGCTCCTATTATTGCTTTTTTATGGTTTTTAAGCCAAACATTTTTATTCATTTGTATTTTTTTTCTTTTCTTATTTATTTATAATATTTGAAAGTCTTCATATTTAATAGCTTTACTTTAATGAATAACTATTTATTACATATACTACTAACTATAAGTCTTGAATTTATAAGTTAGAACTTATATATTTCATAAATCCATCTATAAAAGTAAAAGTAATTATATTAAATTAATTTTATTAACGGTTCGTAAAAAAAAAGGCCTTACTAAAAAAAATATTTTTTATTATAGCTTATTATAAAAAGTAAGATAGCTAATCATTTTCCTCTCCAATAATATTTTTTATATTTATACAAGCTTGATTGATTCTTATAAGAGCGTGAAATAAAATAATTGGTAAATTTTATTTTAGTAATCCAACTCTGGTATTATTAAGATTACATGCTAGGATTTAAATATCGAAATTCACCTTAAACCTCAATTTATTTTAAAATCAGGATAATTTTTAACTCTTGAAATTCGTTAAGATTTTAATTAAAAAAGGGTAGTGACTGGCTATATTTTCTTAAATTTAGAAAAGAAAGCCAAAGTCTCTAAACGTTAAATTAAATAGGCAATTATGAAAAATAACTCAGTAATTACATAAACACATAATTTTTAAATAATAACCTGAATTGAGCTAATTTAATTTTTTTCTAATTAACTTTTTTCTAATTGAAATACAAGAGATGTATAGAAGATAGATTGATAGATAGAAAAGAAACTAGTTTTTAAAAATAAGAAACTGATATATGACTGAATTACATACTAACTTATAATTAATTAATTTAAAAACTGAAAGATCTTGGATAAAAAATATAATAAATAAAATCAAAATAAAATACAATTCTTAAAATAACTATTAAAAAAACAAACATAATGAAAATTTAAATCATTATTTTACTTAGTCTTTGTTTGACTTCAGTATTTGCAGCTGGTAAATGTGCAAATCACTAAGCATATTTATTAGTAAAAGCTTACTTTTAAGATTTAGCTACTGGTAATGGATAAAAAGCATTAGATGATGTGAACAAGTTTGCTTCTTATTACGAAAATAAAAATCCTTCAACAAGCGCATCAAGTGATGATTTAGGTGTTTGTAGCTAAAGTGGTTAATACCAAGGTCATCCATCTTGTTGCGATGCTAAAATAACTAAATTCTTGGAAAAAGCAGCTCTCTTCAAAGTTAAGCCTCTTTAAAACTAGAATAACATAGTTATGAAGTTTATGAATGCTTTAGTTAAGATGATAAATAAATCAACATGTAATGCCAAAGCAGGTCAAACTAAACCAACTAAGGCTGATGACTTGAAAAGCAATACCGCTTTGACAAGTTTGTAGACTTTGATCAAAAACAGTAATGCTTGCAAAATTTAATTTGCTACAGCTATGGTCTAATTTACTAGAGGTGCAGTTTGCACAGTTTGTGCAGGCACTGATTAACTTTCTAGTTTCTTTGGCAGTGATGGAAAATTAATCATAAGCTAATCTAGCTCAGATGCATTCTAAAAAGCCACTAATGATGCACTTGCATGCTTTGCAGATGTCGCCTCATGGACTGCAACTTCAACTAATCCTGGACTTTCAGTTGTTGTCAACGATGTATTTGGAGCATATTTAGATTCCAGTTGTTCAACTACCGCTCTTGTGACTAAACTCTAAAATGCTTTTACAAGTAATGGTGGAATATAAAAATCAGGTGCTTGCTCATCTACTACAGTATTTAAAAAATAAACAAACTGTGAGTAAGCCTAATAAGGAGATTCTACAATAGATAATTAAGTAAATACAGGTAGATTTTTAGAATAAATGGAATTTGAAAATATCAGAGTATTATAGGCCCCTAGCGCTGACTCAACTATTTCCTCAACTGGTGGTGTTAATATTCTTGTTCAAAGTCCAGGAGATTCTAACATAGATGCAGATGGTAACGTTGATACAACAACCGATGCACCAGGTAGTTCAGTTATTAACTCATTTTTATTGAGCTCATTAGCTGTTTTATTATTGGCTATCTATTGAAATCTAAATAAAAACTATAAAGTTTAATATTAAAATATATTTGTGAAAATTAATTGTCCTTTATGTGATATATTTGATAGATTTTAATTGATTTTTAAAGTTAATAAAATAAAAAAATTCTTTAATATCTGTATTATTATTTTTAAATTATTTTTCAGAAGAAGTTAATAATAATGTATTTTTTATTTATTTAAAAGTCATTTTAGTTTGTTAAAAAAATATTCAATTAAAATTGAATTTTTATTTGCCTTCTTTTCAAAAAAAATTGTTTGAAGTTGAAATTTGATGTGAATGAAAAGTATATTTTATCTAAAAATTTAAAAATCACTCCATAGTAAAATTTTATGAAGATTTTAAAATGACAAATTATTTATTAATCTTCAATTAAAAAAATAGAATGAATTCAAATAATAAATCTTTAAGAGTTTTATTTATTACAAAAAAAAAAAAAATTAATTAACTTAATTTCATTAATTTATATATTATTAATTTATATATTGATATTTCACAACAAATGTTTGTTTTAAAAATAATTGAGTAATAACAATTAGAACTTGCAAAATTAAGTTTTAGATTTAAAATAAAAATTATGAAAGCATTTTTTTATTTTAAAATTCACAATTTTTATTAAAATTTTAAATAAAAATTTTTTTGTTGCTTTTTAAGCATTTTATTATACTTAATTATTATTTTATTTGTTTTCAGAAAAAGTATCGCAATTGATATTATAATTTACAAATATTTGATTTAGTAATATAAAATTAATGTTATTTTTATAGTTTGTAAGTAATTATATATTAAAGTAATAAAATGACCTAAAATAAATTCAAAAAAATTTAAATTAGAACAAAGGAAATGTTTTGTTTTGTTAGTCAAATAGTTTATTATCAGTAAAAAATAAAAATTGTAATATTTTATATAAGAAATGTTTATAATACATCTTTATTTGTATTATTTTTTAAATTTATAAAAAGTTACCAAATTTTTTGTGAGTTAAGCATTCTTTTTTGAAAAAGGGATTTTCACTGGTAGCCTACAAGAAGATATTAAATATTTAATAATTAAATAATAATAATAATAATAAAAAAAATATAATCAACGCTTATTCATTAAATCGAAAATTGAGAAAACAAACAAATTACAGCAAAACAAGCAAACTTATAAGGTTAGTTTAAAATATTTTAAAACTATTTTTAGTTTATTTTTTAATATAAAGAAATAATAGAGACTCATTAAAGTATAATTACACTGTAAGATGACTGATTATCATAATTTAATTTAAGAATACTAAAATGGAAATTCAACAATGGAGTCAAAGCAAAGGGCTTTTATGAAAGCAATTTATTAGACCCCTCATTTTTATAATATGATAAAAAGATAAGAAGATAAAATAAATCGCTTGGTTTCAGCATTTAAAATAAGAGAGTTCAATCGTAAGGATATAGTCTATCGCCATAAATAGCCTGTAAAAGAAATTTATTGGATTTTAGAAGGTTAAATGAGCTGCTGGGATAAGAAAACAGACTAGGATATCAACACTGAAATGAAGCTAACTGGAATGTATGAGTAGTTTATTGCAAGCAATAACATGGATTCGCTAGCAAGAGATTAGCAAGAAAAGTTTTAAAACATTTAAATTAGACTAAAATATCTTAGAGATCCAGAATTAGATTAAATGATTCGCGAAATAGATACTCAGAGGGAGTATTTCCTCCTAAGTAATATTTGTAGCATCAAAAGAGTGCGTTTTTTAGAGGCAGGAGAAATAGCTGGAGAAAATTGTGCTAATTCTGGATTAAAGTATGATGGCTTATGTGTTGTTAGCAGTGAGAAATGCATTGCCTTATCGCTTTCTACAGAAGAGTATAACCATATATTTACAACTAATAAAGATTGCTTTTATTTTATTAAGGAAGCACTCTAGTAAATATTTGGATTCTCAAATTAAAGGTTAATTAATCGTCTGGCATATCAATTCGAAGTAATCAATTACTAGTATAATTAGGTAATATATAATGAAGGAGATATCGCTGATTGCGTTTATGTGATTAAAAGCGGTGAAGTAGAAATTGTCAAAACTCTTAGTTTGGCATAACTTTAATAATAAGATATTTTATCAGGTTCTAATCAAATAAATTAAGATTTAATTTAAAATAAGGATAAAAATGTAGAAATTAGCACTTCTTATTAGGTTTAGGGATCTACTAACCAAGCCGTATTAAAGCATGTCCAAAATTGCGAAATTAGCAAATACAAAAGAAAACTAAAACCAAAGGTGATGGAAACTCAGATAGTGCTCAAGAATTAAGGTCTTCTAGGCCTAGAAGATTATGTTTAAGAAGCCTGTGAAATGTAACCTGAAAAAGATATAGAAGAGTCTATTAAACCAAAAAAAAAGAATGGAGATTTGCAAGAAAAGAAAAAGAAATTAAGGTACGTTAAGGCTATTAGCAAATCAAATGACACTGTTCTGTTGAAGATTAGAGACAAATATATAAATAACTTGCTCAATGAATAAGGTATCAATCGTCACAAAGTGTCTGAGAAGATGAAAATATTAAAATTGCAATATCACAGTGAAAGACTACAAAAGATTCATGAAATTAAGAGTTAAAACAATCAGTAAAATAATACTGGACAGGGTGGTGTAATTACAGATCTGATTGCGTATAACAATTACTATGAAAACAGCAATATAAATATTAGTAATAATAATAATAATACCACTAATAATATTCCTCTTAATAAATTTATTTCGAATTAGTCTAACAACTTTAATTACTCTTAGGAATCTGATGAAAAACATAAAAACACCTAACTACTCAAAAAACAAGATACTTCTTAATCTTAACTTTTAATTTCTTCTCTTGTTAGCAAATCAAATATTCACTTTGGAAAAATACCTGATAGAAGAAGTTCTGATGAAGAAAACTACAATTCTAACAAGACTGCACCTGCTAATGATAAAGAGGATGCTTCATCTGCTAGTAAAGACAAGATTTATTCTTTCACTCCATAATCTAATAGGATAGCTTAGTAGAGAGAAGCCCTTAAAAATCTTCAATAATTAGACATCAAAGGTAGCGTTTAAAATAAATATTTTGCAGAATGCAACTCAGCTGAACCTATTTTAGCTTCTTATTCAAGAAAAAATATGAAGAAATTTACAGACTATTCCTCCGTTTCTACAACTACAACTGCTAGTTTAAATTCTATGCAAAAACTATCACCCACTCTTTCTATACCGATTAATTCTTACTAAAAATTTCAATCTGGTAAATAAATGAACTTAAATGGTACTCCAAGTAATGTTTTAGTCAACTCGCCTACTTGTGTTCCAGAATTATAACAAAGAATGAATGTGCAAAGATAGCGCCCTTCTAAAACGTTTACAGATATTAACAGTAACAGCATGCAATCATAGAGAGAAGGAAGCACCTCTCCAATGCCTTGCCTTCATCCATTAATAGCATCTGAAAAATTTAATAGTTAAAAACTATAAGAAACAAATAAAAAAATAAGCAGTAGCAGCGAATTTATAAAAGACACCAATTTATTCTATTCTACAAATTTTATTTCTAAAAATTAAAGTATGTAATAACTTTAACAGACTGATTTAATTAGTTCTTCATATAAAATCAATAATAATAATAACCAAAATAATACAAATAAGGAAGAGCTTAATTTACTATTCTTACTTCCTGAAAAAACAAAATTAATCAATCAAAAACGCCAAAATAGATAAAAGACTGATTTTTAGCAAAATGGTTCTCAAGTGTAACTGAAATTTAACTCTAACAAAGCAAATGCAAATGAATAATGCAAAAAGAGTTTTGATAGTAAATTAAAATGTAATAATTAGATTACTAGTAATATTGCCTCTTTAGCTGATTTAGATAATCTTTAATTACAATAGAGTATCTAAGAATATCTTCCAGATACAGTCAGTAGTAATCCAATACAAGAAGATCAAAAGCAATTTTTTAATAGACTAAAAGGAATACACCCAGTTCTTAAAAAATGCAAAACTCTTATATTTACAAATGATAAAATTTCTTAAGTTAAAGATTGCTAAACTGAATAACAAAATGATGATAAATCTAAAAAGGTTTAGCAATAGTAAGACACGACCACCACTGATTCATCTACATAATGCATATCTTCAGATAGAACTAATATGAATAAGACTGAACAAAAAACATAAAAGCACAGAAGAATTTAAATAAGTGATAAATAAGATATAAACATGATAAGTGAAATAAATTGTGTTCCACTACTTAAAAATTAAAAAGAGCAAATAAAAACAAAGTAAACTCTCTATAAAGACAATTTTAACTCATTTAGTGCTAAGAATCTGAATACTCATAATTGTGATCCTCAATAAAATTAGAAAAATACATAATAAGAAAAAGGTGATTATTAGACTCCAATAAATATAATATCCTATAAGTAATAAAATGAATTATATGTAGATTCTGGATATTGCTAAAACAAAAAGAAAAATGTGGCATAAGACCAAAAAAATGCAAACGCTTTAGAGATGCTAAGAAGAAGTAACACGACCAAATAATCTAAAAATAATATATTCTCAACGTCATGTTAAGATCCTTAATTAAAAAGCAAACTAATTCTATCGAACTCCTTAAGCAACTTAATAAATTCAAAACCAATGAATCATAGTCTTTAGGTGAAAGATAGAATAGTGACTTAAGAGTGATAAAATTGTATTTTTATTAACTCTAATTTATATTAAAAATCAGTAATATTAAATAAATCTTATATTATTTATTCCATTAAATTAAATTAAAGTATTGTCTTTCAATATCTTTGTTTACTTTATAATTCTTAATTATTTTTCAAAATTTTTTATTCGTTCCTGATAATTATTCTTATTACCTGTATTAAAATTTAAATAAATATCATGTTTTCAAAATAAGTAAATATTAAATATGTATTTTAAATTACTCCTGTTTTAATTCAATCAAACTTTCTTATATTTAAGATACACATCAAAAAATTAATCTTATTAAAATTTCTAAAATTAATTTTTTATGTCATCAATATTTTTAGATATGATTAATTATCATTTATTTATAAAAATATTATGATTATTTTTAGTTAAAATTAATTTCAAATAAAAATAAATATAGGATTGATAAAAAAAATAAATTTAGGATCGATAAAAATAAATTTAAAAATAAGCCCATAAAGTATTTTGTAATAAATAGAGAAGTATTTATTTATTTTAAGTAGAAACTAGCTAATGATTTTCTACTTTTTGGATAATTAAAACACTAACATTAACTTATATAATCTATGAACAATTTTTAATTTATTTCATAATAATTAATTAAATTAATGTCAAGTAATACTACAAATTGGGGATTATTTTTACTTTTTTCTTAATAATTTATGATTAAAATAATAATTTTGAGCAACAAGAGATAAACTTCTATTTGAAATAATGATATTAAAATTTACATTATTTTTCTAAAATTCGATGTTCATTCAATGATTAATAAAATAGTAAACAATCTTCCTTGTTACTTTGAAATTTTTGTATTCCTAAAATAATAGAAATAATAAATAATTTTTTAAGATATTAAACCAAAAGAAATACTCACTAAAAGTATATAATCTTTAGCTAATTAATTGTGTTTCTCATATTAACAGATCTAGTGCTTAATTTAATAACAAACATATCGTCATTATTAATTAAAATATTCTTTGAATAATAAGGCAATTATCATTTTAAATAGAAAGAAAAGAATGCAGTAAATAAATTATTCTGAATTAAAAGTCAACTTTCGCAATTTTTTAAAAGCTCATAAAATATCTAAAAATGTAAATAATAAAATAAATATGTTACTATTATTGAAATATTTCATCAAAATTATATCTAGAATTCTATTATTCATTTTTCTTAACAAAAAAGAATCTTACGCATAAATAATAAAAAATTCACAAAATTTAAAAAATAAGAAAGAATTAGATTTTTTTCTAATTAAATTAAAAATACTGAATACTAATTTTTTCTTGTTTTTGTAGAACTCAATTTCACACGAATTTTACTATTTATTATAAAAGGCTCTTTTTTAAAAATCATTATAAAAAAATCTCCTTATTTTTTTTACATTTGAAAGTGTATATAGACAAAGTAAAATAGAACTTTTCACTTAAAAAACAAAAAGCAAACAAAGTCAAAGCTAAGCACTATTACAATTAGATATTTTAAAATTTTTTTGTGGTAAAAATAGCATCTGAAGATATAGTAAAGCATTCAAAATTAATTAAATAGCTAAAAATGTATTGAATGCTATTGTTTTAGTATTTTTATTTAAATAATGAATAATAATTTATTTTGTTATAAACTAAAAAGTTATTAAATTAGATTTATAAATTATTTTATTATTTTGAATACTTTAAAAATATTTTTGATTGACTAAAAAATTTAGCAAGTTGCCACTTTGGCTTCTATAATTAAAATTAGATAAGTCTTGAAATTGCTGAAATCAGTTAGGATTGAAATAAATGCAAACAAATAAAATTGTAAGATTATTCTGACTGACATAATTTTCGGAGAGTGGTAATAGAAGTAACAATTTTAGGAATGTACAGTAATTAAATATTTTTAGGTATCTTTTGGGAATAAAATTAATAGCTTCTCTAGTATCTTTAGGTTTATTACTAACTAAAAGTTGTATGTATATAAGCAAGAATATCAATTAAAGGAATTTTATAAGAACTGAAGAAAAAAATTAATCATTGGTCGCTAATTTATGCATAATTTAGGCTCTACATCACTAATAAAAACAAACCGAGAAGATTATTATTTTATTAAGATTTTCATAGTAATTAATTTCAATAAAAGCAAAAGATTACTCTAAATAATTAATACAGATTTTTAAAATAAAGGTTTTGGTAAAAAGATTGCATCAGATTTCTAATTTATAAACAAATAACCATCTTTATTTCATAAAAAACAGACAAGCAAAAATTCTAATTAACTCTATTTTGTGAAACAAGCATTTTAAAGGCATTAAAGATTAAATTTTATTCTTAAAAAATAGCGCATCTGAACTTTCAACTTAAGAATAATCTTATAGAAACTTGGAAAGCTTCATTAATTTCGAAAAGAATAAATAAATGAGCGAATATTTTCTCAAAATTAATGAGCAATAAGAAGTTTTATCTTCAGCTGTTTCACCTTTAAAAAGTACTAGCTCCAGAAGACATCTTCAAGTTCCTTCGATGGACTCTTAAAGATTGATTTCAACATTAAATAATCTATCAGAGATAAATGATAGCACATGCTAGTAGTAATAATTAGATTAAAGATATCTGTAGTTCAAAGAGCTAATTGAAAGGCGAGAAGATAATCCAGATCATTAGAAGTTGTCTATTGATGAATAAGAACTCATAGCCAGTGTTTTATATGATTTTCATCATTTTAAGATATTGATACGCTCTTAAAGACGTATAGAATACTCTATTAAACTGTTTAAGCATATTAAAATTGGCTGGCTTGAAAGAGGTGAGTTCTTTTTTCACAAAGGCGATACTAATAAAACAGATTTAATATGTATTTTAAATGGAAAAGCATCTCTCTTTTAGAAAAAATCAGAGGCTTTTATTAATCAAGAAATGGATCTTCTTGGCAAAATTGTTAATCTAAATTAGTAAATAACTAAAATTGAAAAAAGTGCTGCTACCATCAGCAATGATATGTCTGATTCTATTCATCAACTCAAGCAAAGGATAGAGCATAACGAAGATAAATTAAATTTGCTGAGAAATAAAGATGAAGATGATTTACTTAAAGCATATAACTTTTAAAAATATTTTTTAACTGAAAATGTTTGCTCTTTTAGGAGGATTAAATATTTGGAACGTGGATCTACTCTAGGAGAGGCTCAAGTTGTTAATGGATGTTCCTGTGATAGTACTGCAGTTTGTGTTAGCAAATGCTTTTACTTTTACATAAGCAGCTAAGCGTATAGAGAAATATTTGGCTTAGAAATATCTAAAAATAGTTTCATTTGCAACATATTAAAATAAAATTTTCCTGGTGCAAAGGACGACTCCTTAAGAAGAGTTTCATATGATTTCAAAGAAGAAATTTACGAATACAACAAAGTAATTTTCGAAGAAAATGATCCAGCAAATTTATTCATGATAGTAAGACAGGGAGAAGTTGAAGCTATAAGAAGAATTGATGCTTCTTCGAATACTAACTAGCTATGTTTGGAAACTACTTCACCCTTAACTCCCGAAGCTAGAGAAGCTAATGGAAAGCATAGTACTAGTAAAAGCTAAGCTGTTTCTCCTCTTCAATCACCTACTTAATCTAAAACTTTTTATAATTTTCCAAATAATTAAAAGCAACAATAATAACCACAAATATAGTAAAATTTGTTAAAAAAGTTCAAAGGTAAAAACTAGTACAAGGAAATAAGCATTGGGATTTTGGGAGAAGGACAAATTTTAGGAATTGAAGATGCTTATAATAATAGAAAAACAAGATCATTTAAAGCAGTATCAAAATCAAATGAGACAATAATATATTACATTAATAAAAAGATGCTAGATGATGTCATTCTTCTTAATGATGATTACAAATTAAAGAAAGGAATTAAAAGCTAAAGCAAAAATAAAAGTGAATACTACAACTCTCGTACTGATAATCTAATCATCTTTGAGCAGGCAAACCTTAAGCAAAAGGAAAATTTTATTTTATAGGAAAATATGAAAAAATAATATTTCCCAGAATCTAAAAATTTTAAATATTTAATCCAAGGCTGGATAAAATAAAAGGAATAGGAAGAGTCAAAGGTTGAGAACTCCTCTAAGCTTAAAATAGGTGTCCCTACTTTAAATCAAATTTAATCATACAATCTGCTTGATGACGATACAACTTAGCCTACTGAGTAAAATTTGCTAGAAACACAATAATCACCTATCAAGATATAGAGAAGATCTCTTTTAAAAAGTTTAACATGCATTCAAACAGGATTTAACAATATTTAAGACTCAAACGCCTAAGAAACCCAAAATTTAAAATAGCAAACTCCTCTTGAATCTCCTCATAGGAAGAAAAGACACTATTAAAAAGACAGTGAAAGCGTTTCTCCAAGAAAAATTGCATTGGTCTAAACAATAAGCATGCCAAAACTAGACGATTTTCATTTTAAAAGTGACATTGATATAATCAATGAATAAATCGAAATTAAAGAATAGTGCATTTAGTTTTATCAATAATAAAAAGATAAATACTAAGCAAACTATAATAATAATGCAAATAATCATAATCTTTTATCATCACAATCTAATTTATTTTAATAAATGAATAAAAATTAATACCCATCCCATGAATAATTGTAATTTGAAGAAACAAAAAAAAAGATTCTTTTCCAAAAAAATTTTTAGAATGAAAACAAAAAAAATTATAGACTTAAGTCAGAGAATTCTCTCATCAATAGTATACTAAAGAAAACAACTTCACTAAAGCTAGATATTCCATAACTAAAGTTTAAGAAAAACTCTTAGAAGGCCTCAATTCATGAAGCGAATGATGATAGGTCTTAAAATTCAGATACAGCATCACCTACTATCCATTAAGTTTTCTCTAAAAAAAACAGCATTAAAAGTTTATATAAAAGAGGAAGTGATATAATATCATCACCATAACTTGATAGTAATAAATTTGATAGAAAATCAGAGATTGTTAATTTTACACAAAACAACTTCCATATTTAAAAATAAATACCGCACTTAAATAACAATTAATAACAGTCTAATAACTTCAAACATTGTAAAAGTTAATCAAGCTTTTCTTAATTCTCATTAGATCAAAATCATAATAATTAAAATGACATTAATACCTTAGACGGTGAAAGTCAGCAGCAGCAGCAGACTTAAATATTAAATTAGCTTGCAAAATCTTAAATTGCAAATGTGTTGCTAAATTAATAAAACTCTTAAATATAATCTAAGTTGCAATAAATTAACGAATAATAAAAACCTTAATTTGAATATTTCAAAAATAGTCCTAGATAAACAAGCTTAGATATAAAAACACATATTTCTACAGGATAAGGAGGTTATTTACACAGCCCTTAAAATTCAATCTTTTTTGCAAACTCACACAGGATACTCTAAAATCAACCTCATTCTTAAAATCAATCATAGAACAAATCAATTTAATAAGTTAATTCTGAGAGATAAATAAATATTCCAAATTAATAAGAATTAAATACTAATTATTTTATTGAAAATGACATAAATACTCCTTCAACATTTACTAATACACCTTCTCAATTGCCTATGGTAGCTCATAGGCAACTAAGTTAAAGAGAACCACTTTTAAATAACAATTAAAATGAAAATATTGCTAAATAATCAAACATAAATAATTATAATAACACAATATCACCCAATCAGTCTGAATTACCTATTATTAAAAATTAAAATAACCCTAAATTTACAAATTAACATAAAAATAATTTGCCAAATACATAATAGTAGTAGGTAGTTATCTAGAAATAAGGGCTGTAAAGTGAAGGATTTGCAGATATAGTAAAAAGAATAGGACTTAACCCATAAATCATAGAGTAATCGAAATTTTAAATCCTTAAAAATGTATTTAAAATTTAAAAAAAGTAAACAGTACCAAATATTAGTACACCTTAAGGTGCTTAAAAAAGAACTTTAAGTAACCATCCTCTATTTCAAAGATAATCAAGAAAAAATGTTAGTCTCGCAAGCTCTCCTAGAAAAAATAATTTAGGATCTAATCCTCAATCAAATTAATCTCCTGTAAAACCTTCTCAATAATAGTAGTTTTTAGCAAACTTTAGAAATGAATCTCCTTTGAAAATAGGCAAAATAAATTACTCAGTAAAATGAAATTTCAAAAATTAAATTGTTTTGAATAATAACAAATCAATATATATAATAACTAACTAACTAAATATATAAATAAATAAATATTATAATATTAATGTTTAATAAATTCAACCATAAATAAATATTATTTATATTTCTACCTTTATATTTTTATTAATAATAAATACTTTAAGTTTACTAAAATTTATCTTAATACTTGTAAAATAATTAACTCATTCAAATATTTTTTAAATGAATTAAGATTTATAAATTTTTTATTTTATAAATATTAAAATATGAGACAACACATTAAATATTAATAATTTGTACTGTTGATTAGAAAATATCTTAATCTATGATTCTTATTCTAAAAATTGTTTAATTTGATAAAATTTATCTGTTAAAAAAAGTATTTAAAATTAAAAGATCTAAAAAGGAGTAAATAACAATATTTATTTTAAGGCATTTTAAACTCATATTGAATATCAAAATAAAGGAGATGTTATGTTGTGCTGTTTATTCTAAAAAATAAAATGAGATATTACATTTTTAGGCTTGTCATTCTCTTGAAGAAAAAGAATAAGAAAGAAATTTAAACGATATCTTATTATATGTTAATGATTTTAAATTTTTAAAGCCTAAGTAAGTTTAAAAGATTTATACTTGGAATGGAATATGGTATTTAGAACTTGATGAAAAGTTTTGCTGCCATTTAGTTTATTGCTAAAAAAATTATCCTGCTTAATCATCACTCAGATTTTTAAGTTAGATGAAAAAGTTAGTGTGCTAATTAAATCAATATGATTCTCCAGATAATATCACCAAATTTTTGTCAAACAGAATATTTAATTTAATCAAAGGTTATGATGCGGATATAAGTTATGATGATGCAGATTTTAATTATGCTGATGGAAAGAAAGAATAACTCTCAGAAAAAAGTACTCATTCAATTATTGTCGACTTACCTGAGAATTATTAAGGAGCAGGTGATTAAAGATTGAGAAAAGGTTAAACTCTTAGGGACTCTAAATCTTCTATTTAAAATAATAATTTTTATCCAAGACCTACAACATCAATTTAATTCAATGAATATTTATGCTACGGAGCTATGATACTTGTAGCTTTGCTTATGTTAATATTAATAATTATAAAAATATGAGTAACAATAACAACTCTTTTAAATTTATGCCAATTCTTATATTAAATAATAATGTATAAAACTTTTGTATAATTAAAAAAAACATGCATTTTATAATAAAAATAATAACATATTTTGAATTATTTTAATATTACTTATTTGGTATAGAGAAATTGATTTATAAAATAAACTTAAGAGATGAATAAAATATATTTTAATTGTATTTAAAGACATAAAATTTACAATTATATTCTATTATAATGGTATTATATTTTATATTCTATAATTATTACAGAATGAAAATAAAATTAACCAAAAAAATTTGAACAAACATTCTATTATTTTTTTATATCAAAATAAATAAAAACTTATAAAAAATTTAGTTTCTTATATTGTTAATAGAGTTATTAAATCATTAGATCATTTTCTCTTCTACTATCTGCTGCATTTAATGCGTTTGTTAATATTATTGATGATTAATTTAATTGTTTGATATTCTTTATCCATTATTAGAGATTTAGCCATTAAAAAATTAGAATTATTTCACATTTTGATTTGGAGATTAAACTATCATTCCTCCATTATTTTTTGACTTGTTTGAGGTACTAAATGGAGGTGATTAAGATGTATTTTTAGATGATACTTGATAGTTTATGTTATTTTAACTATTTTACCCTAAATTGAGACTATCAATAACTATATGCTACTGTAAAGAATTATTACCGTTATGCTACTGCATTACTTGATTTTGGTTTAATTAATTTGTATTATTTGAATTAGAGTAGTATTCTTTTTTAAGTTGTTCACTTGCTAACATTTAATTTGGATTCTAATTTTAATTTTATGTGTTTATGTTCGTTTAAGATTATAAGTTACCATACAATGCGTTTGAATTAAAGAATTATCCTCCACTTTACATCTAATTTTCAGAATTTTTTTGTAAAAAAAACTATTAAGATTGAGAGAGTAATTTAGGCTGATTATTAAAAGAATGTAATGGCATAGCTTACTATGGCAGCTAAAGCTACTAAAATGAATTTGATTTTGCATGGTATACTTAATTAGGTGTTTATCCATGCTATTAGACATTATTTTATACTCCTGAAGGCATTAATATTTATTATTAAGAATTATTTTTAGATTACAAGTTGCTGATTTTAACTATGAGCTATTAATTTAATTTATCAGAAGATTCTTTATTTTTTTTGTAATTAGTTAATGCCTTCATTATTCTTTCTTTAAGCTTATTTAATTGATATTAAAGATTATTACCCAAATCTTATTCATTTTATACAATATTTTGATTGACATAATGAGGATTAACTATTAATTGTTATCCTGCTTGATTAAAATGATGAGTAGATTAAGATAAAATAGACGACAGCTAGTTATTTGATGTTGGCATGCGCTAGGATTGTAAAGTTTAAGAAAATGTAGAATCCAAAGTCAGTCTTTTTATGTGAGTTTTATTTTGTTAAGCTTTTGTAGACATGAAGAATTATTAAGTTCCATTTGTTTAATTTTAAGTTGTATCCCTAGAAGTTGCAGTTTTAGGAAAAAGTTTTTATGAGCTAACCAATTTAGCTTCATTTGATATTGCTTGAGCTTATATGTTAACAGAATTATGCTAGTTCTTTAAGGTACTTCCATTTAACTCTCCTTACTGGCTCTCATCCTTAACAGATACTGCTGCTATACCATTTTATTTATCTAAATTAAATATTTATACTAAATTATTAATATGTTATGTGGAACCTTATGTAGTAGAATTAGAATTATGATTTGAATCTTTTGTATTTCTAACGCTCTATGGTGCAGATATAACAACTATTTCATCCAAAGATAGCTTCTTTGAGAGAAGTTTATTTTTTTCATCTTTTTTTATTTTATTTTAGTAAAAATATAATTTAATTTTTATATTTGAGAAATGTTAACAAATATATTATTAACTGTTTTTAAAAGTATAAAATTAAATATTTTAAACCCCTATTTATTTATTGATTTAAGATATGTCAAATTTTTAAATAAAATATATTTGAAGAGGGATATTATATTAAAAATAATCTTTGAATTAAAGATATTTTTATTTATTTATTTACTTTTTATCTTAAAATCTTCGATAAGAAAGTAAATAGGACAGTTTATGATTAAGTTAATTAACTAGTTTTAATTTGAAGGTATAATAATTAAATAACTTTTAATTTTTTTGATTTTTGTGAAAATTATTCTTGAAATTAATTAATTACCTTATGACATTTAAGGAGCATCTATGTTAATTGTAAGGTTTTTATATTAAGGGTTAGTTGAAAAGCTTTTAATACTATCTATGTAATTATTTACATTTTCTAATTGAGATTCTAATTATTTTTTGTACTCTGCCAACTTATTAATATCTATATTTTTGCTCTAGCTATAATCAATTGGTCCATTATTAATACTATTACTCATACTCTATTTTTGTGCATTACTGTAATTTCCAGCATTTATGCTTGATGATTAATTTCCTTGTGCTAAATTTTAATTGTTATTCATTTTATTTTAGGGAATTATTATTTAATTGCTAGAGCCACTTGTAGTACTGCTAAAAAATGCAACATTCTAATTATTATTAGACTAATTTTGAAGTGTATTTTCTTCTGGTAGAGGTTATTTGCTTGCATCTCTGTTTATTTTAAAATAGGGCTAGCTAGCTGAAAGCAAAGCCTATTACTAAAGATTCAAAATCTGCTATTGTTAGTTTAAAATTCCTTCTTAGAACTATTTTGTTTTCTTTTTTTTATCTTCAATTATGTATCCATGACTTAAAATTTGCTAGCGCTTAGGAGAAATAATGCTTTTTGGGTTATTAGATACTCCATTTGCATTCTAATTTTGATTAGTTTAAGGATTAGTCATTTTACTAACTTAAAGCTAGGCAGTTAATCTGCTTGACTTATTGAAATTAGCGCTACTATTAGTTATGCTATTAAAATTGCTATTTTCTAAAAACTACTTGGCATTAGCTTCACTCAATCTCTTTGAACCGAATAGGTCTTTGAATTTAGCAAAGGTATTGCTTTATTTTTACATTTGTAATTATTATTACAATTATAATTGAAGATTTTACTGTTTTTTATCGCTGCTTTAATGAGCTGATTATGAGAAATTACCTCCAGAAGGCATAGCATTGTTGCTTAAAGCTGTTTGATTCTATTATTGATTCTGCTATATTTGTATTATCTGCTACTATTACTATTATTATTGCATTTGATGCAACTGCTAACTAAGCTATAACTAATTTTGATTGAATTACTGAAAATTATTTTAAGAAGTCTAATTATGACCATTATTGCTATTATACATATTTTATTATTAGGATTAAGATAGCAAAATTTGAGTATTAGGGTAAGCTACTCCCTATAGTGGCTATTAATTTTGGCTTTACTAAAGCTGCGCAATATTTGTATTTTATCCATTAAAAGATTAAATTCCATTATTGAATTGGTTCTTGCTCTACCCTTTTAAAGAAGTAACTGACTTGCCATCTATCAAATCTATTTCATTAATTATTTGTTAATCTTAGAAAAAAATAAATTTTATATTTTCCTCAAAAGTATTTATTGCTTTTAAGCTAACTTTCTGATAATTTTATCAAATTCAAACATGAAAACTGTTCATGTAAAATAAACATTTAAAGATTTATTTACAAACAACAAAATTAAATGAATAATAAAAATTCCAAAGCTAGAGAAAAGTATACATCCACTTTTAGATGGAGACATTGAATAATTAAATTATCCGTTATTAGCTCCTATGACAGTCCCAACATGAGAGTTGCTAGTTGATTTAATGGATTTCTTTTTGTCCTTTGACTAAATAAATGCAGAAGGTAATATTACTTACATTATTCAATTTTTTTTCTTTTGATAACTAATCAATCAATATAAATAAGAATAAGAAAAAAATAATTAAATATTAAGTTTTTTTTAATCAAATCTCTTCTTCTTAATTATATTTGTTAAGAAAACTCACTTTATTATTTGATTAACTAACATCTATTTAAGTTTTGTAATAGCACAGAAAACCTTTCTCATTCGATTTTATTCAAAACAAATTCTTGATAGCTTTTTGAAGCTATCAATAATTCATCATTTAAAAGATAAAAAACTAAAATCAATAAATTTGAATAATAAAAGTATCTATCTATCTATTCAACTATTTATTTATATTATTTTGTAAAATGTTAATTGAATTCTTACTTAAATCTTTTCTATCTACTATCAGTAATAAAAATTATATTTATTAGATTGATAGATATTGTTACATCGTTAAGTTAATAATACAAACAACAAATAAAATTTTCAATTTAAAACCTTTCTTTAAATAAATTTTAGATTAAATTGTTAATTGGATGATTTCTTACTTTGGTTGAAGTAGCCTATTAAATATTGTGTGCTCATAAATTTCCTATTTAGTGCAATTTTAATTTACAGATATTTTTAGAAAATAGATTTTTATTTAAATCTAAATATAGTGGACATTATTTACTTAATTAGAAACTCAAAAAAGTATTAACTTTTCATATATTAATAAAAGGCATTTACATATTTTCTTACAATGAAATCAAGTTTTTGTGAATCCTTCATATGACTTGATCATAAAAATATTTTATAAAGTAAGTTCAAAGCAAAATAAATTAAAATCAGGAATTTTTTATTATGAAATATTTTTGAAATTAAAGTATTTTTACAAAAAAAATATTTCTCTTTTTAAGAAAAAAATGAAAAATAGTGCAAATATGTGTGATAATTAGTTAATTAGATAGATAAAAAAATAATGTTATAAATTTTAATAAATAAATTTTCATTTTTACTTTAATTAATTCATTTTTGTTTTTCAATATTTAGAAATATTAACGGTAACATTTTTTAAATGAAGAAAATATAAATTAATTTTTTATAAAATATTTTAGTTAAAAATTATTAATTATTTATACAAAAAAGTGTCTTTGTTGAAATTTTATCATTTTTATTTCATATATTGATTTTTAAATTAGATATTACAATTTTGAGAAGATTCTGATAGAAAAAATAGTGTTCAATTGATTTTAATTGAATTAAAGTATGTTTTGTTTTTATTAATATAAATTAATCTCAAAGTAAACTGTATAAAAAATACATTTAGTATCTTGTTTTTGAATAAATTATATTAGATTTCTCAATTTATAAACTCAACTCTTATACAAAATGGGATTTTTTAGTAAGACTAACGCGAAAGAAGAAAATTAAAGTAGTGAAAAATTAGCAGATTAAGCCATTAAAGATTTAAATTGCGAATAGTATATGATTAAATATCGCTAATGTATGTTTGAAAATGTAAATTCTTCAAAAAGAGCCTAATGTATAAAGTTACTAGATGAGTTTAGATTTTGTTTAGTATATAAAGAGTAAAAAGATGAGAAAAAAGAGAAGAAAGTTATATCAAATGAGTTATTGTAAAAGCCTTAATGAGTAAATAAAAAAAAGATGAAAATATAGCTTAATTTTACCATTTAATTACCACAAGTAGACATTTATCTAATTGATCTAAAGAATCAAATATAAATATTGATATTTAGTTTATATAATAATTTTTGTATAAATATTTTATGTTAAATTAATTACTCTAAATTATATCTATAAAAAATCTTATAAATTAAATGCTCAGATATAATTTATATTAAGCAATCCAAATATTATAAAGCTTCTTTAATAGTACCTCTTATTTTAGATATGATAAAAATAATTGCTGTTGAATTTAAATCTATAAATTAATAATCTATTTAAGATTTATTTAAAGTAGTAATAATTTCCAAAATTTAAAAATTTAAGTTAAATTAATTATTTAAAATTATTTAGATATCAGTGTAAATAATAAATAGAAAAGAGAAAAAATATTTTTTAGCATTAAATATATGAAATGTTTTTAAAAAAATTACTTGTTCTTGTTTTTCTTCAAAAATTAGAAATTATCTGACTAATTTCTTTGAAGATTTAAATATTTGTTAAAGTTTAAACCCTATTTTTAGTTAAAAAATTAAATTCATGTATTTTAAGTAAATATTATTTTATTACGTTTGAAATAATTTTTAGCTTATCAACCAGTAATCTTTTTCTTATGTTGTAATTTTTATGATCAAAATAATAATAATATTTAAGCTACTCTAAGTGAATAAGTTATTAATTAATTTTATTTTGATATTATAAAATGAGTTACATACATTAACATAAATACTATTTTTAAAATATAATAAAATTTAAAAATAAAAACATTTTTTCATAAGCACTCTTGTATAACTACAAACCTTTGATAATACTCTAAAGGTAGTTAAATTATAAAGCAAAGCTGGGTAATTACTTTAAAGTTAACATGGTCTACAATTACTTCATCATATTCTTGAAACAAGTTTTCACAATGAATTAATTTAATGTTATACAACCCATCTCTTTTAAATTCAAAATATTAATTTTACTCATATAATTTCTCAGCTATCTTATTAACTTCATCTTATTATTCTTTTTTTGAAGCCTCAACCCAACCACAAAAAAAACGTTGATAGTTACTCATTTACATTTGCTTCATCTTTTTAAAAAATGATTTATAAGAAATTAATTTATTGATTATTGATTTTAAATATTTTTATTGTTATGAATGAATAAAATATTTACAATATTTATTTCTCTTTTTATTTCCTATGAAATATTTTTTTTTACAAAATAGTCAATTTAAGATACGTCCCCACAAGTTGGCTTCAGAAATAACTTTGGTATTACTTTTAAATCAGATCTTTCATGATAAGAGTTGAGGGAAACTCTAATTTAAGATTGTAAACCAGAATCAGCCATTTATAATATTCCTTCATAAATCTTTTTTTAAGAAATATTTACTTTATTAAAGCTTAATAAATTTATAAGAAATAATAATAACAAAAAAAGAAATAATGCTATTGAAATCAAAAAATACATTGTAAGCTAATTGATTTGGTATTTAAGGCTTTATTCCATTAATTAAATATTTAGAGTATATTGATTTTATATTTGGGATAGCTATTTTCTACTTATCTTCGCTCCAATTTATTTATTTCTCATTCTTTTTTTTGAACGTAAATATTGGTTTCTCAAAATTCTGACTTCCTTTTTTTATGCAAGACTTTAAAGAAGATTCATCTTTGCCTTGTAAAAATAATTTAGATTCTTTCTCAAATTAATTAATAAAAAATGAACATATTTACTTGTTAGCATTGTAGTGCTTTTTTTAACTATACAATTATCTCCTAGTATTATAAAATCAAATTTCATATATTGGGTAGATAAATATGAAAGTAAACTTTACGATCTAAGAATTGTTTTTTTTCAGTTTTTAACTCTAAAAAGTCTTGATCAGATGCCTCATTTAGCTTATTAAATTTTTGTTATTTATTGCAGTCTTCCATTTTCACAATTAAAATAAATACCTATTATTTTGCTTTAATTTTGTGCTAAATCACTCACTATTTATAAAGAAATTGATTATTTTTTAATTAACTATTTCTGATCAATTTTCAGATATTTGAAAACCTTTTAAATTTTTTCTCATAAACGAATATATTGTATTGCATTTTTGATATATCTATAATTGAAATGCCTATATAATTATCTCATCAAATTTTATTATAATATATTAAGCTAGATAAAAATATTCAATCAAGCTAATAATTAGACAGTTTATATATGTGAAAATTTATATTCCATTTCCATTTAAAATTTCATTAAAATTAAAAATATCAAATTACAATTTTATTATAAAATTTTGAGAAAAATCTTATTTAACATATAGCTTTAGTAAAGATTGATTACATATATGTATATTGATTAATATTTTAGAATATAACTGTCTATTATCAAAACATTAACATATCTTATAAAATATACAATAAAAAATAAAATTAATAATATAAAGAGTCTAAGTAAGTATATTTTTTTTTATAAAACCTCAAAGCAAAATTTCAAAGGGAAGTGTACGGTCAACGTTTATTCCAATCCTTAGAAGGAATGTGAATAATTCTAATCTAAATGAATTTATATTGTCTAATCTATAACTACCGCTGTGTACATTATTGCCTTAGCCGCTAATAGTTAAGTTTTTAGCAAAATATATTGCATTATCTTAAGGCAATTGATTTTAAGGAGAGGCAACAGTCCTTCCTGCATAATTATTGGCTATTTCTAGACATTCAGTATCTGAAAGTTCTGTCTTATTACGAATTTCTTCTTATATAAATTTACGTATCACAGAACATATTCTCTCATGATAACCTGCAAAGAATCTCATATCTGAATCATAGACTAACAATTCCTTTTCAGGGTGGTTTTTAATTTCAACTAGAATCCAATTGTTAGTTGTTATCTATACTCCTATTAAAATACGAGCGAATCTGTCAAAAATTGTATTTCTAAAGCCTCTATATTCTTATGTAAACATTTTTGCTCCATCGTAATTTACTGATTCTGGCATCAGTGAGCAGCCAGGAGGTACTAGTGCTTCGAAAAATGCTGATTTCATTACATAAATACCAGACCCAATAGGCATTCCTCCTATATTTCCAAATGATTAATTAACAGTATTAGATGTAATTTGCTATGGTTATTAGTTCAAACCAGGCTAATGAGTTTTGTAATAAATATTTCTTTCATGGAAGTAGTCTAGCATGAAATACAATATTTTTTCATTTAAAGTTCTTCCTTCCTGCAGAGAGGCAAGTTCTTCATTACGAATTTATACACCATATCTCTTCACTCTAAGACGTTCTGGATCAGAGTTGTTGATGTTCAAGAACTCAGTGCGCATAGAGCGATCTCCTTCAGTTGAATAAGCAGAAATTAAATTATGCAAATTAGTTGCCTAAGAGCGAAATTCTAAATAAGTATTGTAAAGTGAACGAGCGAATTCACTAGCTCTATTCAAAACATCAGCAATTATTTATGGGATAATCATGTCGAATTGCATCAATTTCAAAATATTTTGTTCAATTTGTATTAATTTTTCTTTAGGTACTTCCCAATCATACGATTAGTAATTAATTTACAGTTCTTCAATCATCTCATCAATTTCTCTAGATAGCTAATCTCTTTCTGTTACAATATCTTCGCCCATTCTAGCTTTATACATTTTCCTAGCTAAAGCCTCTAAATTTTCTCTCATAGCCTCAAATTCTTCTTTTTTAAAATCCTTAAACCATGAAGGCTATCCTTTTTGCTAACTTCCACTTTTACCTATCTAATCCTTAGAAGTGGTTGCATCAACTGGAACGTCAAATAAATCTTCAAACTCAAGTCCTTAAATATTTTTAATGAGAGTGCCATTATCTATTGCTCTTTAAAAGTGCTCAAAATTCTAGCGCAAATGCTAATTTTTTGATTAATACTCTGAAATATACTGCTTAATTCCATAAACTAACTTTTCATTTTTCTTTCTATGTAAATCTAATATTTCTTTTCCTGAATCACAATTCTTTTTCACATCATCTAATAGATCTCTAGCCTCCTATATTAAATTTTTTTCTCTAGGATTTTAAACTTCTTTAAACAAATCGTCCATATTTTTATTAAAAATGACAGCTTTCTTGTACTTGCTATTTTCAAATTTTAAGTTTTTAATTAGTCAATTTAAAATATTTTTATTTCTCTGTTAAGCTTGCTTTGTTGTCTTCGCTTTTTTTGATGGCGCTAATATTTATATAAGAAAGAATGAATGTATTTATGTATGTATATATTTATTCCTTTGAAAAATAATAATTTGTTTATAATAGCGATGTATTTTTAAATTATTAAAACTTCTGGTTGATTGATTGATTGAATGAATGAAAATGATGAAAATTTTTTAATTAAATTCAAAAATATACAAACAATATCTTTACTAAAAGTAACAACTCATAATTTAAATTTTATTTTTAAAATAATAAATTAATAAATAAATGAATGAATAAATTGTGTATTTATTTTTTATGTTTGTAGATTTGTTAATATAATTAAATTTTTGGAGTAATTAATCATATTTATTATTAAAAAAGTATTTAATAAATTTGATAAATAATATTTATTTTATTAAAGTTTAATGTAATTTAAAATTAATAATAGTAAAAATAAATTTTATATTTAAACAAATTAATCAACATATTAAACATCCTTTAAAGTTATTAGAATATTCTTGAAAGAAAATAAAGGCTCCATATTAGAGTAGTTTACTCATTTCACTATCACTGTTATTGTAATTAAAGTTAACTTAGTTGTAAAATTTAGAGTTAAGTGTAAGACAGTTAAAGATAGCCTAACAAAAAGATCTGCTATAGGTGGAAGTTTTACCTTTTTCATCTACAAAATTTCTAGATAAAGCAAAGCAAGGGAGACAGCATTCTAAGCAAGAACTAACGCAGCTTGTTTCTGTTTTCAAAATAGACTTTTCTTAAGTGACAGCATTAGTAATATGTACTATGGGCGTTTCACCACATAGGCACTAACAAAGAAGACTTGGATTCTCAAGCTAGTAATACCCAAGAACATCTTCACCTATAGTGAGATAGCCACAGCTTGGTCCTGCTATAACCAAACGGGGTTAGTTAGAAGCTTCAAATTAATTTTCAACAGCATTAGGAATTCTATAGGAGCAAAAGCAAATTTTAAGAGGAAAGACAAAAAGAAGATTCAAACAATTTAATTGGTAACGATTTAGTGAATGCTCACCTAAATGAGATTTATAAGTTACTGTTCTAAAATCCCAGAACAATTACATACACTATTCCTCTCTTTCAATAGTCATTGATTAGTTTCCTTTGTTTATTTAATGTGCCTTTTGCTCAGGTGTAGATTATTAGTAATTGTTTAAGTGTTACTGACTATTGTACTGCATCATCTATTACATTGTTGGATTCATTTACATAGATATTGGAGTAATAGGAACAATTAAAGGTGCAGGCTACATAATAACTTAGTGAGGAGTTATTAATTATTATTGCATTGAATACATTTCTGTTTTTGAAGTTAATAAAGTTTGAATTCGTATCTCCTTTTTTAAGTAAATTAATTGTGATATTTTTCTTGAAATTAATTCTAATTAATCTTAGTTGAATCCCTAAAAATAAAACTAATGAATGGTATTCTTATTAACTTAATAATATAAATACTATGAATATTTGGCTTAGTAAATAGCCAATGAAAAATAAAATTCCAAATTTAATTTTTATAAACAATTTAAAGTAAAGAAAACGATTCAAGCATCAAAATACTTTTCAATTGATTCCAACATAGTCTATAAATAATTTGGCATTCGAAATTCAATTAAATAATATACTACTTTTGACGGCTAAAAAAAATAAATTGTCATACTATTAAACTCGATAATTAATTCGAGAATATCTATTCTTTTTTCTTAAAATTAGAAATGTTTATTAATTAAAAAACCTACTTACATATGTTTATTATATACTTAAAATATGTAAGGATAATATCAATTTCAATAAATTCATTTAAAATCCTTATTAATTTAATAATTATTTTTTTCCAATACAAATTAATATTTCTAAAAAGTTAATCCTATTAAGAGTATTAATTACCACACAAATAATTTAATTGGATAAGAAATAAAAGTAATTCTTTCATTTAATTAATTAATTAAAAATATAAATTACTATTTAAGCTATTTAAAAAACGTTATTGTTTAATATTTAAGAAAATTTTTAAATAATTAACTTAAAATTTGTAGATGAAGGATAATTAATTATATTGATTTTTGCATATCTTAGATTAAAATTAATAAGAGAAAATAATAATTTCTTTCTTTTAAGAAATGGCTAGATTGACTTTAAAATAAAAAGTAAATTGATTGATTAAATTTAAATTATTTAAAACCATAAATTGAAGCGCACCAAATAATTAAAATTATTGAATAATATTTATCAAGGTAATTAGATTTTTAGATATTCAAATATCTTAAAAATTAATTCAAGATTATAAATTTAGTTTTTTGAAATAATTTAAAGATTTATTTATTTGCTTCTACTATCAGTATTAATAAAATTTTATTCTAATTAGAATTTAATTAAATAAATGAGGAAAAATATGATATTTACATCAACAAACTTTAAATTAAAAAATTATTAAAGACTTAAAAATATTGTTAATGCAGATTATTTGAATTATGGCTATTTGATAAAATAAATAATAAATTATTCTTTTTTAATAAATAACGGAATTTAAAATGAATATGTTAAAATTAGTAGAATTTTTATTATTAGTAGTCAAGTATAATAAGTATATTACTTATTTATTTATAATTTTATAATTTATTGCTATTTTATAGTATTAAAATTATATAAATTCTTTAAATTATTAATCACAATAATTAAAATTCCATTTAGTTTCAGCAGATCTTTTAAGTAAAATGAAATACTTATTATTTTTTTTTATAAATTATTTAAGATTTTATCTTAGTTAAATAATAAAAAATGTAATCAAACATTTTAAAAATTTAATACTTTTCGCAAGGATTTAATTCACAATAAATGAAAAAAATCCTATTTTTTTAAGTTAAATAAATAAATTTCATAAAATATTTTAAAATAAATATTTAAAATATAAACCTGAACTATAAATAGTAAGTATGTATTTTTGATGTATTTGAATAGATTTTTAAGATTAGATTAATAGTAGATTCAATCAAATTATTATTTATGTAAGAATAAATAATATAAACTGTGTTAAATTAATTATAAAAGCATAATTATAATAATAATTATCTGACGTATTCAATTCATAGTGCATACTAAAAATACAATTTTTCTATTAATATAATATTTTGTTACCTTCTATTATCTAATCTTACAATATCTCACACTACCACTGATTTTGTTTAAGATATAGACAGTTTATATTTTTTTCATTTTATTCCAATCAACTGCAATTATCTTGCTTATTCAACAATTGGAATTAATCAAGTCTAATTCTAAACTTTTTTTTCTTTCCATTTAATTAAAACAATAAATAAATAAATTTCATTAAACAGACTTAACTTTTTATTGAATTAATTTTTTGTTTTTTAATCAATCAGTTTGCAACAGAGCAAATATAAATTTTGTAAAGAAAGCAAGAAGCAAAGCAGATCTAAGTCAACCAAATCTTACTTTTATTGCTTAAGATTCACAAATAAAACAAGCACATTTACAGTTTATGTTATGTAAAATATACATTTTGAAATTTAAAAGTATAATATTTAATTTTACTATTAAATTAAAAAAAATTATTTGAAAGAGCTATTTGCAGGAGGTATTATCCTGCAATAGTAGTGAAAGAATATGGCCGAGTCACTCTTTATTTAAAAAATCAATGAAAAATATTTATTTAAATTCATAGTATTCTATTAGTATCTTAATGCTCAAATTTTTTGATAAGAATTAGATCTATAAAATTAATTAAATGATAGTCTGATTCAGGTATTTAAAATATAAATAACTAAGAAACAAAGCTGTTTGCACCATCTATAAACCCTGTGATTTAAAATTCTTTGTATTTTAGTATTTATTTGATTAAAAGTCATTTTTCAATGACTGAAATCTTCTTGTCACGTAATATTTATTTTTGACTTGCAAGCATTTACCATATATAAAAAAATACATTCAAAAAAAAATTTAAAGAGGTTCTACAAAATTGGTATAGGAAGAAAGTAATAGCTAACAGATATACTAAATAACTATTAAATCCCTTTAAAAAGAGTGATTGATTTATTGATGAAAATTACAATCAAATTGTATAAATAACTAATGTCTTTTTCATTGCTTAAAAAAAATGACATCATTATTTATTATTTGTATAAAAATTTCATACTATTTAATTTATAAATAAACAGCTAATTAATTCTCTTTCTTTATAATTATTATAAACATTTAATTTATAATTTTATAATAGCTGGCTTCTAATTATAAATTAATTCATTTTAAATTGGTTTTTTTGACTGGGAATTAATTCAGAAACTTTTATTTGATTTCTTTAATGAGCATTTTTTGTTATAGGATAATAGTATTTAATTAATGATACACTATTTAATATAATCTACTGTAATAATACTAAATTAATTTACAAAGTTTTAAATAGAATTTATAAAATTCTACTTTTTTCTGATATATATTTACTTCCTCTATAAGAATATTTTAAAAGAGAATGAAAATAGATTTGTTTTATTTTATTGTTTTTTTTTCTATTTTTAAACTTTGTATTTATTAAATACATTTTTTTGGCTGAAGAGTTAATATTTAAAGTTAATCTAATTAATTTATATATATTTTTTTATTTCTTAAATATTGATTGACGGCTTTTCCATTAAATACCTATACTCCTATTTAATTAGACACTTTTAACCAAGTTAAAAATGAGTTAAATTAGTCTTAAAATCACAATTATTTTGGCCAAATATTTAATTAAGTTAAATTTAAATAAATAAAATTACTTTGGGTATAAAAATCTGTAAGATACTTACCTTAAATTAAACTGTTATTTATCACCTTAACTAAATAAAATGCTTGAAAGATAATTTAATTCGATAACAATTAAAGGTAGTAAAAGCATACAGTACTAATTTCACCAAACGCTTAAGTTAAAAACATAAATACACAAATATATAATTATTCAACTTGAACTTAGTCACCTAATTAAAGTTATTCATGCATTCATACAATAGTAAAGTATTTAATAAAAAAAATCATACATAAAAATATAAATATAATATCAATTCAACTTATTATTTACATTGCTTTTATTTTTTTATATTTCTGAAGAAAAATTTTAATTTTTAAGAGTTAGAATTTCTAAATAAATCATCTTATATAGATTTATTTGTTGTTGACTAATCAAAAAAATTTACCCAAAATAAAAATAGAAAGGAATATTTTCTAAAAAAGCTTTTACTCTTCTTGCAATTATTATAAAATCAACTTTCAAAAAAGAGATTTTTTAAATGTGACATTTTAACATTCATACTTTATTTTTTAATAATTCCTTTGAGCAGGAATACATTTATTTTTAAGTTAAGGGGAAGAGTAGCTCTTCAATAATTAAAATAAATGAAGAATCAAGGACTAAAAATAAAAACCAGCTTGATTGAGATAAATTGAATAATTGGTTAAAGTTAATGGAATTTATTAAGAGTTGAGAATAAATAAATATATATAACAAAAACTGTTTACTAATCAAAATTTGAAAGTAATAAAATTTACAAATACAATTGATTAATTAATTAATTGACTTAATGTGTTTCAACTATTAATTATATAGCATTTAATACGCAATACTGACAATATTGTAAAGTTTTTATCTCATCATTATAAAATATTGTTTTTTCTATTTAAATAAATTATGTCTATAGTAATGATGGAATGTTTTATTTATCATATTTTATGCACATAAGTCTATTCAATAAATTTGGTTCACTTCTTAAATGCTGCTCTGTACTATTATGTAACAATTTGGCTTGCAACTTTTAGAGAGAGGCAAATATTCCGGATAATAAAATGAATGCAAAAAATTTAAAATTAAAGAAAAAAATTTAATATTTTATCAATAGCTCTTCCTATTGCTATATATTTTTGATTGATTTGCATACAATACTTTTTTAATTTTTGTGATTTCGTAATGGATAATAAGAAATCACTTATGATGTAATTAAAAGTACTACAAAGCAGAATCACATATTTATTTAATTGGATGAACTTATTTTTATCAAGTAGAGGGTAAGGGAATTTTTATTAGCAATCTCATATAATCTATAAAGGAGTCAAATCTCACTAAACAAAAAATTAAATAATAATTAATAAAAATAATAATAACAAACAAATAACTATAAAAAAGATAAAGATCAAATATATCTCGCATACATACGGCAACCAAGATCAATACTTGTTTATTTATTGCTGCATCGTACTCTTTGTCAAGGAAATATCAAATCTAAACATTGCCTATACTCTTGAAATATTAAAAAACTATAAATTCATACAAAATGTCAACAGTTAGAGGTCGTAGAGGTTCTAGAGTTATCGTCACTGCTAATCCTAGTAAAATAGTTCGTGATAGATCAAGCTCTGATGAAGTCGAAATTGTGAGTTCAAATCCTATTGAGAGATACAATCACTTTATCAGACAATACAACAAAGACTGCAATAAGGTAAAAAAATCATTCTTTTGTCATCAATTAAATATTTAGAGAAAAGACACTTGTTTATTTTTTCTTATTCCTATCATTGATTTTATTTTCAAAATGTGGTCTTTTTGCTTAATTTTTTACTGTTTAAAGAATTAATTCATCAAATGATGATTTTAAATCCTATTAATATCAAAAAACCATATCATGCAAATATAATCTAATATTCTGCAAAAATAAGTGACATATTAAACCTATACTACTTTACTTTGCCAAAACAAACTTAATATTTTCTTTAAAATATTAAATGAAATTTTAAATTTAACTATGCGCGTATTTATTGCATCACCCAAATCAACTTATTCCAAATATTTTTTAAACTGATTGCAAAATTATAATTAATTTGAGAAATTTTCTGAGAAAAGCTGATATTTGCGCCATCCTTTATGCGTGATGTCACTGAGTGATGAATTATTCATAATTAAAAAAGTACAATTGGATTTATAAAAATCATATTTTTCTATCTAAATTAAATGAATATTGATGTAATAACAAACCATACGTTATCAGACCATTTAAATTCTGCATTTTGTTTATCCATTCATTCCACATAGAAATCCTATTATTTTTCATTACAAACCAACAAAAATAAACGCTTATATTATCTCTAAATTAATTTAAAATCTTAAACAAGGTCATTAGATATTAATAATTTCTTAATATCTTTTATTTTTCTTTTTGAAAGAGTTTCTTTACAAAATGGGTTAAAAGTTAAGTCAAATGCAATTAGATTTTTATACAATTTATTTCAAGTAGAATAAGAAAAAATAAAATAAAAATCCCACCAAAAATTTTTAAAGAATCTATTTTTAAACATCAATACAATTTACATCTAAATTTAACCTATTTTAAGAAAAAATGAGTCTTTCTCTGATAAAATATTTTACTTTTTTATTTTGAACAAAATTTAATCAATTTATTTTAACATAATATAGGTTAATTGCTATACACTTAAGGAATTGCCTCTTATAGATTTAGAAGGAGAAGCAACCCAACGTGAAATTGATAATTTTATTAGAGTATTCTAAAGCAATCATAGTCAAGTATAATACAATAGATGCTATGAGCGTATGGTTAAAACTATTGAGTGCTAAAATAAAGACTAATATTTCTAATACATTATGATTGAAGATTTTGCTTTTGATGGAGAAAGTGGTAATTGTTTGAAAATGAAAAAAGTTATGCAATACACCCAACGTTGGTTAGAAAAGAATAACAAAGCTTTTGACACAATCACCCATTTCGTCAAACAACAAAAGGAAAGACAAATACACAGTTGAAAAAACAAACTAAAATAACAAATTATTAACAAATTTTGAAAAAAAATATAACAACTAATTAATTAATAAACTTCAAAAATATATTAAAAAACATTCAAAATCGATTTCAATACTTAATAATATGAGAAGACCTTCTTTAAATTAAATTAATTCTTTAAAATGAGCGACTGACTATTCGATTAATAATTACCATATATTTTACATGATTGAAAATCAATAATTTTATGATTTGCTAATATGAAAGGTCTACAAGAATTATATATATAATTAGAAGAAAATGGCTAACTCACTAACTAACTACTTTATATTTAAATATAAATTATATTAAAAATATACTTATATAAATAAATAATTTATTTATAACTCATTTATTAATTTTATAATTAATATATATCAGTACCCACCACCTACTTTATAATAAAATTAATATTTTATTCAACTTCATTTAATCAATTTTATTCCATTTTCACCTTATTTTTGTTCACTATTACTTCAAAATTATTTGACATCACAAGTTTATCGTTTTATTTAGATATATTTAATAAAAATGATATCGACTTTAAAGTGGGGTAAGATAATATATACAGTCTTTATTTATTTGGCTAAAAACTGTGTAATCTCTACATTTTATTATATAAAAATAGTGTTTACTGAGGTGGGCAAAAAATAAATAATTTATTTTTCTATGATTTGTTACAAACATCGTGTTATTTGATTCTTATAATTTCAAAAAATTTACTGCCTTACAATATTGTATTATATCTTACAAAACTGGAAAAAATTATAAAGATCAGTAATGACCTGTTTTTTTAAGCCGCTATGATTATATTTTTCGTATTATTAAAGTTAAGTCATTTTCATCCCCTATACAAGTCAATCAACATCATCCGTTTGATTATACCTTTTTCGATCATAACTATCTAATTTTCATCAATCTAAACGTCATTTTTGTTCTTTGTTCTGAGTTAAAAACTAAAAACCAACATTCCACCATAATATCATTTTAAAAAATTTATTAATTTTAACAATTTTATAAATACAAATTCACATTTTAAATACTAAAATCTCTTACAAATTTATTATTTTTTAATATTTTAAAATAAATTTCATCTGCAATTTATGGTTATCGTTTACAAAATGACTTTTAAAAATTCTGTATAATAGATAATATTATTATAATAATCCTATTAAAACCTTTTAAAATAGATAAAGTCATCATATAATATTCTATTTAAAATTAAATTGCTACCACTTTATAAAATACTATCTTGTTGTTTTTTGAATATCAGTTAAATTTTCGGAGATTTAGAAAGTGTAAAATGATAAATAAAAAACTAATTCAAGTACTCTTAATTTATTTATCTATTTATAGTTGTAAGAAAATCTTTAAAAAAACAGTCAGCGTACTTGATCTATATTATTTATGTTCACCTAATTTTTGTCTTAATATTTCAATTTAATATGTGCTTGAATTTCAATTAATCAAATTACTTACTTTTCTATATCACAAAGTAATAGATAGATAAATACCCTTTTTATTTAGCTAAAAAAAACTCAACACAAAAATTTATTTTCAAATTTCAAACAAATAAGTTAAATCATTGTAAAAATTTAATCAACTTTTAATCAATTAAAAAGTAAACTAATCAAACGTATTCATTTTTTCAGTTAATAAAAACTCTATTTCAAGATTTTGCAAAATGGATTTTTTAAATGGCTAAGTTGTATAAAAGATATTAAATTTAGCTTTATTTAATTTTTTTAGTTTATAAGCAAATAAATATAAATATAAAAACATGGAAGAGTTTAAATAAGCATAATTTTTTACTAAAAATTTTATTTATTAATCTTTAGATGAAATTAAGTATTTTAATATAAAATATTATTTTGATTTTTTTAATTATATAAATTTAAAAAGTATTTTTAAAAATTGAAATATTTTTTATATAAATTAATGATGAATTTGTCAGAAAATACGGTTCAATGCCTATTTAAATAACTCTATTTATAGTTTATTATAATATAAGATTTAATAGTTAAGTCAATATCACCTTTAAAGCTAAAATTCAAAAAACAATTAGATAAATATTATTTATTCTTTAATTATTTAAAATTTTAACAATTTTTCAAATAAATGCTAAATAAACAAAATTTAATATTTTAAGCATTTTTATAGAAATAAAAACTAATTTTTAATATTATAATTTAATAAATTAACAGAAATTAATTAATAGATTATTAAATTTGTTTTTATAATCGATAAATAATAAAATCAATAAGATTCAAAATACTTTAAAAATTTTATCATATTTATCTAATTCATAAAATTTCTAAAAATTTTTAAGATCCTTAAAATTAACATGTATTAAGAACTTCAATTTGGATAAAATGAAAATTATTTAAATAAAATCAATCTTTAATCAAAAATAAATTGTTTTATTGATTTAAATCTATTATTATATTCACATGTTTAATATAATTGCTTGAGAGTTTTGAGGAATTTAATTAATAATTAAAAAATAAATTTCTAATATTTTTGTATAAAATAGCTAATAATAATTTTTATAAAAATTAACTACTTTTTGTAATTAATACAATAAAATTGTTTTAAAAAAGCCAATAATTAATTTAAAGTTATTACTGTTTTTAACAATGTTTACATATTTAATATTTTAAGTATAAAATATTAAGTACTCTATTTAATTTTTTTTGACAAATAAAATACAAATAAATATTTTTAAATACTCAAAGTTTAATCAACCATTTTTATTTTAAACACTTTTACCTATTTTCATAATTTTTTTGTTTATATGATAACTTAAATAATATGTATTTGTGATTTTTTAAGAAGCACTTTTCTAATTGTGAATTTTACTTAAATCTTTCATTTGAATAACAAATAATATTTAAATTAAGTTCTAATTTTGTTTTATTTCCTAAATAAAGAAGTATAAATATTTATTTGTTTGTTTGTTTTTATTTAAACAAATTCATTATTTCTTTTTATTTTAAGTTTAATTCTGAGGATTTAAATTATAACATTTTTACTTCTTGAAAAGTAATATATTTTAATTTTTAGAAAAGAAATAACAAATTTTTTGGAAAGATATTTGATTTGAGAATTTGTTTTCTTGCCAGATTATTTATTGCAGCTAAATAAATTAATTTAAATTAAGATATATTTTCAATGCTTTATATCAGAAATTAAAAATATGTTTGTAAGCTAAAAAAATCAAAGTTTTATAGTAACATAAAATTAAAAATTATATGAGGTTTTTTATATTTTATCTGATATTTATCAATAAATCTTTGAGTAAATTGAAAATTTGATATATTATTTATAAATATAATAAATAATTCATTAAAATTAGATTTTATTTTATATACCTTACATTAATGATTTTGATGTTTTATAATAACTCAATTTAATAAAAGAATATAAATAATAATAAATATTAAAATTTTTATTTTCCTATATCTTCTACCATTGACTTCAGTGTTTTGTTTAATGATTTATATAAATGTAACAAAGTAAATATACTTACAATATTTTTTTTTGAGATAGTATCTAAAATGATAAAATTCTGATAAAATTTAGATATTCTATTTCCATTTTTATCCTTATCAGAAATATTGAAAAAAAAATAATACATGTATTTAAAAAATAAATAAATTTAATGATAGTATTAAGAAAAAGGATTTTTAATCTATTTTTAGATTATTTTTAAGCTGCTAATTGGTATTTTTAGTGTAATATATATATTTTTTTTAAGAAAAAGTATTCATATTATTTCATAATAAATTAGCTGTTAATATAAATGAGATAGTATCTAAAATGATAAAATTCTGATAAACTTTAGATATTGTATTTCCATTTTTATCCTTAACAGAAATATTGAAAAAAAATTATACATGTATTTATAAAATAAACAAATTCAATGATAATAATATTAAGAAAAAGGATATTTATTCTATTTTTAGATTATTTTTAAGCTGCTAATTGGTATTTTTAGTGTAATCTACATAGATTTTAAAGAAAAAGTTGTAATATTATATCATAATAAATTAGCTGTTTAAATAAACAAAATTTTGTATTTTTATAGAAAATATCGAAAAAAATATAAATTTTGGATGATGATTTTAAGGACTTTTAATAAAAATTAAGAAATCAAAAATAGATTTGATATTTATGTAAGACAAAAAACAGTTATTGGTTAGTTTTCTTTCAAATTTTCTTTTGCTTAATGAATATATATTAGGTAGTAAACTCAAAAAAGATAGTTCAATTCAAAAAAAATAAACCTATATCAAAGAAAAAGAAGAAAGAAAAAAAGTCTGATGATTGTGAATGATAAGTGAAGCGAAATAGTTATTGATTTACAAAACATTATGTGAGATTTATAAAATATATAATCTAAAAAATTATATGGATTAATGATTAATTGCATAATAAAATGATATGCAGAATTATTGAATTATGAATTTTGCATATGTATTTTTGTGCTTTTTGCAATTTGTTAAAAACAAACTCAAAACAAAAATCAATGAATTATATTAATTAAATAAGCAAAAAAAGAATAAAGATATAAGAAACTAATATATTCACAATTAAAGCATTATAAGAGCCACAAAGAAAAACTAAAGATTAAAAGTGGTTGATAAAGCGATTCGCTTGCGAGATAATTTAATAAGCAGAAAACATTTTAGAAATAAAATTTTTAAATAGGTAGAAAATATAGAATAGATTAAGATTGATCATTAGCAATTCGATTCAAGAAGAGGATCAATCTTTTAAGATAAAACCTGGATTATTAAATACAATAAATCATCATTATAATACATAATAGAAACGCTGACATATTTCAGCAAAAATTTCATTCCAATAAGAAAGTAATTGAAGCGATATAAAAAATATGCCAATAACCGAAAAGGGTACTTTTAGCTCTCTCCATAAATCCGAAGAGGGACTGTATTAGTCTACTAGAGAAATTAATAAGTATTTATTGAGGTTTAATGATTAGCTAATGGAGGAAGAATATTTTTAGTTTAGTATTTAGAAGTATAGGTAATTAGGCTATGTAATTTGTCTGATATAAATTATAATCTATATAGCAGATTTTATCAATTTATTCTAAGAGAATAAACTAACATAAAAATATGTAGTTTTTTTTGTCTTGATGCTTTTAATCGCAATTTTCTTGTTGCTGATTCTTTATTTTAAGGGAAACTGGTTTAATACAATATATTCATTCTACTACACTTTCTATATCACACTTTTAGGATGGTCCATGTATGATTTTGACTCAAATTAATCAGCAGTTAACATGAGTAGCATAACCTAAATTGATATGTTTATATACGGATTTACGATTTCTTCAATCCTCATTTTAGGTAATTTAGATAGTTAACAATTATCAAGAAAAAGTTTGCAAATTTCATATTAAAAAGCTAAATTTTAGACTTTATAACTTACATATTAATCAATCGTAGAAGAGAGACAAATTTCGATTTAGAAATAAATTATGTATAAATAATTTATGATTAATTTCGTTCTAAAGCCTAAGCTAGCTATGCTTATTTTAATTAATAAATTACAACATATTTTATCAGTAATTTAATTAAAAGCAAATTTGTCTATAAAATGCTTACTAAAATACTTTAATTATATCCTTTCAAACAATTTTTAAGTGTAAGCTCTATTCTTATAAAAAAGTATCTCAACTTCTAAAAAAATTTGAAAGTTGTAAGTTACTTAGCTAGTTTGTTTGTTAATTAATTAATTAACTAACAAAATAAACAAATTTATTTCAATTACTTTTTGATTATTTCAAAAAAAACAAAATATATCTTCAAAAAAAAGAGCTATTTACTCAACAAGATATTTTCAACTAATAATTAAAAAAAATTTTATCAAAATACTCCAATCAATTCATTTTTTTTACAAGAACAATTTTCTAACATAGAAAATACATAAGGCTAAGCTATTTAAATTGTTTCATATCTTCGATTGCTGATTCGTAATCTTATATTTGCTTTGAAAGTATTATAAATTTCTAAATATTTAGTAAACATAATCACCACAAAAAAACTTTTTTAATTTTTAATAAATTTAAAAACTGAGAAAATCTGAAAGTTTACACTTGAATTATCATCAATTTCCAAAAAACAATTAAAGGTTACGAATTAAAAAATCATCATCAAAAAATCACTCTTACCTACAGTATTACCAATTAATTTAGATATGCTTTAAATGTGTAGTTGTTTGATTAATATTTTGTAAAGTTAAACTTAGATAAATAGTTTATGTGTGTGTTTTTTTTTAATTAAATTTTTTTTTATAAAAAAGGTATTACAGGGTCTAATTATTTGATTAAAAATATATTATTTACTTATGGTACTATATTAATATATGTATCAAGAGCCATTCAAGAAAATGTATAGTATTACGCGATTATTCGTGTAATTTTAGTAATCTTATTATATTATTATGTTTCTTACCACAGAGAAAAAGCTCATCGCATATCGTTTCTTAAACAAAAATAAATTGACTCTTACAACAATATTATGAATAATTAAATTCCTCATTGCCTATTTGCTGCTAAATTTAATTTTAAAGAATAAAGGATTGAGCTCTTTAAATGCAACAGTAGGGCATAAAAGGAATTTAATGTTAATGACAATGAGGACTTTGATAAGTTTATTAGCAATTCTTATTTAATACATCAACATGAAAAAACAGAAAAAAGTGTTGCAAGTGCACACGCAATCTCTAATTCAGCAAGATAATAAGAATAATCCTGGGAAAACTCGCTGAAAGGAAAGATAAGATAATTAATTTAATAAAAAGAAAAATAAGAGTTATAGCAATTATAAAAAATCAAAGACGGCAGTGCTTCCAAAATAAATAATTATCAATCAGAGATAAATCTAAATTAATCTCCTATAATTAAATTAAAGCTTAGATAATAAGGTCTTGGATCTGATAATAAAATCAGTGTTAGACTCAGTATATTTAAACTCCATGAGTATTACGTAATTATCACAGTTGACAGAAACCACAAAAAGAAAAATAAATTTAAAAAGGAATTTAACTCTAAAACAGGTCCTAATAATGAAACAGGAATTAAGATTATAAAACAGCGCACACAAGAGAATATTCGATATGTTACATACCAAGATGATATCGCTTAAAATCATGAAACCCCTATTTTGAACATTGGAGACTAAATTTCTCCTATTATTTAAAAAACTCAAATAAATGGCTAAATAATGAGTTTTAATCCTGATTAATATTAAATAAAAAATACTCAGCATTTGTAGCCAGCAACCTCACCAAATTTCTAATAAATTTCATAGCAATAATTCAGTAATTCAATTATTCCAAATTCTTAGAAGTAAAGCCCAACTCTACAAGCATAATTATAAAAAGAGGAAGATTAAGTATTAGTAAATAAAAACTCTCCTCCAAATAATTATGCTACTTACTCTTTATCGGTATAGCACACAATGAGATAAGGTTATAATCCTAATAACCATTCATTTAATTTTGGAAGCAACACACCTACTACAGGTTAAACTAATGGCAATTTTAATTACCAAATTGATACAGCAAATATTGTTAGCATAAATGGAGTAGATAAAAATGGTGCTACAAACATCACAAATGGCCAAAGAAAGAGCTTTTTCAATGCTAAAACTATATCAAACAATAACTATTTGAATTATATGACTCAAAAAAAGCTTACCCTGACGAATCCTACTAATATGGTAAATATGGCAATTAGGAAACCTATGAATAGTATAAATTCAGTTACTTCTACTAATCTACCTTTGAGTAGCTCTCATATTAACTAAGTTAGAAATACTTCTATCGATTAATATTAACCAAATCCTAGAATTTCATTAGGAAGTCGCAGTAATACAAACAATAACTTTAACTCTCAGTCTGGAGGTGGTTAACCAAGTAATACTAATCATCAATAAAACTCTCTCGAAAAAAAAGTAAAAGAAAAAATTTTTGATACTTGCTTCGAAATAATTGCTCAAACTCTTTCTCTCATTTAACGCTATAAGTCTATTGCGCCTAATTTCAAATAAAGTAAAATGAGTACTCAGTTTCTTTATTAGTATAGAAACTAGTCAACCTCATAGCTACACATGATGGCAAGTAACAACATGCAAAGTTAAAATTTGCATCTTAATCAAAACTGTGGAGGAAAAGAGATGAATTAATCAAACTTTTCAGATTAGAGTTACTATGAGGCTTTCGAGAAATACACATCTTGTATGATGCAGTAAATCCTAATAAACAACTCTAATTTTTTAAAATTTACAAGACTAGTCTTCAACTAAGTTAATGTAAAAACAGCTTAATTAAATTCCTTAGACTTAATTGAGTTTTTAAAAGTTTAGCTCAATCCAATTTTAGCTGAAAAAAGCATTTAACTTTATCTCTAGGATGATTTTGATGCTACATTCTACACAGATGCGAACATCTTAAAATTAATACTAATGAATTTAGTTCTTTACACAGGAAATATTTTAACAGAACTATAGTATATTGGTTTAAAATTTAATTTAAATGATGATAATACTACTCTAAAAGTTCAGCTCTCAATGCCATACAGAGAAAACCACGTATTTGACCATATTGATACCCTTCACATTATTGCTTTAGACTAAATTGAAAAAGATTATTAAGTCTTACATAAATTTTATGTAGATTTAAGAGTTGCTTTTTGTATGATCAAAAAGCTTAACTATGACAATCCTTAGGTAGAAGATTATATAAAATTTACCCACACTCATCCAAATAACAATCACATGTATTTGACTTTTACAATTCCTGCTTAGCCATTTACTCCGAAGTCGAATTTAGAGAGCAACCACATACCAATCAATGAGAATCTACATAGTCTTAGCAATCATAACAATCCGGTTCACAGATTGGAGGAAAATATCAACTTAAATGAAAAAGATTTTATAAATTAACGATCCCAAAATGAAATTAATCAATCAGCTTACCATAACATGTAGTCAAAAGATATAAGAAATACAGAAGAGTGTTTTCTAGATGACTCAATAAGCTCTATTGAAAGATGGGTAACAATTAAGCAATACACAACTCGTATAACTGATAAATAAATAAAACTAATCGTTTGATTAAATAAATAACATTCTCTTTAAACTCACTAAAATACTATATCTTTTCTATTGAACTCTATCTAACATTTTATATCCAATTCAAAAGTGCTCACTTACTTAATTAATTTCGATTTATTTAAAAAACAATTTTAAAATCAGTAAGTAAATTAAAAATGAAATAATTAGTTCATTAACAAATTTAATACTGAATCTCTTAAATTGTATATTTTTTAATTTTCCTTAAAATTATATTTACAAACAAGTAATATAATCTGGAAACCTATAAACTAAAATAAGAGATATAAGAAGTATAAGAACAAATATTCTTAAATTATCTAATAATAAAAAACTTACTAATAACTTGCTTGATAAAAAAATTAATTTATTATGCTGATTATTTTTGTTTATATAAAAAATCTTATAAAATAATTTAATCAAATTTAATTTAAAATAATACTCCCTCCACCCTATCTATATTCATATTATTATATTATGTTTATTTTCAAATTATTTTAAATATATAAAGATACATATATAGTTTTAATTCAAAAAGCTAAATAATCTTTGCAACATACATAATATATTTCTATGTTATTAATAATATTATTTTTGTTTTTGATAAGTGTATTTTTAAATAAATTAGTTTAAATATCCACAAATTTCTTAAATAAACTAAACTATAATTCATTTTAATTCTTAAATGTAATTTAATTCATTCAAACAAAATAAATAAAATCTCTTATTTGTCCAATAAAATTTCTAATAAATATTTGATAAAGTTTTTTTTCATTTAAATAAATATATTGTGAATAATTATTAATCTTGAATTATTTTATTTGTATGAATTAGATAATTATTATAATTATATCATTAAAATATTTTCGTAGATTTTCTTTGAGAGTAATAGATTCTTTGTATTGATATAATTAATTCGAAAATTAAATTTTTAGTTATCAAACAAAATATCTAAAAATATTAGGATGAATATAAAAATTCCATTTTATATGTTCTTTAACTATTTAGAAATTATTACAAAATTTATAAGAAAAAAATGAATTTCAAAGATAATAAATATATTCACAATTTTATATGTGATACTTATCATTTCAAGATTTTAAAAAGTTGAAACATCAAGAATCTATAATTTGTGGTAACTTTTTTTTCCCTGTAGTTGGGTTTGAGGATATATAAGTTATTTACAAAAATTTAATTTATGGATAATTTTTTATTGCTTACTAAAGAATAGAAACAAATTTCAATAACCTGTTAGAAATAAAATTGAAACAAATAATCAATATATTCAAAAATGCTAATGAATTTTCAATTATATTATTTAGTAACTTAATATTTTAGAAATCAAGCAATGTTATTTGGTTTTTGTAGAGTTTGGAAAATTCAATAAATTTGTTTGATAGATTATTCATCCTCAAAAAGTGATTTTTATCAGTGAAAAATTTATTAAATAAAAGTCTAATGCGAAACAATAAATATAATCGATTCATTCATGCAATAAAAACTAATATTTTTTAGTGAATATCCAATAAGATGCTAATTTCAATGATTGAGTGAATGAGAAGGTATATGATAAAAAGATGATTATAAACGACTTAAATTCTTTCTCAAGGGAAAACTTAGACAGAAAAACAAGCAAACAAAAAAATTAATAATTGAATTAATAAATAATTTAGAATAGCAAAGTAAATATTAAGGATATTAAAGAACTGTAATATCCTTGTTTTTTTTTGTAATTTATTTGATTTTTAAATAATTAAAAGGCAATCATAGATAGATCTAGTAAATGTATGAAAAAATAAAACGAATCAAAGAAATTTTTAACAAAGAAGGAGGTTAATAAGAAATAGAAGTTACTGGAAAGGGCATTTTCTATAAACCGGAAAAGGAAGTTAATAAATACACATTACATTTTAGGAATGTCAAAATAGAAAAAGAGTATTTTTAGCTTAATAGGATACATTACATTTACTAAGCAAATATAACATTAGCTATGCATATGATTATTGTATCGTCTGATTTAATTACATTTATTACATCTTATTCTTTTCAAAGCGAGCAAAAAAGCATAATCGTAATGGTCATTCTCATCTTAATGGATCTTTTCTTTATAATACTAATAAACTTGAAAAAGCGGTATATTAATTGGATTTACTTTACTTTTCAGATATTTTATATTACGATTACTGCCTATGAAATATATGATCAAACGTTAGATAATTTAGAAAAGGAGACAAATAACCCCTTTCTCAGAGGATTTACAGTTTCCAATTTTATCATACTAGGTAAGTATTTACTTCTTCATTGTTTTTTTAAACTTTTTGTAGTCTTTATCTCCTTTGATAAATTCCTCTCTTTAAAAGTTTTATTCTACCTGAAAATAAGTCTTTAAAATAAATTCGGGTGGATTAATGAATGGTATTAATAATTCTTAAAATTGTTATCGTAATTTCAATTATCCTCATTAAAAAATAGTTTCTATAATCTTAAAAGAGCAAAAGACTTAAATTATTTTAAGTTAAATAAATATCATTTTAGTTAGAGATCAAATTACTTGTTACAGTTTAAATTTTTAAGTTTTTAATATTTAATAGAACTAACTACATCTAATATAACTAAATTATTATAATCATTTATATAATCGTTTTATTCAAATTTATTTTGTATTTTTTTAAATCTAGCTCATTTTCTTATTTTATTATATTTTAAAATAGGTATTCAAGGATCAAATTTAATTTTAAAGTCTATTAGTTTCTCATACTCCATAATTATTTTCTTTCTCTCAGTCTACTTGAAATAATAAATTTAATACAGTATTTTAATCAGATTTCTTTTGGCTATTATTCTGTATATTTATACAGTTTATTCTAATGATAAGTTTTACAGATTCTCATTTCTCACTTAAAAATAAATTGATCAGTATAATAAAATGATGAATAACTAAGCTCCATACTGCTTAATGTCAGCTAGGTTCAACTAAAAGCTTGATAAAATAGAATTGATAGAGTGCAATACAAGGGCAACCGAAGAGTTTTAAATTAAAGCTGAAAGCGATTTTGAAAATTTCATCAGCTAGATTTTTATCAGGAAAAAAAATAAGCCGAATTTCATGGTTTCTAATAATCAAATTGAGGAACAGAGTAATTATCAAAATTCTTTGAAGGGACAAATAAAATCAATGATTTAAAAAGAAATTTATAAATAAAAGTAGGACAAAGCAGAAATGAAAAAATTTTAAAAGTAAATGAGCACTAAGAGTAAAAAATAAAAAAGCAGATAACAACAAAAATAAAAAAATGATAAAGATATTAATGAAATAGCTGATGAAATGAAGCTTGACTCAAACACCTACGGAATAGAAAAAAATTATGATTCCAGTGTTAAAAAACTAAAGTTGTTTCACTTCGATAAAGAATTAAATTAAGAAAATATCCTTAAGGCCAAGCTAAGTTTGTTTAAATGGCATTAATATTATGTTATAATTACGATTGAAAAGAAAAAGCATCATAACTAACCAGAATAAAAAAGTAAAGCGCACACTATACATTCAGTAACTATGAAGGAAAAAAGTAATTCTCTTTCTGGAAATTACAATAATCAGAATATATTATAAAAGTAATATTAATTCCATAATACTAAAATAAATAACCAACCTGTTTCAGCTCTACTTCCTCCCACTACATAAATGGGAAGCTTTAATAATATTTCTACTAGCAATAATCTATATACTATTACTAACGGGTTAATAAATTAGCAGTCCTTTAATTAAAACACAAATATGAGTGTAAATGTGCCAAATATACCTATAATTAAGCTACTTTAGCACTCAGAAAATACAAATAACTATAATTCATCACTTTAAACGTCTACTGCGACTCCTGTTATTTTAAATTAATTAAGCTGTTTTAATAGTAATAATATTTCAAATCTAAACAACGATCCTTTGAGAAAAGACTGGCTAATTGAAGTATTTCAAGAAACCATCAAGGTTATTCTTCAAAAGCTGGAATAATTTAAACAAAAATTTGATACAAAGAAATTCGCTTAGCTCAATATTGATCCATCATCATATTTTCGGAGCTTTGCTTCAGAAATATAGCTATAAAATGCCAATCTCTTGAAGCTAATGAAAATCAGAAGCCAAAAATAACAAATGGTGATTAAAAAAATCCAACTTTCTGAATTAAGCGCTGCAATAAAATAGCATTTCGAGCCTTTGTTTAGAGAAAGTTAGATTAAATTATTCATAGATTAAGAAAAAGAAGATTACATATCCACAGATTAGAATTTTCTTTAGTAAATTCTAGTAAATATCATCACGTACTGCTATAAACTATTATAGTAATAATCTTATAACTCTTTACAAAGTAAATAGTAATCATAGTATGTAGCTATAAAATACAATAAAATCCATCAAAATTAAACTATAAAAATTCAAATACAAATGCCTTTTGTATAAAATCATAAATTAGATTTAATTTAATTTTAAGACATATCTCTGGAAGGAATGAAATAAGATAAAATAAACCATAAACAACTGTTCTTAGATCTCAAACTATCTAACTAATTATTGGCTATCCTAAATAAATAAAAAATCTAACAATTAAACAATGAATAAATTAAACGACACTAGATCGAAAGTAATTTTATGACATAAAACTTATCTCCAAAAGAACATCAAGATATTACTCCAAAAATGTTTCAAATCGACATCAACGAAAGGCATAACAGCATAAAAGGTTCTGAATATACTTTTTAGTAATTAAACAACACTTAATAATCATTCTAAAACCCTATAATGTCTCCAGTAAATAGTTTTTAAAAAGGTGGAAACACAATACTTAGCCCAATATTAAGTAGTCATCACTCATTTTACAACACTCCATCAGCCTCAATGATCGGAAATACTAGCTATAATACTTCGCCTAAAAAATATAACTTACAAGAAAAGAAAATATTTAATGAAGGCGGACTTGACGTAGATTTAAATTTAAGTAACTATCCTCTCAATAACTATTCCAATCAGAATCAAAGTTCAATAAATGAAATCAGGAAAAACTCGATAGAAAGCAGAAATTAATTCAACTAGGGATCTAACATTACTCCTTCTAATTCCTAGCCTTTTTAGCATTTTAGGAGTAAAAGTAAAAACTTTTATGCAAAATTCAAGTCAAACCCAAATGAGCAAAACAATTTATAACACTTAAAAAAGAATAATCCAGAAAATGAAGAATAATAAATAACAAACGATAGAAATATTGATGGCTTAAAGTTTTAAAAAAATAATCAACAGTTTGAGAAAAAGCATGAGAATAATTAAACTTTAGACGAAAAATAGTAAAATAGCAATCCTAATATGCAAAGCTTTATATAAATTCCTAATAAATAATAAAAAACTAGTTTGACAGATATTCAAAATCCCAATTTCAAAGATCAAGAAACTGAATATTTAAAAATTCCTTTTTAATTTTCTGAAAAAACTATAAACTCTGCCCAGTTTAAACCTAAGTAAATCTAAGGTTTAACCATTAAAAGCTCTGATAGTAAAATAAATTATGATACCTAAAAATATCAAAATTTAGAAAAAGATAAAGCCATAATTAATAAAGGCAGTAGCTCTATAGAAAATACTCAAATTGAGGATTTAGAAATGATCAAATTCAAAGTTAATCAAAGGCATATTTTCATATCATTCTAGGTTGTGGACTATTCTAAAAATAATCCATCATAAACTCACAGAAGTCCTTAAAAAATATATTAATAGAGTGAAAATATAGATATCATCAAAGATTATTTTGTTTCAAAATAAAAGGATTATATTCTTTCAAATAAGAATGAATAAAAGTAAGAACTCAACTCTCCAGATAGTTCTGTGGATGATCTCTTCAACTAATTAAATGATTCCAACGATTCAATTAAAAGGTGGGTAGACTAATAGCAAATTCTATCAAAAAATAATCACTTATATGAAGAAATCTGAAAATTTCTTTACAAATATTATGCCAAGCTTAATTTAAAAAATAATATTGCAATAAAAATCTCAATGTCTATAATTAACAACAATAATGTAAAGTAAATTTTTCTAATCCTAATAACTACTTAAATTATATCTATTACTTCTCAAAACATATCTCTATAAATAAATCTTTAATTTTATTCATCAAATCTTCTAATTACCTAAAAAAAAATTAAAATAGTTAACATTATTTAATGTTGAAACTTATTTATATAATTATAATATATATTATTTCATTTTTAATACTGTAAATTCTGTTTAAATAGCATTACTTTTTGTTAAAATAAATTTAGTAAGATTTTAAATAAATTTAATATTTTTTATTGATTTTTAAATTTATTTTAAATTCTTGAAATAAATAAATTTACAATTATTAAATAATTATTTAATAAACAAATTCATAATTATTATTAGGATTGAGAGTATTAATTTTTTTTAGTTTATGAATAGATGCCAATTTATAAGATAGATAGTCAAATAAATTTAAATTTCTAAATAAATCTTCCAAGAAACACTTACATATAGAAGCAAAATATAATTCTTTAAAAAATATTTTTTATAAATATAAAAAAAGAAAATTAATTATTGATTATTAATGAATTTTATTGTTTGAAGTAATTTATAATTTTTAATTTAAATAAATAAATAAAATTTATAAAAGGAAGAGTATAAAAAAAACGAAATAGATTTAAATTAGATATCTTAAGGACTGAATTGAAAAATTTATGACAGAAATAATAAAAAGTTACTAAAAATCAGAGTTTTAATAACAAATTAATTACCTGTCTTAAATAAGACTATCTTTGTAAACAAGGTAAATTTATAGAAATAATTTATATGAAATTAAATATTTATTATTAAAAGTCTAATATTCTTAAACAAATTTGATTTAGAATGTCTTTAACAATTTCTGACTATCAATTAGCAGATTACTTGCCTGAATTTGTAAATTTATTTCTAATTTTGGAAGATTTATCTCTCATCTGTTTTAAAACTAGGAAATTCTAATATTAATTTGAGATCTGTAAAATAAATAAATATTTAGCTCCATTTAAATTACTTCCTGATGTAGATAATCTTAAATTATATTTAGAGTAAGTAAAAATAAAAAATTGTTTGTCATAAATTTTTTATATCTTAGATTAGCTTCAATAAATCCAGAATCTATTCTATTTGCATTAGATAACCTCACTTAAAAAGATAAAATAAAAATTATTAATTTTAAGTTTCAGTAAATTTTAATACATAAAAATCATCCATTAAAAAAAATATATTTTTAAATTAATTAGGCTAATTTAAATCAATAAATTTACTCAATATGATTTTTTTTATAATCATTTTAGCTAATTTTAAAAGCTCTCTTGTGTTTCAATATATCTAAAGTAAATTTATATTATCTAATATATTTTAAATTTTAATTATTCTTTTAAAATATAGATTAATTGATCTCAATAATGATTTCTTAAGTAATTTTTTATGTATGTTGTAAGAATGCCCAGAATTACAAGATCTGTCAATAAAGATGAAGTAAATTACTAAAATTAATTCCAAACTTAACTTGATTATCTATCTAATTTATAAGATAAAATGGAGTGAAAACTGGAGCAGATAATTTTTTTTAGATTGCTCGGAAAAGAAATGAGAAACTTAAAAATTTAAAGATAATTTTAAAGTAAATATAATATTTTAAAATAATTTTAATTCAAATATTAAATAAAATAAGGTCGCTGGATCTACCATAAAACTTTTTTAAAGTTTTGTCTGAAAATTTTTAATATTTTCCAAATCTAGTTTAATTTAAGTTGAATCTTGAGTAAAATATATTTATTTATTTTTAATAATAAATATGTAAATTTTAAATTAAATATAAGTCTTAGCTATAGTGTAACATAAATTATGAATGAAAATGACATAAATTTTTTTTCTGATTCTTTAAGCCTTTGCTAAGAATTATAGAATTTAAATATAAAAACTAAGTAAAAAAAAATAGAATAAATTAATTCGTAATTTATTTTTTTAAAGTTACATAGATCTAAATGATTAAGGCCTAACAAATCTTTCAAAATGCTTTTAGAGCTTAAAAAAACTAGAAATAATTAAAATCAATATTAAGTAATTCAACTAATTTAAATTAATTTAACATTTTTTAAATTATAAAATATTCTTAAAAAAGCTCTAATAAAATTAATGGTTAGGGATTGGCTGATTTAGGATTTTAGATTGCAAGAATAAATTAACTTAAATAAATCAAATTTAAAATAAATTTAAATCAAAATTCAGATAAATTTAATATAGATAAAGCATTACAATTATTTTATCAAAATTTAAAGCAGTAAACACAAATTTAAGAGTTATAGCTAGAGTAAATTTTAATATTCTTCTTTCTCATTCAAATTTATTTTTTAGCTTACAAAATATAAGCAGTTAGCCAAATCACATAATTGAATTTGCTAAATCTCTAAGAAATTTTGAGAGTAAATTGATTATTTTAAATATCCGTTTTCAGTAAATAATTTAATTAAACTAAAAATTAATTTTGATTTATTTTTTTTTAGAAACAATAGCATATTAGATAGTTCAATAGAAATAGTAGCATAAGGACTGTAAAATTTAATCAATCTAGAAAAACTATCAATTTATTTAAAGTAAAATTAGCATTTTAATTTATTATGTTTCATTCTAATTCAAAAAAAATAGCTTGAATAATATTTCAGAAAAAGGAGCTATAAAACTAAATAATAGTTTGTCTTGCTGCAGTAAATTAAAATTTCTATCACAGGATTTAAAGTAAAAGTTTAAATTCTAAATTTAAATTTAAATATTTTTAACATGATTTTAGATGGGGATAATAAAATTTTAATTCTAATTTCATTTGTGTGTAAAGTTCATTTTAGCTTTAAGAAATAGATCTAGATATGAGGTATTCTAAATAAAATTATAAATATATTAATTTTTTATAGAAAATTTAGTATAGATACAGATCAGGTTTTTTCTTTCATTAAAAAACTATAAAACTAATAAGAACTAATGAATATTAGTATTAATTTAATGTAAAATTTTAGATTTTAGATGAGTTTAATAATTCTTATTTTACAAAAAAGGAATACTGAAATTAAGCTCAATGATTTCAAACAAATCTTACTTCACTTTTCAAAGTATAATAAATTAAGAAGATTGCATCTTGAATTAAATAAGTTAAAAAAAAATATAATTTACTTATAAAATACTAATCATTAAAAATTATTTTAATATAGGGGATCAAAATTATAAAAAGAAATAAAGAGTTATACAAAAAGAAAATTAATATATTTAGTAACTTTTAAATGAATTAGATATGAAATACAAATAATTTTTATTTCATATTTCTTATTGGTTTAAATAAAATATATATTAATAATACATTCAATAATATTAATATTAAAATTTGATATTTTATAATAATATAAAATAGATTATTTATATTTTATTTTTTAAATTATAATTTTAATATAATTATGGTTAAATATATATTAAAAAAATAAAAAAGGATTTTTTAATAAAGATTAAAAATTATTAAAAATAAAAATTAAATTTTTTATAATAAATGTAATTAATTTCAAAAAAATATATCAAACACTAAAATTCATATCAAAAACATAAAAAATAAAAATATTATTAAAATAGATATTTATTTATTTATCTCACACTGCATCATCATTATTATTGTCGTCATCATCATCATCATCATCATCTGATCCATCATTATTATTTTATGGTACATGTTCATTTATATTATTTAGTTTACCATTAAGCTGCTTTTTTTCCATTTCAAAACCAAATATTTTCATTTGTTAATTATTAATATTTTTAGATATTTCTTATTTTTAAGATTAAAGTTATTTTTATTTTAAATCTAATTATTATTTAAAATCCTTAGAAAGTCTTTCATATAAATTAAAAATATATTTATGTTTAATTTCTAAATCTTCAAATTTAACTTCATCTTCTCCAGGTAGTAATAGAGGATCTAAATATTATTAATCAGGAAAGTAATTAATATATTCAAAAATATTTTATTCTGTGGTATTAGGTTATTATTTCTATGCTATTAAATTTCTTATAATATATCTGCCTAATATTAATTATAAATCTTTATTAGATTTAATTTCGTTTTCATCATTACTATTTTTATTTAATACATCTAAAACTCTTTATTTAAATTTTTTTATAAAATTCTCAAACATATTTTCTGAAAGCTGGTCTTTGTATGTTTTATCTAAATTCTAAACAAGATCATCCATTAATTCAGTTTCTAGTATAACAAGCAAATCAAATAATTCACAAACCTCGAAATATCTTAGGCATTCCTTAAAATATGATTCATCTTCAATAAATCCATTTTTCTCTAGCTCAATATATAAGTTATTTTTTAAAAATGGTTCAATTTTTTGTTAGGGCATTTTTTTCATAAGATCATGAAGTAAGAAAAGCTATTCCCTAATTTCAAATTTCTATTCTTGCTATAGGCATTGCTTTAAGAATTTTTCTTTCGTTTTAGGATTTAGTCTTTTAATTTTTTATACATCAATACCTTATAAAATATTATTACTATATATGATTCCTAAATTTTTTGTATCTTTTTTTATTTCAAAGTAGTTTGAATCTTAGAATTCCTTAATTAAACTCTTATTTAAAAGCTAATCAAAAATATAATAATTTTTTAATAATTTTGTATTCATATTTTTATTTTGTTAGCCTATTTCCAACTGTAAATTCTCAAAATAAATTAAATTTTATGTGTTAAAGTTTTGTGAAATTGTAATCATATCATCGTCATATAACTCAAAAATTTCTTTAGGTTATGTTTTCAAGTTTTTAATCTCATTTAAAACATTATTTTAAAGTGATGTTATTTCTGTAATAAAAAAATGAAGTTAATCGCCTCCACTTGCTTATGTTTCATTTTCCTTTTTAATTATTAAAAAATTTCCTAAAGGTACTTAATCTGCCGTTTCGAGCTTTTGTGTTGGTTAAACTTTACATCCAATTTACATTTAAGGATAAAATTCACATAGCTTTTTTAAAATTAAAAATGTTAAGTAAAAATAAAAATAATAAAATTGTATGTAAAACCTTATTCCAGCACTCCTTAACATTTTCATCATAGTACTTCAGTAAATATGGTTTATTTTCAACAATTTTCTATAAAGTGTATGATTCTGAGATTTTCTCAGTCAATTTTTTAGAATAAAATTAATGTATTTTTTTGTAAAAGTATATCAATGGATAAATATATTTAATTTTAGAAATATTATCTTTATTCTAGATAATAAATCTATATTTGTAATCTCTTTTAAGATACTGGCCTTCTAACTCATTAAATTAAGGTATTTAATAATACTATAGAGTATTATAAAATAAAACTGTTTTGACTTTATCTCTTATTAAAGATTAAAACAATTGATATTTTTATTCTTATTCGAAATGAGCTTTTGAATGTTTATCAAATTCTTCTAATATCTATTTGATTTAAGATGGGAAATTTTTACAAAATAAACTAAATTCCTATTCAAATTAGTTTCTATTATTCAAAATAGTAAAATCATTTTATTTTATATTCAATAACTATTAAAGAAGCTAAACAGCTATGACCAGTAATTATTCATCAGTTAATTTTAAAAATTCTTTTATTATTTTCCACTAGTTGGTCATTTTTTCAATGTAATTCTTTTCATCCTACTAGTTTTTATTTGAGGATATAAACATTAAGCAATAAATAACCAAATTTCCAAATCTAAAAGCCAAAGGATCTATTTATCTTGGAGCAAAATATTTATCTTCAATAAACTCGTGAATAAATCCTATCTATTCTTAAATATTTTATTATTAATATTCTTAATTAATATTAATATGATTAGCACCTCCAATATTTTTATTGCAGCTATTACACTTTACTGTAACCATATTCTTGCCACAATTACCTACTGCATAAACAAAACCACAGGTGCATTAATAGACCTTTGTTTTATCTTTAACAGAATCTAACACATTTTTTATTTCAATAGCTTAAATTTATTGTTTAGTCAAGCTATTGAAAGGAATGTAAATTTTTTATATAAATTAACTTGATTATGGACCAATGAATTATCTAAATTAATTTATTTAGTCGTTTTGATCCATCACAGTTGAAGCTAAATAAATAATAAATTTAACTAGACTAGATTAATTTTTTAGATTTTGAGTTTTATTGTAAATCTAAATTTATTATTCATTAAAGAGACTATCTCTGATTTCCTATTTCATCATTTTTAATGTTGCAAGTACTAAAAAGTTTTATTTATTTTACTCCCTATTTTTTAATAATAAAAAATTTTTTATTAACAAATAGTTTTATTTATTTTTTTAATTTTACAATTCATCTAGCTTTTTTATATAATTTTCTTTGCACCATGGAAATTCATAAGGATCAAAACTATTTGACTAAAGCACTTTTTTAAAGCCGTCAATAAATAGGAACTGAGGTCTCTTTTATACCTCATTGCTCTATATTTTCTTTAAGAAACTTGAATCTTCATTGAATATAAGCTTCAGTAAATATAATTGTAAATATTATTTATCTATTTAATTAATATTATTGTTATCACCTAACGATACCAAAAATAAACTAATTTCATTTTAATTGAAGTTTTTATTTTCAAATGTATCATTTTCATAGCCTTCTTTTAAAATTTTTGAAATTTCCTATTTAAATAGTAAATTAAAAAAACGAAAATAATATTTAAAAATATTTACCGGCGCAATTAACCTAAAATAAATAGAACTAAATGTAAATTATACAGTTGTATAAGGTAATTTTTCTTGATTCTTAAAATTAGTTATTATATGATTCGGATTTAATTAATAAATTTGATCATTCTTTTAGAAGACAATTTCACCTATTCTAATTAGTAATTAACTAAACTTATCTTCAGAATTCACTGCTTTTTATTTTAGTATTTCATCTAGAATTCGCAAGTAGTTATTCTTAAATAGCAATTTACTAAAGCCTTCCGCTAATAAAGTATTAAATATTTTAAGAAAATTTTAATCTATTTCTTCTTTTATCTATTTTAAGAAGTATGAGATTATCAAATTAATGTCAACCAATCTTTATTCATCGAACTACTTCATATCAAAATATTCTATAATTTGAATTATTAGATGTTTAAAACATAAATCTATTTCAACTTTGTTCTTATTAAGAATGCCATAAGTTGCAATAAATATATAACTATAAAAAGACTCTTTTTAGTAGAAATATTATAATTAAGTAGCTATTTATTCACTTTTCATCTCCTTAAAAATAATTAGTAAATCCTTTTTTTAAATATATTTTTATTTATTTAATATTATATATTTATAGATAATTAATTAAATATTTTATATGATTTTGTGTGTATATATGTATGTTTGCATGTATGTATGAATATACTTAATTAGCAAAAATTAAAACTGCAAAAGTTAATAGAGTTTATAATTTATTTTTTTTACCTGCTATCATGAATTTTAACAATTTAATAAAATAAATTATTTACCTTTATATTTATCAGATTTCCGTAAGACTTATAACATTAGCTTATGATTTAAAATCTCTAAGCAGATTTCTGTAAAGGAAATATTCTAATGAAATGCTCAATTTATTAGATTTGTACATTTTGCATTTTTTATAGTACAAGATAATAATACTCTGAAACATTCTCTAATATGTCTTTTTTGTTTACAAAAACCTCTTTATCTACTAAAAATTATGCCAAGTCAGTAGTTTTTTGGGGACAATTAAAAATATAAATTAGATCTAATATTTCGGTGAGAATCTTTTCATTATTCCAAAAAAGTTCATGAATATTGTAGTATTCTTTAAAGAATTTCTTTTAATTCAACTATTTTAGTAATTTATCACAAAATATCGCATAATATTAAATTTTATTATTATTAATATCTAGTTTAATATCTCTGTAAAATAAATAATCTTCTATATAGTCATTTAAATTATCAAAATTCAAGATATCTTTAAAAATCTTAACTTCTTCAGAAAAATGATTTTAATATACCTAATTTGTATCGTTAGATTCATAAATTTTTTTTGTTTATTCTATTTTATTGTAAATAATATTTGAGAATATAAATTTAAGTTCGATGTATGGAATACGTTTAATTTCTGAGCCATCTGATATTTAAATAGTTTAATTTATGTATTTTTAAAATATACCCATGTATAGATTTTGCTTTTGATGAGGTAATTTCTAAATTTTGTGGAAGTTTGTCAGTAAGTTTTAATCTTCATATTTAGAAAATATTATTAATAAAACACTCTCAACTTTATTTTTCAAGTAGTTAATCATTTACTTTTCATAATTTAAACCTTTAATCAAGTCGAATTTATATGACCATACATCATCTTAATCGCTGTTCTGTTTCAAATATTAAACAAAATAGTCATAAAAATGGTTATAAACAAAAGAATTCTATCCCTAAAAATGTTTCTCTAATATCTCTCTTATACTCTCGTAATATTAATAAAATTATTCTTTATCTGGCTCAAACCTAAAAGTCATTCTTTAAATTAATTTGGAACAAAAACCATGCATTTAAGTAAAATAGCTAAATATTTTCTTATTTTCTAAGATTTATCTTTCGTTTTTGCCATGAATATTTCTATAATTTAAAATCTAATTAATTTCTTAAATTTCAGAGGACTTTTATAAAGATGACTGCGTATAAGCATAAGGCAACAAGTTATCGATTTGATATTACTCCCATTCTAAGCAAAAAGGTAATCTATAATGCTAACTGTTTGAATATTAAATTATGATGATTATGCTTTTTTGCTTGATATTCTAATACTTTTATCTGCATTCATTTATAAAAGATCTAACATAATAAATATTTTAAGGATTTTCTTCTAAACAAGATATTTTAATTATCATTAAATTATAATTTCCTTAGTAGTAATCTTCTGTTTGTTATTAAAATACAAATTTTTGTTTTATTAAACTTAAGTCAATAAGTAAAGTTTCAAAGCCAATTTCTTTTAGTAATACTTTATAATTGCTATAAAGATAAGAATTTGTATAAATTATTGAATGAAAGTCTTTCTTTTATTTATTTTTTTCAAATTTGATGAACTCAATCAAGTTATCTAAATATATTTTTTAATTCCAAGCATTAAAGTAGTCTATGGTATCTTTGTTTCTCAGTCTAATAATATCATATTTTTTTGATAAATTACCAATCAAATCTTTACATTTCTCTAATAAATAATCTTTTTGATAAAATTCCTCTACTAAATTATATTGTGATTCCTCAAGTTTTTTGCACTCAGCTTAGATCATACCAAAAATATAAGATTTTTTTATAAAACTCAAAAAGTTTTTATCCTTCTAAAATGGCTATTTGATAATTTTGAACCTATTTTTTTAAATGATAAAAAAGTTAAAATAATAAGAAATTATTTATTTATTGATTAATATAAAATTTACTCATTCATTATATTATCAATAATGGCTTTTTATTATTTTTAGAATATCAGTTTTTCAGAGAAAACATGCTTCTCAAATCTATTTAAAAGTGCAAGATCCATTTTCATATATTAATCTTTTGTGACAATCATTATAAAGAGATAATTCTATGGGACTTCAATTCTAGTCTAAATTTATTTATAATTTAATCTAAATTTTTATTTATCCCCAATTCTAGAAAAATTCATAGTAAAGAAATCATAGTAAACAGCATAGATGTAATCTTAATTAACAGAAATGATACTGTAATTTTATTCTATGCTTGCATTGATAGAGCTTATTTCTCTTGTTTTATCTTCATAATAATCTTTTTTGAAATGACTACCAGCTTTAACCTTTTATAACATCAATAATATTTTAATAAGTTGGTATAATAATGCAAAAATATTATATCACCTGTGACTAAAGTTTATTTTTCTCTAACTACAACTTTGCAAATTAAATTCCTTAATCTGTGTTATCAGTTATTAGCATTGGGAATCTTGAGTGATAAACAAAATCTTCACATATTGGTTTAAAGCACTCCTCAATTATTTCTAGAGTATTTACTTATTAAATATCATCTTTATATTTCTAAAAAATTTTTTTAAATTCTTCTATTATTAGGTTTGTGTTTTAATCGTAACCGCTAAAATTTTTAATCATAGCCCTGTAAAGTAAGTTGACTAGATCTTTTTCTTCTTAGAAAATTGATGGATTTTTATTAAACATAGAAACACAATATTTGATTGTAAAATAGAAATCTCTTGAATTGTGAATGTAATTCTTTAACTTGCCATGAAAATTGAAATAAATTTGGCAAAACTTTTTATAAAAAAAATAATATTTTTTAAGTTCATTTTCTTTTAAAAAATAAAGATACTTCTTTTAAAACAGTTTTCAAGCTAGTGTTTGAACAAACTAACTAATTTACAAATTCTTTCAGATCTTCAAGGTTATTCTTGTTTCTTTATAAATGTAAACATCTATTTTATTTAGCATAATCTAAGCTATAATTTGAACTTGCTATGAAACTCACATCCCCTTCATCAAGAAGCTCATGCAAAACCTAAATCATTTAACAATTTAATAAAATTTTATTTTTCAATATTTACTTTATTTGGGTTATTTTCGCTCAATTCAGCTTAACCAGCTTCATCAAAGAATACAACTGGTAAGATTCCTTCTGTCTTGACTTGCTTAGCTTACTAAAATGCTTATCTAATTTCCTCAGATTATGTTTAAAGATTTCCCTTATAAAAAATTTAATTAAACAAAAAGTAAATTTATTTATTTATTTTACTTAAATGTAGAACTCTTTGATAGATGGAAATCCTTATAAAAATTATGAAGAGGAGGAAATTCCTTTAAAAGAATTTATAACCAATGTAAAACTTAATGTTTTTGATGTTCCAGGTTCTCCTGTAATAAAAAGAGGAGTTTTAGTTAATATGCATAAAGCTATACAAAAACAATTTTCTTTTAAAGCCCTATTTTTTGAAATTAGTTTTGAATCAATTTTTAATTGATTAATAAAGAAATCCAATTCTTCGTTTATAGTTTTATCAAAAAATAGAGGATTGTTGATTTTGTTAAAAAATTCATATTTGCTTTGAATATACTAAATCACTTTTTGGTATTCTTCTCTCTATTTTTGTGAATTTAGCCTTATCTAATAGCAGAGGTAGAGAGCAAGTATACAAGATTTTTATTTTTGTGTTTGAGTATTAGTATCTCCCCTTTTCAAAAAGTAAACTTTCATAAAATACTCAATGAATTTTATTGTTCTGCTTATATCTCTTAAGCTAGCACTTCTAGAAGTACCCTATTGACAGCGAATATATTGCTAAGATGCCATTATTAATTATTATATACAACTAAGTTCTTCTTCAGAGAAAATGTTTACTGTATTATCAAAGTTTTTCTTCATATTAACATCTAATTAATTTGATTAGCTGGTGTACTTACTTCTAAAGTTGATTTTTTTGAGCATTTAATAAATATTTTTCTCTTCCACTTTTTCTTCTAATTAACCATAATTTACCACAAAAGGTAGCATACTTTCTGGCAAAGGGTAAACATGATATGTAAGATTAGCTTTTTTAGTTTTTTCCAATTAAATCCTTGTTAAATACCCTGCTTCAAAACCATTTTGATTCTTTTTTAATACGTACTCATAAGGATTGCAAGCAGCAATACAAACAAGATTTTGGTTATTTTTAAATATTTTTTTACCATTAACAGATTTATCAAAAAAAATCTCCTTGAGTAGTCCATAAATATTTTGGTTAGTGTTTATTTCATCAAAAAATATGACTACTTTTGAATTATCGTGATACTTCTTTTTAATGTCTTTCATAAATTTAATTATTTAATCTACAGTAGTTCCAGCAGATAATCTCAGTACTTCGAAACTAAACCCCATAATTTCAGTTAAAATTTAAATATTTACAGTTTTTCCTATTCCAGTCTCTCCCATAATTACTAAAGGCACGCCTGAGTATATTTTGAATGCTATTTATATTAATTTGCAAGTATTATCTTTTGTAAAAGCTCTTTCTTATAAAATTCTGCTTAATTCAGGTTTTTGTTGTTAAGATTTCTCATCTATAAATTTACTAGGATTTCTAGAACATATATAAACAAGTGTTCTGAGAAGAGTATATTCATCTTCCGTTTATCCGATATGTGGAATTCTTAGTTAAAGCTCTTCATCAATATTTATCTTAATATTAGATATTCTGTTAACCTATGATATAAAAGTTCTCATCAATTATTCTAATTTAAGTATTATTTAATCTTCTCTGTCATCTTTAAATATCGCAGCTATTATACTACCATTAATGAAGAATATTAAGTTCTTTATAGCTTGATCATACTAGAGTATGGTATTCTTTTTATTAAATTATTCAATAAATAATATAAAATAGAAACAATAAATAAATATACCATCTATTGTATTCTCTCTTCATCGTCTGAAAGCTTCAGATTTTCAATTTCAATTTAAGAAGCAACTTTATTATTATCTTTATGATCACTGGTTTATGCTTTAATCAAATATTTCATCTCACTTTATTGTAAACTAGGTGAAGTAAAATACTTTTAAGAAGAGGTATTTTTGAAGCAACTAAATAGTCTATTCAAGCAAGTTAACAAAGAAGTTGATGAATCACGATTCTACTAATTTTATTTTTAAATATTCTAATGTGTACTGATTGTATTTGTACCTTCAGTCTGGTATTACTTATAATTCCAATTATATTTTGAAGTTTTTGGTTAAATATTTATTTCATTGCTAATTTTTTCGTATAATTCTTTCATGTAAGTTTCATAGTAATTTTTTGAATTTTAACTTTAATTTTAATTTGATGAATTAAGAAATGTATTTTTAAGGGATTATTCTAAGAAAATATTAATGATGTTATACCTTAATTATTTTATATTTTCTATTTATTCTGGAGAGGCATTATTCATTAATTCTTTTATTTAATAGCTCGTATAATTTGGATCTTACTCCATTTCTTTTATTTGAGTAACAAATTATTATTTGAACATTACTATATGCTAATAAGTTAAATTCTATTTTATTTTATATTCTTCCATGTATTTATTAAAGAAAAGCTATATTAATTAAATCGCTTCGGTATCTGTAAATATTTTTTTATTTTCAACTTTTTAATTTGGGAAAGCCTCAAATCTTACAAAGTCTTTATCCATCAAATATTACGCCCCTTATTTTAAACCATTTAAATATCTGAGCATTGTTTAATCATCTGATGTGAATTAGTTTGAAACAGACAATTATGATAAATTGAAATAAATTGTATTAGATTAAATTGATTATATGTGAGTTAGTATATTAGCATATTTTATTCCATAATAATTCGATTATTCAACATAAAAATGAGACTAAGATGAAAAGTTGAAAAATTTATTCTAGTTGAATGAGATGCACTTCAACACCAAAATTTGAAATAATAGTAAACTTATTTTATCCTATTAATCATATATTATTTCAATATGTATTCCATGAATTTACTGTTAATTTTATATTTATTTTCTCTTACTTCTCAAAATCTTAAGGAGATTATCGATATTTTAGAATTAATGAGCTGGAATATTTATAAGGAGTTAATTTGTTAATTCGATTTATTTTTATATCTGAAATGTTTTACCAACACCTATTATATAGTTAATATTTTTAATTTTATTAAGTAATTAAATTTTAAATGATAATAAAAAAGTTAAATTTTTATCTATTTACCTGCTTAATGTGATTTAAACAAATGGATATTTTAATTTTAATATTATGGAGTCTTTCGTTTATATTCTTCAGTAAGAGGTATCCTGATGCAATCCTCTGTAGTTTCATCATCTTAATCATTAGAGTATTCATTATTTTGATTAAATAAATACAAAATAATTAATTTATTTTTAGTTTAAAACTATTTATCTTCTGTATTCATATATTTATCTATTTGTTCTGTTGCAAATTTTTAAACTTGATATTTTAACTTCTTAAAATCAATAATAAAAAAGTGTCTCGATTCATTTTCCATCTCAAAGTATATGACTCTGTTTAGAAATGCTTCTATATCCATCTCAGTTGTCTGCTAGTTTGCGAAGAAAAATTATAATTTATCGGGTTATTTGTTTTTATCTCCAAAGAAGAGAAGTAGTTATTTACACAAATCGCCATAACTTTCACACTAAATCTTGCTAGCCTCTAGCTTATCGTATTAATTCTTTCGAAAAGTTTTATCTGAAATTTTTAATACTTTTTTTTCTTATTAAAATTATTTATTTAAATACTAACCTAATAAGGAAATTTTTTCATTAATGGTATTTAATCTAATTTAATCTTTATTTTTAAGAAGTTCTTTAGCTAAGCTTTCTGTATTCATGTGATAAAAGGTAATCATTTCTTCAACATTAAATTATAACATAGAATTAGACTACCCAAATTATTGGTGTTTTATTTTTATACTGTTTTTAATTGTATCTGAACTATTTTAGTTGGCATTAACATTTAATAGTTTCTAAAAATATCTTAATATATCAGGATAACACTATGGAATTATTAATTTCAAGAATGGATATTATTTTTAAGCTTCTTCAATTACTAATTTCCATTCTTATATTTAATTCTCTTTCTCTTCAACTATATTTTCTATATTTTTAATGACTGATTCTATATTACTTTACTTATCGTCTATTAATATATCTATTTCTTTTATAAATCCATCAAGATATCCATACTAAATATATTTCTCTAAAATCTAAATCAAGTTTTTTTAGATTAGAGTATAAATTTCTTCCAATCTTTTTCTGTTTTCTTTAAACTGTTCTTTTTCTGTCTCTGATTTATATGCTTCATCTAATTACTATCCACTAATAATATTTAATCTTTATATTATTTAAAATATTTGCTCTTCATTATACTCTTCAGTTTTCTCTTTATTGTTAACTTTTTTTTGTGTTTTGTATGTAACTTTGTAATTTCTTTCATCTCCTTACTATTAATAGCTATAAGCTTAAGATCTATCTTGTTTATTAACTTTTTAGGATTAATTTTTCTCAAGATAAGCATCATTTACATTTATATGAATTAATGCAAATTACATAAACATCTAAAGTACTTTTACAGAATTCTATGCTTGAGATTTTCCTAATTCCATAAATTTTTACTATATATAGTCTTTAAATTTGCTTATATCTTCTATTTTCTATCTGATTTCTTTACATTTTTCATCTTTGTAAAAGAATAGTATAATCTATTGGATGTAAACAAATATGTTACTGTTTAAAGATTTATTAAATTCTTCAAGATATTTTTTAATCTAAATATAATGTTATATTCTATTAGCTAGATCATTGTCATCATCGAATAATAGCTCCTATAAATCAACCTCATTCTTAAAGTTAGAGTGTAAATCCATTACATTGAAAATAGGTGAGATAAATGGAATAATTTAATCTTTTAAAAATTTTCTATCTACTTAACGATTTTCACAATTTTACACTGTCTCATTTATATAAGTATCTAAATATACTTATATTTATTGAGTACCTTCAAAAAATTACTTTTTTGAGAGATCCTAAGAAGAAATAAGTATTTATAAACTTTCTAATTATTTTTAATAATTAGGAGGAAAAACCATTTTTAAATTTTTAGCAGTTTTTTATATTTGAGTTAGCAGCTCATAATCAATAATTTTATGATATCCCTACTAAATAAATTAAATAAAAAAAGTAGAAGAAATTTTTTTTTAAAACTTTTATTCACAAATCATACTTAAGTTTTCATATTCTTAGAATAAAATTTCTTTATTTAGACTAAAATGATCTTTAAAATGTGTATTTAGGAATTAATAACAGTTTCTTGTTTAAACATCTTTATCATTTTTAAATTATTCAATTTCTTCATTTTAAAAATCTTATACTAGATCTGGAAATTCTTGCTCTAGTAAATATCGATATATGCTCTCTAAAAATGGAAGAGCAAAGCTATTTATTTAATTCATAGTCTCATCAATAGTTTAATTTTTTATTGAATAAGTGTTAGAAATTTAGTCAAATAATTTGAGGTCTACTAAATATTAGGAAGTACCAATTAATGAATTATTTTCATCTATAATTTTATTGAATTTTTCTTAAATAGCTTTTACTTCTTAATTTTCGTCTTTGTCTACGCTATCTAATAATTATTTTTAATCATCTATATCAGTAACATTTAGATTTTTCATAAGTTATATAAAACATTTTAATTTACTATACTGATTATAGAAAGTCTCAAATACCTCAAAGCCATTTGTTTTTTTTATACCACAAAATTCGATAAACTTTTTAAATATATCTTTTTTTTCATTTATTTTCTTATAATCTTTCCATGTTGTACCCTATAAATTTTCATTTTTAGAAATTATTTATTTTATTATTGAGAATATCTCCGATTTGTTGAAATCTTTTTTATTTATTAATACTGAAAAAAGTAGCTCAAATACTTTTTATTCTAAAATATATTAAATGTTCCATTCTTCCATCTACTTAATTTATCCCTTTTAAATTAGTTAGTGTGCTTTATCTTACAAAGATTTTATTACTAGATTACTATTCTTTTCAAATACTTTTTGCTTGATACTATCATCACCCATGTTTTTTAAAAATTTACAAAACTCCTAATTATCTTCAATTTTGTATATTTTTTCTAATAAAATTTCATACATTTTCTCTATTAATTTACTTTTTACATCTTATGGTAACTCTAATTCTTTCTATATTGAGCTATCAATTTCTAAAATGTTTTAAATTATGTCTTAGTTTTATATGAAAAAAGTGAATAAACTTTTTTCTTCTTCTACTAGCTACTGTTTGTATTGGCGCTAAAAGTCATATCTACAAACTTCAAATTTGATAGATTACTTAATTTTTTGAGAGTTTTCTAAATTATTCCAATTATTAATAAATATTTTGTACAAGATTTGCTTGAGTTACCCCATTTTTTATTGTTAATCTTAACCCTAATTTATTTACTACATTTAATGCACTATCTTTTTGTTTAAAGTTTCAAAAATTTTATTCATTGTTGATTTTTCATCCAAGTTTAATACTTTAATCCTTGACAAAATTTGTAAAAGCACATCTAAATTATTATTTTAACTATTTAATATAGAGTCAAAGATTTAAATGTCTTCTTATTTTATATCCTCTAAATTTATTTCTAATAATTTTTCATTAAATTTTAATTATTTTAAAAAATAATCAGATTCAATATGCAATTTTTCAAATATCTATTTTTTGCTCCTCAATAATTTTTAAGTTTCAATCAAATCTTTGTTATTAAAATACTTTATAACTACTGAATAAACTGTCTTTTTTACATTTTCGTATGCCTTTATATCAAATTTTTATGTTTTTTCAAATAAGAAATTAATTAAGGAAATGTTTTATTCTAAATATTAGAGAGCGTTTTCATTTTTTATTTAAAAAGTTTATCCAATGAACAACTCGCGATAATCTTCAGTAGTCATTCCACTATCATCCATGTATTCTTAATTAAATATTTCATTCAAATTGGGTTCGAATTCTGTTTTAATCTTTGACATAAAAATAGCTTTAGCGCATATATTTAAATTAAATGTGTTTTTTATCTTATAATAGTCTTTAGACTGTTCAAAAGTGGCATCATTTAAAAAAACTTCTTCAATAAGTTTCTTGATAGCATGCCAGTCTTTACAGTTATTTAATTAATCAGAAGCTTAAGATATTCTTTTCCTATCACTTTCATCTTTATATAGATTTATGAAGATATCATAAATTTTAATTCTTGGAGTAATTATAGATAGTTCTTTATTAACAGACTACGCAAACAGGAAGATCAAAAATGTTTTTAGGTCAAACTCTTGATTGGCATCTTTAAATCCAAATGAAATAAGCTAGTTTACAAATTTTCCTCTGTTAAACTTTGTGTCAAATTAATTACAGAATTTTATAAATTTGACAAAACTATCTTTTAAAAGTAACTAAAGAGCAAATTCAGTTAAACACTCACTGTTAATTTACTTATTATAGGCTTTATCATCTTGATTGAGCTTATCTTCCAAAGTACTTGAATCAATAAAGAACACATCAGAATCTTATGGTAAAGTGAATTATAGTTTTTTAGAACCTTAATCATTCTCAAAAATAAGTAAAAACTCATTTTAATTCAACTGTTATATTTCTGAAAGCTACTTTTAAGAATACAGATACAATTTTTGTTCTACATTTTCCTTTTTCCAATTTCGAAGCAGAGGATGATTCGCATCTTCTTAGTAGTGATTTGCTAACTTTAACTCTGTTTTTTTAGTTGAATTTATTAATTGAACTTTAGTACTTTTTAAATTTAAATAAGATTCGTTATTAGGAGTTTGCAAGTATATAGTCATCTTATTTTGATTTTACTAAATATTGCTTTGTAGGTTAATGTTTAAATTGCTATTTAAATTTTTTGATATTTCACTTTCTTTGGATAATCTATTATCTATTTAAGGTTGTTAGATTTAAATAGATTTATTTTAATTGGTTGTTTCAATTCTTGAGTGCTAGTCATTTAAGAGATTTGGATATATCTTAATATCTTTATAATTATTTTCAAGTACTTTCTAATCTTCCACTTATCCAACATCAAGTCCACTTTTTTGAATATTCGATAGTCGTTAATTATTAATGCTAAACATCTGTGTAATATTTTTAATACAACAATATATAAATCTTTATATTATCTGAAGCTTATTTGATTTATAACTAATGCGTTTTTTTTTCTTTCAATATTTCTTTTTTAAAAGCTGCTCTTGCAAATTTATCAATATTATAATAATTAAAAATACCTCCTTTAAGTTGAAAGTATTTATATCATAATTCTATGATAATTCAAAAAAGAGACTTTCCACTTTTATAAAAAAAAAATAGACAAATTTAATATAATAAATTATTATTTTTTTAAAAAAAGAGAAATAGTGAAGACGAATCAAATTTTAAAATATTCATTAAATCACAATAAGTTGAACAAAATTGCTAGTATTGTTAAGTCTTACCATTAATTTATCTAATGTCCTTATCTTATTTTATTTGCTTTTTTGAGAAATTTATTAGCAGAATGGATTAATTATTTTTATTTTAGGCATATTTTTAAAACTTCATTATTTTAAGTTGTTATTAATATTGATGCTCAAAGGTAGATGAAGATTTTCCAGATATTTATTTAAATTTTTGATTTCTAATATTATTGAATGTATTTATCAATTTTTGATGGGTAAAACTCTAATATGCAATTAATGATTTGTATCATCAATCAAGTAAAAAGTAATATTTCAATCAAATAAAAAGGATTATTTAATAATCAAAAAATATCTATTGAATTCTGACCTATATCAATCATTATATCTTAATTAAAAACTCATAATGCGTAGGAAAAGCTTTTTTATGCAAAAAAAGATATTCTTACATTCATATGTTCAAGATATATTTTATTTCTTTCTTCTTATATTCCCTTTATTAATGATAGGTATTCTTCTTAGGGAATAACTTCTTTTTGTGATTAATTATAAAAGAGATGAGCAGGCTGAAATATCTTATAATCTTAGAGTTAATAGTTTTTTTTTATCTTAAGAGACTTTTCTAAGGGGGATAGATACTTAATCCTTTATTTAATACCTGAATTAATATAGTTCTTTCTTTTATTTTCCCAATTAGAACATAATAACATATCCTTCAATCAAATCGATCATTTACTTTGAGACATATTTAATATGGTGAGCTCTATAATTAATGTTTCCCATAAACTATTGATTAAATGATTGAATTCTTAATCTTTTTCTGGAGTTTTTAATTTGATGTTATATCTATTTATCTTTAAGGTAACTAATACGATATATTGCTCAATTATTTTTCTTCGCTAAAAGTTCAGTAATAACCCTAAGTATTTAAAGGGAATATTTTTTTGTGCAAACAAAGATATTTATTTCACCAGTTCATATTGAAAATTTAAAAAGAAATGGTATAATTAGATTTCATTACCAATTAATTTAGGATAAAAATTTACATGGTTATGTAATACAACATGGGAAAAAATTAACCTAAAAATATGTATTTTAATTAAATAAATAAAGATATTTCTATCATAATCTAAATCCAATAGTAAATTTAAATAATAAAAGTATTAATTAAATAATCATTTATTTAAATAAAATAATTATTAGGATTTTATTTTTTTAAAAAATTAATTCTTTTTTCAATATTTATATGATATTTCAATTACCGTCAACCCTTAAATTAAGGGTGAAACTTAATTTTAGTTGCAAAAAGTTTTAAAAAAGTTATTGTAAACTTTAATGACTTTGATATTGCAGATTCTCCTGTAATAAAAATAGGAGCTACAGTGAATATGAATAAAGCAATACATAAACAATTTTCTTTTAAAGTACAGCTTTTTCAAATTAGTTTTGAATCAATTTTTAGTTGATAAATAAAGAAATCCACTTCTTCATTTATAATTTTATCAAATAATAATGGTTGGTTGATTTTGTTTAAAAATTCATATTCCCTTTGAATATACTAAATTACTTTGATTTTTTTGAGAATTTAATTATTATTTTTTCTTCAACTTTTTCTTCTAATTAATCATAATTTACTTCAAAAAGATAGCATACCTTCTGATAGAGGGTAAACATGGTATCTAAGGATAACTTTTTCAGCTATTTCTATTTAAATCATTGTTTAATACCCTGCTTAAAAACTATAAATACTTTCTTTAAGGTGAGAGTATTTATATAATAATTTGATGATAATTTAAAAAAGAAATTCTCCTCTTTTATAACAATAATAAATTATTATTTTTAAAAAAGAGAAATATAATTTAAAAATGATAAGTTAATTTATATGAACCAAATTTTAAAATATCCATTAAATCAAAATGAACAAAATAAAATTGCTTGTTTTAATAAGTTTTATCATTAATTTATTCAATTTCCTTATCTTATTTTATTTGTTTTCATGAAAAATTTAATAGCAAAATGGATTAATAATTTTTATTTTAGACATATTTTTAAGACATCATTATTTTAAGTTACTATTAATAAATATATTCAAAAATTGCTAGATATTTATTTAAATTTTTGATTTCTAATATATTTATTTTCCAACTTATGATGGGTAAATTATAATATGCAATTAATGATTTATATTATCAATCAAGTAAAAAGGGATATTTTGAAATGAAATAAAATGGATTATTTCAAAATCTAAAAATATCTATGAATTATGACCTATATATCTTAATTAAAAACTTATAGTGGATAGGAAAAGCTTTTTTATGAAAAAAAAGATATTTATTTCACCAAATGATAATCGTAATTTAAAAAGAATAGGTATAATTGGATTTCCCCATCAATTAATGATACAAATTATCAAGATTATGTAATATAAAATGGGAAAAATTGACCTGAGATATCTATTTTAAATAAATAAGGATATTTCAATCATAATTTAAATCCAAAAGCAAATTTAAGAAATAAAAGTATTTAATTATAAATCATTTATTTAAAGGACATTATTAAAATAATTGTTACGATTTTATTCTCTGAAAAAATGAATTTTTTTTCTCAATATTTATTTTGTATATAAATTAATTATAATAACTACCTTTTTAATTTCAGCTTTTATTCCATACAGTCTACTCTTTACTCTTTACTATTTATTTTTTTTAATTTTCTATTCGCATTTCACTCTCTTTTCCTTTCTTTTAACTATTTAAACTTTTACTTTAATAATGTTAATAATTAAAAATTATTTTAAAAAAATAATTTTGTTTCATAATTTTTTTATTAATTATATTAAAATAAAAAAATTATTTATAATGTAGTATTTTTTTCAACTAGAATAATTGATAGTGAGTTAAACCATATTGTTTTAATAATTTAGAAATAATTTTATTTTTGATAATCTTAAACCTGAAAAACATGCTTCCTTGTTTTAATTAATGTTAATAAAAATTAAAAAGAGAAAATTCTTTTAATTCCAGAACAAAAAATAAAATAAAAAAGTTGAATTTTTGATTGAATGTAAAATTAAATGTTTTAATATGAATGAAGAAGTAAAAAATAATATTAAAATTCCAATTTCTAAAATCAAAATAAATATTTAATTTATAATTTTACAAACAGTAATAAAAAAATAATATTTTAAATAAATTTCACACAACATCTAAAAATGATTAATCTTCGTTATACTAGCTATTATCTTATACATCTTAATCTATATTTTACTGCATGTCTTAACATTTTTCATCTATCAATAGTTTTATTGCGTTTTGATTATTTTTATTTTTATTTTATTCTAATTTTAAATTTTATAATTCTTATTATTATTATTTTTTATCTAATTCAATTAAGATTAATAATCTTTGATAAATTATATAAGAGTCTTCATTTGTAAATAAAAATTTCTTAAACTCCTATTATAATTTAATACTGCATAATGGTGACTCAATTGATGAAAAAAACTCCTTTTAATACTTTGAGTCAAATATGTTTTAAAATAGATTGTTTTGCAATGAACCAACCCTAAAGTTTTTGTTCAACCTTATAATAAATCTTCCGATCAAATTTTTGAAACTATTTATCTATATTTAATTTTATTAGATTAGTTAAATAAGTTTATTTAAGTCTGATTCTTATTAAATTTATTCACCAATATACTTCCTCGTAATCAATAAGCTTATAAGATAGTCCATTATTTTATTTTCAAAATACTAAATTAAAGAACAGAGATAGTTGCAAGTGAAATTGTCAAGAAGTTAAATTATTTTATTATCTAATTCTTCTTTTATATTATTTGTTTGAAGTAGCTTTGTTATTAATACTTCAGAATCGCCAACTTTATTACCTTTAACCTTCAGCATTTAATTAAGTTTAATCAGAATATTTCTTATTTCAATACATGACTCTGTGTCAATATTTAAATTTTCTAAATTATAAATTTTATCCAAAGTTAGTTCTTTTTGAGGAATTTATAAATTATGGTATATCAAGTCTAATGAGTAAAATTATTGTTTGACTTTATAGTCAACTTTATCTAATCCTAATATCTTTGGTTTAAATTCTAAAAATTCATTTTAGTAATAATCTTATAGTTCTTCATAGTTTACTTTTCCTTCGCCATCTGAAAAAAAATAAATATGTTTTTTATCAAATAAGTCAGATTTTATTTCAATAAAATCAGATTAGGTTGTATCAAAAATAAATTTTTCTTGTGAACTTGAAATTTGATTTATCGCTTCATTCTAAATATTTATTAAATTCTTAATCTCTTAAAAGATTCTACTTTTATTCTAGTCTTTTTGAGGGCATATCAATTCAAAAAGTTTTAATTGGTTTACATCATCATCATCATCATTTTAATCTAATAACTTTAAAAAATAAAAACTATTAACAATAATAAAAAAATATTTTTTTTATAATTTACCTTTTCTATTGCAATCTTAGAATTTAGAAGTTAATTTTCGTTTATTTCTAAGCTATTTTAAAATATATAGGATAAATCTATTTCTTTTAAATCATTTTCATTAAATTCATAAGCATATTTCTCGTAAATGATTTTTATTAGACTTATTATTGGATAAATAAATTAAATTCTTTTTAAATTATTGTTGTTTAAGTTTAAGATATTCAATAATTTTGGTTTTTCTTAAGGTTTATATTCATTATTGTTTATCTTAAATATAGTAGTGTAGCTTTCTTTATCACGAAGTAATTTTTATAGTTTAGCATAGTAATCTTCATATTTGGATATAAATTTATAAATGAAACCTAACTAATTTTAATTCTACTTATTATCATCTAGTTTTTTTGAATATTCTACTATGGAAATAGGTAAAGAATCTATTATTTATAATATTATATGATTATGAAAAATATTGTTTTATGGATCCTAAGCATCAAACGAATCTGACATTAAAGTCAAAATATCTAAAAATGATTTATTTTAAATTTAGAATTCTAAAGTGCCATTCTACATAGTCTATTTTATTGGATCTATTAAATACTAAAGTATAAAATTTAATATAAATTTTATTTCAATAAATTTACTGAAGAAAGGATTTTTAGACAAGAAATAGCAATTAACTAACTAAGATTAGCATGATCTTTTCTAGAATCTTTGAAGGCTTGATAAATACTAACAAAATTCAATGTTTATAATATAGGGTTTTTGTATAAAGCTATAAGTTCATTATATAGTGTTTCCACAAAAATAATTGAGAGAGGAGAGGAGATAGGCATTTTAATTTAATCAAAAAATTATCTTAAGATGCTAGAAATATTAGATGCATTTTATTAATTTGGTTATAACTCTTACATTAACTTAATTAAAAGCACATCTTTATTTTCTTAGATAAACTAAACAACAATAATACTAACTCCTTATTTTATTATACTTGTAATTTAAGAATCAATAGCATAGTTTTGAGAGTTTTGTTAAACTTGTTGTAAATATGTAAAAGTTTAGTTTAAGAAATTCTATATAAAAATTTATTTTTCTTCACCATTGATGAAATTAGCATTTAAATGAATTTTGTTAAACTTAATTGAAAATTTTAATTATTCTATTTAAGAAAGCTCCTCTATCTAAACATTTTTTTATAATTCTATAAATCCAAGGGATTTATATTGAAGAATTTCTCCTGAAATTTCCTACAATAAAAAAAATAAAAATATTTTTTAAAAAAATATAAATATATTTTACCTAATATATATGCTGAAATTAAATTGGTATAATCTCTCTTAATTTTTGGAGATAAATTAATATTTAGGAATCAATATTGTCATAAGAGAAAAACTTTATGAAAATATTAACTTATTAAGTAAATTTTTTAACATCTTTCATTAATGGTTAATTAGCTACGAATTAGAATGAAGTATCTTGATAGAATGTGTTCAATTATTATTTGTTTATATTATTGCTTATTATAAATTAAGTGAGCTTTTATATAAAACCATCAATTTTTAAACATTTGAAAAGTTCAGCTTTTTCAGTTAAAATATCTTCATAATCCCAACAGAATTAATGAATACTTTAATATGATTATAATTTATTCTATTTAACTAGCATGATTAGAATTTCTTTTATCTAATCGGGTAAGAATCTTTTAATTCTTGAAAAATCTTCAATATATAAAAGCAAGTATGCCATGTCTTTTTTAATATTATTTAATTCTAAATACTACATGCGAAACTTGTTTTCTTCTAATTAATTATACATTTATCTTGATTATATTAATTTGAAAGGTTCAGGTATTTTTTATAATATTTTTATAACTGGTTGATTGTACTCGAAATTAAAATATTGTTTTATCATTTCTATCTAATTTTTTCTTTACTCTACATTTATTTCATTTTCTATAATTAAATCCTCTACAATAAAATTATTTTTTTCCATAATAACTACTATTTCAGATAGCTAATCAACGAAATAACTTATTAGATGATTAATAAGAATTTTTTCAAAGTTTATGATTGGAATTTATTGAGTCTTATTTATTTTTTTATTGTTTCCTTCTTTTTTGTAGACAACATTTGGAAATTAAATATTTTTTGACCAATGAACGTCGTAATTTTAATCTATCCTTATCTTTTTATCAAACTGTTCATAAAATAATTTAAGTAATTAGATTTAATATTCACTTTGAATGCCATTATAAAATGAAATAAGTTTTTTAAAATAGTTAATTCTACTATTTAAGTATGTATATTTGGTTTCATTACTCTCATTTGTATTTTGGCTATCATTAATTTAAATGCTTGTCATTAAGCTTGTAAAAAAACCTGGTGTAGAGATAAAATATAAGAAAATATCCCTATCATATTTATCTGTTAGGATTGTTATAATGTTGTTGTTAACTAGATAACGATAATTTAACTTTTAGTTAGCTTTTTCTAGTATTTTATGAGATAAATTCACAGGAACTGTATAGACATATGGTAGAAGATTTTCAATTTAAACTTGGTTCCAATTTTCACAAAACGCCAATCCATTGACATTTAAAGAAGATAGCTGAATAGTTAAAATTAAGTTTTTAAGTTTCTTTTTGTTTTGTTGTTGGTATAAAGAGTGATAATATTATAGCTCATACTGCAAGTAGCATAAGTTCTTATACGATTCATATATTTGATCAACACCTATTATAAGTAAATCTTCATCTCCTTTATTGTAAAATTCTTCTAGTTGTTAGATAAATAAATCTTTAGTAGGATAAATTTTAATGCTTATTATTTTAGAATTGAATCCCTTTAGATCGATCTGTTATTTGTATTTATCATGCATAAAGGAGGTTGTATAAATAATGCTTTTAAAAGATTCTTATTTTTAATTAATTTGCTACTTCTAATATTCTAAATAGCTTAATAAATTATCTAGATATGATCTATTTAACCAATCTTTGTATTGAACATTGTTCTCATTGTTTTTATTATGGAAAATGTAAGTTCTATATGTCAAATCTCCTAGCTTGTTCAAACACTTTTATTTTAAACATTCATAATTTTCTTCATTGTGCTTTTACTGTATAACTAAGCTGTATAGCTCACTCTCAGAAGAAAAAGTAAATAATTTCATATTTGATTAGATATTCTCTAGTTATCTTATTCTAAATAATTAATAAAATACTCAATTTGAATTGAAATTTTAAAATAAAAAACATACTCTTTTTTAAGCTCAACCAGTAGCTTTCTGTCAGCTTCACTTAACAAGTCTTTTAAATTTATTATATATTTTTCAAATCTATTAAGCAAAGCAGGATCCATATGCTCATATTCGTCTTGATGTGCTATTATAACAAAGATGAATTCAGGTTTCACTTAAACTCTCTTTGAGAATTGCTTATAGCTGATTCTAAAAGTATTATTTTCACCCATTCTAATGAAATTCATTGTGAAGAAATCATAGTATATAGTATATAAGTAATACTACTGAACAGATATTACATTGATACCTGACTCTATTCTAGAATTTAACTTACTTATATCTTTACTTAAATCTACTGTATGATCATCTCTAAAATGTGATCCCATAAACACCTGATATAAATAAATAAATTTTTTTTATTTACTAAAGAAATAATTACTTACTTCACTCTTTTTATTTTCCTATTTAAATAAAGATTGAACATAATTAGTGCAACAAATAGGATCCTTTGTTACAAGCATTAAAAATCTTGAATGATAAAAATCACCATTGTTTATTGAATTTATGCTTTCTCTTATTAAATCAGCTTAACTGATTTACAATATTTCATTGTCTAACTAGTAAGTTTCTTTAACCAAATTCATAATGATCTACTAGTTTGAAATATCACCTCCAAAATTTTTGTAGAAAGCTTTTGCTATGAATTTCTATGCTTCTTATTTAGTAATTTAGGTGTTTGATTCTATTAAAATATTTAGTTTGTGACAAGTATATTTAACTGTATAATAAAAATCTCGAGTTCCATGTTTTTAGGTTTTTTATCCTTATTAAAATTTATGATAGATTTGGGCGATCTAAATTTAAAAAAATAAAAAATTTATAAAATTTGGATTTGGTGTTTTGATTTACTTATAATATTAATTCTTCAATCTCTTTTGGGAAATTATTGAATCCTTTCATGATCTCGACAATAAAATCTTTTAAGTCCTATTCTGTGAATTTCTACCTATATAAATGTAGACATCTATTCATATTAGACACATCTAAATCAACATTAGATATAGCCAAAAAAGCTACATCACAGTTTTCCAACTGATAATGAAGTATCTTTTTAATTTTAAACAAACATACAATTATGACTTTAATTATTAAATTAATAAATTTACTTTATTAGGATTATTTTTGTTTGCTTCTCCTTATCCAATTTCATCAATAACCACTAGTGGTATCACTTTAAAGTTAGATTTCATGGAAGCCTGATATTTCCTTGCTTAGTTAAATACGTCTTCAATGTGTTTTGAAGTAGTTTGAGGATTACCCTTTTAGAAAAGATATTTAGAAAATAAATATTTAATGAAATTTTACTTAATAATAAAATTCTTTAATGGTAGGTTGAGAAGTAAAAAATTTGCTTTAAGAATTTCCTTTTAAGCAGTTAAGAGCAATAGAAAAGCTTAGAGTTTTAGAAGTACCAGGCTCGCCTGTTATTATTAGAGGTATTTTATTTAGTAAGCATATGATGATACAGAAAATATTTTCTTACAAAGCATTATTTTTTGCTATGTATTGCGATTAAATACCGCATTAATCAGTTAACCACTTTAATTCTTCATCAACAGTTTATTTAAATTTAATATTTGGCCATTAGTTTTAGTTAACAAGATATTCATAAAACTTTAAGTATAACTCTCTTTTAACTTAGATTTACAATCTCAAATAGTAAACCATGTATAGGGCTAATATGACAGATTTTTGTTTTACTTCACTCATAACTGCATTTTGATCATAATTACTATTTTCGTTATCTAATTTAATTCTGAAATATTTCTATTAGAAATAAAAATATAAAATTAAAAATCTGTTCACGTCTCTTAAACTCACACTTCTTTCACACGATTCTTTACGGATAAATAACTATGATTAGAATAGTAATATTTTTAATTATTCTACTTCTTTTTCGCTAATATTGCATTTTTCATTTTTATGTTAATACATTTTTATCAAATTTTCAATATACAATAGCTCCTATTCCTCTTCTAAACTTTTAAAATTGATGATACAATATGAAAAGCTTTCCCTAAGAGGTTTCACTTTATATTCTAACTCATAAGATTTTTTATTTTGCGATTACTATAAAAGTAGATTATTTGCTTAGAGGTCATCTTATTCTACTTTGAATTTTTTGTATTAGTAAGGATTACAGGCTGCTACAAATACTATATTATCCTTAATTTTCACGCCATTAATGTATCTATCAATGATTATTTCTTTGATGATTCCATTAACACAGTAAGTAGTATTTACTTCATCTAAAAATATTAAAACCTTCTAATTATCCCATTACTAATCATTTTAATACATTAGTATTGCATTTACTATCTTATCTACATGTAAGCCAGAATCTATTTCTATAATTCGAAATTCGTATTTCAAAAGCTCAGAGAGTATTTTGATGCATTAAGTTTTTCCTATTCCAGTTTCACCCATTATAATAACAGGAAGCCTAGCTTAAATTCTAAAAGCTATCAGTACCATTTTAAAAGCATTATCAGGAGAAAAAACAAAATTGGAAAGTATTTTTTATAAATTTTCATTATTTTTTTTCGTTACAAGATTGAAAAACTCTCCTGGCTACTCACAAACAATATTAACTACTATCTAAGCAAGGCTATCTTATTAATTCTATGAAAAATCTGGGATTTACAACTCATATTTACTCTAATCTTATTTTTGCTTAAATGTATTGTAAATCTAAATATATTACTGCAAAAATTATATGATTTGTTACATTTAATATGTTGTCTGATTTTAAACTTATGTAACAATAATAAAATCATCAACTTTCAATGCTAAAATGTCTTTGTCTAAATTGTTGTACTTTTTCATTTTATTCTATTATGTTAACAAAAAAAAATTGAAAAAAACAATTTATGAATTAATTAATAAAATTACTTTTTCTCTGATTTCATTATCCTGAGGGTCCAAATCTATTTTAAAATTGAGTTTTTAGTATTTTTTACAGATTAAATTTTGTAATTCCTTCAATTGCAAGTCTTTGAAATTTGTTTTTTCATCTATTTACTTTTTAATTGAAACAATTTGTTATTAGTATAATTTAGTATTAAAGCACCTTTAAAAGTAACTTGCACAAGTTTTATTTTTAAAATTTAGTCCTTTTTGGCTTATTTATGAATTATAGCTTTGCTAAATTAACTCTTTATTTGTTTTCTCAAACTATTCAATTTAAAAAAGTGTAACTTACTTCTTATTTTTTTTTTAATTTATTTCTATATTTTTTTATTCAATTAACAATGTACTATTAAGTGATTATTAAATAATAGTCTTAATTAAATTATTTCTTACATTTTCAAATATAGTTTAATCCTATACTTATGCGGCTTATTATATTTAATATATGTAATTTAATTTAAACAGCTCCAGATTTTCAAATAATTACAATTTACACCAAAGTTGCTAAATAAACATTTATATATGAGAAAAAGTTATTTCATTCTCATTAATTCCCTAATTAGCAAATAAATTTTTTAATAAATCTTATGCTTCTTTACTATTTATTGCTTTATGTTGGTTAAAATCTTCTATTTGACTTTAGTAGTTGCTAAAAATATAGAATGAATTTTCTGATTGCATAGAAATTTTTAAATACTAAAAGGCAAATTAATGTTGACTAAATAAATCATTATCTATGATAAAATTGCTTAATGAAAAAACTACATCTATCTTATATATATTTTCTTGATTATCTTTTGCTTGATTGTTTACTAAGTCAAGGAATTGAATATATTGTCTATCAAAAAAATTAGATTTTTCTACAAAATATACTGAGTTTGATGGTAGTAAGTACACAGTTTTAAAATTTTTACAAACGCAATTTAGCATAAGTATTTGGTAAAGAAGCAAGCTTACCTCATCAGTTTCGTCATAGCATACATCTAAATGATAGTATTTTTAAAGTTCATTATTAGGTGAATTTTTTATGATATTAGATATGAACTAATCAAGATTTTCAAATTAGTGCAAAGGGATTCTTATATATTAGTTTTTATTTGTTTTACTTAGAATCTATTGCTAAATCTGGTAAGTCTTTCCCTCACCTGATATTTTAATTTAAGGAATATTTTATATTTAAAAATTATTTAAAAAATTTAATAATAAAATATTTTATACCTGCTCTTTTTGAAGTATATATATATATATTTTCTTTATTCACTGAGACCTTATCTTAGTATACATCATCATCGTGATTTATTTAAAGAAAATCTTACCATGAATCATTAATAATTTAGTAATTGACTATACTTTAAAGTTATTACTTATCTCTTTGATCTCTATAAATGATAAATATTTTGTTTTTAGATTTTATAGAATCAGAATTAATTTAACTTATCAACTTAATAGTCTTTTACTGTGAAATGTAATTAAGTTGATCAAAGTTACATAAAAAGTATTTTTCATAGTGAATTTATTACTTTTAAATAATTTGAAATTTAGTCGCTCTTAAGAAGAAACAAGAAATATCTTAAAAGTTTGTATCTGAGTTACAAATAAGTACTTAATAAGCTGAAATTGAAGGAAATCTCAACAAAAATTTAATACAGTCTTAATAGTCTTTGACCTATTTTCTACAAATCTATAAGGGTTCATTATTATTTTTGTTCAATTAAATGTGATTATTATTCTTGAAAGCATCTTAAAGAATCTTAGCAATTAGTTCTATTCTTATTTATGCTTCAGAATTTGGATCACTAAATATAGTTAACTCGTTTTCATATGCTTTATAGTTAATTGTACTAGGATTGATAAATATCATTTGCAAATAATTTTGACAGTTGCTTTCTACCATTAAATTTTTTAAGTCAAATTAAATCTTTTATATTCTTATTGATTCCTTAATTTATAAAGGAGGCTATCTATTATTTACTTCAGTTGATTCATTTTGATACACAAATTCCATATATTTTTTAAATATATAGTAGCTAAATTTTCTTAATAAGTGCTAAGGTATAAGTTAAAGAACAGGATACTTACTATTCATATTTAAAAGAGTTTAATGCCATTATTATATCTTACCTTCATAAATATTAATCACTTCTTATAAATCTTGAATTATTTTCTAAGGTAGATTATTTTAAATTTGAACAGTAATTTATTATATTTATTCTTCTAAACTACCTTCTTCATCTAGATAGATAATAGTTTATGCTATGTGTTAGCTATATTTAACAAGGATATCAAAGTATTATTTTCTTTCTATGATACTCAAATTTTTAGCATCATCTTAGTTATTTTAAACTTACAAATTTAACCTTGATTAAATTGAGTATATTTCATCCATATCAAACCTTTTTATAATAGTTTTCTTTTAATATGAGCTATTTTAGTTCTATCCTTATTATTAATTAGCAATTTGCATTTACTGGGGTTATTATTACTCTTACAAAGGCTCCTCTATCTTTAATAAATAAAATAATTATTTTTTCATAAATTTTTTATACTAATTAAAATTACTTAAAAGACAATCTCTTCCTACATCCTGCCTTAAATGTCCTAAAAAGTTATGATAATTGTCCCTAGTTCTAAAAATTTATTCATCACACTAATAGAGCTCTAACCACCTTGCTGCTCATCTAAATAATCTTTGATTCTTTGAAAAGAGATACTAACTCCTTCTATTTATTTAGTTAGTGCTTGATCTTATTAAATACATTTAACAATGTTAGATACTTAATTTAATAAGTTGGTTAAACTTTTTTCTTTATCAAGTAATTAAACATATTCATATGCTCTATAATCAATGAGTTTTTTTTTAATGCCAATTAGCCAATTAATTTACTCAGCTATATCCTATTCATCACTCTGCTTTAAATCATTTAATATCTAATCATTCCATTTATTTAAAATATTGGAATAGTTTTTCAAAACGGGAATTAATCTTAATTAAATATCTTCCACATTCTCATAAATGTATGAAAATTTTGTTAAATTCTAATTGTAAAAATCCATCATATTCTAATAAGTGTTTTCGTGATCTGATTATAATTTACTAAGTTTCTTAAACACTTCCACTAACTAATCTGGTAAGTCTACTTGTACGCTATTAGAAATATGCATAATTTGTTATGTTATTTATACCTATCTATAAATATCTCTAGAATTTTTCATGAATTATGTTACTAAACTTTAATCAATATATTAATTAAATTTTGTATCTGAAAAGATGAATTCTAAAATTTCATTCAAGTGCATCATTTCTTACTCTTCTTCTTAATTAATTTCGATAATATATTTCTCTAAAATGTAAAGGTAGTTCTACACAATAGGTTGTTCTTAAATGATTTTTTAAGATATATATTAATTATTTAAAATGCTTTAGTTAGAGATTTTTGAAGAGAAATCCAATCCTGTTCCAGTACTAACTTGTTTAGCCGTATAAAATATCAGAGGCATGATTTGCTATTTAATAGTTTAATAAACTTCATCTATTTAATTCTTTTAAGAAAATTGACGTGCTATACTTTTAAAAATTGTTGAATTATATAATTAATGTGAAATCTGAATAATATCTTGATAGTTGTCTAGTTCTTCTAAATCTTTATTTTGAGAAATCTTAGACCAACTTGTTTTATTATAAGTTTTGTTAAGATTATAGCATTTTTAAATGATATGATTGTTTGTTTGCACTTAAAATATTTTTGTCAATATATTTAAAAATTGTTCTACTTTATATACTTTTTCAGATGCTTTTTGTAAGATTTGTTTTTGCTTTTTGCTAAATCTTATTGCTTCTACACTAAATACCTATAAAAATCTTGTATAAAGTGCTTCGTTCTTCACATAGTACTAAATTATTCCCCATTCTATATCTTCAATTTTTAAAAATTTATTAGCTAAATTCTAACAAAAAAGGTAGAATTCATGCTTTTTAAATAGAGAGTCCTTTGATAGCAAAAAGACAAACATCGAATAAAAATCATCTGAGAAAACAGTTTCTGGATCAGGTTTTTTAATTTGTATTAGCTATTCAACAATTTAATCAAATATCCAACTAGATTAAAATTGTTACATTAAACTACTTTTTTCAGTTAAATTATACAACAGATTTTAAAAAGATTATTATGTTTAACACTATTTAATAATTTTTTCGCTTAAAAATTTAACTAGTTAATTCTTATAATCAGCAAATAATTATTATAATTCATAATTAGATTGCTAAATATTTGTCAAAATTTGAATCAAAGATTAAAAATCAGAAATAAAATTTTTTTTTTCTAAGCATTAAAACGCAAAATTAAAAAGTTTTCTTATATTATCAAAAATGATTTAAAAATCAATATTTTAAAATTATCTTGCTACAAATTCAACAAATCTTGATGCCTTCTTAAATTTATCTATATTTGAAATTAGATTTTAGATCTCCTAACTATAAATGTTTCTGACTATTTCTAAAAAGTTATTTTGCTAAAATTTGTTACCTTTTTAATTTTTTTGATAAAATAATTCTAATATTTATTAAATTATTTTTTTGTGTTAACTTTCTTCAAAATTTTTAAGTTAGCGTAGTATATTTTCTAATGTTTATACCTAAATATGCTATGAAAATAAATTTATGATATTTTCTATTTCATTCTCATCTCTTTCACTTAATTTATTGTAATCAAATTACTAAAGATATTGATTTAAGAATTAAAGTTGATCCTCAATAAATCGCGTTTATATTATGCCATCTATGTTCTAAATTATTTTTAAAACACATATTGATTTATTTTCTCTTTAAATCAAATCATATATTCTATTTCTAATTAAAGTAATTAGGCTTTATCTATTATCAATCATAAACATTTTATTTTAATCTTAAATCAATTTAAGTATAAGCAATTAATTTTTCTCTATCTACTGTTGAAATAATGCTAAGTTGTTAATTTAAGAAAGCTATTCCTTAATTAATTCAAACCATGTTTTTTTATCTATATATATTTAATTTTACTATTAAAGCTAATATAAGCTTATTAAACTATACTTTTATTTTTACAAAAGTATATTTACTGCTTTTTAACTTATTGAAAAGTCTAAAACATTCTAGAATTATATAAAATCTTCTATTAAATCAAAATGAATAATTCTTTAAAACCAATCACTGATTTTCCTCTTCATTTTTTTAATTTGATTAGAGAATACTAATTTTTAATTGAGTTTATAGTAATTATTATTTTTTTCATTTTTTAGATAGTCTGCTAATTTTTGAAAATGCAAAAAAAGTTAAAAATCATCAAATTTTATTTCTATCTACATATTGCTAACAATTAATAAGTAGTTCATTATTAAAGAATCATTATTACTAAGATATTTTTTTAAGGTTGATCCTAATTTTGGTTCTTAAAATAAAGCATCCAAATACTTTTAATCTTAAAAATAGCTTATAAATTCATATAAACCAAAGCAACAATACATTGTTTTAATAAAACTGAATATTTATCCATCATTTATTTTCTCAACTTCCAGTTGCTTGTTATTAAAATATTTTTCAATTTCAAAATTTTAGTATTTTGAATTAAATAAGATGTTCAATTTCATTTAATATTGTGTATTCTATTTTTCTAACGAAAAACTTAAATTATCTTTACTACTATAACCTTTAATACACAATTTAAAGTAATATTATGAAGATACTGTATCTTTAAGCGGCCATATATTTTCAATTTATTAAATTTAATCATTACATACTGCTTGAAGTTTCAAATTTTCTATATTTTCTTATGTATCTAACATTAAAAAGATGGTTAAATTATCATTTAATATGCATTTCCATATCAATCCTAAATCAGAATCAATATTTATAATATCTGATAAAACCTAAGATTCTTACTCAGTTGAATTAGTATTTTCTACAATTATTAATATTTAACTTTCACTATTTTACATCTAACTCTCATTACTTTTGATAAATTAATAAATTGGGACTTCATTTGGTTATTATTTTGTCTAATTTTGTATATTTTTTGGATTTTAATTGGATATTTTTTCTATTTTATGACTATTTTTTTCTTAAAATTAAATAAAATTTTTATTACCCTTTTCCACTTCTATTATTGAGCTTTAACTAATTTTACAAACAAGGTCATTTTATTATTTATTAGTTGAAGATAAAAGCTTTTTCCCTTCTTATTCTTATTTTTATTAAGGCTTGCTTTCTTCAAGTTATTTAAAATTATCTTTAAATTTCATGTTGTCGCCATTTTCTAATTGTTTGTTTGGGCTATTAACATTTTTCACTTTTACTATTTCAGCTATCATTTTTTTAAAATCTAATATCAAAAAATTTTTTTTTTTACTTTTAAATTAGAAATAAGAATTCAAAATATAAAGATTTAAAGTAAAAATTGAATAAATATTTAAAAAAAGAGAAATATTTCAAAATTTTTTTCTATTTCATTAATTAATTAATTCATAAAAAGAAAGTTAACAAATAAAAATAATATTTTGTTTAAATCTATTTGTCTCCTTTTTTTTCCCTTAATTTAATGTATCTTTTATTATATTTTTTCTATGATGTATCAAGCTATATAGAAGTTGAGTTTGAAGCGCTGTTTATTGTTTGTTTATTTAAAAATTATTATAATTATTAGAATATTTTCATATTAATTTGTCAATGGAGTCTAAGATTTATGTGAAAGAAATATATAATGAATACATATTTATTACTATTTATATAAAATCATATTATTTGTTGCATTCAAAATGTCTCAGACCTTTATTGTAATGAAAATCCAACATCTTTGTAGTGCTATTCTTTGATTTTTAAGTATAATTTTTAAAATTACTTATTTTTTAAATATCTGTAAGAATAAACACATACAAGAATAGCTAGAGATAAAAAAGATATATTGAGGCTCATTACCCATTAAAATTGAGGATCTAACATATTTATGATCTTGTAAATAATATAATTAAAATCACAAAATGTAGTTATAACTCCTATTCCTAAACATTTTAGAGAACTACGGAAAGGTTGAAGGCATATACTTAACTGGTGGTTGATAACAAAAACCAAATAGAAAATAGCTCCGTTTATGAAGTATATTATCCCATATAAAACTATTAGAATAGTTCTTGTAATTTAATTAGAAAGCTGAAGGATTATTATTTCTACTAATTTATTAATAGCTATTATTACCATAGTCTTTTGGATAGACAGATATCCTGATTCCACCAAATTTTTTTATTCATTTATATGTAAGAAAATATAATAGCCCATAATTCCGCCTATGCAACTGATTAAAAAAAAGAGACTTATTTCAAATTCGTCAAATTTCCCACAGGATTATAAATTAAAGAAGATATTGTTTGGACTTATCGAAGCGCAGCCAACACAACTCAAAATGCAGAGATAAATGAAATCTTTATTCCTAAAATATTTATAAATCAACTTCAAATTAATTCCAATTCCTTAATAGATAGTGAATAATTTATATTTTTAAGAAGTCTCTCTTAATCTCTGAATACTTCCATAACTTTTTTATAAGATAATAGCAGAAATAATTATCAATAATAAACCTGCAGAAGAAAATATTAAAAGCCAGTCTAGGTAAAGCTTATATAAGTCCCCTTTTTCTTCTTATTATTATGAACTATAGTATGATAGCCCAACTAATTTTACTATGTTTGTCACAATCATGCTTATATTTAGAACAAGCAATGAAAAAATACCCGCATTATTAAATCTCTTTTTAAGAGAATATGCTGAATCGTAAATAATATATGTAAAGGAAACATAATAAAGTTTAAGGCAGATAAAAGAAAAGAACAAAGCTAAAAAGAAAAGTCTGTCATCAAAAATAGCAGTGTATCCAAAAAGTGCAAGAGAAATAATAGATAAGCCTATAGTAAAATAAGCAACGGGCAATATTGAAAAGAAATCTGCACACAATGAAGCAAAGATTTGTGTAAAAAATGAAGTGCTTAATTCAGCAGTGAGATTAAGAATATTATAAGACTTATACATGTAATATTTAATGCAAAAAAAAGCCATTTACTAGGCTAGGCAAAGACAAAACATAGCCATTGAGCATGAAATGAGGATATGCAGTCTTTTTTTATGCTTTATTTAATTTATTTCTTCTATTATCCATTTTTCTAACAAAGGGTAGAATAAAAACAATTTTTCTCTACTACTAAACTTTTACTATTTAATGTCAACTTGGATGCTTTTTATATTTGAATTTTGAGCTTAATGGATTTAAGAATTTTCATGAAAGTTGGAGTCTATCATTTTCTAAATACAAATATTATCTTTTTTTAGTTCTAATAGATTAACATAAAGTCATATATTTCATTTCAATATCATTATCAAATTAATTTAATACTTAACTATATTTAGTTAAGCATATTAAATTTTGAAATCATCTGATAAGTTTCCAGTAAGCATCAACAGTATCAAAAAATCTTAATCAAATAAAAAATTATTTTTTATAAACCATATGTTTGAGAAAATAGATTTAAAAACTTTTTCTTCTAAATTAAAATATTTATTTCTTATTATTTTTTTAAAAAATTTTGAATTCAGTAGTTTAATTGATAACAGATCGTCCTATTTAATATAAAAAACTTAAAATTTTAATCTTAATATAATTAAAATTTTTCTTTACTTAGTTTGTTTTTTAACTTAAATAGTATTTAAAGATGTATTTTATATTTTATTAATCAATATTTTTAAAATAGATATAAAATTATTAAAATTGTTTAATAATTTTTCTAAGAAGGAAAAATAAAATATTTATTTAAGTAAAAAAATATAATTTTCTTACACATTGATTAGAAAAAATATATTTAAAAACTATTTCTTCTAAATTCAAATAATTATTTATTTTTTTATTATTTTTTGAAATTCTTTAACTCGAAGTTTAATTCATAATAAATCATTCTATCTTATTATTAAATTTAAAAATTTTTTAATAATAAAAAAATTAAAATATTTTGTTACCTTAGTTATTTATTTATAATATAAATTCTATTTAAAGTATTTTATATTTCTTAATCATAATTATTATAATAAATGTAAGATTAACTTGATAAAAAATAATCAATTAACATGCTTTAAAAACTTCGAGAAAATAAGATTGATGTATTTACTAAATAGCGCCTAACTAATTCATAATAATTAATCAGATTATTTTTTGTGATTTTATTGAGAATAAATAAACCTTTTAAAAAGATTATGATAAAATTATGAATTAAAGTTTCATTAATATTACAAAAATTGAAACAAAAATTGATAAAATTCGAAATATTAAGCCAAGTAAAGTAAGATGAAGAATATCTATTAAATATTTTAAGATATGCTAAAAATAGATGATTTTATAGTTTTGGAAAGAAAAAATGAAAATTATTTTCTATATCCTTCTAAAGATTCATCTTTTATTATTAACCAAGATTAGTATTTCATACCAGATTCCAAAATAAATATTACACCTTTATATTCAGATTTCATAAAATTTATAACTACACTTACTAATTCACTTAATAAATTATTGTTTTTATAGAAAACAATAGAAGTTATGCTTCTTGATCTTGAAGAAAAACCTATAATTGATGAAATGATATAAAGTGAATTAGTTGAAGAAATACCTATAATTAATGAAGCTATAGAAATAGAATCAGTTGATTCTGAAACAAAATCACAATAAAATGAAATAACAAATGAATAATTTCTGAATAAAAATAGCTAGTTTAGAATTTCAAATAAACTAGAGAATATAATTAATAATTATCATACCTTGACTTTTTAATTATGCTTTGAAAATGGTGATTTTTTCTTTAAATTTGAAAATCCTTCTCAAATAACTTACACTTAACTTAAAAATTTTGAATTTGATATGCTTCCTTTACAAATATAATCTTAATTTAATTTACATGAAAACTATGTAGATAGTTTTGAACTATCGCAATTTGATAAAGTATAATAACTTCTTTAAAAATAAAAAATAATTTTATCTGCAAAACATGTAGAAGTGAATTTAGATTTGTAGTAATCTGTAAATACATCTATATATGTGAGAGGAGATGAATTTGAAGAAGCAGAAGGATACTATGAAATGCCAAATCTCCTTACTAATTATTTTTACTTGAATATTACATGTTCTAAGAGCTACGGAGGTATAATTAATCTCAAAATACATCTAACACCAAATTTTATAATTGATAATTACAGAGGAAAGATTATTATAATGAATAAAACTGAAGAATATGTAATTGATGATTAGCCAATGTTGTATGGTTATAGTGGGTATCGAGAAGGTGAAATTTATGATATTTTTGAGATTCCTAGTATTATTGAAAAAGCTTAGTGCTTTGTCTATGGAAAATAGCTTTAAAATTAGTCTGAATTGGATGAGCTATTTCTTGAAGATCAAATTTTATTAACAATTTTAGTACTATAAAAAAATAGTAACTCTTATTAATTGTAAAATAGTATCAGCCAGATAGTTACTGATTTATTTTATTGAGATAATTATTTTAACCAAAGCGCCTACAGCTTCAGATTAAATATCAATATCAGCTTGCATAAAAAATTATTAATTATCTATAAATAAAATTATAAAAAGAAATATATAATTCATTATGTCAACTATATTACAGCAAATATTTATTTTTTTTATAATTTTTTTTAAATTTACACTATTTTAAACAGTAATAATAATTTTAAATCTTTCTCAAGGCCATTTGTAATTAAATTAGTTTTAATAATATTTATTAATCTTGTAATTAAAATATCACCTACTGTTTTTTACGTTTTGGTCTAAATGGCAATATGTTTTTTAAAATAAAAATATATCATATAATTTTATATATTTTAATTCTTTTTATCATTTTTTTCATCAAATGTTAACAAAATTTTTTTTAATTATTTTTGATATTCCCTGGGATTCCCTAACCCAATCTTATCTAGAAATTACAGTATTTGATAGAAATAAAATATAAAAAATAATTTTTAGTGTTTATATTTAGGAATTTAATAAAAATTTATTGTAAATATGTATGATACTTAGAAAAACTAAATATTTTATTGCAAAGACTGTTTGATTTTTTTGCTTTTTTGTAAATATATTTATTCCATAATAAATAATTAACTAAATGAATATCCAAAAAAAAAAGTCATTTTTTTTTCTTCTTTTATTTACTTAGCTCTTATTGAAGAGCTGCAATTTCTTATTGTAATCTATCGTTATTTATTTTATTTTTGCTGGATTCTGATTTATTAATTTCAAGTTATTCTTAAATATACTTAATATCTTCATTATTTTATTTAATTTTATTCTCAATAACTCCTAATTCTAGCTCTATACTGTCTTTTAGCTATGTGTTCTTCAATAGAATCTAATTTTATTCTATTAATTCATTCTTTAAACTCTCAACTTCTTTGATTTACTCTAAAACTTTTCTTTACTCCTATAAATCTGATTATATTTAATTGATTTCTTTTTGCTATTCTCTTTTTGCCTGATTCAGTTTATTTATTAGTGACTCATATTCATATATTTCTTTATTTTTTAAATCTAAATCTTCCCTCATTAAATTCTTTTTTTCTTCAATTTCTGCTGATGTATTATCAGTTTTCTCAATTATTTATTTTATTTGCTCCTTTACTTAATTTATTTCTTTAATTAGTTCTTAATTTTCTTATTATAATTTCTTAATTTCTCTATCTTTTTTAGCTTAGATTTCTAGCTCTTACCGGATCAAGTTTCTTTATTCTTCTTCCAATTCCTTTCTAATTTAAATTTCATTAACTTGCTTTGCCTTCAATGCTTCAAATTCCTTTTGGAGGACTTACTCATTTTACTAAAATTTCTGTTATTTATAAATAAATATATTTCAAAAACTATAAAAGTAGAAAGAATTAACTAATTTATACTTCGTAATCTTTGTATTGCTCAACTACTTTCTTCTATTATTGAATAACTAAATTTAATTACTCATCAGAATCATGGCACTCTTTTTAAATCCTTAATTCTTCTTCCTTGCTTTATTTTATAAGTATTTCTATTTCTGCTTCTAAGTCAGATATATTAAGCTCTTGATTTTTTTACTCATCTTTTATTGTTTCTGCAAATTCCTCATACTCTTTTTCTTAGCTTTTTATCTCTATTTTGACTTATCTTTATCTATAATTTAATATTTTAAAGTAAATTACTAAAAATATTAATTTTTAAAATATATTACAGTCTATCATATTCTTCATTTAATTGTGCAAGATTTTTAGAAAGTTAATCTCTTTTTTAGCTAAGCTGAGAGATTAATTCTTAGTTTTACTCTATTTTTGATCTTTTTTCCTTGTAAGAATTTCTCAACCTCTCTTCTACATCTAAGTTAAAGTTAGCCTCTTCTAGTTTTTTTCTAAGCTTATCATTTCTTTCTTCTTCAGATTTAATCTTTTATTACATTAATTAAACTTCTTTATTATTTCTTTCTTCAAGGATCTTAATATTTTCTTTAAGATGTGCTATTTCTAACTTAAATTGGTTTTCTAATTTTTAACTCTCACTTCTCTCCTTCTAAAGAACGTCATGTGCCTTATTAACATTAAATAAAAATTTCAATTAATCTTATTTCAAAATGATATCTTATCATAAATACAAAATATTTAAATTAGCTACCTATCTTGTACGTTTCAACTACTCTTCAAGAATTTTGTTGTCTTTAGCAATTGTTTCAACAATTGTTTTAAATTTTTCCTTTTCTCCTAAATAATTTTCACGAAGGTTTTTAATATCCTTTTCTTCCTTTATGCATTTTGTTTTTATGTTATTAATTTCATTCTATTTTTTTAATTTTTTTTCTTCTAACTCAATAATCATTTGTTTTAAAAGCTTTTTTTCTTCATTTAATCTTTCTGGATCAGCCATTGTGCGTTATCTCTACCTTTACATTTCCCTTTATTTTTCTAGAGCCTCTTAAAGCTCTTTTTTTACAATTTAATTTTGTATTGATTACTTTGATGGAGATTAAGATTTTTACAAACCTCTTTATGTCAATGATTACTTAGAATACTGCCTCTAAGGACTAATACTACTATTAATATTTTGACTCTTTGGGCTTAGAATTTAACTGCTCTTAAAATTACTCCTTGATATATTGACTTCACTGTTTGGAGATAAAATTTACTGTTGGCTGTACAATTTAGATGAACTTAAATTAATTTATTTCTTATTATTGGGAGTCATTAAATTATCAGAAATGCTATAATCCTTTTCATCATATTTATTCAAGATCTTCTCATTATAATTTGTTTTATATTACTTTTATGATTAGTTTATTTTTTATAAAACAGCTTTCGTTTCTCCTTCTGGGTTTAAAGAGAAATTCTTATTTACGAAAGTCTTTTGAACCTGACCATTATTTTATTTTTGTTGTTTTATCGCAGAAGATATTGTATGAAGTTTTCCGTTTGGAGTACTAAACCCTTTTTAATGTAAACTCATATTATAAAAATTAATGATAACTCCTATTCTAATATGTGAAAGAATTGCTTGCTAAAACTATTTAAAATTTAATATTTAATGATTTAGCTTAAATTCTATTTATTCAGCTGACTAATTGATAGGCTTATTATGTTGTCAAAAATTCAGAACAAATTAAAGCAATAAATAATAACAATAATATTTCTGGTAAAAGTAAAGAATAACCAAACAATTATTTCATCTCATAATTATTTATTATTAATTTTTATATCAAAAATATCAATAAAGCTAACATAAACTAATTAATATAACAAAGTTTTGTTAGTCAAAATAGTAAATCAAACAGCTAAAATTTTCTTTCTAACCATATTTAGAAATATTCAAAAAAAAATATTTTAAAATTAAATATTTTTCTAATTTAGTTTTTAAAAATAAATTGTAATTGATTTTTTTGCACGTTCCTTCATTAAGAGGAGGAACATGTGTAGACTCTCAATATTCAATGTCTGCATAAATTTGTTAACAATACACTATATATGTGATATCGTTGACCGTAAATGCAATTCTTTTTTTTTTTTTGATTTATTTCTCATAAAAATGACCTAGCTTATTCTAATAATAATTGTTTATTAAGTTTATCAATTATTAAGTTTGTTTATTAAAAAATATTAAGGGTCTCTGGAGTATTCTTTACAAAAATCTTTAATTAAATATAAATCACTTTGAGTTAAATTTTGTTCTAATATTGTTTCGATGATAAAATATAAATTTTTTTTAGAAGCTCTATAAAATTATCCATAAATTAATTGGATATTGAGTCTTAAATAGCAAATTTTAAATTGATAAATTATTTTCGTTCTCTCCTTATAAAAAGCTATTCAAATAAACACTCTTTTTATATTAACTTGATAAAATAGTTCCATTTATAAATTTTATTTTGAAATTTTAGTGATTGACTATATTTTAATTTCGTATCTTTTATAAAAAATAAATATTTCTCTTCTTTTGATACATACATTACAATTAAAATTGCTAGACATTACCATTTGTTTTTTCCTGCTAATATAGTCTAAAAAAGTAAAAATCTAATTTTGCATTTATATAATTAATTTTAACATATCAGAAAATAAATTTTATTAACAATTTTTATTTAAAAATTTACTGGAATTTTTGTATTAAAGGATAAAGTTGTCATAATAAATTCGATTTGTTTAAAATAGAACTTAAATTATAAACAAAAGATGTAATAACCACTATTAAATCTTAAAAAACGATAAGTAAAGAACATAGTTGATATCCTATAAGTCCATTTGGTTTTCTATTTTCATTAAATTTGTCTTAAAATGAATTTAGTATTGTTTTATTTACGTTTTAAAAGTTTTGAAAGTATGCATTTATATATCTATCTCTAAAAACAAAGAAAGAAGAAAGTAAAAAAAGAATTAGCATAGTAAAATTTAAATTTTTTATTAACACTCTATCTATATTGAGAGGTGTTGAAAAATAATTTATTTAAGTTATTCAGAAGCAACTATTTTTATAAATAAAAAATTATAATTTCTAAATAAGAGAATCTTTAAATAAAATAGCAAGTAAAACAAGAAAAATATTAAATTCAAGATTTATTAATTAAAAGTTTAAAGGTTATAAACAAAAATATATATAATAATGAGCTACGAACTAGCAGGCCCTTAAGCTGTTTAAGACATGATAGAAGATTAAGTGTATCATATACATGTAGCAGGATCAGAAATGTAGCAATAGCAAGACCCTAATCTTCTACTCCATCATGATGACCTACATTAATAGCATCACCATCGCATGAATGCCCATGACTTTTAGCAAGAGTAAGAGTAGCAAATAGCTAATTAACTTATTTAATAGCAACATCTATTAGCCTAGCATGAAGAATAAATTTCAGCCAATCAGCCTATGAATTTTACTGAAAATTATGAAAACATTAACTACGAACTTGCATTAAAGCTCTTCAAATAGATGCCTTAGACTCAACTCGATGCTAATAGCTTAACTATTCTAAAACAATAAGAAGAAGGTCTGAAAATATTTTCATAACTTGATGCTTTGGAGAAAGAAATAGCAAAAAAGAAAAATGAGCAAGAGTATTAACTAAAGAGAATAGAATAAAATTAATTGAAAGCCTCTTAGTAAGGAGCTTTAGTTACTTCTATGAGTAATAACAACAATACCATGACTAACCAAGCTAATTTATTAGAAAATCGTAGTTTGGTGAATAGCTACGTCCTTCAAAATTCTTCATAGATAGAAAATTATGGAATCCTTTAAGGGAAAAATATTTAAAAATCTAACAATAAAGACTTATTTTATGGGTCTTCTTAATCTTAAAATTAGTTTTCCGAAGGTAAGTATGGAATAGCCGCTTCATTAAGAAATCAATCTTTAGGCTCACCAAACAATGCATACACTACAAAGAAAGATGTTTTAAGCTTCAACACCAAAGAAGAATTAAAATGTACATTCCACCCAACAATCAATAAAAAATCTGAAAAAATTGTCAAACGTGGATAAGGAGATAAAGATTACTCAGTGAAATATCTTTACCAAGACTTTTTATAACGTTAAGAAAAAGAAAAATTGAAGAAAGAGCAGGAAATTTAAACATTAAAGGCATAAATGACTAAGTCGAAGATAGATCCAAAAAGTTAGAAGATAATTTTGAAGAAGATAGATAAAGTGCTCTCATTTATTATCAATTAAGTTTAGGAAGGAGATTACATTTCTTACGAAAATTTAGGATACATTTACCAAGAAATCGGTTTATTTAGAGCACTTTAATTCCAAAAAGACTAGAATCAAACTTCTCTTTATCTTAATGATCGCAAGAACATAGATATGAATAGGATGCAGTAAGAAATGAAATTCCACGAATAATCATACAGAATCCTTAACCTTAATAACGCAGAATCTGGAGTTCCTAAAAAACTTGCTTTTGACGTGCTAATGGTTTTGATTGAGAAAAAAATCTTAAATCCACAAGCAGAAACTTACATCAAAGAAATTCTTATAAATGGTTTATAAATAAACTAAGCTTCAACAAATTAGGAAGAAAGATTGCTAATTCTTTAACAGCTTCTCTAGGAATCAAATGTACCTTAAGACAGTAAGTTATTTCTATATTATAATTTTTCTTTTGCTAAAAAGAGTTTTTTATTAATTTAATTAAATATCAAAATTAATATTCTACTTATCGAAATATAGGTTTATCACATGGAGAATGTTGGGATATTCCTTAGCTGGTGGCTAATTTTAGAAAACTTCATGATGATAAAACAAATTTAATGGAATGGTACAGCTCAAAAAATAATAATATTTTGAATGATATTAAATTTATGAGTGATTAAAGCAATTTCGTAGAGGCTGCTAATGAGCCTACATAAAATAATTTAGATAGCAATGGAGGTAAATCAAAAAAACTTAGAAATTCCATGACAAATGCAGAATTGAAATTCCATCCTGTTATCAATAAAAAGTCAAAGATATTAGATAGCTGCTTAATGATGAGCTAAAGTGGTACTTACTTTACTAAAGCATAAACAGCCAAAAATGCAGCTAGCTTGAATCCAATAGATAATTTCACCTCTGAACTAAGCTTGAGCTAGAAAAGTGGTAAGAAGTAAGATAGCTAAAAAAAGCGTTACGAAATATTATATGAGCATTCTAAATATTTAGAATAAAAGAAAAAGGAATAAAAGGAAATTATAGAAAAAGAACAAAACAATAAATGTACTTTCAAGCCTATTGTAAATTAGAAAAGTTTTGTTCTGCAATAGAGTAAGGTATTAATTGAAGGACAAAATTAGTAGCAAGGAGATATTAAAAAGCCAGTGTATGAAAAATTATATGAAAAGCATTAGACAAAAGAAGAAGAGCTTAATAATGTCCGCTCAAAAGTAAAAGAACAAAGAGAGCTCAAAGAAGAATAAGAATGCACATTTAGACCTAATATAAATTATAATATACCAATTGTAAAAACTCCTGAAGAATAAGAAAAATTATTGAATATTAAAGGAACTTAGTAAATTTTAGAGCGTCTTTAGAAAGCAAGGAACTAACAAGTTGAAAAAGAATCCTTTTTCGAACGTCAAAGACAAGCACTCAGCCAAAATGTGTCTAGATTCACAGAAACAAGACCATTTTCATTTGACCAGTAAAACTCCTTGAAATGCATAGGTAATTAATCAATGCGTAAAGAGAGAGAAATTATTGGAAATGTTGATGTAAACTTCTCTAAAGGAAAAAAAGGCAGAATAATTATTTACAAAGGAGATAATCCTGAAGATTTAGCATTAAATTTTGCAAAAATATACTCTTTAAATGATGATATGCGTTTCACATTGAAAGAGATGATTGCTGAATATATTTAAAAAATGGAAAACGAAGCTACTTCTTCTGAAGATGAAAATAGATAAAATAGGTAAGATTTAAATTAAGCAAAGCAAAACCAGCCAAACAATGATGAAGATTAAGAAGATCAAGGAATTTCTAACAAAAGTGTCAGGGGAGATGATTATGAAGAAGGTAATGGTACCAGTGCAATCGATTCTGTGGACAATAATAATTAAATTTAAAGCAAAGAAAATACTTCTGATCAAGGCGAGGTAGCTAACGCTGAATAAATTAAGGAAATAGTATAAAATTTAGTAGGAGAAAACTAGAACAATCAAGAAGGCAAAGAATGAAATTAAATCATCAATTAAAATTTAAAATTAAAATGGAAACTATTTGAATAAAATGTTTACATAAATTATTGCAATTATCTTTTTATATTCTGTATGACAAATAATAGTTTATAAAATTTTCTTAGAATATTTAGTTTAAATTTTAAATTTTTCTCCAAAAATTAACTTAAAAAACTAATTTACTCTTTCAAATTTAAATTTAATATTTTTACTTATTGCTAAAATCAATTTTATTAAATGATAAAATCTAAATTTTACTATTAAATTTTTATATTAAAAATATATAATAAAATATTATCACTCTAAGCTATTTTACAAACTTACTTCTATTTAATGTAAATGATTATTAAACGATGAAAAATATTTATTTAAAAGTATTGCCTTAAATCATATGAAATATTATTAAAATGGAGCTATAAAATTTATTTATTGATGTATAATTGTTGTTTAATTAATTAAACTAATATTAATATCTTTACTTGACATAAAAATTGATTATTTGAAATTAATTAATAGTTAAGATAAAATAAATAAAGTGTTTTATAGAAGTTTTTGCTTAATTAAAATATAAATTATTACTGATTTTAAATACAAAAAAACAACTTTAGAAGAAAAAAAATATTTCATTATCAAAGATGAAATTTTAATTAAGAATTTAAAACAATGTATCTAATTATAGTTAGGTTATAAAATTGATATTACTTTTTTATTTTACACAAAGGTTGATTATTAGAAATTAATTAATAGTCAAGAGAAAATAACTTAAGTATTATATACAATCTTGCTTAAGCAAAATATAAATTATTATTGATTTTAAATACAAAATTTACCACGATTTAAGGTTCAAAATTATAGAAATGAAGCAAAAGTTTCCAATCATAATTTCAATTTTTGATTCACAAACTTGCTCACTTATTCATTCATTCATTCTTTTGTTTGTTTATTTTCTTCTTGAATATTTTTTAAGCTCTCAATTTGTTTATTTTTTTCAAGGTAAGTTTTTAACTCTTCTTCATTTTCAATAGATTTAGATTCAACTTTTTAAATATTTATATCTAAAGGCTTATCTGATTCTGAAGATTCTTAATTATGAGGAACTAGTGTATGTTCTATGTAAAAGGTAGAATGGCCATGAATAAAATTTTGAAATGAAGATGCTATCGTTGGAATACTTTATCTCTAATAAAAGAGAGTTCCGTTTCTGGCTTTGTTGCTTTAATCATCATTTGCTTGATAAGTATTGCTTTCTTCTATGTTTTTAGGTAGTTGAATGGGATTAAGTTCAATATCTTTTTTAGTCTCATTCTAATCATTATTGTTACTGCTATCACTGTCAGAAGATTCAGAGTCGCTATCGGAAGAAGAAGAATAGGAGGAATATTGTTACAAGTTTTGAGATGATAATAGTTTTGATTTTGATTATTAATGATTTAATAAAAACTTTTCTTAGTACTGTTAGGATCCTGACTTTAATAAATGATTAAGATTTGTGCCATCAACTATTTATTTTTTAGATTTTCTCTTTTTTTTACTACCTTTTTTATGAGATTACACACCAATCATTTCCTGCATATTAGCTGATAAGTATACAGCTTTTTAGTTGTACAAAAATTTGATATATTCAATGCTTGCTTTTGAAGCAGTGACTGGATTGCATCTATCATACTCAGTGGGGAAAAGAGTTCTCACTTCGTTATATGGGCGGTTTTCTTTTTATGCGCCTTTTGCTTTAGTTTTACGTTTATAATGGAAAATAATACATATTAAGCTCAAAAATAAGCCAACTATAGCGCCTCCTTCAGTTATAAAGTTAAATATGATAGCAAATACATTAGTTGATTCAATATTTTTTAAGTTGTATTCAATACAACCACAAAGATAAATAAATGGTATTAAGTCAAGAGCAAAAATGACTTTACTGTAAACTTCTTCTGTGATAAGTTCTGGAGTTGGGTGAATCCTTAAAAGGCAATATTTATCTATATAATGATTGCAAATTAATCCAAGCATTGAAAATATTATTCCAAATGGAGCTACTTAAGCATACCAAGCACTTAAAAAAAGATTTCTGGCTATATATGCATCTTTTATAAAAAATAAAAATATAAATTTTTCAAAGTAGCTGATTAATTTGTTGAAAATATTAATATAAACGAAATGAAATGTTATTTTTCTTAATTTAAATTTCAAAATTAATAATTACAGCTATCAGCTATTTCTATAGGATGGCCTTCAAACCACATGTTAGCCTCTTTTTGAGTATAAGGGCAATCTTCTGGAGGATAGGATTTTATACGCCAGCGCTTGTAGAGTTTATAGAACATCACAGGGTCAAACACTTTAGATAAAGGTGTAGAAATAGAAGTTGCAATAATAATAAAGTGAATATCCCAAACTAATAATTCAATATTAATATTTCCTTAATCTAACTAAGCATGAACTACATAAGGCATAAATGCACTATTAAAAAAGTATAAAAAGATATACTTGTTAATATAGGCATTCAGTAATTTTGTGTGATGATCGAATCTTTAAAATTTGGTGAAATGATACATTGTATTTCTCAAAGCAAGATTTACAATAACTACACATATACTAAGAAGACCTAGTTATTTATTTATTTAATAATAATTAATAAAAATGATTTATCCAGTAGAGATTACAAATTTATTTATTTATTTATTTTTAATTTGTTAATTTGATTCAGTAATAAAAGTGAAGTAATTCAAATGTATTTTTTAGTTTAGTTTTGTTTGAAATCATTACTTTGTTTGTAGAACAAATTATGATCAATACATAATTCAATAAAATTCTAAATTTTATTTCTGATTTAATTTAAATAAAATAAACAACATCAATCAAGCTGATTAAATAAATTTCTTGTAATCTATTAAAATTTGTAAATTTTGTAACAAACTTACTTCCTCTAATCATAAGTATGAAGGAGTGCTCTTCGTAACTTTGCTTTTTAAGAGGGTAAATGTAGTACATAACCAAAAATTGAATTTTAAAGCAAATATAAAGAATGATAAAACTGAAGCAAAGCATAAATGTATTATTTGCAATATTTTTAGGCAACGAAAATCTCAAATTTTCCCAGATAATATCAGCAGGAGCTGGTGCTTTTCTAATAATCAAGAGTTTTTCTTTGTACTCAATAAATGGTGGAGTTACCCATCTAAAGAAAATAAACTTTAAAATGTTAATCCAAGTGTATCCCCACTCATCTACAATCGAATTAACTGGCACAGTATCGTTAAAAGTAATGAAGGCTGTTCCTAAAAACTTAGAAGGGTCTCTATCATTATCACAGTCTTTTTCAAATCTATCAATAAATTCATCATTGATTTTCATTTCTGATAATAGAAATTCATTTTTTCCTTATATTTAATTAATTTTATTCATTATTTTTTCTTTTTTTGATTCAGTTAATCCCTGCTGTGATTCTAACTAGGTTTAGAGTTATTTAATTTGATATTTATTTGTATTGTATGTAAGGATATCTTCTGATTTAGAGTCAATAGCCTCATTGTATTTTTCAATATCGTATGCCATATTAACAGTTATTATTTGACGATTCATTAACTTTTAAAAATGACGCTTTAATTCTTCCTTTCGAGCATCAAGAGGCAGATTTTAAACCATTATTGTATATTCACAGGGTGAAACATATCCTTCATTAAATTTAGTTATTCTTTTTTATATTCTTTTCTTTGCATATAATATAGATGCTATGATAAACATTGCCATTAGAATTTAAAGAAAAGGATGCATCTGCTCTATATCATCCTCTTTATTTGCCATTATACCAATACCTAATATGGAAAGACACTTGTCATAGCAATTAATTTAATTTTTAACAAAAAGCAGAAGAGAGCCACCAAGAACAAATATAACTACTATTAGAAATCCAAAGAATTTGTTAAGGAGAAATATTTATGCATATCCAACTCCTAAAAACGCCAATTCTTTTTCATCACATGAAATGTTAAACTGGTTTTTTTCAATAATTGAATAACAGCAAGGACAATAATTTTCTTAGTTTAATTTTTATTCTTCTGTTGCCCAACCAACTAACCTAGCTTTTTTATGATTTTCTGCTAAGCTTAAATCTGGGGGTGACTTGAAAGGATCAAATTCTTTCCTAACAATGTAATATTAATTTGTCAATCTTCTAGTATGTAAACTACTCTTGCGTGATTACTCATGTCCTATTTCTTTTGAACTTCTGATATTGCTTTGATGGAAATTGCTTTCTCTTCCCGCATTTATACTAATATTTGCTTAACTATTTGCTTTTGCCTCACTTCCTATTTTTTATTACTCTAGATTTTGCTAATTTTAAGGAGAGTTAGAGTGATGATCGTGGGTAATGTTCAAGGATCCTTATTTAATTATTTTTGATGACTTCTCATTTATTGATACTTTGGATTACTTTTCATTCTTATTTGTATTTACACTATCCAAATTATAGCTTCCTTGCTTTTATAATATAAAAGTACCTTTTTTACTCCTAATACCACCACCTCCCATCAAAGGTGTAGTAAGGGTATTTTTAGTTTCATTTCCATTCATCTTTAATTTAGTTTATATATTTCCTTCTACTTCTTAATACTGCAAATATAAATATATCTTGCCTAATTAGTATATTTCAAAAACTCAAGCAATTTTTATTTAAGTTTTGCAGTTACCTTGTGTGATCTCTTAAATTTATAACCACTTACTACTTTCGAATTCTGCTTTTAGAAAATCTAAAAAATGAATTTTAATTCTTATTATTATCAGCAAATTTTACTAGAAATAATTGAATTAGTTTAATTTCTTATTTCTTTCTAATAACAATAATTAACGAGATAATTATGAAATTAATAGATATACAGAAATAAGTCAATATCATTTAATAGTCTGTAAGAGATAATCTAGTCATTATCTATATCAATTCAAAAAATAGGATATAATTTATACAATCAATATAGCTATTTACATTTTATTTAAGCAATTAATATTATAGTTTCTTAAAAAAGTCTTTACTTAATCAAAATAAATATTGATTATTTCTTGCAATTAGTGAATTAATTCCAGTTTAATAAATGTGTAATAAATAAATAAATGATACTAAATCTTAAAGATGCAATTATTCATTCTTCACTTTCTTTATGTAGACTATTTTTAAAAGTACAGCAAAAGAAAGTAAAAAACTTTTCCATTTTTAATAAAATGTTCGAATGTTATCTATCAGGTATATTATATAGACTAGTATAGTTTGATTTATGTTTTTATAAAATTAAAATAAAAAATTTAAATGAAACTCTCTTATATTTTTATTATTGAAGATACTTTTCTTAAATGATAAATTATTAAAAATAATTATTTAAAAAAAAATACTTTAAAGTTAAACTTATTATGTTTAAAGGTTTTATAAATTAAAATATATTTTAATTTTGTTCCTAATTAATTTTAGCATTGTTATCTAAAGATATAAAAATGATTTGATATTTATTGTTTATTTTATTTAAAACAATAATTTTAGATCTTTCAGTAGGGGTGTATAATGAATTTAGGCAATATAAAGCTTTTCTAAAATAAGCAAAACAAAATAAAATTTTTATTATTCTCAAAATCTTGGAATGGCATACCCTCAGCTGCATCTGTTAAACTATTCTTTTTATTTAGTCATTTGTTAAAAAAAATTTTCATTTCTTTTTAATCAGATTATCTAAATTTTTTAAAATAAATAGATAACTTTTATTTTAAATACAATTCTTGACCTAAAACTTTGATACATAAAAGCAAAATTTAAAAGTATTTAGATTATTATATTCAAAAATCAATTAAATTTTAATGCCTCTTTATTTCTTAAATACTGTCAATACAAATTATAACCATTAAATTAAGATAAAATTAATTAAAAAAGTAAAATAAAATAACTAAGATTATAAAACTAAGCATCTGCTAACACATATGATAAGAATTAGTATTTTATTTATTTATATGTCTGTGGATAGTTTTTTGATTATAGTTAAGGCATTCAATATTTATAAAAACAATTTTTATTATAAAAATAAATAAAAACTGCTTCTACTTTATTTATATTTAATTATTAACATATCAATGATTATTACTATTTTTTCTCCTTAAAAAATGATCATTTTTTTTTTATATAGAGCATAAATATTATTTATCTTTTCTTAAATGCTATCTTTTTTTGTGTTTAATACTTTCAATTCCATATTTCATAATAGAAATCTTCTCTTCATAATTTTATTAAAAATTAAGAAAGTATTTTTTTGAATGACCTTTTAAATGATTTCAATTTCTAAATTAAATAATTTAATTTATTCATTTTACTTAAAAAAATTATTTTAATCATGTTTTTTCTGTTTTAAATAATAAATGTTCCAAGCTCAAATTTAAATAATTTTAAATGAATATATTTATCAATAAAAAAATATATTTTTTTTTTGTCAAATAATATTTTTTAATTTTGAGAAAATATTTGTAAAAAGAAAAAATAAATAAATAAAAAAACAAATAAAACTATTATAATCCCAATTTATAAGCAAAAATAAAATTTATGGCTTCTTAGAAAAATAAATGTCAAAAGAAGAAAATTACTTGTATTTATAAAGGATAAAATCAATAAAATAGAAGGAAATTGTGTAGATTCTTTATATTGACAAATTCTTTGTTTCAAAAAGAAGAAGATTTTATTATCAAATAAATGAAATGGTTATGAAATAGGAAATTAAATATATTCTTAATATCAATTAATTCTTAGTTTCAAAAGGAAGAAGATTTTATTATGAAATAAATGAATTAGCTATGAAATAGGATGGGGTTTTATGAAGACTATCAAATTGCTTTGTTTGCATTTAATTTGATAAAGCTATATAAAAAGGCCAAAGAAAAGGTTTGATAGAATCAAAAGAAAGGACTATTTTAATTTGGGGAAGTGATAAATTAAAAAGATATAAATATTTAGAAGAAAGAAACAATATTCATTAAAACCTACAAAAAATAATTCACAACAACTCGAAATGCCTCCTAAAGTCGACCCCAACGAAGTTAGATTCAGTATGGCTTTTCTTCAATAATTTTTTTTCTTAATGTTATTTATCAAAGCGCATCCTAATTTTTGTTAGTGATAGCAACTTCTAAGCAAATGCCGCCATATACAGACAGAGATTGGTTGATTTATCAATCAATTATTAATGAATTTACTTCATAACATTATTTTTTCCCATCTCAAAAATAAACGATAATTTAGTTAATAATATTTCTAATCCATCGTTTTCATATAAAATGGTTCTGACAAATAAACTTCTTAACAACTATCAAGATTAATTTAGATTCAAAGCTAATAAAGATGAACCCAAAATGATTAATTAACCTCTTAATTTTGCTCTTCCTTCTAAAATATCTAAATAATGATATAAACAAACAAAGGTACAAGCATAATGATGAAAAGCATTACTAACTAGCAAAAGAAATATTTAAATATAATTAAATTTAACTAAATTTTCATTAATAATAATCGCATACTCATAGATAGAATCAATATTAAAAAGCAAGTATAAAAAATTAGCTAATAAGAAAACTCAGCATGATTCAAAATGAGATCTATTTATCATTCGATATACTTTGCCATTTAATACATAAACAACACTCTCTCAAATGATTGCAATTATTGAAAAAAAGTTAATCAAGCATAGAAAATAAATTTAAAATAAAAGCTTTTGCTAGTAAATTATAATGGCAGTTGTTAGTAGCAGTAGTTTTAGTAAATAAAAAGCCAAAAATAAATTAGCATAGCTAACTATTCAATTGTTTTAACTTTAATTATTTTCTTAGTGTAAAAAAATAAAGAAGCAGAAAAGTAGATAGATTGATCGATCGATTTTTAAATGCAAAGTATAAAATCGATTTTATCAAAAAAAAAGAAGTTGAAAATAATTAATATCAAAATTATGTATGGATGAATGGATTAGAAATATTTTATTTAAATTATCATGACTACCTTTGATTAAATGTGGCTCAAATAAAATTTTATATTCTACTAAATTAATATCAAAAGAGTCTAAACTTTTTTGATAAATAACAAAATAACTTTTTATTTGAATGCAGTTATTAATATCATATTCTAATAAATAGTTAACATTAAGGTTTTCGGTGGTGAACCCGGTCCCGCTTCTACCTTGGCCCCCAAGCTCGGTCCTCTCGGTTTGAACGCTAAGAAGGTCGGTGAAGATATCATTGCTGCTTGCAACCAACACAAGGGTATCAGAGTTATGATCCAACTCAAGTGCCAAAACAGAGCTGCTCAAGTTACCGTCGTTAACACCTCTTCCGCTCTTATCATCAAGGAACTCGGTAAGCACGTCAGAGATAGAAAGAAAACTAAGGGTATCAAGCACTCTGGTGACCTCAGTTTGGAACAAATCAAGAAGATCGCCAAGATTATGTAAGACGAAAACAAGAGTTTCGCCAAGACCTTCGCTGGTACTGTTAAGTCCGTCCTCGGTACTGCGTAAGAAATTTAAACATTTTAACATTAGAATTATATATAGTTGCAATCCTTTTTTAAAGAAATAAAATAATAAAAAACAAAAATTAAAATAATTTTTAAATTAATTAAATAGCCAATCTATCGGTATCACCGTTAACAAGTTACACCCCAAGAAGGTCATTGAATAAATCAACAAGGAAGAAATTAAGATTTGATTTCGTAATATAATATAAATAAAATTTAAACATATATAAATAAAATAATAATCTTTATTTGTGTAAAATGTGTTACGAAACTCATAATTGTTATTTAAACATATTAAAAATACTTTCAAGTTATCTAAAGCTCCTCCTTCTCTATTTGTTAGTAAAATCTTTTATGTTTAATTATAAAGTAATCCAAAAATTTATTTCAAGTAAAATGTAGTGATAATTAAGTTTATTATTTTATTAAATCAATATAAATTGCCTAAACAAAAAAATCAAATAAATAAATAAATTGATATAATTGTAAAAAATAAATTAATATGAACAAACATTAAAAAGAGACTTGAGGTCGTATATAAATAAGATTATTTTTAATCTCGCTTTTGATCAAATTAGTTTTGCCTCTTTTATTTTAATCTTAATGAATAGGAAACAAGCAAAATTTAAAAATAAAACAAATGAAATTAGTTCATTTATCAAAGCTATTTTAAATTTAATGATTCCACAATTTTTATTCTTCATAAAAAAATTTTACATGTTCTGCTTGTTATGTGTTAAAAATTAAAATTTCTAATTTTATTTTGATTAATATATTTAATTATTTGCATATTTATGTTAATTCTATTATTAATTATGCTTATTATTTAAAATATAAGAGAGAGAATTCACATATTTGAATATTTGATACAGTAATAAAATAATTTTTTTTTTAACTAATATATTTTTATATTTTTATTATATAGTTGATCCAAGTGTTATTGTAGTACATAAAATGTTTTAAACAATAAATATTAAGATTTTATTAAAAAGTATTAATAAAGATTGTAAAAAAGTTTAATTAACTTAAAAAATGAAGTAGGACTTTTAGTATAAAAAATAAGAAATTCAAAAATTTTAATTATTAAATTTATTAATAAAACTTAACATAATTTTTTATTTAAAAATATAATTTCAAATAATTCTTTCTTAAAAATTATTTTTTTAGTTTGTAAAATAAAAAAAATATTGACTGATCTTTGGAGAAGTTTAATAATTTTTTTAAATATGTTTAATGGTGTTTTAAATGTTTTATATTTAAGGTAAATTAGTAATCGTTGTAAATTTTATTCCATCACATGTTAATTTTAATTAGCTTTGTTACAGAGAACTTAAATGCAAAATTGGTAAAAAAAACTCAAAGAATTATTATCGTTATATTGCTTTTGAGACTTTTGAGATAAATTATTAAACTAACAAATCAATAATAACTACACAAATTCATCACAAAACATAAATAGTTTCTACTAACTACCAATAAATTAAAAATGAGCTTCATTTGCATCAAAATACATGTAATTTATAAATGAGATGGAAATTTTTGTAGATTCTAAATAAATTAAAAAAGAAGAGCATTGGTTTTGCTTATACAAATAAAATGCAAAAATTAATTAATTAATTGAATAAATAAATAAAAAAATAATAATTATCAAGAATCAATAACTATTCTTTAAATTTAATTTATCAATAAATACAAATAAATTAAGCATTTAAGATAGAGCAAGTATCATTTTGTAGCTGTAAAAATTGCATTTTAAGGTTTAGAAAATGAATTCGAGGCATTTGGAGGTACTTTTAGAAGAACTTAAATAATTTTAAAATGATACAAAAAAGAAATATTCAGAAATCAAGGATGTAAATAACTTTATCAATTAATCATAAATATGCATTTTAATTTAGTGAGACAAACAAACATTATTATAATTTAATTTTAATCAGGAAGCATCGAAGTTGTATTCATAGCTAGAAAAGCTTAAGAAAACATTTAGGGATAGTGGCGAAAAAAGTGAAGTGAGATTCCCCTTTGAACTTTTTGAGCCGCTGATAAAAGTTGTTAGCAATACAAAGAAATCAAGGGTGAACATTAATTTGATGACAATCCTATCACGTCTTTTTAATCTTAAGCTTCTACATAAGGTAAATAATATAAACGCATATCAAAAACAGAGTTTTACTATTTTTTGTGAATCAACCTCAATAAAAATGATTTAGAGTGCTCATTTTAATTAATTTTATTTAAAATAAATATAAAAGTATGAAGAATTCTACTATATTTTAGATTACTTGCACAAAGTTGTGGAAATTAAGAAGTAGAATCTAATAATAAAATTGCAGCAAACCCTTTTCAATTTAATCACTCCTTAAATTATTTCAATCCTGAAGCTAGATTACATTTAGTTAGTAAATTCTTTTATTTTTGTTTTCTCACTATTGTGCATTTTCCTCAATTTAGCAAATATCTTTTCATTTAGGCGCTTGAAGTCTACATGATGATTGCGCAAACATTAAAAAAAATAAATAAAATATTTTCCTAAAATTACTAAAAAAATTGCTAATATAAAACTTTTAGGCTCTAACAATCATGTTGAAAATTCGTGAGCAGTTCGATATTGCTATGATAAAAAGTCTAAATTTCACAATTTAGTCCTAGATCATTTCTGTTATTTCTCAATAGGCAGTAAAGTACGAGTAAGCTTAAGTATAGAATAATTATATGAAAATATTTAAGGATTTTATAAGTATCATTGATAAAAATATCCCTTAATGGTTTGGAAATACAAAGCCCACCCCTGAAATAGGTATTTAAAATAATATTTTTTTAGCATCTTTCATGTTTCTATTAGCATATAAAAAATAGATTTTTTTTAGGTGAAGTAAAATAATAAATTTCTGTTTCTTAACTAATAAATAGGTATTGAGTGTCTAAGTATTATGATTGACGAAGGAGAAAAAGTGTTTAAAGGAAATTGTGAATTAGAAAATATACTTCAAAATGATTTAATTAATAAATTAGATTAGATACTTCAATCAGCGTAGGGGCAAAAAGACGAAAATTTATGTAATTAATTTAAATACAGCAAATACTAACTAACTAACAAATTAATTACTTAATATTTTCTATAAAAACAATTAGATATCAAAGTTTTGAAATTGCAAACTAAAATAGTTGGTTTGATTCACAGCAAATATGCAATTTTTCAAAAATATAACTTGAATGATTAAAAAAAGTTTTCAAAACTTAGATTTTCAGCTTTAGAGTCATACAACAACATTTTTACCAAGTTGGAGTCCTTTTAAAAGTTTATAGAGTCAACTTACAGACCAAACACCACAAATTGCGTAAATAATTATCTTCCTTACATTAGTTGTTTATTATTAAAAATGCAAAAAAAATGAATATTTAGTTATGTTTTAAGCTAACTGGTTGATTATTAAATATAAGCTTACCATTAAAAAAAAGATTTTTAAAATAGAAAACCAAGTTTTTTCTTCGAGTGAAATTAATTTTAAATTATTCAAGCTTTAAATCATGTTTTTTTTTGTTTTAATTTACTTGACTAATTTTTTAATCAACATTTGGGTAGTGATTTTTTAATCATCAAATTTCAAGTGTAACTTGGCTTTTTATCTAAATAAAAATTTTCCTAATTAAAAAAGCAATTCATAGATTTTTTAAAAGATCTTACTGAAGTTGTAAAAGATTTATTTGGAAATTTGACTGTCAATAAAAAGAGAAGGTAAAAAAGCTATGCTGATTCTGTAGGAGCAGATATAGATGGTGTTGTAGAGCTGAATGGAAATGATTTTCTTCTTTTATGCATATAAATTATAAATAATATTGCTTAAAACATAACTCAAATGTGTTCAAATCTCTCAAACATAAACTTGATGTCTCTAAAAAAATACGATAAAAGTTATAAATTCTCCTATGATGAAGAAAATTTTAGATAGTTTTTCGAAGACGTTTACAGACATCTATACAATATTTTAAAGCTCATATTTAGCGCTCTAAATCATCAAAATATCCCACTAGATCAACAAAATGCTTAACTGTTTATTACATCAAGAAATTGTATTTTCCTTTCTCTCTTTCTGAATAAACAAAAGGCTTTCGCACAATTCATTAAGTTAGTATGCCAAACTATTTTAACAAAAGATTCTCATATTGATAAGAAATTTTTATACAATACATAAATTTTCTTCTACATCTATGAAAACTTCCCTGGTAAAACAATAATATAAGTAAAAAATAAATAACTTTTATAACTCTTTTTAATTATTGAATGAATATAGAATGTCTAAATGTTACTTGTTGGGAGTACCTCATATATTATTTGCATTTGTGCAATTATTTAATTGTAAAAGAAGAAGAAAGGAAAGATTGTAAATCTTTGACATAATTTACAGCGAGGACATAAGGTAATAATACTGCTTAAACTCATCAAACTTATTAAACATAGTACACAGAAACTCAGACAAAATAAAACTAAACTGAAATCGATGAATAAGAAAACTAAATTACTTAATTTGTTGAAAAAATAAAATAATTTTTCAAAAATACTTAGCATTTAACATCTAAATAGCTGAATTCTCTAATTGTAGCTTTAGAAAATTCTACTTATGATATGTTAGAAGACACAGAATTTGTCCAGTAATCTGGACTACTTCCTCGTCATTAAAAATCTGAATCAATTTCTACTCCTCTTTTGTTTTCTCCTACTTCCTAATAAGTAGTAAATATCTCTTTAGTGAGACGTCAATTTGATGAGACATTTACTTTGAGTATTTATTTTCAATTATTTTTATTTATTATTAAGCAAATTTATGTTTGTTTCGGTTTAAGTAATTCTTTTTAAATTTTAATATCTGAAATTATAAAAATTGATAAAATAATTCTCTCAAAAGAAAATAAAATCTAATTTTTTATCTTTTAAAAACTTAATTTTAGCAAAAATATATGAAGTGGTTTTATCTAACAAGCATAGAGTTCATTTAATATGGAAAAATGTAAGCTCTACACTGATTACTATTAGTACTTGCAGAGATATGGAGTTTAGGATAAAAGCTGTTACTATCCTAGGATCTATTTTGCTAGAAATAGGATAATATTTTGCAACTGGAAACCAAATCAATCAAACCAAAGAGAACACTAGCTAGGATAGCATTAAAATCTGTGATTCACCACTCATGAAATCCTCATAGGATCTTGAAGCTTAGTTTTCACCATCAGAAGTGTAAGGGATAATATTTAGTGCTTGGGAATCTCTATCAATGTGCTAATTCTAGGAAGTTAAATCAATAATTTCAGATTAAATGGAATAAGTTATTAATACATTAGGAAGTACGCTTAACATTAAAGGAAGATAAGCTCTCCTTAAAGTATTGATGAGCTTTTCTGAAGTCTAAAAAAATGATAAGTATATTGAAAGTAATTAAAATTATATTTATCATATAAATTCATTCAATCAATCAATTAATTAATTATTAGATTTCCAATGTATAATCTTGCTTATTCAGGCAACAAGTGTAACAGATACAAACATAAATGAAATAGAGCAATATATGAAAACGCTCTAAGGATTTATTAACAATTCAGGTAAACATCTTTTCTAGAGTTGTTCTCTTTTTTTATTTCTTATATACCAATCGATATCTATATTTTAAAAGTTGAATATTGAGGTCCGATATATCAAAAATAAATTTCGATATTATTTATTCATTATATATGATGAGAAAAAATAAAAATAAATATCCATGGATTTTGATATTTTAATAATCTAATATGAATGTTTTATATAAAGACACAACTCTGGTTTTATCTTTTAAATTTAAAAAAAATTTTTTTAATTTAGGAGACGAACAAGTTATTTACCATTCTTGCCAATAATTTTTAAAGTTAATTTAATATTTAAATGAACTTGCAAAAAATTAAAAGAGCACTTATATTATGAATACAATTTTGAACTATGTTAGGGATATTCTTTTTTGCCTTGTTTAAATATCAACTCATTCAAATGTAGAAATAAGAGAGTAGTCTCTCGATTGCTTTGCTACAGCTATAGTGGAATACTCAGAAAACTTTGAGTAAGTTATTATTTATAAAAACATATTTTTCATGCTTTTAATTATTAAATAGCATGACATTCTGGACATAGATTATATTTAAAGACATTTTATTCAAGATTTCTAGCGATACCATAAAATATCTATACTAGTATCTTTAGGAATAACTAAAATTAAAATAAGAAAATTAAGAATTTTAAGAATGGTAAAGCTCTTCGATGCAACTGATTGACAGTATTACAGAAATTACTTAAAAATTTATAGAATTTGTTTAAAAGAAAAAGTAAACTGAAAATTTATAACCTATTCAAGAGTCTTTACATGAAACATTATCGGAATCTTAAATATGCGGTGATGATGGAGATAATTCTATAATCTAAAGAAAAAATATAACTAAAAATACCATAAATAATAATTAAGAAAGTAATTAAAGCTCTGAAGAAGATGGTGATGCATCTTCAGAGAAGACATCGAAGACATTATTAGAATTTGCTCCTAAAACAAATCGTACAGATGGACATCAGCCATAAGCTCTATCATCTAAGCTAATAACACTAATGAATCAAAATTTAATAAATAATACCATTTCAGATAAAAAAGTTTTGAATTTCGAAAAAAAAGTAAAGAGTGCCACTAACCTAGAAAATTCAAAAGAAAAAGAAGATGAAGATCATGATCATAATTATCCTATACAATACACTGAAAATTTCGAAACAGAAGGAGATCAAGTAATAAAATTGGTTTCATTCGAAGATGATATTGAAGAGAATGCTAACTAAGATGACAAAAATAACTAAGAAAATAAAGAAGTATTCAAACAATTTTTAAATTTAAAATATTTAATTGCTTTATTTTATAGGGAGAAGATGAGAAAATAAACTCACAAGAACTAAGTGGTCAAAAGTAGAAAAAGCATCAACTAAAAATCAAAGATAGTTTGGCTTAATAAAATATTTTGAACAAGAAAAAACTAGTTTTTCCTAAATCCAAAAAATTTTACAGTAAAACTAAGACTCGCTAAATTTCTAGCTTAAGGTCTTTAGACTCTAAAGAATAGCAAATTAACGTGGGCAAAGAAACAGTTTAAAATGGCTATGAATTACAATAAATAGATGAAATGAAAGAATCAATTGAAAAATAATAATAACGTACAAGAACTGTAACAAAAGATTTAATCTAGATGAATAAAATAAAAGAAGTTGAATCATCTAGGTCAATAGAAAATAGCTAAGAAGCAAAATAATAAGTCAAATAGGAATAGGAAAATGCTGTGGAAGATCACATCAGTGATGTCATTAGGTAGAAATAAGAAACCTAGGAATGGTCTGTCAATATTAATGAATAGTAAGTATAAAAGTAGTTATCAAATTCATCGTCTTATAAGAATATTGTTGACAATAACAGTTAGAGTGCTGCCTCTACCAAAATTGAAAGCGATACTATCAGTGAGCCTCGTAAAAATAGCGATGCAGAGGTATTCAGATAATAACCTCCTTTAATTAATTTCATCAAAGCAGACGAATACAATAATGATGACAAACTAAAGGAGCTTTAGTCTGAAGAGTCTGAGTAAGAGGCTACTCCTATGATGCCCAGAGAATAAAAGGCTGTAGAAATAAATAGTTTAGAGCTTTATTTCATCATTTTAGGAGATTTTATCAGTTTCAAAGTTACTGATATAACATTTTTATGTGTGAAAGATATTGCCTAGTTTATAAAAAACTATCCTTAGTACACTGTTTACCTTTAGTAAGAAATTATTACAGTTATTGACAGACTTGATGATTTCTTCTCTTAAATTCCAATAGATATTGTTGAGTCAAAGGTAATTAATTAATTCGATAAAATAATTAATGTTTTATTTTTATAATTATTTATATAAATTGACAATTAATTAAAAAAAATAAATATTATACAAATTAATTACAATTTTTAAAAATAAATTTATAAAGAAAATAATTGAAAATGGTATTCCTGAAACAGTTGGATTACTAAGATAGATTTTAAGCATAGATAGGATACCTAGAAAGAAAGATCACGAGTAAATGATAGCAACTAGCATGGCACTTTTATATAAAATTATGATCTTCCCAAATATGGTCGAGTAGACATTTAACAATGTACTCTACCAAGTGTAATATTCAGATGACTAAGTTTATGATTTGCTAAATGATATTGTAATGAACTTTAAAAATAAAAGAACTCTTTACAAGAGCATTTTTATATGTTTCATTAAAGAATTCTTTTAAGAAGATATGTCAGACCCATTCTTTGATAAAACGTTGAAAAAGATTCTTTAAATCATAAAGAGTTTAATATCAAACGAAACAAAAATAAATAAAAAATATATTTATGATGTTTTACTTCACATTTATCGTATTATCAACCTTAAATATGATAATGCTTATCATCACTTTTGGTATACTTCCCTAAATTAATAAAGCAATCCTATATGGTATGAGGCCACTCAAATTTTTACATTTATAGCAAATATTCTAGTTTCTAATAAAATTTAAACCGATCCAATTTTATAACTAACCTTAGATTTCTTTAAGCAAGAAATCAAAGAATAAGGTAATTAGAATTTTTTACAAAATCGAGTAACATTTAACTTTATCATTTATTAATAGATAAAGTTTAATTCAAAAGTGAAGAAGATTTAATGCTTTACCTAGATCATGACAAAACACTCCTTCTCTTTTTGTTAAAATCTTTCGCTCTTGGTGAAGTTAACTTGACTTTAGATTAGGCTCTGGATATAGGATAGTTAATTCACACCTTTTCTTAAAGGAAACCTAATATATAGCTCGAAAAGATTCACCTATTAGAAAAGTTTTAGACTCAAAGCTTCTCTCAATTCTGCTTAGAAGCTCTCTTCCAAATTAGTAATTACATGGATGGATGTAGTAGCTAAAGATTATTTAACTCATAAATATTCCTACCATTTTTCTTGTCAAGAGCTTAAGCTATTTTTGATAAATTTATTTCAACCTTAGAGCAACAAAATTAAAAAGCGACAAATTAAGTCAAAGAGTAAGTTTGTTTTTTAAATCAATCAATTATTTAATTAAAACTAATTTTAAAATTAAAATATTAGAGTATAAAGTAGATAATTTTTGCATTTCTTAGAAAATCTCTAAAACTTGAATATTGCTCCAAATACTTTTAAAGAGTTTAAGAGTAACAAAATATACTCTTCATTACCTTACAGACTTAAGAAAATAGAAAACCCTTTATTAAACAACTCTAAAGGACATATAGGCTATTTGATGCCATAATTAACTGAATGTATTCATAGCAACAATTCAGAAGTGAGAGATTTAGTGAAAATAATTATACAAACATATCATTAAAAAATAGGAGTTTATGAGCTTTAATGAATAAAATATACTTTGATAAAATCCTTACTTTTCCAATACAATCTCCATTTGTTTTATCTAAATATTAATTTTAGTTAAAATTTTAACCAAATTACTTGAAAAAAATCATAATATTTCTATGAAAATATAATTTACATATTAATTTTTATTGAACTATTTTTAACTAATATATATATATATATATTCTATATACAATTCCTATAAATAAAGATACTAAATTTATAAAAAATTCATTTTGTGTTAAAATTTTTAGAAAATTTTAGATTTTTCAGATTTTTAAAAACCTGTTATCAGTAAATCAAATACATATTATTTATATTATTAAATAGATAATATAAATACTGAGGATTTTAATTTAAGAATTGTTTTAATTGTTATTAGAGCTATTTTAAAATGAAAAATACAATATACAAAAATTTTAATTAATTTTCTTAATAGTTTTTATTAAAAATAAATATTGAATAATATAAACTGACTGACTGAAAAGCTTTTTCAAGTTTTAATATTGTAAAATTATATTGAAACCAATTTCAGTTTTACTTTGGAGGGATTATTGAGTGTCTTTGCTTATTTAGAAGCCTCTTTTTAAGTATATTTACAAAGTTTACAGCAGAGTTTTACTAACCAATAACTGGGACAATGCTAGATTAATTCTTATTAGATAATAACCTTGATGCTAAAAATTTTTTAACCGAATATTTAGTGTAGCTTTCTAATACTATATTGATGTTATTTTTTGGAAAATATATTTTAAAAATTTTCATTTTATCAAAAGTTTAAAAGAAATCTAATTAGTTTTTGTCCTCAAGATTATGATTGTTTTATATTTCATGATTTGTATTTACTTTTATGTTTTTATCTTTTTAATTTTAGTTTTATTCTTATGTTGAGTTTGTATTTTCTTCTTCTTTCAACTTTATTGTAGAATTATTCATATTTGTGGATTTTAGCATGGGGTTATTAACTTTGGATGTATCTTTCACTTACAATTAATTTTATAATACTAATCCATTATTACTATGTCTTTTTGGATTGTTTTGAATCTTTTTTTTCGACAAGTGAATGGTTTTTGACCTTGTTTTATTAAATTTCTAATTATCATCACTATCATTCTGTTCTTTTTTCAATGGATTCAAATTAAGTTTATTATATTATTTCTAATTTTCATTAGAAACTAAATTTTATCTGTCATCTTATTTAATGCTCAACATATTACTATCAAATTTAACTATTCCTATTTAATTAAGAGATTAACTTGATTGCTTCGTGTCATTCTTAAGCACATTTGGTTATATTTTTTAGGCATTGCTTATTTTTTCTTCTCTATTAATTGCTAAGTCCTCATGGATATCATCCAAAAGATGTTTTTTAATTATATCTATCTTTTATTTAGAACTATTTATTTTAATAGAAGTGATAAATTTATTACTTCCAGGTTTAATTTGTTATTAATTTTTATAAATTTAAAGCAAGTTTTTTGGACTTCCAATTCCTTCTTAAGTATTCAAAGTATCAAATTAATTATCAAAACTTGCGTTAGAGGTTTTTTAAAAGGCATTTGCTATCTCATCATTTATTTTATCTTTCAATGGCATATTAGAAGATAACTTTTGTTCTAAATTATCATGTTAAGTAATCTTTAATTATTATTAAATTATAGCTTCATTATCCTTACTATTATTATCTTGTATAAATGATTTAGAAGAAATCTAACTTGAAGTTTGTTTATCTATTTTAGCATTAATTTTAGAACTTTAAGAAGAATCTAGCGATTCTTCAGATACAATTTAACTTTTACTCAATTTATGTTCATTAGAAAACCTTTTATCACTTTTTTAACCTTTTTGCTACTTTGGTTTATCATTTTCATAAGCTTCTAATGTTTATTAACTAAAATTTTTATCATTGATGCAATTTATTGATACTTAATAATTTGTTTTGGAATTTTTGCTTCCTATAACAGTTTTAGAATTTTTATTAGATCTTATTTAATTCGAAGTAAAATTTTAAGATTTTTAATTTTTTTCATTAGAATTAAGTTCTTCTTAGCTGTCATCACTATAAATAATATCTAAATTAAAATATTAATATTAATATGATTAATAATATGTTTTATCTTATTTTACTTGTATCTGTCCTTAGCTTAACACTTGATGGCCGTTTTTTATTATGTGTAAAATTTTATAATTTGTTTGTAATAGTTTCTTAATTTTCGATGATACTTTTTCTTTAAGGAGCAGAATCAGGTCTATGGAGCTTCGTTCTATGTCTTAAATTTTTTTAATCAATACTCATTTATATATTGTCTTAATTATATTTTATAATTTAAGCAATCTTTTGGTTTAGTTTTGATACTCCTTTCATCGTTTTCATTTTTTTTAATTTCTTTTAACTTCCAATTTTTTAATTAGAAAACTCATCGATCTTAGTTTCTGAAAAACCAACATCAAATTCATTAATTGTTTAATTGTAATTGATGCTATTCATGAATATTGTACCTTCAGACTACTCAGACTCACTTTTACTTTCTTCACTTAAATCCTCAGAAGAATTTGAAGATGAAATAAAACATAACTTATCATTTAAACTAATCTTTGAGTATCTCTAATAAAATTATTTATCATAATAAGAAGACATATAAGGAAAGTTTTAATGTTGTTTTTTCAAAAGATTCTTCTCTTCTTCAAGTTGCATTTCATACTTATAATCGCTTAAGTCAGAAGAATCAACACTTGAATTTTCGCTATTTGATTAATTTTAATTATTTTAATTAGGGCTTTATGTAATAAACTTTGAGGAAAATATTTCTTTGACACCTCCAGTAGTAGTAGTCTATTGAGTCTTTCTTTGCTTTTTCTCTCTTTACTATTCTATTGATTTTACTAATTTTATTCTTAATTTCTTTAAATCCTTTCTTGTTTATAGAATAGAGCTGAACGTGTTATTCTTTTTTAATTTTCTTGTGAAATCTAGGTTTCTTTTTTGATCTTCTGAATAATTGAACTTTTGAATAACCAATTCCTTTGATATTAAAATTGAAAGAATTAATTTAATCAAATCATGTTATATTTTCCTCTTAAAATTAAAATATGTCAGACAATAAAAATTTTTTTTTTTGAATAAATCAAAGTTTATAAAAAAATATTTAATTTTGATAGGTTAAATATCCATCAGATATATCTTATATATACCTTATGATTCATATTATGGATAAAGGGACAGTCTATTATAGAATGACCAAACTTGTGGCAAGCAACACATTTAATATTTTTGTCATTTTAGTATAGTAATATCTAATCTTTTATAAAGCAATACTTTTCCTAAAAAGATAATAATTAATTTTAATTCTATATAAAAATATTTGGTTACATAATCATTTGGATATTCTTTAGCAATAGCTAAAAAATTATCTTGAGTGCATGAAACTATGTGAGAAGTCACATGACATTCACAATCTGTCTCACGTTGGGAAGAAGTAAAAAATGAATGATGCCCAAATAGTTCCCCGGACTTTTTTTAATTAAAATCTCAGTAAATATAAAAAAAAAAATATGGAAAAATAAATAAAGTTTGTTAAAAGAGACAAACAAACTAAATTTTATTAATATTTATATTTAATTGCTTACTTTTTTACTTTATATGGTAAACTTTTTTTTAGAATTTTTTTGATACAAAGAATGCAAAGTTAAATCTACTTAGCCTTTTAAAAGTATGTATAGAGAATTCGATTGAGATTGCTCATTTATTTGATAAACAAATTCACCTGGTATATAGGTTTTCTCAGTCATAACTGAAGTAAGTGATTTTAGGAAATTTTAGCTGAAGTAGTGATTCAAAAAAGGTTGATTTTTGAGAATTTTCCAATAAAATTCAAATTTAACTTAGTTTTTTAGATTTTCTGATACTTGGTCTAATATATAAAGTCCTTGCTCAGGGGCATCAATTTATTACGTTTAAATGTAATCCAAATTTTTGAGAACTAAAGTTTGCAAAGATGTGTCTTTTTTTAAAATCCTCAAATAAATATTTTTAATAGTTGGAAATAAAAATTACTTATCATTCTTTGTCTCATATATGTTGATATTTAATATTTTTATGCCCTAATTTAAATTTAGCAAATTAAGAATATTTTATATATCTTTTTAATGAATTAAAATTACTTTATTATAGCTTCTTTTTGTGCTTTTTCTTAAAATAAAGACCCTATTATATTTACTGTGTATCCAAATTAGAAGCACGATAATAATGCAATCCCTAAAACATAAATTGTTTCAGCGTTATTTTTTGGTGTTATGTCTCCGAATCCTACAGTAATCATAGTGATAATTATGAAATATACACTTTTTAAGTATAGTGTCTCCCATGGTTTATTGATCAGATTGCAACTAACTACCCAGTTGTAATTTGGATCGTAAAAACTCATGTAATAAAATCCACACCCAAAAATATGGGCTAAAATAATTATAGTAGCTATAAGTTTTATAAGAGTAAAAGCAGTATTGAATCTTTAGGAAAACTAAAATCTTTCATCTAGATAATTAACGATTTCTAGAAATTAAAATAATCTTAAAAAGAAGCAGAGATCTAAATATTGGAAATAAGGAAGTCCTAAAGAAATAGTTGTGACAAGATCTAACCAAAAAGAAAACCTAAGATAATTAGTTATAATTCCTACTCTATCCTAAATGACAACTCCCTCTGCTGAAAAAAACGCCAAATTAAAATTAATTAATATATCACAGATACAGGCAGCCAAAGGTAAGTAATTAAGGAGAATTTAAGAAATATATTTCAATTCTGGGTGAAAATTAAAGAAAGCAATCTTTATTGGAAGATACAATATTTATGATAGTATAATTATCAGCATTAAAGTTTTCCATATTACTACAAACATTTTTTCAGGTTAAAGGACAGACAACTTGCCAGCAAGCTTAATTATTTTTAGGTCTGTGAGAAATTCTTTGAAATTTGTTAATTAGTTTTTATAAATATTTCTTTTTTCTGTGACGATATGAGTAATATCATTAATATAAAAATAATGTGTAGAATTTAGTTTACTAAGTCTGTAAGTCTAGCTAGAAATTTTAAGTTTGTTAATTAAATTCTGAATAAGGACAAGAATATTTATAAATCTCCAGCTTAAAGATAGCTTTTTATTAATATTAAAATAGGAAGAAATCCCATTACTGTTCTAAACCTGTTAATTTTCTTGATTAACGGATTCGTTTTCTGATGAAGCTTAGTTTTGAGCGGATTAAACATTGAGAAAAGTTATTCTGCCTAATAATTACTTGTTGTTTTAGTTAGGAGCTACACCATTACGTCTTAGTATTTTAGAACTTTATGAGAATCCTAATTTTTATGAAGATGGTATAAATTCACTATACCTTTTTCTAGGTTCATCTTTATTGTAATTGAGAGCAAATAGAGTTGGGTTCTTTTTATTTTACATTTCAGTAATTTCTGTAGTTTTCTTATCTGATTCCTTTATCAAAACAATCAAAATATTTTAAAATTATTTAATTTTTTCATTCAACAACTTATAAAAAGCAATTTACCTTCTCATTAGTCTAAAGTTAGTTTTCTCCCTAACTAATTTGTAAATTTTAGTTCGTATTAAACTAAGATCTCTTTGTAAATTACTCCTCCAAATTATCTTCAATGTTTTATCCTGATTTCTATTAATTGCTTTCTGATTAAGATAGAGGACTTTAAAATTTTGAAACGTCAACGGAATAATGTCTATTATATACATCCTTGATAGAAGATTGAAAGATAAATCTGTTGTATGAGTTTTATGGACTAAAAATGTCTTGTTTATTTTAAGATTCGTTGTTGAAATGTATGATTGGAGTATCTTTTTCTAAAATAGAATTCTCCTCTACTATCAAATTATTATCTAAAGGGTATACTCTTTGCTTAGTATTATTACTCATCAATTAAAATTTAGATTTCTATGAGACAGAAAATGAGCTTAGCTTTCCATAGCCATTTTTCTAATCGTTTGGTTTCCATTCTTCGTTACTCATTATTAATGAATCAAGTATTAATCCTTTAATTTAATCTTAGCTAAACGTAATACTATTCAAGAATATAAGTTCTTATAGATTATAGAAATCTTACTTGGTAATATAATCTCTATCTATCTTTAATTAAAAACAAGTAAAGTTTTGAAATAACTAACTTTTTGAATGATGCAATCAAATTAAAGAAAAATAGATAAATAAATGTTAAATTATCGAATATAAATAAATAAACATTCTTATTTCAAAGATATATTACTAAGCAAACAATTAGAGTCTAAAAAAGTGTTAATTCTTAATGATTTCCCTTTTTGATTTCTTGTTTGCATTTATTATAGCCTTTTAATATAAGCATAATTATTATTTAGTCTACGAAGATTATTAAAATATTGTAATTTAATTAAAAATTATTATTTTTGAAACTGTATTTTTGTTAATTTAAAATATTTTTATTAAATTAAAACTCTTATCTCTTATCATTAATTTACTCTTTTATTCACTTTACTCCGTTGTAATTTTGACTCCAGAAAATAAGAGAAATATTTAATTTTAGTTTTATCTAAGTCTTTTTATTTTAATAATATTTAATCAAATATATTTAGAAACAAAATATTCTAAAATTTCTATTATATATTGAATAATTTAAAAGATTTCAAAAGTGAGATATTTTAAAGTTCAGTCATTTTACTTTTGATAATCATTAAAAATAGAAAAACTTAATAATAAAATAAGTGGCATAATTTATTTAAAATTTATTTATTTTTAAAAAATATGATCTAGTATTATTCTGATTAAGATATAATTAATAAGTGATTTTTAGATATAAAGTGTTCAAAATTAATATTGTTAATCTATCTAAATATTATTTTTATCAAATAGAAAACAGTTAAAAAAATAATTAAATATCTTTAAAAATTGTTTAAATTTCTTTTAGTCTTTAAAGCTTAATTTTCATTTACATGTATTTTAAGCTTTTTAAGACATCTTTTTATCAATTAAAGTGATATTTATATATTCTTCATTTATTTTAAAAAAATAAAATTGATTTAAAAATATGTCAATGACAATGACAAAAACAAAAACACTACTAAGAAATTATTTATAATATACTAAGTATTTAAACTGCATCAAGACATCAAGACAAGTAATTGGACTTCTATTTACTAAAATCTTTCTAACAATACAATAATATATAAATCTTAAATACACTATATGTTTAATTTTAAGTAAAATTACTTTTTAAAATGTTTATAAAAATTATTTTACAAATAAATTGTAGGATAGAGAGAGGTGTTTTACAGTAAAATTATTTACTAGTTTTCCAACAAAAATATTTGCTATAGTTTATACAATTTATTTAAAACAGCTTTGTAATTGATATTAAAATAAAGTTTATTAAGAAGAAACTTAATAATTATGTTAATGTTATTAATGAATTAATATTTGCAAAAAGTTAAGAATATTTTTTCATAATTATAATATGTTTGTGTGAGTGGATGAAAAATGTATGATATAAAGCTATTAATAAATAATATTTTTTATAATATTTCAATATTTAGTAGAATTAAAATTATTGAGTAAGAGTTACCTAAACAAAGTGTTTAAATATTCAACTCCAATAATTTTTAGAATATGTCTGTATGCTAAAAATTTTTTATCTGAAAATTTTAATGGAAATTGATATCTTTTTGTGCTTTTTAATTAATTTATCCTTTAAATTTTAATATGATGATGGCTAAATAAAATTTTTCATGGCTTTTTAATGTTATGACGACAGATTTAACAAGTATAGTTCTAGCGAAGTGTAAATAGGTATTTATATTTTCTTTATCTATTGCTACAAAGTAAAATTAAAATACAAATATGTGTAGGTGGTATTAATATAAGTTAGTGAAAATAAAATTGTGATAAGAGAATGTGAAGTTGTAAATGAATTCTATTTTTACACTTTAATAAATTTATATTTTAAAAGTGTAAATGTCATCGATAGATATCTTTTGTCTTAAAATTAAATTTGGTGTTTGTTTTTCCTGCTCGCTATATCAATTTTAATTCGCTCTAAAAACATTCAGCTAGTTTACTCTTCGTTTATACATTAATACATGAAATTTAATTTACAAAATTAAAATAATAAAATAAATAAATTTCTAAATAAAGTTCTAAAAAATAAAAAATGATGTATAAAACTCTTATTGCCATAATACTTGCTTTAACTACTGTGTCTGCTTTAAATTACCCTACATGTCTAGATCCTAGAGGGAAATCCGTAGACTGGTTCATAGTCCTTAAGCATCCAGTTGGTTCTGAATATTCATATTGCGATTCTAATTCTTGCACTTAGCTAAAATCATAAGGCTTTGAATTAAATGACATTGATAACTCTCCATTAATGCGTACACTTGCATAGACTGAAAGAATAGGAAAATAATCACCCTACGGTTCAGTGTTTTGGAATGATCAACCTCCTTAATCTGATGCATCTTTGAGTTACGCTCATGCTAAGGGTTTTATGGTATTCAACCAGTAATTTATATTTTTTTCAAGAAAACTAAAGAAATTAAAATAATCTATTTTTTAATAGAGAAAAGGGCTATTTGATGGTACATTCAACTCCTAGATTTCCCGTAATTGAAGAAGATATTGTTAATTTGGAGATTCCTTCAAGTTAAACAAAGTTCGGCTAGCATTACTTCTGTATTTCGACAACTACTGAGGACTTAAATAAGATTGCTGAAGGGTACAACATAGACTATCCAAAAGTGTATTCAAGTTATATTCCAACTGAATTTGAAGGAATAGACAATATAATTAATATGGTTAATCAAAAGAGAAATAAAGATGACTAATAATTAGCTGTTAATTTTAAATCTCTTAAAGGTACAAAGTTCATTAAATTCTCAAAGTCTGGTAAGTATTTAGTCCCATTTTATGATACCATACTCGCAGAGTCAATTAAAGCTGGTGTCATAGTTCAAAGTTGGGGATCTCCTTAAGAAGAGCCAATCTGTGAATCTTAATACAATGTAAGTTCAAACATGTTAATTACTCTTGATGGTATCACTTACAAATAAACATAAGATCACTCTAAGTATTGCATATCCACAGACGATAGTAAGCCATACGTATGTTTAGGAGATATTAACAGACAAACTTCTTAATGGAAGAGAGGAGGAGGTACAGTCTGTTTATAAAATAAATAAGTCCACACTGCTTTTAAAAAGATTATGGCATAATAATAACCTTGCAGTGTCTGATAGATGAAATTATATATTTTTCAAGATTATTTGAATAGCATATTTATGAATAAAAATATATTTCATAAATTAGTAATTCTCATATTTAATAAAATGTGTTTTAACCAATTTTAATTTAATCTTTTAGAAATATAAACTAAGAACAATATTAAATTATTTAAAAGTATAGAAAAATATAATTTTAAAAAGATATTTTTATAATATCATAAATTTTTCTTCTTTTAAGTTTGAAATAACTTCCAAAAAACTTAATTTGCTTAGTTTAAAATTGTATTTAGAGCATATTAATTGCAACTTTTAATTTTTAAGATAAAAAATTAATAAACAAAATATAATTTTAATATTGATGAATTAATATTTTTATCATTAAATTTTGTTATAATATATTAAATATATTTAAATTAATAAAAACTTTTTTTTTTACTAATTTGAGATTCTTAAAAATAAATTAGAAATTCTAACAACATAAATTTTAATAATTTTTTCTTTTACTGAATCTTACTTTATAAATTTTATAATAAATTTTTTATCATTTCTAATTTATTCATCTTATATGAAAAATTATTAAGAAAAAATAAAATATATATTTTGAAAAACATTTTAAAAGTAAATTAACAATTGAAATTAAAATTATAAAATATATTTTTTATCATTTAAAATTAAGATTATCTATTTAAAAGAAAATGTGCTTGGACAATTAATTAATTATTTATTTATATAAAAGAATAAAAAGTGTATTGTGAAAACTTATTTTCTTTATTTATTAAAAATAACATTTGAAAATTTAATCCTTTTTTAGAGAAACAGAGAGTTAGTTAATTATCTAAAGATATATGAAGAGTTTTTTATTATTAATTCAATAATCAATTATAAATAAAGCCTTTGTCAAACAAAATACTTTCACATTATTTTTAAATTATTTTGCGATAAGCAAAAGATTCAATCAAAAACTAAATAATCAAAGATATATTTTGTTAACAAAAGTTTATAAAAGAATACTGCAAGTTCTTAAAAATGAGTCAAGCATAAAAACTTATACTAGTTTTTTTATTTGTTGGAGTTGCTCTAGGTAATATCTCAAACGAAGCACCTTATTCCACTAAAATTGGTAATCAAACTATTGAGTAAACTACTTATTACTTTACTTAGAAGGTTGATCATTTTGATCCTTCCAGCACTGATACTTACAATTAAAGATTCACTGTTTATAGTGAAGCATTTAATCCTGCTAACGGAACTGTTTTTATCTTTATTGGTGGTGAAGGACCTTAATAAGGTTTAACTACTGGCTCTGGATGGTATATGCTTGTTGCATAATAATTTAGTGCTATGGTAATTTGTGTTGAACATCGTTTTTATGGTGTTTCATAGCCTTTTGGATAAGGATAAGATGCTTGGACTGTTGATCATTTAAAATTCTTGACAGTAGACTAAAGTCTTGCTGATCTTGCTTACTTCATCAGCTATATCAAGGCTAATAACTTTTTAAGAATTAATGACAGAAATCCCTTCATAACTGTTGGTGGTTCTTATCCTGGTGCTATGAGTGCTTGGTTTAGATATAAATATCCTCATTTAACAATTGGTGCCCATGCTTCAAGTGCTGTTGTTAACGCTATCATGGATTTCTAGCAATATGATTATTAGATCTATACCAGTACTTCTCTCAGTGGTCCTGAATGTCCCATAAAAATTTAAAAGTTTAACGAAATCGTTGAAGAAATTCTTACCCAAAATGGTGAAGCTGCTTAAAATTTGAAAACCCTCTTCAAAGCTCAAAATCTATAAAATGATGACTTTTTATCATACTTTGGTGATCTCTGGGCAGGTATGGTCCAATATGGTAAGCGTACAGTTCTTTGCGATCTTTTTGCTCCTGATACTTTTGGTGAATAACTTAAATTAGTTGTTGACTACGCTATTACTTAAGGAAACTAACCTGTAGATGGATACGATACCTAATCTCTAACAAACACTACTTATGTTGCAAATGAGTCTGGTCGTTAATGGACTTGGTAAGTTTGCACTTACTTTGGATGGTTCTAATCTGCTAACTAAGTATAACCCATGAGAAGTAGAACAGTCAACCTTCAATTTTACTAAAATCAATGTAATGTAGCCTTCTAAAATTTCTAAAATTTCCCTAAGTCTGATTTGGTCAATACATTTTACGGTGGAGCTAATCTTTAGGCCTTTAACATAGTTTTCACTAATGGTGTTGAAGATGAATGGTAATGGGCTAGTATCCGTTATCCATAAGGTAATATGGATGCCATTATTAGCAATTGCACTGATTGTGGTCATTGTGTTGAATTCAGATATCCCAAACCTGAAGATAGCCCATAATTACAATAGACCAGAGCTTCCTTAATTTAACACTACACTAAGTGGATTACCGAATTCCGTAATAATCAAAATGATAACGATAATTCTAACTTTATTGAAAAAATGCTCAAGGTTATTAGAAAATGAAAATCTCCTACTTTTGAATAAAATAAAAACATATATTTGAAAATATGAAACAATCAATTTATCATAAATAAAAAAAGTTTTTATTTTGTTTTATTAAAAATAGCATTATATTTTTTTTAATATTTATGAATTTAAGAAATATAGGGAATTTATTTTAAAATAATTTACATATTTATTAAACAATTAATTTGATTAATATTTATTATAGCTATCAAAATTTTATAAAAAATTTATTAATTTTATTTTTTGACAATTTAACATTTTAGGATAAAAATAATAACAATTTTTCTAAATAATATATTTTAAAGGTAAAACTTATTAAAAAATTTAATTTATCTTGATTAATCTTTTTTATTTAATTCTAAGTCCATTTTTTAAAAAACATTAATTTTGCTTTATAATAAAATTAAATTATTGTTTAAAATATTGATTATTTATTTGACTTCTAAATTAAGTAAATATTTAGTTAAAATGATAGAATAAAAATATGAATACAAAGGAAATTTAATTAAAACAAATTATTTTAATTAAAAAAAAATATTTAAATTATTAAATTAACGATGTAAGATTATTTTGTTGCTATTTACTAAAATTAGCAGGAATAATAGAAAATTTTAATTTCTTAAATTATTAAAAATAAATTTTTTATTAATTAATATTTATTTTTTTAAGCAGAAATGTTTTAGCTATACTGATACTATTAACTCTAAGTTATCAGCTCTGCTTATAATAGCTGTAAAATAAAACAGAATGGTATCGCTATTTATTAAAATGAATAAAATTAATTGCATAAACTATAAATTTTTAATGAAATAATATAAATTATTTTTTTAATAAATATTTCTAAAACAAATTTCCAATATAAATATTTTTTTTATCATTTTACAGTTTTTCAATCTTTCTTTTAAATATCAAAAAGTATTTGATTTTTTTTAATTTAGTGAATTAAATAATTTAAATTATGTTGTTTTATCATGATTTCATTACAATTGTATGGATGGTTTTTAAAAAATAAGGAGTTAATTTATAAATAGATTTTTTAAATATTTGATTTATGTTATAAATAATTACAGTATTTAATAATTATTAATTAGATAATTACTAGAAATTTACTTACTTTTGATTTTGACTTGAGTATTGTTAGGTAGTTGTTTTTTGAGAGCTAAAAGTTTAATTTTTAAAAATAAAGTGAATGTGAAAAACAAAATGTTAAATTTATATGATTTTTTTTTTAAAAATCAGAATACCTTATCTTATCGAAAAATGGATATTATTACAATCATAATAAAAAATGAATTTTGCATCCATCTTTGAAATAGAATTGTATTTATATTATTTGTTATTTTACTAAAAGAGACATGATAATTAATAGATATAATACTTCTTTTTGTTAAATTCTTTTATATCTATCTATCTATCTATCTATCAGAAATCTTTTTATAAATACATTTACTAGTATTTTTCTACTTGTTTTAGATTTTATATCTCAGATAGTATCCTAAATTAATTTAGTTTCATTTTAAGTCATTCGTGTTTATTTAATTACTGAATTTTTCATATTAATTAAATTTAAAATTAGCATAAATAATTAATTTATGATATTTAATAGAGCAATGACTATGAATTGCTTTTTAATTAAATATGTTTATGTGAAAGAAATTTTTTCCTAATTTAATCAAATTTGTGGTTTTTCACTTTCAAATTACAAAAATTAACACACATACATTTTTATATTCGTTCATCTTAATTATAAATAATTTCAATAAAATATTTTAATTAATTATACATTTCATGTTGAATAAAGGTTAATAATTTATCGTTTAAATAAGTAAATTTTTGATATATTTGATATTTATACTCCGTTTACATCTGGTATCTTAAAAAATCAAATTTTCCTATTATTTGAGCTGAATTAAATCAGAAATTATCAATTTCTTAATTTGGTGATTATGTTTATCATTCAAATTAAGTATGAATTGTTTAGATTAAAACTATACTTTTTCTAGTTGAGTTTGGTGTTTTTCCTAGAGGAAGAAAGATATTGATGACTTCATTATTGAATGCTTATTTTATTCTTCAAAGTGCTTAAATACTTGCCTCTAAAAATAAAATATAATGTTTATGTATAATTTAAAAACTAAAAAAGTAATTCAAAAATATGAAAACAGCTTTATTTTTAAGTTTAAGTTTAATCTTACTTTCTCAAAGTGTCAACTGCTAGCAACCAGTTGAAGTCTTTAAAACTTTCATTGATGGAAAAAATATAACTCAAAGCATTTATTATTACACTTAAGTTTTAGATCACTTCAATCCTAATGATCAAAGAACTTGGTAATAACGTTATGCAATTTACAGTGATGAATATAATCCTGTTAATGGTACTGTTTTTGTCTATATTGGAGGTGAAGGAAAATAAAAAGGATTATCTCCTGGTTTAGGATGGATGGTCGAACTTGCTAAGAAATTCTCAGCTCTTTTCTTGATAGTTGAACATCGTTTCTATGGTGCATCTTAGCCTTTTGGAAAAGACGAAAATTCCTATTCAAATTAAAATTTAGCATACTTATCTGTTGAATAAGCTCTTGAAGATCTTGCCTAAATAATTGCTAACTTCAAAACTTTGAGGTTACATGGATTATCTGAGAATGTTCCTTTCATAACTATAGGTGGATCTTATCCTGGTGCAGTTAGTGCATGGTTCCGCTCTAAATATCCTCATTTGGTTGTTGGTGCCTTAGCTTCTAGTGCAGTTATTCTACCTGTTGAAGATTTCTAATAATACGACTACTAGATTTACTTGAGTACTCTTCGTAGTGGATAATGGTGTCCTTAAAATATCTAAGCATTTAACAAATAACTAGAATCAATTTTAGTTAATGGCGGAGAACAAGCAGAAAAAATTATCTAATAATTCAATGCAACTAATCTCAGACAAGACGAATTCTTATCCTTCTTTGGTGATTTATACTCCGGATTAGTTTAGTATGGTAGAAGATCACTTTTGTGCAACTTCTTTGCTCAAAATACTACTTTCTATGACTAATTAAATAGCATTTACTAATATGCTATTGTCTAAGGCAATTAGCCAATCGAAGCATACGATACTTACACTTTAACAAATACTACTTATGATGAAGATGCTGCAGGACGCTAATGGGTATGGTAAACATGTACAGAATTTGGCTGGTTCTAAACAGCTAATCAAGTTCAACCTATGAGAAGCAAATAAGTAGATTTAAATTTTTACAGATACATCTGTAATGTTGCTTTTGATGGAGAACATGATGATCCTGATATCACAGCAAATGTAAATCGTTTTGGTGGACTTAAAATTGGAGCTACAAATATAGTTTTCACAAATGGTATTGAAGATGAATGGTAGTGGGCTAGTTTACGTTAATCAACTCCTTAACTAACATCTATTTTTAACAATTGTGATAATTGTGCTCATTGTCAAGAATTCCGTACCCCCAAGCCAACTGATCCTCCTGGTCTTTAATCCACCCGTAAGCAAGTAGAAGCTATTTTTGCATAATGGATCCACTAATTCTATTTAGAAAGATAATCATTTGGCAAAAGAATGTTAAGAGGAGTTAATTGATTTTGAAATTCTAAATATAAAATAATTCAGTGTGTTATTTATTATGTTTTAATTTGCATAATTATATCTTAAATATTATATTTTATGTAAATTATCAATAATCAATTAAGATATGCATAATATATTTTATTTTTATTAACATTTTATTTTCAAAACTAAAACCGATTATTATATATTTTGGCATATCTATTTTATTTTTTATCTAAACAGTTATCTTTTTCTGCTAGCTGAGTTAATCAATATAAATATATTATAATCATGATTTTTAAAAGATATATAATAATAATAAATTCAGTGTGTTTTTATTATATTTTAATTTGCATTATTAAATCTTAAATATTCAATTTAATGTAAAGTATCAATGATCAATTAAGATATGCATAATAAATTTTATTTTTATTAACATTTTATTTCAAAACTAAAAGTCAACTATTAATATCTTTATGCATATCTATTTTATTTTTTATCTAAAAAGTTATCTTTTACTACTAGCTAAATTAATCAATATACATATATTATAATAATGATTTTTAAAAGGTATATAGTAATAATTACACAGTGGGTATTATAATAGATAGTTAGAGCATCAATATAATCCAATTAAAATTTAAATTCATTTCATTTTTCAAAGTATTTAAATAATATTAATAATTATATCTTAAAAGCTAATTAATTAATTTTCCAAATTTTTTTAGAATTAATCAAAAGTTTTAAATTTAAAATAAAAAAAATAATTATTAAATATTTTATCTTTTTAAAAATTACTAATCACTAAACAATTCTAAAGATTTATAAAAATATTTCATAAAGATTTGTTCAAGAAGCTATTGGCAGAAAGTAGAAGAAATAAAGTCATGCATTTTATCAATTATTAAGGATAATTAATTATTGTGAAATAATAAAAATATATTTATTTAAAAAAATGTAAAATTATTCTTTATTTTACTCCCATTTTTAGTGTTTCAATTATATACCCTAACATAAATTGTCATTACAGATTAAATTGATTTGAATTAAAATTATGTGCAAATTTTTTGTTTAATTTCCAGTTTTATTTATTACCACTTGTTTATAACTTAACTTTTTTAAACAATATTCAATATACTTTTCCAATACTATTTCTTGATTTCACAATATATTTATTTTTGAATACATTTGAATATATGGTAATAAATTAATTTACAATTTTCTATTATCTTGATTCACTCAATTTTTTCATTTTTAGTTGAAAAAATTTAATCAAATAACTCTTATTATATATAAAGTTGCTCTTTTTTTTAAAAATGAACTAAAACCAATAGATTTTTATTTGATTGTATATTAATATCCATTAGTATTAAGATTTCAAATATATTTTTTATTTGCAAAAGGAACTTATACTTTTTACAAAATGAATTAGAGTTTTAACATATAAATTGTAATTTTCAAAGAATCTAGAAACTCAAGTCGAAATAGATCATTAAATTTTCTAAATGATGTCATAAATACAAATATTTTTAAGGCAAAATATAAAAGATTAATATCAAAAATATATTAGAAAAGAAATAATTATGTAATTACTAGATAAAAGTTAGGATTATTCACTTGGAATGTTACTTTTAAAGAATTAAAATTAGCTAATTAAATATATCAGGCATTTTATTCTTAGTAGGCTATATTTTTATCTACAGCCTACGATAAATATAATTGATAGCTAAATCTATGTCGATAATGAAAAAAGTTTTTAAAATAGCCTATATAAGTATATGATAAAAGTATTTATCCTGACGAAATACTTTAATTTTAACGTTAGCAAATAACCTTCAAAAAAATGTAATATTTGTAATTATATTTTTTGCCCACCATTTTAAGCTGCTTTAGATGATTTTTTAAGAATCTTTATTATTGATTACCATAAATTTTACATGAATACATTAAATTTAATTAATAAGAAAATAGATATGTAAAAATTAATTTTTTGTTAACATTATTTTTTCAAATAAAAATCAATTAAAAACTAATAAATTTTAATTCTCTTCCTGAAAAAGGTTTATATTATTACACTTTAATGACTCAAAATCCATTTATTTAAAAAATAAATAAATAAATAAAAATATATTTAAATTTTAAATTATATTTACACTTTTTAAAGGCGCCAAAATCCTTCAACAATCAACAAAGAGCAAATATTTTTTTTAAATCTTACAGTTTCAATAAATTTATGAATAATTTTTTCTACTCTTAAAATGAATTCCAAAAAATGGCTGAAATTATGTATCATTCATTCATACATATAATTAAGCGTAAATAAAATTAAAAGAGATAGCAGAAAATTTATCAGTAAATGAAATTTCAAACCTAATTTACAAGAAATGAATTGAAACTTTTTTATGATTCAAGCTAAGCCAAGATCCCCCTCCATCTCCTATTAGCATAAGCTTTTAATATCTGTATTTTTTATTTTGATTAATTTAATTATGGTATAAGAAAAGGTTTTTGGAGAAAACTCATATGAAAATCTATTCAAAAAATCCGAAATAGTTTTGAAAGGAGGAAGAATGAATGATTTATATTCGCTTTTTACTATTAGTAAATTAAAAAATTGTTATTCCTTTTTAATATAATTAATTTTAAAAATTTTAATAATAAAATAAACTGCGAAATCAAATGAAATTGTTATTGTAAATATTGATAACTCTTTAACTCTTGGTCTTCATAGTTTATGCTGACCCTTAATGTCTGAACCAATAAGGTAAAAAGGTTGATTGGTTTATAGCCCTTAAGCTCCCTTCTGGTGCTGAGTATGCTTACTGTGATTCAGAAAACTGTTAGACCCTTAAAATTTAAAGCTAACCATTGGATGATGTAGACTCCTCTCCCCTCTTAAAGACTTTAAAGTAGATCGAATAAGTAAAATCTGAGGAATATTCTACACTTTTCTGGAACGACTAACCTCCTACATAATCTGCTTCCTCAACTTACGCTCACGCAAAAGGTGTGATGGGAATTGGAAGGTACCAACCTTATTTAAATTTTATTGTTAATATTTAATTCATTGATTTTACAGAAAGTATATTTTTAGTACATAATTTATAATTTACAATTTCCTTGAATTTTTAATTAAATACTAGAATTCTAAGTATTCTATAAATTCTAATTTTGTTTGTTAATTCTTTCTGTGAAATAGTTTTTAATTCTTCTAGGGTTAAAAATAATGAAAGAGCAAATAAGAAAACTTTAAATAACAATTTTTAATTTTAATTTTATTTTAATAGTGAATAAGGTTTTTTAATTGTGCATAGTACTCCTAAATTCCCAGAAATTTAAAATGGAAAAATAGTTCTTGGAATCAAGTCTAATCAATAAATTTATGGCTAACACTACTTCTGTATTTCAACCACCAACCCTTAACTTGATAAGATAGCTTCTGCTTATAATGTTGACTATCCCTTTGTTTATGATGGATTCGTTTCAAAAATGCATTCCTAATTCCCATACTTTACTCGTATGCTTAAAAACATCAGAGATGTAGAAAAGGATTAAGATACTGTTAACTTTAAAACCTTAAAAGGTGTTTCTATGATCAAATTTTCTAAATCAGGTAAGTGGGCTGTACCTTTTTATGACAAGGTAGCTGCTACCAATCTGAAAACAAATCTTTTTGTTGAAAGTTGGGGATCTCCTCAAGAAGAACCAGAGTGCAGCTAAGGTAGCTTTTCTGTCTATTCTAATCTTTATATTGATTTCTAACAAAGTGGAATACAATATAAATGGACCAAGGATCACTCTAAGTATGCAATCTCTTCTGATTCAAGTAAACCATATGTTTGCCTTGGTGATATCAATAGATAAACTTCTCAATGGAAGAGAGGTGGTGGAACTGTTTGTTTCTAAAACTAATAGGTTTACAATAACTTTAAAAAAATAATGGTTTAACAGTAAGACTGTTCAAGCTGATATATTTTGAAATACTTATTTAAAAAGTTAAATTAAAAAATCTATCAATTTTGTTATATATATTTTATTTATTTATTATTTTAGGCTCTTAATAAAATAATTTATTTTGTGTAATTAATTAACACAAAAATTAAATTCTTATTTTTTTTATTGAAAGAGAGTATATAATTAATTAACTAATTATCAAGGAAACTTGACACTTATTTATTATTGTGAAATTGTCGATTTTAGGTAAATTTTATCAATATTATTTATTTATTTCACTCATATTTCAAAATTCGTATCTTACTGATTAAATGAGTGATATTCTTTTATTTGTTTAAAAATATCTTGAAGAAAGATTTTTTTATTTTAGGATTTAAATAAATATTTTTGGCGCAGATTAGTATAAACAATAATCCACTAATCTAATTAGATCATGATAAAACTTCTACTTCTCAGTTTTTTTGAATAATCTATCTAAAATAGCAAACAATTTTTTTATTATTTGATTATTATTTTTTTCTAATTACAAATATTTTAGTTTTGTACTGAATTCAATAATTTTTAAAATAAAACGAATTAATTAAATAATTATAGGAGAGTTAATATGAGATTGGAGACTTTATATTATAAAAATCATTATGCAGTAAGAATAAAAAAATCAATAGACTCTTCATATTTCATAACTAAATTAATCAACACAGTTAAAGATTTAAAATATAATAAGCATTTTTAGTAAATAAATTTCTAACTATTGAAATAAATGTAATCATATAAATGACTTTTCTTGAAAAGTACAAATGAAAATGGGCAATTAAAAAACTAGATAAGGCTGTTTCTCGTTTGCAAATTAGTGATATTGTAATATTTTAAATGGATTTAGATTATTTACTTATTCAAATTAATATGATGTAAGAATGTAAGATAAGAAAGTATTGATTGTTTAGGAAATCTAAATATTAAGATAGAAACAGATATTTATTTTGATATTATTTAAGTAATTCAGAAAAAGATAATTCCTACTCATAAAATGAATTATAAAAATATAATTCTATTATTAGGTTTATGTATCTGCTTAAATTTAAGTACTGCTGATCCTCAGTGCTTAGATTAAAATAATCAACCTGTTGATTGGTTTATAGCTCTTAAATTTCCAAACGGAACTAATTATGCTTACTGCGATTCTAATGACTGCTCTAAATTAGCAGTTCAAACTAAAAAATTAGATGATTTATCTGCTTCTCCTTTGTTCAACACTTTGAAATAAGTATAAGATATTACTTCTGACGAATACGCCACTGTATTCTGGAATGACGAACCACCCACTTTTGATGTATCAACAACTTATGCTCATGCAAAAGGATTCATTGGAACTGGAAAGTAAATTAGATCTTAAGTTTTTGTTGATCTCATTTTTACTTAAAATAGTTAAAAAAAGTTAGCCAAAAAAAAAAATCAATAATTTCCAATAGACAGTTTTTAACGAAATTAAAGATATTTTTCATGGATAAGTTTTTTAACTTTCGTCCAAACAAAATAATGAAACAAGTAGTACAAATTTTAAAAGTTTACTTATTAATATTTTTTTATGAGTTATGGTTATGACAAAAGTTGAAAGAATAAATGATAATATATAAAAAATAATATCAACCATTTAATGTTTTTATTCATTACAAAAAATTTAGATATTAAAAAACCTAAGATTTTATTAAGGTGGGGGTTTAGGATAAAATATTGGCTTATTCAAGTATATATTTATTTTTTTTTAATTATTTTTTAAAGAGAAAATGGATTCCTTGTTGTTCACAGCACACCTAAATTCCCACTTATTAAAAATGGCAAAATACAGTTATCAATAAAATCTAATTAGACTATTTATGGTTAACATTACTTCTGTATCTCTACTCAGTCTTACAGCCTCGACTAAATTGCTGCTGCATATAATGTTGATTGGCCTTATGTTTATGATGGTCATGTTCCACCCAGCTTTTCAGATTTTCCATTCTTATAAAGAATGCTAAATAACTATAGAGACTTTACTACCTTTAATGCTGTAAGTTTTATAACTCTCGAAGGTGTCTCAATGACTAAATTTGCTAAATCTGGAAAATGGTTAGTCCCTTTTTATGATAACTTGCCAGCTGCTTTATTAGAAGTAGGCTTAGTTGTTGAAAGTTGGAGATTTGATGAAGGATCAGACTGCGACTAAGAATTTGTAGTAACTAACAATTTAATGGTATCGATTCCAGGTGCAGTGACTTTCAAAGAAACAGTAGATCACTCAAAGTATGCAATTTCTTTGGATGATGATAAACCATATGTCTGCTTAGGTGATATTAATAGAGCTAAAACTTAATGGAAAAGAGGAGGAGGAACTGTTTGCTTCTCTAACTATGATGTTCATAGAAATTTTAAGTAGATAATGAGCTCTCAATAAACTTGCCCTATTAAGTTTCATGATTATTCATAAAATTGAATTAAATATAAAATTTATATAAGCATATTAAATAAATTTTTACAGTAAAATAAATATTTATTTATAGATTTTATATATGAAAAATGTTTTATTTTAAGAATAAATAATGAGTAAATTCAACTTAAAAGTAAATTTTGTTAATTTATTCTTAAATATCAAAGAAAATAGTTTTTAATAATTAAAAAAAAAACAAATTTAAAAAATCAAATTTTAATAAATAACATGAATGAATTTGTTTTTACTGGTTTTAATTTAACTTGGTTTTTTAAAAAAAATAATTTTTATTGATTAAAATAATATTTTTCATAAAGAATTTAGTTTTATAAAAATAAGATTTTACTTAATTTACTCAAATTAATTGCTTGTATTTAAAATTCTTTCTTTCTCAACTTATTAAAAATAAAAGATATCTTTGATATTTTTCAATAAGACTTTTTAATAAGCTAATTTTTAGCTCAATTATATTAATCAAATGATAAATTCATTGTAAGATAATAAAGTTCAATTAAAATAACAAACTAAATTTGTAATTATTTATGATAACCATAAAAATGAATCTTAAATGACAAAGTTATATATTTGTTAAATCATTAAAATATTTACTATTATAAATAAATATTTACTAAATAGTTATAGATTATTTTTATTGAAATACATAATTTTAAGAATATTTGTTTTAATAGAGCAATTAATAAAGCTTGATTAATGATTATTTTTGGTAATAATTAGCCTATTAAAATTTCTATTAGATGTTTTATTACTTTTACTTTTAATCGTAAAAAATACCATTTTAATATTGAATTTCTAACTAATATTTTTTCAATATTAACAATCTTACTATGAGGTATTTAATATTTAGCAATCTTAAGTCTAGCAAAGAGTTTAATTATCAACTTAAGGAGTAAAGTACGCTGATTCTTGAGGTCCCATACATCCAGATTTATAGTCATATAAACTTTATGTTTAAGGATCTTGAATAGATATCATAAAAAACTTTTTACTGTCACAAATATTCTTAACATATATTCCTAGTTTTTAGAATTATTAGATTCTAACGCAGCCGAAGTCTTGCTAGTGATTTTGTGTAAGTGTATTGTATTAATTTGAGACTTAGAGAGCAAATATTCCTACTCCTAATAACATAAAAGTTAATAGTAAATAGTTTGGCATTTGAGTACTTTTTCAGAGATGTTAACTTAATTTAATTTCTTGATATTAATATTTATAATTTGAAAGTAATTATATTCTTTAATCATTAGAAATTTAATTAAGGAAAAACAATTTATTTCTCATGTTTACATTTAATATGCCAATTAATTAAAAAATACTAAATTTGCTTTGATTTATGTGATTAAATTTATATTATAAGAGAAAATAATTAAAATAAACATAATATTTTATTATTTTTACAGCTTAATAATAATTTTTTTTAAATAAATCAAAAGGATTAACAAAATTATTTCTATTTTTAAGCCCTATTTTGTAAATATAATAAGCAACTTGTATAAAAAGATAAATTTATTTCGGTTCGATTTCTGATAAGTGAATCGAATCCCTGATGTCTAATTATGTAAAAGGGATTCCAAATTCTTATGGATAAGAAATCTTAATTAGATATGAAAATAAAATTTAAATGACTATTTTTTATTGGGTTATGAATAAATAAATATTTATTTATAAAGATAATTGGCTATTTGAAAACATAAACTGGTTTTTTTATGTATAAATAATAATAGAGAATAAAAAGATTATAGAAAAATAAATTTATGATATATATTTTTTTTATTTTATAAATATTTTATTAGATTGTCATAATTATTTATTTATTTGTTTGTTTGTATTAATTATATCCAAAAAGATAAAATATCAATTTATCTATTCATATATTATAGTTATTTGTAAAAGAATTTTTTTATTTTATTTAAATTGATTAGATTTTCTCTCTCAAATATTATTTTATTTAAGCTTAAAAGATTACCTAAAAGAGTTTTCTTTTTAATCTTACTACTATCACTATAGCTTTTTTCAGAATATATAGTTAGATTTGATTTTTATGTAAGATACTTTAATATTCAAAGAGTAAAAATGTTTCATAGTTATAGGTTAAATTAAATTTAAAAAATACTTTTTTGTTAATAAGTTAAAATTAAAGGTAAATGATTTAGTTAAAAATCATTGACCATCATAGCTAGATTGTATTTAGCATATTTAATCTCTTAAATTTTCAATTTCTAAATTTTTAGTATTAATTATGTCTTTTAAGCCTGATATCTTATTTTGCAGATTCTTCAAAGTTACTGTGTAGTCAGTGATTGTATCTACTCCAACTAGACTATAGTGATTGGAAAAACTCTTGGCTCTCTAATGACTTGCATTTAATGGTTTTTTTACAGAACTAGCTTTTTAATTATAAAATATCGAATTTATTTCTTTTAAATGATTTATCATTTTTAGTTTAAAGATCTTAAGTTGTAATATTTCAGAATTGTTTCTTCTAGAAAGGGTATTTAAAGTGTCTAAAATTTCTGGTTCTTCCTCATTCATAATTTTAACATCTGATCTAATCTTGGTAGTGCTCTTTTATAGTTCTTATTCTTCAGCAGCTAGATTCTAATACTCCTAAATATACTAGTGAAGAATCTTTTTGCTCTCTTCAAGTCTTATAATCTACTTTTCAAAATCATCCTTTTACTATTCTAGTCCGCTTTGCCTTTGCCTTAATTAAGATTCTTACAGCTTAATATCTTTTATTAAAATTAATTAGGTTTATTATTCTATTGTAGAAATTAAAAATTTAACAAATAGATATTACTTTATTGCTACTATTCTAGTTTTAATTATTCTTTACTTATATTTTAAGAGTCTGCTTATGCTTGTTAATATTTTTCTTGTAAAATTCTATCCCTCTTTAGTAAAAATTCATGTTCTTACTGTAACTAGCTAATTAAATCTGACATGTCGTATTATCTACATTAATAACCTAAATTATTACTGCTAATATTATTATTTATCATTTAGCTATTCCCTGAAAATCCTAAATTAACTTTAGATATTGGCTCTAAAATACTATCCTATCCATTCTAATTAACTAATGCCACTCTACTTGTGGTTTATGGAATTATTTAAAAGTCTATTTTTCATTTAATTGCAAAAATATTCAATAAAAAATTTATTTTAATTTAATTTATAAAATGCTTATTTAAGGGGGGGGGGTACGAAAAAATTTTTTTTTTTTAATTTTAAAAATTTTAGCATAGTAAAATTTTGGTATTTTTAATGATTTATGCATATCATTAATAATAATTTATTTTACCCTCTTGAATTTTTAAATAAAAAAGAAAATAGTTTACCTTAAAAACTGTTATTTTCTGAGTGAGAACTAGGGTTACGTTTATTAATGTTCAAATTAGGTGTGTGATTTACTGAATTCGAAGCTGTGTTTATAAGATGAGCCTATGGCTATTTTGAATTTTGTAGGTCTAATTAAAATTAAAACATAAATTAATTTAAATTTAAATATATTATTGTAAAAAATAAAATAATTTTGAATGTTTTGCATAGCTTTAAATTATCAATTTTGAAGGAAGGATATATTTTTTAGCTTTAAATTTAATTATAAATGAATTAATCACCTTCTAAACTCTTCTAATAGTTGTATTAAGGAAAAGCAACTTGTTATTACTATTATTTTTAGTTAGTCTTCTAATTCAAGTATATTTAATGAGAGGTTTTGTTAATTTACAGCTAGTAATTTGCATACTCAAACTAAAATTATATTTGCACTGATCCAAATATTGAACCATTATTTTCAATTATAAACCACTTTGATGTTTGTTATTGCTATTCTTCTACATTTATACTAGTTCTTCCTAACTATGTTAAAATATTTAAATACTTATTAAAATAATAATTGATAATTTATTTTTTTTAATAGAGTTTGATATTGCTATTTGAATATAAAATCTTATAATAATTTCAAGTTTTATTATTTAATCCTTTCTTTTAAATTACAAAGCTAAAAAGGCTTATAGATATAGCCTTTAATTTATTATGATCAAAAAGAGCCAAATAGGAATGTTAAAAAGTAAATGATTATAATATTAATAAATAATTAAATTGGTTTACTTCTATCTCTTCATTTTCGGATTTATGCAGGACAACAATTTCTATGTTGAAATCAACCTATCCTGAAGAATTTACTTAGTATTAACCATTTAGCAATTACTGCTACTAGAAGATCTATATTTACTAGTTTTAAGAAGTTTAAGGTGAAATTGAGCTGCAAGATGATTAAGTGGTTACAGAGGAGTTGCAAACTCCTCCAGGATTAGTTAGATCGAAACCTTTATTACTCAAAATATCAAATTTCTTTTCTTCATTCCATTTAGGGTAAGATCCTTTGTTAATTTAAGTTCTCCAAATCCTTTTACCAAACTATACCTAAACAAAAGGCTTTAAATCAGCAGAATTTGCAAGTTTAAGCTTTCCTTCTATAATTTTTATAATAAACGATTAAATTTAGAGTCCCTTTACTTATTATTATGTATAGGACTATTACATAATTGTAGGTTATTATTATTGCTAACATAAATTAGCTTAATTGCTATTTTGTTGTGCCTAAATATCGTTCACGCCTGATAAAAAACTGGCAAACGATTTATTAATATTATTATTATTACTATTTGGTTAATTTTTTTTTAAAGAGTTTGATAGAGCCTATTGCTGTTGCTATGGATAAGACAAATACATTTAAGGATTTTGCTATGGATTATTAATTATTGTTTATGCACTAAGAATTGAATTACCGCTGTAAAGAGGATTGCTATTAGAAATTATTTATTACTAAGAAAGTTATTATTGCTTTATTTATTCTTACTTTTAGCTATTCATATTGAATTAAATCAAAAACTATGTAAAAACAAAGATTTATTTTTATTTTTATTATAGTTAACTTTTTTTTCTTATATGATATATGTGTAATTCTGTTTTAAATAATCACGCTCTTAAAAAAATATCAAGTAATATGTAGTCAAAGCAACAAAAAAATAGTAAATTAGCCTCATATTATTCTATTTTCAAAAGAAAAATTTCATCTGTGATGATTTGAAATTCTAGCTTGAAAATTTTACACTAAAAACTGAATACATAAATTAATACATACATAACTTTTTTACACTTTAGGGGTTGGTGAAAAGGCTATTTTATGTAACAAAATAAGCTAACCAAATAAAATATTGTGTTTTAAAATAACGTTTATAAGGAAAATTATAAATAAATAAAAATAGAATCAATATATTTAAAAATTTAAAAATCAAATACATTTATTTATTTATCCATTAAGCAAGATCTAGCAATTTATTACCACTCATATAATTAAAATATTGCCAGTATAAATATTCCTATCTATAAGTATTCATGTAAATTTGATAATTATTTCATTAATTTTGTTAATTTATTTATCTAATTACCCAATAAAAGGAACAAAAGAAAATAAAAAAATAAATAAATATCTCGAAACCAAATATCTCTAGCCTGTACCTGAATTTTTATTTAAATTTAAACTTAAAATATTATACTCAATAATTAAATTAATTTCAATAAAATTTATATTGATAAAAATTAATTTTGGATTTAATCCAAAGATTTTAAAAATACTACCTTAAATAAATGCTTATTATTAGTAGTAACTAACCAATTAAAAATTATTTAATCTTAGAGAAATGAGTCGTTTTGTAAATAAAATACTCAAATACAAACTTTATAATTCTTGAAATACTTTGCTCTTTTTTTATAGAAAAGTTAAAAATTATATTTTTTTATACCAATAAGGATTATAAATGGTAATACATATCGTTTGATGCTTTGTTTATAAAAGCTTATAAATATTTCTAGCTCATTCATTTAGAGGCTAATTAAAATGAATGAAGAAAATATAGTGTTTGGATTAGTTTAGAATATAAAAGATTTCTTTGTTAATTTAATTTTTATAGTCAAAAGTAGGAGAAGCCAATAATTTATGTTTAGAAAAATTCTATTTAGCAGTTTCTAGAAAATAGAAGTTAGAAGCCAATTCACAAAACTACAAACCTTAGCAAAAATATAAGAATTAAAAAATCCAATTTATTTATTTAAAAGGTAAAATGGCACTCAATATAAATAGATCCTTTAATAATTGAGTAGAAAGAGTGCTTTTAGCTTTTGCTAATAAAAGTTTAATACTGATGATTATATAGATATAGGCGGAGAAGATAATTAAGATTCATCTTAAGCAAAAGTATAAGGAATGTTTAAAGAAAAACCTTTTGGTACATTAACTATATGCCCAACTCCTATTGGTAATTTAGGTGATATATCAATAAGATAGTATTAAGCTTTACTAAATGCAGATGTAATAGCATGTGAAGATACTCGTATTACTGGTATGCTGTTTAAATTAATAAAGTAAAAAAAGATCAAAGAATCTCTTCATGAAAGCTTCGGTGTTGAGGATCTAGGAGAACTTAAAGAATAAGCCAGCAATAGTAATTAGAAAGAAGATGAGTTCGATGATACTTATCTATTGGAAAGCGATTAGATTGATAACTTAGATGTTAATTAAAGATTAACTCGTGAAGAACGTATTAAGTTGAAAATTTTGGAACTTAGACAAAAAGCTAAACAAGTTTTAAAGTAAGAGGATACCTTAAACATCTTCGATGAAAGCTATGAAAACGATGACCCATTCAGCAGATAAGGAGACAATTCAACTTATGGGCTAGAAGATGAGTTTATTAAATATCTCAAAGCTAAGATTATGCAATCTAAAAAGTATAAAGGTAGAGGTATATTAATTTCATATCATAAGTATAATGAAGAAAATAGAATTGCTAAGCTTCTTAAAATTATGAGATATGGATTAAATATTACTTTGGTTTCTGATGCTGGTACTCCAACTATTTCCGATCCAGGATACAGAGTAAGTTATTACATTTCAGTTATTCTACTAGAGTAGATATTTATACATTCAAGCAAATTATTATTGTTTATCAAAATATCAAAATTACTTCAATAGAAATTATTTAAATATTTAGATTGTAAATAAATGTATTGAAAATCATATACATGTTGAAGCTTTACCTGGTCCTAATAGTGCAATTACAGCTTTGTCAAAGAGCGGTTACCCAGCTGATAGATTCCATTTCGAAGGGTATCTTCCTAAAGTATAATCAGAAAGAGAAGAAAAACTTAATAAAATGAAGTAAAGTGAACTCACGAGTGTTTGCTTTGAGAATGTAACGAGATTATCTAAAACTCTTCTGTCTATAGAAAAAGTAATCAAATAAATTATTTTTGTTTCTAAAAATTAAAAAAATTTTAAAATAGATATTTGGAGAGAAGCAACAAATATTTTTATCATTTGAAATGACAAAACTGTACGAAAAATATTATCGTGGAGAAGTTAGAGAGTTATATGAATTATTGAATGATCCAGAAAAGATAAAGTAATCACATTTAAAGGGTGAGCTAACGATGGTTATTCCACCTTACCTCCCTTAGTATAACAAAGAATTAATAGAAGATTAGTTTAAGAAAGATAAAAGAAAATATTATCATATGGAGTGGGAAGATGAAAATAATTAGAAATTTATTTAAGTAGAACCTAAAGTAATTGCATAAATATTAAATGAAACTCTTGAAACTACAGATTAAGACTTAGCAAATTTATTAAGCTAAATCCTGAGAATATCTCGTTCAAGAGCTATGTCCTTAGTTGGAGTAATCAAACATTAGTAAAAAAGAACCCGTAGTTGGGATGAATTCATAGGAAACTATACTGAAGAAGTTAAGAGAAAAGAAAAGAAAATGAAGAAATAGTCATAACAAAGTGAGGAATAAAATATAAAATGAGTTAAATAAACAAAATATGAACTACTGACTGAATGAATGTCTTTCTAACTAAATTAGCAATCTAATTATAATCAGGAGCAAAAATAAATTAAATTTTTTGAAAAATAGCTTCTTTATATTTTGCTAAAACAATTTTTGAAATATTAAAAAAATTTAATAAATAAAATAAAATAATTATTTGTATTTTTATGGTTAAAGTTGTATATAATTTAATATAAGATTAATCCTAACTTAAACTTTAACAATAAATCATAAAATTAATTTTCAATAAATAAATAGATATATTTTATTGAACTTTATTAGTTATATTTGAGTGAGTAAAATTAACATAGTGTTAATTTGACAGTGGATAAACTTATGAATATATTTTAATTTGACTCTTTTGTTAAGAAGTTTAATATATTTTTAAAGATATTTAAATAAATTTTTAGAATATTATTGTACTAATTGAAATATTTATGAATGAGTTTGTCTGAAATAATTCTAAAATCAGTAGTATATATTAAAAATTTTACACTATTTTTTTATTATTTCTAGATTCATTTTTAAGAAGGATTATTGGATATTTAATTTATTTAATTTCGAAAAAAGTATGTAAAATTATAAAGTGCGTTTATTTTAATATTTAACTTTTATTTATTATTTTTGAAACAATTTTTTAGTGCTTTTATTTGTTTAAAAGCAAACAAAATAATAAATTATCATTAAATAAATAAATTTATTTTAATGATTTTAATAAAACAATAATAAATTACTTGGCAATCAAAGTATATTTCAATACATTAAAATAAAATATAATTTAATAAGTTATTATAAAATAAATATTTATCAAGTCTTATTTTGATTTTTAGCTTTATATTTATAAGTTTACTATTACAAATATATCAAAGTTTTTTTATTTTTTCACTTGGAATATCTATTTATTCTGTTTATTTAATTGGTCTGGAAGATAATGAATCTAACTAGCCTTAGCTACTTTAAGATGACTTTTAGAGATTGAAATTAGAATTATAGTAGTTATTTGTAATATTATAATAATTAATTATATTTATATTTGAATCCTTCACATTTTAAACATTTGCGAAATTTTTGTAAGAAGATTCTATATTTTTTTATTTTAGACTTATGCTCTCAAATTTATTTGAGTAAATTTTGTTAAAATCATGTTATTAAATGCTTTCGAATAAACCACTCATTAAATTAGGAGTTTCTTAAATTTACTTTTCAGAGAAGTGAGATGATCCTTCAGATTCATTTTGCTTATCACTATCTTGTTAACTACTTTCTCCTTCACTCGATTTTTCACCTGTTTATCTTGCTGTGGCAATGTTACTAAAATTACTGAATATCTATTTTTTTCCATGAGGTTTTATGATAGATTAAGCATCTTCCTCCTAGTCTTTTTAGCTTATTTTTATAATACTATTAATATTCAAACTCCTATAAGACTAGTGGTATTCATTAAGTTTTTCAGCATATTGAGCAGGATTTTCTTTCCTATTTTTAGAATAAAAAAAAGATTTAAATAATTTATAAACAGAAAATATATGAAAGTTAGTTGTTAGTTACTTTATTTTATAAAGATGCTTTCCTCTTTCCATCCAATTTTTTATTCTTCTTTAAATTATAACAATTACAGCAATATCACCACTCTTTAAGTGACTTTTATGGGCAACAAATTTATTTTTTTGATCTAACTCTTAATAGAATTATTCGATTCTTTTAGGGTCTTCCTATGGTCCACCTCTATTGAAAAAATGAATAAATAAATGTTGATGAAAAATAAGAAATAAAAATAAATTTTTTACGGTAAAATTCCAAATCTTAAAAAGAGAGAAACTTATGTCATTTAAATAACAACATCGTGGAATCTAAATCCAAAATAACTTTTTCCTTCTTTATTTGTATGCGTATACAGAGGAAGCTACAAAAATTTAAGGAAGTTTTTCTTTTAAACAGGATTGGAAATATCAGCTTCATCAACTCCATAAAGCATTGCGATTCTAAAGCTAAACTCCCAAAAATCTTCATAATTAATGAATCCATAACCTTATTTATCATATTCAGACCATAATTCTTTAATTTTACTTAATTGATACTTGCTCATAGCTGTATTTTAACCAATAATTAATTCCAATAGCACTGCAATAAATAAGTTCAAGATGATCACACTTACAAATAGATGGAAACTAAAAAAATAGATATAACCCCAATATGTTCCGCATCCATTTAATCCTTTTTATAAAATCAGGAAGAAATAAATAAGTTTTAAATCTGAAAAAATATACTTAAGTACTAGTAAAATTAATTGAAATTCCTAAAAAATTTAATATCAAATAATTGAATCAACAATAAATTTACCATTATTTATATAGTCATCATAATTAGATATGGTCTAGCAAACAAAATTAGGCTATTGCTATCTAACAGCATCATTAACAACATAAAACCACTATTCTCCTGATGCTACTCTGATCAAAGTAAAAACTGCGGTGTTGAATGTCTTGAAATGCTAATCATAACCATTTAAGGTATTCTAAACTTTAATGAATGGGAATATTTGCATACCAATTAAAGCATACATATATATTAAATAGAGAAGTAATCCAGCTACAGGTGCTATTTCTGGGAGGATGTAGAATAAAATATTCAGAGTCTTTTTTACAATTGTGATGGTTTTTGCTAATCTTAAAACTCTGAATACAGATATGAATTCCATACAAAGGACTATTTCTCTGTGATGAATTTTAAAATCTTTCATATCTAAAGTTCCTTACATAATCAAGTAAACTAAAGACAAACTTACCATAATTAATTCAAATATTTAAAATCTGCTAGCAAAAAATAAGAATTTTTCAGTGTAAATCTTGAGACCAATTTCAATGATATAAATGATCAGAAACAGCTAATTTAAATTAACTATTTTATATTAAAAAACAATAAGTTAATTATATATCTTAATTCATAACATTACGTAAAATTTATTCATATAAATCAGGTGCCCTCCAGTAGTTAAGTGCAAAGCAAATAGTGCTTAGTATAATACATGTATCCATACACATTTTATAATGTTTGTGATTTATTAAAATATAGAGATAATGACGAAGGTAGTCTTGTTCTTTAGTGGGTTTAGAGTACTTTTTTATTAATAAAGTAAAAGATTACTATGTAGAAAAAATCATATGTAATTTTATTACCACTTTTGGAGCTCGAGTGTCGTAAATGCTTTTTTTGATTTCCATCCATTCAACAACTTCATCTCCTGCATCAATATGCTAATGTAAATCAAATCTAATTTTTGTAGATTGTCTTTCAAGTTTAGTTGCATCTTTTACATGAACAATTTCTTACTAAAGAGCTATTTTTGATTTTGGTAAAATTTAAAAATTAACATTTATTTTAATCGTTTCAATCAAAATTTACCAAACTTCTTTTTTATTTCAATATATTTCTCAATCATAACTCCTGTGAATGCATTGAAGAGCATAATATTACCGAGAATGAAATAAATGATAAAATAGACTGACCACTCTTTTTCCTGATTTTATTGAGGATTTAAATCAACTCCTCTTGCATCATTAGCTTGGCCCATAAGTATACTCCACCCCTCACATGATGCCATAATAAAGAGATTAAATAAACTAAAAAGAACATTATCCCAATTTTATAAATTATTGAGCCAATCTCCTCCTTCATCTAGACAATCTTGCTTAGAGTGAATGCTTTCAAGTTTTTCTCTTTCTAATGATGCACAGTAATACATTTTACCTTTGAGCTACTTCATAGGTATTATAGCTTGTTTAAATTTAAAATTTAAGAAATAATTAAGAGAATAAAGAATGCATACCAAAAACGATTAATATACAGAAAGTAAATAATAAAAGTCTCAGGATTGTAGGAACAGATTATGACAAAGAAACTAGCATAACTCTCACACCGACAAAATATTTTGAAAGATGGAACAAATTGAGAGTTCTCAATGTTCTAAAAATTACATAGTCTGGGTAAACAAGCAAGCTTATAATTTAAGTTATAAGCAAAAAGAGATCATAAATATTCTTAAATTATCTCATATAGCTATTAGGTCCATTTAACAAGAATCCTCTAGCTATTATTTTAATCAAAGCTTCAAAGAAATAAATAACCATAGTAATCATCTCCAAAGCTCTAAGAGTCTTAATTTTTGTTGAATTTGGATCATCTAAGCGACTTTGTGCAGCTAACAAAGCAGTATTTGCAACTGTTAAAAATATCAAAAAGTTAATAAAGTATGGAGAATTTTCAATTCTGGAACAATACTACATCAGCAAAACATAACGCTTATTCTAAAATATATTAAGCTTGTAATTAGAAAGCCTTAAAATGAATTTATTCTGTATTCCAGGATGATCATTTTAAGGTAATGGAGTTTAAACTTCACCAAACTTGTGAAATTTTTTAATTGCATTTTATAATTTATCAACAGATTCATGGATACCTATATTAGAATTGTAAAGGTATTTTAAGTAAGTTTTAATAAAAAGAGCTCTCAGTAGATTCATGACTAACATAGTTCCTGTGAAAACTACAATAACCCAAAAAATTGCTACATACTAACCTAATGACCTCATATAATAGTACATTTAATCAGCCCATTCATCATTTAAAATAATGAGCATTATAGCTTCAAAGCTATCTAAAAAGGAATCATAATTAATTCTTGGGGATTTTCCTTCTGATTTGTCATGAGCTATCTCTTCATTTGCATCAAAGTATGCATAAAATGCAAACAAATAATTACCAATCAAAGCAAAAAGCACACAGTATGCAATAATAATTAAAAAGTAATAGCTTAGCTTTATAATTGATTATACAAAAATCTCTATCAGATATTAAACAGTTTTTAGATATGGATTATAGTTTATAAGCTATTTTTTTATTTATTAAATGGAAAAAATGTTAAAATAAAATTCAAAAAAATTCTAATTTAAATCTATTTTATTTAACAAAGAGCATAAGAAATAAATTAATAATTTATTTTAATTTAAAGTAAAATATTTGCAATAAATTTTTACCTAAAAAATTCTCAAAATTTCAATACTTTTAGCCGTTTGTAATCCTCTTAGGCTTTCAGACTCTAAAGGATTTTCAAGACCTTCACATAATCTAACTAAATAGTAAATGTTGATTGAAGTAATAACCATGACTATTATGGAATCTAAAACATTTAACCAGCTTTTGAAATAATCCCTTTATAGTAATAATACCTATTTAATTTAAAAATAAAAAATATAGAGCAGATTAAAATTATTCTATGATTTACTTTAAAAGTAATTTCCATGATAAAAAGTAAATTTAGACAAAGCTAAATTATAAGATAAACATCACTCTCTGCTTGAGAAATTGGATACCTATCTAGAGTAATCACAATTATTGAAATTAAAATATAAAATTATGATATAAACTGGTAGGCGAAAGACATGTAAATTTTCACTAATAATGGAGGATCTTCAAACTCTTCACTTGAAATTTAATTTTATTATTCTCCTGCATTATTAAGCTCATTATTAACTGATATTTATAAGTTTGAATTTGGCTGCTAAGCATCTGAAATCTCGTTTTTTTAACTTGATCCAATTTTCTTAAATTTACTTGCTATTGATGCAATAAGTAAAACCTTTTTTTTAACCTAGCTTGCATTATTTTTTTCTTATTATTTTTATTCTAAAATTTTCTTCTTTTCATTTTCTTTTTCTAGCATAATTTTAGACATTTCATTTTCAAGATTTCTTAATTTAACTCTATTTTTTTATTCTTGCTTTTATGCGATAATCAGCTCTATTTGAATTAAAGTTATAAAATACTTATTATTATATTAAAAAGAAATATAAATTTTATTACTGTATTCTCTAAAATTTTTGATGCCTTTCTATAACTAGAAACTATCATAAAATATAGCTAGAATCATATTAATTAAAATATGAAACAGGAATATACATGCGGAAGTAAAGTAAGCGCTAACAAACAAAGTATTTACATATCTCCAATACTTTTTTAAATTTATAAATACATAAAATTGTAAAGCTATTTGTTGATCTTTTCTATAAAATATTTTACAGTGAATGTAATTCTACTCCAATTCATAATAAAAGTTATATGAATTATTGTGAGAAGCGCCTTGAAAAAATTGTCAAAACTTATAAATCCATATGCCATCTCTGGGATGTCAATTTCTTCTTTGTTATAACTTAAATCATAATCATACGGGGAGCGACAGTATGTATCACTTTTTTAGAATATAAATTATTTATTAAGATATTTAAAATATAAAAACTGTTATACCCTGGACATGCCCAGTAACCACACAGAAATGGGACATCTTCTGCGACTTACCAAACTTAATTTATATTTTAGCTATTTAAAGTATAATTTTAAAAATAATCTTACTTTCAGAATTTTCAGGAGGGTTAGGTGTTTCTCTACACCTGTATTCAAGTGATCCTTTGAATATATTTAGACCTAAAATTGTAAAAAAAACCATAAAGATAAAGAGTCTAATTATGCTTTCTCCAAGTAAAGACACAGATCTAATAAATCTCTCTAATTATTTTTTGTATGGTTTTATATGATATATAAGCTTAAGAGGCCTAAGCATTCCTAAAACTCTTAAAATAATAGAAAAAGCATTTAGAGATCCAGTAAAACCTACTATAACGCTTAATTGAAAAAAATGTTTACACTACAAATATTTTCTAAAATATTTAGAATATTTTACCTAGATAAAACACTAAAAAAATTAAAAAGATGCCATGGATTTTTAAAAAAAGCATTTTTTTATTTCCAAAATCCTCTGTATATTATCTGAAGGATTATATCACTCACAAATATAAAAGAGCACGAAAATTAAATAGTTTCAGCAAAAGTACTTCTCAAGTTACTGTTCTCAGTGGCTCCTGTTGGTCTTCTACTGCTATAATCATCAACCATAAACGCTAGCAAATTTAGTAATGATAGAGCTATAAAAAAGGTGTTATACCTCCTAATAAATTTAAATAAACATAAATAATTTAATAAAGAAATAATCTAAATTTTAATTATTTTCTATATAATTTAGAGAATTTTATTGAAAATAAAATAAAAGAAGAATCAATAATTATTTGAATTGATGTAAAATTTTAATTAATTATATTTAATTCACAATAAAAAAATATATATTTGTAAAATTATTAAGTTTTTTAAAAAAAAGAGGTATGAATGGGTAAAAATAAATAAATTAAATGAACTTAAATGATTTATATACTTAGATTTAAGAAAAATTTTGAGATTATCCTTCCAATGCAGTTATTCTGGTGGCTTTTATGACTCCTCTGGCTGTTCTTTGACTTATTAGGAATCTTCATCTAACTTAAAATATTTATGAGAATAAAATTTAGGAAATTAAAAGGTCTACGTTTTCTTGTATAATTTCTTTGGTTCTATTTTTTGTTTATCGAAAGGAAGTCTTATCTACAAATAAGGGATTGATTATACTCTATTTATAGAAGGTTTTTAAAAATTAATCTAAAGAATAATTGAAATCTAATAAGCTTTATGTAAATCTATCTCTTTTATTTCGCTCTTTCAGCAAGCAAGAAGTAATATATAAAAAAAGGTAAATTTCACAATGTTATAAAATAATAAATAAACTAATAAATAATCAGTAAAACACTATATTGTATTCAAATTACTGGCTTCATTATCTAGAATGCTTCGTGCTCAAGGATACCCTAGTAGAATTTTAATATAAAAATAGTTAGAATCATTTAATATTTTCAATAAATAATGATTGATATATTCAAAAATAACAATTAAACACACATTTTCTAATTTGATTAAATCTTTCAAGTTAGTAGCAAACAAGAAATTATCATCATTCTTAGGAGACTCTTCTTTATCTTTTATTTCGTTTATTGTATTTTATTCTTTTTGATCTTTCAATACAACACCTCTCTATGTCAGCTTTCGTATTGTTGATCTAAGAACAACTTAGTTGTGATCTTCTATATCTATATCAGAGCTATTAGGTACAAATAAGGATCTTCTCTATTGCTTATTATTTTTAATTTTTTCTTTATTATCATTTTATTCATTTAATTTCGTGTTTGCTGGAAGAGTATTTTATTTCGATACTTTTTTGGTAGATTCAAATTCCTATTCTTCGCATATTGATGGTTATTGTTTTTATCTAGTTTTTGAAAAAAATCCTTGCGTTTGAGGGATATTTATATCACTTTTTAACTCACTTATTTAACTTTAGAAATTAATTCTTCCATTTGATGATAGAAATGATAAATAATCGTCATCTAAATCTTCGTTATTTCTTTTTGTAAAATTTGCATTATTTTTTAATGCTTCTATTATTCCACCCTACTGATTAAAATGGGGACTCATTTAATTTAGTGAGTCGAATTAAACATGTGGACTTTTAACATTTCCTGTAAGAGAGGCATCCATAGGTTAGATAAAATGTATATTTATAGATGCGTTTTATTTAATTAATTATCAAATTAATTATTTATACACTTTTTAGATATATAATGTGTTTGGGTAAATGCACTCTTACTTTAAATAGTATGAATAAATACAATAATAAAAGCTTGGAGAGTAAAGTATATATTACGATGTTAATTGAATGTATTCATCTACAAATAGTACATATTAAAATATAAATTATAGTCACATAAATAATTTATTTGAATGGTTAAATTAATATAAATAATTTGTTATTTTAGTTTTAACAGTTCTCACATACATACATGCACATTATAATTTGTTCATAATTTTATTTTTTTACCTTAAAGCTTTGATTGTCGATATATCATAATACGCAATCTTTAAAAAAATTTAATTTGTTATTGAATATTTAATTTTTTGAAAAATTTTTTACATAGTAACTCAAGTCGATTGATCGTTTAATTATTTATAAAATTTATTACATTATATTTTGAATTGTCATTTATTTATTTTATTAGAATTTTAAAATAATTTATTCTGCATATTATTTTAAGATTCATAAAATTAAAGACTATCTTTAAAGCGCAATCATTACTACTAATTATTTTTGAATTTTCTATTTCAAGAGTAATATATTTTTTCACTAAGGCTTGAGTTTAGTATTATTTTAAGTAAAGTACACTGTTTTTAAAACCCTTGCAGTTGTCTATTAATTATAGTTAATATTTTCATCCACTTATTTTCGGTTAAAATTTTCTGATATGTCTGAAAGCTGTGAAGAATCGTCCAAATTTTTTGGATATTTTTAGTCAATTTCTTCATGAAAGTTATAAAAGTTATTCTGCTTTGTATTATCTTATGCTGTATGGAGACTTTCTTATTTATTATCATTAGAATTTTTATCTTCTTATCTTAACTTAGACAATTCTTATGAATTATTTTTACTTTATACTTAAAGATCTATAGCTTTGAGAAATTTATTAGCTATCTATTCTCGATTGCTCAACTATTAGTTTTCATAAACAGTATTATGGTGTCTTTTAATTGTCTCTTCATAAGCTTCAGGTTTTTCTTTTCTAATTGATAATTTTATTTACATTTATTTCAATCATTTTTCTTTAAATATGAAATTACTTTATTTGATATAGTTCTTTTGCTGTTCTCATCCATTGCTTTATTTTTCTTTGGATGAGAATAATAACAGCAATATCTCCGCTTTTTAATGTTGAAATTTCTCCTACAAACTTAGTTTATTAGTCTAATTCCTTGTAAAACTAAGTAAGAATTGTCTGACTCTCCTCTTTTCCTCCTCTTTTATTAGAATTTAAATTAATTTGTTTGAATATTTTCTTGAATTTATTGATCTTACGGAAGTATTCCATATTTTAAAAATAGTGATATCTAAGTCATTTTCACTACAACATCATGGAATCTAAATCCAAATATACTACCTTCTTTTCTTTACTGTACATATATAGGCAAGGATAAAAACTTTAAAAAATTTTTCTTTTGATTAGGATCTAACAAATCATCCTTTTTAACACCATAGATCATCGCAATACGAGAAGTAAATTACCAAAAATTGATATAATCAATGAATCCATATCCTTGATGATCGTATGTTCTCCACAATTCTTTAATTTAAGATAGTTGGTATTTACTAATAGCTGTATTTTGAGTTTTTATTAGCCCAAGTAAAACTGCAATAAATAAATTGAAAATAATAACACTCACAATTAAGTGAAATGTAAAAAAGTAGATGAATGCCCATGTCGTCCCACAGCCAACCAATCCTTTATCATAATCAAAATTAATAAAATATTTTAATAAAATAAAAATTTTCAACCATGTTCTTGGTAAGATTCAAAGTCAGAAACATCAAAGCAAACAAAGTTAGGTTGCTGCTGTCTCGCAACATCAGGTACAATATAAAACCATTACTCTCCTGAGGATATTCTTATCAAGGTGAAAACAGAAGAAGTGAAATTTTTGAAGTGTAAATCATACCCATTTAAGGTTTGTTGAGGCTTTATAAATCCAAATAGATTCATACCAAAAAGCGCATAAATATATATAGTGAAGAAGTATACGGCTGCAATAGGAGCTACCTAAGGTAAGATAAAACCCATCATACTAAAAACAGATCTTATAATCGGAATTGTGTTAATTAGCCTTAAAATTCTAAATACTTCCAATAATTTAAAGTATATGCTTTCATTACCAGATTCATTAGTGATTCTGTAAATAGATGGTATGCTTGATGTCACAATAATAAAAAGCAAAAACCAGTTTTCAATATATAGGAAAAAGTGCTTTCTCTATACAAATAGTTTTAACACAAATTCAAAGCAGAAAATCAAAACAATAATATCATTTATATTATCTAATTTATATTAAATTATTATTTATTTATTTAATGTCAAACAAAATAATTTATTTTTTTAATTTTAAGCAAAAATTTAATATGATGAATTATTACTTAAATGATCAGTGTATGACTAATCTATTCTGTGTACATACATACTAAATATTACAGCACTCAATATGGTACAAAAATCTATAAATAGCTCAAATAATTTGTTATTTATAAGTTTGTATATGTAAAACTAGAGCTTCTGTGTTCTATAATCTGGTTCTCCAAACTTTATTGAATAAGAATAAATTGATTAATAATAAATTAATTTCTTTATTTTTGTTTGAAAATGAATAAATACTGTTTTTATTGGTTTTGCTCCATAGATTTATCTCTTAATTTAAATCCACTCTTGTTCCTCATGAGTGATTTTTTCAGTGAATTTAAATTAGCTATATTCTTAAACAAATTTAGAATCCTTTATTGGAATAATTGATTTATTCGCAACTATTTTAAAATAATAATTTTCATTTTTATTTGTAAATGAAAGTTAAATTACCAAATTTTCCATTTATTTCATTAAACTTTTATGTCATAACTCCTGTAAAAGCATTAATTACCATCATATTTCCAATAAAAAAATAAACTATAAAAAATATAGACCAATACCTATTATACCCTTCGATTGGTTACAGGTTAAGTCCAACAGTATCTTATGCTTTATTTGAGAAATAGCTCCATCCTTCACATGAAGCAATTATAAACAAATTAAATAGACTGTACAGCATATTATCATAATGAAAATCATCCTTCACCCAGTCTCCTCCGAGATCTAAGCAATCAATTTAACTATTAACAAGCATCAATTAAGCTTGATCTATTGTTACACAGTTATACATTTTACCTTTAAGCAATCTCAGTGGTATTATTGCTTAAAAATTAAAAATAAAAATTAAATTAAATGAATCTTTAATCAATATATCTAATTATTTATTTTACCAAATACAAGAAGAAAGCATGTAGAAAAAAATAATAATTTAAATAGGTAAGGTAAAGACTGATATAATGATACTAGTATAATCCTCAAACTCTCAAAATGTTTAGATAGAACAACAATATGGAAAGCTCTTAGAGCATTAAGGATAGCCAATTTAGATGAAAATATGAATCCAGCAATATTAAGACAAAAAAGTGAAAAATCAAAGTAATTTTTAGGTTCTCTTAAGTAACCACCTTTTTAAAATAGTCCGCAAGCAATAATTTTAATCAATATTTCTGAACCATAAATACTAGTAAAAAATATTTCAAGGTTATGAATTGCGATTTTAGTTGGGTCATGATGGTCAAGTAAAGGACTATCAATAGCCATGACAATAATGTTAATGATAATAATGAACATAATAAAATTTTCAAATCTGTGATCATCTTCAATTTTTTTACAAATCTTAATTAAAAAACACTCTTTGTGATTATTTTTATGCTCGGAGTGCTGAGTCTTTGCATTCTATACTTGAGTACGCACAATTTGGTTAATTTAAGCTTCTTCTTTAGCATCATTGTGATCTTTTTGGCGATTATTAAAATGTTTCAAAAATGTATTAATAAATAAAGCCATCAATAGTTTAATTATAAATATTTCTCCAGTTGATATTACAATAATCCAATAAGTACATACATAATCTCCAATGCTTCTCATATAATTGTACATTGATACATTCCATTATTCATTTAGAATATTTAGTATAGTAGCCTCAAAGCTAGAAAAAAAATTATCATAATTTATCCTTGGTGATTAACCCATACTTTTATCCTCAGGTATTTAATCTCCATTAATAAACTGAGCTTTAAAAGCAAATAAATTCTCACCAATCAAAGCAAACAGGACACAATAAAATACAATAATAACTATAAAGTAAAAAAGTTCACAGATAGTATCATAGAAATAGATAATAAGATGATTTACAGTTCTGAAAAAAGAAGTATTTTTCACAACCTATTATTTGATAGTCAGAATTATTTCATCATTATAAATAAATGAAAAAAACTTACCTAGAATATTCTGAATACATTTATTGATTTTATAGCATGTATCCACTCCTCTTCAGAAGTAACAAATTTTCCCTAAAAGAGAGGATAATTTGTAGTAATCAGCCTAACTATCAATATAACCAAATCAATATCATTCAAGATATCTTTAAAGTAATCTAGCCTCAATTAAATGAACTTTTTATAAATAAAAAATTATTTTTTAAGTAAAATAAATACATAATTTGCTATTACTTTTGTTATTACTTCTATTAGAAAAACCCAGAGAGTAGCCCAGTCAATCAGAATATATATATTTGCTTCATCTTAGCCTATATTTGATCTATCAGCTGAAAGTACTACTATATCAAGTAATATAATCAACCTAAAGAATATTGATAATAAACCCTAAAAGCCACCTATCTGAACCCATAAAGGAGTTTTTTTCTCAAGTTTTCCTTCTGAAACATAAAAATCTGCTACGTGAATATGATCTAAGCGATGAGGAATATTTTAATTTCCCGATTTTGGGGATTTACTAGAGTTTTTCATTGAGTTATTCATATTTTACTAATCAACTGAAACTTATTCTTTGAAACTTCTGTTGTTTTCATGGTCATTTTCAATTTCAATAAAATTTTAATTAACGTTTTTATTCAATTATTCTTTTTTTATATTTTCTTTATCTTAAAGTGAATTAGTTTGATTGCTTAGTGTCGCTTTCGATGCATTCACTTGGTGATTATCATTATGTATAATTTATTCAGTGACTAGTTCAGCATTTTAAAATACATGTTCATTTTACTAATTTTTAGCATTTTGCCCTAGATTTTTCAGATGATTAAAATTAACATCATCACCTTTTTCCTCATTTGAAGGTTAAATAGCTTTTTCTTGCTTCTCTTAGTCGTTTCCTTCTAAATCGTTACCTTCATCATCTTCTTCTAAAATAAATTCTATGTCTTTAGAAATATTTTTTCTAAAAAGCTCTGCGTCTTTTGGAATGTCTTGTTTTATTTGCTTTTAATACTCTAGCTCTATATCTTTAATATTTACCTTTGTATTTTTGTTCTTTTCTTACTACTTTTAAATTCCTAAAAAATGTAAATAAGTTAGATTCTTGTAAGGTAAATTTTGATATTTATTTACTATATTCAGTATATGATTTTATTGATCTTTGTTCTTCAAAACTTTCATATAATTCTGCAAGGATAATGTTACACAAAACATAAGAAATTATTAATAAAAGTGAAAGAAAGTATGTTGCAACTATAACTGTACTAGTATGCCTCCAATACTTTATTTTTTATTATAATATTATTTCAAAACCAAAATAATTTTATATGAAATTTACCATAAAAGTTATAGTACCCCAGGAAATTATACGCGTAATATGAAATACAGTAAAATATGAACTTCCAAAATTATCAAAATCTGTATATCCATAATTCAAATTTTATATATCAGATTATTTTGAGAAGTAAGGTCTATCGTAATCATAAGGAGATCTACAAAATGACCTTTTTCAATATTTAAAAATAGTTCATTAATATTATTATTTAACAATTAAAATATAATGTAATACTCTTCAGGGCACTCCCATCTTCCGCAAAGATATGGAATTTCTTCATAAATTTACCATTCATCTATTTTTAATTTATTGAATATAAGCATATAAAATGTATTAGATAGATTTTTACCATTTTCATTAGGTGGTGGATCTGAAGTTACTCTGCACCTATATTCTACATCTCCCATAAAAATATGTAGTCCAACAATTGCATAAAAAGCCATAAAAATTAGAATTCTCCAAATACTAAGGTTAATTTTTGGTATAGAGCGAAATAACCTATCAAATTGAAGTTTAAGAGGAGTAATCATTTATAATATTCTCATAGGCCTAAGCATTGCAAATATCCTGCAAATTAAATAGAGTTTATCTGGTATCCCAGGAATTTAAGTTATACCACTAATTATTAAATATTTAAAAATCATTTTAGACTAGAATCAAATATTAAAAGTTTGATATAAAGTGATATTTACATATATTAATGAATAATTAATTAATAAAATACCTGCAAGTAATACTAATAAGGTTTGAAACTAGCCAAGGGTTTTTAAAGAAACCTCTTTTGCCCTAATAAATCCCTCTGGCAATTAATTCAAAAAATATCTCAATTATAAAGAGGAAAACTGTAACCAATTCTATTGTAGAAGCAGTACTATTTACATTTTAGTCTTCTTTACCTTGAATCTGCCTATCTTTATAATCGTGCATGGCATATGCAGCTATATTAAGTACACATACGCTAATCATAATGATTCTATAATAACTTTAATTATAAAAAATAAATAATCAAGTCTTCAAAATAGTAATAAATATAAGGTCTACATAGTTTCTATAAAGAATAATATTTCTCTTCTTAATTTCTTATATGACGAAACAATCTATTTTATTTTAACAAAGTTAATTATTCAGATTACTTAAAATTAATATACTTACTTTTGTATCATTTTTGTTTTCCTCCAGGCCTTAGTTGTAATTATTCTCTTCCTCTTCAATCAATTTTATTAAATTATAGTTTACAATATCCTATTCAAATAAATATATTTGTCAAACGGAAGAAGGAAATCATTTTTTTCAGATAAATATTATCTAGATTTCTAATATTTTTTAAATTTACTGGCTTGACTGTAGAGGGACTTTGTATACTCTTAAGGTCCTATTTTTAATTTATAATAAAAAATGATTAATTAGATAGATAATTATAGATTTCATGTGATAAAGCTTCTTCAAATTTATAAAATTACTAGATTATTTTAAGATAAATTTTTTTTACCTGTTCTATTAAAATAAGATCACTAATTGACTTTGCATATAGCACATTATTTTTCCGACCAAGATTATTAGAAGAAGGAATATTTTGCTTAGATTAAACTGTATAAGTGGGCATTTTCATATTTTTTCTAATCACATTTTAATTGTGTTACATAATCTTTTAATCTTCTACTGTTAATTACTTTTTAAAATCTTTTAAAGTGTTTGTCTTTTTTAATCCCAGTTTTTATTGAAATTTATCTTTTTCATGATTATTGTTTTGCTTTAAAAGCGTTTATTTGTATAAAGCATTCACATGTCCTTCAATTCCTTCTTTTTTAATTCAAAAAAAAACTATTAATTTTTATTTTTTCTAGTTCTAGAGAAGTTTTGATTTTTAATAATATTTTACAGTTTTCTCTAACACAGTCATATATAGGAAAATTTTATTCTTTTTTGTTTAGAAAGCTTTCTTAAGGACTCTATATTTATGATGAGTTATATGACAAAAACTCTCCACTATTAAAATCTAGCTCTTTACTTTATTTCAAAATAATTTTAATATATTCGCAATCTTAAATTAATTTAAATTGTTATAATCAATGCTATTTCAATCTTAAAAATCAAAAAACTCTTTTTTATTTTCATTTTTTTGCTAGTTTAGTCATTTTTTTTTCAAAATTTGTTGCATATAAGAATTTTATTTTGAATTTACTTCAGGAAATGGAAATTTGATTTGTCTTTAAACCTCTTTTAAATTTATTTTGGATTTTAATTCCCCTATTAAGCTTGCTCATCTATATTTTCTGCATATGAATTGTTAGAATCTTAATTTTATATTTTTAAAGGAGATTATGTTAATGCAGCTTTATTTTGATTTTATTATTCCACTCTTGCTTAACTACTACCATATGAGTTAGGAATTTCTTGAGGTTGAGGGTTATATTTATTTTAAGAAGTATCCTCACTCTTAGGACTATTTACTTTCATATATTGCTTAAAATATAAGACTAAATATTTGAAATTCTATATTAATGCTAAAGTAGGTAATAGTCTATATTCTTTTTTTTGCTTGATTTTTTTAAATAAATTGAAATGCAAAGGCGTTTAATTTATAAATAATACTTTTAAATTTTTTAATTTAATTAATCATCATCAAAAAATGGTCATACTATAAATTTACATGAATATTTATTCACTCTTGCTAATTCAATACCTTAGAAGCCAGATTCACTAAATGACCAATAGCAGCTTATTCGCTACTTAAATAATTTTACATTCATATCAAAAAAATGACATAAAAAGATAATTTGTTCATATTCTGTACTTCATTTTATTCATTTTAAACCTCATTTCATGATATTCATTCTCTATAATATTTCAAAGATCATTTTATTTTATAAATTCAAATAATTGAATTAATACAAATAACTCTCTCCCTAAGGTTACAATTCATTTACATATATACCACTAACGCTAATATAAAGTTGAGGAGAAATTAGTGAAAAACTCTATTTCAGATAAAAAAATTTTTGAATATTTTAAAAATAATTTTTTCTCCAATTTCTAAATGATAATAAGGAATTATATTTTATATGTTTTAATTAATAAAAAGCAAGAACTATTTTAATTTAATAACCAAAATATAGAAATTATACTTCTTTATAATGAATTATTAGTTTTTAAACAATCAAAGATTGTAAAATATTTTTATCCCATTAATTTAATTACAAAATATTTAAGATATTTATAACAATTTTTTTTGTATTTTTATTAAAATAATTTTGATATTTTAAAAATTAAAATTATAAAATTAATAACATTTGATTAGGTTAAATTGATATTTTATATGAGTTAAATAATGTTAAATTGCATTTTTGATTATTATTATTATTTACAAGCAAAATTACATGTGTTTATCTAAATTAAATATTTAGTTTAATATTTCATATTTTGGCATATTTATTCTACTAGATACTTTAATCAGATTCCAAATATTATAAAATTAGACTAATAAATAAATATATTTTTTAGTAGATAGTAAGTAGATCATATCAATTAATCAATATAATATTCAAAAGCAAAAATTAATTTAATACTGCTAATTAAAAATAAAATTATAAGGATTTATAAACATAAAATGCAAGAACAAAAGACAGAAATTTAAGAAGCTAAATAGCATTTTGAAGGAGAGAGAAAGGAAAAAAAGAAGTTTGATTTCAATTTTGACAAATCTCCATTTTTAGAATACTATAAGTTTATTGGATTAGTTAGCGATTAAGATAAGGATCAATTTATAAGCGTATAATAAAAATAATAGTTTAAAATTTAATATTTAACTTGAGATTCTCTTATCATATCATCATATTTTCTTATAATAGTCTGTAGACAGTACTTTGCCAATAACCTTTAGATTAAATAAAAATATGTAATCTTCCTTATTATTTTTAACTTTTTTCAACATTACATTTAAATTTTTATATTAGTCCAAATAAAGAACTTATTGATAAACTAATTTCAGAACAGTATCCTCTTTTCAAGGTTAAAAAGTGAATTTCAATGATTCATTTTAATAATTTTTGGTATTAATTAGAGAATATAATGGCTTACAACTGAATATGCTTATTAATTGAATGCTGACAAATTAGAAATTAGAAAGAATCCTGAACTGAAAGTAAATAAAATAATTCTTAACCAAAATTTAAGATTTTTAAATTTAATTCATATTAGAAATATTAAACTTTCCTGTAAGACTAAGACTGCTTAGGTAAGATTTCAAGATAAGAGCTTGTTTCTATGATTCCTGCTGCTTTGATAGATGCACAACCTAATGAAAAAATTCTTGATATGTGTGCAGTAAGTTTTTAAATTTTAAGGAGATAAACATTTACTATAAAATAATTATAAAAAATCTAATAAATACTAAAAATAAAAATAATAAGGCTCCTGGGTCTAAAACAAAGTAAATGTTGGAAAGCATGATGAAAGGAAATGAATCCTTATTATTTGCAAACGATATCAGTAAGAAAAGAGCATTTATGCTTGCTTTCCACGTTTTAAAGCTAAATGCTACATGTGCTGTGCTCACCTCAAATGATTGTACAAAATACCCTAAAGTAGAATAATTTGATAAAGTTTTATGTGATGTCCCTTGTTCAGGCGATGGGACCATAAGAAAATAAAAATGTAAAAATAATAATTTTTCTATTAGATGAATAATTAAATAAATAATTTTTTAGTAATATTGAAGAGATGGAGTAGCAAATTAGGAAAAAATTTACACTGCCTATAATTGAGTCTTTTGCTCAGAGCTCTTTATCTTGTGAAGAAAGGTGGGAGTGTAGTTTATTCAACATGTTCTTTGAATCCCATGGAAAATGAATCAGTCGTTTCTGCAGCTCTTCGTATTTTAAAACCATATGTTAAGATAATTGATGTTAAAGATAAATTCCCTGGGTTTAAATTTTCTCCAACACTTTCTAAATGTAACTAAAATTATAAATATTTATAAGGCTAGTAATACTTATATGTTAGATTAATATTTAAATCCGAATTATAAATGATAGTTAAATCAATTATATTATAAATAAGGGCCAGTTGTTTAGAAAAAAATTACTAATGCTTATTGGAGTTATGAAAGTATTGATGATGTGTATGGATTAAAAGGTAAGAAAATATTTGATACAATGTTCCCTTAAGAGGATGTATAAGGATGCTTAAGAATAACTCCTCACATGAATGATACAGGTGGTTTCTTTGTAGCCTATCTATAAAAAACAGAGGTATTAAAGATATTAGTATATATACTTTTAATTTACGATTATTATAATAGGATTTTGATGAGAGCCTTATTTTGAATGAAATAGATAGGCTGTAGTAGTATTATAACACAGAAGAAGGTACACAAGCATTAAAAGAGCTCTAAGATGCAGAATCTGAGAATAAAGAAGAAGAAACAAAGTAAGATAAAAATGAAAAAGAAAACAAAAAAGAAGATATTTATGAATTTAAATTGGAAAAGCTTATTCCTCTAAAAAGCTAAAATGAGATTTTTGAGTAGTTAGTCGATTTTTATGGATTTTAAAAAGATGATGAAATATTTAATTAATTGTATTTTGTTCCAATTGATAGCTAAGGTCTTAGTAAAAATATACTCTTAATTTCTTCAGCTATTAGAAAATTAATTTCTGAAAAACCTGATCTTTTACCTCAACTCTCTGTAAGTTCATTTTTTTAATATCAATAATAATAAAATCTTTCTACTAAAAGATAGTTAATTGCGGTTTAAAGGTTTTCACCAAAGTCAAGGACGTTACCCATCCAATAAAAGTAAAAAATTGAACTAAAAATTTAAATATAAAAGCAATTTTTTATCTTATAAACAGTATAGAATAATTCAAGAAGGTTTGAACATCTTCTTTGATAAGATAACTCACTAAAAAATAGAGCTAGAAACATATGAAGAATATCAATGGATGATAAACAATCTTCCTAAAAGATTTGATGAACTTGATTAAAAACTAAAAGAAAAAATAGATTAACTTAAAGTTGGAATTATTGTAGTTACATACAAAGGTATAAAAGATAGTGCCTTCACTGTTTGGAAAGGAATAAATATCCTCTCTATCTTATTAGATAAAGAAGAGAAAAAATTAGCTAACTTTAGTGTAGATAACAAATTATTTTGAAATAAATTTAGAATTTTCTTACTTGTATTTGTAAAATTTAGATTTTAAGTATGTATTTTATTTCCTAACATTAAATTTGGTATAAAAAAAAAATAATTTGTAGTTTATAGAAATAATAAAAAAAGAAATTTAAAGTGTAAATATTACTAAGTAAGTTTTTATTTTACAAATTTTATTTAAAAATAAATAATTAAAACAAAAAAACAAAAAGATAATGGCCTAAAAAACAAAAGGTATTTTGATTTCAATTATATTTTTACTTTTTAGTTCAAAAATTTAATTAAGCTGAAAATCAAAGTTTTGTTTATCAAATTAATATTAGAAATGTTTTGACTAAAAAATTAAAATGTACTAAAACAATTATTTTTTAATTAATAGAAAACTGCAAAAATCTTTATTTTAAATAATGAGAAAATCTAAGAATATATTTTATATATTTTTATATCTGATTTTAAAAAAGAAGTCATAAGGTCACATATCCAAAGTACACTTTTCTCATTATATTAAATGATAAAATATTTTAAGTCTTTCAATAATTAATTAAAATTATTATCAATCAAACTAAAATAATATTATCTTATTGAATATCATTCATAAATTATATTAAAGAAAGTTTAAATATTTTAAAATTATTTAACTTTTTAATATTTATTTATGATTTAAATTCATAAAAATATTTTCTTAAGAATTTTAAAAACTGTAATATAATAATCATTATGGTGGCTGAATATTTAGATTTTATCGAATAATTAATTTAAGGACAAATAATAATATTTAAATTTTTAGATAAAGTCTTTATTTTAAAAAGCTTGTAACAATAAAATATTATTTTTAATTTTAATATAAAGGAAGAAGTGTATTCAATTATTAGCATAATAAGAAGGAGAGTTTATGTTTTCATGATTGTTTGGCTAATAGATGCTTTGAGCGTTATAGCTTGGAGTCTTACCATACTCTAATTCTGTTTAGCCTTTATCAGTAGCTATAAGATCGCACTTAGGAATGAAGACAGTAATAAACTTTGAGTTAATCTCAACCTTAATTTAGTCATTTCTAATATCAGTAACAGTGCATTAAAATCCCTTATATTTACCTCCTATAATTCTCATCTGTCTACCAACATACTACTTCATATCATCTGGTTTTAAGTTGTCTTACTTACCATATTTCATATCGTAGGCAATTTTAGCTTCTTATCTCTAAATAACTGGATTAGTTGTTTGTAGAGAGACGTTGTTTATGTTTTCTACAGTGTATGCTAATTTTATGTTGTTTATTGATTTTAATTTTATTGAATTTTTTGAAATTTAATTTTACTGTCTCTGAATTTTGGATTAAATAAGAAAACTAATGACTTGTAGACATGAATGACTTAACATTGATATCCCTATTTGTATTAAAATAAATTTGTGACATAAATTTAAGATTTAATAGTTCGTTTACTGAGTATTATCCTTGCTTGATAATAATATTGGAGTTATTAGTGATGTTATTTCCCTCTGCGTTTTTACCAATATATTTTCTTGTGTCTATTTTTGTGTTTATGGAAAAAGAGCTGACGTTTTTGATTTTGCCATTTTGATCTAGAATCTTAATATAATCTTTAGAGATGTCAAGGATAAGTCCTACATTATTGAAACCAGTAAGTTTCACTAAATCTTTTTTCTTAAGGCCAAGATTTCTATCACTACTTTCATTAACTACAATTTTTTCTGCATCTTAACTTGCTTCACCTGTTATAGCTAGATCTTTTGTTCTAACTTCAATAGTATTATTATTATCTGTAAAAACTTCACACACATCACCTTTTGTGCTTAAAACCGTACCAGTCTTTATGATTTTATTAATAAAAATTAGTATTAATCATTAGTTTTTAAAGTTAATTTTTATACTATTCCTTCGCTTGTACCTGAGATTACTTTGACTCTTGATCCATCTTCAAAATACTTAACGAGCTATTTCAATGGATACTCTTCTTCTATGGATAGCTTTTTCTTTTTAATTAAAACTTTAGCTGTTTCTTTTCCAAGGGAAATGATTTTTCCCTTAAGAGTGTTGTCAATTAAAACAGGGTCTCCAACAACGAAAGTAGTTTGATTGTTGGCCATTTTTAAAAATCTGCCGTTCTGATTCATAATTTCGTCTAGTTCTAAGTGAGGATAAAACTTTTTGAGTTCTTCAAGACTCTTGAGCTATTCATTGAAGATAAGGTCTTTGCAATTGAATGTTTTATAAACATAACCACAATGTTAGAAAAGATTTGTTGACTCATTTTCTAAATTAAAAAAAATAATTTTTAGAAAAAATTTCATAGATTTTTTAAATTTTTGTTTCTGTTTGCTAATTTTTTTACCTGGTCTATATTCTTCACTAACAGCTTTATAGCATTCTGACCAATCTTTTTCATATTCATCTAAAGAAAAGAATTGCTATTCTGGTCTGGTCTTTAGAATTTCATCAACTGTTCTTGTTGGAACTACAGGCTGATTTCCAAATTTGTTGTAAGGGAATTTACCCTTCTTGTTTGCCTAATCGTCCTCAGCATCACCTTCAACTTAAACAAAGCTATCTTGATTTCTCTTTTTACTATTTTTATTCATTTGTTCATATTTCTTTCTCATATCCTCAATTCTAACTCTAGGAATCAATTTGACGACAACCCTATTATTCTTTTTGATAAAGTGGATCTAACCTATATCGTTGATGTAGTCAGAGTTTCTTGCTTTACGACTAATTCTAACAAACTAGCCAACTTCTGCGTTATATGATTCTTGCTCTTTGCCCTAGTCTTCGAATATGGCTTAAAACTCCTCAATGTTGACTAATTCAATTTTGTTGCAGTTACAGTCAGGATATTTCTAGATAAATTAATAGATGATATTGCATAAACCAATTGTAAAATTAATTAATTATTTGTTCGAATAAATATATTACATCCAAGAAATTTATGACTGCTCTTTTGTTAACACCTTCAATATAAATTAGAGATTCAACTGAAGGAACATATGAAATAGAATAAATTCCATAATTTTGCTCAGGATTTAGTTGAGCATATTTATTTAGTAGACAAATAACAACTTCTTTTTCTTTGGTTTTTCTGACTGGAACACTGAAAATATTTTAATCTTTTCTCTATTAGATACCATATTTTCTGATATTTTCAGGCATGTGCTCCATATCTATATCATCAAAGTCCAAATCATCCATTTGGGGTGGAGTTTAATCACCTCTCTGCTCGAGGTCATGAATGACTTCACTCATATCTCTTGCTTTACGCTACCTATACAAATTAGCATCTCCTTCTTTTCATATTAAAGAAAACAAATAATGAAAATTATGCTCAAACAAAATTCTAAAAAAGAAAATGAATAAATAAATTATTCTAATTTTCTCTTTATAAATTCTTTTTAATTTATTTTGTCTTGATTATATATATTAAATAATCTATGACAATATTTTTGAAGCTGCTTATTCAAAATTTTTGATTATCTTTATAATTCATAAAACCCACATAACTTAGACTTATTATATAAAGCTAGCTAGCTAGATTATTTTATTATTATTTTTCCCTAAAAACTAATATAAATTAAAAGAATTAAATAATTTTGAGTACAATTTCTTAATCTCTTTTCCTGGTTGACTTCTTCTTCCTCTTCTCCGTTACTTTCTTCGGCATCTTCTTCGAAGAATTAATTTTTTTTCTATTTTTTTTTCTTATTCTATTTCAGAGTTTTGCCCTTTCTTTTAGCATTAGAAACTTCTTCCTATTTTTTAAAAAATCAACTTCAATAATCAGAACCATTTGACAAAGTAGATGAACTAAATTTTTCTTTCTTGAATTAAAATTTGAATTTTGCTAACTATGATCATTAATAAATATCATTTGCAGATTAGTTAGAACTAAATACAATTAAATGAATGAAAAATAATAACCCCATATGAACCATCTTCTTCATCATCATAATTATATGAGTTGTTATCTTCTTCTAAAAAATCATCCTCACTCATTTTTATTTAAAATGCTATTTAATTTCAGAAAATACTCCTTAAATTTTTGTGTCTCCTTAGTTTTTTGATTTTATTATATAAAATTCAATCTTTCTAAAAATTAATTAATTATATAGCTATTTTAGGCGGATTGTAGCTTAAAAATAAAAAATCATCAAAACACAAAAATTATATATTATATACACACAGAATGCATTATTTTAGAATTCTATTTAGTATAGCAATAAATAATTATAATAGTAAATTTTTTCATAATTTTTGGCTGAATATAAGTTTATTTTATAATCTTATAAAGTAAAAACTCACTTGCTGTCTTATTCATTTGTCATAATATTAATATATTTTTCTAATTATTTTATCATTAATATTCAATAAAATGCAATATTATTTGCAGAAATTACTATTTTTATAAATTATTCAATAACTTTAAAATTAGAAAAAATATAATAGAAATTTGAAAATTCTTTTTTTGATTATTTTTTCTATTTTATTCTCCTGTTTCTATTAATTTTTAATAATTTAATCCATGCAAAAAAAAATTTTTTAAGTAAGAAATAATCAAAAGATTATTTTATTTAAAAAAAATATTTTTAATTTAAAATAAATAGACATTATTAACTTTATTTAATTATTATTATTTTAATAGAGCTATTTATTTTTAATCAGTTAATTAGAAAAATAATTTATATTTTATCTATTTTCAAAATTTAATTAAATTTATAAAAAAAGTTATGATTAATTTTAATTTGAGATATTTTTAGTAAATTAAATAATTTATATACCTTAAGCATTAATTATATCTAATTTTGAGAGTCAAAGAAAATCTGCTTAATAATTTTTAAAGATTAAAATGACATATTTTTTATACTGATTTATTTATCATTGTTTTTAAATTAAATATTATTCAATTTTATTACTAGATTATCAAATGTTAATGTAAAATAAAATTTATTTTTTTATTTAAGTTATTTGCTGGAATTTTTTAAATAACATTTTATTAAATAGATTCTATAAAAGGTAAAACATAATAAATTTAGTTTAAATATTAATCATATGTATTATTTTTGGTTATTTAATTTAAATTTAAAAGTATTTTCGTGAAATAAAAATAATCCAAAATATGATGCTAATCAAATTTATTCAGCTAAAATAAATTAAGAAGATTTTAAAAACAATCATCAGATAATTAATATTAAATAGCACATACATACATAGCTTTTAGTTTTTATTATTTAAATAGGAAAATCAACTTTCTCTGATGCATAATAGAATAGGTGAAACAATAAAGAAATAAATAACTAAATTAAAAATTGATAAGAAGTTTAATCATTATGTATGCATTTATTCATGTATGCTTATATGACTGAGGTGATTGATTTAAAGAATCTTTTTTCTTTTTCTTTATCAAAAGTGTTAATTGTTTGTTTTTTTGTTTGTTATTTGATGTAAAAACAATTAGAGAGCGCGTAAATAAATAAATAAGTATAATACAAAGAACAAATACATATATAATTATATATTTTTATTCACTTTTTAGAAATATAATTGCAAGGAGGATAAATTGTTATAGCTAACGTTAGTAGGATACAAAAAGCAAAAACATTTTTAAAAGCGAGCACTATTAAGCAATAAGCATTTATAATTTATACAGTAGAATATTAGCAAACATGAAAACAAGTTATAGTGAAAAGGTTATTGCTGATATATCAAAATGCTCTGATTTCACATATGATAGCAAAAATCAAGAATTAATATTTATAGATTCTTGTCTTTCATTAAAATCTATAAGAGTTATTGAGAATAGTGAGTCATAAATAATAAATTGGAAAGATGTAAATATTTAAATTTTGCATAATGGTTAATAAGATTTATCTCCTCAGCTTTAAAGTTCTTAAAACGTTAATTTTTTATCATCTTAGAAAGCAACTTAATTTGATAATAATGAAAAATAATAACAATCTATAACAAGCTAACCTGCACTAATTGAAAACCAAGGCATAGAATTAGACATTTAAGAATAAGCTAATTAATTAAATTATTCATCTGCACGCATGATACCATATATTAGCTAATAGACAGCAAACCTTCCTGCTAACTAATAAAATAAATTACTTTTTTCTAATTCAGGTCTTACAGTAACATGCATGGATACATCACCTTAAATAGCAATTTCAACAATAGGATTTTGTGAAGGAGAACATTTTTGGGAGTTTTATTGTCCTATTTACTGTTAAAAAATAGAAATGGGTATAATTGCTCCTTCCATATAATAGTTTCATTTAATCGAGTTCCATACAACAACTCCAAGACAAGTTACTTTTAGATTGAATTTCAATACATGCAAGCTTTCTACTTACTTAAATGGCAATTTAAACAATCAAAAATCTTAAATTCTCTCCTTCTTAAAACCCTTAAGCGACTAAAATGCAGTATCATCTGAATCAAGTATTTTTTTAGCAAAATATTACCATTAAATTTAAATATCATTCATTGAAATTTGTTTTTGCACTTAGTGCTTCGAATGAATTTGCTTGCTTTAATGTAAAACTAAAGCATATTACATAAATAAGTCAAGTCTAACTGAAAATAAACAAGATAGTTATTTTTTACAAAAAATAATTTTATTAAAAAATAATCAAAATGAATTTTTATTATTTATTTGATGTATGAAAAATAAAGTATTAATCATATTAATTTAAATTTTAATAGATTCCTAATAGATTATGTGGTTTCCTGCTATTAAGATGAAAGAGGTAGGAGTGAGTGTTATATTTAATCCCTTCGCATATGATCCAGAAAATCCTATGTCTGCATATGTAATAAATACAATAATCTGCTACTTTAATTTATTTAAAATCATAAAAAGTAAATTTTAAATTTATTTAATCTTAATAGAATTTCAGGCAACAGTAGAACTAACAATTATAGGAAAATAAAGTTAATTTAGATGAAAGCATGATAACAGAGGTTTTGTAGAGAATATAATAGCTTAATCTTACAATTAGAGAAAAGCGTGATACATAAAATAGCGAATAGACTAAAGATTTCAATGCAGATAGCGAAAACCAAGCATCTGATAAAAGTAAAGAAAAATAGATACCATATAACCAAATTAGCGCTAACATGAAAAATAATAATCTAGTTATTATTTAAAATGACAAAATCAAACTCATTAAAAAGGATGAGTCTGGATAATACCCTGTTACTAAATCTATATTTTATAATAAACCAAAAACTCCTGCAGATTACATTTATTTAACCTTAAATATTAACGACACTATCTTCTTGCTAGAAAGAGTAGATTGGGCTAGTTTAATAGAAGATAATTATTTAGGCTTGAAAGAAGTTCATTCATTAATTGAGCTGATTAAAATATCTGTTTCATAAGCTAATTTTTAAAATAAGTACATTTAAATACACTTGTAATTTTCATTAGCCAAGAAATGTGTAGATGCTTTAGGATTATTCTCTCTTCAATAATATAAAATTATTCATGAACTGCTCCATACTGAAAAGTTAGATCAAATTCTATTTAATTTCCCACTATAATCATCTTTGTATGGATCCTCTTAATTTAATTCTGATAACTAGGTAAGTTTTACAACTAAAAGAGAAGAATATATGTTATTTAAATTTTTTTTTATAGAGTAAATCTTGTGTATTTAAGGTGTCACAAACTTATGATAGCGTTATTGAATAAATTAGAATAATGCTGAGTCTTGATGAATAATTGTTTGCTATGACTCTTCATCAGGAGGCTAACTCCAAGCTTGCTCATATGTTTGCTAATAGCGTAAAATAACAAACTTTCAGTTTTAATAATATTTAAATTTACAATATAAAAAAAGCTTTCAAGAATATATAGCAGTTTTTGTAGACTTGGCTCTTTAATGAATTACACAAAATCTTAATATTCACCACTTGAATTGTCAGAAGCAGGATTGTATAACACATATGATACTTTATCAAGTTTAAGACACTTTGAATTTCCTTTTATTAAAATTGATTAGTTAGAAACATATAAAAAGAAAGTACCTCTCTGGCAAAATATTTCATTATAAATTCCTCATAGCAGGTACAATTTAAAATTTATATTAAATATTATGTAGAAAATTTTAATTAATCTAAAATTAGAATGATGAAAGGACAAACATGCTTAAATGTTCCACTCTATATCACAATTAATAATATTCCTTTTCAATAGCATATAAGAGCTAGATAATTGAATAAAGATAATAAGGATTAATGTGATTTTAATTAAATCAGAATACTAAGACCTAATAGATAATATACATCAAATTATATTTCCACTGTAAGTTCTGATGGATGTGTCAATGTTTGGAATACTGAAATATCTTTACTAAGGGTATTTGTTAGTGATTTTAAGAGAGATTTTGTTCCACCCAAATCTCTAAAAGGACTGCTTAGCACCAACGATCTCAAGGCAAATCTAAAAAATGTGGAAAGCGGACTTTTTTATGATTTAAAATTCCCTACTAAACCTCAAAATAAGCCAAGAGAGTCTAAATAGATCGATTAGAAAAAAGATTTTAAGAATTAAATAAAGGATATATTTTGTAAGCAAGTAGGTAAAAACCTTTTAGCATAAGTAAATATTTTATTTATTTAATATTGATAATTATGTTTATTTTATTTATTAGTAGGGATACGACTAAGAAATAGCTTCTAAAGTTATCAAAAATATTAAAAACAATGTGCTTGAAGATGCTGTTAAAGAAACAGAGAAAATAAAAACATAAAATAATTAATAAGAAGAAGAATTTTTAGAGTCTGTTCAAAACTCATAAAATGCTCCAGAAGAAGAAGATGATTAAGCATCTTAAGAAAATGAATTGGAATGGATTTGTTTGCAATGCACTTTTAGAAATACTCTCCCTGAGTTCTAAAATGAATGCGAAAATTGTTAGAAACCCAGAAGAACACAAACAAATTTAGAATTGCTAAAAGAAATAAATATTAAAAAGTAAAAATCGAAAGAGCTTTCTGCAATTGAAGCCATGAATAAGCTAGACTAGTTGATAAATTATAATGCGAAAGTTGCTAATGAAAAGCAAAAATTAGAGGAAAGTTAAATGATAAATCCTATGCAGCAGATGACTGTATCAATTACTTCAATAACATAAGAAAATAAATAGCCTTTAAATGAGGAGAAATCATATATCAGACCAGAGTGGGTTTGTCCTCAGTGTGATTAAATCGTGCAAAGATCGTAAGAAATATGTGACAAATGTGGCACACATGTACCAGAAGAATTTAAATGCACCTATCAAGAATATAAATCCCTCAAATAAGGAATTGAAAAAAAAATGAAGGTATCTTATAAAATCTTAATTAATTAATTCACTTTCCAGATAGAAATCAAACAAAAATTTTTTATTAATTTAATTGATTTTTTACATAAATATCTTTATGATTATTTAATTAAAGGGAAAATACAATAAATAAATAGTTTTACTTTTAAATTAAAGTTTTATGAAAATAAATAAAATATATTTTATTAATGTAAGATTTATAAAAGAAGAAATATCTTATTGAAATTTTATTATCAGAATAAATATTTATTTATTTATTTAAAAAAAAATAATAGGAAGAAATGGAAAAGAAGTAGGCTAAGAGAGAAGAAGATTTAAAAAACTTTTGTTTAGATGAAAATAGCAAAGTTTAAACAGGAATTATGATAAACTGTGAGCTAAGTAAAGTTTGCCCATTAATAGTAGGTGTGGGTATGAATAGCACTAAAAAAGATAGTGAGGTGCAGTCGATGTTGAGGATCAGAAGATTTGGATTCGATCCAAATTATTTAAATAACTTTTACAAGCTAAGTAATCTTACAGGCTAACCTAACACAAATTAGAATGGAAGTAATATATAATCTTCTAAAACAGTTATAAATTAACTAGATGGATCTGTTATTACAGAAAAAACAATGGGTAGTATAGAAGATTCACTATTTAGAAGTGAAAATAATAGGTAGGTAGTAGAGTCGATAGAACCACTTTTCATGAGCAATAACAGATTTTCAAATGACTCATCCACTCACCAGTAATCAATAGAGCAATAACAGAAAATAGTAAACCAAAAGAATGCTCTTTTCCATTAAGATTGGCTGGAATTAGCATAGCATGATATAGTTCTGAATGAAGAAAGAATCATAGATTGTGTTTCCTGGTGCATAGATTCAGATATTTAAATGGCTCATGATAGCATAATTAAGAATAAGGAAATGACCACCTCAAATTATAATTATTAAATGAATCACACTGGAGAACAACATCAAGAAACTCCAGAAAATCCTGATAAATTACCTTACATTTCTTCATCATATTCACAAACATCGTCACCTCAAATGATGGCTAGCTTAGAAGGCAGATAAAGCTTTGATAGATCATAATAAAATTTCTTATTAGATTAAGAAAGCACTAATATCAACAGCCTTAGAAAAGAATGGTTTAGAATAGTGCTTCTGACAGAAACTATGAACTAATCTATTAAAGTACATATTTATCGACTTGAAGTAGATAATATTAACCCTTACAGCAGCGATTCGATATAAATATCCATTCTAAAAGAATTCAAGGTAAGTGGTCCAGGATACTCAACTGAAAAGTCTCGCCTATTTATACCAGAATGTAGTTAAGTTGCTTTCCTCATAACTGGTAATTAGATAGTTAACATACCACTCAATCAAGAGGCCATCTAAGGAGCATCAATAGAAGCAAAATCGTTAAAAGGATCTCCTCTTTGCACCAGATTTGTAGGGAAAAATATACTTGCTACAGTAGATTCTCAAAATAATTTAATCTTAATGAGTTAATAACCACAAAAGAATTAAAATAGTTTTAGAAATTCTTCTACTTCCATCCATAGTATTCCATCAACTCCAATTTAATAGTCATTAAATGAAAAACCTTAATTTTTAACTCTTTCATTATAAATATAAGAAGATTTATGCTTGCATTAATAATACTCATCCAAACTAGATTAGTTTAAAGGAAATCCTTTGTTTCCATAATCTCCTCTAAAATAATAAAGTATCACTTAAAATTTATCTCATCCTGAATTAAATATTTAAGACCCAAAGTAAATAAATGAGCTTAAATCTTTACTGAATACATATCCTATTGGTTCGAATGTAGTACGAACAGACTAAGGAATATTAAAGAGCAGTATTTTCGATTCTTAGACTAAATTAAACGTTAAACATACGTTTTATTAGAAAGGATTTATTTATTTCACAGAGCCAACATATCTCAGCCATCTAACTATTTCTTTTAATTTTTAATTACAATAATTAATTTAAACAAGCACAACTTCAAACAGCTAGAATACTAAAATTAACTCTAATACAGACCTAAATATCGCATAAAATATTCTTAGTACTTCTATCAATCCTTCATTATTATTTTAATCTAATCTTAATCTCCTACCGAATTTTTAATTTATAGATAACACAAACCAACCAAACACAGCAATTCAAAAAAATAATCAAAAATTACTTAATATCCCAAGTTTACAAATTTTTTCAAATAATAACAATTAATAAAATTTCACAAGTAGTTTTAATAATATTTAATCTGATTATCTAAATTTGCCTTACAACACTGAAATTTTAGATGATCCTTCTCATTATATTAATAATTTAAATAATAAATTTCCTAGAAGTTCATTTATTGATGAAGGTGCTAATAATTAAGATTAATAATTTCTTCATCTTCCTTTAACTTTAGTCTACCAAGTAGGAGCATCCTAATCCATTTAATAACAAGTAATTTAAAATTTCTTTTTATATTTTTTATTAATCTTTTATTTTAAAGGAATCACTTATCACCTGCCCTAATAATGAAAGTTTTGTGACTAATTATGCCAAACCCTCTTTTACTTTTAGACATTTACATGAAAAGAGAATGATAATCGATTTTGTAGTAGTTCACTCTATAATTTCTTCTAGCAAAGGAGCCTATCCTATTGGCAGTGGATTAATTTTCGTTGCAGACAATATAAGTTTTTTTGATATGATAGATTCATTTCATGGAATGAACATGGCAGGTTATAATTAATGGAAATTATAAAGAAAACAAATAGATACTCCTCTACAGTAATGGGAACCTATTGGATGCTTTGAATTTGTTAACAATGTATATAACATATCAGTTTTGTTTTTATGATATTATAAGATTTAATTATTATAAAAATAGAAAGAAGTAATCAAAGTGGAAATGGATGTGAAAAGAGCTGCAAAATTTGTGCATTTATTACCAACTAATTTTAGAAGTTAACCTGAAGATTTCACAGGCTATTTTAAGTCAGGAATATTAGATATATAATATTTTGGTGTTTAGGGTTAAGTATTAGAGGAAGACACCTCATAAGACGATAATTATGTATTTTATGAAGAACTTAGTAATCAAAATTATATATGCGAAGCATGTAGGAACGAAAAGGATAGATTTCCAAAAAGCTAAGAATTCACTTAAGAACCTCAGTTTTTGCAATTCTAGCAACAATAAAAAGCAGAATTTATTTTTAATTAGCAAATTTCGACTGATGAATTGATTGATTCAGGAGTTATCAAGATTGAAGTACAAATTGAAAAAGATAACTCTTGGCATGAGCTAAACTCAAATAACATTCTTATCCTAAAAAGGTTAAACATTAATAATCCCTTAGATAATTATCCTATTTCAAAGCTTCCTAATTCTTTACCTTTGTTAAATCAAATATTAGAGTCTAAATATAATTTATTTCCCAGCAAAAGTCTAGATCTTAGAATTTCTCCAAAGATATTTTTTGAAAACAAAATTATAGCATTAAGAATTTAGTTAAATTAAAATGCATCAAATTTGATTTATTCAAATTTCTTTTAAAATAAGAATGTTGTTGATAGCTTTGTGCAATATGCTTTAAAAGATTTTTCTGTTGAGTGTTTTTAGAGCAAAGATGACTGCTTAATTAATTTAAAGAAAGAATAAATTCAAGAATATCGTCACACTCTCTTAGATCCTGAAAAATATGAATACTTGAATAAAAATATTATCAAATATGTTCTACTCTAAGCTCATAAAGCTAATAGCGCTGAAAGTGAAAATCATAAAGAAAGAAAGCTACAAACTTTAAAGCTACTCACTAAATTAATGAAAGTCGAAAATAGACTTGTGTAACTATTTTATAAAGATTTAGACTTAAAAACATTTATTGAGCTTATGATTTTTGAATTTAATGATGGTTGCTATGAAAGTTCTAGCTTCAGTAACTAATATACAGAAAACTTGAAGGAAGTATTTGAGTTTTTATATTAATTTAGAAGTGTTTTTACTTTTGCTTCAGATTTAGAGTAAGTTTTGATAGATTAAATATCTTCTAATATTTTTGATAGCAAAAAATACTAGGAAAACCTATCAAATAGTAAAAATTATGATTAAAAAGATCAGAAATAAGTTAATTAGAGAGGATTAAAGCGTTTCTTTTGTTTACTAAAGTGGTGTTCTAATATTTTAGGTTAATAAATATTCGATAAGTTGCTAGAGCTTTTACATAAAGTAACAATTTAATTTAAAACTCAGAAGAATATCAATTATTATTTACTTCGCTATGAGCATAATATTGCAGATTTTCTTTTTGAAAAACAATTATTTACAAATAAGTTTGTCTCGTAATACTCATAATAACTTTAATAGTCTTAGAATAAAAATTTCAATAATCTAAATAGCAATTAATAAATTTAAGGAGGATCATTGATGACCAATTCTATATAACAAGGCTTAAAAAACGAATAAGGGAATAAAAATTTTTCAAATTTGTTAAATAGTGATTTGGTAATTAAAGAACATTCTTTGGAAACTTCCTCTATTTAATATCCATAAATATCAGTCTAAAATGCCCTCAATTTCAATGAAGCAGCTTCAGCATCTACTTCTCTAAAATTAAATAAGGCACTTGTCAAAGATAAAGAAAAGAAATCGAATGGATAAAAAATCAACGAATTTTTGACTGATTAAATATTTGTTGGAGATAAACAAGATAATCAAGAAATATTTTTAACTTCAAAATAAAAATAACGTTTATTGAAAAGTCGTATTCACGCTGATGTGGATGGCAGCACTAATAAAATATATACTATTGATTTAATGAAGTATCATGACATAAAAAACATTCTTTTGACATTTGACAAAGTTTCGAGATCTTGTGCTGTAAGGATGAAAGTTTAAATTTACAGAGTTCATTAAAATTATTATTATGAAAATGGATTTGAAAAAGTTCTCATTTATTCTAATGATTATTAAACTTGTGTCACTAATTAATTAGCCGTGTTAAGTCATCAGCATGAATATCAAAATCAATATTTTAACCCTAATTCTTAAAATTTGAACTCTTTAGGGTTTAGCTATTTCGAAGGAGTTACTACAAGATATTTAATAGTTTAGCTTACTTTTGCATTCGTCCCATATGCATCCCAATATACTGATATAGAATAATCGGCAAGGATTGAAGTAATACCTGAAGTTTTTGGTGTTATTTCGTAAGATTAGAATATCAATACTCCTTTAAAATATTTCTAATAGCTTTTTGAAGGTAATAGGATAGAAGAATTAAAAATAATTAAAACAATATAATTAAACCCAGGTTTAAATCAATTTAAAAAAGTTTAAATATCATTCACAAGCTTTTATTTAGATAGCTTGAATTATTATGAGCAGTAAATTGAACAAGTTTTACAATAGAACAGCAAGAAAATACAAAATCTATTAGTATCAACTACTTAAGGGAATGTACTTGGTACTAATTTAACAAGTAGTGTTTATTTCAACTAATCATAAAATGCAGGTCACTTATTTAGTCCTAAATCAAACAAAAATAGTCTTAATTTAAGTGTCGCCAAAAATAACTTAAGCGTTTCATAATAAACATAAAACATTCCTAACATTTAACAAAACTCATAAAATCTTACTACTTCTAAAGCTAGTTAAAAATCTTTAAAAAAAACAAATGAAAGCTAAGAACTTGAGGAAAAGCTTAAATATGTTAGTTACAATTTTTTTTTCACATCTTCATCTGTATCCAAAAAGAAAAAAGAAAATAAATTGAATAGTGCTTAATCAAATGTGGAACAAAACAAACCTAATTCGGATTAAATTAAAACAAATTAAGAATAAACAAAACTTAATATTGAATAGAATAAGACAAACACTAATGAGTTAACTAAATCGATTAATATTTCATAGACAAATTTCTAACAGCATTAAAATGTGTCCTAACCACCAATGTTACTTTCATCTGCTTCTTAAATGCTATATCCAAACAGTGGATAAATGAACTTACAAGATGATGATTTGGACAATGATGATGACTTATTTAACATGATAACATAAAGTAAAAAGGAGGACATAGAAAGATTAGAAAAAGATGAAGTAAAAGAAGAAATAGGAGAGGATGATGAGGAATAATATGGAATACTTTCATCATAACTGAATAATGATATGCAATATGACATGAGATAAGATTTAATTAATTAAGTCCAAGAATTGTAAGATGAATTATCAATAAGGCTTATTAAATACCATGAAAAAGAGAAGCATCATAAATAAACTGTTGAAATGAGTAGCTCTAAAGTATAGAATGATCATAGTTAGAGTTTTCCCTCTTTTAAAAACTTTTCATTTTAACATTCATAATATAATGAAGAAAGGATTACGAAATTAAAATAAGAATAATTATAAATATAGCAGCTATGTAATTAAATTAGATAAATATAACTTTAATTGCTTAATTTAGAAGAATAAAATTAAGGTAAAAGTACTTCAGTATAAAAAAATAAGCAAAAACAATAGACAGATGAATCTAATTAATCTCTAGATTTTCTTGCATGTCTTACATATGAGCTTTGTTCTTTCCTTAAATATGATGAAAAGCTTATATTCAGGCTTATTCAAAAAGACTAAAAACTAATCACTGAAAATCAAATTTCAAATACAGGATTAAACTCAGTAAAAGAAGAAGATATTTAATATTAGAATGGCTCTCCAAAAAGCAGCAGTGATGAAAGAAAATTCTAAGATATAAATTGGGAAGATGATGCACAAGAGGAAGAAGAAAAAAAGCAGAACGATTAAAAAGGCTTGTAAGAGGGAGGGTCATTCCTTGTTAAGCTAAGCTTAGAATTATTTGATACCTTCATTGTGAATGAAAGTGGTTTGCTTCATAATGAAGTTAAAGCTTTCTTTTAAGATATATTATTAAAATCAATTAACAGGCTAGATATTAATAAAATCCTCAACTAAATAATAGAAAAATATTTAATTGAGCCATTCTTACAGAAGAATTTAAATAGTTATTAGTAGCACTAATCCATAGAGGCAACCATAAATTAATTAAAAGAAAGCGTCTTAAAAAATAATGGTCAGTTTTATTCTGCTTCAAAAATAATTAATATAGTTAACATTTTCAACATTGTAGATGTGAATACATTTTTCTTAAAGCTGAAGGAAAAGCAAGAACAAACTGAATTATTTTTGAATACCTAAGACAATTAACAGTAAAATGGCTAAGTTTCAAACCCTAGCTCACAGAATTCCTAGAAACTTCAAGAGCTGCTGTTATATGTATGGAGCTTAACTTCAATGCTTAAAAATGAATACCTGAAGATTTAATTAAGATAGATATTTACCTAGCAAAGAAATTAGTAGTTTATTTAATAGTAATAATAATTATTTGAAAAGTAGTTGAACGAAGACGACCTCAACAATTAAGAGAACTGTCAAGGATTGTACATTTGCTAAAATCTCATTAGATTTTTGTTATAAAATTCTAGCACTATAGCTGAAAAAGACATATCTTCTTTGCTTACTCATTTGTTTGATTTAATGCTTATGATTATCAATTGTGTCCCACTTTCACACATTTCTAAAATAACATAGCTATTTTTTTCATCTAATATCACAGGATTAACAAGCGCAACTAAAAAATAAGAAGAAAAGTAGTAAGGAATACCTCTTCTTTATAGTATTTTCTTCAAAGCAATGTCTTTAAACCATTAACCTTTGCTGCAGGTTTTAGAAGTATTTATAACAAATCTAGTTTTTCCTAAGTAATTGGAGAACTACTCAGAACTAACAATATGTTCAACTCAGGTAATTATTTATTTATTATCAATAAAATTGAATTAATCTTATAAATTACTTAAATTCATATTAGCCTTTAGCGAAAATATAACTAACAGAGGAACTTGATAAATATTTAGAGACTTAGTTGTAAATACTTTATCACTTATAGTAAATGATAGGATATTTGCTAGATTATCCTAAAAACTGTAATAGCTCCAGTCCATACACATAAGTAATATTATCATCAAACGCAAAAACACGACTACCTCTTAGCAATTGGATTGGTCATCTGAAATTCCTACTTTAAATACTTTAAAACTCATCAAAGAGTGTAAAATTGTTTGTTTAATCTACTTATATATTTAATTTTACAAATATTTTTTTAAATAAATATAGATTGTTTTAATACATAAAAAAACTTAAAATTCTACATCTAAAAAAATGTAAGAAATATAAAGAAGAAAAACATCAATTTCTTCTAGGAAAAGCTCTTTAGCTTCAAGAAAAAATAGTTGTGGGTTGGATTAATTAGATCATGCACCTACTAATTTAACAAGATCAAAAACTACTCCCCCTAATAATGATTTGCAAGTTTTTAACTTATAATCCAATAGCAATTAAATAACACTAGAAGAATATATCGATCATTGCATATTAGACAAGTAGTTGTTAATTTAGACAAATATTGCATTAAAATTAGTTGATCTTTTGAATCCAAAAGAAGAATAGCCAGAATAAAAAAGTAATTTTGCATTTATAAAATGGCAATTAAATGCTAAATCAAATTATGTTTAAATAAAAATAGAAATTGATGAGGTTGAAGAAGAAGAGTTTGAGGATGACATAAACGACGCAAGCCAAGAAGCAATTGATGATAAAGAAATAAAAAATTTTTATAAGTTCTAAAATAACATATAAATTTGGGGGCTTATCATGAGCACAGCAAGCTTATTAAAAGGATAAATATTATAAGAAAGCAACATTTATACTAATTTATTAAATTAATATTTAAAATCATCAGATGAAGTAAAGTCAATCTATCTTAAAAGTTTTCTTAATTTAACAAAGACTATTCTCTAATCAGGCTATCAGATAAAAGAGTTTTGTAATGACCTCTTTGTAATAATTTTTAAGATAATCTTCAAAAAAAATTCTTCTCATTCCAAACTACTTGGCTACAAAAAAGATTCTGCTAACTCTTCATAATTTTCAGAATCACCAGAATAACAAAGAAACTAAATTTTAAACAGTAAAAGCTTTATAGAGGATTAGAATCTCTATTATCTTGTTAATGGATTACTCGAAATTCTTCTGACTAAAGAAACTCCAGCACCTGAAGAATTCTATTAAGCTCAACACTAACAAAAAGAGTGGAAAAACTCTTTTTGCAAATTAAATGCAAGGGGAGCGGCTAGACTATTTATTGGAATAAGCAAATTCCTCGTTAGATAATTAAATTTTGGTGGAGTGGAAGGTGTTCATATGGCAGATGAGATGATCATATCTAAATTACAAGTTGCAGATTATATATTAAAAATCTTACTCTCAGCTGAATCTTCATTCTAGCATCTAGCAATAGTTGAAGCTTTAAGCAATTGGAATTTAGTAGAATTTTTAAAATCTTCATATTCAAGATGCATCATTTGGTATTTTTTCAATAAGCCAGATGAAGTGATGAAAGGAGTATCTCCAGCTACTATTTTAATAAAATCTATAGGAAATCAAGTATTAAAGCTCTTTACTATTGCTGGTGAAAAGTAAAATATAACAGAGATCTGCATTGAACTTCTTTTTAAACACTCAATGATATTTTCTAAAGCATTATTTTCTAATATCCCTAAATTAAATGAATAGTAAAGTGAGTTTGGAACAAGCTAAAATATTTCATCTGCTTCTCACATGCATTCTCACTTTTCAAACCTCCTTCCTTTTTCTAATCAGCTTCAAAATTAGGATATTAGTGTATTCAATCTGACTAATATGTCTATTACAAATTATAATGCTCTAATACTTGCTACTAGACAAAGTAAAATATTTTAAGAACTGCTCAACCTTTGGATTACAAATGATTCACTCGCTTAATTTCTAACCTTCAAAATAAACGGATTCTCTCATCTTTTAGACATAATAGGTCTTAATTCTTTTAATTAGGTTCAAAGCTTAAACGATTAAAGTAAAACTTATTAGTATAGCTCTCTGAATGAAATAAATACAACAAATATGCCTATGTTTGGAAATGAAGATTCTTTATTTGTAAATTAAAATGTGTTGAATTATATTTCAATAATTTAATCTGGTTCTGATAAATAATTGCCTACATAGTCTAGTTTGAACAATTAAACGATTTATAATCCATGGAATCAATACACAATGTAAAATATTTCATCTGCTCATAAAATCCCTCCTCCTTCACTTTAATTTGGAAGCTCTTCATTTGCATTAATCAAGTAAAAAATTAATTATCATCTTTTATTACTTAACTTATTATATTTTTCATAATTAATTAAAAACAAGGAATCCTTAGCTCGCTCCTTTTAATAACGGAGATAAAAAAAATCTTTTTTTCCATGATAGCGCATAGAATTTGAATAGTCAAAATAATTCTCATATTTAAATTCAATAAAATGTAGCATTAGCACCTTTTATGACTTAAGGATCTGGTGCAAGTTCTTTTGAACCAGCTGGATTGCTATTTGGTAATAGCGAGATACATGAAAACTAAAAGAGTAGCTTTATTAAATATTAAATACAACATCCATCTTATGTTAATAACTTTAATGCAACAAACAATAATTCTTTGAACTCCCATAACATGAGCAATAGCAACAACTCAAATTAATCATTCCCATAAATGATGAATAATCCTCTTTTTAGTAAACTTCCTTCTAACTTGAATTTTTAAAGTACAATAAATAATGGAATTAAGAGCAATCACTCTATAGTATCTCCTGGGGTTATTTCAAATACTATCCCTTAGCTACCACCCATTCCTCCTATGTAATACAATAACTATAGTAATAATACTATAACTCCATAAAATATAATTTAAAATAACTAAAATCCCTTCATCAATTAGTAAATTTACACTAGCTCTAGTAGCAGTGGAAATAACACTATTAACTTAAATCCTTTTACATAAAACTTTTACCAATAGTATCCTACTATTCCTCTTAGCGATCTTAACGATTCCGATATAATAAGCTTAGCTAATAATTTATAGCAAGATTATTTGTAATAAAAATCTAAAATATACGAAATGAACAACCCTTTGAGAACAAATGTTACAAATCAAACTGTAGACCCTCTTTAATAACTAGTAGAAATAGAATGCTGTAATTAAATACAACTTATCCCTTTGATAGGATAGAATTTTCAAATAGCTTAAGGCATTCAAGATTGGTCCTATAGCAAGAAAGGTTGCAAGAATAAAATTGCAATCCATCTCCTCTCTGGAAGCTAACATTAAGAACTTTAAGTTCTTTTAAAATTAAATAAAACAGTTGAAATTAAAAAATTTAAGATTGGATTCAATTGCTAGTCTGTTGAACAATCAGATTCAGTAAATAAAAAAATTAATTTTTATTTTCTCAACTAAAATTATTTCTTTTAATTTTTAATATATTTTAATCCATTGTCTTCTTTTTTTAAATACTTTATAATTAAATAGCAAAAAATTATTGGAATACCAAGCGGAGTTATTGTAGAAGGAGGCTTATCTGAAAGCAAATTAGTCCCTTTAGGTTTCCTTCATTAAATTAATGATGATAAATACTTGAATTTCGGCGTTAAAGTATTTGCTAAAAATTTTGCTAGAGTTAACGATGAGACTGGAAATATTGATAAATGTATTAAATCTTTGTCATCACCTAAGGTTAGCTATATTAAATTAAGAATTATTAGACCTATTATCACTCTTATTGAAGACTCTTCTTCTTTTGTAAATAAACAATTTGGTAGTATAGCAATATCAATTAATTTCCTATCAATCATTGGCTATTAAGTAGATCACATAGCCTCAAATTTGTCCTAATTTATTTACAAGATATAAACAGACAGCGCTATATAAATCTTAGGAAAATTATGTGGTAAATTATGATTAAATTTTTTTATCAAATAAAATTGTGATTAAATATTTATTTTTTATTTTTATAGCTGAAGGTATGGGATTTGACAAGACCATATAGTCTATTTCGAATGATAAGCAAATAATTTAAAAAATAAAAGACGGATTTGAGTGTGTAGAATCTTTAATTTCTCAATATGAATAGCCTATATCACAGCTTTTGATTTGTATAGCTTTGAACAATGATGAATTTGCAGATTGGATATTTGATTATCTTCTTGATTCAAGTAGAAATAAAACTCCATTGGCAAAGCTCCTAACTGAAATAATAATATCTTAAAAGTAACAGTACAATGACAAAGTGTTATCTAACAAAGCTTTGCCTCGGGTCGAAAAGCTTTATGAATACATAGTTAAGCAGATTAAATAATATTTGGAGAGTAACCCTACTGATAAAGATATAGAGGTAGATGCAGATGGTATTTTGTCTCTTTCAAGTATTTTCCCTTTTGTTGATGCATTAATAGCTGCTTTAAGAATTTCGTATCCTCATCCAAAGATGAATCAAAATGAGAAAGAAAAATATCAGTAAGTTAACTTATAATTTTTATGATTTATTTTTAATTAATAAATTTAAATTAAACAATAGAGTAAAAGAAATTATGAAATTAAGAGTAAATATAGAAATCATATAAAGTCTAATTTCCATCTATTTAAAGTGTGTTAAGTAGAAAGCTGAAGGTTTTTCAAAATTAAGTATAAAATTACTGGTAAGCTTGTTATATTTACCCCTGCCATTTTACTGTGATAATTAGGAAAATTTGATTAAGGAATCTCTAAACTTAATTTGGGATTCACTAATTTAGAAAAAGTAATATTAACTTACAGAATTAATGGTTGTCTTAGCCTACGGAGGAGATTAATGCCAAAGATGGTTTTTAGAAGACAATCAAAATCATTTTAAATAATTAATTCATAATATTAATCAAGAAATGTCCTTAGCTTCTTCAAATGAAAAAAATACATAAAATAATATTTTACAATCATAAAATCTAAATAATCAAACTATAACAAATTCTAAGAAAGCAAAAAGTCTTTTCAGTATATTGTGCGCTATATCTAATTCTCAAGAAATTTAAAATTTGCTTATATAAACCTCACCTGGAAACAATAGCTCAAACAATACTAACTAAATTCCAGAGTACATAAAAATATATTCATTGATGAAGCTCAAAAAATCAGAAAATATATTTTTTTCCTCTACTTCTTCAATAGGATCCTCAAGTTATAGATTACTCTAAAATTGGGTTGACTAGGAGTTTTTGCAGTTATTTGTGGAGTTTTTGAAGAAAATATCCTACAGTAAATAAGAGGTGATTGATTCAATTGTGCATGGTCTGATTGAAGATATTAAAGAACTAGAACACAAGAAAGATCATCTATTTGTTAATGATTTACTTCTTCCTATTTTACAATCTATCTAAACAGTCCCTATGTGCTTTCATGCATTTGATTCCCTTCAAAGAAAGTGGCTAATTAATCCTATAAAAGTATTAAATCATCCTTATTATCTAGCCAAATTTTAGTAGTCATCAAAAAGTAAAGCCTAAAAAAATATAGATAAATTCAATACTAAGTTATTTAGTCAAGAATAAAAGTAAGTCTTTATGAAAACATTGAAAAAGTTCACACTCGATACAGGCCTATACAAAAAAATTAAAAAGTATGAATGGATTAAAGAGGCAACTTAAGAAGTAGATAGCTAATCATCATTGATCAATAAAGTAATTTAAATTTCCTATTCTAAAACTAACAATTTATTAAAAAAATAAATATTCAAATAGTTGGAAAATAAAATCTTAAATAATCCTCCCTACATAATTGTAATTGAAGGTGTCAATAGCGGATAAAAGTGTTTGTGTGGTGTTTTTAGCAGCTAAGCCATTTAAAAATCTTCACTGGAAAGCACTTTTAATATATCAAACGGAGATGATTGCTTTATCTTTTACTATAGTGAAAATTATCAAATTCATTTCAGAGTTGAAGGCAACGATTTTGGGTAATTAGATGTTTCTCCAGAAACAAGTTTTTTAACCTTCAAATATAGAGAGCTTGATCGCATATATTTGTCATTCTCAGAAGGAAGCTCCAGTTATGTTGATATAAATATGTTTGATATGAAAGTAATAAATTTTTCAAAAATAAAATTGTTTATATTTATTTTTATATTTCTGAAATTTAAAAAGCCTATCGAAAACAGTCAAAATATTCCTCACGATATTCCAAACGATTTTTCTTTCATAAAAGCAGAGTATTGGGTTTTAAGACCATAAACAATCGAATTAAGTGAAGATAGGAAACATCCTTTTAAAATGGAAAATATGTATGACATTTAAAATACATAACACCATCTGTTTAACAGTGAATATTACAAACCTGACAATGCTTACAATTTTTACAGATCTCCTGCTGTTTACCATTTCCCAGAAGATCTTACTTTGCAACAGGTTATAACATAATTAAATGTCCCAGGTTTACAGGTATCCAAAGAAGTTCTTTAGCAATTCTCCTTCAATTTAAGATAAAGTGCTAAATTTTTTTCATGCAAAGATAACATCAATCTTAGAAGCCTTTACCAAGAAATAGATAAGAATTCAAATGGAATTATAGACTTAGAATATAATGTTGATTAATTCTTCCAATAAGCTCCTAAAATTCAATAGCTATCATAGCCTCAATAAATAGAATAATAAAATTTAGGTATATTTTTATTTTGAATAAAATATGATTTAAAAAAAATTGAAATTGAAAAAAATTAACCAATTTTATATTATTTTTTATTTAGATAATCAAAAATAGAATAAGATAATTGATGCTTTTATAGATTAGAAAGGATTTAAAACTATTATATCTGTTATTAAAGAATAGCTAAATAGCTGGAATAGTAAAACAAGAGCTAAAAAATGGTTAGTTTATGTTCAAGAATTAAATACATTCTCTGTTCTTCCCAACTTCATTTATGAGTTTATGAAGAAAAAGGAAGGAGTGAATATACTTTTCCAACTCTTATCTGGATCTCTAGATTCTTCAAACGAATTAAAATCAGAAAAATAAGAAGATAATAAGATGCATTAAATGAAATAACCTTTACTAGATGGGCTCTCTGAAGATTACCCAATCACAAAAGCATTTAAAAAGAGTTATTACAGTTAAGAAAAGAATAAAGAAGACTTTGAGAAAAACAAATAATTTGAGGAATAAGAAAGAAATGCAGTTTAAAATATTTATGAAATTCTTTCATAATTATTCTAATAAGATAAAGATAATCATAAAATAAAAAGTATTGCCATAGAAAATAATATATTGTAGATAATATTTGATAGAATTTCTTCAGTTTCCAAGGAGAAACCTCGTAAATTCATTGAAAATACTCCTGCCTAAGATAAAAAGTTGAGCGATGATGATAATAAATTAAAATTAGACTCTCCTATCCTTATTATGGGAGTATAAAGAACAGGATAGGGAGAAAAAGATGAAAAATCTCGCTCTAATTAGAATGTGGACAAAAAGAAAAAGGGTAAATTTTAGTATAATTTATTTTTCAATATTTATTATGATATTTAATTAAAAGGTACTGGATATGCTTCAGATAATACTGGATAAAACCAAAAGTGGAATACAAGCGAATATGTAGAGATAAATAAATCTAGAAATCAGCTTCTTCTAAGTTTGATGAAAATATTATAAAGCTTCTTTAACTTTGAAAGCTGGAGTATTCCAAATAAAGTAATTCATTCTATCTGTGAAAGTAGTCTTCTTCCATTATTAGAGAGCGCTTTTAGGAGTGGCTCTTTACTTGAAATATGTAAAGAAAGTTAATTGATGATATAATACTTGCAGCTCATAGAAGTGATGTCCTAAAATAAAAGTTTGATTAAATGTCTCATGAAACTTGACCAAAGATACCAGCCTACATAGACTGAAAGTATAAGTGAACTTCTAAGTAAGCTTCGTACTACTGCAGAGATATTCTTAAATTGCATCAAACCAGTACAAATATAAGTACCTGAAAGTACAGTTAAATCTTCAATATCTATATAAAAAGACATGCTAGCTCAATCAAATGCTAATTTATTAAAATAATGGGGAGCTGATAAAGACATATGTAAATATTTTGGATTAATTTAGATCATTAAAAATTAAATTTTTAATTAAATATTTAAATTATTATCAAACTTAGTGAATGAAGAAAAGAAATTTTAAAAAATCCTGAATGATTAAGAAGAAGGCAATCTTTAATCTTAATAAGTTGCTACTAGTATAATTTAGGTGCACGAGAAATTAGATTAAGCTATTCAAGAATTTAATGAACATATTCAAGAATCAACCTCACAAAATTTTTCTAATTTAGATCAAGAGTAAGATGAAGGATAAGAATAAATCTAAAAAGTATAGCGTGTTTTAGAATTACCTTTGAATGTAAAGTATAAAATACTGTTAGAAAAGCTGAGATTCGGATATTTTTCTATGAACAACAATAACTTAAACACAGTAAAATACCTTTTAAAATAATTAATTTTTGAATTAATTTTAAAATTAACATAAAAATAGTATAATCATCACTACTAATAGTAAATCATGCAGAACTAAAATCCATCATAGGTTAAAATGGTTAGATTAGCATAAGAAATTGCAGATATGGCTAATTCTTTACCAATTGATCATACAAGCAGTATATTTGTTAGATGCGATTCCAAAAGAGTAGATGTCATGAAATGTATAATCATGGGTTCCTCAGGAACTCCATATGCTCATGGTGCTTTTTTATATGATATTTTCTTTGAAGACTCTTATCCTAATACATCACCAAGAGTTAATCTTTAAACAACTGGCAACAATAAAGTGAGATTCAACCCAAATTTATACAATTGTGGAAAAGGTAAATAAAAACAATGTTAAATCTCATTTCATTTGAAAATTATTTAAAAAAAATAGTTTGCCTTTCTTTATTAGGTACTTGGAAAGGATAAGCCAGCGAAAATTGGGATCCAAAAATAAGCACTTTGCTTTAAGTTTTAGTCAGCCTTTCAGCTATTATCATGAATGAAGACATTTACTTCAATGAACCTGGGTATGAAGGACATAGTGGAACTGAAGATGGAGATAGAAAAAATGAAGCTTATTCTAATATTGTGCGTTTTAGTAATATTAAATATGCTATGATATAAACCATAAGAAACCCACCTGAAGGTTTCGAAGATGTAAAATTTTATATAATAGAGCTATGAAAAAATTATCTAATGCTTTTATAATTTTTATATTTAAAGGTAATTAAAAGACATTTCTATCTTAAGAAAGATGAGATCTTAAAAGAATGTGAGGGATGGATAGAAAGAAGTACAAAAAAATAAGCAAGTTATGTTGGATTGGTCAGTGATCACAACCCTTAAATTTGTTAAGAATTCAAATAGCCAAATAAATATACTGAATAACTCAAGCTAGCAGTTTAAGATTTGAGGCAAGAATTAGAAAAACTAACTCCTCCATCTTCAATAGAAACTTAAGAGGAATTAGCTAAGAAAAAAGCCAGAAGCCAAAAACAACATGAAAAGAAATAAAATTTAAATAAATAAAATAATTAGAAATAAAATATACCAACAGCAGTTTTACACAATGCTTTAGACGATTTATAGTAACAAGAAATACCTATAAAGAATAATAAAATTAATAAATAAGAAGAGATTGATGTAGAAAGTGAAGAAGTAAAAGATAGATGGTCAAGATATATTTGCGCTATGGGTATAGATGCTGTAGCTAAATAGAGTAAATGCAACATTTTCCTGAGTGGTTTAGGACCATTAGGAGTTGAGATTGCAAAAAATATTGTTTTAAGTGGTGTGAAAAAAATGACTTTGCATGATAACCATATCGTAAATTATAGAGACTTAAGTGGACAGTTTTTCTTAAAGAAAGAATGTGTTGGCAAAAACAGGGCGGAAGCTTGCCTATAAGATATATAACTCCTCAATCACTATGTTCGTGTGGATACGAATGTTAATTAGGTTAATGCAGATACTTCAACATTATTAGAAAAGTTGTATTTATAAGATTATCATGTAGTAATTATAACTGAGTGTTATTCTTTAGATATCCTTACAGCAATCAATACTTTTTGTAGATCTAGATCTATTAAATTTATATACACTTAGGTTTAGGGACCTTTTGGTTTACTCTTCAATGATTTTGGAGATAATTTCGAAGTAATTGATAAAAATGGTGAAGATCCTGTTGAATTAGTTATTTAAAATATATAATAAGTTTAGGCTGGTGAAAAAAGCAATAAACTTAAAGTAACTTTATTACCTGGCTTTAAGCACCCTTACGAAGATAAAGATAAGGTGATTATAAAAGAAGTACAGGGTATGCAAGAAGTAAATAACTAGAGTAAATCAATAAATGACTCTATTTTCGAAATTGAAACAATAAACTCAAATAGCTTTTATATACTCACAAATAATTTATACTCACCATACTAAGGAAGTGGAGTTGTTAAAAATATTAAAACTCCAATTTATCTTTCGTTTTAGTCTTTAAAGCAATGTATTTAGGCAAATAATATGGAATATTTTGATGCAAATATGGCTTCTCATGATTTTGAGAAAATGGACACCATACCATATCTCCACATTGCATTTTAAGCACTTTAAGAATTTATCCAAATAAATTTCAGGTATCCTCACCCATGGAATTAAAAAGATGCTTAAACTATGTTAGAAATTTCTAAAAGTCTTTATGGTGCATTTGACATTCCATAGAAAGAAGATGAAAAAAATAAATTAAAATTTGAAGAATACATAAACAAATTCTCATTTACTGTATCAGGAACTTTTCATCCTTTGGTAAGTTTATTTATTTATCTTTATAATTCTTTTGTATTTAAAATATATTAAATTTATTAATAGTGTGCGTTTATGGGTGGATATGTTTCTCAGGAGGTAATTAAAGCTATAACAAATAAATTTGTGCCTACAAAATAACTCTTCTTGACAGACTGTATCGAAGTTTTACCAGATATAAACTGGAGCGATAAAAAATCTTCTGAAGAATAAATTAGTAGATTGTAAAGTTAATTTGAAAATGAAAAGGAATTTGAGGTATAAAATGAACTGTAATTAAAAATTGTAATTGGTAGCGAAACTTCTGAGAAACTTTCTCATTGCAAACTCTTCATGATAGGCAGTGGAGCGATCGGCTGCGAGCTCTTAAAAAACTTTGCTATGATCAACCTTTGTACTGGAGAAGAAATTCCAGAAAGAAATTTGAGGAAAGGATAACTAACATTAACAGATCCAGACCATATTGAAACTTCTAATTTAAATAGATAATTTTTATTCCGTGAAGAGCATTTAAGAAAACCAAAATCTTCTACAGCAGCACAAGCAGCAATTAAAATGAATAATAAGCTTAAAAACCATATTGTAGCTTGTTTGGATAAAGTCTGCGAAGCTACGAAAAACATCTTCTCTGAGGAATTTTTTGAAGATTAAGACATAGTGGCAAACGCTCTAGATAATGTTGAAGCCAGAAGATATGTAGATAAAAGATGTGTTTCTTCTAAAACTCCTTTACTTGAATCTGGAACTCTAGGACCAAAAGGACACGTTTAAGTAATTATATTAGACTGTTTTATTTGATTAATATATATTATTTCATTTAGGTTATCATTCCTTATAAGACAGAGTCATATGGAAGTCAGTAAGATCCATAAGAAGAAGGTGGAGATATTCCTCATTGCACTCTAAAAATGTTCCCTGAAGAAACTTTACATTGTATTGAGTGGGCTAGAGATAAATTCGGAAAAATAATTACTTTAAAGCCAAAAATTGTATAAAAAACTCTAGATGAGATAGAGAATATCAAAGAAGGAAAAATTAGCTGTGAAATAATTAATTTGAGAAAGACTCTAAAGGCACTAAAAAATAGACCTCTTTCATTTGAAGATTGCATAGAATACGCAGTTTAGAAATTTTATAAGTTATATAGAAACAATATAAGATAACTTTTATATACTTACCCTCTTAATCATAAGAACAAAGATGGCAGCGATTTTTGGAAATTACCAAAAAGAGCACCTTTCGAAATTTCATAACTGGATGAATAAAATCCTCTTCACAGAGACTTCATAGTTGCATTATCTGTAATGAGAGCAAAATCATTTAATATTCCTTATCCTTAGAGCTTTAGGTAGCAATCAGAAAAAATATAAATTATGCAAATAGCTATGAATTGTAAAATTGCCGATTTCTAACCATCAGATGAAAAATCTACTGAAATTAAACAAGAAGTCAATTAGGAGAACGATAAAACATAAGAATAAGCTAGCATTAATTAATAAGAAATTAGCCAGATACAAACAGAAACTAACTAAAATAATATAAATGAATTAAAATAAAACTAAATTATTTCAAATGATGAAAATCCTAATTACCTTATAGAGTAAATCCTACTTTAAAAGTTAAATCTATAATAGTAAACTTTTATGCATTCTGAAGAATTCGAAAAAGATAATGACTCTAATGGGCATATTGATGCCATCTATGCCATGGCAAATCTTAGGTCCATAAACTACTCTTTAACTCCTATGGATTGGATTAATGTTAAATTGAAGGCAGGAAAAATTGTGCCAGCGCTTGCAACCACAACTGCAGCAATTGCTGGATTGCAAACTATAGAATTAGTAAAAACATTAAAGAAGGTAGATATATGCAAAATGAAAAATGCTTTCCTGAACTTGGCTGTACCTTCTTTATAACTTACTGAACCAGCAGGTCCTCCCTCCTTTTAGATTACTAAAAATTTAAAAGCAAGTATTTGGGATAGATGGGATGTTTGGTTAAATAAGTAAGATAGCCTAAAAAAATTATTTAATTACTTTGAAGAGAAGATGTAATTAAGTCCATTTAGCATTTTAATTGGAACAGACCTCATATATTCTTTTACAATGAATACTGAAGATAAGTAATTTATACAAGATAGTACATTTTCTGAGGTGCTTAATAACAACAATTAATTAATTTTAAGCGAAGCTAAATATATAGATCTAAATATTTTATTCACAGAATTAAATGGTAATCAAATTCTTCTGAACACTCCTTCTGTAAGACTATTTTTCGGTGTTAAGGAAGAAAAACAATAATGAATAAGCTTAGTTAAATAATATAACAAAAATCAATAAAATTACTTTAAATTAATTTGTATTGTACTTAATAAATTATTCAAACAAAAGAAATTTATTAAATCCTCTTTTTTAAATGATTAATATTTTATTTTTTCCTCTTCATAAATTGTTTAAACTCTTAATTTTATTAATTTCATATAAAAGTATGACTCGTATGAATCACTAGTTTTAATACTTTGTATTATAGGTAGTGGTAGGAAATATTTTGAAAAATTCAATGTATTTTCTGATAATTTTCCGTTCTTCAATTTTAAATTTTTGAAAACATTTCTCAAAATTTAATTAAGAAAATAATGAAGTTTTTTTAAGATTTTATTTGTTTGAAATTAAATTTTATAAAGTAATGAAAATAAGTAAGTAGATAAAATCTAAATAAAATCTATTTTTATTAAAATACTCAAAAACAATTAAAAAAAATAATTTAATAAAATGTATATTATACTTTTAAAAAATAATTTCCATATTTAGTTTGTTTGATACTAAGCTTACTTTTTATTTTTTATATTTTTATTAGATTAATTCATAATTTCTAAATAATTATTTATTTATTTATTTCGCTTTCATATTTTAATCATATTATTTTAGGAGTTCTCATGAAAAAGAATGCTAAAGTACCGCATACTAAGTAGAAAATTATTAAGAAAAGGGAAAAATAACGAGAGCATTTATTATTTTCATTTTATTATTTTATCTTTGCTATATAGCTGTCATTAGAAGCGTACCTATTATCATCTGCTTCTTCGAAAACTCCAAATATAAATAAAACACCAATTAAAAGTGATCCAACCATAGCTAGAGTGTCTACCAAAGTAAATATATAACCTAAAGTGAAAATAGCAGTTAATCCAAACATCAAAATCATAAGCATTTAGGTTCTCCCTGATCCAGGGTAATCCCATTTATCCCATTTAATCAAAAGAAAGCCAAATAACACACCTAAGAAAGATGCAACGGGATTTGTTCCATCAACCCCAGGACTATCGCTCATGAGGCAACTAACTAAAGTTCCACTATATCCTCCAATTATATAAATAAGAAACATTTTTTTAAAACCTATCAGGGCTTCTACATAGCTACCAAAAACAAGGAGACAAACCAATGATACTAATATATGCTTAAAATTAGCAAAAAGGAACATACTTCCTATAAAACGCTCAAATTACTTTTGATATATAATAAAATATGGATATTTTTATCCAAAATCAAAGAGAGCCTTCTAATTAGGAGTAAAAAGTTCTCCATTATTATCTATTCCAGCATAATAAAAGCATCCTATGTAGATTGCAATATCAATTAAAAAAATCATGAAAGTTATGGATTTAACAGTTAATCTTGGACAGCATGATATTATAATCATCTCAGTGAAGCTTTCCAATCTTGGGTGTTTAGTGCTGTTATTAAAGTTAACAAAAAAAGGCTAATCTCCTATTCTAAGCTTTTAACGTTTCTAAAAGTAGTTCTCAGACATCATCAATAAACTGTTTTTATTTCTAATTTGTATAAATGAATTAATGTTTTTAAATAGTAAAGTTATTATTAAAAAATAAATCTTTTGGTTTCTAAGGCTTTTTCAAAAATTAAATAAATACTATTCGCTTATGTCAATAAATAAATTAATATTATTCAAACATAAAAAATCTTGATTTTTATTTTCAGTGAAATAAAATTTATCTTAGCATAGGATAGCAAAAAATTAATAATAAAATAATATTAAATCATAAACAATTTAGTAATTTTTAGTATTTTTGAATGAATAGAGATTAAATAGTCTATTCATTAATGCTTAATTAAATATTTTTTATTTAAAAATTTATTTAATATATTTTATGATTATCCTTAAAATTTAATAATTAGATGAAAAATAGCTCAAAATATAAGTTACTGTTTTTGGTTGAATAAAGATTAGAAGTGCTACTCATTTAAGTTTAACTAAAAAAATTATTTTAAAATGTATTTTTTATATTTAATCATAATAATTTAAAGTAAAATAGTTCTAGTCTTCAATTTAAATTGAGGAAATTAAAATTTTTATAATTTATCCCTATTATAAATAAATATATAAAAGTGATGTTTCATTTTTTTACTTTTAATTTAATAGAAATTTTAATTGTAGCAAATTAATAATTCGAAAATATAATCTTACATAAAATATTCTTATTTAGCTTTTTATTTCTTGCTTGAATTAAATATTTTTAATGAATGAAGACAAATAGACATTATTTTTAATTTAAAAGAACTTTTTCATTTATCAATTTATTTCCCTTAATGATAAAATTATATCATAAAATTTATTTGGGTTAAAGTAGCTTTTTTAGTAATTAAATCAAATTGAAAAATGAAAAGTTTTATCTATCTTGATTTTTAAGAAAAAGTTAAAGTGATACAAAATAGAAATATATAAAGGATAAAAATTGATAAGAATTATTGTTATAACTTATTTGAGTTAATTTTAAAATTCAATTTATTTTTAAGGTTTTAATTTGAATATATTTTATAAAGTTAGTGTGGTAAGTTAGTTTATTCTTTTAATAAAATTAAATTATTATCGACCAGACAGTATTCTATATTATTAATTGTTAATTATATATTATTTCTGATCAAGAGCATGATACTTTCTACTCAAGAACCGCAAGCTAAGCAGTCTCCTTCTTCATATTCCCATTTACCTTTAGAATTTTTTCTTCTCTTTCTCATTGGACATGCTTGATTTTGGTCAGCTTAATTTTATTATTATTATTATTGTTCGCCTGATTACTCATCAGATTTAAATTTCTTGGTTGGTTCTTCTTTGATACCTTCAGGGTTTTCTAATTCTTAAAGATCATCTTATTTTCTCTTACCATTAATATTTTAAACATTAATAGAGCCAGCTTCTCTAAGTAAACTTTCAACATCTAAGGTGAATTTGATAGGATCAGCAGCAGGTCTACTTCTCAAGTAGTACATACCTAAATTATTGTATTTAAAAATTTTAATTTTATTTAGATAAATTAATAAATAAATTAATATTTACCAGTCTTAAGTCCTTTTTCCCAAGCATAGAAATGCATGGAAGTAATCTTAGAATAAGAAGGATCAGAAATATGAATATTTAAAGATTATGATTGATCGATGAAAGGACTACGGCCGACAGCAAGATTGATGATAGCTTTTTGAGATACTTCCCAAACAGTTTTATATAGCTACTTGATATCATCAGGAATATCAGGAACTTGAGAAACAGAACCGTTAAATGCAAGGAGTTAGTTTTTAATAGAAGGATTCCAGAGATTTCTTTCAATTAAATCTTAAACAAGATGAGGATTAATGCAAACAAATTCACCAGCAAGAACTCTACGTGTATAAAGATTTGAAGTGTAAGGTTCGAAGGATTCGCAATTACCCAAAATTTGAGAGGTAGAAGCAGTAGGCATGGGAGAAATCAAAAGGGAATTACGCATACCGTGTTCTACGATTTTCTGCTTTAATCCATCCCAATCATAACCACATAAATGAGGCTTGTAATTCCAAAGATCAAATTAGAGTTGACCCTTAGAAGCAGGAGATCCTTTGAAAGTTTCATAGGGTCCTTCCTTAATTGCAATTTCCATAGAAGCTTCACATGCACCAAAATAAATAGTTTCAAAAATCTTTTCATTGACAATTTGAGCTTCATCACTTTCGAATGAAATTCTCATTTTGATAAAAGCATCTGCTAAACCTTGAACACCAATACCAATAGGTCTGTGTCTCATGTTAGAATTTTTAGCTTCAATAACGGGATAGTAATTTTCATCAATAACCTATATAACATATTAAAATATTTTAACATTTAATTTGCTTTAGTAATTTATTTTTTACCTTGTTAAGATTAAAAGTAACAACCTTGGAGATTTCATATAGCTTTTGATAATCGTATTCTCCGTTTTCTTTAACAAATTTAACTAATGAAATAGAAGCTAAATTGCAAACTGCTACTTCATCAGGGCTTGTATATTCAATAATTTCTGTGCAGAGATTGGAACTCTTAATAGTACCTAAGTTTTATTAGTTAGACTTTCTATTGCAAGCATCCTTATAAAGCATATAAGGAGTACCTGTTTCGATTTAACTATCAACTATATCTTACCATAATTCTCTGGCGTTTATGGTTTTTCTACCTTTGCCTTTTAGATAATAAAAAATTAGTTTAAAATAAATATATAACTAAAATAGATTGTATTTTACCTTCATTTTCGTATTTTGTGTAGAGAGCTTCGAATTCATCTCCCCAAACATCAGGAAGTCCAGGACATTCGTTAGGACACATAAGAGTCCATGTTCCATCAGAAATAACTCTCTTCATAAAGAGATCGGGAATCCAGAGGGCATAGAATAAATCTCTAGCTCTTTATTCTTCTTTACCGTGGTTCTTCTTTAATTGAAGGAACTCAAAAATATCAGAGTGCCATGGTTCCAAGTAGATGGCAAAGGATCCCTTTCTCTTACCACCACCTTAGTCAACATATCTAGCAGTATCGTTAAATACTCTAAGCATAGGAACAAGACCATTAGAGATACCATTAGTTCCTCTAATATAGCTATCCCTTGCTCTAATATTATGAACTGAAATACCAATACCACCAGCACTCTTAGAAATCAAAGCACTTTATTTAAGGGTATCATAAATACCTTCAATAGAGTCACCCTTCATTTATAGCAAGAAGCAGCTACTCATTTATGGCTTAGGAGTACCTGAATTAAAAAGTGTAGGAGTAGCATGTGTGAACCATTTTTCACTCATTAAATTATAAGTACGAAAAGCACTTTCTAAATCTCTCTTGTGGATACCAATAGAGACTCTCATTAACATATGTTGTGGTCTTTCAGCAATCTTTCCATGAATCTTCAAAAGATAACTACGTTCAAGAGTCTTGAAACCAAAGAAATCATAAGTATAATCTCTATCATAATTGATAACCTTTTCAATTGCTTCTGCATTTTCTTTAACAATTTCATAAACATCTTTTGCAATTAAACCTGCTTATCTACCTATTTATTAGTTTAAGATAAAATTTTATTCAGTAAATGAAAAAAATTCTAAAATTTATAAATATTATTTTCTTAAATCTTTATTATTTATTTATCAATCTATTAAAATATATTTAAACTAATTTAAAATAGTATAAATCTATCTTAAGACAAATTAGTATATTATTTTGCTAAAGTAGAACTATTTATGAGCTATAAAAAAACACCTTTTAATATTTATTTTTTATTTATTTATTTTAAAGTATCTTTCATTTCTTTGACTTGTTTATTGCTTGGGTAATAATAAAATAGGTTTTATATTAATAATACTATAAAACTATTTAATAATCTTAAATGTTTATAATTTAAGAATATACTAAAATTTTATATATAAACTTGTTTATTGCTTAGAAAAGTTTATATTATAATATTTTTTTTCTAGTTAGTAATAGTTGTTATTATTATAAACTAAAATATCGTCTATTGATCAATTTTGATCAAAATATTTGTACCAAACCAATATGTTTTAGTTGGTTTATAATAACTGGTAAAATCTAATGAGCAAATTCCATTAAAATATATAAATTTTTAAAAAGTATATTTAATGCTTACCACTCTTATCAACATAATTGTAAAGGGCAGAAATGGTTTCAAAGAAAGAAGAGCTTGTTTCTTTGTGTAAGTTTGAAACTGCAATACGAGCAGCAAAGAGAGAATAATGAGGATGAATAATTGTCATATATGCAGCAGTTTCAGCAGCAAGCTCATCCAATTCAGTGGTGTGTATGCCATCGTACATACCATTGACAACCTTTTAGATGATTAAGTCCATGTTGACGAAGTTTCTATCAAGATTGAAGGTGAGGGCTTCTAATCTTTCCTTAATTCTGATTAAGTCTAAGTTCATCTTTTCATTTTTACGATTGATGATATGGTGAATTCCTTTACTTTTAGCTAGTTCAGTTAGCTCTTCTATGTTTAAGATGTGATGATCGGACACTATTATAAATTAATGAAAAATTAAAATGAAATCAAAATCAAAAATAAACTCATTAAGACTTAGATGCTTTCAAAAATTATCTAGCATCCATATTCAAGAGCTTATAAATGCAAAACATCTTACTTTTTATTGGTTTTAGATCTAATTATAGAAGTTTTATTTAAGATTTTTGCTTCCACTCTAATCTATAAATCCTTTTTGAATTTTTTTTTTTTAATTTTTCAAAATGTTAAAATATCATTAATTAATTTCTTAATTGATCAGCAGTATTTATAGCGAGAACAATCTATTGATTTAGTTACAATCAAGTGACTTTTAAAAAAGAAAAAAAAGCAATTTTTGGCGCTTTTCCAATATTTTTATATATATTCAATAATTTGGAGGGGAAAGGTACTGTTTTCCATAATTGTTGCTAAGCAGAAAAAGCAGTATTTATCTGCGTATTATATCTTAATTTGTACTATAAATGAATATTTTATAAAATTATTTACTCTTTATTCTGGTAGGAAGCATTTTAAAACTCTACTTTCGCTTAAAAAATGAGAAATCCTAGTGGGAATAATGAGTATTTAAATTTAAAAAGAGGTAATAATTTATCATAATTATTTCCGCTCAAAATTTCAATCTTATGCCTCTAAAAATAATTTGAAATTAATATAATATAAATATAAGCTAACTATAAATCGACTCCAAATGTCAAGATGTATAAATGATATATATTTATTAAGTAAATAGGTTAAATTCTATATTTAATGAAATATTAATATTGTATTAATTTAAAATTAATCTTATAAATTTATTTTTGTTAAATATTTTTTTCTAAAATATAAATTTTTTTACTTTTTATTTAATCTTAATTTTAAAAATTTATTAAAATTTTGAGAAAATGATCTTTTTCCTTCTGGATTTATCTATAAATAGTAATTATGGAGAAAAAAGCTATTATTTTTATTTTATAACCTGAATTTCTATAAAATATTTTGTTGATTTTAAAGTTATATTAAACAATTATTCAAAATTTTATTTTAAACTAAATTTCTATTTTAAATTTTATGAAGTATTTTTTTTTATTTAATTATTTATTATTGAAATAACTGACTGATATTAAACATGAAATATATTTTTTTTAATACTTTTTAAAGTTTAAATTAAATTTTAAGTTTATTTTATAAAATATTATTTAACTAATCAAGAAGTTTCTTAAACATATTTAAAAAAAACACTATCTTTTGATATAAATATATTTTTTGAAAGTATTTAAAAATCAAAAAAACTATCTGTTAATATTATATTTGGGATTTTAATAACAATAAAAATATTCTTGTTAATGAAAAAGGAAAAATAAATGATTTTAAAAGATTAATTGAAACTTTTACAAAAAAATTGTTAAAGTTTTACTAAAAATATAAATAAACGAAATTAAAACTGATAAATCTATTTATAAAAGTGTAAATTTTTAAATACTTAATATAGAATTAATTTATAGGATATTAAAAAGTAAAGATAAATAAGTAACAAAGTTTATTATAAAAAAGTTGCTCTAAAAAATAAATATTTTTACATATTTGATAAATTAAGGAAAATTATTGATTGATAAAAAAAGTAAATTATAAATAAATAGCGGATAATTTAATTTTTAAATCTCCCCCCTTTTCTTAAATTTTTAAATTTTCTGAAATAAATTATACTAATTTAAATCAAGAGCTAGTATCAAACTATTAAATAATTTTTTTATTTAAAAATAAAAATAATTAACATTCATAAAAATAATAAATCATAAATATTGAAAAATAAATAAAATTATATATTTAAAAAATATAGATTGTTATATAAATAAATATAATGTAAATATTAATTTTATCAGGAATTTAATCTCAAATTTAATTAGTGTTTTGAAGTTTTACATGCAAACTTTTTTTCTTTTTCTTTTGCAATGGAGAAGAAGAAGAATTTTTTGATTTAATTTTTGGTAGCATTTACTCTTGCTTAAATTTAGATTGCGTTATTGGTGAATATTTTATTGAACTTATAGGGCTGAGTGATCGTGGAGCTGTGGTAGCTGCTGAAGAAGGGTAAATATTGGGTGAATTTGGAGATAGTATTATGTTTTCTTTCGCGGTAGGTGATTTAGATTTTGAATATTTATGGTTTTATTTGTGTTTAATAACTTTAACTACTGGCTGATTAAATTAGTCTGTTTGAGCATTAGATTTTCTCTTAGAGTTAGGAGAACTCTGAGCATGAATATTTAACAAGGCGTTTTAATCATTTTATATTAGGCTGAATGGAATGTCTTAGTTTATAGAATTTTTACTTCCTGTGTTTTAAAATTTTTTTTAAGCTTAAAGCTTGTTTATGATATTCCAAATGCTAGTGTATTAAAAAGAATCCCTCCTATTCCCTGCTTTTTATTAAAAATACCTAATTTATGGTAATTGCTATTAATTATTTTCTTTGTTATTTAAATTCAAAAAATTGTAATAGGTATCATCCATTGACAAATTATTTATATCTTAATTTCTTTATTAGTAATAGTTATCACTATGCTTATAAAGTTTAAGTACTTCATCCTCTAGTTATTTTTCTTTTTCATATTGCTTTCTTTTAAAATAAGCAACAAATTACTTTTTAACCTTTATTTTTTCTAGGTGGTTTGAAGGTGAAGGTGGAGAGTTATTTTATTAATTTTGCTAATTTTATTGAGATTATTATGTGTTAGAATTTTTATTATTATTTTGTGTATCTTATTAATTTGTTTATTGAAATTACTATTGCTTATCCTAACCTTACTGAGAATTTAATTTTTGAGATTTAATTTGTTCTAACTTTTATTGATGAATCTCTTTATTAAATTTTTCAATGCCATTTTATTTAGCCTTTTTAAAATCCTTTTAATAATGAACTATTTTTTTTAAGGCATTTATAAGTTCTTATTATTCTTTGTCTATCTATTTTTAAACTCTCTTGGGTGATTATTTATCTTCAAGATTTGTATATTTTAAAGGCTGTTCTTATTTTTTATTTTCTTAGTTTTATAATTTTAGATTAGTATTCTAATTTTTAATATTATTTTCAGGCTCTTTCACATATTTATCTATCAAATCAGATTAATCTAAACTAATACATTATAAATCTCTGCTTTAATATTTATTTCTTTTGTAATTATTTATTATTATTTCATCTTATTTAAATGTCTTCTTTTTATTTGGAATTTTTTAGAAAAAATTTATGATTCTGATTGGAGAAAGACTTTTTTACCATAATTTTGATATTTATCTTTTTCTATTCGTTTCTGTAATAGAATCTTCGCTTCTTACTCTCTCTTTATTTAATTTATTAAAAAAATATAATTAAAATATAAATTTTATTTTAATTTTAAAAATTAACTAAATTTTTTAGTAAAGTATTAAATTTTAATTAAAAATTTTACTGAGAGATTGAAGTACAAAATTTTGAGTCTTTTAGAGAGATTACTCCTACTGCTTTATCTCTTCTTATTTTTTTAGGTTCTCTTCTTAAAATATCTTCTTTTATTCTTCAAGCTCAATCTTAATTTTTTTTCTAAGAGATGTAAAATTTTAGTATTCTTCTCCTAAGTTAATCGTTTAAGGATTATTTATGTAGTGCAAATTATATATTTATTCTTTTATTAAATCTTTGATGTTAATTTAGTTAGGATTCTTTTTTATTATGTGATTTTTGTCATCAATTGTTAGCAACGACTCCTTTTCTTCAAATTTATTAACACCCATATAAGAATTCATTCTCCTAATTTAGTTTTTATAGTAAGCTTGCAGCTATAGATTATTGAGTCTTTACTACCAATCTTGCCCATAATTAAAATCATATTGATCTAGCTTTTAGAAATCATTTGCATCTAAATGTGAATTTTTTTTAGACATTCCACTGATTTGCTTTTTTTGCTAATTTTTTTTCTTGCTTTCTTTTTTCTAGAATTAATTTCTAAATTCTCTAATTTACTTTTAAGAATCGCATGAAGATTAGCTAAAACTACTATTGAATTATTTCTATTTTTCTTTAATTTCATTGATCAATTTTTACAGAGTACTTATTATTTGAATGAGCTACACTGTTCTCTCAATACCTATTTATGAGTAATTGAATGCAGCCCTTTCTAATAAATTAGGAAATTAATTATAGAATTCCATAAGGATAGTATCATCGATTACTTTTTTTTCCTCTTTTGTGAAGTCATCTAAAGGTTTTATTAATTGAAGTTTTTTAAAAGTACATTTTTATTATTGCTCATTACTAAATAAATTTGTTTTTATCCCTAATTAAGTTATCACTTTTTCTAATTTAAGCTTGGCAATACTACTTGAATTATTTGATGTTATAGGCTTTAGTTCTTGTTCATTATTCTGCTAAAAAAAATTTTATTTCATAACATTGTTCTATACGAGAGAAATGTAGTAAAGTATATCAACTTTTTTACAGAATCTAAGCAGATAATAACCTTGCTTAAATTGGTAAATAAACTGCTAAATAGAGTTAGAGCAGTAAGGAAAAAAATAAGTTACTACTGAAGTTATACAGTCGAATATATGCCCTTACTGAGAAAAAAGCTAAATTAACATACCCTTCATGGGCAGATCTAAGCTAATAACTTGTTAAAATTCTTATTAAGAAAACTCTGTTTTAACATAATTAGCACTTCTCTGAAGTAACGAGTTAGCTCTTTCATTCAATTTTAATATTTAATTATTAGCTCTTAACAAAAGTTATTAAAGAGCCTCATTGCGCTATCTATCCACTAAATTACTCAACACCCTTGATACACGAAAGTGCACGATCTTTAAATCTTATTAAAATAGACTTAAAATTCTCTATGCTTTGTTAAGCTTGAGTAAAGTATGTGAATATTCAATATTGTAAACCTCTGCTTAAAGTAAATGCTCTCTTTCAATCATTTTTTTCTTGTAGTGCATAATTTCAAGTATTTGTGACTGATCTTATGCTTCGTTGATTTAAAACTCAGATCTAGATTTGATTTCCATATTATTGTTACTTTCTAGATTATTTAAAGTTTTAAATGTGTTTCCTTTAAATTTAAAAAAGCTTTTGCTATCTTAGTTTTTATCAAAATTTATAGATTAAGAACTATATGTAGATTGATGTTCTTCTTCAGGTTTTTCAAGTGGAACAGCTTCAAGTTCTTCCAAATATTTTTAAACAACTCTTTTTGTCTAACTTAGCTTATTTTGTTAAATTTATAAATTCTCTAAATTTTCTTTATTTCTTTTAAATCTCTCTGTTAGCTCAACGAAGCATATTTCGATATCTCCTTCAATAGACTCCATGAACTACTTTACCCTTTCCTTTAGAGGAATTTATTCATCCCTCAAAGCCTTTTATTTGAGTATTTTTTCCTTTTCTTTTTCAATTTATTTTTGAGAGTATTGACCAATTTAAATCAAAGTTGAAGATTTCTTTTTGCTTTTAATAAACCTAGAAGAATTCTACTTAAGAGACCTACATGAACCTATTATTTAAGATCCTTTAGTTGATACCCTGTCTAATCTAAAGCGATTTTATTTATTTTTTAACTTTTTTAGCATCCTTATTTTATTTTTCTTTGGCTTATTTTACTTTTGCTTAACATTATTTTATTTGTTTTATTTCTTTACTTTTAATTTTTAATTCTTTTCGATACTTTCATTATTAAGAATATCCTCAACAAATCTGGCATTTTTTATTTTTTTCTCTTGTAAAGATTTTATAAAATTGGTATCACCATCAGCAACTCCATTGTTATTCTATTTGCTTATTTCACTATTGTGATTGTAAAGTGGTTAAAGTTTATTTTATCCTCCTTCTTCTTATTCATCTTCAACTAAACTGCTATCGAGACTACTGCTACTAAAACTATCAACTTATTTGTTAGATTTTTCTTTGCTCTAAACTATTTCTTATGAGTTTAAAGTAAAATCTGATATTGTATAATTTGAATTTTCTCCAGATTTGATAGTTAATTAATTAAAGCGATCACTTGAAGAAATCTTATTGTTTTCTGCAGAAGAAATAGATGATTCTTTCCAATTTTCAAGGTCATCTTATTTCTTAACTTTTTAAGTAACAAATATAGAGGTATCATGAATTTTTTCATCTAAATCTTCAAAAAATGAAGAACACTCTTTGTTAACTTCTTCTGAATGTTAATTATGAGCTTCCATACTACTACTAGAAGAATCACTACTACTTGAGTTTTTCTTTAAATTTGTATCTTCTGAAACTGATAAATTTTAATCATTTTCTAAGTTATTTTAACTTAATTTTTAATTAGACTTTTATTGATCTTCATCATCGTTCATAGATAATTAACTACCATCTTAGTATAAATTTAATATATTATTGAGAATATTTAGTTTTTTTTAATTATTTTCGCTTTTTATTTATTCATTTAATTTGATTCTTTCCAATTCTTTGACCCCTATGTCTTTCATTTAATTCTTTTCATCAATGTTTTACTCTTCTTGTATAACCTAATCATTTAATATTTTATTTTACTTATTTTATTTTTAATCTTAGCTTTTTTCCTTCTCTAAAGATTAGTTTTAATCTTCTTAAATAACATTAATAGTATAAGCTTGGCTGATCTTTTCTTAAGCTTATGCTCTAGGTTCATTTCCGATATTTTTTTCTAAATTTTAAGATTATACATCTTCTTCTACTAGAGAATCTTATATACTTCTTTAAATGCTTTTTGAAATATTTTTTTTAATAAAATTAAATAAATATTTTTATCCTCGCTATGAATTTATTTCAATAAAAATAACAGTAAATTAAAAAAAATTATTAATTTTATTTTTAAAAATTACTCTGAAAGTCTTTTCTCCATTTTATCTGAGTATTGCTTCAAAGTAATCAAAAAATCAATTTATTCCAAAGTAGCTTGTTGCTTTTGCTGTGTATTTCTTATGCTAGTTTTATACTAAATTTCCTTTTCAAGATGTTTAATTTCTTCCTGTTACTTATTTAATTGTTGCATAACCTCTTTTTCTTTCTTACTAAACTCCTCATACTCTTTAATTAAAACAACTAGCTCAGACTCTACTTCTATCTGCTTTATATTTTACTGATTTAAGGTTTCAGCATATTTTTAATCTCTTTCATTTAGCTCTTCGTTAATTTAATTTTTCTTGAATCTGATAAGCTTTTTTTAAAGCCTAACTGCATTCAATTCACTTTCTAAAGACTCATTAGTCTTATTTATTGAAGAGCTTGCCTATTATAAATCATGAAGTTTCTTCCTCATGTCCAAGCTAGCTTGCAAAGTTCTATTTTCCATCATTTTTAAAGTCTACTCATAATATATCTCTGCTTCTTACTTATCCCTGACTTAATCAATTTATACCTTAACCTTCTCGATATAAGATTGTAACTCTTCCTGAATATCTTATTAGGTCATCTATTATTATTTTTAATTTCTCCTTGAAAAATTTAGTAATTTGTTTATAGAATGCTAAATCTCAAAATCTGTTTTAATTGGTTTTATAGTTTCTGAATTCTATTATATTCCATTTTTCTTTCTGTATAAGTTAGTTTTTTATTAACTTTTTGGGATAAACATGAACCTATTCTCTAGTATAGGGTCTTCCTTAAAAAGGTAGTTCTACTTATTAAAATCTACTTCATTTATTTACTAGCTAAACTTGCTGCTTAAGTTGTTTTTAAACTTTTAGAATTGAAATTTAGTCAAATCAGGGTTAAAGAAAATAGATTCGTTAAAATTTTCACTTTAAGCATTTGCTATGTGCACTAAAAGTTGGTTATTCTTTTCTAATTATTTCTACTTCAAAATATTTAGTTATATGATGTCGTCAATTATTTCCTTAAAGCTATCATTACACTCTACTTAATTTTTCCGTTTTCTTTCAAGCTAATCAAAGTTAGTTTATTTTATAAAGTCTTTTATTTTTTCTATATTTGTAATCTAAGGTTCCTCTAATAATATCTCCTTTTGACTTACTTCTTCTTATTAAGCTTCTTCATTTATAGCATTATCATGAGCGACGATAGTTACTTTTCTCTTTTACTAACTCTTTTTAATGTTAAAATCTTATTCTTACTCTCCATCTTCAGTAAATGTAATTGGTTTTTTCAAAAAGCTAAATTTTTTGCTAGCTCTTCTTTTATTCTAAAGAGGTATTTCCTTATCACTATTAAATAAGTTTTTTTTTTAATTTGTTTTTTTTCCAAACTATCCCACAAACTAGATAGCAGATTACCTCCTCCTAAAGTCAACTGGTGTAGACAAATCCTAAACTAGAGTTTATAGACGAGACTACAAATTAAACTCATCTCCTTCTTCCATTACTCAAAATAATAAAAATAATGAAGTAAAATTTAAAGAGAGCTTTATTTTATTTCTTGAAAATATGCTTATCTCTACTTAAATTCTTTCTATTTAAAAGCAATTTAATCTTATTATAATTAAATTTTTTAGTGCAGTTAATATGATTTAACATATCTAATTCCACATATACAAGCAAAGACTATTTATATTTGGAAATATTAACCAAAAATCATTTGAAATCTATCTATCTAACGTTTTCAAATTAAATATTGCTATTTATTTTCAATATTATTTATAAACATAGAATTATTAAAACATATTTTAGTTTAGAAAGAAACAAAATTTTAACCATCTTAATAAGCAATATAATGAATTTAAAATATCTGCATTATATTTTTTATTATTGCAAAAATAATTTTAGAAAATTCTGTATTTTATATTAAATATTGTATCTAAAAATAAATAAATAAAAAATAAATTTTTTAGATTAATTATATTATAAAAATATTGGAACTATTTTAATATAAAAATAAAATCTTTAAAAAGAAAGAAAAAATGACTTATAAATAAATTCAAATTATCTTCTTAAAATATTATATCAATTATTTATCCATAAATATAATGAATTAATCATAAAATTTACAACATTAAAAATATTTCAATTTTATATAATAAAATGATTAAAAAAATAGATTTAAAAATAAATCCAGATTTTTTTAATATAAAAAATATAAGTTGAGATGTATGAAAAAATAATTTATTTAATTATAAAAAATAAAATAATCAAAGACTAACACTAATAAGGGCCTCTAATAAGAAAAACTAAATATAAAATTTATTAATATCTAATTAATGATAAATATTATTATAATTTTTGTTATAAAAACAATTAAGCATTATTCATAAATTTATATAGGTAGAAAAGTCTTTTATTAATTATAAAAAATAAGTTGAATTATTTAAAAATATATAATATTTCATTCATAAATAATATTTACTGTAAATTTAATATGCTAATTATTTATAAATATTATTAATTTATGAATAATAATTAGATTAATTGAAATAAAATTAATTCTTTCTTAAAATAATTTTATTGCAATTTTTAGAAAAAGAATCTAGAAATTTTTAAATTATTTTTATCATTTTCTTCATCAGAAAATACTTAGGTAGAACCATTATTAGGATTTCTTATCACATTTTTATTATTACAATTAATCTGTGTAACATTTCTTGAGAATTATTCTAGCAAATTTCTATTATTCCAAAACGAATAATAAATTTTTATATAAATTGAAGAGATTACTGAAAAGATATTGAATAATAAATAATAAAGATCAGATTAAATTAAATAAGTAAACAAAATATTTATATATCAAAACTAAGGATGAAGCACATTTATCAAGATTAACCTGGAGATGTTAATGTCTTAAAAATAAAAGAATCCCCTTTACCAGTAAAATATTTTTTGAAGAAGAACTTTTTACCAAACATAATTTATTCTACCTAAGTAATTAAAATAAGACGAAGTACTTATGAAGATATCATATACAGCTATTAACAGAGCAGAAGTATTGCAAGTAAATTTTAATTAAAAGTAATTTTTAATACTAAAAATGCATTAAATTACAGAGATAAGGAAAGGTTTATCCTTCTCCAGGACATAGTCCAATTATTGGATTAGAAGCTTCAGGATATGTTGTAGATCACTTAGGGTGATTTATTAAATTTAATGAAAATGACAATTTTTAATTTCTTTGTTTAATATATAAAATAGCAAAGAACTCTACCCTGCAATTGGTTTATTCTCTGGCGGAACCTATGCTTAGTAAACTTTAATCTTTCTTATTAATATTTTTAAACTTTTTTGTTTGTTTATTAGGTATGCAGCAATTCACAAAAATCACGTTTTTGAATTACCAAAAGGATTAACACTTGAATAAGTAATTAACTTTTATTGCAAATAAATAAATAAATTAAAATTTTTATAGGGTGCCGCTATCCCTGAAGCTTGGATTACTGCTTACTAATTGATTAAATATATTGGATAAGTTTAAAAAAATGATTATGTTATGATATATGCAGGTAAAATTTATTTATCTTAAATCTTTATTAATTAAATTATAATTAAAACTAATTAATCAAGCTGCTAGTGGAGTTGGTACTGCAGCCATTCAATTAGCAAAATATTTTGGAGCTCATGCTATTGCAAGCAGCTCTTCAGAAGATAAACTTAAAATATGCAAAGAGTAACTTTATTTGTTAGTGATTTTGAATTAAGAATAAATAAAATTTTATTTTAATAGATTAGGAGCTGAATTGTGTATTAATTACAAAACATGTGAAAATTAAGATGAAGAAATACTTAAATTCACAAATGGGAAGGGTGTTAATTTAGTATTAGATTGTGTTGGAGCTTAAAACTTTAAATTGGTAAAATATCAAATCAATTAACTCTTGTTATAAATATTATTAATATTAAATTTAAGACTGATAAAATTATTGGAGTTGATGGTAAATGGATATTATATGGAAGTTTAGGTGGAACAAATATTGAAAAGTTTGATTTAGGTAGCTTGATGAGAAGAAGAGCATCCCTCATAACAACCTTATTAAAGTAACTAAAATCAGATATATTGTATTTTAATATTTATGTAAATTCTTATAGGACAAGGTCAGACGAATACAAGTCAGATTTAATTTCTAATTTCAAAAAAGATACTATAGAAGGTTTTTGCTCTGGTTAGCTTAAGCCAATCATTGATAGGGTTATCAATATTACTTGGGATGAAGAAGGATTAAAAGGAGTAATTTAAATACAAGAAAAAAAAATATAATTTAATTTTAATTTTATACATAAATATAAAGTGGAGAGATGCTCATACTACTATGGAATCTAATGAAAATATTGGCAAAATTGTTGTTGCATATCCTAAAATATGAGATATAATTTCATATAATTAAATAAATACTGTACTTAATTGTTTTTATTTTATATCAGTATTTCATTAATTCTTTATCTTAAAAATCTTAAAATTTTTCCAACTTCGTAAAGTAATTTGAAGAAAAAACAAATATTTATTTTGCTTAAAAAATAGATCAATTGTAATTAATTATTTTAATTACAGGTATTTGATAATTAATGATTTTTAAATTAAATGAAATTTTGTGTTTAATTTAAGAGTATTTTTTATATTGATTGAAATCATGTTAAATTTAAAAATTAGAAACTCATTCATATAATTTCAAATTAAACAGATAATGCATGCAGCTTGTATTTTAAATTTTATGAGGATTTATTTGTTAATCGATTGATTAAGAAAGCTGTTTTGAAAGTTAATAAAAATATACATAATTACATACAATATTTGAAAAATATTAAAATTAAAAACTATCAAAGATTTTAACACTTCAATCAATATTAATAATAATTGTGTATAATTAATTAATTAATAACACTTAAATATCTCTTTTTAAATTCCGCTTATATTTTATTATAAAGACTATATTAAGTAAGATACGTTGATTAAGATTGCTCAGCAGCTAACAACAAGCATTATTTATGATAGCTAACTACGAAGAAGAAAGCATTGAATAGCTAAAAAATCAAATACATGATTTAGAATCAGAAGTCTCTGCTTTAAGAGTTTAGGTACTTCAATTTTTAAAATTATATTTAACTCATAAAGTGATAACATTAAATCTAAACTTGATTTCATATTCAAAATAGCTAAAAAGTAAGGAAAATGGATGGAATAAAGAAAAAGCTATTCTTTAACAGTAGATAGAGCTATAGGATATGTAAATTAAAGAATCTAAGGCAAGAGAAGAAAATTTTAGGAAAATGAATGAGACTTTTATGGAGACTTTATAAGGTTTAACAAATGACAGTAGTAAATTTACAGTAATCAACAATAAATTAAAAATGGAATATTTGATTAAATTGAACACAACTTTAAATATAACAGAATAAGTCACTCAAAGATTTAAAAGGTATGTTTGAAGGAATCAGTCAGGATAATGAATAGAGTAAGATAAAAAAATAAGATCTTATCACTAAACTAGAAGCAGAAGTAATAAATATATTAATTGCTATATGAAAAAGGATTATTTATTTCGTGTGAAAAAATATGAAAATTACTTCAGAGATTTACTTAATATATTCTCTTTGATATGTAATCAATTAATTTTAATTTATAGAACAGAGAATTGAAAGATTAAATCCATGAAAAGTAATTGGAGCTGTAAAAAGAGATTCATGAGAGTGAGAAGAATATGTTAAAGATGACAAGTGAAATTAAAGACCTTAACATTTAAAATTAAAATCTACAAGGCATAATAAAAAAGCTTGAAGAAGAAAAAAGGTAATTTCGATTTCAAAAAAGTAGAAAAAAAATAAACTTTTACTTATTTAGGACAATTAAGGATATTGCTGAATAGGAAGCTTAACAGAAAATAAACGATTTGTAAAATGAATTCAATCGCATTAAGTAAGAAAATGAGAAAGAGATGCTTAATAATAATGCATTGAATGAGGAGAGAATTCAGTAAATTAAAGAACTTTATGAAAAAGTAGTTAAATTTTAAATTGAATAATTAATTATTTATAAATTTTTTTCAAATTTCAGGAAAAATAAGTGTATGAAAGCAAGATCATTAAAAACAAAGAAAACCTTAGTTCAGAGCAGATGCTCACGTAAACTTATTTTGAGGAATTGTAGATTGCTCATTAAACAGAAATACAACAGCTTTAATTACAAATATAAACATTGAGAAATCAACATCTTTTCGAAGTAAATAATAAAAAATACTACTTATTTTTGAACTAACTTTTTTTAATAATTAATTAATTAATTAATAATATAAAAAGTAATAATAAGCATAAAAAGAAAAGTAAGAAAATGAGTTAAAAATGTAGGAATTACAAGAGAAATTTAAGAGCTTCAAAACTAAAAGTAAAACAAATGATTAAAATATAAAGCTCATGAAAGAAAAACTTGAAAAATCAAAGTAAGACACAGAATAAATAAACTAACTTAATGAATAGAATAAAAAACTCAAATAAAAAAATAAGCAATTAACGTAAAATTTATATTATATTTCGCGCTGTTTAATAATCTAATATTCTAAATAGAGAGTAAATCAAAAAATTAGAGTAGGTTGAGATAAAACTCAAAGATTAGCTTATTGAAAAAAATCACATCATAGAAGAAGAAAAACTAGGTAATGTTAGAAAAGAGAATATTATAAAAAATATGCAAGAGAATACAACTTCTGTGGCTCATCATGAATAATCTAACGTATTTTTTTTAAATCAAGTAAAATAACTTAATATTATAATTTAATAAAAGTTTGTAACAGATCATGATTTAAGCATATCTTAATTCTAGCTCAGATAGTAAAATAATAATTTATTTTCTGCAAGCGTTCTAAATAATAATACAAATCCTATTCATTCTTCTGTTTAGAATATGGATGGATTAGGATTGGGTAACCCTAACCATTAAATTTCCTAAGGAGGGTTAAGCTCACATTAATAGTCTTATAATTAACATCTGAAATCCGTATCTGAATGCGATTTCCAATAGATTATTTAAAGTAATTAGTAAATTGCTTAAAATAACTCAGAAATATTTATTCAACAAGATAGCAATCCTAAAATTAATACAGATGAAATTCCTAAAAGGGCAGCTCCAAATAGAGCCTAACAAAGACTCCAAGGAGGTAACAATCCTCTTGCAGGTTAGATTATTCAAAGAGGATAAAGTAAGAATATGAATTCACCTGAAGCTAAATAACAGCACCTTCTATAAATGCAATAGCTGTAACAATAGTAATTCTAACCACTCATATATAAATAAAATTCGAATAACAATTTATTCTAACAAAATATTCCAGTAAATCAAAATAATAATCTAAACAATGGAATTTATAAATCAATTTCAAGCAGTAACAGTAATTTAGGTTTAGTTAATAACTAAACAAATAGGACTAACTTAAGTGGTGGTGGATTAATGCTAACAACTAATTAAGATGTTATGATGTACACCTAAAACACATAAAATAACTATACAGATGAAGATATTGTAAATATACAGAATTAGGCTAATGAAAAACCTTAGCAAGGAATAATTGCAAATTCAGCTCTAGTTCATTCTTCATCAGCTAATTCAATGAATAATCAAAATATTTATTCAAATAATATTTTTTATAATCCAAATAATCCAACTAATAGCTAAATATCTATGCCTTAGTCTGTATAATCCAGAAATCTCTGTGAAGGTTGCCGTGTTGGAGTTAAGCATTTATTCTCTCAATAGCGTTAGAATCTATCTGTACCTTCACGCCATGTTAACAGTAGTAATGCTTAACTTTAGCAAGTTTCTTAGCATCATCAGAGCCTTGAAGATGATCATAATCAATTTGAAATATAAGATTTATAGCTTTAAGTTGAAGATTTAAGCAGATAGCTAGGTGAGAAAAATTATGAAAATGAGTAATTAAAGTAATAAATTAATACTTTAGAGTAAGAAATTTTAAGAATTTCAGATAGTCACAGCTAGGCGATAGAATAAAATCAAAATTAATGTAAAGAAATAGATAGGCTAAATGAACTTTTATCTCAGACATCAGCAGAAAAGAAAAAAAAAGAAGAGAACGAAGTAGCATTAAAGTAAGAAATAAAATATTTAGTAGATAAACTATTGAAGGCCAAAGAAAAAATAGATTTATAGCAACAACCATAATAAGATACTAAAAATAGTGATTAATTATCTTAAAATTTATATACAGAATTTTCTAATAACAATTAATTTTAAATTTAAAATAACAACAAAAACATGTATAACTAAAGCAATAATAATCTTAATAATTCAAACTTAGCTAATAGTCCTAAAATAAAAGTAAATATTTCGAATAATTTTGATAAGAATTCTCAAATATTTAATGAAACAAATTCAAATGCTAGATCAAACACATTAACAAATAAGCTTGGCACAGATTTAAACCTTCAAAATAAATTCAATTCAATTTATTCAAGTAACTACAATAGTGTATTAAATAACTAATAAAATAGTAATGATGCTACTACTTGCAACCATAATTAGAATAAAGTACAAAATCCCAATTTAATTAAAAATTCTTAACTTACTACCTCAGTTAATATTTCTTAAATGCTCAATTAGTCAAGTAATAATTTCTATTTATATTCAATTTTTTTAAATTATTTTATTTTAAATTTAAAAGGTTGTGTAAACTAAAGCTTATGTTTGAATTGCTCAACTAAATCTCCAGGATTCTTGAATTTTATTCACTAAAATAAAGAAAACTCCTCTTTCTAGACAAGAAAAAATGGCTACGGTGAGGAAAAAATATTATTTGGTGCTCTGGAAAAGAGTCCAACAAGCAATTACAACTTAGGTAAAAGCACTGATTTATTATAGCAAGATTTCCAAAAGTACAAAGGTATAATTAATACAAGCCAAAACCTCAATAACTAAAATACTTCATAAGCTAGTAACAATTTAACTTCAAATAATAATTTAGAATAATATGATAGCAATATCAAAGCATACTCAAATCTAGGTACTGGCTTATATTAAAACATAACAAATAGCTATAGATAAACTTCCTAATGCAGCTAATACAGTTCTAATAACCTAAGTTAAAATCAAGGAAATTCAAATATTTGTAGAAGCGATAGAAAAGGATAAAATAACCTAAAGAGTATGATTCAAAAAGAGGAAGAAAGAGGATTCTATTTTAGATCTAAAACTCCATTCACTTCAAGATTTAATTAATCTCTTGAAAAATCTAATCACATACCAATGCAAGACACATCAACTAACTTTGAGTAAACAAAAAAATAACTGTTTTCTCAAGAAAATAATATAAATTAGATAAAAAACCCATTAAAAGCCTTATAATAACAACAATTGAGAAGAAATGAAATTCCAAAATCTAAACCCAGCTATTTATTTGATTGAAAAAAAGCAAATAAACTTCTTCGATTTTAATAATCAAAACATTAATTAATACTAAAATCTCATTTTGAGAAAAACAAACAAACAAAAAGCCACAAACAATTAAATAAACTACAATACTATATCAATCAATCAATAGATTAAAAAATAAATAGGTTGTATAATTTCCACTTTTACATATTTTAAATGATTTGTTTATATTCTACTTATTTTCTATTCACACTATATTAATATTTATAAATTAATTAATCTTAATCTTTATTTGAAATTCACTTCTTTTGGCAAAAGATAAAAATTCTTTCCATATTTTAAAATGATTTTTTGACCAAAAATTGTTTAAAAATATTTAAATTCAATATTGTTTCATTTGTGAATTTTTGTAAAAAAATAAAAATCCCTCAACATAGCATGTTTTTTTGTTCATTTATTCCAATCCAAAAATATTTTTATTATTTTAAAAATTGATTTTATAAAATTTTAGATTAAAAATAAATACAGTATCATCTAATATACTTAGAAAATCTTTAAAATAAATAAAATTTATTTTTATTTTATTTAAATCAATTAAATAAATAATGCTTTTTTAAAAATAAACTGGAAAAATTTATTGATTTAAATTTAAAAAGAATCACTCAAATCCTAAGCTTTTATAGATAAATACAAAAAAGATAAAGTCTGTAATAGTCTATTTTATTAGGCTTTGTAGTATTTTCTATAAATAAATTATTCTCAATTTACTAAAATAACGCTATCATAAGTATCTAAAAAATTCTATTACGTTTTATAATTCCATTTTTATTTTAAAGAGTGCCTATATTTATTTTTGCAGATTTAAAGATATTTAAAGATCGAGATTGATAGATATTTGATATGACTAATTAATACTTTGCTTAGGAATCAATAGATAGATATAGAGATTGATTACCTGTTTATTTTATTTGGCAATCAATAGAAAGGAGACTAAGATATGAATAATAAACAAATAAAATTTGAAGAAAATAAAATATGCATATAAATGACAAAAAATTGCACATAATGCTAGCTAAAGTGAGTAATTAATACATATTTGACAGATTCTGCTAATTACACAAATGAGAACAGAAGAAGAAAATATGCATTTAAGTTAATTTTTGGCGTTTGTCTAATTAGATTTTGTGATGACCAATAATTAATCAAATTCAATCATAACCAAAACCCTTAACGCTTTATGCTCTTAATTTCTAAACTAGATTAGTAATTAAGGATGCCATAATTAATTTATTTATGCTGATCATTCTTCGTCTTCACCACCAGCAGCAGCTCCACCAGAAGAAGCAGCATCTTGTTCAACCTTAACAACAATAGGAGCAATCTTAGCGAATACTTGAATTAATCTTTGGTGGCAGTCGATTTGCTTTTAGAAATCAATGGTAGATCCATTTTTTTAAACTAAACTGTTATAGCATATTTTATATAATGAATCAAATGCAGTACGATTGAATTATCTTTAAACGTCGGCAGCGTAGTTATCTTCCATTTTTTCTTTCCTAATATTAATTCTTTCCTTTAGAAATTAATTTTTTTTCTTTCTTAATCTTTCTTTTAATTGAAAATATTAATATTCCAATTTATCTTAAGTATATTTTTCCCTTAAGCATCATTATTTATAAAGGCAGTCTTTGGTTTGCTCTTTCAACTACATATATGATATTCATTTATATTTTATTAAATATCCTTAAACACTCTATCTATGCATCAAGCATCAGCAATTTATTTAGTTATTATTAACAATATACATACAAATATACAAGAACGCTTACCCATCTATTGAATAAAAGTGAGTACTGCATATAAATAGCTTAAAAGTGACTAGTTTCTTTATATTTTGAATGAGTAGCTCTATATTTTAATAATTCTGTATTTTATTAGGTATTTAATTCAAAAAATTGATGTTTATTTTGAATTTATTTATTGTATTTATAAAGAGATAAAAAATTCAATATAGCTATTCATTAACATAACCTATAAATTTTCTTTTAGTCTTATTATTAAAATCAATAATTTAATTAAAAAATAATATCAAAATATTAATAAATGTTAGGAACAATTAGCTAATAACATTAAATGAAACTACTTAAAAAGCTAAGATAAATATGTTAAAAGTTATAAAATACTTTTTAGAAATTATATAAAATTTTTTTTTGGATTAATCTATTGTATTTTATCTTTTCATTAAATTAAAAATATAAAAATATTGATAAAAAATGCTAATAAATATAAGTTAGATTGATAATTTTTAATATAAACAGAAATTAATAGCTATTATTTAATTTTTGATTTGTAAAAAAATTAAAAGAAATTTGTAATTAATAATAAATTGATAGATATATAGATACATATATTCATAGATATATAGAATCTAAATCATAAAATAAATAAATTACTCAACCAAGCAATCAATCATAAATAAGAAAGCTTAATTGTTATTTTAACAAAGTAGGAAGAATCTATTAGTTATGAAGATATTATCAATTACAATTCAAAACAAAAAAGGATAAATATTGTTTATGGTTACTTCTAATAACTTTTCTCATGAATAAGGAGTTAGATACTCTAATTCTATTTATGAGTATATTTTAAGTGTTTCCAGTATTATTTTTTTTGCAATGAAAATTAAATATTTATTATAGCTTAATTTACCATTCTCAAAAATATTTTTATGTATAGAATAGGAGAAAAAAGTTGATAAGACAATAATTATAGATAGCTCAATTATCTGCATATGCTACATCATTCAAGAGGTAGATTATACTTCTTTTCTGCTAAAATAAAAAAATAATATTTTTTTGAAATTGTTTTTTTAAGATTTATAACTTTATTAAAATAGTTAATAATTCTAGTTCTAGTTCCAACATCGTAAACACAAATAGGCTTTGAAGGAGCTAAAAAGCTGAGCAGCTATTTTAAATCTAATTCGAAAATGGAAGACTTAAATAAAAAATATATTTTGGTAATATTTAAAATCTACTTTTAACAAATAAACAAACACACTAAAACTATACAAACCTTTAAAGATAGGTTCCAATTTATAAATAAATAAATAAGAAATTGCCAGCAACAAAGCAATAATAATAAAATAATGGCTTTAAAAAATAAAATGTTATTATCAATTTATTAATTAGGAAAAGCTTGTTATAATTTCATTAATTTTAAAAAAAATAATTTTATAGATCAATTAAATGTTAGAAGATTTTTTGTATACGAGGGAACTTAATTTGAGTAAAGTGTTCTAATTTAAGTTATAATAAGGAGAAAAGATGCATTAGATTTATTCTAAATAATAGGCAGATTTTGAAGTTTTTAATTCCTTTTTAGATATGGATAACTCTAAAGAGAATAAAGAAATGAAATCAATAGCAAATATTCCATTGAGATATTGGACTTAAGTTTAGTAAAATATTTAAAAAGTCAACTTAATAGTTCAGTAGTCCAAAGAGATATCAATTAATGTTACTGCTGCTACTGATAATGCTAATTAAACTTCTGTATAATCTAAATATAAAAAAATAATAGAACAATAAAGAAATTTATTTTATAGATATGCATTTAAGCTCACTACAAAAGTAGCAACTCAGCCAAAAAGACCTTTAACTAATTATTAACAAGTTTCAATGATACCAAAGCATTAAATAAAATTAGATTCTATTTCTTCTCATGATATTCAAGGAGGTTACCATCGTAAAAACAATTCAGTTACTACTCAATACATGCATTATTAAAAAGAAACTATATAAAATGGTAATATAAGTTAAACTCCAACAAGTGTAGCAACTGTTGACCTTTTGGATATGGATTTTTTTTCAACATCTTCAAAATCATAACAGCAATAAATATATAACCCATAACCATAAATATAGTAAAACATTACACATAGACCTGTGTAAATTCCAATATAAAAATAAGAATCTAATGTACTTGACTTATTAGATAGTGAAGATGAAGATGAAACTCCTACTACATCTTAGGCTGCACCCAAAATTAATACAAATAACTAAATTTATTAAAATAATAATAATAACAATAATTTAATTAATAAACCAATAAATTAAAATGGTATCAATAACGGCTAAATCAACACCACTCCTTTACCTAATTTATAAGCATAACCAAATAGATATAGTAGTATTTTTGGAAACAAAGTAACATAGTAAAATCCTCTTCCCTAGAACACTTTGAATTAAAATGTAGCTCAAAACTAACAAAGAATGTCATTACCTGCAAATAATAATAATGCAGCTCAGCCAAACATAACTCCTAAACCTCCATTACAACCGAATTAATAATAAAGCAATTTGCAAAAGAATGATGTCAGCTTAAAAATCCAAGTAATTTAAAATAAAAATAAATGTTTTTTCTTTGTTAAAAAAGTTAAAAAATAAATAAATATTCTTTTTAAAATAGGAAAAGCTTCAAATAATATAAAAAGATAATAACTTTCCATAAGGATTTTAGCTTAATGGATAAATAACTGTTTAGGGAGATTTCAAAGACGATGTTGTTTTGATAGAATTAAAAGGTAAAAATTGGGATCCTTAAATAACAAAGCACAGAGGTACTCCAAACACCTTTCCATACAGGACGAATAAAGAAAATACTGCATATTAGTAATTTAATAATTAAGTAATTTAAATAAGAGAATTAAATCATGTTTTTTAAAGAATAAAAGTTGACAAATCTTCCTTGAGCTAACCAAAACCAGTGATCGATCTTCTTATGAATAGCTAGTTAATTTTAAAAGCATAACAAATACCTTTATTTTTTTTATATTAATATGAAACTAAATAAGCATAATCAATAAACTTTAGATTTTAATACATGGTAACATATATTAATTTACTTTTACAATACCAAATATATATTTTATATAATCAAAAAGGTAAATTAAAAGTGGAATAGTTCTTTATTTGATGTGCAGTTTTACATTGTTTTAGATGATAGATTGATATTCAGTGATATGTAGCATAACCCTTTTGCCTCTTCATATTAAAATAAAACTCTCTTGTGGAAGGTAAATAATAATTTAAATATATTTTATATTAATACAATGTCTGTAGACTTAAAAGTTGAACGCAAATTCAAAAGGAAATTTATCATTAACACTCCATGGAATAAATTTATAGCCATAAGAAATTCTTAAATATATAAGACTCTGCATGAAATCAGATGTAAAAATTTTAATTAAAAAATAAACTAGAATATAAAATGAAAATAAAAATAGAGTATACTAGCGGATTTAGATGCTTAAATGACTACTTTAACTCCTGGAAGAACTATTCATTAAGCATAAAAATAAATGTTAATAGAATATAAAATTTTGCCAAATTCAAATTGAAACAAAAAGGTAAAGTAGTTAAAATATTTGAAATTCTAAATCCTCCTCCCAACCTCTCAATCAATCAATATCCACCCATCTATCAGTATATGTCTCTCTCACTGCTTACTAGCTGCATAAAAACTTCCATTTAAAATCTTTTAGTCAATTATAAACAAGATGCTCTTTTAATTTAAAATTGTATATATTATTTTCAATAATTAGAAAAATAATTTATTTTGATCTATAAATTCTTAAAAGTTGTACATAAATAAATAAATGATTAAAAAATAATTAATATATTATAAACCATTTTAAAATTCTACTCATTATTTATATTAATTACAAAAAGTGTATTTTTTTTAAATAATAATTGCTTTAAAAATAAATACTATTTAAATTATTTGCTATCTTCATAAGTTTACTAACAAATATTCATATATATTTTATAGATGTAATCTTTACTTTTTTATAATTAAAATTTCACTTGCCTATCTAATAATTTTATAAATATTTGGAATCTTCTATCACTTAACCACATGATTCTAGATTTTCATTAAAAGCATCAAGAAGAAGTTTATTTACAATCAAATCTAATTCATTATTCTTTTTGAATATATTCTATGAAGAATTTTTAGGAAGATTATTTAAAATTTGATCGAAATTTTTATCTATTTTTGTAATGAGATAATATATATTTTCTAAAAGTTGCACAGAAGATGATTAACATTGTTCTAAAGTAGGTGCTTGTTAGTCAAGTTATTCATATTAATCTTATTTTAAATTTCTTAAAATAGTTTCTTCTTGCTTTTAGCACATATCTTCTTGAATTTTTAATAGACTTTCCATTTTATCAAGTGTTTTGTAAATTTGTTGTTTGTTGTTATCAATCAAGGTAAGAACAGAAACCTTTTCATCTTCCATTTAAATATTCATATTTATGTCCATTTCTCTTGCTAAATTATATCCTTCAAAATTTGATTATAAGTAGGTTTTAGCTTGTAATTTATTAATTGTTTATTCTTTCGCAAATTATTAGTAAAAAAAGTATTAAGACTGTTTGTCTATTTACTAAATATCAAAATATTCAATAAAACAAATAAGTTTGCTTATTAATATTGAGTTGGATATTAATTAAGTAATAGTTATTATAGATTGAAATATCAATATTTAATTAATAATCTTGTTAGTAATAAGAAATATAAAATAAAAAATATATTTTTAATTTTAGATATTATTAAATTTCTGGCTGGTTTCCAATTTTTTTTGAATTTAAGATACCGTATCTTGTCTTTGGTATCTTCTAATTATTGATATATTTTGGAGTGTTGCTTAAAGATTTATTATAAAATTATAATTAGATACCATACAATTTAAAAAAGAGTAATCAACTCTTAATCAAAATATAAATAATTTATAATAAAAATAATTCTAATTAAGCAAACAAAAAACTAGATAAGTAACACATCCAAATCAAATATTCAATACTTTTATTGCTTTATTTACCATACTTATCATAAGCAAAACTTCTCAAAGCTTGATTAACAAATGGAGATCAATAATAACGTAATTGAAGGTGTCTATGAAAAATGCTATGAAATCTTGTTTTAAAACTTAAAAAATGAATCTGACTAGAGATAAATGCTGGAATTTATGCAACTCACTAAGACTAAATGCTTAGAAATTTACTAAAAGCGTTATACTGAATATGAATAACAAATTACAGCTAAATATAATGCTTAATATATGTAGTAAATTGGCTCTTTAACAAACGAGCTTGAAAAGCAGCTCATATATGAAAGAAAAGTTAATTAAGTATATAATGAAATTAACTAAGAACTTAACTAAAAATTATAAGCCTCTCTAATATTTGGATCAATATTTTATAGTTTAGGAGACTTCCGTCTAAAATAAGAAAAAATTAAATAGTAGAACTTATAAAGCTAAAATGAGGCCTAAAAATAAAAAATCGATAAGCTCAAAAAAGAAACTGTTTGCTTGATAAACATGAACAAAACTAAAGACGATTTTATTCTCTAGCTAAAAGATAAAGTAAATGCCTTGTAGAAATAGTCCAACACTCAAAGTTCTAATCAAGAATACAGTCCACCATAATTCAAGATAAATACTGATTGCTTAGGAAATACACCAGAAGTTAAGAATGAAAGTAGTAGCTTAGCTGGTAGTAGTGGAAGTAATAAAAGTCTGGGAACTTATATTAAAGAACTTAATGAAGAGTCAAATTAATCTAGCTAAGACGAAAATCACAATAAAATCTAAGAAGAAAAAACAGAACCTACTTTGCTGTCAATCACTAGTGATTTTGATATGTACAATTATTCATTTGGTAAACTTTTCAAAAATAAATCCTTGCATATGCTAGAGGAAGTTAATTAGTAAAATCTTAATATAGAGTTACCATAGTAAAATGTTGTTAAAGATTCTATAAAAGAAGAAGTCTTTCCAAAAACAACACCTAATGCTTAAACATAAAAAAAATAATAAGATTTCACATAGTAGCTTAATACTAAATAAGCAACAATTTCACTTTTCAATTCTAATTCTGATTAAACTCTTGGAAAAAAGATACCTTCTCCTATTTATAATGCAAAAAAGTCAAAAGAAAAATATTAAATAGTAAATATAACTCCGTCAATGTACAGATTAAAAAAAGTAAATAGCTAATCTCTATCGTGTAATTTTAGCTAAGGCTAGCTTTTTAAGGCAGAAGCAGAATAATTGAATGAAATGGTAATAGAACCAACTTTATCAAAGCAACTAAAATATCAAAATTAGTCTAGCATAATAAATAATTAAAATAGCAACTAAAATTTTTTAAATAGAATGAATAATAATGATGCCCGTTCATTTATTTTTACCCACAAATCTCACCTAAAAACTTAAGTGATTCACAACAATTAATAGACTAAGAAAAAAATATGAAAATAAATATATAAAAAAAAACTTCAAATTAATCATCTTTTTCAATTTGTAATCACAATAAATTTATTATTTTTAAAAATAATTGTAAAGCACTTTCAAAATCATTCGTATATTTTATAATATCAATTATTTCAATCTTAAATTTTTTAAATTAAAGCAAATTTCATTATAACTCTTTATTATATTTAATTTAATAAGTTTATAATTTAAAATAAAAAATTTTTAAATATTATAAAATCTATTGTTAACAATGATTTAGTATAAATTTTTATAAAACTATTGCTATTAAAAAATCAGTTTTAAATTAAATTTACATGCATATATTCATTAATATTATTAAATTTAGAATTTTAACATCTATATTATATATATAATAATTGGATAATATCTCCATTTTAACTAAAATAATTTAAGTGCATAGTTAAAAAAATTACAATATAAAATTAATAACTTTGCTAAATAATAAATTCGAAATATAATTTGCACTTTCACTACCTTCACTGTTGTCATCTTATTGATTAGAAATACTTATTAAATAGCATCTCCTGGATTTAATTAACTTTTACAAACCTGATCAGGCTATTTTAATCTTCGTAGAATAGAAGGAGAGCATGATACTGATTTTTTTCAAAAGATAGATTTTATTTAACATTATTGATAATGATTAATAATTTAAAAAGGGATTTTTATTAAATTTGTTAATTGACTTATTTTTTATGGGGATAATTATATAGATGAGAAAATAATTAATTGAGAAATAAATTGAGATTAGAAAATATTTAAATATTATTGAGAGATTAAAGAAGTATAGATATTTTATTTGCATTAATACAAATTTTAATTATTGTTAAGGAGCTTTATATTGAAAAATACAAACAAAATTAGTTATTTCTATAAAAAAAGAGTTTAAAATAAATACAAATACAAATTAAAATATTTAATTTAAAATTTTTTTCAAAGCTCATCTTTTTTATATTTGCTTTTGCTCTTTTGAAGTCTTTCTTATTCTAATCTTTGTTTTTCACTTGCATTAAAGGCATCACAATCTCTTTCATCCAAATCTATTGAACCTGGTAAGGCTACTAATCCTTTAGGTTTCTTGCCTTATAAGTCATCCATAAAGCTGATAAGATTTTCAAGTTCAAAAGCTTCCTTAAGTAATCTATACCTATAATTAATATAAAATTTTAAATTAATTTAAATTTTTACTAGATTAAAATAAATAAAAATTACTTAGTTTTCTTTTAGTCTAAGTAAACTAAGCTGTTAAGATTTGTATCATGAATTTTAAAGTATTATAAAAGCTCTCTGTGGCATTTAGCATCAATATAGAAATAACCAATATCTCTATCTGCATAAAGCTTCTTAATCTTGTTAATCTTCTCTAAGTCTAACTTAAATTTACCTTCCTTTGACATATCGAAAAGAGCAATTAAGCAAGGCTTCTCAGTATTTAGAAGACATTTCTCCTCAAGTTCTTCTTATTTTTTAATTTCTTCAACCTTTATTTGGTCAACTACTTCATCTTGCTTTTAAATGGCAATTTAGTTTAAATAATCAACTACAGATTTAAACTAGAAGTCCTTTTATTCATAAGGAGATCTTCTAAAAGTGTTTTAAAAGTCATTTAGTTCTAAAACAGCTACGATTCCAGGAACACCATTTAAGCTCCAATTTTTAATTTCACTTTAAGTTGGATTAACATAACGAACGAAATTCAAGTATTTACGGAAACGCTATTGCTATGTTACTATAAAGAAGATCAATTTTTGATAGTGGTCATATTTATCATGAGCTAAAATTACAGAATACTTTTTACCATCAAGCCCTTCTCTTATTTTCTTTCTTGCATCTTAATCATTTTCCACTTCACTTTCAACTAAATTGCTGTATAAAACGGAGTTTAGAATTTCTGAAGATAAATCATTTTTGTCATCATATTTGTTAACTTTAACAAATTATTGTTAATTTCTAGTTCCACTTAATGGGTAAATTATCACAGCTGGATAGGTTGATAAGCTACTACCAAAAATTTCATTGCATTCAGCATTACATTGAACTTAGTAATACTTAAACATGTTGCTATTTTTATATTAATATAAATTTATTATTTTTAAAATAAAATAAACATTTTTATTTTGATTATTTATTCTTATTAAATCTTTAGATCTTAAAATGTAAAATTAAAATTTTATTCAATATGAAAGTATGAGCCTTATTTTAAAAATAGATTTCTTTAAATAAGATAACTCTAAACAAAGTTTAAATAATTCCATCTCTTAAATTAAAAAATAAAAAAATTTATTGCCTTTTCTGATATTTTTTTAAAATAACTTTTTAAAAAAATTTAAATAATTACCCGAAATCTTATTTAAGCTAGTCAAAAATCTAAGCAGTTTCAGAAGATTTTCCTTTCTAAAGATGGAAGGCTACGAAATTTTCTTTATATTTCTTCAATGCTGCAAGAATTTAGCCTGGTTTTAACTCTTGGACATCTACATTTTCGGGAATATCAAAGTATGTTCCTTAATTTTATTTGGTGTTTTGTTTGTCAACTTGCATAGATTTAAGTTATTCTTAAATGAAAGAAGCAACAGCTGGGACAGTAAATTCACCACTGAAATCGGCCCTTTCATAATCAGTGCCTGATAATTTTAATGCTATAAGAAGTGGGAAATTTGAAACATTATATCTTTTTTTAAGCTTTCTATTGTCAACATCAGCTAAACCAAACTATTTATTTTAAAGTATTAATTAGATTTATTCGTTTTTAAAATTAAAAATATTTAAATAAAATATGGCTTGTTCTGATCTAAAAAAAAAATAGTCAATTATGAAATTTTAATTAAGTTTAAATAGAATTTTAATCTTACATCAACTTAGCCACGATATTGTCCACTTAAGGCACGTAAAAATAGAGGTGGTTATTCCTCATCTGTGAAAAGAACTAACTTTAATGGGATTTCTTTAAAGTTTAAATAGTTGTCAATGTCCTTGGGATTAGAAATAGTCTTAATAAAAGAAGGAAGCAATTCTTTTGACTTTTGCATTAAAGCATCCGGACTAACCATACCTTAATAGGGCACATCTTTAGGTAGTTTTTTATTTTTCTTATTATAGATGTCTAATTCATCAGATTCTGGTTAGAAGAAAGTAATATGAGGTAATTAATCTTTCTTTTCAGGGTCACATGCAGGAATTCTTGGTTGGTCTTCAAAGTTTTCCCAGACTTTTTCACAATCTACTAAATAAGTAAGAACAACTCCATCAACTAAAGCAGCATATTCTTTGAAAACTTTAACACCGACATTGCATCTTTCACATTAATTTAAACGAGTTACCATAATCGCAGATAAAGAATTAGGATTGCTTCTTACTTTATCAGCTATATCACTAAACTATGTTATGGTTACAAGTTCAGCATTCACTTACCTAGAGCTACTCATTAAAACGAAAATAGCTAAGGAAACTAAAATAAACAACTTAAAAGATCTCATTTTTATTTAGTCCTACCTATTTATCTTGCAAATTATTGCTATTCTAATTTTAAGTATAGATAATATCTATGATTTCAAAATTTAATAATTTTTATTTATTAGAAATAATTAACTAAACCTTTTTTTATATCAAGCAAACTCAATTCAGATATTAAAAAAAAAATTTAAATTTTGATTGTTATTTAAATGTAATAACTTAAAACAATATAAACGAATATAATTTACGTGTGAATAAATTATCTAATTTCTAATTTAAATAATTTGTAAGTTAATAATCAATATTTTTACAGAATATTCTCTTGATTTAAATAAATAAATAATAGATTCTATTTAAACTTAATTAAATTCGATTTAAAAGAAATCAATATAAAAAAACTGAAATTAATGTATTTCTTGAATAATTCAAAACACATTTGCCAATTGTATTATTATTATGAAAGTATAATTAGTATGCTGATACTAAAAATAAATAAAATGGTTTTATTTTATTCTGCAGATCAGTACTTAATTATTAGATTTTGTAGAAATTTTAGTTGTTTCTTTTTTCAAAAATAATTAAAATACTGAATAAAAAATATTTACTAAATATTCTCTAAACATCTTTTTTATTTAATTTAATGGTTTATTGATAATATTTGTAAAATTTTTTAAAGAGCTTTATCTTTTTTCGATATAAATCTACTTCTTTAAATAGTGGTTAATCATTTTTAAAAATTAAAATGACAAAAAAAATAACTTCTAATTAAGCTGATGTTATTTCCAGATTTACAAAGATATTTTATTGCATGCCTATAAAGATAACTCTATTAGTGAATTGAATAAAGAGTAAAAAACAAAATTTTTAGATAATAAAAATCATGGAAAAGTGATAAATTTTTGATGTAAAATATAAATTTTGATATCAAAGGAATAAATTGAAATTTTTTCAATCTTTACATTCAGATAAAAAATTTACATTTATTTTTAAATATTTGATGGTTTATTTGTTAGTAAAAAAAATTTAAATTATTCATTTTTTAAAAGAAAATGTATCTTATTTAATCGATCATCTAATGCTATTGATTTATAAGGCTGAATATTTAAACTGATTTATTTAAATCATAAAATTTATCTTTAATGAAAAAATATGATAGATTTATAAATTTTTATTTTTTAACATAAAAAAAATATGTTTGATTAATACTTAAATTAAAATATATCAAAGCTGTTTTGAATTTAAAATCTGTTCTATCTCTTTTACCACATTTTTAATACTTTTTTCGTTCAAATTTTATGTTTTATCATCTTATGATGCAGCTGTACCCGATGCTGCAGCCATTGGGATGATAGAATTTATAATAGCCCCAAATGTTCCACCTAAAGTGAATGCTTATATTCCTAAAAATATGAACACAAATAATAAAATTAGTATTAGTATTAATGTGCCTAGAGATAATGCCAACAAAGCAGCAGATATTCCTAACTTCTCAAGTGACATACTAATTTTTTTAAGATTAACATATTCAAAAGCTCTTTCGAATTCATCTTCGCTTAATAAAAATTATTCTTTTTAGCTTGATAGTATGTTTTTCTTTTTGATAATTGCAAAAATTTCATTTGCTCTATGCTAACTAAGTGTAATACCTTGTATTTTATTTTAAAGAAGTATGCTAAAAAAGTTAAAGAGGATTTATAATTTACCTATTCTATTCAAGAAGGTACAAAATGTATCAATATTAATCATTCCATTTTAACCTTCTTAGTTTACTAAAGATCTAAAAATATCCTAAATACTTATCTAAATTATTTATTTAAATTATTTTAATACTAAGTAAAAAATTGTAATTACTTTTCCTTCATTCAGCCTTTTTAGAATATCTTTTGTTTAGTCATCTACAACTTATTAAGGAGTTGCTTTAATTTGTTCTAGAGAGCTACGGTTCGAAAAAACAGCTAATTTTTAAGTTGTAGAAACAAATTCTTATATTGTTTTCATATCATTCTAATTTAATAGATTAAATTAGCTAATTAAATTAAATATATTTGAAATATCTCCTTAAAGAAGCCCAACCAAACTTTATACCTACTCTTAACTAATAAATTCCTCTCCAGAAACTTGAATTAGTAAGCTAAGATTTTAAACTACTGTTTAATCTTACAAACTGATAATAGGACGATTAAATATAGTAGAAAGCATTTTAAATATTAAATAAAATTGCTGACTAATTTATTTATCTTCATTTTTTATTTCTAAATAGTCTTTCAAGTTAGTCTCTTCCACTAAAAAAATAATCAAATCCTATATTAAATTAAATTAAGTGAAATATTTTCTTTAAATCAGCTTAAAATATTACCTTCACTATAACATCTACTTACTTTTATTCTAAATCTCTTAAAGCACCAATGGAATCAATTATAAATTAAGGCATTTCTTTTCCAGTAACTATACTGAAACAGTTTTAACAAAAAAAATAAAATTCATCAAGTAGCTGCTTATTTTTCTCCTCTTAACTAATCTATAATTAATAAATTAGCATAATTTTTGTAAAATGATAGAAAAACTCAGCAAAATTTTTTGAAGTTTCAGTGAATTTTCCATTTTATTACAATAATTAGAAAATAAAGCTTTTTTCATCTGCGTTTTGAAAGTATTTATCTAATTATATCTCAGATGATTTTATTCCTGAAATGAAAAATCCGAGGATGCTTAACATAAACTCTGGGACAGCGTGCGTGCTTCCAATTACATCATAGATACTCGTTGAGAAAAATTTTGAAATATAACAAGAAATATTGGTCGCAGTTAAGTATTTTGCTAAAATGCCAAAACTTTCAGAAATGTTTGCTACTGAAGTTTTATCAGAAGATTTAACAACTTCTAAATCATCTAAAAAAGATATATCTTAAGGTCCACACTCTAAAAATCTTTTTAATTTAACATTAATATAAAATCAATATTTGAAAAAAAAAATAATTTAATTTTTATTATTTAAATTTGATTTATGAAAATAAAATAATAAAAATTATTTTTAAACTTACGAATTGAATTGTTAAATTAGATTTTTATAATTTATATCTCCGTTATCTAAAGAAACTGAAATAGTATTATTATTTAATACATTAGATTTTGACTCTAGTAAATCTATGACATGTGCAGTTAAAAATGTTATGGTATTTGCTAGTGGTTATAAATCTTATTAAGGATCAAGCTACTTGTGATTAAAGTTTGTTGCCGATATTTTTTTCCATAGATACAAAGATCTTAGAATCAAACTAGTTTGTATATTTTAAAATTTCTTTTTCAATTATCCTGAATTACTACCTTCCTGATTAAGTTGTTAATCCACAGAATTGTTTTTTCCAAATAATTTTCCAGCATCCTTTTTTTATAATAAATGCAAATTAGTATCTATAATGTTAATAAAATTAATTAAAGTTACTTAAAGTTATATTAGAGCATCTATAGCTAAAAATCCTCTGTCACTAGTTATTCCAAGTATTAAATCAAAATATTCTTTTCTTATATTTTTTTCAATAAGTCCAAATTACTAAAGAATCTCAAATCCATTTTTGATCTTCCAAAAATAATTTATTATTAAAATTGAGAATTAAATCAAAAATATTTACAGGTGGATCCTTAATAACTTGATTGATTTCTTTCTACTGCAATTAATGTAAATTAGGTTTAAATATGCATAAAATCTTTAAAAGTTTAACTTAGCTTTCAGATACATTGAAAGTATAATTCATGAATTAACTGTAAAATAATTTTAATAAGTAAATAAATAAAGTAAAATACAATCAATATTTTACTTTATCAACTCTTCTTTTTAGTTAAATAAGAACTTCCAAGAATTATCAATAATGCAATTTATTGCTTCTATCACAAATTCGTTTTTTTCTTTATTTTTTCCTTCTTCAAGAAGGTGAGAATATTTATTTACAAATGATTGATCATTATTATCTTTTGCTCTTTTTACTTATTCTTTCATAACCTCTTTACACAATTTGAAAACAATTTTTTATAGCATAAATTTATTTTCCTCTCTATCTGGTGAAAGAAAAACTTATTCTGCTATATTAATCTTACAAGGATCAGTTTTTTAGCTTAGAATACTCCACTTTTTTTTTATTTTAAATAATAATTATTTATGATAATAAAAATTAAATTTATTTATTTATTTACACTATCAAATGAGTAAAGCATCTAATAAAAAATTTAATAGCATTGTGAATATTAAAATAGAGGAGAAAATTTTGTGATATCCAACATTGTATCAAGCCCTCCACTATATATATGTATTATATTCCTAATTACCCTAAATTAAACAAGTAAAAAGATAAATATTATGAACTATAATTTATAAAATATTAATTAATACTTTTTATTCGTTTCAGAATACTTAGTCAGAGACAGAAGGTTTTCAAAATCCTTGATTTCAGTATAGTATTTATCCAAAAAAACTTTAGAAAAAATTTTTAACAGCTTTGGACTTATGTTCATGCTTTCACAGATAGTAGATAAATCATTATCAATTCCGTCAAAGAATAAGGAAGCAATTTATAATAAAGACTTTTTATTGCTGTTCATAAATTAAGTAGCTTAAGAAATTTATCTAGTAAATTTTTCATTATCAGTATTTTTAGCAAACGAAGACCAAAGTGATCCTGATAACTAAAGTATGTTTACAAATAATTTTAGATCCTATTTTAAAAAATAATCTTTAGATTAAAATATTGCTACAAAATTTAAATTACTTCTTGATAGTATTGTATCATTACGCTATTGTTAAATAAGCACTCGTAATCCTATTTAAAGAATCCCAAAAGAGTTTGAGCATTAGGGGATTCTACAAACTCTAAATATGATTTTTCTTCTTATGATACTTCATCTCTTAATTACTCTTGCTACTCTGATTTATGAGAATTTAAATAAAAAAAATTCTCTGTAGAATCAGTTGTATATTGTGATCTATTTATAAATTTAATTATTAATTTTATTTAAAAATTTAAAATTATTTTGATTACTCAATAAAAGAATCAAACTCTTCTATTAGCCTATTCATGAATTATCTTGATTTCTCAGTTTTTACAGAATAGTTTAAGCTTGAGAAAAAGTTTAAGCTAAATCTCTTTATTTTTTATTCTTTAGGTTCTTTATTGGGTTCATTATTAGGTTCCTTAAGAATTAGTGATGGATCTTCTTTTGCTATTTATTAAATTATCTAACCAAAGTCTTAAAATATACTTTCGATCTATTCAATTTTTAAATTTTCTTTTTCATCATGATTTTTAAGTTCAATAAACTTTTTCCTAAAATCTGAATTAGCTATTGGCTTTACAGGAGAATGAGATAATATCTCATGGCCATCAATATTAAATCCACAGCATAAGCCCTTTATTATTTAAATAAAAATAAATTTAAATTTCTCTCTCATTATTCTCATAATTACATATTTAGATTAAAAAACTTATTTATAATTACTAAAAACTAATATGAACTTTTGATGGGGGTTTTTTCATTTTAAAATTTATTTTTCATATTATTTTTTTATTATTTTAAGTTATCATTTAGAAAATTCAGAGCAATTTTTATAATTTTTACTCAAACTTTTAAATACTTTGATGATAAAATCACTATTTTTTGTTTAATATGTTAAATTATATCAGAAAGAAAATAAATTTTGTTTATATACATAATCATTTATTTAATTATGTTTATTTCTAAATATTATTTAATTCATTGCTAACAAATAGCAATAATTATTTTTTAATAATTCAAAGTACTATATAAATATAATTGAAAAGTAAATAAGTAAGTAAGTAAATAAATAAATAATAATATTTACTATAATTGGATGCATGTAGAACTTTTAAAAGTTAGGATTATCCAACTTCATAAAATAAAAGATATCAAAAGTTGTTAATAGAAAATCAATTTCATAGCTGACTTAATTATAATGATCACATCCTTTATCATTAAATGAAAATAAAAACTTTCTGCTATCCTATAATTGTGTCAATGTGCTTATAAGAAGGAGTTAGACTATTCCATCTTATTATAGACTTTAAGAGAAGTGAGTAGCTTAATTTGCTTTTTTAGTACTTTTAGGTTATTTAAAGCACAATTTATCAACATTAGAATATAAATCATAAATAAAGTCATAATAATTCTACTTCCTATTTTTAGTATTCAAAATATTTAAATGAATTTTAAAAAGTTAAAATACTTACTCTATTTAATCCTTATAAATTCGAGCTGCTCTTTCAAATAATTTATTAATATCATCCTTTTAGTACTACTCTTTCTCTTTTTCATCTGTAATTGTATTAAATTCTTCTTCTGCTAAACAATTTAGTATAACCTAAGGAAATTAACAAGCCTATGCAAGCTCAGTTATTCTTATTTTTTATTAAAATATTTTAAGTTATAAATTAGTTTAAATTGTAAAATTACTTGTGGGCGTCTTTGGTAATTAAATGGTATAAATATTCTCCTAAAAATTAAACAATTTTTTTCCCAACCTCAATAAATTGTTATGTTTCACCTTGCTCAGAATACGTCTTATACATTTGTATGTAATACTCAAGGTAGGAGATAAATTCTTTTACAATAGTTGCTGTTTATCTTAGTTGAAGAATTAAGATGAGAGATATTGCTGGATTATTTTAATAATTTGTATCAAATTTGTAAGTGTAGTAATATCTTAAAATGTATTCATCCCAAGCACAAACATCTCCAGACATTAGCAAAATCCAAACTGGACTTAACTGAAGTTCTTTATATAGTAAATACATTGCATATTCAAATTTATTTGATTTTTCTATTTAGATAGCAGATGCACTTTTATTTTCTGATTACTATTAATCATTTGATCCTTCTTCTTCGTCTTCATCATCAAAATATTCATCATAATCTTAATTTTCTGATTTTTCTTTTTTCTTAACTAAAATTTCTTACTGATAAAGCAAATAAATACTCTAATATATTTTTTCGATTGGCAATTCACAACTTCTCTTCTAAATGACCCTTTATTTAAAATATAATAAATTTGTAAAAGCTTGATAAAGAAATAAATATTATACCCTATAAAACCTTAGAAAATAGATATTAATTATGGGTCTTTATCAGTCGCTTGCTGGAGTAAAGTGTTTTTATTAGCAAAAGCTTCAAGTAAAACAAAATTTTTAGTTAAACAGAAAATAAAAGAAGACCAATATGGTTTTATTTCAAATTTTTAATTTATTGTATTTTAGTTTAAAGAATTATATAATAACTTTCTATTGTCTTCTATATTTGCAAAATCATCAAAATCTTAATCGAGAAGTAAAAGATTCTGTAATGCTTCTACATTCACAGTAGAAGGCAAATTAAATGCTTCTTAAAGTTATTAAACTTCTTATATTTCAATCATTTTATAAAATAACTTTATGCAATTTTTAAGATCTTTTAACTCTAAGTTTATGTTTTTCAAGACTGAAATTACTGATGAGCTGTTTTTCATTTCTTCAAATGTTTTATTTATAGATTAATAGTCTTCAGCACTTTTTATTTAATAAATATACTAAAAGAATTCCACAATGTCAAGAGGGATATTGAGCTCTCTACTAAAAAAGGAAGTATTAATAGATTAACCTCTTTTTAAGTTGAGGTATTGCTCAACTTCTTTATCAGAAACAGTGACGTTATTTACAAAATTTTCTTATTATGTTTATGCTTCTTTAAAGGATAATTCTGTTTTATTTTTTACAATTTCCATATAAATCTATGTTTTTGTATTAGATTTTCCATCTGGAGCAACTTAATTTGATTTAATTCCTTATTAACTGAATTCTTTTATTAATCTCTGCTCTTGGTAATCGATCTATCTAAAAAGTTTGATAAGAGCAGAGGAAAATTGTTGTATATTGCTACAAAAAATTGCTTGGAATGCCTCAAAAAATTCTATTTTAATCTCTAATTATCTTGATAAGTATTGTTCAATTGAGAGCTTTAATGTGTTTTTTTTATTGCTTTAGTTGTCATTTATTTTTATAAATATTCCTTCTGCTCTACCCTCTAAATAACAAAACATACAAGCTATTAATAAAATATACTAATTGTCAGAGTCAGCTAAATATTGAAGAAGAATTTAAAGCTTGACAGAGCTTTTAGTGTTTGTAAACATGTTTACTAATCCTGAAACACCTAAGTAATTTTTTTCAGTAACACTATTTTAACTTTAAAGTATTAATTAAATAAATTCTTCTTTTTCTGAATTCATTTAAGAGTTAAATACAAACTTGATAAAGCTATTAATGCTTTTAGGGATTTCTTAGTTGGTGAGCTGCAACAAGAATTAAATAGTTTCCATATTTTATGGAATCTACATGTCTACAACTATGCTCTTAAGTAAAGGTATAGGAATTTTATTTTAGAAAAGTGTTTAATTTATTTTGGTAAGTTAATTTTAGTAATCATCTATTTCTTTCACGTTAAATACAGTATGGTTTATAAACTAACTATAATTAAGACCACTTATTTGCATCTAAAAGCAATCATTAAATTACCTATATTTAAAATGTTAATATAGTATACCACCAGTAAAAAAATAAATTTAATTTACTCGAATAGTTTATCATCAGGGCAAAATACTAATTATAAAAAAGACTATACTATTTTCTCGTCTAAATTAATAATCGTGGCAAGGTTTTAAACTTATTCTTTGAAAACAGAGGATGATGAAGTTAAATTTAAACTATTTAAATTTGTCAAAGATATTAGTTTTCCAAATAAATTTGCTGTTTTGCTATCAACACCTTATTCTTCTCCAATTTACAAATGTTTAATCAGCTGTGCAATTTATTAGTATGTGATTTATCCAATTTGTATATTATTCAACATGTAAGAAAATGCTTAATTTTTAAATTTAATATTTTTGATAAAATTGATGATATTAGCACTTTTGTTTTTTCCAACAGTATTGTTAGACATATATCCTTGGAAATCAGGGAAGTTTTTATCTAATATTTAGGTAATTTGTGACTCAAATAGATCAAAGTCATATTTTCCTCTTAAAAATTATAGAATTGTCTTAAAATCTTCAAAATTTATCTTTTTTAATGTTTCTTTTTTATTTTTTTCAAGAAACAAAAATTCTATTTTATCTTCAATATCTAATTCAATGAAAACTTCGTGAAGATCATAATCATCTGTAGACAAAACAAACACGATAAGTTGATTTAATCTTTTTTAAGCTTTCTTTTAAATCTACATTAATTTTTAAAATTATTCAATAAATTTAGAAATAGTAAATCAAACAATCAATTTTAACAAACAATAATTTTTTGCTAAAAAAAATTTTAAAAATTAATTAATATTATTAATTAAATAATTACCTTATATTAATTAAGAATCATTCTTATAAAACTTTAGTATTATGGCAATGTATTTTAGTTGAGCGTGAATTATATTAAACCAATTAAATCTTATGGGGACATCCTCATTTTTTTAGAAATGATTTAAAAATGATTTAATTGTGTAAGACTTTCCCAATCTGATTAATTTGTAAAATTTCCATGTTTACAAAATATAATTTTTAAAAAGAATTTCTAAAATTCCTTTGATACACCATAAATTCTTTGCGAACCTACCTGCATATTCTCTATTTAACCTATCTTATTGTTAAATAATTTCTCAAGTAAACACAGTAAATTTTATATAAGTATTAGCTTTTTTTATTATGCATTTCCTTTACTATTTCCTTTATTATCTAAAACAAGCTATATAAATTCAATCAATCTAAATAAGCCATTATCATCTTTGCATTTTTCTCTAACCCATTCTAATATATCTTTAATCACGTCAACTGGTATATTTTGTAAGTTACTTCTAAATCCTAAAATGAAGAAAACAACAATTGAAGACAGCTTTTTGACATCAGTTTTATCAGCGTTTTGACTTTCTTTAAAAATAGAAATAAATATTTCTCTCATTTGATTTACATCAGGAGTCTTCTACTCTTAATTAAATGAGCTAATAATCAAAAGAAGGAAGTCACAAAAATCAATTACACTAAATTTACAAACATCAAATTTATCCTCTATTTAAGAGTCTTAAATAAACTTTTTAAGCATTCTTAAAATTTCACTTCTTGACAATGATTTAAAATTTATAAAGACCTCTACTACTAAGCTCAATAGACTAGTAAATTTAGACATTTCTTTTAATTTAGGATAAACTGGCATAGATTGAAATTCTTATAAAATTTTCAAGAATTCTTTTAAAACTCCCTAAAATTATTTAATAATTTAAAAAAATAAATAAACTTAAAGAATGAAAATTATTTTTTTACTTCTAAATTTTATTTTTAGCCTTCATTAAATATATTATATACTCCATTAAACATAGTTTGTAATGCTTTTTATACTGTTTGCTAATTTATTTAAACTTCGCTCTTATTAAATTTTTTCAGCTTTTCTTGATATAGTTGTTTATAGTCATAACCTTCTCCACTCTTTTTTTGAGTATTAACTTCATTTTTCAAATTTTTATCTTCTGATTAAATTTAAATATAATTTTCTTTTGAGAAAGGGAATTTCTACAAAACCATAGTTGATATTAAGTAACTTACTTATTATAAAATAGCATTCTTTTTTTCTTACCTAGATTAAGTGTCTTATGACTAAAATTCAAATATTAATTTTAAGATAGGTCCTGATAAAATTTCTAGTTTTTATGTTAAATCCTTATCAGCTTTTTCTTTAAATTTGTTTTAGATTTCTAAATTTAAGTCTGATAGAACAGTTACTAATTCTGTTTTCAATCTTGTATTTTAACGGCTTAAAATAGTAAAAATTAGCTAAGTTAGACTCTGAGCCATGATAGGTAGGTATTATTTAAGCTAAATAGAAATTTTTTATTAAATTAAAAATATAAGAATAAATATTTAACTTATTATTCAAGCTATTGCTTGGCCTTTTCTTCTAATTTTCCCATAATACTTATTGCATATTATTTAGGATCTTATGCAATCTGTAGCATTTCATTACCAAGATGAGAAACAGCCTCAGGATCTCTAACCATAATCTCTAAATTATCTTATATATTTTCAGATTGCTTTGGATCTATTAGGCCATAATTTGCTGCCTCTTAGCATAGTGATTTTACTTGATCAGTCGGGACAAATTAATCAACTTTACCTCCAATATCTAATTTTTTTAACATATCTTTGAACTATTTCTCTGCTAACCCTTTCAAGTAATCTGTTAAAAGTTTTACTCCTTAATCTAATATCTGCTTTAGAATTCTTTTTTTATTTTCAAAAAATTTTTTGAGAATTTTTTTTTTTGAAAATATTAAATAAAATTTACTAATATTTTCTAGTAACTAAAGTAAGAAAAGTAGCAGCTGAAGTTGCATATGGTAAGAATGCATTTGGATTAATAATAGCACCTAAGATGAGCCATGTTCCTACTAAACTTAAATACACACCAACACCATATAAAACAAACAGAACAATTACCCACATTATCTTTGAAGTTAATTTTCTGATATAACTTGATTAATTATAATTTTAAAATTGCCTCTCTTAAGGGATTGTCATGAAGATATAATAATGAATTAAATCAAATGATGAAAGACCTAAGAAAATAAGAGATATAACAGTAATTGCAATAACTATACCAGTATCAGACATTAATTTGTAAGGGATAGACGAGGGCTCTTCTATAATATCATAGCTTTTTATAAAAAACAAATTATTATTGATTACAAAATTAAACATTTAAAAAATGATATTTTATTATTATTGAAATAATATTCATTTAGTTTAGTTAAATCTTTTTCTAATTTTATTGATTAATTTATGACTACCTAAATATAGCTTATTATTTTCAACAATTTTAGATAAAATTTCAAATCTTATATTTGTTATAAAATGTGATTTTGCCATTTAAAATGTTTAAAATTACTAAATCACTTGAGAATTATATAATTTTAAAAAAGTGCCAATCAATCTTTCAAATAAAAAATATTTGATTTTAAATTCATAACAAGACAAGAATAATAGTTTACCTGAAAATTAATCTCTGAATAGGAACTGAAGAATAATTGGATTGAAGTATTCTAATAAAAATAATCAGGATAATAAAAGGACATCCCAAAATAATAATTGATCCTAAGTGAGCTAAAACTGTCAAAGTATCATAAAACCACCAAAAATCTGGAGAAAATAACTCTTTCTTAACTTCTTCCATTTCCTCTGTTTTAAATTATTTTCCTTTCAGATTCTTTGAGAGTAGAAGCTTAAAGGTATTATTAACTCTATTTTTATCTACAATATACATAGTCTTATTTTTTTTAAGATCGTAGTTTGGATCTCTCTCTATCACTTATAATGGATCATATTTTGTTTCAACACCAAAGTCTCTTTATAATTAACCTTCGCTAATTGTTTATTTAGCAATATGATTCATCTCACAAAAATCCTAAATAAAGATAATATGTTAATATTGTTCATTTGATAAAAAAAGTACATTGTAATATTAGTCAAACGATATTGAATCAATTGTATCATTCGGAAATTTAGTAAGAGTGCATGAAGATTCTATAAAGAGTTACAAAGAATTTTTATTTTAAGTATCAGAGATGGATGCTATTTTTCCATTATATTTAATATAAGAATAAGACTGAATTAAAGCATCATATTTATTCATTATCTTAAAACCTCTTTTTTATAGGTAAATAACACTGTCTTCATCATCTAATTTTCTTTCAAGCACCTAATTTAGATAACAGTATTTTTCATACAGTCCTTTCAACTCAGATCCTACTATTGAATCTTTCTCTAAATTATGGATAATATCATCAGAAGCTTTTTCATTAATTTAAACCTTTTTAAAGAGCAATTTATAAAATTCACTGATAGAATTCTATCTAGCTTTTTAGAAAAGTATAACAACCTAATCAATATATGCACTCAAAGGAGGAGATAATAAGATTAAATTAAAAAACAACTTAAGAATTCCTTTTATGGAGTACTCTATTTTTATAGCTTCATTTTACTTAATTTATTCAGGTATTTACTATTTATTTTGTGTTATGATAAATAAAAATATATGGCTTGAATTTTAAAAATTATATAAATACTGCAGAATCTTCTTCTTTTTGTTCTTCAAGATCTTCATTACTATCTATTCCTCTTTCATTTTGATTTTATTGATTATTTAAAATCTAGGAATAGGTATCTATATTAGATATGTGATTGAGTAAATAGATGTAGTTAACATTTATTATGTAAACTATTGCAACTATTAGGACTAATCCTACTATGCATGCTAATATAAAGCTAACTATAATTGCTGCTTCTAATACTCCTATAATAATAAATTATAGTTATTTATTTATTAGTAAAAATGATAAAATATTACCGCTTTAGGATACATTCAATTAAGTTGTTGTAATATTGCCATCACTATTTTTATTAAAATCAATCCAATCGTCCACATAATTATCACTAAGAGATATTTCTCTTAAACTACTATATGTATCAGTTTACGTAAATTAGATTGGTGGCAAGCTGATTGAAGATTACCAAGCTAGAGAATAAATGAAATATGCAGAATTTTATTATGATTTAAACTATGATTTTAGCAATTCTTTTACTGAGTTAAGCCTCTTTTAGCTCAACGAATTTACAAAAGGACAAAATCCTGGTGCGAGAAAATATTAATCTTAATATCTTTAAGAATTAAGAAGATTTACCGTCAATGCCCCTAACCAATAAGGTTTAAAGTATGAATAAGCTGGATTATATGTTATCTTTAAATAAATATGATAAACTTTTAAAAATTTTATTCAATAAAAAAATTATTACTTGCCATTATTAGTAAGTATTTGACTCTATTTATGAAGATCCAAACCTCATAACAAAGATTGGATCATATACATTTGGATTACTTGCTGTTTCCATCTAGCTATTCAATCTGCTCTATGAATTATTTGAAAATGATATTGAATCTCCATTCTTTCCATAAATAGTTTGATCATAAACATACTATGCATTGAGGATCTAATCTGCTGCTTACCCTACTTTTTAAAGTACATTTATGAAAAGGTTACCAAATGTATTCTTAGCAATAAGATTTTGATTCCCTCCTATATTTGAAGGAATAGTAATAGAACCTGAAATACATCTCTCAGCTACCATGTTTTTAGGATCAAAATCAGTTGTTCCATAGGGAAATACTATTATTTAAAATATTTTAAGAATTTATAAATTCATAAATATGTTACCAAGAGTGCAGCTTGCTGGATTACTAGTAATCGTATTCAGTATAGGAGTTGAGGAATATGTTGAGACACAATAATACTTATTGGTTAGCTATACAGTTGCAGTAATACTCTATAAAGATTGTATAATTATATCACCCTCCGAAGTTTCTACAGAAGCTTTTGAAAATTAGAAGTTGTTAACTTCAAAATTTCCTTAGAAAGTCAAAAATGAAAAGTCCTAAATACATTTTTAAAATAAAAAACTATAAAATAAAATTCAAAATGTATTAAAGATAAACTTACTTATACTATTATGCTTGGTGAATTAAGATAGACTTAAGGTCCTTATATGCTTAATGAAGTAAAGGATATATTAGATGAATCTATTAAAATATCACATTGTTTATCTAAGCAATTGATTGTTAAACTACTCAATTAAGTCTTTTGGTATACATAGAATGCAATTTAACATGATTTATAATTTGCATTATTATCAAAAGAAAACGTCTTTTATGAGTTTGATTACTTATTTTATTTAAAAAAGATTAAATTAATCAATAAAAATATTTAGAGAGTTTACAGAAAATGAGTAATTTTTTTAGTAAGGCTATGGATTTGGAAACGAGTAGACCATCAGTATGTTTCCGTCAATCTAATCAGGTAGATATGTTCTTGAAAGGTAGTTTAAATCAATATTATCTTTTTTATTATAATCAATAATTTTGATAACACACCTATTTAATTGAATATTTATTTGATCGCTTTCATAAATTTAAATCTAACCTCTACTATAACCTAAACCATTAAAGAAAGCTATAAATAGAGCTATAGCAACCACTTCAATTGCTAGCAATAAAATTATTCTGAATAATTTTCTTTTAAACAGGATATTAAAGATGCTTTTTTAGAGTTTGGCTGTTTTTTTAAATATTTTTTTGTTGAACTATTTAAACTTTTTGATTGAATTCATTTATTTTTTGTCTTCTTTTTCTTAAATTATTAGTTCATTAGAAGAGACATCGGCCTCTTCATCTTACTAGTTTTCAAATTTATCTTAGGCCTAAGTATTCTAACCTGTTGGCTAATCAAGTGATTTAGTTTTTTAGACTGGAAAGATTTATTTACTGCTCTCTTCATTTTTTTAGCCTAAGTAGACTTCGTTTATATTCATCTCATGACTCAGCAATTTTTTCTTCTCAATTACCTAGTCAAAAGGAGAAGAATCTTTATCCAATTTGTTGCTTTTATATTCATTATTTGAATTACTACTGCTTTAAAAAACAAGCTCTTATTCAAATGTTTATGCTTTCTCTTTTTCCTTTTAATTCATCTTGAATATTATTAAACCTTCTTTTTCTAATCTTTTAGTTAATTGATTTTTAAATATTCTTCTCTTATTTAAGATTTCTTTATAAAAAAGTAAATTCAACAAACCATATAATAACTGATCAAGCAAAAGTTTCTATAAACAGATTATCATTCTTTTATCACATAGTTAAGAACATATATATAAAACATAATTTTTTATTTTAAAGCTTAAATTGATAATAAATTTTATTTAAATTTGTAGAAGTCTCTATTCTATAATTTACCTTCACTCACCAGTTTTTTAAATTATTTTTACATTAATTTTGTAAAATTTAAAAGAATTGCTTTATTAAAATGTTCTGAATAATTAGAAAGATAGAAAAATAAATTCTTTTGAATAAGTATCTTCAGTTTTGGAAATAAAGCTTTATATTGCTATTTGCAGCAAATTTTTTCTGTAGCTGAGAAGCTACATGTTAAAATAAATAAAAAAATAAATAAATTAATTAAATTTTTAATTTTATATAATTATATATTTATATATATATTTGTTTGCTTTTAAATTTAAAATAAATAATTTTAATTTTATTTTATAAAAATTAAATAATAAAATATAAATTTAATGTTAATTAATTTTATTTTTCTTATTTTATTTAATTAAATATTAATTAATTTATATATTAATAGATTGTGAAATCTATCATTATATTAATATTTTATTTTTAATTTGATTGTTTATTTATAAAAATATTTAATCATAAATTTGTTTTTGATGTGAAATATAAATTTTGATATCAAGCATTTAAGTATAAATTGAAATTTTTTCAATCTTTACATTAATTTAATTTAAAATAAAAAATTTACTTTAAAATAATCTGATTAAAAAATTAACTCAAACACAATAAATTAGTAATGGTAAGGAATTTTAAAAGACATCATATAATAATTAAGTTTTCTAAATAATAAGTTAAAATTAAAGTTAAAGTTTTTATTTTTAAATATTTGATGGTTTATTGCCAAAAAGTAATATGAATTATTCATTTTTTAAAAGAAAATGTTTTTTATTTTATCGATCATCTTATGTTAATCATTAATATTACTAAATATTTAGATGATTTATTTAAATGATAAAATTATATCTTTAATGAAAAAATATTTTTGATTTATAAATTTTTACTTTTTAATTAAAAAAAATCTTTTAGATTAATACATAAATTAAATATATCAAAGCTATTTTGAATTTAAAATCTGTTCTATCTCTTTTACCACATTTTTAATACTTTTTTCGTTCAAATTTTATGTTTTATCATCTTATGATGCAGCTGTAGCCGATGCTGCAGCCATTGGGATGATAGAATTTATGATAGCACCAAAAGTACCACCTAAAGTGAATGCTTATATTCCTAAAAATATGAACACAAATAATAAAACTAGTATTAGTACTAATGTGCCTAGAGATAATGCCAACAAAGCAGCAGATATTCCTAACTTCTCAAGTGACATACTAATTTTTTTAAGATTAACATATTCAAAGGCTCTTTCGAATTCATCTTCGCTTAATAAAAATTATTCTTTTTAGCTTGATAGTATGTTTTTCTTTTTGATTATTGCAAAAATTTCATTTGCTCTATGCTAACTAAGTGTAATACCTTGTATTTTATTTTAAAGAAGTATGCTAAAAAAAGTTAAAGAGGATTTATAATTTACCTATTCTATTCAAGAAAGTACAAAATGTATCAATATTAATCATTCCATTTTAACCTTCTTAGTTTACTAAAGATCTAAAAATATCCTAAATACTTATCTAAATTAATTATTTAAATTATTTTAATACAAATCAAGAAATTTTAATTACTTTTCCTTCATTCAGCCTTTTTAGAATATCTTTTGTTTAGTCATCTATAACTTATTAAGGAGTTGCTTTAATTTGTTCTAGAGAGCTACGATTTGAAAAGACTGCTAATTTTTAAGTCATAGTAACAAATTCTTATATTGTTTTCATATCATTCTAATTTAATAGATTAAACTAGCTAATTAAATTAAATATTTTTGAAATATCTCCTTAAAGAAGCCCAACCAAACTTTATACCTACTCTTAACTAATAAATTCCTCTCCAGAAACTTGAATTAGTAAGCTAAGATTTTAAACTACAGTTTAATCTTACAAACTTATAACAGGACGATTAAATATAGTAGAAAGCATTTTAAATATTAAATAAAATTGCTAACTAATTTATTTATCTTCATTTTTTATTTCTAAATAGTCTTTCAAGTTAGTCTCTTCCACTAAAAAAATAATCAAATCCTATATTAAATTAAATTAAGTGAAATAATTTCTTTAAATCAGCTTAAAATATTACCTTCACAATAACATCAACTTATTTTTATTTTTTTTTTCTTAAAGCACTAATAGAACTAATTATAAATTATGGCATTTCTTTTCCAGTGACTATGCTGAAACAATTTTAGCAAAATTATTTAAATTCTTCAAGTAGTTATTTATTTTTTTCCTCTTAGCTAATCTATAATTAATAAATTAGTATAATTTTAGTAAAATGATAGAAAAACTATGCAAAATTTTTTGAAGTTTCAGTGAATTTTCCATTTTATTATAATAATTAGAAAATAAATCTATTTTCTTTTTCTTTTTCTATAGCATCAGCGTTTTGAAAGTAGTCCTCTAATTTCTTTTCAGATTTTATTCCTGAAATGAAAAATCCGAGGATGCTTAACATAAACTATGGGACAGCGTGCGTGCTTCCAATTATTTCATAGATATCCGTTGAGAAAAATCTTGAAATAAAACAAGAAATATCGGATTCTGGTAAATTTTTTAAAATGCTAAAACTTAAACAAATATTTGCTACTGAAGTTTTATCAGAAGCTTTAATAACTTCTAAATCATCTAAAAAAGACATATTTTAAGATTTATACTTTAAAAACCTTTTTAATTTAAAATTAATTTTAAATTTGATTTATAAAAATAAATAAATAAATAAATAAATAAATAAACAAAAATAATTTTTAAACTTACGAATTGAATTGTTCAATTAGATTTTTATAATTTATATCTTCGTTATCTAAAGAAACTGAAATAGTATTATTATTCAATACATTAGATTTTGACTCTAATAAATCTATGACATGTGCAGTTAAAAATGTTATGGTATATGCTAGTGGTTTTAAAACTTCAGGAGATTTAAGTTTCTCATGATTAAAGTTTGTTGCTGACATTTTTTTCCATAGATATAAAGATCTTAGAATCAAACTAGTTTGTATGTTTTAAAATTTCTTTTTCAATTATTCTGAATTACTACCTTCCTGATTATTTTTTCCAAAAAATTGTGCAGCATCCTTTTTTAAATATAAACCCAAATTAGTGTCTATAATGTTAATATAGTTAATATAATTACTTAAAGTTGTATTAGAGCATCTATAGCTAAAAATCCTCTATCACTAGTTATTCCAAGTATTAAATCAAAATATTCTTTTCTTATATTTTTTTCAATAAGTCCAAATTACTAAAGAATCTCAAATCCATTTTCGATCTTCCAAAAATAATTTATTATAAAAATTGAGAATTAAATCAAAAATATTTACAGGTGGATCCTTAATAACTTTGTTGATTTCTTTCTGCTGCAATTAATGTAAATTAGGTTTAAATATGCACAAAATCTTTAAAAGCTTAACTTAGCTTTCAGATATATTGAACGTATAATTCATGAATTAGCTGTAAAATAATTTTAATAAGTAAATAAATAAATAAAGTAAAATACAATCAATATTTTACTTTATCAACTCTTCTTTTTAGTTAAATAAGAACTTCCAAGAATTATCAATAATGCAATTTATTGCTTCTATCACAAATTCGTTTTTTTCTTTATTTTTTCCTTCTTCAAGAAGGTGAGAATATTTTTTTACAAATGATTGATCATTATTATCTTTGGCTCTTTTTACTTATTCTTTCATAACCTCTTTACACAATTTGAAAACAATTTTTTATAGCATAAATTTATTTTCCTCTCTATCTGGTGAAAGAAAAACTTATTCTGTTATATTAATCTTACAAGGATCAGTTTTTTAGCTTAGAATACTCCACTTTTGATTTTAAAAAATTATTATTTAAGATTATAAAAATGTAAATTAATTTATTTATTTACTATATCAAAAGAGTAAAGCATCTAATAAAAAATTTAATAACATTGTGAATATTGAAATAGAGGAGAGAATTTTGTGATATCCAACATTGTGTCAAGCTAACCACTATATATATGTATTATATTCCTAATTACCCTAAATTGAAATAGTAAAATGATTAATATTATAAATTATAATTTGTAAAATATTAATTAATACTTTTTATTCGTTTCAGAATACTTAGTTAGAGACAGAAGGTTTTCAAAATCCTAGATTTCAGTATAGTATTTATCCAAAAAAACTTTAGAAAAAATTTTTAACAGCTTTGGACTTATGTTCATGCTTTCACAGATAGTAGATAAATCATTATCAATTCCGTCAAATAACAAGGAAGCAATTTATAATAAAGATTTTTTATTGCTATTCATAAATTAGGTGGCTTAAGAAATTTATATAGTAAATTTTTCTTTATCAGTATGTTTAGCAAACGAAGACCAAAGTGATCCTGATAGCTAAAGTATGTTTACAAATAGTTTTAGATCCTATTTTAAATAATAATCTTTAGATTAATATGTTGCTCCAACATTTAAATTACTTCTTGATAGTATTGTATCATTATGCTATTGTTAAATAAGCACTCGTAATCTTATTTAAAAAATCCCAAAAGAGTTTGAGCGTTAGGGGATTCTACAAACTCTAAATATGATTTTTCTTCTTTTGATACTTTATCTCCTAATTACCCATAAAATTCCTTTTACTAATCTGATTTATGAGAATTTAAATAAAAAAAATTCTCTGTACGATCAGTCGTATATTATGATCTATTTATAAATTTAAGTTTTAAGTTTATTTAAAAATTTAAAATTATTTTGATTACTCAATAAAAGAATCAAACTCTTCTATTAGCCTATTCATACATTATCTCCATTTATCAGGTTATTCAGAATAGTTTAAGATTGAGAAAAAGTTTGAGCTAAATTTCTTTATCTTTTATTCTTTAGGTTCATTATTAGGTTTTTTAAGAATTAGTGATGGAGCTTCTTTTGCTATTTTTTAAATTATCTAACCAAAATCCTAAAATATACTTTCAATTTATTAAATTTTTAATTTTTCTTTATCATCATGATTTTCAAGTTCTTTAATAAAATCTGAATTAGCTATTGGCTTTACAGGAGAATGAGATAATATCTCATAGCCATCTAAATTAAATCCACAGCATAAGCCCTTTATTATTTAAATAAAAACGAATTTAAATTTCTCTCTCATTGTTCCCATAATTACGTATTTAGATTTTTAAAAATTTATTTATTATTAAAAACTAATTTGAATTATAGGTTTTTTAATTTTAAAATTCATTTTTCAAATAAAATTTTATAAACTCACTATTTTTCGTTTAATATGTCAAAATATATCAGAAAGAAAATAAATTTTGTTTATATACATAATCTTTAATTTAATTATGTCTATTTCTAAATATTATTTAAATCATTACTTATAAATAGCAAAAATTATTTTTTAATAATTCAAAGTGTTATAAGATTTAATTGAGAAGTAAATAAGTAAATAAATAAATAAATAAATAATAATATTTACTATAATTGGATGCATGTAGAATTTTTAAAAGTTAGGATTATCCAACTTCATAAAATAAAAGATATCAAAAGTTGTTAATAGAAAATCAATTTCATAGCTGACTTAATTATAATGATCACATCCTTTATCATTAAATGAAAATAAAAACTTTCTACTATCCTGTAACTATGTCAATGTGCTTATAAGAAGGAGTTAGATAATTCCATCTTATTATAGACTTTATGAGAAGTGAGTAGTTTAATTTGCATTTTTAGTACTTTAAGGTTATTTAAAGCACAATTTATCAACATTAAAATATAAATCATAAATAAAGTCATAATAATTCTACTTCCTATTTTTAGTATTGAAAATATTTAAATGAATTTTAAAAAGTTAAAATACTTAATTTAATCCTTATAAATTCGAGCTGCTCTTTCAAATAATTTATTAATATCATCCTTTTAGTACTACTCTTTCTCTTTTTCATCTGTAATTGTATTAAATTCTTCTTCTGCTAAACGATGTAATATAACCTAAGGAAATTAACAAGCCTATGCAAGCTCAGTTACTCTTATTTTTTATTAAAATATTTTAAGTTATAAATTAGTTTAAATTGTTAAATTACTTGTGGGCATCTATGGTAATTAAATTGTATAAATATTATCCTAAGTATTAAATAATTTTTTTTCCAACCTCAATGAATTTTTAGGTTTCACCTTTCTCAGAATACGTCTTATATATTTGTATGTAATACTCAAGGTAGGAGATAAATTCTTTTACAATAGTTGCTGTTTATCTTAGTTGAAGAATTAAGATGAGAGATATTGCTGGATTATTTTAATAATTTGTATCAAATTTGTAAGTGTAGTAATATCTTAAAATGTATTCGTCCCAAGCACAAACATCTCCAGACATTAGTAAAATCCAAACTGGACTTAACTGAAGCTCTTTATATAGTAAATACATTGCATATTCAAATTTATTTGATTTTTCTATTTGGATAGCAGATGCACTTTTATTTTCTGATTCAAAATATTCTTCATAATCTTAATTTTTTGATTTTTCTTTATTCTTAACTAAAATTTCTTACTGATAGAGCAAGTAAATACTCTAATATATTTTATCGATTGGTAATTCACAACTTCTCTTCTAAATGACCCTTTATTTAAAAAAATATCAAATTTGTAAAAGCTTGATAAAGAAATAAATGTTATACCCTATAAAACCTTAGAAAATAGATATTAACTATGGGTTTTTACCAGTTGCTAGCTGGAGTAAAGTGTTTTTATTAGCAAAAGCTTCAAGTAAAACAAAATTTTTAGTTAAGCATAAAACAAAAGAAGACCAATATGGTTTTATTTCAAACTTTTAATTTATTGTATTTTAGTTTAAAGAATTATATAATAACTTTCTATTGTCTTCAATATTTGCAAAATCATCAAAATCTTAATCGAGAAGTAAAAGATTCTGTAATGCTTCTACATTCACAGTAGAAGGCAAATTAAATGCTTCTTAAAGCTATTGAACTTCTTATATTTCAATCATTTTATAAAATAATTTTATGCAATTTTTAAGATCTTTTAACTCTAAGTTTATGTTTTTCAAGACTGAAATTACTGATGAGCTGTTTTTCATTTCTTCAAATGTTTTATTTATAGATTAATAATCTTCAGCACTTTTTATTTAATAAATATACTAGAACAATTCCACAATGTCAAGAGGGATATTGAGCTCTCTACTAAAAAAGGAAGTATTTATAGATTAACCTCTTTTTAAGTTGAGGTATTGCTCAACTTCTTTATCAGAAACAGTGACGTTATTTACAAAATTTTCTTATTATTTTTACACTTCTAAAAAGGATAATTCTGTTTTATTTTTTACAATTTCCATAAATATCTATGTTTTTGTATTAGATTTTCCATCTGGAGCAACTTAATTTGCTTTAATTCCTTATTAACTGAATTCCTTTATAAATCTCTGTTCTTGGTAATCAATTTATCTAAAAAGTTTTATAAGAGCTGAGGAAAATTATTTTATATTGCTACAAAAAATTGCTTGGAATGCCTCAAAAAATTCTATTTTAATCTCTAATTATCTTGATAAGTATTGCTCAATTGAAAGATATAATTTGGTTTTATTATTGCTTTAGTTGTCATTTATTTTAATAAATATTCCTTCTGCTCTACCCTCTAAATAGCAAAACATACAAGCTATTAATAAAATATACTAATTGTCAGAGTCAGCTAAATATTGAAGAAGAATTTAAAGCTTGACAGAGCTTTTAGTGTTTGTAAACATATTTACTAATCCTGAAACACCTAAGTAATTTTTTTCAGTAACATTATTTTAACTTTAAAGTATTAATGAAATAAATTCTTCTTTTTCTGAATTCATTTAAGAGTTAAATACAAACTTGATAAAGCTGTTAATGCTTTTAGGGATTTCTTAGTTGGTGAGCTGCAACAAGAATTAAACAGTTTCCATATTTTATGGAATCTACATGTCTACAACTATACTCTTAAGTAAAGGTACAGGAATTTTATTTTAGAAAAGTGTTTAGTTTATTTTGGTAAGTTAATTTTAGTAATCATCTATTTCTTTCACGTTAAATACAATATGGTTTATAAACTAACTATAATTAAGGCCGCTTATTTGCATCTAAAAACAATCATTAAATTACCTATATTTAAAATGTTAATATATTATTCTACCAATAAAAAAATCAATATAATTTACTCGAATAGTTTATCATCTGGGCAAAATACTAATTATAAAAAAGACTATACTACTTTCTCGTCTAGGTTAATAACGTTGGCAAGGTTTTAAACTTATTCTTTGAAAACAGAGGATGATGAAGTTAAATTTAAACTATTTAAATTTGTCAAAGATATTAGTTTTCCAAATAAGTTTGCTGTTTTGCTATCAACTCCTTATTCTTCTCCAATTTACAAATGTTTAATCAGCTGTGCAATTTATTAGTATGTGATTTATCCAATTTATATATTATTCAACATGTAAGAAAATGCTTAATTTTTAAATTTAATATTTTTGATAAAATTTATGATATTAGCACTTTTATTTTTTTCAAAAGTATTTTCAGGGAAGTATTTTTTTAATATTTCGGTAATTTGTAACTCAAATAGATCAAAGTCATATTTTCCTCTTAAAAATTATAGAATCGTTTTAAAATCTTCAAAATTTATCTTTCCTAATTTTTCTTTTTTATTTTTTTCTAGAAAAAAAAATTCTATTTTATCTTCAATATCTAATTCAATGAAAACTTCGTGAAGATCATAATCATCTGTAGACAAAACAAAGACAATAAGTTGATTTAATATTTTTTAAGCTTTCCTTTAAATCTACATTAATTATTAAAATTAATCAATAAATTTAGAAATAGTAAATCAAACAATCAATTTTAACAAACAATAATTTTTTTCTAAAGAAATTAAAAAAATTAATTAATATTATTAATTAATTACCTTGTATTAATTAAGAATCATTCTTACAAAACTTTAGTATTATGGCAATGTATTTTAGTTGAGCATAAATTATATTAAACCAATTAAATCTTCTGGGGACATCCTCATTTTTTTAGAAATAATTTAAAAATGATTTAATTGTGTAAGACTTTCCCAATCTGATTAATTTGTAAAATTTCCATGTTTACAAAATATAATTTTTAAAAAGAAATTCTAAAATTCTTTTGATACACCATAAATTCTTTGTGAACCCACCTGCATATTCTCTATTTAACCTATCTTATTGTTAAATAATTTCTCAAGTAAACACAGTAAATTTTATATTAGTACTAGCTTTTTTTATTATGTATTTCCTTTACTATTTTCTTTATTATCTAAAACAAGCTATATAAATTTAATCAATGTAATTAACTTAAGATCATCTTTACATGTTTCTCTAACCCATTCTAATATATCTTTAATCACGTCAACTGGTATATTTTGTAAGTTACTTCTAAATCCTAAAATGAAGAAGACAACAATTGATGACAGCTTTTTGACATCAATTTTATCTGCATTTTGACTTTCTTTAAAAATAGAAATAAATATTTCTCTCATTTGATTTACATCAGGAGTCTTCTACTCTTAATTAAATGAGCTAATAATTAAAAGAAGGAAGTCACAAAAGTCAATAACACTAAATTTACAAACATCAAATTTATCTTCTATCTAAGAGTCATAAATAAACTTTTTAAGCATTCTTAAAATGTCACTTCTTGACAATTATTTATAATTAATAGAGACCTCTACTACTAAGCTTAATAGGCTAGTAAATTTAGATATTTCTTTTAATTTAGGATAAACTGGCATAGATTAAAATTCCTACAAAATTTTCAAGAATTCTTTTAAAACTCCCTAAAATTAATTAATAAAATAAAAAAAAAAAATAAAATTAAAGAATGTAAATTATTTTTTTACTTCTAAATTTTATTTTTAGCCTTCATTAAAAATATTATATATTCCATTAAACATAGTTTGTAAAGCTTTTTAGACTGTTTGCTAATTTATTTAAACTTCAGGCTTATTTAATTTTTTAAGTTTTTCTTGATATAGTTGTTTATAGTCATAAACTTCTCCACTCTTTTTTTCAGTATTCGTTTGGTTTTTCAAATTTTTATCTTCTGATTAAATTTAAATATAATTTTCTTTTGAGAAAGGGAATTTTTACAAAACCATAGTTGATATTAAGTAACTTACTTATTATAAAATGGCATCCATCTTTTCTTACCTAGATTAGTTGTCTTATGATTAAAATTCAAATAATAATTTTAAGATAGGTCCTGAAAAAATTTCTAGTTTCTATGTCAAATCCTTATCAACTTTTTCTTTAAATTTGTTTTAGATTTCTAAATTTAAGTCTGATAGAACAGTTACTAATTATGTCTTCATTCTTGTATTTTAACGGCTTAAAATAGTGAAAATTAGCTAAGTTAGACTCTGAGCCATGATAGGTAGGTATTATTTAAGCTAAATAGAAATGTTTTATGAAATTAAATATATAATATTAAATATTTTACTTATTATTCAAGCTATTACTTTGCCTTTTCTTCTAATTTTCCCATAATACTTATTGCATATTATTTAGGATCTTATGCAATCTGCAGCATCTCATTACCAAGATGAGAAACAGCCTCAGGATCTCTAACCATAATCTCTAAATTATCTTATATATTTTCAGAGAGCTTTGGATCTATTAGACCATAATTAGCTGCCTCTTAGCATAGTGATTTTACTTGATCTGTTGGGATAAATTAATATATTTTACCTCCAATATCTAATTTTTTTAACATATCTTTAAACTATTTCTCTGCTAATCCTTTTAAGTAATCTGTTAAAAGTTTTACTCCTTAATCTAATATCTGCTTTAGAATTCTTTTTTTAATTTCAAAAAATTTTTTGAGAATTTTTTTTTTTTGAAAATATGAAATAAAATTTACTAATATTTTCTAGCAACTAAAGTAAGAAAAGTAGCAGCTGAAGTTGCATATGGTAAGAATGCATTTGGATTAATAATAGCACCTAAGATGAGCCATGTGCCGATTAAACTTAAATACACACCAACACCATATAAAACAAACAGAATAATTACCCACATTATCTTTGAAGCATATTTTCTGATATTGCTTGATTAGTTATAATTTTAAAATTGCCTCTCTTAAGGGATTGTCATGAAGATATAATAATGAATTAAATCAAGTGATGAAAGACCTAAGAAAATAAGAGAGATAATAGTAAATGCAATAACTATACCAGTATCAGACATTAGTTTGTAAGGGATAGATGTGGGCTCTTCTATAATATCATAGCTTTTTATAAAAAACAAATTATTTATTATTGACTAACAAATTAAGCATTAAAAAAATGATATCTTATTTTTATTAAAATTATATTCATTTAGTTTAGTTAAATCTTTTTCTAATATAATTTATTAGCTTTCAAATAAAAAATATTTAATTTTAAATTCATAACAAGACAAGAATAATAGTTTACCTGAAAATTAATCTCTAAATAGGAACTGAAGAATAATTGGATTGAAGCATTCTTATAAAAATTAACAGGATCAAAAAAGGACATCCCAAAATAATAATTGATCCTAAGTGAACTAAAACTGTCAAAGTATCATAAAACCACCAAAAATCTGGAGAAAATAACTCTTTCTTAACTTCTTCCATTTCCTCTGTTTTAAATTATTTTCCTTTCAGATTCTTTGAAAGTAGAAGCTTAAAGGTATTATTAACTCTATTTTTATCTACAATATACATCGTCTTATTTTTTTTAAGATCGTAGTTTGGATCTCTCTCTATCACTTATAATGGATCATATTTTGTTTCAACACCAAAGTCTCTTTACAATTAACCTTCGCTAATTGTTTATTTAGCAATATGATTCATCTCACAAAAATCCTAAATAAAGATAATATGTTAATATTGTTTATTTGGTAAAAAAATTACGTTGTAATATTAGTCAAACGATATTGAATCAATTGTATCATTCGGAAATTTAGTAAGAGTGCATGAAGATTCTATAAAGAGCTATAAAGAATTTTTATTTTAAGTATCAGAGATAGATGCTATTTTTCCATTATATTTAATATAAGAATAAGACTGAATTAAAGCATCATATTTATTCATTATCTTAAAACCTCTTTTTTATAGGTAAATAACACTGTCTTCATCATCTAATTTTCTTTCAAGCACCTAATTTAGATAACAGTATTTTTCATACAGTCCTTTCAACTCAGATCCTACTATTGAATCTTTCTCTAAATTATGGATAATATCATCAGAAGCTTTTTCATTAATTTGGACCTTTTTAAAGAGCAATTTATAAAATTCACTGACAGAATTCTATCTAGCTTTTTAAAAAACTAAAACAACCTAATCAATATATGCGCTCAAAGGAGGAGATAATAAGATTAAATTAAAAAACAACTTAAAAATTCCTTTAATGGAGTACTCAAATTTTATAGCTTCATTTTACTTAATTTATTCAGGTATTTACTATTTATTTTATTTTATGATAAATAAAAATTTATGGTTTGAATTTTAAAAATAATATAAATTAAATAAATACTGAAGATTCTTCTTCTTTTTGTTCTTCAAGATCTTCACTACTATCTATTCCTTTTTCATTTTGATTTTATTGATTATTTAAAATCTAGGAATAGGTATCTATGTTAGATATGTGATTGAGTAAATAGATGTAGTTAACATTTATTATGTAAACTATTGCGATCATTAGGATTAATCCTACTATGGATGATAATATAAAGCTAACTATTATTGCTGCTTCTAATGCTCCTATATGTATAAATAATAGTTATTTATTTATTTGCAAAAAAGATAAAACATTACCGCTTTATGATACATTCAAATAAGTTGTAGAAATATTGCCATCACTATTTTTATTAAAATCAATCCAATCGTCCACATAATTATCACTAAGAGATATATCTCTTAAACTACTATATGTATCAGTTTACGTAAATTCGATTGGTGGCAAGCTGATTGAAGATTACCAAGCTAGAGAATAAATGAAATATGCAGAATTTTACTATGATTTAAACTATGATTTTAGCAATTCTTTAACTGCATTAAGTCTCTTTTAGCTCAATGAATTTACATATGGACAAAATCCTGGTGCGAGAAAATATTAATCTTAATATTTTTAAGAATTAAGAAGATTTACTGACAATGCCCCTAACCAATAAGGTTTAAAGTATGAATAAGCTGGATTGTATGTTATCTTTAAATAAAAATGATAAACTTTTTAAAATTTTATTCAATAAATAAAATTATTACTTGCCATTATTAGTAAGTATTAGACTCTATTTATGAGGAACCAAACCTCATAACAAAGATTGGATCATATACATTTGGATTACTTGCTGATTCCATCTAGCTATTCAATCTGCTCTATGAATTATTGGAAAATGATATTGAATCTCCATTCTTTCCATAAATAGTTTGATCATAAACATACTATGCATTGAGGATCTAGTCTGCTGCTTACCCTACTTTTTAAAGTACATTTATGAAAAGGTTACCAAATGTATTCTTTGCTATGAGGTTTTGATTTCCTCCTATATTAGAAGGAATAGTAATTGAACCTGAAATACATCTCTCAGCTATCATGTTTTTAGGATCAAAATCAGTTGTTCCGTAGGGAAATACTATTATTTAAAATATTTTAAGAATTTATAAATTCATAAATATTTTACCAGGAGTACAGCTTGCTGGATTACTAGTAATAGTATTCTATATAGGAGTTGAAGAATATGTTGAGACACAATAATATTTATTGGTTAGCTATACAGTTGCAGTAATACTCTATAAAGATTGTATAATTATATCACCCTCCGAAGTTTCTACAGAAGCTTTTGAAAATTAGAAGTTGTTAACTTCAAAATTTCCTTAGAAAGTCAAAAATGAAAAGTCCTAAATAAGTTTTTTAAATAAAAAACTATAAAATAAAATTCAAAATTTATTAAAGATCAACTTACTTATACTATTATGCTTGGTGAATTAAGGTAGACTTAAGGTCCTTATATGCTTAATGATGTAAAGGATATATTAGATGAATTGATTAAAATATCACATTGTTTATCTAAACAATTGATTTTTTAAACTACTCAATTAAGTCTTTTAGTATACATAAAATGCAATTTCACATGATTTATAATTTGCATTATTATTAAGTGTAAACCTCTTTTATGAGTTTGATTACTTATTTTATTTAAAAAAGATTAAATCAATCAATAAAAATATTTTGAGAGAGTTTACAGAAAATGAGTAATTTTTTTAGTAAGGCTATGGAGTAGGAAACGAATAGACCATCAGTATGTTTCCGTCAATCTAAGCAGGTAGATATGTTCTTGAAAGGTAGTCATTCTTATCTTTTTTATTATGGTCAATAATTTTGATAACACACCTATTTAATTGAATTTCTATTTGATCACTTTCTTAAATTTAAATCTAACCTCTACTATAACCTAAACCATTAAAGAAAACTATAAATAGTCCTATAGCAACAACTTCAATTGCTAACAATAAAATTATTCTGAATAATTTTCTTTTAAACAGGATATCATAAATGCTTTTTTAGAGCTTGGCTGTTTTTTTAAATGTTTTTTTGTTGAACTATTTAAACTTTTTGATTGAATTCATTTATTTTTTGTCTTATTTTTGTTCATCCATTAGTCCATTAGAAGTGACATCTGCCTCTTCATCTTACTAGTTTTCAAATTTATCTTAGGTCTATATATTCTAACCTGTTTGCTATATATACAAACCTGTTGGCTATGTATTCTAACCTGTTGGCTAATCAAGCGATTTAGTTTAAATTCGATTGATTTATTTACTGCTATCTTCATTTTTTTAGCCTACATAGGGTTCATTTTTATTCAAAAGATGATCTAGTAATTTTATATCCTCACTTATCTAGTCATAATTACAAGAATCTTTATCCATTTTTTTGCTTTTATATTCATTATTTGAATTGCTACTCCTTTATAAAACAAGTTCTTATTCAAATGTTTATGCTTTCTCTTATTCCTACAAATTCATCTTGAATTTTATTAAACCTTCTTTTTCTATCTTTTTAATTAATTGATTTTTTAATATTCTTCTCTTAATTAAGATTTATATGTAAAAAAAGTAGATTCCACAAACTATATTAATAACTGATCGATCAAGCAAAAGTTTCTCTAAACTTCTTTTTTATCACATAATTAAAAACATATAAACATAAAAGTTTATTTTAAAGCTTAAATTGATAATAAATTTTATTTAAATTTGTAAAAGTATCTTTCCTAAATTTACCTTCTCTTACCAGTATTTTAAAATACTTTTATTTTTACTTTGCAAAATTTAAAAGAATTGCTTATTAAAATTTTCTGAATAATTAGAAAGATAAAAAAATAAATGTTTTTGAATAAGTTCTTGGAAATAAAGCTTTATAAATATAAATTATATTTCTATTAATAATTTTCCCACCTATTCAGCAATATCTTTTTAAGATTTGAATCAAAATTTAAATTTATTCAATTATTTTTCTAATTACCGTACATTCTCATTAATTAAGGCAAGTTAATAAAAAAAATATTTTTATCAAACATAGCCTTATTTTTAAAAATATTTAATTTAATCCTTATTTTAAATAAAAGTTTTTATTGAATAAATACATTTTATTTTTTTGTATTCTATTTAAAATTTCAAAAAAAACTACATTTTTAACATGAAAAAATAAAATAATATTTTTATTAATAAATAAATTTAAGAATATCAAAGTTATTTTGAATTCAAAATTTATTCTGTCTCTTTTATAACATTTTAAATATTTTTTTCGTTCAAATTTGAGGATTTATCTTCTTAAGATGAAGCTGCTCCTGTTGCAGCAGCCATAGGAATTATAGAGTTTATAATAGCGCCAAATGTTCCACCTAAGGTAAAGGCTTGAATCCCTAAAAATATGAACACAAATAATAAAACAAGTATTAATATTAATGTGCCTAGAGATAATGCTAACAAAGCAGCAGATATTCCTAATTTTTCTAAGGACATGCTAATTTTTTTAGTATTGACATACTCAAAAGCCCTTTCAAATTCTTCCTCACTTAGTAAGAATTATTACTTTTAGCTTGAAAGGGTACCTGTCTTTTTGATAATAGCAAAAATTTCATTCGCTCTATGTTAACTGAGATAAATACCTTTTTTTTATATATAAAAAATAGTTAAAGGTTAAATTAAATGAAATTATATTTACCTATTCTATTTATGAAAGTACAAAATGTATCAATATTAATCATACCATTCTACCCTTCTTAACTTACTAAAGCTCTGAAAATATCCTAAACATTTATCTAAATAATTTATTTGATTAATTATTATCTTGAAATAGAATGCAAATTAATTACTTTTCCTTCATTTAATCTTTTAAGAATATCTTTCGTTTAGTCATCTAAAACTTTTTAAGGAGTAATTTTAATTTATTCTAGAGAGCTACGGCTTTGAAAAACTGCTAATTTTTAAGTCATAGAAACAAATTCTTAAACTGTTTTTAAATCATTCTAATTTAATAGATTAAATTAGCCAATTAAAGTAAATATATTTGAAATGTCTCCCTAAATAAGCCCAATCATACTTTTTACTAACTCTTAACTAACAAATTATTCTCCAGCAATAAGAATTAACTAAGTAAGACTTTGAACTATAGTCTAATCTTATAAGGTTATTGTTGGACTATTAAATATTGTCAAAAGCAATTTGAAAATTAAATAAAATTTCTGACTTATTTAATTGTCATCTTTATTAATATTTAAATATTCTTTTAATTATGATTTCTTCACTAAAAAGTAGATTAAATCCTATTTTTATTTAATATTTAAAACTATAATTTACATAATAATTTAGAATTTTTTATTACTTTTAGAATCTTTTCTGAATTTTTTGTTTCTCCAGATTATAAAATGTTAAATGCATCTTTTAAAAACTATGGTACACCTGTATTAGTAACTATATTGAAACATGTTTCCAAAAAGTTTAAGAAATCTTAGTTTAATTATTTATTTTTTTCTTCTTTACTGATTTGCAATTAATAAGTCAAAATAATTTTAGTAAAATAATAAAAAAACTTAGAAAAGTTTTTAGAAGTTTCATCAAATTGTCCATCTTTTTAAAATAACTAGTAAAAAAAGCTATTTTAGTCTGTGCTTAAAAAGTAGTTTTCAAATCCGTGAGCATTCTATCCTTGAATAAAGAATTCGAGAATTTACATCATAAATTCAGGGATAGGGTGTTTTTTTCCAATAACAGTGTATATATCAGCTATAAAAAATGTAGTAAGATAACTAGAAATATCGGTAGAAGATAATTAGTCAGCAAAATAACAATAACTCTAAACGACATTCGCGATTGAAGTTTTATCGGAGGTTTTAACTACTTCTAGATCATCAATAAATGAAATATCATAAGATGCATTTTCTAAATATCTGTTTTATATAAAATAATAATTTTGAAATAAAAAAATCTTATCTTATTAAGTAAATTTTTATTTTAGATATCAACTTATAATGGTAATAATTAAGTTTACGAGTTAAATTGCTTAATTAGGTTTTTGTAATTATAATCTCCTTTATCCATAGAAACTGAAATAGTATTATTGTTTTATACATTAGCTTTAGACTCCAATATATCAACAATATGAGCTGTTAAAAATGTTAAAGTGTTAGCTATTTATTATAGAATCTCCTCATCTTTAAGTTTCTAATGAGTACAATTAGTTGCTGATATTTTTTTCCACAAATAGAGAGATTTTAAAATTAAACTAGAATGTATATTTTAATATTTATTTTTTATTTAATCTTATTCTCCCTCCTCATTAAAAATTTTTGAAGAGTTTTATCCAAAAACTTTGTCAGCATCCTAGATTTAAAAAAAAAAATGAATTTTTATAAAATGAGTTTTTTTAGTTACTTATAGCGAAATTAAAGAATTTAAAGCTAAGAGTCCTCTCTAACTTGTTATACCAAGTATCAAATCAAAATATTATTTTCTAATATCTTTTTGAATTAGTCCGAATTACTAAAGAGTCTCAAATCCTTTTTTAATCTTCAACAAAAATTAATAATTTAAAACTTAAAAAAATACTTACTGAGGGATCTTAAATAATTGAATTTATTTCTTTCTGCTGTAATTTATGCAAATTAGGTTTAAATATTGTCAATACTTTAAAAAGCTTAACTTAGTTTTCGGATAAATTAAAAGCATAACTCATAAATTAGCTATAAAAAATTGCAAATAAATTAAATAAATTTGAACAAATAAATTTTACTTTATGAGCTCTTCTTTTTTTTCGAATAAGAACTTCCACGAATTATCAATGATATTATTCATAGCCTGGATCATAAATTCGTTTTTCTCTTTGTTTTTTTCTTCTTCTAGAAGATGAGAATATTTTTATACAAATAATTAATCATTTTTACTTTTTGCTTTTTTAACTTATTCTTTAATAACCTCTTTACATAGTCTAAAAACTATTTTTTACAACATTAATCTATTTTCTTGACTATCTGGCGAGAGTAAAATTAAGTTTGCTATATTTATTTTATTAGGTTCAGTCTTTTAGCTTTATATACTCAACTTTTTATTTTAAGATATTATTGAATATATATATAAATAAAAAAATTAATGTTTTTACATGATCAAATGAGTAAAGCAACTAGTAGAAAATTTAATAGCCTTATGAATACTAAAAGAGAGGAGAAAATTTTGTAAGCTCCATCATTGTATCAAGCCAGCCATTATTAATACTGATTATATTCCTAATGACACTAATCAAAATAAAAAGATAAGTGTTACAAATCATTTTTTCAAATAAATTACGTTTTATTAGTTTCAGAGTAATTAGTTTGAGAGAGAAGCTATTCAAAATCTTTTACATCAAAATTATATTTATCCAAGAAAACTTTAGCAAAATTCTTCAGTAACTTAGGACTTATGTTCATACTTTCACTAATTGTAGATAAATCATATTCAGTTGTGTCAAAAAATAATGAAGTAATTTGGAGAATAGATTTTTTATTGCTATTCATAAATTAAGTAACTTATGCGATTTATCTACTAAATGTTTCTTAATCAATCTTTTTATTGAATGAAGACCATAACGAGCCTGAAAGCTAAAGTATGTTGACAAATAATTTTAGATCCTTTTTTAACAATAATCAAATCAATAAATATTTTAGATTATTTTTTTACCTCTTGATAATTTTGTATCATAAAATTATTTGTATATAGGCACTCATAGTCCTATTTAAAAAATCCCAAAAGAGTTGAGGCATTTGGTGATTATACAAATTCTAAATAGGAGTTTTCTTCTTTTGCTAATGCATCGCTTGATATACTTATAGATTCATTTTACTCTTCTATTTTAAGAGAATTTAATTTAAAAAATTTCTTATTAGGACTGATCATGTATTGCGATCTATTTTAAATAAAACAATTTACTTTGATCAAATAATTTAAAAAATATTAATTACTCTATAAACGAGTCAAACTCATCTATTAATCTATCCATATATTATTTGGATTTATCCGTTCTTACAGTAAAATTTAAGACTGAGAAAAAATTTGAACTAAACCTTTTTATCTTTTATTATGAAGGCTTTTAAAGAATAAGTAAAGGATCTTCTTTTGCTATTTCTTAAACAATCTAACCAAAATCCTAAAAAATACTTTCAATGTAATTCATTTTATAATTGTTCAAATCTTCAAGATTTCTCTAAAAAATAAGCATGCTTCTAAATTCTGGATTAGCTATTGGTGGTATAGGAGAATGAGATAAAATTTCGTTCCCGTCTAAATTAAATCCGCAGCATAAACCCTATTTTTTTAAGAATTAAAAGTTAATTAATATCAATAATCAAAATAAAATTTCTAAATGCGATGAAAAAATATAAAAAATAATTTATATTTTAGAAGCAAATAAATTGGAATATTTACAATGATTGGATGCATATAGAATTTCTAAAAGTTAGGATTTTACAACTTCATAAAAAAAAAGATATCAAAAGTTGTTAATAGAAAATCTATTTCATAGCTGACTTATATCAGATGATCTTATCCTTTATCGTTATATGAAAATATAAACTTTGAGCTATCTTATAGTTATGTTAATGTGCTTATCAAAAGGAGATGAACAACTCCGTTTGATTCAAGACTCTAAGATAAATTAAGATTTTTTTTTTTTTTTAATACATTTTTTGGTTATCTAAAGCAAATTTTATCAACACCAAAATACAAACCATGAATAAAATCATAGTAACTTTGCTTATTTTTCCTTTTTAAACATTTAAAGTATTAGATTGAAATAAATAAATAATAAAATACTCAATTTCTTCGATGTATTTTTGAGCTGCTCTCTCAAATAATTTATTGATATCATTTTTTGAATAATTTTTTTTCTCTTTTTCATCTGTAATTGTATTAAATTCTTCTTCTGCAATAGAATTTAATATTATTTAAGGGAATTGACAAGCTTAAGCTAACTCAGTTGCTCTTTTTTAAGTTGAAAATAAAAATATGTAAACATTTTATTTTATTTTAATTGTAAAAATACTTGCTTGCATTTTTTATAATTAAATTATAAAGATATTCTCCTTAAAATTCAAGAATTTTATTGCCTATTTATTAGTATTCTTAGCTTTCGCCTTTTTCAGAGTATTTTTTATTTATTTGTATGTAGTATTCAAGATAAGAGATGAATTCTTTGACAATAGTTGCAGTCTGTCTGAGCTAGAGGATTAATATAAGAGATATTACTGGGTTGATCTAATAAGCTTTATAGTATTTATATGTGTAATAATATCTTAATATATAGTAATCCCAAGCAAAAACATCTCCTGACATTAGCAAAATCCAAACTGGACTTAACTAAAGTTCTTTATATAGTAAATACAATGCATATTCAAATTTATTTGATTTTTCAATTTCTATTACAGATTTATTTTTTTCTTCTGATTACTAGTATTTATTGTCATTCAATTCTTCATCATCATCATCGTCTTCCCCAAAATAATCTAAATAGTCTTAATTATTTTCTTCTTTTTATTTTTTTTTAATCTCTCGTTAGTAAAGTTAGTAAATATCTTGATAAATTTTATCAATAGGTAGCTCACATTGTCTCTTTTAAATAACCCTTTTTTAAAATAATAATTTTGTAAGAATAGAAAAAGAATTATAAAATATACCCTATAAACCCTTAGAATATTGACAACAATTATGGATTACCACTCAAAGCTAATTTAAGTAAATTATTTTTATTAACAAAAGCTTCAAGCAAAACAAAGTTTTTAGTTAAGCAGAAAATTAGAGATGACCAATAAGTTTTAATTTCAAAACTTTTATGTATTGCATTTTAGTTTAATGAATTAGTTAACATCTTTTTATTTGTTTCTAAATTAGTAGAATCATCAAAATCCTAATCAAGAAGCAATAGATTTTGCAAAGCTTCTATGTTAACAGTTGAAGGTAAATTAAGTGATTCTTAAAGCTACTAAGCTTCTTGAACTTCTATCATTTAATACAATAACTTAATGCAATTTTTAAGATCTTTTAAATCTAAGTTTATGCTTCTTAAAACCTAAATCACTGAAGAGCTATTTTTCATTTCTTCAAATACTTTATTAATAGATTGATAATCAGAAGCACTTTTAATTGAGTAAATATATTAAAAAAATTCCACAACATCTAAAGGAATATTGAGTTCTCTACTAAAGAACGATGTATTTATTGGTAAACCTCTAGATAAATTTATGTACTATTCAACTTCTTTATCAGAAACAGTTACATTATTAATGAAATTTTCCTATTAATTCTAATTTTGTTGAAAGGTAGTTTTTGTTTTACTTTTTATAATCTCCAAGTAAATCTTTGTTTTTGTATCTGATTATTCATTTGGACCTATTTAATTTGCTTTAATTCTTTTTTATGTGACTTCCTTTATTAATCTCTGCTCTTGATAATCGACTTATCTAAAAAACTTGATAAAAGCAGATGAAAATTATTATGTATTGCTGCAAAAGATTGCTTAGAATGCTTAAAAAAATTCTATCTTAATATCTAATTTTCTTGACAAGTATTGCTCAATAGTAAGTTTTAATATTTAATTTTGATTATTCTGTCCATCAAATATTCTTAGAAGTATTCCATCTGATTTACCCTCTAAATAGCAAAACATACAAGCTATTAGCAAAAAATAGTCGTTTTCTGAATCAGCAAAATACTGAAGCAAAACTTAAAGCTTGACTGAGTTTTTGGTGCTTGTAAAAATATCCACTAATCCTTATACACCTAAAAAGTTATTTTCATTTTATTATATTAATTTTATAAATTCCTATTTTTCTGATTACTGTTGGGAATTAAATACAAATTTAACAAAACTATTAATGCTTTTTGGAATTTTTTGATTTGTAAGCTATAAAAAGAATTAAACTGTTTCTATTGTTTAAGGAATCTGCATATCTACTACAATGCTTTTAAGTAGGTCTAAAGGTATTTTATTTTTGAATATTATTTCATTAATTTTAGCAAGCTGGTTTTAATAATCATTTATTTCTTTCAAATTATGTACACAATGATTTATAAATTAGTTATAGTTGATACCACTAATTTACATCTAAAAGCAATCATTTAATGATCTATATTTATATGGGAAAGTATAAATTTTAAATAAAAATATAATTAATTTACTCGTATAATTTATCATCTGGGCAAAATATCAGCTATAAAAATGTTTAAACTATTCTTTCATCTAAATTAATAATACTGGCAACATTTTATACTTATTCTTTGAAAATAGTTGATGATGAGGTTATGTTTGCAATATTTAAATTTTTCAAAGATACAAGTCTTCCAAATAAGTTTGCAACTTTACTATCTACGCCTTAATCTTCTCCTATTTTCAATAATTTAATTAGCTGCACAATTTGCTAGTGTGTAATTTAACCAAGTTATATATTATTCATCATATAAGAAAGAGCCTAATTTGTAAACTTAATCTATTTAATAAAATTTAGAATACAAGTACTTTTGTTTTTTCCAACAGCGTTATTAGTGATATATTCTTTAAAATCAGTAAAGTTAAATTCTAATACTTATGTAATTTAAGACTCAAATTAGTCAAACTCATATTTACCTCTATGAAATTAAAGAATTAACTTAAAATCCTCAAAGTGCATTTTTTTTAATGTTTCCTTATTACTTTATGAAATTTTAAACTCTATATTTTTTTCCATATCTAATTCACTGAATACTTCATATATATCATAATCGTCTGTAGACAACACAAAATTTATTATCTGATTTAGTTTTTTAATTGCTTTCTTATCAATCTATTTTTATTTTTAAAATTATTTTTAAGTGTTTAAATGCTATTTTAATCATATAAAAATAAAAATGTTTGATAAATGTGGTTAAATTAAAAATTACCTTATACTAATTTTGAATCATTCTAATAAAGCTTGAATACTATGGCATAGTTTTTTGGTTAAGTATAAATTGTATTAAGCCACTTAAATCTTCTGGGGACATCCTCATTTTTTAACATATAATTGAAAAATGCTTTTATTAGATAATTTTATCCCAATCAGATTAATTTATGGAGTTTTTATTCTTGAAAAATAGAATGCTTAAAAAGAATTTTGAAAATTCTTTTGATACACCGTAGATTCTTTGAGAATTCACTTGCATGTTTTCAATTTAACCTATCTTGTTGTTGTATATTTTTTCGAACAGACTTAAAAGATTCTATATAAGAATCAAATTTTTTTAAGATGTATTTCCTTTATTATTTCCTGTATTATCTAAAATAAGTTTAATAAATTCATTCAACTTATATTCGCTCTCGTTATCTTTTAATTTTTCTCTAAGCCATTCAAATAAATCTTTAATAACATCAACAGGTATATTTTATAAGTTACTTCTAAATCCTAAAATGAAGAAAGCTACTATTGAAGACATTCTTTTAATATCAGTTTAATTAGCAAATTTAGTATCTTTAAAAATAGAAGTAAATATTTCTCTGATTTAGTTTACATGAGGAGTCTTTTGCTCTTAATTAAATGAACCAATAATTAAAAGAAGGAAATCACAAAAGTCTATAATACTAAATTAGCAGATATTAAATTTATCTTCAATCTTAGAGTCTTAAATAAATTTTTTAAGAACACTTAAAATTTCACTTCTTGATAATGATTTGAAATTAGTAAATGCTTCTATTACTAAATTTAATAAATTAGCAAACTTTGATAGTTCTTCGATATTACCATAAACTGGCATAGATTAAAATTTTTACAAAATCTTGATAAATTCTTTTAACATTCCCTTTAGTTATTTTATGAATTAAAGTTTAAATTTAAAAAAATGAATTAAATTACTTCAACATTATTCTTTAATCCTTCATTAAAAATGTTATACATTCCTTCGAAGATAGTTTTTATAGCTTTTTAGACCATTTATTCATTAATAGTGACTACATTATTATCCAATTCTTTGAGTTTTGATTAAAGCAATTGCTTAAAATCATATCCACCTTTCTTTTTTTAAATATTCACATCAATATCAAGTGCTCTCTCAGCTTATTTAAAAGCGTTATATTATTCTTCAGAGTAAGGATATTTTTACAAAACTAGAGAAGATATATAGTAACTCACTTACTATAAGATGGCATTTACCTTTTATTTCCTATTTTGATTGTCTGATGATAAACACTCAAATAATAATTTTAAGATAGGACCTTGCAACAATTCTAGTTGATTCATAATTTTTTTATCAACATTTTTTTAAAATTTGTTTTGGATCTCTAAATTTAAGTCTGATAAAACAGTTCCTAATTCTGTCTTTAATCTTGCTTTTTAATTGCTTAAAATTGAAAATAGCAATTATGTCAGACTTTGAGCCATTATTGGTAGATATTATTTTAGCTAAGAAAAAATTATTTTAAATAAAATAGGTAATATTAAAATTTATTACTTGCTGCTCTAGTTATAGTTTAGCTTTTTCTTCTAACTTTTCCATAATACTTAAGGCATACTGTTTAGGATCTTGCGCAATTTTTAGTACCTCATTACCTAGATGAGCAACAGCTTCAGGGTCTCTAACCATCATCTCAATATTATCCTATATATTTTCAGCTAACTTTTGATCAATTAAGCCATAAGAAGATGCCTCCTAGCATAGCCTTTTTATTTAATCTGTTGGAACAAGCTAATCAACCTTGCCTCCAATATCTAATTTTTTGAGCATATCTTTAAATTGTTTCTCTGCTAACCCTTTCAAATAATCTGTTAAAAGTTTAACTCCTTGGTCCAATATTCTTTTCAACATTCTGTATGATATATATAAATTTGTGAAATAAGTGTCAAAAATTTTTTTTAACTTTAAAAATAAAGTAAATTAGATGAAAATTTTACTGGTATTTTCTTGCGACTAAAGTAAGAAAAGTAGCAGCTGAAGTGGCGTATGGTAAGAATGCATTTGGATTAATAATAGCACTCAAAATGAGCCATGTTCCTATCAAGCTTAAATAAACACCAATTCCATACAAAACTAATAAAGCAAGCACCCACATTATCTTAGAAGCTAATTTTCTGACTTAGCTGGATTTATTATAATCTTAAAATTATCTTTCTTAAGGGATTGTCATAAAGATGTAGTAATGAACTAAATCAAATGATGAAAGAACTAAAAATATAATAGAGATGATAACAATTATAGCAATACCATTGCTGTCAGACATTAATTTATACGGTATAGATGAGGGTTCTTCTAATATATCATAGCTTTTTTGATAAAATAAAATTTTTAAAAATATTTTTTTTATTTTTTCTCAAATAATTTGTAAACATTTAATTAATATTTAATTATGATAATTAATTTTTGATTAAATTAATTGATATTATTTAATTTTTAATTAATGCTTGGTAATTTAAATGATAAATAAATATTTAAATTTTAAAAAATTCTGAAAATTATTGTGAAAAACTTTTATTATTTTTTAATCATTCTAGAAAAATTTAACTTCTTTATTTAAATAAATGTAAATTTTAATAACTCAAAATGGTTTTTCTTTAAATATAAAAAAATGAATTTAAAAGAAAACCAAAGCATTAAAAAAATATTTAAGTTATAAATTAACAAAAATTTAAAAGCCTTTCCATAAATTTAATTACCTGTATATTAATCTCTGAATAGGAACAGAAGAATAATTAGATTGAAGCATCCTAATAAAGATTATTAGAACAATAAAAGGACATCCCAATATGACTACTGATCCCAAATGGGCTAAAACTGTAACAGCATCATAAAACCACCAAAAATCTGGAGAAAATAACTCTTTCTTAACTTCTTCCATTTCATCTGTTTGGTATTGTTTTCCTTAGAGATTTTTAGACAGTAGCAATTTAAAAGTATTATTTACTCTTTTTTTATCTATAATAAACATTTTCTTTTTATTCAGTAGATTATAGCTAGGATCTCTTTCTATGACTTAAAGGGGATCATATTTGGTTTCAACACCATAATCTCTTTGCAATTAACCCTCACTAATAGATTGTTTAGGAATATGATTCATAATACAAAAATCCTAAAGTAAATTTATAAATTATTCATATTTATTTTTTATTTAAAAAATAAAATTACACTGTAAAATTATTCGAATGAAATTGAGTCGATTGTATCATTTGGAAATTTTGTAAGAGTGCATGAAGACTCTATAAAAAGTTATAAAGAATCTTTATTTTAAGTATCAGAAATAGTAACTATTTTTCCATTATATTTGATATATGAATAAGATTAAATAAGAGCATCATATTTATTCATAATTTTAAAGCCTCTTTTTCTCAATTGAATAATACTTTCTTCCTCATCTAACTTTCTTTCAAGCACTTAATTTAGATAGCAATATTTTTCATAAAGTCCTTTCAATTCAGATCCTACAATAGAATCTTTTTCTAAATTATGGATTATATCATCAGAAGCTTTTTCATTAATTTATACTTCTTTAAATAATAATTTATAAAACTCGCTAATTGAATTTTATCTAGCTTTATAAAACAGTATAACAACTTAATCAATATATGCACTTAAAGGAGGAGACAATAAGATTAAATTAAAAAATAGCTTAAGAATTCCTTTGATAGTATACTCTATCTTAAGAACATCTTTTTATTTAACTTGCTCAAGTACTTACTGATGCTTTTTATTAATTCAAGATTTTTAAGTTTTAAAATCTAAATATTAGAATAAATACCGCTAATTCTTCCTCTTTTTAATCTTCTAATTCTTCATCACTGTTGATTCCTTTTTCATTTTGATTTTACTAAGAATCTATGATTTTAGAATAGATATCTATATTAGAAATGTGGTCCAGTAAATAGATATAGTTCACATTTATTACATAAACTATTCCAACAATTAAGACTAATCCTACTATAGATGCTAAAATAAAGCTAACTATTATTGCTGCTTCTAAAACACCTTTAATTATAATTATTCCATTCATATAAATGTATACATAAACAAAATTTTTACCGCTTTAAGATATACTCAAATAGTTGATTGAAACTGTACCATCATTGTTTTTATTGAATTAAATCCAATCGTCAACATAATTATCACTAAGAGATGTATCTCTCAAACTACTGTAGGTATCAGATTAAGTAAATTTAATTGGTGGCAAGCTTATTGAAGGCTACCAAGCTAGAGAAAAAATAAAATAGGCAGAATTTTGCTATGATTTAAATTATTATTGTAACAATTGTTTAACTGTGTTAAGCCTATTTTAGCTCAATGAATTAACATATGGACAAAATCCTGGGGCAAGTACAAATTAATTTTCATACCTTTAAGAGTTTAACAGACTTAGAGTCAATGTGCCTAACCAAAAAGGCCTGAAGTATGAATATGCTGGGTTGTAAGTTAGCTTTAATTTAAATAGTCAAATATTTTAAAATCATATAGATGAAAATAATTAAATAATTATTACTTGCCACTATGAGTAAGTATTTGACTCTATTTATGAAGATCCAAACCTCATTATAAAGATTGGATCATAAACATTTGGATTACTTGCTGACACCATTTAATCATTTAACCTGCTCTACGAATTAGTTGAAAATTATATTTAATCTCCATTTTTACCATAAACAGATGAATCATAGACATACTACCCATTAGGAATCTAATCAGCTGCCTAACCTATTTTTTCAAGCACATTTATAAAGAGGTTACCAAATGTATTTTTGGCAATAAGATTCTAGTTTCCTCCTATATTTGATGGAATAGTAATAGAACCTTAAATGCATCTCTCAGCTATCACATTTTTTGGGTCATAATCAGTTGTACCATAAGGAAATACTTTTATTTTTTGATAAATTAAAAATGTCAAATATAACAAAAATATTACCATTAGTACAGCTTGCTGGATTGCTAGTAATAGTATTTTAAATTGGTGTTAAAGAATATGTTGATACGCAGTAATATTTATTTGTTAATTGTACAGTTGCAGTTATCCCCTATAATGATTGTACAATTATATCTCCCTCTGAAGTTTCAACTGATGCGTTTGAAAATTAGAAGTTGTTAACTTCAAAATTTCCCTAAAAGGTCAGAAATTAAAGACTCTATAAGCGTTTTAAAAACAAAAAAAATATTTAATTAAGCAATAGAAAAATATTAAAAATATACTTGTGCGATTAGTTTTGGTGAATTAAGATATACTTAAGGTCCTTATATACTTAATGAAGTGAATGATATATTTGATGAATCAATTAAAATATCACATTATTATTCTTAACAATTGATGCTTAGATTGGTCAATTAAATATTTTGATATACATAGAAGGCGATTTCACAAGATTTGTAATTTGCATTATTACTGAATGAAAAAGTCTTTTTTGAGTTTTATTACTAATATTATTAAAATTAAATGAACAAAAATAGCTATCAATAACTAATTAATAATAAATAAACGAACTTACTGAAAATGAGTAATCTTTTTTATAAGGTTAAATATCTGGAAATGAATATACCATAAGTATATCCCCATCAATCGTAGATGGTAGAGATGCTCTTGAAAGATAATTTAAATCAATTTTATCTTTATTATCATAATCAATAATTTTGATAACACATTTATTTACTTAAATTTCTACTTAATCAGATGCATAAATTTAAATCTGACCTCTATTATAGCCTAAAATATTGAAAAATGCTATTATTAATGCTAAAACAACAGCCTCTATAGCCAATAACAAAATTATTCTAAATAATTTTCTTTTAAACAATACGCTATATAAACTTTTTTAAAGCTTTCTTGATTTTTTAATCATTTTTTTTTTGTAATATGCTAATCTATCAAAAGTTTCAATTTTTCGTTAAACCACTTTTCTCTAATTTATCAGCTAATTACGAGAAGCCTTAATTTCTTCATCTTAAACATATATATGTTAAATTACTGATTTATCCAGCTATTTCTCATGTTATGAAAGATTAATTAGATTGTTAGTATTATCACCTCTTAGGCTTATAGAATCTTTATTTTGTTCGCTCTAATGACTTAATAATTTATTCTACTCAGTGATCTAGTTAGTACCTTAAGAAGCTTTATCTAATTTACCATCTTAAAAATCTTTGTTATACTAGCTATTACTTTTTTAGATAGCTAGCTCTTGTGTAAATTATTCCTTACCCTATTAATTTTATTTCATTTCAAATACTAAAAATCTATAGATTTTTTAATATTTTAGTAAATTAAATTTTTTATATATCTGTTTGGACTTATATTACTATTTTTTAAATTAAAAATGGAAAATAAAACTTACAACAAATTATCAAAGTATTATCTTTTATCCAGAAATATCTAAATAAACATATTTTTAAAATTTAATTATTTAAACTTTCAATTCTTGCTTGAGAAGTTACTTGTGATTATTGGTTAAAATATTTATGGTAACATTCAATTACAAAATTCACAATTACATTATTTATATTTTTAATAATCACAATTCTTAATATTAATAATTATAAAGGAATCTTTTTGTATATTTTGTAAATTCATATGTAGTTTTAGTAAATTAAACAGATCTTTTTTAAATTAATGATTATATTTAGGGATTATTATTTTGATTAAATTCTATTAACAACACTTAGAAAATAAATTTATTACATTCAATTATTATGCTATTATTTTTTAAATTTGTAATAATTTTAATTTTTTTCAATTAAATAATCAAAATATTTTTCATAATAATTATTTAAAATTTCAAAAACAATCTCTTTAAACATAAAATAAAAAAATATTTTTATTAATAAATAAATTTAAGAATATCAAAGTTATTTTGAATTCAAAATTTATTCAATTTCTTTTATAGTATTTTAAATATTTTTTTCGTTCAAATTTGAGGATTTATCTTCTTAAGATAAAGCTGCACCTGTTGCAGCTGTTATAGGAATTATGGAGTTTATAACTGCACCAAATGTTCCACCTAAAGTAAAGGCTTGAATCCCTAAAAATATGAACACAAATAATAAAACAAGTATTAATATTAATGTGCCTAGTGATAATGCTAACAAAGCAGGAGATATACCCAATTTTTATAGGGACATACTAATTTTTTTAATATTGACATACTCAAAAGCCCTTTCAAATTCTTCCTCACTTAATAAGAATTATAACTTCTAGCTTGAGAGGATACCTGTCTTTTTGATAATAACAAAGAATGCCTTCCATTTCATATAAAAAAAACAGTTAAAATTAAATTATATATAAATTTATATATATTTACCTATTCTATTTATGAATGTACAAAATGTATCAATATTAATCATGCCATTCTACCCTTCTTTACTTACTAAAACTCTGAAAATATCCTAAAGATTTATCTAAATAATTATTTGATTATAATTTGTTATCTTAAAGTAATATAAAAATTAATTACTTTTCCTTCATTTATTCTTTTAAGAATATCCTTCGTTTAGTCATCTAAAACCTACTAAGGAGTAACGTTAATTTATTCTAGAGAACTGCGGTTTTAAAAAACTACTGATTTTTATGTTGTAGTAATAAATTCTTAAATTGTTTTTAAATCACTCTGATTTAATAGATCAAATTAGCCAATTAACGTAAATATATTTGAAATATTGCCCTAAATTATGCCAATCAAACTTTTTACTAGCTCCTAACTAACAGATTATTCTCCTGCAATAAGAATTAACTAAGTAATACTTTAAACTACAGTCTAATCTTACAAGGTTTTAGTTGGACTATTAAATATTGTAGAAAGCAATTTGAATATTAAATAAAACTTTTGACTTATCTAGTTGTCATCATTATTAATATTTAAATATTCTTTTAATTATGTTTTCTTCACTAAAAAGTTGATTAAATCCTATTATTTTTTAATATTTAATATTATAATTTACATTCTAATTTAGAATTATTTATTACTTTTTGAATCTTTTCTGAATTTTTTGTTTCTCCAGATTATAAAATGTTAAATGCCTCTCTTAAAAATTATGGCATATCTTTATCAGTAACTATCTTGAAACAGGTTTCCAAAAAGTATAAGAAATCGTTGTTTAGTTATTTATTTTTTTCTTTTTTACATGTTTGCAATTAATAAGTCAAAATAATTTTAGTAAAATAATAAAAAAACTTAGAAAAATTTTTAGAAGTTTCATTAAACTATCCATCTTTTTAAAGTAACTAGTAAAAAAAGTTATTTTAGTCTGTGCTTAAAAGTTGTTTTCAAATCCTTGAGAATGCTATCCTTAAACAAAGAATTCGAGAATTTACATCATAAATTCAGGAATAGAGTGTTTTTTTCCAATAATAGTGTATATATCAGCTGTAAAAAATGTAGTAAGATAACTAGAAATATCGGTAGATGATAATTAGTCAGCAAAATAGCAGAAATTCTAAACTACATTTGCAATAGAAGTTTTATCAGAGGTTTTAACTATTTCTAGATCGTCAATGAATGAAATATTTTCAGATGCATTTTCTAAATACTTGTTTTATTTAAAATAATAATTATTGAAACAAAAAATAAATTCAAATATATAAAATATTTTTATTTAAGATATCAACTTAAAGTAATAATTATGTTTACGAGTTAAATTGCTTAATTAGGTTTTTGTAATTTTAATCTCCACTATCCATAGAAATTGAAATAGTATTATTGTTTTATAAATAAGTTTTAGACTCCAATATATCAACAATATGAGCTGTTAAAAATGTTAAAGTGCTAGCTATTTATTATAGAATCTCCTCATTTTTAAGTTTCTTATGATTACATTTAGTTGCTGATATTTTTTTCCATAAATAGAGAGACTTTAAAATTAAACTAGAATGTATATTTTAATATTTATTTTTTAGATAATCTTATTCTCCCTCCTCATTAAAATTTTTTGAAATATTTTATACAAAAGTTTTATCAGCATCCTATATTGCATAATAAAAAAAATAATTTTTTTAAAAAGGAGTTTTTTTTGTTACTTATAGAGAAATTAGAGAATCTAAAGTTAAGATTCCCCTCTAACTTGTTATACCAAGTATCAAATCAAAATATTCTTTTCTAATATCTTTTTCAATTAGCCCAAATTACTAAAGAGTCTCAAATCCATTTTTAATCTTCAATACAAATTAATAATTTAAATCTCAATAATTAAAAAAATACTTACAGAGGGATCTTATATAATTGAATTTATTTCTTTCTGATGTAATTTATGCAAGTTAGGTTTAAATATTGTCAATACTTTAAATAGCTTGACTTAGCTTTCTGATAAATTAAAAGCATAACTCATAAATTTGCTATAAAAAAATGCAAATAAGTTAAATAAATTTGAACAAAAAATTTTTACTTTATGAGCTCTTCTTTTTTTCCAAATAAGAACTTCCATGAATTATCAATAATATATTCATAGCCTCTATCATAAATTAATTTTTCTCTTTGTTTTTTTTTTCTTCTATAAGATGAGAATATTTTCGTATAAATAATTAACCATTCTTAATTTTTGCTTTTTTAAGTTATTCTTTAATAACCTCTTTACATAATCTAAAAAGTATCTTTTATACCATTAATTTATTTTCTTCTCTATCTGGTGAGAGTAAAATTAAGCTTAGTATATTTACTTTATTAGGTTCAGTCTTTTAGCTTTGAATACTCATCTTTTTTATTATAAGTAATGTTTTGTAATTTAAATCAATAAATAAATATATTTCTTTACTTAATCAAAAGAGTAAAGCAACTAGTAGAAAATTTAATAACCTTAGGAATACTAAAAAAGAGGTGAAAACTTTACAAGATCCATTATACTATCAAACCATCCATTATTAATACTGATTATATTCCTAATTACTCTAATAGATATCAAATGATAAGTGTTAAAAATCATTTTCTCAAATAAATTACCTTTTATTAGTTTCTGAGTATTAAGTTTGCTAGAGAAGAAGTTATTCAAAATCCTTTATATCAAAATTATATTTATTCAAGAAAACTTTAGCAAAATCCTTCAATAGCTTTGGACTTATGTTCATACTTTCGCTAATTGTAGATATATCATATTCAGTTGTATCAAAAAATAAAGAAGTAATTTAGAGAATAGCTTTTTTATTGCTATTCATAAATTAAGTGACTTATGTAATTTATCTACTAAATGTCTCATAATCAATCTTTTTATTGAATGAAGACCATAACGAACCTGAAAGCTAAAGTATGTTTACAAAAAGTTTTAGATCCTATTTTTAACAATTGTGAAATAAATAAATAAATATTTTCGATTATTTTTTACCACTAGAATTGTTTATGTATTAAGATCTATTTTAAATAAAAAAATTTTATTTTATTAAATAATTTTAATAAAAATATCAATTAATTACTCTATAAACAAGTCAAACTGATCTATTAATCTATCCATGTATTATTTGGATTTATCAGTTCTTACAGTAAAATTTAAGACTGAGAAAAAACTTGAGCTAAACCTTTTTATCTTTTATACTGTAGGCTTTTAAAGAATAAGTAAAGGATCTTCTTTTGCTATTTCTTAAACAATCTAATCAAAATCCTAAAAAATATTTTCGATATGATTAATTTTATAATTATTTAAATCTTCAAGATTTTTCAATAAAATAATCATGCTTCTAAATTATGGATTAGCTATTGGTGGTATAGGAGAATGAGATAAAATTTCGCTTCCGTCTAAATTAAATCCACAACGTAAACCCTATATTTTTAAGAATTAAAAGTTAATAGTAGTGATTCACCGAATAAGACTTTTTTTGATTCTTCCGTATACCGAATAATTTAATAATTTTAAAAAGTATATTCGGCCTCAAAAACCAAATATAAATGGAATATATTTAATTTAATAAGTATTTTGTAAAATTTAAGAGTAGCAAGTATATAAACTATGTATGTATATACATACTAATTATTTGCATAAATTTTAAATTAGCTATAATTTTACAATCTTGAAAATGATTGGATACGAATTTTTCTTTTGAATATTGAATCTATTATTTAATTGAATATTAAAGTAAAAAAATATTAAAAATAAACCAAATATACATTAGTTATAAAAAAAATATATTTGATTAAAACTAATTTTTTAAATAAATATTTAGATTGTTGTCAAAACTAACGTAGTCCTATAACAACAACTTCTATAGCTAATAACAAAATTATTCTGAATAACTTTCTTTTAAACAAGAAGCTTTTAACATTTTTTTAAAGCTTTCTTGATTTTTTAATAATTTTTTTTTTGATATATGTTAATCTGTTAAAATGTTAGCTTTGTTGCTTGACCTCTTTTTGTTCATTTAAAAGCAAATGAAAATAACCCTTAATTTCTTCATCTAAAGAATATGTCTATTAAATTGCTGGTTTATCCAGCTATTTTTTATTTTGTGTAAGATTAATTTTATCATTACTATACTATTATTGTCTCTTAAAGAATCTTTATTTTGTTCGCTTAAATGGCTTAATAATTTGTTTTTCTCATTGATCTAGTTAGTACCTTAGGAAGCTTAATCTAATTTTCCATCTTAAAATTCTTTATTAGACTAGCTATTGCTTTTTTAGATCGTTAGCTCTTGTGCAAATTATTCCTTATCCTATTACTGTTATTTCATTTCTAATTCCAAAACATTTAAATCTTTTAATCTTTTAGTAAATTTTTTATATTTCTTTTTTAACTTAAATTACTATTATAAATTAAAAATAGGTAATTGTATGTACAACAAATGATCAATTTTTTTTATCTTTTATCCAAAAAAATCTAAATAAACATATTTTTAAATTTAGTTATTTAAATTTTCGATTTTTTACTTGATTAGTTTCTATTAATTTAACAGTTATTTATTATTATATTCAACTGCATAAATCACAATTAGACTATTTAAATTAATAATAATCACAATTCTTTATATTATTAATTATAAAGGAGTCTTTTTATATATTTTATTGATTGGAGAGTAAAATTTTAATAAATTAAAAAGATATTTTTTAAATTAAATTATTTTATTTTAGGATTATTATTTTGATTAAATTCTATTTTTTATATTTAGAAAATTAATTTATAACATTTAATGATAATACTATTATTAAAAATTTACATTTTTTATGAATAATCAAAATATTTTGTAATATTTTTGATAAAAATTGATAAATAAAATTTATTTTATAAAAATACAATAATTCTATTCTAATTATAGAAATAAATTTAAGAAAATACTTTTTTGGTTTGATTTAAATAAATTTCTGCAAATATTAAATTAAATTTTTATAATTATAAGCTTTTCTATTCATAATAGACTTTTGATACAAACTAAATGCTTTATAAAAATAAAAACTGATTTTAAAAATTTAATAATTAAAATTTTATTAAATCCATCATTATATTAAAACAAAATGTTATTGAAAAATATTTTTATATTATATTTGAATCTCAATTAATAAAAGCCAACTTACCTATAAAATTCAATTTTGCATATTTTTTCTAAAGAAAATTAAAAATGAATAGAAATAAAACAATTAATTTTAAAGAATTTATGTCTTATCATAAATACTTTGATATCAAATATAAAAATAATTTAAATAACAAATATTTATATTGGGAGTTATGATATAAAATAAAAAATTATGAAAAATTAAAAAACCTTGTAAAAATTTAAAAAAAACATTGTGAATTAAAATTTTAAAATAGTTTTTTGAATAAAACTTAATTTTAAGTAAATATTTTTTTCTGAAAACTCCTAATAGGAATTTCCATATTAATTAAATATATGTATCTTACAAAAATTTTATTTAATTTATTTAGGAAATTATAAATTAAATTTGCATACTTATTATGTAATACAAATGTAATTTAATTAAGTAAGCAAAGCGATACAAGAAAAATAAATTAAAATCAGCAAATAATATTAATCATCTAAATATTTGCTTTTTATAATCATTTTTATTAATATCCTAGTTAAAATAAAATTAACAAGGATTATTTTACACAATTAAACTATTATATTTATAGCTTTTAAGTATTTATTCTTTATGAATTTGTTTTATTTAAATTTTTATCTCACTTATGAAATATATAAATGTAGTACTCTTGAGAAAAATCTTTTATTTATTTAATCGTAATGATTTTTTGAAAATCTTAGAAATTCCGATGATATAATAAGGAAATTACAATTTTTAACTAAAATTAAAATATTAAGATAAAATATTAATTCAATTTTTTAGTGAAAACGACTTATTTTTATCTTCTTTTTTTATGTTAAAATTTATTTATTTAATCGTAATGATTTTTTGAAAATCTTAGAAATTCCGATGATATAATAAGGAAATTACAATTTTTAACTAAAATTAAAATATTAAGATAAAAATTAATACAATTTTTTTGTGAAAACTACTTATTTTTATCTTCTTTTTTTATATTAAAAGTAAATTTATTTCTACAATAAAAAAATGCTTAAATAAACACTAATGCACTTGTAAAACAACTGTTATTTATTTATAATAAGTAATTAAATGGAAAAGACTATTACTTATCATAGTTATGGTTAGTATATTCAACATAAATATTTTAAAATTATTATTAATTTAAAATCTACCTACCAAATTTATAGCATTTTGCTTTAAATAGCTGCTTAAGTTCAGTAAAAATTTATTAATTTTATTTAAGAAATTAATTCAACAAAAAAAAATAAAAATAAAAATACTAAAAATGAAAAGATTACTATTAATTGCTGCTCTAATCTGCCTCTGTGCTTGTTAATCTATTTAGTAATGCCCTACTGACGGTAGAATGATGAAATGCTCTCTTTAAGAATATCCTGTTTGTGGTGTTAGCATTACTTACAATGGATAGGTTAAAGTAAATTTCACAAACCATTGCATTGCTTGTTCGATAGGAAAAGTTGCTTTTACTGTAGATGGTAAATGCGAAGAATATCCTGGAGAAGCTAAGTTTTGTCATCCTGCTTTAGCAAAGTCACAATGCTCTAATGAATATGCTCCAAGTTGTGGATACTTCAATAAGAGTGTTAATTGTTTGGTTCCTCCTTGCAACGTAGAGTCTGCTAATGCATGCTAAGCCTGCACAACTAATAATGTGATTTATACTATCAAAGGAAAATGTGCAAAAAATTGATAAAAAATTCAGTATAGAATATAATTTGATTTCTTATTTAGGATTACATATACCTCCAAATCAAATTGCATATTAAGTATTTTTAAACTTATTAAATTTATTTGAATCTCAAAAAAAAACTCAATTATATTTTTTTCTGATCTTATTTTAATTTATAAATTTGTTTTTAAAAATTGAATTCCATAATTAAAATATTATTTCTTTTGTTAACCTAAATAAATTTCCTTTTTTATTTTCCATTATTTTATTTTTTCTTAATTAATAATGAAAGCTTTTTTATTTAAATTAAATAAATTTTTTAATTATAATATATAAATAATTAAATTTTAATGAAATTATTTTCTTTGAATTTAATAGGTATAAAATTAACATGTGAGTTATAAAATCTATTTATTTTTTATGGATATGAGTTGGTTTGAATAAAGAATTTTTGATCATTTTATTTATTCAACTAAAAAAAATTTAATTCAATATATATATAATTATTTATTTATTTACTTTTTAATATTTTAAATGAAATTTAATTTAAATAGATTATAGCATATTCTATAAATAATAAAAACTAAAAAAAAATCTTTATTACCAAACAATATTTTTTGAGGTAAATGTATCAAATTATTACATTATATTCTATTGATAAAAGTAAATTTATTTGATAAACATTAAATAAATAATTTAATAATTGAAGAAATATAATAAATAAATAAAATTAATTTTACACATGCTTTAATTTAAGAAGTATTTTCTTTCTTAGTAAAATTAACTAATATTTTTCGTTTTAGAAATTGTTAGAATAATTTAACATCTTATCAATAGACTAAAAAAAATTATTTACTATTTGCTTTTTGATTTATTGATACTTGTTTAATTTTCTTTTATTGTTTGAGATTTTTTTAAATAACTAAACATTGGATTTTTATGTTCTAATAGAACAAAAGAAAAAAGTTTATTTATTAATGAGAAAAATATTAATTATGTCATTAAATGAATTTCAATTTGTGCAATAAAAAAATATTTTTAATTTTAGCTTAAAATCTAAAAAATAACAAATAAACATAAATATAATATTAAATGATTTTATAAGATGCTTATTTATCAAACTAAGAAGCTACCTGATGGCTTTTTCAATAATTTAGAATTGAAGATCATTGATTTTTTTACTTATTATTTGTGTGTTTCATATTCAGTTTCAACGTTCATTTATTCTTGGATAGGTTATACTACCTATTATAAGAAATTGCTTTTGCAGTTCTTGATTTCTTCTTGATTTCTTTCGAACATGCATTTAGTCAATTTACTAAGTTATCTTTCAAACAAACCATATTAAATAACATCTCTAACTTCTGATTAGCAATTAGATTAGGCCTATTTCCAGTAGTAATCTATCCCTTAAGTGCTTTCAGAATCCTTGTTTGCAGCTAAAACTGTTACAACCTATTGCTAAAAAACTAAATGGAAGCTTTTGCCAGATAATCTACAAAATACTTAGGGAGAGCTAATCAAAATTAATGCTAATAGCAAAAAAAAGGTCTTTACTTTCATTTGATATATTTTTAATATTTTTGTTTGAATTTAATATTCGTTTTTTTCAAAGGTTTTTCTTTTTATATAGCAAAAAATAATAAATTAAAAACGTATCAACCAAAAATGACTGACATCAATTTTGATTATAATACAAACTTGAAGTTTTCATTTAGTTTTTATCAATAAAGGTTTTATCATTTTTACTCTTGTTAATATTGAAAATTAATAAATGCATATATATCAAGTTACTATTGATAAATAAGCAATTTTTAAATTTCCGATTCGTAAATTTATTAAATAATTTTTATAAAATACTAATAATAATTATAATAATAGCTATTATAAATTATCATGAATTTACTGTAATTCCTCTATACGATTGTACGAATCGCATACGAGGAATAAATATTTTTAGGCGTTTTTTTAATAATTAATTCCTCACTAGATTATGTACGATTTAATACGAATCGAGGAATTACGGTAAATTAGAAAGTATTTTATAAAATTTTTATTTCTTAATTATTGAAATTTAATTCAAAATGAAATATTTTATACTAAATTGAACTAATATTTTAAATAATAAATTATTAATTTTTAATAATCTTTTAATTTAGTTTTTTTCATTAAAAAAATTTCTTAGATTTTAGTTTTGATATTATATCTAATATTATAAATCGGTTCTTTTTTTTAATATTTGTTTCATAAAAACTATTCAATAAAAAATATTTCACTTTCCTAAAAGATATATTTTTGCATTCAAATATTTATAAATTTATTATTTATTTTATTCTTTATATTATTATTTAATTTCTAAAATAAATTCTAAAATTGAATAGAAAATTATTTGAAATAATATAAAAGTAATTTAAAAAAAAATAAATGTTAAAATTTATTTTATATAAATTATAAAACAATTACTAATTAGTTATTATTATAATAAGAATAATATCAATTATTAATATCATATGAAGTATAAGGAGGGAAAGCATAGATATCAAATCCTCCACAAATAAGATAATTGGGAGCATAGAAAGTTTTGAAGAAGCACTAGTTGGTGTTAGCAAATTTTCTGATGTGATCATTAATATAGCATTTAAAGAAATAATTATTTTCATTAATATAAGCATCAGGATTGCCTTATCTAATAATATCCTTGACTTTATTACAATCATCTGAAGCTGTTTCACTCATTGTTGTTTCAACGAAGGCTTGAAGATATTCTTAGTATACTTAAGATTAAGTGCAAGAATCGGTGGGAATATTATTGTTTAAGCATTTTTCATATTATGATAAGGTAACTGGTACAAGATTCTTAAGATCTGTCTTTTATAATTAAGTGAAGTAAACTCCAGCTCCAATCAATGTTAATAAAATAGGAAAAAAAAAGATTTTTAGGCTCATAGTTATTTTTTTTTGTAATTTATTTATTTTTAATGATTAATTATTATATAATTTAAATATTAATTTATATTTTCACCTTTTAAAAAATGAGTTGATTATACAAAATTAATAATTTAGCTAAATGTTTGATACTATTTACTTTTATCTTGAATAAAAGATTTAATAGTTTTTTTAGAACACTAAAAACTTTACAAATAGTTTATCAAGAGAAAATTTCTAATTGCTTTGATTACTTATCAAAATCTTATATAAAAAATAGGCTTAAATAAGCAAAATAAATTGATAAAATTCAAATAAAATCAAAAAAATTACAGTCAGTGTTTTGATGTTTTTCTTGACATATAAATGCAGGTATAATAAAAAGGATTTATCCTTATGTTGAGCTAAAAGTAAAATATATATTTTTATTCAATTCATTATGAAATTTTATTAAAAAGTAAAAATTTATGTCATTATCTCAATAAAAAAACTATTTTTTAATGACTAAAAAAAAGAAAAAATTTGTTGGTATTACTCTAAAAACTAAAATAGACTCTTGATTAGTATAAAAGATAAAAAAAATTGATAAATTGTTTAAAAAAAACCACTCTAAAATAAAGTTAATTTAATTTTTGCTTTTTTAAAAAGAGAACTATCTAAGTAACGAATTTTTTAACAACTTTTAGGATAAGTAAATTCTAATTCTTTAAGCAATACTTTATTTTTTTTGATAATAAATAAACTCTAAAATTCAATAGTATTGTAAATATTTGCTTACCAATATTATATATTATTAGAAAATTTCTTATACGTCTAAATACATAAGTCATTTTATAAATCTCCAAACTATTGATCAGAAATTTTTCAGCATTAAAGAAAAATTAATTTTGTATTCTGATAATATCTTAAATTAAATTAATATTAGCTTCCATATAATGCTTCTAAAAGACTTATTTTAATTTTTAAATTAAAAATGCAAAAAATTTAAGGATCTTTATTACTATTTATATGATAAAAACGTTTTAAAATATACAATAACTTCGAGTTTATTAAAAAGAAAAAATTTTGAATATGATCGCAAGCAAAACAAACTAATAATAAAAAATTTAATGTGTAAAATAATTTTCATCTTTTAATTAGAATAAAAAAATCATTAAAATTAAGATTAGATTAAAATATAATTATTATTAACTTAATTAATTACAATGTGACAATAAGTAAGTATTAATGATGACATCATTTTTTTCATTCAATATACCAAATATTGATAATAAAAATGTTTTAAGATATTAAACTTTATTTGAAAAATCAAAGATAAATCTATACATTTGAGGCACAACTCTAGTTTCTAGTTTCTGATTTAAGTGATATTTATAAATATATTTTCTTAATGTAAACAACTTAATCTGATATTTTCTAAAAATTACTAACCATTTTTTTTGTTTCTAAAATAAAAACAATAAACTATTAAATTCTTAATAAATAAATATATAAATAGATATCCTTATAAATAAATTAATTTAATAATTCTCATTTTAAATCTAAAATAAAAATAATAAAAGATAAAAAAAACTTTTATATTTCCTCAAAATATAAAAAAAAGGAAAATATTTTTATTAAATAATTTAAAATAACTACTTTTTTAATCTGATAAAAAAAAGAAACCATAACTGTTTAAATCAAAAACAGTATAAGGAGGATATTTGTACTAGCTAAAACCATCGTAAATAAGAAAATATAAATAAGAGCATATACATCCTTCAAGAAAAACTTTCAAAGCATAGTTAGTAATAAACTTAGTTATTGATTTATTCTTAAGCTTAATTAGCAAATCCTACAAAATCAAAACAAGATTATTTACCACTTTAAGATATATTAAAACTTGATTTCTCTTAGAAAGATTTATAAATTTGTTGATATTCTTCATTATCAACATAAGGAGAGTTTAAATGCTCGAAATAGGCTTTATTTGCACAACTAATGTAATCATTAAAACTCAATTAGGATTGATCAAGCAAGTTTTTTAAAAGCTCAATAAAATTTTATCTCCTGCAATTAAAGCTAAATAAAGTATTTAAATAAAAAATCTATTAATTTATTATTCTATAAGCACAAAATGTCTGGGCCTATAAAAAATGTGAAGGATTTAGTATATTTATCTATTTTTAATATAAATAATCACACATTCGAAAAAAGGTTTATAATTAAATGTAATATTAATTTACCTATTTTTTTATTAAGAAGTAAAGGTTAAAATTATGAAAATATTAATTTAAAATTAATTTGAGCAATCCAATAATATTACTAATAAAATTCATCATATAAATAATTTTAGAATTATAGTCTTGATTTCTTTAACAAAAAACTATTTTTAAAAATATATTTGAGGATATTAATTACTTCTATTTATATTTAATGAAAATAAACTAAAAAATTTAATCATTTAAAAAATAGGCTGTTTAACCGTTAATTAGGTTTGTATATTTAAAAAATATAAATTTAGTTAACAGATTATGTATCTTTATATTCATACTTTAACAAGCAATAAATAGTCTTATTTTAATAGTTCTAATAGAATAAGCTTAATTATTAAGTTCTAAAAATTATTTTTCTTATCTCAGCCATTCAAACTATCATTTTTAAACCTATAATTTATCAAACAGTTTTATATACTTAAAATAGAAAGAAAATATATTGCTTTAAGATATATATTTATTATCAAATTAATTACGATACCAAACACTCTCATTAATTAAGCACTTTTCAAAAAAAAAAATTACTGCTTTAATTAACAACTCAATATTCGAATGTGGGGAATCTGTTAAGATGGCTGGGGTTAGTAAAAATTTATTCTTAAAATTAATATTAAAATATATTGTAAAATGGATTAAATTACCTTAAAATAATAAAAATGAAATGCAATATCTCCCTCCACACCTACATAGTTGGCGATATTTTAATTTCACTATTATCTCTTTATAAATCTCTCATTATAACTGTAATTTAAATGTAGAACAAAATTTAAGATGACTAATTTAAATCAAGCTTGATATTTTTTTTTCATTTAAATTAACAAAATAAATGAAAACTATCTATTAAATTATAAAAATGCTTGTTATTGTGATGCAATAATTTATGTTTTATTTTGTAAAAGTTCTCCTTTTAAATAAAAACTGTTAAATTAAAATCCTCCAAAACACTAACAAAACTTAAAGAGAACAGTTATTTAGTTTAATTAGTCATACAAACAAACAAACTAACATTTAAAACAAGAAAACAAAATAGTAAATGGACTTCATTTTTAATTAATTAGCAAAAAAGTTGTAAATAATAATAGCAAAATATTTATTTGTATTTACACCATTTATTTTTTGCTATGATTAGCGCCTTTATGATTTAAATATTCCAATCTTTGAACCCTTTCCTACAGCAATTATCGATGGTAATTAACTATGTAGTAATGGTTCTACATTCAATATAGCTCTCTTTAATTCTAATTCGAAAAATATGGTTGCTCTCAATCTACAGCTATGTGGATTTGCAATTTATGATGTAACTCTATTAGGAGAAAATATATAACTTTTGAAACACTTTGAATACTAACCTCTTAAAGATTAGGTCATATCACTAAGTATTACCAATTCAGATACATTTCTTTGGGTTGGATACTCTACAGGCATCATTGACATATATGATATTTCTAATCTAATGTTCCCTCTTGTTTATTCTACTTAAATTACTTATTAGGGTAATCCAGATGTTCTGTAAAAGGTTATTTAGTTTCCAGATCTCAATTTAACATTTTTAACATGCCTTAATAATTTCAAGTTTATTAGCTGGTAGAATAATAATCTTTAAATTATTAAAACCTATGACTTTCCTGATTGGTATATTGTAAAGCTTAGATTAGCTTTGAATCAATCTGTTTTGATAGCTTAGGGCTTTCTTTCTCTGAGTTTTTATTAACAATCTATTGAAGATTTAAAATAGGGTAACCTTAATTTGATATGTATTTATACTCCATCTGCTGCATATGATTTGAATGCATTTGAAGTTATTTAAGAAAGTATCATTGTAATTCAGATTGATTTATACTAATATATTATGATAGATATTAAAAAATATATATAATCGTATGATGGTAACTCATGCAATCCTGATCAAATCGTTTTACTTGATAGCTACCCATCAAATCCTTTAGGAGGTAACTTCGTGCTATCTCAAGATTAAAAATATTTATACACTTAACAAAGTTCAATAGGAGTATTAATTTTTGATGTCAGTTAAAAAAAGCTAGATATTTTTCAGATTATTTCAACTGGAGGAACTAGCATGGATTTTTAGCTCAGTAAAGATGAGAAACAACTATTTTATTCTAATTGGTTCAACACTTAGATATTTAAAGTTACAACCCCTAATTTAAATTTAGATATTCCAAACTTGCTTTTAAACTAGTATTAATTGACCAGTTATAGCTTCTTCAAAGGAGAAGGAGGTAGTTTTGACAATTAAATTGTATACTAAGAACCTTAAGATATTCTATATATGGCGCGCAAGGATTAGGGTAGTGCAATTTTTTAGTACGAAGGAGAAGGTCTGATTAGTTTGATATCTGTATTAGACTATGGCTTACCTGACGTGTCCGTTGCATACGAAGCTAATATTCCGGGGACAACTTTATTTTATTAAAGCAGAGAAACGCTAGGTTTACAAATAGTAGACTTCAAAAACATAAGTAATCCTATTGTTTTAAGGACAAATATTACTCTTGGATTACAAAATGTGAAATTTGAATAAATAATTTTTAACAAAGAAGGTACATTAGGTTTTATAGCTAATATTATTTAATTAATTATTATTAGTATTGAAGATTTTCTTAACCCGTAAGTGATATCAACTTTTGAGACATCGATTTTCCTAGGAGGAGATTAAAGCTTATACAAATTTTCGATTTCAAATGACGAAAAAACTCTTTTGCTGTTCCCTGAATTATATGGAATACTATTTGCGGACATATAAGATCCAAAAAATCCTAAATTTCTCTTTAAAATGTATTTAGGATAAATTTACTTCTTACAGTAAATAAAATATTTTATCAATTTATTAATTTTTACTAAATTAATTATCTTTCTATAACTTAGGATTAGTTTATTAAATAATAAAATTTTTTTTATTTTTAAATAATTAGCTTTTAATTCAAAAAATCTATATTTCATCTTATTTTTATCAAAAACAAACATTTTTATCCATTATATCAAGCTTAAAAATTAAAAAAAATTAATTTTGCTTTCTAATTTTAGTAGCTAAGATGAAAAAGAAATAAAAACTAAGTTTATTTTGACATTAATTTGAAAATTGATAGAAATAATAATTTTAACTAACTAATTAATATTTGTTTTAAAGAATTGAAAATTAATTAAAAAGTTTGTAAAGTGAATTAATAAAATTATAATTTATAAAAGAGATAGTTAAACTGAATTTTAAGCAAAAAGAAATATATTTTATATTTTAATCATTAATAAGGGTATCTAAAATTTAGTTCAAAAAAATATTTAATTAATTTTTTAGAAAAAATTTTAATATTGCCTATTCCAAAAAAAATTAAAAAATCTGAATTCTCCTCAGAAAATAAAATTAATATATAAAAAAATAAATTAAGCTTTTATTTTGCAAATATTATTAATTTTTTAATTATTTGTTTTTTAAAGATAAACTATAGATAATTAATATCTTATATGTGGAGTCTCTTTTTAAGGTGTTTTTGTGTATAAATTTAACCCTGACCGTTCATTGACTTTTGTTTCTTCTGTTCTACTCAAGGGAGTGATTTACTTTTAATGGCTCATATATAATGACAACTATTTAATAGTAACAACAGCAGAAATAGGTTCAGTTCTATTAGTAAATCTTGTTGATAAAACCAACCCTATTGTTACATAGATTATCAATTTTGCATAAAATGACCCTGTGTACTGGATAACCCCATCATAAGACTAATCTTTTGTTTTTGCCTCTGCTTAATAAGCGCTTTACTAATTTTTTATCCAAAGCCCTATTATCTTTCATTCTCAAATCTACAAATTAATACCAATAGCTAATTCAAACTAGGTTTCTAGATAATTACTATAAACAAATTAGACTTTTTAAGTAGGCGAATAAATTGAAATATATCTTGTAAACATTTACCAATCAAGAAATTTATATATTAGCAAAGCTCTATATTACATAAATTATGTTATTAATGAATTACCCAGTTGGATGTCTTTTTCTCCTTCTAGTTAAGTTTTGACAATCTAAGTTGCTAAAGAGTCTTTGATAGCAGATAAAAATGGGATGTATACTAAAAAATCCTTATAACAGGTTATATTGCTTAGCTATTAATAATTAGATGATAATGCTTTTTAAAATTAAATATTGGGAATAACTGCATAAGACTCTATCAAAATAAAGTAAATATGCATGAACGTGGGATACCTTGATAAGTCTGGGTTTGTTTCTCCTTCATATTCTCCTTAAAATGTGTTTAGCTTAGGTGTAGATTATTAATCTTTTTAATTTCTATAAAAGTGGAACAATACAGATTATCAACTTAATTAAGTTTTAAATTTTATCTAATTTAAGTTGAATCAAAATATTATTAATTATGTCATCTAATTTTATACTAAGCCATCTTTAGAAGTTAATTTTAATAGCACAACAAATCCGATTACATCAAATTAAGATTAATTAACAGTCACAATATCAATCTCTAACGGATTATTTGTTTCTAAATTATATCCTGGTATACTTATTTTGATAAATTCAGAGTAAAACATTATATAGCTCTAGGGTACAGTAAAAAGCGTAAACTCTGTTCTACACTAAAAAATAAGTTTATCTTTCAACTAAACTGTTGTGCTTAATTCTACGATTATTTAAGTAACTGTTGAAGATAATAGTAATTATAAATATATTACTAGTTTAAACCTTTAAGATGCAAAATTCATTTCATTTTAATCACCTGTTAAAGTAAAGACAAGTTTATAAACCGATTTCAATGAGCAATATGAAAATGGAGAAATTGCTGTTTAAACACCTTTTAATTATAAAATGAGTGACTAAGTTTTTGAATGTTTCGACTCTCCTATCTTGATATTTGTAGCAAAAGTCAAAAAAGCAAATGGTGAGTATTAAGACATATCAAGTGGATATTGGCTCAGCTTTTCATCAAATGAGAAAACATTTTTAGGAACCCCTTCCCTCAATTAATTTAATTCTGAATATACAATTTAAGTTTAAGCAACAGATGGTTATACTACTGTTTAAGATGAATTTAAAATCAAAGTTAACATATTACCATTTTATGTGATATTTTAAGTGTTAGTACAAGTTGCTGGTCCCCTTTTAGGAATTTTTGGAATATGGAAGTATAGAACTGTATTTTACAACATAATATTTAAGTATCAAATGATATATACTAAAGAAATAGCATATGTTTCAGAGCGTTTTGAAAAAAATATCATTATCACAGATAATTAACTAGAAATAGCTAAAATAATTTGGAGATATGTTAGAAATTCACTGAAGTAGAAGTATGTTTAATAGTAAATAGAATACTTAATTACAAAATAAAATAATAAAACATAAATATATTAAAAAAGTCCTATTGTATCTTAAAGAGATTTCAGTTTGTCATTTAGTGAAAATTAAAAATCAATTTATTCATAATAATAGAATTAATAAATAAAACATTTAAGTGATATTGAAATAGAATAATAAAATGACTAAAGAGCTAAAGCTAAATAAAATATCATGAACCAAAAAAGTTTATTTTCTCATAGAGTATCTTTTTCTAATATTGATTAGTAAATGCCTTTAGAAAATATTAAGATGCTAAGCCATTTTAAATAAAATATAGAATTGGATTCTAGATTCAATAGCAATAGTGAGATTATTGTAAGGAATATTTAAAAAAAACTAACTAAAAATGTATCAAAAGTATACAAATTAAGTAGTAAAATATAAAGTTATGAAGAATCAAAAAATAATTTATTAGATGATCATGGAAAAATAATTGAATAAACTATTTTTGATTTGGTAATGAAGAATTTAGAAAAAATTTATAAAGAAAATAAATAGATCTCAGATAAAATTATTTAATAACTAAAAAATAATTAATCTAGGATTTATATTATGATAAAGAGCCTAGCTGTAGAATATTTTGTTGAATGCTCACCTATTTGTAAGAATATAATACTCATGTTGAAGTAAAAAGCCATTCAAAAGTATAAGAAAATAGATTGGTATAAAGCCTTTGTGATTTGCGAAGCTTAGGCTATTTCAGAAAATACATTTCCTATTTATAAGATAAATTAAGAAACTTTTTAATAAGCCTTTGAAGACATTGTGCTTCAAATATCTGATTAACTGTAAATTAAGAAAGAAATAAATGATAAATCAGACATTTAGAATTTGAATTAAAAAAATATCAACTCTGATTTTACAAATTTATTTTTAATTAAACCATTAATCCAAGATTATTTATATTCCCTTTCTTTAGGTATTTCTTTTAAAGATAATAAAAGGTTTTAAGTTTCTTAAGGAGAATGCATGCACTGTAGCCCATTACAAATTCGCTCAATCAAGTGTTTTGAAACAAATAAAGTGTTCGATTGCTGTGTTAAAGCTCAGAATTTTTTTGAAATAAATCAAGTCGAAAAAGGTTTATCTGAAAATTAAATATTACCTGAATGGATGCAGATTGATTTCTAAAAATCTCATATTACAATTAAAGGTACTCCAGACTAATAAAGTGTTGGTTTATCTAGAATTAAAATATTTGATTCAAAAGGATATCTTCAGAGGTAATTTGATATTTAAATTATAGATAAGAGAAATTTAAATGAAATATTGAGTCTAGTTTAGCATCAAAAATCATATAATTAGTTAAAAAATAGCTTAAATGCTTCATAAAATGAGAGAAAATAGCAAGATAATGAATATTCAGCTAATATATTCCTTAAATAAAAATAAAATAGCGACGAAATTTTAGATGATTAAATTGAAGAAATTTGCTTTTAGAAAGTCAAATCTTAAAAGTTTTAAATTTTTACCAAAGATAATCATAAAGATACAAACTTATAGCAAAACTAAAACCTAAATATAACATTATGAAAATTAAAATTATTTTATTTACATATATGTTGTAATTTATTATTTTTATCATTTTATTAAATATCTGGAACAATTTATTAAATAATTTATTTACAGTAAAGTCTCTATTATTATATACTTGATTCCACTATTATTAACAATAAAAATCAATGTTTTTTTAAGTGATACATACAATTCTAAAAATATATAAATCTAAAATAAAAATGTTATTATCCTTATTAGATTTATTCGTTTAATTTATAAAAAGTATTTTTATTTAAATATTTTACTAATTATGAAATAAAGTATTTTGATAAAAACACATTTTGAAAATTAATTTATGTTGATATTATATATAAAATATAATAGTAATTCATAACATTTTAATAATATAAAACTAAAAATAATTTATTTTTTTTCGTTAAATTAAATTAAAGCCCAAGTTTTAATTGGTAACAAACAACAATATTAATCATTTTTAAAACAACTAATACAAATTTGTGTAAATAAGACAATTATTATTCCTAAATTAAATTAAAAATAGAAAAATTATCATTTTTTGTGTTAAGTTCTACAAACTCTTAATAAATAAGCTTAAAAAAAGAAGCATTTTTACTAAATACTAAAAAATCTAAAATTAAATAAATCGTTTTTCATTTCATGAATTAATTAATGAAGATAGCTTGCTTTAGTTTTTTATTTTCATTCATATTTTGCTATGATAAGAGGCTTTATGACTCCAATCTTCCTATTTTTGAGCCTTTTCCAACTGCGGTAATTGATCGTGATGAATTATGTAGCAATGGATCAACATATAATATTGCCCTTTTTACTTCTAATTCTAGAAATATGATTGCACTGAATTTATAATAATGCGGATTTGCAATATATGATATTACTGATCCTCAAAACAACTTACAGCTTTTAAAACATTTTCAGTTTGATTCTATTAAAGATTAGGTAATTTCTTTAAGCATTACAAACTCAGATAAATTACTTTGGGTTAGCTATGCTACAGGTATCCTTGAAGTATACGATATTTCTTAACCAATTTTACCTCTTATGATCTCAACTAATATCACATACAATGGTAACTTAGATAACGTAAATCAAGTTATATAATTAAAAGATCTCAATTTTATATTTTTAGTATGTTTTAACAACTTCAAACTTATTACTTGGTAGAATAATGATATTCAAATTACTAAAACAATTGACCTTGCTGATTGGTATATAGATAACCTTAAATTAGCTTTAAATTAAAATCTATTAATTGCTTAAGGGTCTCTTTCTCTACATTTCTATTAACAGTCTTTTGATGATTTGTAAAAAGGTAATCTTTATTTTATATGCACTTACACTCCCTCAGCTGCTTATTCCCTAAGTGCATTTGAAGTAATTTAAGAAAGCATTCTAGTCATTCAAATTGATTTATATTAATATATAATGATTGATATAAGAAATTATATTTCTTCTTTTGATGGAAGCTCCTGCGATACCAATAAAATAACCTACCTTGATAGCTATCCTTCGAATCCTTTAGGTGGAAGTTTTGCACTTTCTATGGACCAAAAATATTTATACACTTAGTAGAGTTCACTTGGAGTGCTCATCTTTGATGTTAGTTAAAAAAAGCTTGAAATTTTTCAGACTATATCGACTGGAGGAACTAGTATGGATATTTAGTTAAGTAGCGATGGTCATTATTTGTATTATTCGAATTGGTTTAAAACTCAAATATTTCAACTCACAAATCCAAATTTAAATTTAGATGTACCGAATTTACTTTTAAACTAATATTAGTTAACTAGCTATAACTTTTTTAAAGGACCAGGAGGTAGCTTTGATAATTAAATTATTTATTAAGAACCTCAAAATGTTTTGTATATGGCTCGTAAGGATCAAGGAAGTGCAATATTTTAGTATGAAGGTGATAGTATATTAAATTTAGTCTCTTAATTAGATAATGGATTGTCTGAAACTTCAGTTTCATATCAAGTAAATATCCCAGGCACAACAATATTTTATTAAAGCAGAGAAATATTAGGTTTACAAATAGTAGACTTTAAAAACATAAGTAATCCTGTTGTATTAAAAACAAATATTACACTTGGATTACAAAATATAAAATTTGAATAGATTATTTTTAAAAATGATGGTAAAATAGGTTTTATAGCTAATGTTGTTTAATTGATAGTAATAAGCATCGAAGATGTGCTTAATCCTAAAGTAATAAAAACTTTAGAAACATCAATATATCTAGGAGGAGATTCAAGTTTGTACAAATTCTCTATTTCAAACGACCAAAAAACTCTCTTGCTTTTCCCTGAGTTTTATGGGATAGTTTTTGCAGACATTGAAGATCCTAAAAATCCAAAATTCCTCTTTAAAATATATCTTGGATAAATCTACTTCTTACAGTAATCAAAATTCTTTTAAAATTATTATCAAATCTAAATAAAATATTATCTTCTAAACCAAAAAATATCTTAAAAAATAAACTAAAAAAATAAACAAACTAAGTAAAAATCTAATTTATCTGTTTTAATTTTTATATATTAATAAAACCCTTTCAAACAATTTAATATTTATTTTAAAGTTTTTTCATCCATACTTAAAATTAATTAGCAACAATTAATTTTATAGCCTCAATTATTTATTTTGAGCAAACTGTTTCAAAATTTTTAAGATATTTTAAAATTCAAGATAAAATAATTATTTTTCAAAGATAAACTATAGATAGCAAATACTTAATTTGTGGAGTTTCTTTTTAAGGAGTTTTTATCTACTTAATTAATTCAGATCGTTCTTTGACTTTAGTTTCTACTGTGCTTATTTAAGGAGTTGTTTACTTTTAATGGTTGATTTATAATGATAATTATTTGATTGTAACTACAGCTGAAATAGATTCAATTCTATTAGTAAATATTATTGATAAAACTAATCCTATTATTACTTAAATTATCTATTTTCCAGAAAATGATCCTATTTATTGGCTGCTTACCTCTTAGGATTAGTCCTTCATTTTTGCTTCAGCGTAATATGCTCTTTACTAATTGTTTATTTAAAGCCCAATAATTTTTCATTCTCAAATTTATAAGTTAATACCTATTGCTAATTCTAATTAGTATTCTAGAAAACGCATTTAATCAAATTAGGTCTTTCAAGTTGGTGATTAAATAGAAATTTACCTTGTAGATATTTATTAATCAACAAATTTATATATTAACAAAGCGCTGTATTACATTAATTTTGTTGTAAATGATTTACCTAGTTGGATTTAGTACTCTCCTTCCAGCTAAGTGCTAAGAATTTAAGTTGCTAAAGAGTCTTTGATTGCTGATTCTAATGGGAAATATACTCAAAAATCCTTACAATAAGTTATACTGCTGAGCTACTAAAAGCTTAGCGATGATATTTTTGAAAATAAAATATTAGGAATTAACTAAGACGATTCTATCAAACTAAAGTAAGTATGCATGAATGTAGGATACATTGACAAATCTGGATTTGTTGCTCCTTCATATTCACCTAATAATGTTTTCAACTTAGGTTTAGATTCTTAATCTTACTAATATCTGTAAAAATGGAATTAAACAGAAAGCTAACTCTAATCTATTCTAGAATTTATTTAATTCAAACTGAATCAAAATATCATAAACTATGTTATCCAATTTTACACTGAACCATCTCTTAAAGTTAACTTTACTAATTCCAAAAATCCTATTTAGTCAAATTAGGATTATTTATCAGTAACTCTTCAAATATTTAATGGGAAATTTGTTTCCAAACTTTATCCAGGAATACTTGTGTTAATAAATTCTGAGCAAGATACGATTTAGCTTCAAGGTACTGTGAAAAATATAAATCTAGCATTATATTAAAAGATAAGTTTATTTTTCAATTAAACTTCATTACTTAATTCTACAAAAATTTAAATAACTATTGATGACTTCATTAATTATAAGTATATTGATAGCTTAAAGCTTCTAAATGCAAGTTTTATCTCATTTCAATCTCCAGTAGTAATAAATACAAATCTATAAAGTGACTTTAATCAATAATATGAAAAGGGAGAAATTGCTGTTCAAACTCCTTTTAGTTACAAAGTAAGTGATAAAATATTTAAGTGCTTGGACTCTCCATAATTATTTTATTCTGCAAAAATGAAAATGGAAGATAATTCATTTAAAGATATTTCAAGTGGATATTGGCTCAGTTTTTCTTCAACTGATAGAACATTTTTCGGCACTGCTCAGCTCAGCTAATTTAATTCAGAATATACTATAGTTATTTCTGCCACTGATGGCTATACATCTGCCTAAGATGAATTTAAAATAAAAGTTAATATAATTCCATTCTTTGTAGTGTTTTAAATCATAGTTTAAATTGTTGGCCCTCTTTTAGGAGTTTTCGGAATTTGGAAATATAGGACTGTATTTTATAATATTATATTTAAGTTTTAGATTATTTATACAAACGAGATTGCATATGTTTCAGAATATTATGAAAAGAATATAATAATTACTGATAACTAGTTAAAAATAGCAAGAATACTTTGGAAATATGCTAAAAATTCACTAAAAAAAAAGTGGATCTAATAGTAAATTGACAGTTTAATTATGAAGTAGAATATTATCAATTAAGAATATACAAAACTTAATGTTATATCTCAAAGAGAGTTCAATTATACAGGAAACGAGTAATTGAAATCTGCTAATCTTTCAGCAATACCATCTTAATTATAACATTATAATGAAAATGAAAATTATTCATTCTAGGAAAATAAATCCTAAGCTTAACATAAAAGATTCAGCTAACGAGGTTTATATACCAAAAGATTGTCTATTTCTCATGAACAAACCAATAAGCCATAAGAGAATATCTATAAATAAAGCAACTTTAAATAAAATAGAGACTTAGATTCTGATTATAAAAATAATAGTATGATTGTTTTAGAAAATATTAAAAAAAGAGTAGTTGCAAGTGTGTCAAAAATAGTTGAATAATCAAGTAAATCACAAATCTATTCTGAAATAAAAAATTAATTGTTTGAGAGCAATGGAAAAATAGCTGAAAATATTATTTTTGATCTAATTTTTAAAAACGAATAAAAAATTTGTAAAGAAAATTAAATCATTTCAAAAGATGTTTTTGATTAACTCCTTAACAATAAATCTAGACTTTTCATAATGATAAAGAGCCTTGCAGTAGAGCATTTTATTGAATGTTCACCTATCTGTAAAAATATAGCTCTTATGCTCAAATAAAAAGCACTTGAAACATATAAAGAAATTGATTGGTACAAATAATATGTAATATCAGAGCCCCAATAAATATTGGATGATTAATTTCCTATTTAACGAATAAACTATACAACTTATTAATAAGCATTTGAAGATATTGTAAATGAGATGTCTAATAATAAAAAGGAAAATATTGAAAGAAAAAATGATAATCTTTAACCAAAAATGTAAAATGATCTAGAAAAATATCATCATAATTACTTTAAGAATTTATTATTATACTAACCAATTATTGAAGAATATCTGTACTCAGTTTCTTTAGGTATTTCAGATAAAAGCAAAATTTTATTTTAAGTGTCATAAGGAGATTGCTTACATTGTAGCCCTTAACATGTCCGTTCAATAAAATGTTTTGAAACTAACAAGGTATTAGATTGTTGTGTAAAAGCTCAAAATTTTTTAGAAATTAACTAGGTTGAAAAGGGTCTATCTGATAACTAAAGATTGCCTGAATGGATGCAAGTTAATTTCTAAAAATCCCATATTACAATCAAAGGCACTCCAGATCAAAAAAGTGTTGGCTTATCTAGAATAAAAATATTTGATTCTAAAGGGTATCTGTTAAGGCAATTTGATATTGAAATACTAGATTAAAGAAATCAAAATGAAATAATTTTTCTTTAAAAATCTTAAGATTAGAATAATTAATTAAAAAATAGCTTTAGTACATGCTAAAGAGAGATAAATTAGAGTGAAAATGAAAGCCCTGGTTTATTTAAATAACAAAAGAATAACATGAATGATATTTTCGATGAGTAACTTGATAAGTGCTTTTAAAAAATCAAGTCTTAAAAGTTTTAAACTCTTTAAAAAAATTCAAACTTGATCTTATAAAAATGCAGTGATAATTTTGAAACAATTTGATGTATCAAAACCAATCAAATTTATTTAATTTTTAAATAATTTTGATTTAAATAATTATATTTATTGAGTAAATAAACGAAAAAAATTAATAAAATTTATTTAATTTTTTGGTTAAATTTATTTTTTTAAACGGAATACAGAACAAGTTATATTTTTTAAATTTATGTTTTATCAAATTTATTTTACAGAAATAATAAAATTTTTTATTCATAAAATAACTTTTAAATAAAATTTGAAATTTTAATTTTATCTAATTGGGATGTATTTTTAAAAGAGAAATAAAATTTATAATAAGTTATTTCATATTTATTATTCAAATACATTTTTATTATGTAATTTATATTTATTTATTTATTTTTGTTTTATGATGTGGAATATTTATGATTTTTCAATTTTTAATATCAAATTTAGTATAAGGGGGATAGGCATAAATATCTAAACCACTGCATATGAGGTATATTGGGGCATAAAAGTTTTTGAAGAAACATTCATTATTATTAGCTATTCTTCTTGCTGTTTCATTAGCATAGCAAGAGAAGAATAAGTTATCTTAATTGATGTAGAATTGTGTTGTAGATTATTTTTACAAGTTATCTAAATCAATACAAGCTTAAGGAGGTTTTGAGTTCAAAGGCGTTATGTAATCAGTAAATTCATTTGACGTTAACATGAATCCTTCTGAAGTAGCACATTAAATTTCAGTAATTTATGGAACCTTGCTAAAACAAAGAACAAATTATTCAAAGGTTATTGGAGAAATGTTTAATAAATCTTTCGCAGACTTCTTTTGGAAAATTAAAAAAGTTGTTAAGCTTATTAGAGTAAATATAGAAACTAACAATAATCCTTTATTCATATCTTTTGATATTTTTATCAAATCAAATTTAATTGTAAAATAATTGTTTATAATCAAAGTAGGATTTTTTTACTTTCTTTTTATAAGTAATTAAATAAATTATTTTTACAAATCTTTTTATATTTTCATTCTTAAATAATATATTGAGAAGATCTAAATAATTTATTTTATCCATGATATTCTAATCAGAATACTAGAAATATTTTGATATATTCTTTTATTATTATTTTGAAAGTAGCTTAATAATTTTCAAAAGGAAATGTATTTTTTATTTATCAAAAACCAAATAAGGTTTTTTTGTTATCCATAAATTTCCAAATAATTATTTTGAAAAAAATCAAAAATAAGCTTTTCTTATTTTTAAATTAACAAAAAATAATAAATTTATTTTAATAAAAAAAATATTTTAGGTGAAAATATTCAATTTGATTAAAAAATTAATAAATTTATATATTCTTATTTAAAATGAGGATAATTAATTTTGTTCTATTATTGATATGATTTAACTATTACAAAAGGTAATGATTATATATATCATATTTTATGCATTAAATATAATGATTTCTTATATAATTAATGGTTTATATATTCCTAATTGCTCAATAAAGGTTGTATTATTTTATTTCAACAAATAATGCACTTTTCAGGTGTTAAATCTATCAATTTTTAATATCGTATTTTGTGTATGGAGGATAGGCATAGATATTAAAACCACCACATAATAGATATGTAGGGGCATAAAAATGCTTGAAAAAGCACTCTTCGCTATTGGCTATCTCTCTTACATTCTCAGTTATAAAACAGTTTAAGAAATAATTATTTTGGTTAATAAAATCTTCAATAGATATTTCTTATTAAGTGTAATTGTAATAATCTGAACATGCTTAGGGAACATTAGGATAGTCTGGAGTGGTAGCATTGAAGAATTTTTCTGTGGCATTTCTGAAGCTTTCAGTAGCTGCGCAAGGTAATTCAGAGATATCTGGAATTTCATCAGTGCATTCTTAGAACTAGTCAAAAGTTACAGGTACTAAATTCTAGAGATTATTCTTCTGATTAAGAATGAAGAAAAGTTGAATTCCTATCAAAGATAAAATAGGAAGAATTAAGATTAGTTTGTTCATATCTTTATTTATTATTACAAATTTCTAATTTATTTGTTATATTTAATTTATGGTTCTAAATTATTTATGATTTTAGTAAATAAATGAAAAATATTGATTGGAATAAAATTGATTGATACAAACAAATCAGGTGGTATTTTACAATATATTGAAAACACTAATTAAATTTAAAATTTATAAAGTGAACAAAGTTAATTTATTTCAAATATTTTTATATCAAACAAAATTAAACATTCGAAAAAATAATTTTTTATTTTAATTTTTATATTTTTTTTTAATTAAAAGATTTTTATTTAAAAAAAAAATAATTAATTCTATTACTTTCAAAAAAAAAAATTTTTTATTAACTATTTTAAAAGTTTTCTAAATTTTTTCAACATTTTACATACATATTATAAAATATGCATTAAAAAAATAAATACATACTCAAATTAAATCTGTTTCGTATAAATCGTAGTAAATAAATTTGGGGTTGGTACTAAAATAGGTTGAAACCATATTTTAAAACATCATCAATTTTAATATTTCAGATTCAAAGTTTAGTAGTAACTCTATAAATTGATAATTATTTAAGAATATAAGTATTTATCTCAAATTTATATTTACTCCAAATTTGAATAATCTTTCTACTAATGCTTATTTGACTTATAAAATTTAATTGTCTGATAAGTTTTTAATTTCAATTACTTTTATCTGAGCTTCATTTTGAATATATTTTAATATTTCATCAATAAAGTATTTTGCATTAATTAAGTAATTTTGAGAATATTTACCTAACAACCCATTACCTATTTCAATCACTTATTTATCATAATAATGAATATTGATAAATGATTCAAAGATATCTTCCCTTTATTTTTAATTATAAATTATATTTTATAACTACTCGACATTAGTAATACTTAGGTACCTAGGTTTTTAACTATTTTTTAATATATTTTATAATCTGTCTAATGAAACAACATTCTAATAAAAGTATGTATGAGAGTCCTTTTTGATAGAAAGGTATCTGTTTACTATATGACAAGACTATAAACATATATTTAGTATTAAGCAGTATATAATTAAAGTATAATATTGTTATATGTGTTCATTATTCTAAGGGATCAAATTAAATATTTTCACTGTAAACATCATAACTAAACAATCTATCAATTGCCCTGCCCTTACAATAGTTATTGAAGATTAAGTTGAGATTTAATTGAATTTAAAATCTACATATTGGAATTATAAGCTATTACTATCATAAAATGGAGAATAGTCAGCTGGTAGGGAAATTAAGTTAATTGTTGTACAAATACCTAAAGTTTATAAGCGCCACTCTGGAAAACAACCAAAGAACTGCAATCCTTTAACGTATATAATTTGAGCTTCAATAATTGAAAGAAGAGTTTTCCATACTAAGATAATCATACATACTCTTAAATCTTACAATAATATTAATAGTAAACCTTATAAACTGCAAACTCCAAGAAATATAGAGATTAACTGCAATAAATTGGTAAAATTTAGCGTGCTATTGTGTATTTCTACTAAAATAAACAATATTATTAAAGATTTAACAATAAATCCCAAAAGTATTTAGAATAAGAAGAAATATCCTACATATTTAGGCATTTCATATAAATACCCATAAAGAAATAAGTAAATTATAACAAAAGCGTCATATGCTATAGTAATTATGTATGATGCCAAGAAACGCATCTCAAATCTCGGATTCTAAAAATCATTCAAGTTAAATAGAATTACAGAAAGCATTTTGAAATCAAATCTCTATTTGTGTCTTTGATAAAAATAAAAAACTATTGATTTTTCAATAATCACAAATGTTAGTGTTATTTAAAAGTATGTGATATAAGATTGGTAATAGCTGAAAACTAATACTACATAATTAAAACAAGCATATACTAATCTAGTAATATCTAACGCTTTAATCAAGAGCATGTCTTTCTTGTTTGTTTTTAATTAACTTTAATGGACAAACTAACTACTTATTTGCTTTTATAAAAAAATATTTATATTTTTCTTTATCAACTTCTTATCTTTTTTCTTTTTAATCAAATATGAAATCCCTAAAATTTACTTTTAATAAAAGAAATTTTTACTTTTATCAAATCCCTATCTCAGAATTAAAAAGAAAAGAAAATATTTAAGTCACAGCTGTAATTTACCAAAATATTTGATTATATTTCATGAAACATAATTATTTGTTTTCTTATTTTTATTTTATAGATAGTTTACTCAAATTAAAATTGAATATAAGGAAAATAATAATAAGTTTAAAAACAATTATTAACCCATTAGTTAGGGGAGGTATTTGAAAATAATGAAACATCTATGATAATTTTTTATATTTTTAAAAATATACCATGATAAATAATTAATAAATTAATAATTTGAGGTATAGTATATGAGTTTTGATAAGAATACATACAAATTATAAAAAAATAAATACATAATCAAATCAAATCTGTTTCATATAAATCGTAGTAAATAAATTTGGGGTTGGTACTAAAATAGTTTGAAATAATATTTGAAAACATCATATATTTCAATATTTCAGATTCAAAGCTTAGTAGTAACTCTATAGATTGATTATTATTTAAGAGTTAAAGTATTTATTTCAAATTTTTATTTACTCCAAATTTGAATAATCTTTCTACTAATGCATATTTGAACTATAAAATTTGATTGTCTGTTAAGTTTTTAATTTCAATTACTCTTAACTGAACTTCATTTTGAATATATTTTAGTATTTCATCAATAAAGTATGTTGCATTAACTAAGTAATTTTGAGAATATTTCCCTAGCAACCCATTACCTATTTCTATCAACTATTTATCATAATCATGAGTATTCATAAATGATTAAAATATATCTTCCCTTTATTTTTAATTATAAATTATATTTTATAACTATTCGACATTAGTTATGCTTAGGTACCTAGGTTTTTTACTGTTTTTTAATATATTTTAAAGTTTGTCTAATGAAACAACATTCTAACAAAAGTATGTATGAGAGTCATTTTTGTAAGAAAGGTATCTTTTTACTATATGATAAGACTATAAACATGTATTTAGTATTAAGCAGTATATAACTAAGGTATAATATTGCTATATGAGTTCATTATTCTAAGGGATCAAATTAAATATTTTCACTGTAAACATCATAACTAAACAATCTATCAATTGCCCTGCCCTTACAATAGTTATCGAAAATTAAGTTGATATTTAATTATATTTAAAATCTACAAATTGCTATTTTAAGCAATTGTTATCATAAAATGGAGAATAGTCAGCTGGTAGGGAAACTAAGTTAATTGCAGTACAAAGACCTAAAGTTGATAAGCGCCACTATGGAAGACAACCAAAGAAATATAATCCTTTAATATATATAATTTGAGTTTCAATAATTGAAAGAAGAATTTTCCATACTAAGATAATCATACATACTCTTAAATCTTATAATAATATTAATCCTAAGCCTTATAAGCTGCCTACTCCAAGAAATATAGAGATTAGCTGCAATAAATTAGTAAAATTTAATGTGCTATTGTGTATTTCTACAAAAATAAACAATAGTATCAAAGATTTATTAAAGAATCCAAAAAGTATTTAGAATAAGAAGAAATATGATCCTGAATTGTTAGGCATTTCATATAAATGCCCATAAAGAAATAAGTATATAGTAACAAAAACATCATATGCTAAAACAAATAAGTATTATACCACGAAATGCATCTCAAATTTCGGATTCTAAAAATCATTCAAGTTAAATAGGATTACAGAAAGCATTTTGAAATCAAATATCTAGTTGTTTCTTTGATAAAAATAAAAAACTATTGATTTTTAAATAATTACAAATGTCAGAGTTATTTAAAAGAATGTAGTATAAGATTGGTAATAGCTAAAAACTAATACTACATAATTAAAATATGAGTATATTAATCTAATTATTTCTAACACTTAAATCAAGAGCATGTCTTTCTTGCTATTAATTAACTTTAACTGCCCTAACTAACTATTTATTTGTTTTTATTATATAATATTTATGCTTTTCTTTATGGACTATTTACTTATTTTTTTCGTTTTAATCAAATTTGAAATCCATAAAATCTACGCTTAATAGAAAAAATTTTACTTTTATCAAATCCCAATAAATCAGAATTAAAAAGAAAATAAATTCTTCAACTCATAGAAATAATTTACCAAAATATTTGACTTTCTTTCACTAAACATGTTTTTTTTCTTCTTTTTATAGGTAGTGTTTTCAATTTCAAATTGAATATGAAGTATATTAATTAAGTTAGAGATTAATAATTAAATATAAGTGCGTTAAAGTCCTAACAATTACTCTTAATATTAAAAAAATTATTAAAAACTTTTAATTTCCACTCATTTATGTAAATTAAAGTAGCAAATAAAGTACCATTAAAGCGTTACTTAGTATCGTATTTTTATTAATATGAGCTATATTTTAAAACTAATATACTGTATTGATGCATGGATAACTAGATTTTTAGCTATTTTTTAATATCTTTTATAGTTTTTCTAAAGGCTTAAAATTATACCAAAAGAATGCATTTCATTTTTGAAAGAAAGGTATCTGCTTACTATATGATAAGATATTAAATATCTACTTAATATTAAACAATTTATAAATAAATTTTTTATAATTATATATGTTGATTATTCTCAAGGAAAAATTTATAATTTCTCACTCTTAAAATCATTACTAAAAAATTTATCAATTATCATGCCTATATAGTAATAAGAGAAGGTGAAATTGAGAAATATTAGAATGTGTTATATTGCCATATCTATTTTATAAACTATTTATATGATAAAATCAAGAATAATCTACTGTTAGGTTAACTAACTTAACAAAAGTACAAAAAAGTTATATGCTTAGAGCTCTCCTAAGGTAAAATCAAAAAATTTTAATTCTTTAATGCGTATAATGTAAGCTTCAGTTATAGAAAGTAGAAATTTTTATAATAAGATTATCATATATACTCTTAAATCCTACAGTAATATTTATTCAATGCTTTTTTAGCTGATAACTGCTAGAAAAATAGAGAAAGAATAGCTTTAGTAATTTTTTAAAACTTATTTAATTATCATATATTTCTTCATAAAGAAATAATAACATATTGGATAAAGTACTTTTAAATAAAACTTTGAGATAGTTTCTTTATAATTTTAATAAACAATAGCTTTTTATGATCAAAAAAACCAAAGTTATTGAGAAGTATGTGGTATAAGATTAATGATAGCTGAATATTAACAGAAAATAATAAAAATTAGAGCACAATAATCTAATAATATCTAATCCTTAAATTAAGTACATGATTTTCTTTTAATCTATTTCAACTATTTGAATTGAGCTAACAAACAATTAATTTTTACTATACAATACTTTCTTTATGCTCATAACTTTTTTTTAAATAAAATTTACAATCCATAGAATTTGCTCTAATTAGATATTAATTTTACTTTCATAAAATTTCATTCAATAAGGAATAAAAGAAAGTAGAATCTTTACCTCATTGCTAACATCAATCTAAATATTTTTAGCATTCATTAATTATAAATTTTTTAATGTATTTTTTAAGTTTAGAATGTTAAAATCTAATAATTTCAGTTACCAATAATTAATTATAAGTGTTTTAAATTTCATATAACCACTCATACTTTGGACTAAACATTAAAAACTTTTCATTTATGCACATTTTTCACATCAAAACAGTAAAAAATTTAATATTTTTTGAAAATTGAAGTACAAAAAAGAGATTATATCAGACAGCTGATATTTTATTTACAAGTAACTAATTTATTAAATTTAGAAGAAAGAGAAGAATGATAAATTTTATTTTATTCTTATAAGTTTGAATTATCAATAGATAGAATATTTTATGTAACTGATAGTTTTCTTAAAAAACATAAATAATTTATTTCAAAACAAATAAATTATAAATTAGAATTTTAAATTTTGATTGATAGACAGATTAGATTATTTTATTTTGCTTATTAAAACAAATAAAAACTAATAAAATAATATTTAAATTATAAAAAGTGAAAATAATATTTTTTATTATTGAATAATTTAAGTTTAAAATCAATAATAACTAAATAAAAATAGATCTGAAATAGATAAATTTGTGAATAATAAATAACACTACTTTTTTTTATTCCAAAATAATTAATATTTAATTGAAAAAAGTTATAAATTTATTATTATAACGCATATGCAAATAATAGAAAAAAATAGGAAATTTTGTATTGAAAGGGCGTTTCAACTTAATTTAATAAATAGAAAATAGATGTTCAAGCTTAACGAAAATACTTATTAAGTTCTAATTAGAACTTTCAATAAATTTACAATATTATGTAACTTCATAAACCAAATATAATTTGCTTAGGTATTTTAAAGAGGATTTACACATAATTTAATACCTTTAAGATATTTTATGGAAAAAATGTGAATGAATAATATTTGTGTAAGAAAAAATAAATTCTTGTGATTACTGAGTTTTTATAAAATAAATAAATAAAATCAAGAAAAGTGGAAATAAAAATTGAACGTCTTATTTAAAATTTCTATTAATTTAAATACTCGTAGAAATACTTGCTTAAATTTATTAAATATTTTTTATAAAAACAATCACTTTATTAAATTAAAAATAAATATGAAAGAATTAATTGGCCCTGTAATTGGAAAGGTTACTGATACAACTGCTCGAGTCCTTCTGGAATACGATTCTGACGGAGAAGTTACTGTTACATTAAGTGCTTAAGGCTAGACAGATAAAATTCTAACTTAAAGAGTTTAAGCTAGGAAGCCTGCTATATTTAGATTTTTAAATCTATAATCAAATACGAAATACTCTGTTTTGATTTCACCTTACACTAAAACTTTAAAAAGTTAATTTAAAACTTTAAACTATGAAGTGAAGGATTTAAAGATATGTTGGGTCAGTTGTAATGATGCATCTAAGTATGAAAAGTTAGGAAAAAGAAATTTATGGTTGAATTTAGCTAAGGAAGTTGCTGAAGAATAATATGATCTTATAGTGCATATGGGTGATTAAGTCTATTTAGATTCAGATTAATGGTATGGAAACAAGAATAATGTCTACAATAGAGTTTAAGAATAAGTCTTTAATAAGTATCCCAAAGAAGAGTGGAAATTGCATAATGAAGAGGTTTTAGAGCTTATTCGAGATGAATACAGAAGAGCATGGAATTTTCCCTAAACTGCTTACATTCTAGCAAATACATCAAATATTATGATATTTGATGATCATGATATAAGAAATGATTGGGGATAATATAAGAGGAAAAGTGTGGTCTGGGGCAATTTTTTGTAAAACCCGGTGTGGTCTGGGGCAATATTTTTAAAAAATATTGCCCCAGACCACACCGGGTTTTACAAAAAATTGCCCCAGACCACACTTTTCCTCTTATATGGGATATCTTAAGGATGATTGGGATCCCAATTCAAATAAATTTGATTATCACTATGGTTAATTATGTCGCTAGGTGTATTACGAATACTAACGATAACTTAGAGACGATTCACTTGACCTAAATGATTTATCAAAAGTTAAGGAAGAATACTTTACAGTTAAATTAGGGAAAATAGGATTATTCTTTTGTGAATTACGAGGTGATAGAACTTGGCATAGGTAAGCAGATTTTGATGAAAGTAAGATCATGACATAAAAGTAATGGGATTTTCTTGATTAATCCCTCAACTAAGAGTTTTAAGATGTAGAAAATTACGTTTTTGTATCATAGAGCACAGTCGTATTCTTAAATCATAAGTTGAATGAAATATTTGGAAAATCATCTAGAGATTATCTTGAGTAATGGGTTCGACATGAAGATTGCCAAATAAAATTGCTCAAAAAACTTTATGACTGGAAATTTGATCCGAAGTTTCAAGGGAGAGAAGTTACAATAGTTTGTGGTGATTTACACTTAGGAGGCCATACAGATATTTATTTCAAAAAAAAGTAAGCCTTCAAACAATTTACTTCAAGTGCAATTACAAACGGTCTTAAATAAGGAAGAGATAGAATTTTAAATCACTTAGGATATACCATTTCAGAAATTATGCCATAAGGAGAATTTTAATATGACCATCACGGCTGGACAGGTTAGAATAACTATGGTGCTAGCCATTTTAGAAATATAGTAAATAAAAAAAATTAAAAAGTTAATAGTGTTGAATGTTGGAGTGTTATAGCTAAAGACAAAGAAGAATCTTAGCCATTTATGATTCAACCAAAGATAGATAACTACACATTCACAAAAGATATTGATTTCGCTGTTTGTTGTACTATTTTTTGAAATATTTTTAATTTATCAAGATATAATAATAAAAATGATTTTTATTGTTTTATATGAAGTAGATGTTTTGAATTAAAAATATTTATCTTACTAAATTACCATTACGCTTTTATTAATTTTTATTGGCCAAATTCATTTTTATTTATTTTATATTTTTATTAAAAACAACAAAAAAATAAACAAAAATAAAAATAAAATTTAAAAAAATGTTATCATAAGATTTTATAAATTAATTTTTCATTTAAATTAATTAAATTTAAATTTTAGTTGATTAAATTTATTAATTAAACTACTATTTTTTGATGATCTAATTTCTTTTTCTCCTTTATAGAAATGAAAGTTTAAAGTATTTTTTTTGAATTTATGACAACAACCTTCAAGAATATATTGAATAAGAGTTTGAAAAAAAATAAAATAAAGAAATTATTATTTAATATTTTAATATTCAATAAATTAATTACCAAGTAATAAAAATAAAATTTATAATTTTTAATATTATTTAATTGGAAAAATAAATTGTTAATATTTATGTCAAATGGAATTATTATTCTGTATTTTAAAATATTTTTTTAAACAAAATGATTATATTTATTCTTTTATTTTTATATGTTGGGATAAATTAAATTAAATTAGATTTTCTACTGAAACTTTTAATAATTTCAGATATAAACAATTACATTTTAAAGTAATTTAATTTAAATTTATTTATTTGATATAATCTTTTTATTTATTTTATCAATATTTTTTTTAATAAATCTTTTATTTCTTTAAAATTTTAAAAAATTAAAGATTCAGTTTAGAAAATTTATTAATAAAATTAATATTTTTAGCTTTATTTAAGAATAATAAATCTTTAAATTAAATTTTATTTTGGTATTTGATTGTATATAAAATTTTTGCATGAAACATACAACTAAAACAAAATAAAAAATGAAATGAAATGCATCAACCAAAATACAAAAAAATTTATATACAATTTTTTTCTTTTGATGATGAAAATTCAAAATTAGTTTGAAATGAATGACGTAAATTTTAATATGATTTGTTAGAGTAATCTAAAAGATATTTGTTTTGTTTAGTAAACATGAAATAGAAAGAGTAAATATTTGAATAAAAATACTTTAGAATGGTTAGGATAGTAACAAAAAAAAATAAACACAATAATAATATTATTATTAATATTATTACGCAAATAAATGTATAAAACTATCATAAAAAAATTTAATATTGGGATTTTATTTTATTTAAAAGCATATTTAATTCATGCTTTTGCTTATACTAAATCTCTCATTGAGAAAGAATAAGAGCAATAATGAGACCGTAAAGACCCAAGGCTTCAGCAAAAATGAGAATCAAAATCATACCAACGAAAATTCTGTCTTATTGGGCATCTATTTTTATTAAGTTAATATTTAATCTTAGTTAGCTTCATAAATATATTTAAACATAAATCGTTTTATCAATTTGCTTCTTTAAGTTTTATTTTTGAAGTTATTTGAGCAAACGATTTTATTAATGTATTCATTGTTTAAATAATAAAAAATAAATAAATTACTAGCTCTGACACCAGCATCACCAACAATACCAATAGCAAGACCGGCAGCCTTTATTATTAGAAGGTTAAATAAATTATAAAAGAATTATAATAATAACTCAATGAATAAAATTATTCAATCAATCAAGGATGAAGCTCAATAAATTTGTTAATTGAAAAATAAAATGATCGATCTGGTTTTTTATATTTGCTAATAAGCGATTTTTATTGTAATTAGTTTATAAAACAATCTTTTTATTTGATTAATCTATCAATTTTACTTGATTGATTTTTTATTGATAATTTTTAAATCTATTTTATGCTTATCTTATTCTTATCTCTTTTTTGTTCACCTTTTTAAATGCTTATTTTTTATTCAAATCTTAATTATTATCTTACATTATTTATTACGAACAGCAGCTAAAATAATATTTAGTCTTATATTATTATAGGAGTTTATTCTTAAAAAATGTTGATTTTTCTAATTAGATGAAATATATGTAATGATGGATGAACTTATTTGAAGAAAATTAAGTTGCTTAAGTGCATGCTTAATTTGAATCTTAGTATTTAAAATTTGATACATTTGCAATTTAAATTATTGATTGATTGATTGAAAAGGGGGTGAATAAAAATGAAGTAAATATTACGAGGGAGGAGAGACCGCAACAAAGACCAGCAGCAAGGTGAGAGTAAGCAGAGTAAGAGTTGTAAGTGGTCTTATCGACTATTTGAATTAAAAATAAAGTTAAGCAAATAATTTACAAAAATGAAAGTTTATTGAGTAGCTAAAAAATAGCAGATTTGGAATAAAATTTTGAATTTAATGAAAAGCAAGATTGGTTAGACCCAACGAAGTAATAGATAAAACCATACTATCCTGCTGATAAAATTAAAGGAATAAATAAAAATAATTACTCTTTTAAGCAAGGATAACTGCAACAATCATACCATAGATACCCAAGATACCAGCCATGACTACTGGAATGATGGACTTCATGATTAAGTCAGGCTTTAAAACACCCATAGATGAAATACCAACACCTGACTTGGCAGTACCGTAAGCAGCACCTAAGTCTATTGTTTTATTAAAAATATTTATTTAGATACATTAAACTTTTCTCTGATTATTGATAGTTGCTTGTTTGTTTGATTGATTTATTGATTGAATAGTCCTCAAAGTATCCTCTCCAACCAGTCCAACTTATCTTTGTTTGAATTAATTAACTTTTCCTTGATTTGCCTTTTTTTTGATGCAAAAGAAGAATATCTTTTGGAATTTTGTTATGTAATTCTGCTATTAATTATTTGTTTCTGCAAAATGCTGTTTTCATAGGCTAAACATTGAATGCTTGCTGATAACTCCTTTTATCTCTGTTTTTGACCAGAGTTAACTAAATGAGATGATCATCTGTAAATCTAAACTAATAAGAATAATTCTAAAGATAATTGTATCTGCTTAGAGGGAGGTTTGAGTAAATATTCAATCAAACTAAGAAAAATAGAATAAGTTTTATGCCATACTAGCGAAGACTAAAGCACTTGCTACACCAATGAAACCGAAGAAATAGTTAACACCACCGTTGTCTGACATTTTACTTTTGTTTGTTGGATATATTTATTTTTCTTTTTAGTTTTTTTTGCTTTTTAAATTTATTTTTTTCTTTTATTTTATATTTTTATTTATTAGGAATGCCTTGTTTTTTCTTCTTATTAATCTTCTTCTTTGTTATCTTCTCTCTTTCTTTTTCTCAAATCATATTATCTTTTTTAATTGTTTGTACTTTCTCTTCTTCCACCCAACCTAACCCAGTCTGTCTTACCTTTTTGCTTCTTTCTTTCTTTCTTTCACTTTATTTATTTTTATTTTATAATTTATTTCTTATTCTTAATTGAAAGGAAAGTTATGTGCAAATCCCCATTTATTAATCAATCAATCAATTAATAATTTCAATGAGCAATAAAAAAATAAATAGATCTTCATCAAAGGAAAAAAGCTTGATTACAACCAACATTTTATCCATATATCACATTTGTTTAGTTATTTACTTGATTTCATTTTCTCCAATATTTATTATTATCTATCTTAAAATAAATTATTTATATTGCACACTAATTTCTATCTATCTATCTATATACCAATCTATTTTTTATTAGTTATTGCCAATATCAGGCTTATTTATCTATTTTTGGATAAATACATGCATACATATAATATTAATTACCTTTAGGATTGTCAAAAAATAATTTATTTCCTTTCTAACAGGCGCCTTTTGATCAAAAGTAATCTATTCTTTTACACAATAATAGCAAGCTATATTTAAATAATTATATAGGAAAATTTCATAAATGCAATATTTATATAAGACTTTCTAAGCGTTTATATTCATTAAAATATTTCAAATTTAAGCAAAAAATTTGATTCAAAATCAATTAATTGATTACTAATTTTTTTACAATTAATAAGGCAAGATAAAATTAAATTACAAATTAATCTGATTTATTGTTTTATTTAGCTAAATAAAAGAAAAATATAAATTTTTTAAAATTAATTTATTATTCTTTTAACTTTTACTTTTAATTTTAATATAATTTTTTAAATTCAAAATCTAGTTCGTTTTTTTGAGAATAAAATATTGATATTTTGTGCATATTATTATTAAATATTGTTTATACTTCATCAAAATTTTATTAAACTTTAAATTTTAGAACTATTGTTTATTTAAATTTAAAAAAATATTTAATATTGACTATATATTATACTTAAAAAAATGATAATATTATAAACAAAAAATGTTAATTAAAACTTTAATTTTTTTTAAATTAAATTTATTTAATTAAAATGAAATCTTTAATTATTATTGAGATCAAGCAAGCAAATATCAATCAAGTATAATAAATTGGGTTGTTTGTTTATTTATAGATATATGCCATATCTTTTGTTTCACTTTCAGTGGCTTGGGTTGTTATCCATATACAATTTACCTCATTAGATTTCTTATTAATCGTTTGAGGAAGGAGCTTCTAAAAATATTCAAATAACCAATTCAATAAATTTAATTATATAAATATTTAATTATTTTTGTTATGGATCCTTGTAATGGTTGCTTAGAGGTATTTAAAGATATTGAAATAAAAACTGTAAAAAATGTTAACTAGCTTTACTTTATAAAAGCAAACAAATTTGATTGATTTTAGAAAAATAAATTTTGTTAAAACAAAATTAAATTTTAATTAACACTCTTTCTTTTGCTTTATTAGATTGAATACTTAAATATTAATGAACTTATGCACACAAATTCCAATATAATATGAAGGAATACATGAACAGAATGAATATATTTAAAGAAAAATAGTGTATGCAATTCTTAACAAATAAATATAGTTGTTATAAACTGAAAGTCATGTAAGAAAAAATGTTAGTAATAAGATTAAGAAAAATTAAAGATAAAAAATTAACAACTATTTTTACTTAAAATTTGTGTGCTCTAAATAGAATCACAAAACAAAATAAAAAAACAAAGAAAAGCTATTAATACTCAGCGAATAACACTGCTGACTTACACAACATCTGATAAAGAAAAGCGTTTCTAAACATTTTAAAAATCTTAAACTCCATTAACGTAATCTAAATTACAAAAACTTTCATTTACTTACAACCAACTTTAAATATTCTTAAAGGATATACTGAAAAAATAGAATGTATAAGTAGCATTAATAGCAATACTATAATCAGTTTAACTACAATAACGTTAGTGGTAGTAATGTAACCCATCAAACACTTTCGAACAATTAAGCCCCTGCAAGTAATTAAATGGCTAGTAACTTTCTTACTAACAGTGGGTAATTCAACAATAATAGCTAGACTACAAGTAGCAGCTCAGTCCCTATGACATATTCGAGCAATTATTTGAAAAAAAAAAATTAGATTGATACATCGCCCCATACACCCAAATATTCTCCTCGAAAATGCATGAACAACATAAACACTAATTGTAATAATAACAGCAGTTTTGTGGCTTAAGGCTAAAATACTTCAAATCAAACTCATTTTTAGATTCCTTAAAATTAAAAGTAAGAGATTATAGTTGATTGTTTATAATTCGTAAACGACATTTAATTTATAAAAAATAAAAAAACAGCATTAATTACACTTCTACAACACCGCGCTCATCTGAAAAGTATAATGCAAATGGAGTTAATTCCAATTTCAGTGGATATGTTAGCAATTACAATGCTAATTGTTATAAAAATGGCAATTTATCTCCTTATAATACTAGCAGTAAGTAGTACACTCAGTTAATTAACGAATAAGATTCTTAAACTCCTTAGAACAATAGTAGCAATATTTCTATAGCCAATAGCTCTAATTAGCTGTATAATTCTAGAAATGCTACTTCTGTCCATGGAAACAGAGCCAGTGGAAGTTAAAAGAAGAGTATGAATCAGTTTGAGTTTATAGATGTCGAGAATATTCCTTAGACTCAAACTATGGATTTGATAGATAAATTCCTGAAAAATTCATGTAAGATAAACAAATATTTATCATTAATTTATTTGTAGATAATTTGATAATAAATAAATCAACAAAATTATTTCAACAACTTTAGGATAATAATTTTATTTTTTTAAATATAGCTGCATTATAAAGCAATAACATTGCTGCTGAAAATAGTACTCCTAGTGAAAGAAAAAAATATAAAAACGATCTTTCTCCCTTCAAATACTCAACAAATAAGGTTTTGAACACAAATCAATCTAATACTAGTGCTCAATAAGGAGGAAATTTATCTATTATATAGTAATAACTAGAGATTTTTAAGTAAACCTCATTTACACCTTCTCGTAAAAGCTAATAAAATCCTTCATAAACTAAGAGTAGCAACTCTAATAACTAATCTCTTAGCAAGAACTCATAAAATATAGGATCTTAATCATAAGCACAGTCATATGGATAATCTTAACACCATAATTCCTAAGGAAAATACCAACCATCAATAACTTCATCTACTTCTTCTAATTCAAAAGTTTTCCACCAAACTAATACTCCTTAGCAGTTTAGAGAACCTCTAAAAAATGTAAACAACATCAACCTCTAATAAGTAATTTTTCCTTTTAAAATAAAATTTTACAATTTACTATTATATCAATCAGTATGGATAGTTGTAACTAAGAGAAGATAAAGTTCCATTACAAAATCTTAGCAGCAATAACTTGAGCTATACAAATTAACGCAATTATACTCCCACTAATTCTTCCTCAGCTGCAAAAAAATTATAAACATAGACTCCTTAGTAGTAATATTTGCATTACTAATACTCTAACACTCCATAAAATAATAAAAACAATTAAAGCATGGTAAAGAGTGTTAAAAATTCTTCTAACTTAAATCAAAACATAATTAGTAATAACACCCCAATGACTGCAAGTAAAAATCTCCTTTTTGGCAGTACAAACAATAGTGGAAATTACTAAATTTAATCATCGGCTTAAGAAAATGCTTTTGCAAATGTAATTAGCAGCACAAAAAATGATTTATCATAGTAAGGACCCGTTGAATAGCAATTTCCTCTTAATATCCAAAGCTAATCCAGCAACAAATTTAAGCAAACACAAAAAGTAGGGTGCGAAAACATTTAATTGAATACAAATGCTAGCAATTATTCAGGTGAATTTGGATTTACACCAATTAATAATCAAAAATCCACCAGTAAAGTCAGTACTTTTAATTTAGATGTTTCAAGAGACCTTTCAATGATGATAAACAACAATTTCAATGGTAATTTACTAATTTTATTAATTTAATATAAAATTTTTTTAATTTTGAAAATATAGGACACAATGCCAGCAATAACTAAATCCACAACACAAGCAATAACCTCTTCAATCTAAACTTTTTAGATAAAGATTCTTCTAATATATTTAATTTCCATAATGATAAGGATTAGAGCTAATTCTCTTATAACTATATTGAAAAAGACTACTCTACCATCAACAATAACGTTTCTAAGGAGCTATCCACATTTTAAACACCTCTAAAAGGAGGAAAATAACAATTAAGCTACATGCTTGAAACTTGCACTAATTTAGATAATATCACAACAAATAACTTAACCATTTGCAGCACCACAAATAATAATGCAAACAACAATAACAATACTACATATACTAGTAATTACAATAATTATAACACTTAAAAGACAAACACAAAGCTGAATAATAATTCTTACATCCTTGAAAAATCACCTAACACAACTGATTAGAAAAATCCAGCATTAAATTAATAATAATAATACAAAAAGAATAGTTTGATTTTATATGACTCTCCTAGATTTAACAATGAAGAAAATAGAGATAAGAGCAAAGATATTTACGAAAATGATAAAGCTATTAAAGAAGAGTAATTTTAGCAACCTGCCAATGTATCTACTTAAAATAATAATAATAACTCTTCTAATAAAAACAATTTCTAGTAAATGATAAGCGATTTAAAGAATTAATACAACTAAAAACAAAGCCAACTTTAACAAATTAAATAAAATCTTGATTTCTCAGCCAATAAAAAATCATCTAATGAAGAAGGGTACTAATTTTAAACTTAATAAAAAGTTATTTAAGAAGAGGATTTAGTCTCTAAAATTTGTGCTTAAAAGAATAATAGCATAAATAATATTCCCTCAAACAACTAAGCATCTCCTTTAACACCTGCTTCTAACTATAATAATATTTATAATGACACATCTAACAAGAAAAACTAATCTAGTTCTTCCTACACTTCTATTAAGAAAAAGAATTTCTACGAAGAAGCTCTCCAGTAAGCTGATTAAAGTGTGAAGAACGTTTTCAAAAAGTTCGATAATCTTTTAAAAAATAAATTTGAAACAATGTAAAACAGTAGAAAAAACATTACTAATTCAAATGATGATAAGGGTATTTAAATGCTTTCTAATAATTAACAATAAAATTAAGGAGTAAAATAAGCAGATCAGACAATTTCAACTGCAGCAGTCTCTGGAGCAAATCCTTCTTTAAGAAATAATTCTAATACAGGCACTTCCAGATCATCAAACAATGTAATAAATTAAGTTGATTAAAGTAACATTAGCAACAATATAGCTAATAGCTATTCTTACAACACAAAAAATTACTCTATTCCTAATCCCTCAAGCTAAAGCAACAATAATAACTTAACTTAAAATAATACAACTAACTATATACCTTCTTCTGCTTATTCTAATGCTACAACTGCTTAGAAAGACAAAGAAAGAGAGCGCACTCCTCCACACAATCCTGTCTAAAATGCTGAAAAAGTACAAATTAAACCTGTTTAGCCCTCTTAATAAAAAGCTATTCCTTCATAGGCTCCAGCTTCATCTTCATCTAATGATAAAAAAGACCCCTATCCTATCCAATATCATAAATCACTTGAAAAATTCATTTTTGGAAAAGTTTTAGGTATAAAAATTTTAACATTCATAACATTTTATCATATATTTTCATATTTAATCAAAGGTCTTGGATCTTATGCAGTAGTTAGAGTTGTTCAAGATTAAAACACAAAAGAAAAATATGCCCTTAAAACCTATGAGAAAAAGAAACTTTAAGACCCTTAGAAAAGAAAGAATGTTGCACGTGAAGTTAAGATTTTATCCAAAATAAAACATCTTAATATAATTAGACTTTATGATGTTATTGAAACTAACTCATAACTTCATTTGTTAATGGAATACCCTTGTTCTACTCCCTTAAATGCCCATATAAAATCAAAGCCTCACCGTAAATTATGTGAAGAGGAAGCAAAAGTAATATTTAGTCAACTCGTAGAAGCTGTGAAATATTGTCATCGCAAATCAATTGTTCATAGAGATATCAAATTAGAAAATGTTCTTTATGATTCTAACACATAGACTGTTAAATTGATTGATTTTGGATTCTCAATAGCTCTAGCTCCTGGAACTAAACTTAACATTTTCTGTGGAACTCCTAGCTATATGGCACCTGAAATCGTTAACAAAAAAGACTACACCTTCCCAGTCGATACATGGGCTCTTGGCATACTCTTATTCAAGGCTCTTAATGGTAATTTTCCATTTAGAGGTAATTTTAAAATTAATTTTTTATAAAAAAGAAACCTAAAAAAAATAAATTAAAATAAAAAATCTTACAAAACATAATTTAAAGTTTTAGAATTTTAAGTGATAAATAAATATACAAAAAACTTAGGATAAGATGACAAAGAGTTGTATAGAAGAATAAATTCTTGCAAGCTAGACTTCTAACCTCATGTATCTTCTCAAGCTAGAAGCTTAATTAGTAAAATATTAAGACATAATTCAAATGAAAGATACACCCCTGAATAAGTAATATTATTAATTAATTAATTAAAACTTAAATAATAATTTATATTCTAATTTAGATTCTTCAAGATGAATGGTTCAAAGTAAAAACTCCTACTAACTTCGCTATAACATCTTCATAATATGCCTAAAATTGATAGATTGATAAATAAATGAGCAAAAATAGATTTATTTATTTATTTGACAAGAAAAAAATGGAGAATTAATTAAAGAATTAATTAACTTAAAAAAATTAGAAGGAAAATAATTCAATTAATTTGTATAATAAATTTATTATAATAATTTAAATAAATAAACAAATAAATAAAATAATTAAAATAATTTATGTAAATAGTTAAAAGAGTTTTTAAATTGAATAATGTATATAATATCTATCTTCTTAAAATACTTGCATATACATATACATTTGTAATAGATCTTATTAAATCTTTTATCATTTTTAAAATCATTCATAATAATTTATTAATTGTTTACTCCACCTTACTTTCTATAAATAAATATTTAACATTTTAATAAAAATTGCTTGTAGTTAAATCAATCTTTTTAGCTTGATATTTCTTCATTTTATTGGCTACCTGAATTTAACTTTTAGTTTACATTTTATGCAATAGAATTAAATCTTTCCTTTGATCTTTTAAACTTTTCACCTTCCCAATAAACTTGCTTACAAGAAGCACATTGGAAAAACTAAAAATCAGAATAATTCGGATTGTAAAAGTCTACATATTTATGAGCTTATTCAGAAGATATAATTTCTAATTTGTCTCCATTACATTTAATGCATCTAGAAAGAATCATACCGTCATCTACTTATATCTTGAAGAAATTAAGTATTTCCTTAAATTGATTCTCTTAATTAAAATAATAATAAGTAAATAAAAATATTTAATTTTATTTTTTAAGTTAAATAATTAATTAAATACCTGTATTTGTGGTTTCTTAAATTAAAAAAACTGGAGCTTAACATAAAATTTATTTGAAAAATTTTGAGTTTCTTGTTAAGATAATTCTTTCTTCTTTGTTGCTTAAATCACATATTAATTTATAATTTTTATCTTAAAGAAAAGTGGAATCTATTCCACTATTTCGAAGATATTTTACTAGCTTATACAACATATTATCAACAATAAATTTTGGTTATTTATTCTTAAAGAAATTTTCAGTTCTATTGCTGTATTTAAAAAAATTTCCTACTTATAAAGGTTATTCATTATATTTAGTTTTACTAGAATATTATCTATTTATTTATATATATAATAAATTAACTAAAAATTTATCAGATTAAATTATTTACAAGTTATTTTTATCTAAGGACTATGATTATAGCAGCTTTAGACTATCATTTTCAATCATTAAATTTATTTGCTCATACAGCATTAGAGGCAGTAAAGCGTCTAAAGCTGCATAATGAATTTAGCATTTTCTTAATGGTCTTTTGCTCCAATCTGATATCTGCTCATATTTAGATATCTTTTATTTTAAAATTTAATAGCACATTTATTTAAGTGAGGATACATTTTCTAAATTTAGAGCTTCTTTGTAAATTATGCCTACATCTTAAAAGCTTTTTATTTTCATTTCCTTTTTGGCTTTAAATGTTTTATCCATCTCGTTAATATCTTACCAAATACTATGACCAATCTTTTAAATTAAAATTTAATATACCTTAAATTATTTACTTCTATTTATTTAAAAAAATTAAAAAAAGAGATTCTTTAAATGTTCATAGAAAAATCGAACCCTTAATGAGAATTAATTACACTCATTTGGATATATTGTGAATATTTACAATAATTAAAATTATTAATTTAAATAAATTTTACTTTGAGTATATTTTCATTTTCAAATAAATATGTCACAAAATCAAGAAATTGTTCATTTTCTAGTAGCTTAATTGTGTCAAATATAAATATTTTATTATTTGTGGCAAGCTGTAGAGTTGCTATACCTCCTTTTTCAAATTTATTCCATCTTGGAATGAATTCACTGTCAAAACCTATCAATTTTGATTTAGTTAAAATCTCAACAGCTATCTTAAAGTCTTAATTAATTTGGTCGATAAAGTAAACGTCTGTTTAATTTATTCCACATTCTTCTAAAGTAAGATATTTTTCCTATTCTAAGAAACAAAGGACTTCTGTAGGCCCAAACCCATCTCTCTCTAATATTCTATTTAGCATAGTGTTTTAGCTTTTATCTTACAAAAGCTAATTTAACTCAAAATGTGATGCTAATGAATCAATTTGAGTTTAGAATATTTTATTAAGTTAGTGTCTGCTTATTATTGAGGCTGCTTCTTGGTATTTCTTTTTTTGCACTAACAAGTCAACAAGGTAAAATAAAAGTTAACTTTATGAATTAATTCTTTCTTCTGCCTTTTCCCAATTTTGATTGCAATCTTATAATATTTTAGCTACCTTTTTTTTCTCCATTCTATCAACAAGTTAAGGAAATTCTTTATAGTTTAAGTTGTACTTTTCAATAATTTCAATACATTTGTCTTCATAATTTTTAAAAATTAATTAATTCACAAAGTGCTATTTATTATATTGAAGTAGAAATATATTAATACAGAAACAACCTAAACAAAACTATTATTTTTAGAAAATTTTATGAATAATCAAAGGATATGTACTTTTTGTAATTCTATGTCTTCATCATTAACTATAGTAAGTGCTTCATTAATTTTATCTTAATTGACCATTCTTTCTATCATTTCCTTCATATCTAATTTATTTCTTACATTAAAAACGCCAATAACTTTAAGTGCTTCATTGACTTTCTTAATCATAATCAAGTAATTAACAATCTATTTTATACTTAAAGTGACTTATAATTTAAAAAAAACCCTAAAATGATGTATTTTACTCTTCAAGAGGTATTGCTTCTTTTATTTAAAAGAAGTCTAAGTATCTTTCTAAGACGTCGCCAGGAATAAGCTTCCAATTATCTTTTGCTAAATTAGCTAAAAATTAAATATCACCTTTGTTAACCTATTTGGTTTTATAAAAATAGAAGATTTAATTAAAATTTATATAAAGAAGAACAATTAATATTGATCAGACAAGTTAATTTAATTTAATTTACTAGATATTTGATAAAGCCTTCCATAAAGATATTATAACTAATATGATTAGCTTGATTTCGCTTAAAGACATCATAAATATTCAAAAATAGTTAGAATGCGTCTTCTTATTTTCCATTAAATCTCTGTACAAAATTTTCATTTACTTGCGCAATAAGTTGCTAAATTATTTAATAAATTAATGGCTTATATTTTCATTAATATTTACTTCAGCATCCAAGTCTTTAGCTTTTTGTTTACAAACTTTTTATGCAAATGTTTTGCCATAATTGTTGAACTAATCTAAGTCTTTAACGCAATCAACTATTTATATTTTAGTGATATTAAAACAATTACTAAATAGGTTATTAATAATTAAATAGCTAGATACAAATATTTGCCACAATATTATTGTTAGGCTTCATTCTTGCTCTGTAAATATTTATTTTAAATTATTTATGTAATTTTTTAAATAATTAAGTATCCACTTTTATATGTGTTTAAAGTTATTATTAGATTTTAACTATATCTAATTTCCCAATTGTGTGCTTATTTATGTTTCTACGTATTCATCGGGATAATTATGACTAATCCTTAAAAAATGAATAAACTAAAGATTTAAATATTAATGTAATTTTTCATTAGCTATTTAACTTTTAATGGTAAAAGATGCTTTATATGAGAAATAAAATAATTAAAAATAAAATTATAAATTAAAAAATATTTAATTTCTAAATAAAGAGACTTAGATTAATAATAAAAATTTATAAAAATATCTATCATAAAATAACTTGAGTTTTGCTTGAAAAGAATAAGTAAATGGTTCAAATATTATTTTTTTGTAAAATTCTAATATTTATTTTTAAATAAAATTATACTATTTTGAACTTAAGAGTTTGGCTGTTAAGAATAATTTTTTTTTAATTGAAAGATTTATTAATTTTAAAATATATTTCATTATAATTATTTGTAATTGTATTTATTATTTAAATAAAAATTTATAAATTCATGTCATAAAAGATTGAGTTTAGCTTTTATGGAAAAAGTTATTCAAATTTCATTTTTATTAAAATACAAATATATATTTAATAATTTTAAAATACGTTTTGTTTAATTCAAAAAATTTTTTGTTCATTTTTTCTTTTGACACTTTTGATTCAAATCCTCAAACCTTTTTTAGGATTTTTTATATGTATCACCTTCCCAATAAACCTATTTACATTGTGTGCATTACCAATATTCAAATTTATTGAAATCTTAAGGGTGAGTAAATTTCAAGTGTTGCATGGCTACCTCTGCAGAAATTATAACCAAATTATCGTTGTTACACTTTACACATCTTGATAATAAGTTCAACTTGTTTTAGTTTATCTTAAAGAATTTAATGATTTCCTAGAATTATTTTTCTATTAATAACAAAATTTTTATAACAATAATTTTTTATTAAAAAAAAAAATTATTACCTGTGTCTAAATTTTCTTAAAGAATATAAACAGGAATGCTTTTTTTCATGTTAAAGAGTTTATTATCCCTTGTGACTACAACCCTTTCTTCTCTTAAACTTAAATCTTACAAAAGTTGATAGTCTTTTTCTGTGATATATGCAGCATCAATTCCACTATTTCTTAAATATTTTACCAGCTTAAAAAGCATATTATCAATCAAGAACTTTATTTATGTAGTGTTCGTCTTTTTAAAAAAGTGCTCATTTTCTTTAGTATATGTAAATTTATCATCAATAACAAGAGTTAAATTTTGTTTTATTTTCTAGTCTTGATTATTTAAGTTATCTTTTCTTTATATTTAAAATATTTTTAAAAATAATTTATAAAAATTTTAAAGGATTTTTAACTAAGATAATAATATTTTAATTACTGCTCTTCTTGGTAAACATTTACATAGTTGAGGGCTCCTCCAGCTTATTAAATTTAAACTAGTTTTTCATACAGCTTAATTACAATAAATGCATCAACAGCTGCGTAATGAATTTATGACTTTCTCAAAGGCCTTCTGTCCCAATTTGATATCTGTTCAAACTTTGACATTTAAAGGTTGAGTAATTTTTAAACCATAAATTTTAATGAGGCTGTGTTTGCCAAAGAAAAAATATCTCTGTTAAGTAAAGCAATATCAACAAAATTATTAAGATCAAACTTCTTTTCACTCTTAAATGTTTTTTCCATTTCATTTAGATCTGTAGATATGCTATGACCTGCTTTAATAATTTATTTCGATTCAAACAAAGTTTTGCAAAAGTTGAAAAACTCTTAGCTAAATTTATTTACAAGCAAATTAAGTGCATCAAAAATATAAATTTTATTTTAAACTGCTAACTAAATGATAGAAACACCACCCTTTTCAAATTTGTTCCATTAAGAGGCAAATTCAGAATCGAATCCTACGATTTTGCTATTTAATATGGTCTTTTCAACTTCTTAAAAAATTTATTTCTACTCCTTTGTGTCATAGATAAAGACTACATCCTCTTCCTATATATCAAATTAGCTTAAATGGATGTAAGTTCCACTACCTTAACCAAAAATAATTTCTTCTGATGGACCAAATCCGTCTTTTTCCAGAATTCTGTTAGGGACATACTTGCCTGAATTATTTATTTATTATATGTGCTCTTTGTAGTAATCAAGCTAATCTAGCTAATGTCTATGAATTTTTATTAAATAAATTCAGTTAATTTTTTAATTTATTTGTTCATAAACATACCTTTTTACAATTGAAACTGCTTCATCATTCTTACCTTGTTCTTTAAGAGTTTCAACGAGGTAACATAAAACCTCCTTATTTGTATGAACTCTCTCTTCTGCTTTTTCCCAATCATCTGGGGAAGGTAAAACTTTTTCAATATGCTTTTTTTCCATCTTAGAAATAAGTAAAGGAAACTCTTTATAATTCAATCCGTATTGTTAAATTAAATCAACACATTTATCTATGTAACTCTTCTCTGTCAAAATCAAAATTAAATGCTTTTTTAATTTATTTTAAATGTATAAATTTTTTTTGCTAAAGAATTTTACTTTCTGCAATTCCACTTCTGTCTTTTCTACTAATAAAATTGCATCCGAAACTTTATCTTAACTGATTACTCTTTCTAATAAGTCAAACATATTCATATATTTTCTCATGTTAAAAATGTTAAAAATTTTTATAGCTTCAGGTACTTTCTTCATAAGCATCAAGTAGTTAATATAACTTTCAACACTATAAATAAAAAAATCAATTTAAAAATATATTTAATAATAAATTAAATTAATTACTCTTTTGGATTAATTTTATTTTGTATTTAGAAAACACTTAAATATTTTTCTAAGCATATTGCTGGAACATTTTGCCAATTTTATTAAGCCTATTCGCTCAGAGTAGCTATTTTTTTATCCTTTTATTATATATTTTATATTTATTTGATTTGTTAAATAAAATATTAACAAATATGAACATATTTTATAAATTATTTACAGCATATGATTCAAAAGCAGTAAAATACAAATCATAAAATATGAAATTTGCTTGTAGTTTCTTTAAAATTTCAAAGATTTTCAACACTCTGTTAAAAGCTTATTCAATTTATATTTCATAGGTCTACTTTAAAAGTTCAACTAATTTCTCGCTTAATTCCTAATAAAAAAATAATTTTTATCAAAAATATTCTTTTAAAGATAAGATTTTTTACCTAAATTATTTTATTTAGAATTTTACTATTTTTTTATTATCTTCTTAAAGACTATTCAACATCATTCTCATCTGTAGAACAAACTAAATAATTTAGATATTTATTATTTCAGATATTTAAAATATTTAATCTAATACTTGAAATCTTAATGTCTTGTAAGAAATCATAAGGATCTTCTTTTTCCTTATTCTTCTTTAAAGTATTTTGAGTATCCATAAGGTATATGTCAATCAGGTAGTTATAAATATTTTGATTTGAATTTTTATTTAATAATTAAATTATCTACTTTTTTTTCTACTAATTTTTTTGCTCAGAAAAAGATAAAGTGGATACAAAATATTAAAGATTTTTTAATAAATAATCTTCTTAAGTTTTAATTTTCTCTAAAATTATCTATTTTAGTTATTTTAGTGATTGTATTAAGAATTTTTATATAATAATTAACCAGAAATTTAAACATTTTAATCATATTTAATATGTAAAAATATTTATTAAAAGTTATTAAAATATTTGAATATTTTTAAGAATACTTTAAATTTAAACTATTTTCTAAATAAATTCAGGTAAGAATTATTATATTTTATCATAAAATAGAAGATTTTCTTGTAAAAATAAAATAATAAAATACATTTTTTTGAATAAAAATAATACTCAAAGACTAATTAATACAAAGTTTATAGTAAGGAAATCGCTCAAATTATTCTCAACTATTAATTCAAGTTTTATTTTAAATAATTTTATGTGAGAAAAATTAAAGCATTAAAGTCTTAGTGAACTTAAAAGATTTTAGCCAATTTTATTTGATACATTACTAGATACCAAATTCCCATTTACTCATACTAAATTTATTTGCAACACTTAGGTAAAACTTCTAAATCTCTATAGAAATATTTATACATCTAAACATAAACATAAAATTTTTAAGTAAAATAGAAAATCTAATTAATTATTAGATATGCAAATAACAATAAATAGTTTATTAAATCAATAATTTTTATTAAGAATTAAAAATTAACTTAAAATTTAGATCATATTTCAAAAATACTTTGTAAAAATCACAATAAAATTGATTGTTTAAAAATAATTATTTGTAAAAAATTCTGGTATAAAATAAAAATACATTCTAAATTTAACTATAAATAAATATTTTTAATAATTTTAACATAGAAAACCAGCTAATTAGAAATAGAGATATTAAAAATTTGTACCCTACTTTTTAAATAAATTAAGCTTAATTTATTTAGTACATAATTTTCAAAAGATATTTAATAAAAATGAGTTATTTAAATTATTTGATAAGTATTTTATTTTAATTAATTTCAAATAATCAGATTCTTAATTTTATTAATAGTTAACTTTTTTTCAAAATATTTATATAATAACAAAAATAAACTCAACTATTTTCTTAGTTATCAATTAGATTGTATAATTTAGCTGCCTACTCTCCTAAAAAAGGAGTAGCAGAAATATCATAGAGGATTTCTTTAATGCTCTAATGATCTTCTAAATTTAAATCTTCCAAAAGGTCTTATTCGTATATTTTTTAAAATAACTAAAAGCTAATACTATCCATAAACTAACTTTGAGTTATTTTGTTGATTCTTCTTATAAGCTTTTTCCCTACATTTTGGTTTAGTTTAGAAAAACAAGGTCCAGTTATACTCATCATTCTAAGCAAATAGATATCATCCTCTATAATTTATTTTTAAAAAATTAATTAATTTTTTATAAAATATCTTTCGAATTGTAATTAAAAAATTGCTACCTATGTCTAATAACATTTAGTATGCTCGGTTAAGCTGTCCCCTTGATTAGAAATCTAAAGATTTTTCCCATATTTATGTAATAGATTATTAATTTTAGTATCCTTAATTTCCTTTGGTTGGTTATCTGATTTTCTTTTAGCTGTTAAAAATTCCTTAATTCTAATTATAGAAAACTTAGTTTTATATAGATTCTATCGACTAGTGCTAATCACTGTTCCTTTAAATAATGCTTGACTCCATCATATAATTATTATTTTAGATATTAGCATTCTGATATTCGTTTTCATTGTCACTTTAAGCTCGTAGATGTCTTTTCGGTGGATTTATTATTAAATTTTAATAGTTTAATTTTTATTCTAAGCCTTCTTAACCTGATTGAACTAACAAAGATGTAGGTGACTGAGCACTAGAAAAAGGTGCATCTGGAAGAGTATCTCTCTACGAATCTTACTAATTCATATTAGAATCTTATTAACTCTTACTATGTCTAATTGGAGGAAGAGGAGCAAAACTGGAAATGCTATAATCAGATTATTTAGAAAGTAAATTTCTACTTTACTAATATTATTAATAATGACTCTATTTATTTTATAAATGATTATGATTAAAATTTTAATTAGATGAATGAGATTCATTCGATATGAGTGAAGGTCTATTTATTTGATTAGCTTATTATCTATTCATACTAAATGAAATTTCAGCTAATCTTAATGAATCTCTTTCAACTGCAAATTAAGGACTGTTTTCTGTAGTAATATGAGAATTCTAATGAATTTGTCTATTGCTTTGCTTTTATTCAGCAAACATTTAATGATTTTGAGTATAATTTTACAAACTATCGTTGTTATTACTTTGCTCATTTTAAATACCATTTTTGAACAATAAGTATTAATCTTTATAGGATTTATTTGATATTTATTAATTTTAATTGTTTTTTTGATTATTTCCTGTTATTGAAATTGGAAAATCACCATATTTATTATAATCAGTTTTCCTTTTTGTTTCTTCAAACTCTCTAGTATTGAAATCTCTATTATTAGTTAACTTTTAAGCAGTTTCAGGAGTGTTCTAACTTACAGGTTTCCTGTCAAAATTTTACTATTAATTTTAAAATTGACTGAACTTATTTTGAAGCTAAGCAAACTAGTGCTTTTAAATAGATTCATCAATAATATTATCTATATCTTAGTTATTAAGATAAGGTGAAGGATTTTAATTTGCTATTTATAATTGTTCTTTTAAAGACATTTGCTCTATTTCCCTTTGAGAAATCTAAGCCGATGAGAATTTTTTTTCAGACACTTTTTCAAATTATTTATTAGCATTTTTCCTATCTTGAATTCGAGAGTTTTGATAGCTATTAGAGGGAGAAGATAGTTAATTTATTGAACCAGGGCGTATTAAATTAGCATTTTATTTTAAAAAGTTTTGTAATTCTTCCCTTATCACTTATCTAAAAAGATCTTCATTATTAAAAATCAAATTATTTTATTTTGTTGAGGATTATCCATCTAATTTAGATTTAATCATGTTTTCAACTTACTCAGCAACTATTTTTCTAACCTAATCTTAAGTGGCTGCTTCCATATCTTTACTTTCTACTGTTAGCATACTTGCGGTTGATTATCTCTTAGCGTCTTTGATACTTGTACCACTGCCAATTATATTAACCTATTCAGCCATATATTTTTAAACAGTATTCTTTGACAAAATACTTAGCTCTTCAGGAATATCTTAATCTTCATTCATAGACTCTCTTAAATTAGTAAATCTCTTCATCTACTACTTTTACTAAGGCTATTGCTACTATTAAAAGTCATTTTAAAAGTCTTCTTAATTTGATTTAAAATTGCTTAAACGATTAACCAAGTTAGAAGGTTAACTGCTATTAGTAATACTTATTAAAGTTTAGTCAGACAAATGTTTCCCACTTGGTGCTACATCTTAATAAAAATTAGACTAATACATCTCACTAACTTGAAGTGACTATGAATTAATTTTTTATTATTAGTCGTCAACAAAACCTACTTATTTAATGCCACTGTTGCTCATTATCCTATTTCCTTAGGCCTTCAAGTTTGTTTTTCCATTATCCAATTATATTTATTGAGGAGAATTATTTGATCTAATAATTATTAAAATAAAAATTGTTTAAATTTTGTATTTATTATAGATTTATTTTTCAAACTTTATAAAAAGTATTCAATAAATACATACTTTATTGTCTCTGAAATTATATTTGTTGTAAGAAAAGTAAATTTACTTTTTTTAAAATTTGTAGTTTTCTTTAATAAAATCATCAAAATCTAAAAAAAAATTTAAAGCTTTTGACATGCATTATGGTATATGAATATATTTAATTTAATATTAAAAATTTTTTTAAATATTAATTTTATTACCTAGGTTCTTAATGAAAGAATTAGCTAGAATTAACAATTGGTTAAACTGTGAATTTGAAATTTTCAGAGCTTATATTTAACCCAGAATTTTTGGAAGCATTACCTTTATTTATTAAGGGGCTACTATCTCCGAATTAGTTTTCTTAATTAGGATATAAGATATTTTCATTGTATTTTTCAATTATTTCTTAGTTTTCGTTTTATTTAGGAAAGACCATGTTTCTTTTTTAATTTTTTAAAAATCCTTCAAGCTATTAATAGTCAAAAGGTTTTTTTTAGGTATGGTTTTCTTGCTATTCATTTACATTTAATTAAATAAATGTCTAAGGTGGAATAATACTACCTTTTGAACTCTAATAAATGTTACTTTCTTCTTATACAGTTTATAAATTTTATTAGGTAGTAGGTATGTTTTACTAATTGTATTGAACCAAATTTTCTTAAAACTCTCCCTCATTTTATGAATCTTCTACAACATTTTCAGCTTAAAAAGTAACAAGTTTTTAATCAATTCCCTTTTGTTATAAATCTTTTTATTAATTTGTAACTGGTTTAATTTCTTTATCAGTTTATTAAGGAAAATATTTTATTTATTCTCCAGCTTGAAGCTATTTAGCAACTTCTTATAAATTTATTTAATTTGCTGCCTAATCTTATAATAACTATTATGGATTTTAAGGAATAGTATTTTATACTTAGTTTATATGTGTTTCCTGCATATGTTCATCTAATTTATCATTTTTTTTATCAAATTAATTATTCTCTATGATCATTATTTATTTATGCTTTTCATCATCTTATTTCTTTTGGACTTAATCAGCATTTTATTTATTGGCAAGATTATTTTTAAAGCCTAAATTATTGTTTCCCTTTTCTAAAGAATCTTCTAAATTATCTTATAAAATTTAATTATTTCTAGCTGCAGATTATACTTTTGGATTAGTTTCTGTCATTTATGTGTCAATATTGAATGGAATATCTTTTGTTTCAAATGTATTTTATGAGAAATTAAGATCATCATCTATATCATTAGGTTCTTCAAGGAGCTTGCTATCTCCAGAAGGGTCCTGCTTTTTTCTCTATGAACTTAATTAAGCTAATTAATTTATTAATTCACTACTTTCGACTGAATCGTGGGCTTCAATTCTAGATTTATATGGTTCATGAGTCTTTTTTTCTAAATTATTTGGCATATTTTATTTCTAAGATTAAATATTTGTATCTAATTGATTTTATGATATGCCTTGGTTTTAATGTGAGTTATCTGTGTATGGTGCGTTTTAGACAACCTAATTTTATTCACTAACATGATTATTGCTCATTTTTATAATATATTTGTGCTAAATAAAAATTTAGATTCTTTTTGTAGTAGGCAATTATAACCACTACTTACCTTTAAATTTAAATATTTAATATCTATAAAAAAAAAACTGTAAATTATATGATATTTAATTGATAGTTTATATTCAAATTCTAAATTAAAAAGATAGATAGATAGAAATATCAATAACATAATTACTTTTAATTATTAAAAAATAATATTCCAAAATAAAAATTTGCTTTTTTTTGAAATAATTTTTTTAGGAAAATCTTTCGTTTGTTTTACATTTTTAATTAAAAAAAAAATAAATTAATACTTATGAAATATCCAATTATAAGTATAAGGAATTATCATTAATTTATATCTATAACCTAACAATATGCATTTATAAGATAAAAATTAAATATTTTAGTGTTAAAGTTAATTAAAAGTAAAAATAATTTTATTTTTTATAAATAAAATTTTTAAATTGCTAACAAATAATAATTATTATTAAAATTAATTATACATTTTTCTAATAATCTAAAAAAATATCTATTTTTATTGTTACTATTTCTCTCTAAAATTAGCAGGAAATAGGTAAGAAACATTAAAAGTGTTCTTTTTTTTAATGTAATTTAAAAAAGAGATAATAATTGATCAAAGTAATATTTCTGATTAGCTAGAATTTTAATAAAATAGTGTTTGATATGCAAAATATGTCTTAAATTATAATGACTATTTTAGAAAGCCTGTTAATCATTCAATCAATTAATCAAGCAAAAAATTATTTTTATTAAATATATTAGATAACCTTTAAATTTAGGCTTTAAGAATAAATTAATGGTATCACAAAATGTGTTTCACTAATAATTTTTAATATTTACTGAAATTTAATATTTATTTTGATTGTAAAGGAACGAACTTAATAATTTTACTTTACTTGACTGTAAAATAAAAAAAATATGATAGTTGACTAAAGTAATTTTTCTATTGATTTAGAATTTTAATGAAATAGTGAATGATTATTATTTTATAGTGTTTGTTTAACTTAACCAATGAAAAACAAATTCTTTTATTTATTATACAGAATTTAAAGGACTTTAAATTTAGACATTAAGAAATAATGAATGGTATTCCAAAAATTTGTTTCTCAATAATTTTTAATATTTATAATAATTAAATTTTTTAAGACGCCAAATTAAAAAACAATTAATCAATGATGATTTAATTAAGTTATTTTAGTTTTAACAATTTTGCAAAATTTTTCTGTTAATGCTTATTGAAAATAGAAAAATATGTTGGAATTGACAAATTTTTAATAGAGGATCAACTCTTATTACTACATAAATTGATAAACCACCAAATTCCAGCAACAAAAAAAATACAAAAAACATAAATAAAATAGCAAATATTTTTTATAAAACTTTGATTAATGTATTATTATAACTAATTTATTCTATTTATTTTTCTATTCTTGAAAGTATTAAAATTTTATCTATTGGATTCATTATTTCAAATAAATCCGTTAATTTATCTTATCAAAATTGATACAAAATAACTGTTTATGGGTAGAGACTTTAATTACATTCTAAAAAAACTAAAGTAATTTATCATTTATAAATATAATTATAAAAGCTTTTACTGTAAATGTAATTTTATGCCATTAAACGTTATTTGGATTTCTCGTAAATATATTAAAGCTTTCTTGTGAATTCAATTTATAAATACCTATTTGTTTTAATTCAAAAGCATTATATTTTAACAATATCAAGATTTTACTTAAGTAAAAAATAATATTTTTTTCATTCCATTTTTTAATACCAAAAATTTTTCATTTTTCTCTTTAAATCCGGTTTTATTTGTTCAAAAAGGAGTAATTCAACAAACTTTTTAACAGGTTTGTAGGAATTTTATAGACATAAAATAAAATTAAAATTATAATTAAGGAGAAAAAAAACATATATAAATAAATTCATTTATTTCCTCATATTTCTCTTTATGTGTATTACAATTTTAAAAAATATAATTATCATACATTTGTTATTTAAATAAGATCGAATGTCAAAGTTTTAAAGGTGGTCGCTAAGTAAAACTTATGAATTCTTACTAATAAAAATAATTATAATGTCAATATTTTAAAGAACCTTACTTTGGGGACCACCACCAAAACTATAAAAGTAAGCTTATGCTAACATAAAGGTTTTACAGTTGTCGAGTTTATTTGAATTAACGAATTCGTAAAACGTAAACACTTCGCATACTTTTATCTGAAAATAATACAGGCTAAAACTTAATAAAAAAATCAGTCAGCCAAAGTATGTGTTTTTTCTGTTCGAGATAAATATTTAGTTTAATACGCTATTATAAGAAATATTTAGGAAAATAAATACGCTGCTTACTATATTTAAATATATGGTAAAAAAGTATTCCAATTACATCTTTTTAAAATTCTCTCTTAACAAAAAAAATCTTTTTCATTACCTTCATTAATAGAAAATGGGACTATTCTAGCATTTATCATTTATTTTAATACTGAATTTTAAATATGTTATAGATTCATTTGAATTTTAATGTAACACACTTGAAATTATTACTAAAAATTATATTGTCAGCCTATTCACTAAAATCAATCTAAATGATCAAACTATTAAAATAAACGCTTGATTAATTTTAATCCGAATTACTGTTTGCTTTCAAGTGTTACCTATCAGTCAGTCAGTCATGTATAAATGCCCTAATTAAAATAAAAAAATTTGCAAGACGAATATTGGTCATCAGTTTTTCTCAACATTAGCATAGCAAATAAATTAAATTATAAGTTAATCACATATAATCATTCAAGTTAACTTTGAAAAAAAATAAGAGCACTTAAAATTTCAAAATAAATGCTTAGTGATTGATAGAGTAAAAAGAATATCTTATCATTTTTTGTTTTTGTCAGAAAATAAAATTTTCATTTTATTTTGATGAATGAAAATCAATTAATTTTAACAAAATTTGATAGGAATCAGACCATAAATAAAACTCAATTTGCACATAAACAAATTAAGAAAAAGCTAATTAATTTGATCGATTTAAGAAAGATACGCTCATTGAATGATAAATAGATAGATACCTAACCCTATTATGAAAAGTACTGCTTCTAAATTAATTAGCTTGCTTGCTTACCCATAAATAATTAAATAAATAAATTGTACTTTATTTAATATTAAGATTTTGCATTAAGAATCTGAATAAATCCACAATAAACATCTTAAGAAAAAACTAAAAACAATTTCATTCAAAAAACAAATAATAAATTCAATAAATCTAAAAAATACAGATATTTATCAAATAGTAAGAAATGTTTTTAAATCCTGTTAAAGACTCTGAATTTGATGATGAAGTCAAGGGTTTTGTTCCCTCTGAAGGTGAAGTTCGTTTTGTTGCCAACAAGAACAAGGAATGTGGCTATTACTTACAAGGTATCGAATAGTGCAGACGTAAGATGGTTCAACTCGCTGGTGACTCCTCTTCTCAATTCCACTCTTTGGGTTTCCTTCCTTGCAAAAGATTAGTTGATGCTCACTACAGATGTATGACTGATGATAAATTTGGTAGCACCATCGAAGAAGTTCCTGAAATTGGTCTTGATAGCGCTTAGAAGTTCTTCGACTGCACTTTCTAATAACTTAAGCCTATGCAATCCTGCAGAAGATTCTTTGACCAAGTTGTCAGAGATGTTTATCGTGCTAATGGAAGCTAACTTATTTGAGTTTTTGATTGAAAATATTAACTATCTATCAATCTTACTTAAACATATAAAAACTATTTCAAGAATATTCGCAACAGTGCTCCCCTATTTGATATCCTAACTACTTTAAAACTATATAATGCTCAATTTATACCTAGATTTGCTTATTTTTATCTGCTAGTAACATTCCTCTGATTGATATTCCAAAAAAATTATACATCTTCGAAAATTAGAAAAAAAATAGATGAGTGCAGAGACTAGAGAGTGAGTGAGTGATCACAAAATTACTGCTTGCTTGCATACATATATAAAAACTAAATAACAGACTGACTGATAGAAGAAAACGCAGCTAACTTATGAAATAAGAATTGAAGATATCTTCACAGACTATTTATAATGCCTATCTATCTATTGATTTGATTGATTTTCAAGCTTTACTTTAGTCAATCAATATTTTTCCTATGTATAAATCAATCAATCTATCTTTCTTCTGAATAAATTAGGATATAAGAAAGATAAAAAGAAAAAGGAATCTAAAGATCAGAATTGAATGAGATGAGAGATGAAGAAAAGAATTAGGAATTACATAATAAAATGAATGTAAATATTTATTAATACAAAAAGTAAATAAATAGCTTTACGTACGTACTTAGTATTTGTAGTTTGAAAGTAGATTGGACTAAGAAAACCTAAATAAAATAAAAAATTATCTATCTATCTATTAACTATCTTAATCTACTTACTATCCAACTCCTCAAAAAAATAACTCAATCAAATAAATAAATAAGCAAAAAAAAGCAATCAAGCAAAAACAACACATAAGAACTCTCTCCACTTAATATAAATTAAAAAAAACATATAAATTAAACTTTTAACTCTCTAGTTTTAAGCTTTAGAGGAAGCACTTTTAGAATCGATTTTTTTGGATGTTTTTGATTGCTACAGATAATAAGGCGCGTTAAAAAAACAAGTCTTAATTCTTTAAAGCAAAATAAAGCAATCAATAAATCGTTTCATTGCGAATAAAACCACTTCATACACATTTAAAAATACGATTCTTAAATGTGAGTTTATACAGTTATAAAACTCACTTAGGAAATCGTAGTAAAAGTTAAAAAAAACAACTTTATATTACTAAATTATATAAAAAACAAAAAAGAAATAGTATTTCATTATAGTTAAATTATTTAATTCTTATTATTTTTATATTTTACTTACTTTTTAATTAAAATATTGCCGAAAAACCATTTTCATTCATTCATCTAATTGACTTTCATTCTACTTACTTATGTTTATATCAATACAACTTTTTAATTGACTTTTTGGAGAGAGAACTTCTTATATTGTGTATGTGTTAGAAAACAAATATATTGTTTTCTCAGTTTTTCTTTTGCTTATGTTTATTAAATTGCTTGTTTGTTTATTTATTTACCTTGATTGTTCTCTTTAATTTCTTTATGAGGGTTATTTAGATTTTCTTAAGAATTATTCCTTTTTAACAAATAAAATATAATTTGCCACTATACCTTTATAATTCAAAAACATTAAATAAAGCAAACACAAATTATTTGAAGCTTAATCATTCCATAAACATAAACATGATTATGATTGATTGAACTTTTTTTTACTTTTATTTGATTTTAATTTAATTTTCCTCTAAATTATTTGAAAAAGCTGTATGCAATTTGCTTTGATAATTCTGAAGCAATAAAATTTACAAAGCGTAAAATTTTTGAAAAGCTATATCCATCGCTTGCTATTGCTATGTCAAATAGCTTATTAAAAATTAGATAAAATAAGTTGCAATTCAAGCAGCAGCGTTGTGACAATAAGTTCTTTCTTACATAAAATATAAATTATGAAGAAAACCCTAATGCAAATTTATAGTTAAAAATTTCAAACAGAGAGAAAGTGTGAATGTTAATATTATTGATAATAGGTATTTTGTTTGATAAACGAAAGATATTTTCTTTTTAAATAAATCTTCTAAATTTATACTAATATACTTACACAACCATTTGAGCTTCAAGCTATAAATCAATAAATATGTTATGCTTAAATTAAAGGCCACTTGTTTAAAAGAGCTATTTCAATTATCATTTTAAATAAAAAACCCCTAAATACCACTAATTTTCTTGTTTAAATATTATTTATTTTTACATCCGAATATTTAAGACAAAAAATAAATTTGGATGTATATTTTTCAACCTCTTAATTGTATAATGAAATAATTTAAATTATATGAGTGAATTCCTGATATAAACTGGGATTAAATTTTGCCTCATTAAATAACTATATCTATATACTTTAAGTCTATTTTTAGGATGCAAAAATGAAAAAATTGTAATACTTTTTCTCGCAAATAAAAAAGAGTTGTTAATTCCCACAAGTGTGTTTTGTGAAATTAAATCTGATTCTAATAACATGCAATTAAATGTTATTTTAATTTGTAAATTTTGTCTGTAAAAAAAAGACTCCACTGAAGCCAAATTCTAAAAAATTGTTTCTAAAATTAAGTTCAATGACTAATTTTTTTTTCATCCTAAATAAAGCAATGAAACTCTAACTAAATGAATTGTTTACTATTACTACAAAAGGCTTGAAGAAATAATAACTACACATAATATTATAATTTATATATTTATATCTTATAATTATAACTATTCTTTTAATTTATTAATCATGGTTTTTGAGTTTCAATTTTATTCTTATTTTATTGTGTTTATCTCTCATCTTCAATCAAATCTTCTTCATCATCTTCTTCAATAGCTTTAGGGAAAATTTTTCCAATTAAAATTGATAAAAACATCAGCAAACCAAAGTTTTTGTTGTATACAAAAAAGTTCCAACATGTTTTTGGATCATCCATGTTAAAGTCTTATATGAGTCTAAATAAATATAAGTGTGAAGCTAAGCAGCATGGGAAAAAAGGTAATCCGAGTCCTCCTTATATTCCAGCATATAAGAATAAAGAAAGTTAAGTTCCCCACAACCCATACATAACATTTTTTGTATTTTCTCCCCAAGCAAGAGCAGTACTTTTAACTCCAACTTTTATGTCATCCAATTTATCTTAATGAGCATATATTGTATCATAAATTAAAGTCCAAAGTACACCTCCTATATAAATATTTAAAAAATCATTTTTATTGATGAATGTTTGTTTTTGCTTTAAAAAATTGGCAATAAAAAAAAATATTTTTAAATAAAATCGATTAAAACAAAGCTTTTTTTTTTAATAAAATTAAAGAATTAATTTAGATAATTTAATCCTTGTAAATATAAAATTAATATTTATTTTAACTTATTTATTTTTTTATGATATTTAGTAAATTAAATAGTCTCAAAACATTTTAATATGAAAATAATCTAAAATATTTTCTTGTATTTATCCTAAAATATATTATTGAAAAATAAATGTTATTACATTAGAATTAAATAAATTTTTTTCAATTTTTGTTAATATCAGCTTTAATCATTATTTATTTTATTAAAATAATAATGTTTGCCTTAAATTCTTTAAATTATGATTTAATTTTAGTAAAAATGTTTAATTTAAGAACATTTAAATGAAAAATATTCTACTTAAAATAAATACTTTCTTGATGTAAATTATTTTAAGTTCAAATAATATTTTTAAAACTAAATTCACAATATTACTTTTTTTATTTAATTAGAATAAATTTATTATTTTAAGTTAGAAAAAATTATTATATTTATATCGAAATTTATTTTACCAATATAAGCTGGAATAGCAACGTTATAGTTTATCATATCTGCAGCTGCTGCATATCCTACCATAACACCCCAGTTAAAACAACTACCTTTTGTAATATTATTTTTTTATTTTTAAAAATTCTTTTATCAATTTAAATTTTATATAATCTTGCTAAATACCTAAAACAACCTAAGGATAGTAAGTAAATCTCTTAAACAAAGGATATAGAGCTGCTATAGGCACTATACCAAAACTTAAGGCTATAGAAAACCAATTCAATTATGTTAAGGTAAGCAAACCTCCACATAAGTGAAAGAATAAGAAGATAGAAGCTTATTTCATAGTTAGATCTCCAGATGCAAGTGGTCTTACTTTAGTTCTTTCAACCTTAAATTGTTATAAATATATTGAAAATTTATTTATCTTAATATAATTAATTCTACATATCAAATATAAGATATTTTTTATAGATTTGTTTGCTTGCTTTCAAATTATTGTATGTAATAAACTCAAAATAATTTAATCAGATTGTATTTTATGTATGAATAATTTTTAATTACCTTGTTATCAAAATCTCGATCCCACATGTCGTTTACAATGCAGCCTGCTGCTCTCATTACAGCTGATCCAAAATAAAAAGTACCAAACAAATGAGCAACTATATTAAATATATTTATATTAAATTTATATTTTTTTTAAGGTAGAAATTTATATTATACGTGCTAAAGGACTCAATATTGGCTATCCTAAAGCGGCTCCCCAAACGCATGGCCAAAAAAGAAGCTTGTATCCAATAGGTTTTTCATATCTTCCTAATCTAACATATGGAAGGTATTTTTCAGGTAAGTTTTTCTCTAGCCAGTGGAGCTAAGGAGTGGTTTGAGTAGTCTAAATTTCTTACTAAATTTAATCTTGATTTTAAGATTAATTTGATGAAAAGTATTTCTTAATGTTGTAAGTATGTAAGGCGTTCTTATTAATGCTATATTAATAAGGTAAATTAGCAGTTTTTTTTAATAAAAAGGATTATTGCTTTATTAAATTTGATAGGATCATTTAAATACTCTGCTCTTATTCAAAAAAATATTTGCTTGTTGATATTATTTAAAGAATATATTTATGAATTAAATTAATTAAAATATGAATGAATAATCAAATAAACAAATAAATTTGTAAATCATAAAGAAATTTCCATTAAGATATTTATAAACGCATTAACAAATACTATATTCATTAATGTAAAAATTAAATGAAATTAATAAAATAAAATTATTTTATTTAATCATAACTTTTTATATAAAATAGATTATTTCTCAAATAAAATATTTAAACTTATTATTAATTTATAAAAAATTGTATTTTTTTAAACTTAATGATAGGAATTTATTCCTATTTTTGATCATTGATTTATTGTTGGTAAACTTTAAAAATTGATTAATTTACTTTAAAGAACTGCTATCAGTATTTAGAAGTTAAATAAAATAAATTTACAATGTTGATTTAAAATTACATATTGAATTATATTATATATAAACATTTTTATTAATATTTTAAATTTAAAAATTTTAATGATAAAATTATTAATTTTTTTAATTGCCTACTTTTAGAATAAATAATTACTGTATTCCTCTAACAATTTTTTATTTCAAAATTTATAGTTAAGCATAAAAAATGAATCTCCTCTTTGCTTCTGTAAATTGAACCTTGAACAACTCATATTCCAAGATTCAAAGTTAGAGATTTTACAGTAAATATACCAATCAATTTTTAGTTAATTTAGAAAGCAAACTAGTTGCTGTTTCTTTGAAACCAAGTTCTTTAAATTTATTTGATACCTTTTTAAATAAAAATGTTAAATTTAATATTAATAAAAATTAACTAAGAAATGATTGCTACCTCTCCAACTAGATTCTTTGCTGTTTATTAAAGTTAAGCATTTATAACAGATTGTGTTTATTATGGTTATTGTATTTATGGGTCTTTTTAAGAAATCTTTTGTTTATTTGTATCACTATTTGTCTACAAATTATTTTAAGATCCTAAATTTGAATTAGAAACTCCCGTTTTCTATGCTGGGATTTATTATGGTTTTTATCCACGATTATCAGATTAAATAAAGACTAATTATTCTTAAAATAATAAGAAATTTTATTATTTTTAATTTATAGGTATTAATTTTTCTTTGAATTCCTTTCTGATTTTAGATATTTAAGCAATTGTTTCTTTTTCTTATTCTTTTTCAAAGTATTCTCTTGGCTATAAAGAAAATTTACTTCCTAAAATGTAGGTGATATTAATGAATTTCATATTATCATATTAGCTCAATCTGCTTGGATTTGTCAAATTTTTTATTATGCTTCCGTTTTCCTCGTTTTCTAAGGCTTAGAAAATACTAAGCACGATTTGTTTACAAATTTCTAGTTATTTTACATCTCCATTTTCTATAAAATTGTGCAAGAACTCATCTAATTCATACAAATATATCATGAAATATTCTTGGTATGACAGCATATAATGCTCTTCAGATAGTTTTTTAATAATCTCATCAGAAATAAATTAAATTCTATCTTAAATGTAAATCTGAATTTCATTGAATTTCTCAACATCCCATTCAATGTAAGCTCCTTCTCTTATTCTAGTTAAATTAAGATAATATTCAATTTTATTTTATTTTTGAAATCAAATCTAAGTCTAATTAATTTACTTTGAAGATAAAAGTTGCTCTACGAGGTAGTTGTGGAAGAATAGAAATATTATAAAGACTTTCATTAAGTCAAAAGAAGGGTTGCTTTCTTACTCTTCCCACATTTATACTAAACTATTTTCGTAATTTTCTACTAAAAGATTAACATTTTCATATAAATAGTTCCTCATAATTTCGAGATTGTAAGCAGAATCGTGTTTCTCTTCGAATCCAAATATTATTTATAATTTATTAGAAAACCTTTAAATTTTCAACTTAGCTTGTTCATATTCATTTTGGAGATGTTCCTAATACTTGATATCTCCATATTTGGTGTATTCTATGTTTTAGCCAGTTTTTTCTAAAATTTATTTTTTGAAATTGACTATCATATCCTCTATTTATATACCAAGAATACTTTTCTTAATTTCTTCACAATAAAAATCCTCCCAAACAGTGTAAAGAATAGTCTTTAAGTCTTTGTGTTATTACTATTATTACTTGGTATTTTAGTTGCTTTGATATATTTAGTCTAGTACATTTTTAATGTGTTCAATCATTTTGATATTCTTTTCTTCAAACATCATGCGCTAGAAGAATGTGCTATTTGATATTTTATATAAATTCAAATATGTTATTTAAAAATAAGCTAATGAAATTACTGATTAAAAAATTTGTTGTCCTCTTCATCAGCATGAATAAGCATTGCCCTAATTATTGTACTCAGCTGATTGAATTAAAGGTTGTAAATATTTTAAATAATACTCAAGACATCACTTTAATATTTTAAATTGTAAGAATCATCGGAAGGCAATATTGATTATTGATAGTCTTTAATATCTTAAACGCTTTTGAAAGTTGTAAAGTAAGTCAAGTAACTACATTCACAGACTCCTGCATTTAGTTCTTCAAAAAGTGTGATGAAGCCAGAATAAAATGGTTAATCGTTAAAATATTTAACTAAAGCATAAAAATCACTAAAATAATTCATAAATTTAGCAATGTTTGCACTTTTCTCTAAATTTTTAAGTTTTATTTCTTGAATTATATTAAAGCTTTCTTTCAAGCATAGCTATATCAGCTATTCTTAGTTGGTTTTTATATTTTGGTTATTATTTTATGAAAAAATGTATTATGGCTGATAACTAAATTCATTCAAGGAAGGTATTGAGGATAGGAATATATTTACATCTTTTTATGATCTTAATGCTTATAAGAGCAAACACATCGCAATTACCTGATCAATATATATCCAGATCCTCGTTTCTTGTTTCATTTATTCAAGTTCTTCATTTTAATCTATTTATGATACTTCCTCGTTCTACTATAAAATATATCTAATTCCCTATTCGAATATTTCAGAGCATATTTCATTAATTAACATTTCTTTATCTCCAAAATACCCTGTTATTTAATATAATAATAACCTTAAATATTTATTTTATTTTATTTTTAAAATATTTATTTAAAGAATTGAAAATCTTTTATTCGTTATTTAATTACGTGTTTAATTTCTCAATTAATTAGTGCAATTTTTAATATATTATTATACTAATTAGTAAAAATATAAGTTTACTTAAAGTAAAATTATTCATTTATTAAATTTATGAAAGAGTTAATTACTTAAGTAGATATCTTTTGAATTAGGTAGTTGCTAGCTAAGACTCTATTTTATTTCTTTGAGTAAACTCTTAAGAGATAAGGATTATCTCGCTGCTATTGAAAATAATTTATATTTCTAATAAATCTTGCTAGTTTTGCTTATTAATATATCAATAGAGTCGCTAATATTTTTTAAATTCTATTATGGAAGGTCTTTATCTTGTTTTATAACAGTATCAGAATGAGAGACTGAGCCATCTTTAGCCAAAGTAGCTGCACTCATATTTAAATCAAATATCTTTTACAATGATTTAGCTGGTTTTTCAGAAAGTTTAGATATATTCTTGGAGTATTCATTAATATTTATCAAAAGATCACTACAATTCAATAACTCCACATAATTATGACTAAAGATGCTCTTAAGAGTGTTGTTCTTTTTAACTATCTCTTTCCTTTATTAAAGTATTAGCATTAAGAATAAAATTTTAAAACTTATTTGAATTCAATGTCTAATTAATGTAATAAAGTTGGATTGATTACTAAATATCTTTGAGTATGTTTGCTATCTTTAAGTGATTTGTTTACTCAAAAAGCTATTAAGATATAACTATAGGTTCACCATGAAATAACTAATCTAATTCTTCCTATTCTGGCTAACTCATTTAATCGACCTTTATAAATTATAAGATTGTTTTAACCTATAAAAAATTTAATAAAAATTTGCAATTAAGATATAATTAATAATATCTTTTGTTTGATTTTTGATGTTTTTATTCCTTATAAATACCAATTAAAATTTTTAAAGGTATCAAAAAGAAGAAAATTGCACATCGTTTTTAAATAATAATTGTATAATGATAAATCTACTTTAATTTAATTAGAAACAAAATACTATTTTGACTTTAAATTTAATTTTATCTAGCATTTTATTCAAAGCAAATAAAAAATATGATACTTCTTTGAAAATCTAGACTCATTCATTCAATTAATTAATTTTTTTTTAATTTTACTTTAATTTGATGGATTTGTAAAAATAATATTAATTTATAGAAAACTTCTAATTGTCTCTAAAAACACTTAAAAATATTTAAAATGAAAAAAAATTGCAATTTTATTCTAAAATAAAATATTAAAATGTATTTCAAATAATTTTAAAATATTTAAAATTTGAAAAAAAGCTATTAAATAAAAATTTAAAAAAAACTAAAAAAGGATAATTTTTTAGTTGAAAATTTTGAAATTATTTATTTATTTATGAATAAATTATTACATTATAAAAAATAAGTAGTTTAAACTAGCAGAAAATCAAATTTTTATTTGAAAGTTAAGAGAAAGATTAATATTTATAAACAAAATAATTAGTGGTGGCATTGGTTTATTAAATAATATATTAATAAATAGGATTCTTAACATATATCAAAACAAATAACTTACTTAAAGATATAGTTATTTAGTTAGTTTTAAAAGTATAGGACAAAAGCAATAGAAGCGATCGCTTTTTCGCATTTATTTTCTCTTACAAGTTCATAAACATAGTTGTAGCTTAGAGATTTCTACAATAGATTTAAAGATTAACTTTTCATTTAAGCAAAAAAACTCCACAATTCAAATTATCTCTCAAAAATTGAAAATTGAGCCTTACAATATTAAATAGGAGAACAATTATCAAAAATTAAGTTAGATCTTTTATTTATTAGTAATATTGTGCTTTCCAAACGATCAAGTCTTAAAATTATTTATTATTGATTGATCTCTTATAATGGAATACGAGTTGTTAGAAAAGCTAGGAAGCATTACCGAATATACAGAAGAACTTATTTAAATTTTAAAGGAGATTTCTAAGGATATTCATAAAGAATTTTGGGATAATTTTACGAATAGATTATCATTATACTTGGTTTCTTTAACATGTTAAACAAAATACTCATAATTCCTTAAGCAGAATACAGTTGTTCCAACAATTAAGATCAATAAAAATTTATCAAAACGCTTCCATGAATATATTCTAGATTTAATTACTGATCTTCTTCTCAAAATAATGAGGTAAAATAATATCTTGCAAGCACTTTTTAAAAAAAGCCCAAAATCATTTTTATAATGAAATTTTATATCTAGAAAAATGAACTTTTAGGCCAAAATAAATTTATTATTTAGTTTTAAAATATAAGAAATTCCATTTAATTTAACAAATGCTAAATATTTGGCTTATTTTTAAGTTTGGAAGTGTAAGAAAAAAAATAAAAAGTTATAAGTAGCGTTTTGAATCTAATTTTTTGAAAATCAAAGTTTTTTTATATCTTTTACTAATTAAATAAAAAAATAGCTGTAGACCATAAAGCTGTGAGAAAATATGTGAGTTATTTTTAGATCACTTTGATGCACATAACTCATGTCTCGGAGGGTTATCTATTTTCTACAAGCTCATTTTCTTTTCTGAAGAACTGATTCCTTTTATGAGGAATTAGACTGAATATTATTGCTAGATTATAGAACTTTATGAAAAAAACATCACTCGAATACTTAAAGATGCTGAACCTGATGAAAGAATATTTTCTTTAAATAAACTTTACTCTCAGCAATAAAATTAAGTACAATCAGAGCCTGTTGATTTTCATTCTTAACTTTCAAAATATATAGCAAATAATTATCCTTATTTGTATAATCAAACAGGATCTTATACTCCTAATAGTGCTCATCCAAATAATTTTAATAATAATTCTGAAAGAGGAAATCATAGCTAACATTATTCTACATGCATTTATCAATAAATAATGCAATAATAGTAATATTAATTGAAAAATCATCAATTATCTTCTGTCTCTCCTACTCGAACAGAAAAATTGGTAGAATTCGAGTAAACAAATCCCTTTTTACAAGGTACTAGAATATCTCAAGGAGATCTAAGCAATTTAAATTATACTAAAACAAATATAAATACAACTCAAACTAGCGATCCTTTTATATAAAATACACTTAATTTAGGATAAACATAGCAGAATCTAAATGCTTTATAGTAGTCTCATAATAGCCAATTTAATTAAAATATTGCATAAGATTAAAATATTAATAGTGGAGGTAGTCCTAATATTTTAAATACTAGAAATCCAAGCAAGAGGCATAGCAAAAATAATAACTCTAATGAACTTACCTTGACTGAATAAAATGAGAATTCTTCAGAAATAAATAAAAATGTAAATAACTAAATACAAGGAAATACTTCTATCCCAATAAATACAAATATTCCAAACTTAAGTAATTAAAATAGCTCAGAGTAAAGTTCATTTATGTTTAATAGTAAAAATTCAAAAGCCCCTAAGATTCCCCCATTAAATTTACCATAAACAAATAGCGAAAATATAGGAACCTTAACTCGATCAACACGCAGGGCTGATCCTTTTAAGAGTTTTTCAACAAATTCAAATAGATTTTCTAACTCGATTGACAGTGGATTCAAAGATCAATAGAATAATTTTGCATAAAGATAAATAGTCAACTTTCCTAAAAGTATTAATGAAAATAACTACTCTATGATTGATGGTGATAATAGTTACTTTTTTGATGACAAAGATGAAAAAGCAATCAAGAGTATGTCAGCTATGTAAAAGATGAGCGAAATTGCCCAAAATCTTGGAGAATATAATCTAACAATAGATTTAGGTTGTCTATTAGCTCAAAGAAGAAAATTCTAATTGGATTAAGTTGCTAAAATAGCAGTTTTTTAAGGTAATTAGTAATTTTAACTAAATATTGTTCATTTAAATAATATTCAATAAAAAAGATGTTGATAGTCTGATAGATTTAAAAATTGATGAAAGCTTTATCAAACAAAAAATAAAAAAAAGAAAAAGAGATAAAGGTAGCTCTAAGAAAGCTGAATTTAAATAGCAGTAGCAGCAACAGATAGAATAAGAATAGATAACTTTACTAGATTCAATAGATCTTAAAGAATTGAATGTAGTTGTTGGATAGGATAATTTGAGCAGCAACACTCATAGAGAATCAGTTTCTTCTATGTCTTAATTGCAAAATGTAAACTTATTTTTAAATTAAGCAAAATATTAAAAATAAATTTTAATTTTTAATAAATATCTCTTGGGTATAAACAATATATATTTGCATTATTTAAGATTTAATGAAAAAAATAAATATATTAATAAATAAAAATATAAAAAAAGTAACAATAGCAATAAATGATGCTTATGATGATGAATGCAAATAGAAAAAAGAAAAGCAAAACTGAACTAAATAATATCAGAAAGATGTTAAAGATTATTTCAAATATTATTTTTATGGTTTTAAAAGATTTGTCTGATTAAGAAAAATAATTTTTACCTTCTCCAGTTAATTGCTTATACTCTTATTTAAGCAGTGAAGTTAACTCATTTAATAGAAAAAAAGACTTAATTAAATTTATGTGTTCAAGGAAGGGCTGGGATGAGTACACTGAAATAGAATACGAGTCTTAAAAATTAAATCTAATTTGTGATGGATTCGAAACATTTGCTCATGGAGATAGCAAGTAATATGAAAGAATCATGCATGATTTATATAAAAAAAAGTTTTAACCTTAAACAAAACACAATATTAATCAATAAGTATAAATAGATTTTCAAAATAAAATATATTCTAATTTCAACAACAACTTTTCTAATTAATCTCATAACGTCTATGACGATTAAAACTACAATTAAAATAATTAATACGCAAGTGATGCTATCCATGAAAATTGGAATGAAAATTTTTCTTTGGCAGAAATAGAGGTTTCTTTAGAATAAATTACCTTGCCTGAGAATTTGGTTTATTTTAAAATATTAGATTTTTATTCTATTCATAGTGAGAAAATCCATTAGATATTTTCACTTAAAAAAGGAATATTTACATAAAATATATAGTCAATAGACTCTTCTTCTCTAAAAGAAAATAAGTAGAGTGTTCAAAACTAAGTTACAGAAGCTAAGTAATTTTAGGTCAATTTATTTGCTTAAAAAAATTAAAATAAAATGCTTTCTGAAATTAAAATCTTATCTGTCAATCCCTCATCAGAAATAAATTAAAATTCTTATGTTATCACAAATGGAGTATAGATTCCAATCACATTGAATTCTGCAAATGAAATTCGTTCAAAAACAAGTAAAATAAATAGAATTAAATTACTTATTTATAAAAAATTTTATGAACAAATAAAACTATTTTTTCCAATTAAAAATCTAACTAAATTATTTATTTTAATTTAAAAATTAAAATTTTATTTGTATGAATTAAATTTAATCAAATAATATCACTTTTTTTATTCAAAAACGAAATAATTGATTTAAAATGGAATTTTTTCAGTATTAGAACAAATTTTATCTGATTAATTTTTTTAGTAAAATAATTATTAAATGAATAAAAAAATTTTTATTGATGAAAATAAATAAATAAGTGATTTTTAAGCATAAATTAAATGAAAAAATGAAAAATTAATTGAAATTTATTAAAAAATAAAGATGAGTTTTTACATAAGTTTGAGAAGAAATTTAGATGGTATATAAATAATATGGATATGAATTCAACGTTATATTTTGAAATAGAGAAAGAATAGCTTGAAATTTTAGATGGGTTTTTAGCGAACTGCTCTTCTAGGATTATATGCTTTGAAGTACTTGAATCTTTGATAGATTGCTTGTTGATGATAAAGAGGTAATTTATTGAGCTTTCCATTACTCCTTCATAAGCTAGCTCAAGGACAGGTACTAATTCTGTGAGGATCACTACTTTAATATAAAATAATACTTCATTGGCTAGACCTACTTTTGTAATATTTATATTCTAATAATATTATAATTTTTTATTTAATTTATACATTCAAATAAATTAGAGCCTTAGCAATTCAGCTAGTAAAACAAAACAGAACCAAAAGTTGTTGAATAATACTTTGAATTCAAACAACAGTAAATATATATATATATTATCTAATTTAACTCATTAAATGTTTTAATTTATGTTATAGGAATGAACGGAAACAGAATTATTTTAGATTCTCCTACTAAAGATGATTTTATTTCTTCTTAGCTAAACATCCAATAGGCTTAATAAAATTCAATGCTAAATTCTTAACATAAATTTTAATCTTCTTACAATACAAATGGAACATTTATGCCTATTAGCAGTAATTTAGGTTATAATTAATAAATTCCTTTTGTAATGAAGCATAAGGAGATTTTTGGAAACTATATAAGCATCATTTCAAGAATTATGATAAAGGCTCCAAGAAATGAAATGTATAAATTGCTTAATTAAATTTATTTCAAAAATGAGAATTGGAAAGAGCTTATTAAGATGTACTCAATAGGTATTTTTAACGAAATTATTGCATTTTGCTCAGAAATAACTCCAAGCAATAAAAATAATAACAATAAGCAGAGCGAAAAAGAAAATAATAATAGTGATAGTACAACAAATCAGTTACCATCAAAAAGCAAAAATGAATCAGCAGCAAATAATTAAAAAACTTCATAAAATTAGAACCAATATCATTTGCAATAGGAGCACATCAATTTATTTATATGTGCTTAAAAGCTCCTCTTATACTTTAAATCATCTTTAATAATGTGTCAGAATATGATATTTAGAGAAAGGCTTAATGAAAAGAAGACTGAAAAATCTAAAGAATATAAGTAATTTATTAGGTAACTATTGCAAGAAATGCTATTTTTAATACGCCCTACCAATGGTATTTTCTACAAATATTTAACAACTAACTCAGAAATCAATAGTGTAATCATATAAAATAATGCTAAGACTAAGTTACCTATGTCAACAGTATTAAGGATTAATCTTTATAAATAAATATTAGAATTTTTGGGTCTAGCTTTTGGTTTTTGCAGTAATTATTCATGTCTTCTTAATGAAGATATCAGCTCGTTCTATTTAAAATTTAGTTTTACTAACTTTGTCAAATTATATTCTCACTCTAATTTGAATGAACTAAATGAAATTTCAAATAAAATAAGATAAATTCAATAAAAATCAAACTCTAAGCAAGAAATTTAGGATAATATCAATCAAATTTTAAATAAAACTTAGAAAGAATCACCTTATTACCATAATAATGAAATTAAAGGGAACAATGGCAATTAGAATTCAAATAATATACCAGAAGAACATTCACATTCTTCGCTATAGAATTTGTAGAAATACTACCATTATTTTAAGATAGATCTTTTAAAGTTGTATATCAAAGTTCTTTTTACCCTTTCAACAACAAGAACCGATGAAATTACAAGAAAATTCTTTTAATACAGGATAGTAGAATTTTTCACAAGAGAAATAGACTTGGAATTTGAAATTACTTAGATTAGAGATAGGTTTATGAAAGTTCGTAATGAAGCTAAAAAATAAATGTAGCAGTAGCAGCAATAATAGCAACAACAAAACTCTTAAAATTATAGCTAAAGGTCACCTGCTAAATCAAATTAATCATTTAATAATCAAAATAACAATAACTAAGGATCTAACTCATCTCATAATCCAATTTAAAAAACAATTTAAATCAACAGTAAAGTACAAATAAAAGCTCTCAATTTAGAATCAAATAATAGCAACGATCAATCTTAAAAATAGACATCAAGCGAAATCCAATCTATAACTAAATCTCTTAATTAGCTTGATTATGCCCAAAATAGCTCAGAAAAGTAAATTTAATTAGATTTTTTATTGAAATAAAATTAACTTGAGTTTTAAATTTCTTTTTTCTTATTTTTTGAAGATCCATGAGATACTTTTAATTAATTAAATGAATTAATTAAATTAAAAAATTAATTTTTATTAAAAAATAAAGAAATTTAGCTAAATTATCATTGAAAATAAATTTACAAAAATTGATTGAAACTAAATTATTTTAAAATTAATTAAATATTGAAATTAATTTATATTTTAAATAAATAATAAATAGGTAGAAATTATTCAATCAAAAGAGATAAAATATCAACAAATTTAGTATAGGATAAAATATTGATTTAGGAAGTAGGAAAACTCCTGGCTCATCTGATATGCCTTCAGATGGTCAAAAAAGAATATCTATGAATATTTAATTTTAAAACTCTAACACTTAAAATTAGTAGAATATTCCTAATCAATTGGTAAGTAATATTCCTTCTGATTAAGATTTCTAGTAATAATAAGAAGATAATAACATATAATTTTAAAACACATTTGTTGATAAATTTAGTTAAAACGAAAATAAAATGACTGAATAAAATTATGATCAAAATATAGATAATTTATCATCTTCTTCATCTGATGGAATTCTTTTTATCCCACCTACTAAACCATAAATGAAAATAAATATACCTCTAATTTAAATTCCTGGCTAGTAACATGCTAATAATGTCAGTTAAAATATTGCTGATAATCAAAATCTAGCTAATTGCAGATAAATAACCTCACAGGAGTAATCGCCACAACCTTAATTTGCTATCAATAATGGAATCGCCTAAAATAAACCTAATCTAAAGTTTTCTCTGGCTGGAATTCCACTAAAAGGTGAATAAGTTAAAGCTAACTCTGGATTGAACTATAATAACTTACCTGAAAATTAAAATAAGAATGATTCTTATAATATTTACAGTCAGGCAGACAATTAACTAGAAAAAAAGAAAGACAATAAGAGTAAAAGATCTGAAGAAGTAAATTAAGATGCAAATTAAAGCTTTGATTAATACATGGACAGTAGCAGTAGTAGCGAAGGAAGTTACTAAATTCCTTTAATTTCGAATCCTGCACCTAAAATACCTCTACCAGCTATTAATTTAAATAAGCTTATAAGCGGTTCAAATTTGCCCAACTCAGGAGATAATACAAATAAAGCTTTTAACCAAACATTAAAAAATATGAAGAAAGAAAGTAATGATAATTCTATTCACCCATTATCTAGCACTTAGAAATCCAACAAGCCTTCGTTGAGCTTAAATTTAGGACAACTTTCGAAAGGATAAGAAAGCAGCTAAAAAAGTGGAGGAGATCCCTTCAACAATCCTATCACATAGGATTGCCATCACTCAAACATAAACTCTAAAAACTCAAACACTAATAACAATAGCAACAATACTGGTTATGAAAACTTAGAAGTTGTCTTGAACGAAAACATATTTTATTACCAAGAACGTAAATTGCGTAAAATCTATGCAGATGATGAATTACATGCTTATGTTTTGAGTACCATATTATCACTTTTACTTACACCTACTAGAGGTACTTTAGATGAATTGTATTGCTCATCATAACCTATGCTTGATGATAAGCAAAATGTGCTTTTTTTACTTCACTTTCATCTTAATCATCCTTCAAATTAATCTATTTTACCTTACTTGCTGCAATAAATATGCCACATAAAACCATTTCCTGCAGGCTAAAGATTACTTAAATTGCTTTGTGCTGCCTTAAATGATTTTAGTATTTATACAGACCTTCAATTTATGGCCTCAGGCTAGTTTGGCAGTATTTTTGAAGCCAAAACAAATTTATCTGACCCTTAAATAGTCGCTATAAAATAAATGGATTTGCCTAAAAGTATTTATGATAGATGTGTCTTGCATGATATTTTTAACGAAATTACATGCCTAGAGCTCTTTAGATTTGACTAGTGCGTGACAGATCTATATGACTATGGGTTAGCAGAAAATGACTATAAAATTATAATGAAGAGATACCCAATGAGTTTAAAGTAGTGGAGGTAATAGTAAAAAAGTGATTAATTTACAGAAAATCTTCCTACTTATTTAAATATCTACAGAGATGCTCTTAAAGCAGTTCAGCTTTTGCATTCAAACTCAGTTATTCACTATGACATCAAGGCAGATAATATACTTTTAGATTTTCCAGTAAAAACATTTTTTTTTTGTTTAATTTGCTAAATCTTTAAAAATATCAACAAATTTTATTATTTAAAAATAGAACAAATCTGAAAACGGAAATCCAAACGATCAGTCAATAAAAGTAGTCCTTGGTGATTTTGGTGTGTGTAAAATGTTTAGAAATGAAGAAGATGAGTACTGCTTAGTATCAAAAGGAACTTAATTTATACAATCGCCTGAAATGCAAACTTTAGCAATTTAAAGTAAAAAAGAAGGAGACAAATATGATAGAAGAAAAAAAGTGGGCACGACAAGAAGCAGTGATGTTTGGAGTTTAGGTTGCTTGTTATATGAAATTTTAACAAATGAATTTTTATTTTACAACTAAAATGAAACTGCATTTTTATTTAGAGTAACATCAAATACAGAATAAATATTGACTTAAGAAAATCTAGATAGAGTACAAAATAACATGTATGCTATAGATTTTCTCAAGTACATTTTAGTGAGAGATTAATAAATTCGTCCAAATATTGATAATGTGATTAAAAGATTTGAACACATTTATGCTTAAATAGTTAGTAATTCAAGTCCTATATCTACTTATGTGCCAACCATCACTAATCCCTAAACACCTTCTATTCCTTCAAATTGGAGTTTTGAGACAATTATTAATAATTATGTTTAAAACATTCTTTTCCCTTCAGACAGTGTAATCAACTCTCCAACCTTCAATCCTAAAATAAATCAAAAACTAAATATAAAGCATGTAATTTATACGTAATTAAAATTGTATTGATTTTACATTTTTATTTTAATTAGATACCAAGTCTGATAAAAATTATGGAGGAAATATATATTTGCTCATACGATTACTTTATTGAGCATTAAGATAGATTGATGTTGTCAGGTATCACACATGTAATTAGTGAATATTCGCTCCTAAGTGAATTAGATCTAACTAGATTTACATATCTACTTCTCGATTAATCCTCAATTGAAAAGTAAATATTTCTAAAAAACTTTTTTAAGCTTAACCATTCTTTTAACTCATCTTAGTAAAATGAGTTCAATATTTAGACTCTCTCCTAAAGTTATGGATTATTTAAGAGAAATCTTTCTCTTTAGAGGTAAAATATTGTTTGTAGAGGATAATGAAATCAATATTTTCTCACCACTTGATAAATTATTATTGAGAAACATCCTTATCTTTTGTCTAACTTACTTCTTTAAGTGCTCAGCTTACGAAACGTTGACCTTAATCAACTCTTAGGTAAATAAATATTTTTCTATTAAATTTTTAAAAATAATATTATCTTAATTTAGGTACTGTTCCTTTAACTTCCCTATTATTGTCTGAATTAGATTATTTATTCGTCCTCTCATCTTTTTAAGATTGAAAATGTAATTTTGCAATTAATTTTAAATTTTATTGATAAAAATAACTTTTTATAAAGTATCTTGACACTTACCCAAAAGCTTAGTGCATTTGTGGTTGTACAACATTTGTGCTTAAAAAAAACTTTACATCTTCTAAAAAGATGCCATAAAAATTATGTAATTGCACTAAAGAAAGTAAACAGAATGAAGCAAGTTTATGCCCATCTGATGGATGCTCTGAATATCTGAGATTCATAAGAGTAATAAATTTATTTTTTATTATATATTTGGCTTCATTAAAATGCTTTATAAATAGAAACGCTATAAATTAAATTGGGATGCTCTAAAATGGGTCATGTTGTAACCAAACAATTTCTTGATTGGTCCATTTGATTGTGGTAAATTTATTATGTAAAAAAGATTAAATAATTTACATATTTTCTAAGGATAAATTTAAGAAGACTCTCAGATTTAAGTCATCCTCAACTCAGAAGGTCCAACAAAAAATATAACTCCATACTACAATAATGAATAAGAATATAAGAATGAATTCGGTGCAGCTAAAGTATTAAATAAAAACAATTATTATAAATAATTTTTTATGAAATAATAAATAGGAATCTGAGTGGACTACTTATAAATGTAAAGTATGTCATATGTGGATGTTTTCTATGAACAACAAAAACCAACAAATAGTTTTTATTATGAATAATATGATAAGAAGAAACAGACAAGGTATTACAATAGCAAATAATTTTAGTAACCAGAAAATAAAAACTCCTATTTTACGTCATTTTAATTTATATGAATTAAAATGAAACCTACAAATAAATTAATAAATTCGCGATTGTTTGATGAAGTATTTGGCAGAGTTAATTTAAAATTATAGTAAAAAATAATTATGAAGATGCCTCTCTCTTCTATTTAGATTGAATAGATTTTAATTGAAAACTATTAATTTCAAATTTAAACTAATAAAATGATATTTGATTGCTTATAAATTAAATTTCAAATACAATAAATAATTTCCTATATTTTAATTAATTTTCCATTTAAATTTAAATTAAAAATTAATATTGTATATAAATGTAAATTTTTATCTACTTTATTTTAATGCTTAAAATATTCTATTATTTTTAAATTATTTCGTAATTATAATAAATCTATTTTACTATTTTCCAATTTTTTACTATATTTTTAAAAATATATAATGGAATGCTTTAATTATTTGTAAATTTTATTTTACACAAATCTATCTGATATAATTTCTAAAAGGATTGATAAAATAATTACCTTTTAAAATACAAATTTGATAGATGTGAAAGGTATATGGTAATATCAAATATTGATAAAATTTTTGATAGGTAAAAGAAATATTCTGATAAGTATCACTCCTTTATATAATAAGTAAAATAATAAGTATGATAAGTAAAATAAATATTCTGATAAGTGAGATATTTTTTGGAAAAAAATTTGATTATTGTGATAAGGCATTTACTAACAAGATTATTTAAAGCTATTGTGAATTTTATATTTATTTTTATATAAATTTACTTATAAAAATCTTAAACAATTATAAAATATATACTTATAGAGATTTAATTTGACACAAATCTATTTCAATATTTTTCTTATCTCAATAATTATTTGCTTTCTTTTAAAGGGGCTAAACTTCTGAATACCTTTTTATCAGTTTGTGAAACGCGCTTGTAATACATCATTTTTTTGAATATTTTTTTACCAACTCTAATAAAGCTATCGTCTGCATCAACAAATGTTACATCAAGTGTATATTAGCCTCTTTCATTTTTAATAGTAAATTCTTTAGCACTAAACTCAACATCTAAAGTTGTTGAAATTTGATCTGGATCATCCAATGAGAAACTTATTTAGAAATTTAAGTATTTATCGAATTTTTACCATAGTCCTGGATTTTTTTAAGTAAAGGGTGAAAGATCTGGTAACATAGTATATTTTTCCATAATATTTTTCATTTCATTAAAATAAGAGTATGAAAGTACAAAATTTTCTACTGTAGGATCCAAAATCACATAAGAGCCAAAAATTTAAATCTCTTGACCTGAAAAAGATGCTGTAGCTTTTATTCTATCATACTCTTTTTTCTATGTTGGAAGTGTTGGAAGTGTCATCAAATTGTAAAATTGTCTTGATAGTAATCTAACATCATAGCTTCCAATAGTGAGTAAATAGTTTCCTTTATACCCTTCAATATATTCATAATATAAGGAATAAGATACATCTTCTATTATTCCTTACTCTTTTAATTCATGAATAAAAGAAGAGGTGCTTTCCTCGTCTAATTATAATCCGATTCCTTGATAAACATAGTTTTATGATTTTTTCAATTCACTTATTTGCTTTACATAAAATACATCGTTAAAAGTAAAAGGAGTTCCATTTAGAATTATAGGAAGGTTTATGTAGTCACCAGTAGCCTTAAAACCTGATACATCTTCAGAAACATTTTCTAAAGTCATAGCGCAATTTTCGTTTTTATTGCAAGTGAAGGCCTTTTAGTCATTTTATGAATAAATAATACAATTACTGCATTAAGGAGATGTCAAATAAATATATCTAGAGAACATATTGAAAGATACATCTACTTCACCTAAAGAACCTACAAATAAGCTTGCATTAAATTTATCATCTAATATAATACGATATGGTTTGTTAGAAGGGATTGCATATTACGATTAAGATGAAAAAGTAAGAGGTATAAAACAAGCAATGATAGTTATTAGAAGTATTTTTTTGATCATTTTATTAGCTTTTTTTAATTTATTAATTAATTATTTTTTATAATTCTTTAATTTATTTTAAGATTTAAACTTGAAAAAAAAATGGAAATAAACATTTAGACGCATTTGCATTTGTTAAAAGCTAATAATTTTAAATTTTAATATTTCTATATAAAGAATTACAAACCATATAAATTTTTAATCAATTATATAAGATTTATCTAAGAAAAGCTTTTGGTTTTAAAAGAGCTAATGCTACTTTAATGTTTTTTTATTCATTATAGAAAATATAGTAAAACATTTTACTTAGAATGCGCTTTCCTAAAGTTAAGCTGTTTAAATCTTTTAAAAAATAACTCTGATTGTGTAATAATAACTTTCAGGAACAAAGACTGTCTTCGCCATGAATAAGTTAGCAGGATAAAAAATTCAAAATTCTTAGGTTTAGGAAGGTTTCCGCTCTAATCAATATCTAATTTGATTCTATAAGTAATTTAATCTATTAATTTACTCCATTTGTATTTACTCTAAGCAGTAAATAAACAAAAATTTTACAAAAACCTTTATTTTTCAATAATTTATTTAAAATTATTAAAATAGTTTTCATTCAATTTAAAAACAGAATCCTCAACTCTAGGATTTATTTTAACATTGACTAAATCTTCAACAATTTTTTCCAAAAAATTCAACTGATGCATTAATATAATATTCAACCATTTTTTCATAAATTTTTGAATATCCAAGAGATAAATCACTAAGTTATTGAGATATTATCCTATGGTCATATCCAGATATCTTTAAGTAGTAATTATATTCAGATAATACAAAGAATAGCTAATTTGATCAATTTTGCCCTATTTAAAGAGTGAAGTTAATATTTAGCAGTCATAAACTTTTTAGTTATCTTAAGCAATAAGTAAAACTATTTGCTATGATTAATATGTTGAGGAATTTAAAGTATTAGGAGTTAATTTTTTGACATTACAAAATAGTTTTTTTCAAGATTTATTTAATGTTTCTGAAAGTAGTAAAAATTTTATTTCAGATTATACCTTAAAGAAATATACCGTCGTCAATGCTCTTGAATAAGAGAAAAAAAAAATATTTTACTTAAAAATTCTCATTATTTGATAAAATAATTATCTTTAAAATGAAAATTGGATGGATGGATGAATATGAAAGGTTTTATGGTAAATTCAAATCTTGACAAAAAATTTTGATGAAAAAGAAATATTTTGATAATCACATAAGTAAAAGAATAAATATGATTAGTAAAATAAATATTCTGATAAGAAAGATATCTTTTTGAAAAAATTTTTGATTATTGGCTGATAAGGCACTTACTAACAAAAAAGACAAAATTGTTTAAAGCTATTGTGAATTTTATATTTTTATATAAATTTACTTATAAAAATCTTAAACAATTATAAAATATATACTGATATATATTTAATTTGAATAAATCTATTTCAATAATTTTCTTATCTTAATAATTATTTGATTTTTTTTAATGGGGTTAAACTTCTGAATACCTTTTTATCAGTTTATGAAATGCGCTTGTAATACATCATTTTTTTCAATATTTTTTTACCAACTCTAATAAAGTTATCGTTTGTATTAACAAAAGTTACATCGAGTGTATATTAGTCATTATTATTTTTAATAAGAAATTCAGTAGCACTAAATTAAACATCTAAGGTTGTTGAAATTTGATCTGGATCATCCAGTTTGAAACTAATTTAGAAATTTAAGTATTGATTGGCTTTAGACCATAGTCCTGGATTTTTTTCGGTAAAGAGTGAAAGATCTGGTAACATAGAATTTTTTTCCAGTATATTTTTCATTTCGTTAAAATAAAAGTTTGAAAGTACAAAATTTTCTACTGTAGGATCCAAAATCACATAAGAATCAACAAGTAAAATCTCTTGACCTGCAAAAGATGCTGTAGCTTTTATTCTATCATACTCATTTTTCTATGTTGGAAGTGTAGGAAGAGTCATCAAATTGTAAAATTGTCTTGATAGTTATTTAATATCATAGCTTCCAATAGTGAGTAAATAGCCTTAAAATTGAGCAAAGTCATAATATAAGGAATAAGATACATCATCTATTTTTCCTTACTTTTTTAATGAATCAATTAAAGAAGAGGTGCTTTCCTCGTCTAATTATAATCCAATTCCTTGATAAACGTAGTTTTATCCCTCTTTTAATTCACTTATTTATTTTACATAAAATATATCGTTAAAGGTTAAAGGAGTTCCATTTAGAATCATAGGAAGGTTTATGTAGTCTCCGGTAGCCTTAAAACCTGATATATCTTCAGAAACATTTTCTAAAGTCACAGCACAATTTTCATTTTTATTGCAAGAGAAGGTTTATTATTCATCTTATGAATATATAATACAATTACTGCATTAAGGAGATGTCAAATAAATATGTTTAGAGAGCATATTGAAAGGTACATCTACTTCTCCTAAAGAACCTACAAATAATTTTGCATTAAATTTATCATCTAATTTAATGCGATATGACTTGTCAGAAGGGAAAGGATATTCCGATTAAGATGAAAGTGTAAGACGTATAAAACAAGCAATGATAGTTATTAGAAGTATTTTTTTGATCATTATTTGATTAGTTTTTTTTAATTAATTTTTTTTTTTTAATAATTTTTAAATTTATTAAATGATATAAACTTGGTAAAATATCAAAACAAACATATAGACGCATTTGTTAAAAGTAAATAATTTTATATTTTAATATTTCTATATAAAGAATTACAAACACAGACCACATTTTATATAAAATTTTTATCAATTATATGAGGTTTATCTGAGAAGAGTTTTTGGTTTTAAAGGAGCTAAGGCTATTTTAATATTTTTTTATTCATCATAGTAGATGTAGTAAAGCATTTTACTTAGAATGCGCTTTCCTAAAGTTATACGATTTAAATCTTTTACAAAATTAACTCTGATCGTATAATAATTTTCAGAATCAGAACTTTTTTTCATCATGAATTAATCAGCAGGATAAAAAAATTCAAAATTCTTAGGTTTAGGAAGGTTTCCACTCTAATCAATATTTAATTTGATGCTAAAAGTAAATTAATCTATTAATTTACTCCATTTGCTTTAATTCTAAGCAGTAAATAAAGAAAGATCTGGCAAAAGCCTTTATTCTTCAATAATTTATTTAAAGTTGTTAAAATAGTTTTCATTCAATGAAAAAAGAGTATCGTCAACTCTAGGATTTATTTCAACGCTGACTAATTCTACAATATTTTTTCCACAAAATTCAACTGAAGCATTAAAATCGTATTGAATTATTTTTTCAGAGATTTTTGAATATCCAAGAGATAAATCATTAAAATATTAAGATATTAACTTACGGTCATATCCAGGAATTGTTAAGTGGTAATTATTTTCAGAATAATACAAAGAATAGCTAATTTTATCTATTTTGCCCTATTTAGCGAGTGAATTAAATATTTAACTATCATAAACTTTTTAGTTATCTCTAGCAATAAGTAAACCTATTTACTATGATTAGTATGTTGAGGGATTTAAAGTTGTAGGAGTTAATTTTTTGACATAATAAACCTCTTCTAAATAAAAGATAATTCTGTCTAAGACCATAGGTAAAGCAATTATGTCTCCACTTGCAATATAATCTCCAATTTATAGACCAGTAAAATCACTTTACTTGATACAATTATTTTAAGGTTAACATTAGTATGGAGTTATTTCACTTTCTTATCCATAAAATAAACAGTCTTCACAATCATTTGATGTAAAATAAGTAATTGAACTATTTAAGTCAAAAGCAACATGAATATCTCCAATAGTATCAATATGCATCAACGTTCTGAATTATTCATCTAAAACTATGTTTACAGTTTTTTAAGACTCATTTCCATAAGAGGCATTAGCAAAAACTATACTGCAGTTTGCTAAACCAAAAAAAATAGCAATAAAAATTAATATTTTCATATCACTATATATTCAATAAAAAATAAGTTTATACTTCTTTTTATTTATTGACTGAAAAAAAGAAAAACACTTTTTTATTCAATACAAGAATAAAATACAAATAGAAACAAAGTATCAAAACTCTAATTGAAAGTAAAAATATAAAAAAAAGAGTAAGATATGACATATAAAATTAAAAATGGAAAATACAATACTTAAAAACATATCAAAAATAAATTTAGATACCTGATCAGAAATTTTTATTTTTGATTTTAATTAGCTTGAGGCGAATTATTAAATAAATTTATATACTGTAAATACTTGTTAATTATAATTAGTGATCTCATATTTTAAAAATCTAAAATAATTTAAAATTGAAAAATAAAAAATTATTTTATATTTTTATAGCTTTATTTACTTTAATAAATAAGATATATATTTATGTATAATATATTTTTATATAGAATTGTCACTTTAATTTCAATTTTAAATTCCACTTCTAAAAGCTTTTTAGGGCTTCAATGGTGTTAGAGAGTAAATATATTTTCCATTAGTATCTTCATGAACATAGTATAAAAATTTTTTGAAAATACGCTTTCCAAGCTTTAACCCACTCACAAATGTTTCAAATAAAACTTTTAAAGTGTAATAATTTTCTTTATGTTCCATGAACTCATCAGCAGAATATTCAATAAACAAAAACTATGGTTAGGGAATATCTGTTCCAAAAGGAGAGGTTTTTATTCCTAAACCAAAATTAAATTCCTCAACTAAATCACTCCATTCACCTGATGGATAGTTAGGTGTAAAGAATGATAAATCAGGTTAAAGTCTTTTTTCATTAATTACCTTTTTAAATCCTTCAAATATACTTTCATTAAAAACAAACATTGAATCTTCAAATGTAGGATCTATATATAGAGTTACTGAATCTACTATCTATTGATCACTAAAATTTAAATTCACTGATGAGGTTAGATAAGTCTTAGTCTCATATAACTAATGGTATCCAGTAACTACATCATAAAATGGCTTATATTATAGTTTACTATCATATTCAGGAATAGTCAAGTGATAATTTGAATCAGCGTAATATAAGGAATAGGTTATTATATCTATTTTTCCTTAACCAAAAAGTGAGGTATAAATATTACTGATTGTTTTTTTTTTAAAATCACCACTATCACTTTTCAAAAGCAAACCTATTTTCTGTGATAAATATGCTTAAGGATTCTAAAGAAGAGGAACAATTTATTTGATATGATAAACTTCTTCTAAATAGAAAATTGTTCCATCCAAGATCATAGGAATAGCAATAATGTCGCCACTTAAGATATAGTTTCCATCAAGATACAAACCATCAAATTCCCTTACTTTCACACAGTTATTTTAAGATAAACATTTATATGGAGTTATTTCATTTTCATTAGCATATAGTTTACAATTTGAACACTCAGGTGAAGTAAAATAAGTGATTTAAGTAGTTATATCAAACTAAATTTTTATTTCTCCAATCGTATCAATGTACATTAATGCTTTAAATTAGTCATCTAACAATATGTTTATAGTTTTTTTAACAGTGTTATAGGTAGCACTAGTAAATGAAATGCTACAACATACAATACTTAAAGCTAGGGCAAATATTATAATTCTTTTCATCTTATTTAGCTCTTCTGATTGTTTTTATTTATTTTAATTTAATTTAATTTAAAAAATAAGTTATCACTTAGATAAGAAGAAGATAAGGAATCGAAAAGTCAAAAATAAGTACAATAAAATTATGATCAGCTAAGCAATCAAGTTTTTGTATGATAAAAAATGATAAAATTTTTAAAGAATTCCATTTCTGATTAAGTAGTAACTTATTTTTGATAATTTGAGTAAATAAAAACTTAGCAATCAATATTTTTTATTATTTATTAATTAAATATGAAAATAAATTATTTATTTAATAACAATATTTATGATAAAATAGATTTTATTTTAAATTTTACATAAATATATTTATTTTATATGTTATCTTCACTTACTCTAAATCCTTTCATATCAATAAAAATTATTAACAATCTCATAATCAAATTTTCATTTATAAAAAAAAATTTTATATTTTTATAGCTTTTATTTACTTTAATATTTATGATAAAAACTGATGTATTTATTATTTATATATATAATTGTCACTTTAATTTCAATTTTAAATTCCACTTCTCAAAGCTTTTTAGGGCTTCAATTGTGTTAGAGAGTAAATATATTATCCATATTTATCTTCATGAACATAGTATAAAAATTTTTTGAAAATGCGCTTCCCAAGCTTTAGCTCATTCACATCTTTTTCAAATAAAATTTTGAAAGTGTAATAATTTTCTTTATATTCCATTATTTCACGAGCCTAATATTAAATATCTATAAAAATTAGTTAGGGAATATCTGTTCCAAAAGAAGAGGTTTTTATTTTTAAACCAAAAATTAAAATCCAAAATTAAATCACTCCATTTTCCTGATGGATAGTTAGGTGTAAGAAATGACAAATCAGGTTAAAGTCTTTTTTCATTAATTACTTTTTTAAATCCTTCAAATATACTTTCATTAAGCACAAGCATTGAATCTTCAAATGTAGGATCTATATATAGAATTACTGAATCTACTATCTATTGATCACTAAAATTTAAATTCACTGATGAGGTTAGATAAGTCTTAGTCTCATATAACTAATGGTATCCAGTAACTACATCATAAAATGGCTAATATTATAGTTTAGTATCATATCCAGGAAAAGTCAAGTGATAATTTGAATCAGCGTAATATAAGGAATAGCTTATTTTATCTATTTTTCCTTAATCAAAAAGTGAAGTATAAATATTACTGATTGTCATTTTTTTAAAATCTTCACCATCACTTTTCATAAGCAAACCTATTTTCTGTGATAAATATGCTTAAGGATTCTAAAGAAGAGGAACAATTTATTTGATATGATAAACTTCTTCTAAATAGAAAATTGTTCCATCCAAGATCATAGGTATAGCAATAATGTCTCCACTTAATATATAGTTTCCATCAAGTTACAAACCATCAAATTCCCTTATTTTCACACAGTTATTTTTAGATTAACATTTGTATAGAGTTATTTGATTTTCATTAGCATATAGTTTACAAGTTGAACACTCAGGTGAAGTAAAATAAGTGATTTAAGTAGTAATATCAAACTAAATTTTTATCTCTCCAATTGTATCAATGTTCATTAATGCTTTGAATTATTCATCTAACAATATGTTAAAAGATTTGTTAATAGTGTTATAGGTAGCACTTGTAAATTAAATGCTACAATATACAATACTTAAAGTTAAAGCAAATACTATAATTCTTTTCATATTATTTAACTCTGCTTGTTTTTAATTTAATTTAAAAATAAGTTATCTCTTCTGATAAGAAGAAGATAAGGAATGGAAAAATCAAAAGTAGGTATAATCAAATTATGATCAGCTAAGCAATCAAGTTTTTGTTTTGTAAAAATGCCAAACTTATAAAAGAATTCCATTTCAGATTAAGTAGTAACTTATTTTTGTTAATTTGAGTAAATAAAATATTAACCCATATTTTTTTTATAATTAAAATATGGAAATAAATTATTTATTTATTTATTTAATAACAATATTTGTGATAAAATAGATTTTATTTTTATTTTAAATTTACATAAATAAATTTATTTTATTTATAATAGAACAAGCTTTTGTTTACTCACAATCCTTTATTACTAGTAAAAATTATTAAAAAATCTCAAAATCAAATATTTTCATTTTTTTTGATAAATTTATGGTAATTTACAAAAAGTTTGCATAATATTAATTAATAAATTAATATATTGTAATATTATTAATAAAATATAATAAATTATTGATAGTTAAATTACTTTGTGAAAATGGTAATTAAATAGAGTATTGCAATTTTTTGATATGGAAGTTAGTTAGTAAAAAAGTAAGGAAATAAGTAAGTTATTAAGCTAATTAGATAGTTATTCATAATAGTGGTGTTAGAATTAGATAAGTAGATAAGTATTTATATATATACAATTTATTTTTATATTACAGAATTATTTATTTAATATTTGTGCATTTAAATGCAATCAATTTGTAGATAGATTGATTATTTATAAATATTTATTTTATCAATTTTTTATATTTAACTTCTTTAAATTAAATTTTTTTCTATAGTTTATTGATAGAAATAAATTTAAAGAATGCTTTTATAAAAATATATTTAAAATTTTTGTTTTCAATTGTTTACGGTTTTTTACTTTCTTGTTGTAGCAGAGTAAGGACGAGCCCCTAAATAATTAAATTTTATTTAAATTAATTATTGGAAATTTAAAATTATTTACTTTGTTGTGTGCCGTACGGATTTACTTATTTTTTAGGAGTAGGAATACTTGGATTATTAAAAATAACTTTTTCATCTTATTAAATTGAGCTGCTGGTTTATTCAGGGACAACATTATATTCAACCATAGATCTGTTAAGAATATCAGCTCTAGACATACGATCTCCCTATTTTACATATTAAAATAGAAAGATAAAATTATATTTTTAAAATACAACAATAAGAATCTTACTCTTTACTTTACAAAAGTTATAGTCTATTATGTATGAGCTTATGGACCACAAGAGAGGCAATTAATAGGGAAGAGCTTTTTAGTAGTTAAAAGGGAACTAGATTCAATTCCCATTTAAGTTGAAGCTGTTACTTAGCTATTATTCATTACATTTTTTTTAATTAAAAGTTATAAATTGTCTAAATCTCTTCTTATAAATGAAACCATCTCACTTAGTTAGGCAAATCTTGATTCCATATTGCACTGATCTTTTTTCACATCATCAGAATTAGCTTTTTATTTCAGCTACTTAATTACATTATTGATATCAATTTCTTTAAAGATACGAGTAACTCTTCTTTCTATTTCTCCTGCGTTTTCTATTTTATAATTTACTTCATTTAAGTCTCTTTATATTTTTCTATATTTCTCTTCGTCAATTAATTATTTAGGCATCATGTCGTATATTAATTTTTTTATTTCCTCAGGCTTCATACCACCACCTTATTCGTTTGGTAGACTTTGCATGCAGCTAAAGAAATCGATGCTTTCAAGTTTTCTTTTCATGTCCTTTTAAATAAAATTTATTTTTCATTTTTTGTTATATTTTTAAACAAATAATTTATTTATTTTAAAATATAATTTTTATTACAGATTACAAAGCTGCTATTCTTTCTTCGTGACGTATAATATTCTCCTCGTTAACTCTAAGATCAGCTTCAATTTGACATAATTTGTGGGGATCAAGTTTTTTTAAAAGTGTTTCATATCCTTTCATTTCATCGTTGGAGAGTTAATTATTTAAATGCTTATCAACTTCAGCTTATATTTATTTTATTCTGTGATCATATTAAACAAATTAATTTTTATGGTCATCGATAACTTCAGAGTAATCTAATTCAGTTTCCATAGCTTTTAATCTAACTTGGAGCTATGAAATCCTATCAGTCATAGTTTTATTGGTTTCTAAAAATTTATCAGTGGTAACGTACTTTGTTTTACAACTTTTTAGAAGAAAAAAAAAGATATAACTTGAAAAAATTAAAATAAGTCGTTAAATACCTTGTTTCGAGGTCTTTGATAGCTTATTTTAATTGTTTTGTTTTTTCATTAACGTTATCGTCTATTTCTTATAATTTAGAATTAATTTTGGATTGAATTTTGTCTAACTTATCTGAACCTCCTCCTGTAAGTTAATTAATCTTTAAATTTATACAAAAATTTTTTCTATTTTTATATCAATCAACTTTTAAATTAATTGTTACTTAATCTTTCATTGATTTTTCAAGATTTGCTATTGCTTCATTTACAAATTCTTCATTCACTCTCTTAGATAAAAGGTCTTGACAATCTTAAATTTTCCAAATAGTTCTTCTTTCTACATCTTTGATAAGTGCATCTACGTTTCCCATTTAATTTGCAGAAGTCTTCTCACATTAAGCGACTCTATCTTCTAATTCTTTGCAAGTATCTTAGATCTTTATAGTATTTTAAGAAATAAAATTTACAATTAAATAAAATCAATTGATTAAACATCAAATTTATTTTTTTAGTGGTTTTAATAAAAATAGAAGAACAAAATTAATATCAATATTTTAATAGTAATTCTTGTTATTTATTAAAAATATATATGTATTCTCACTGCAACACACGCTTTAAGCAAAAATTTTATTGACTTTCATCATTAGAAATACTTATCCCTCATACATTTAGGACTTATTATTAAAATATAAAATAAATACCTTTTCTTTCAGTTTATTTTTGCTTTTTTTAATTTTTTCTTTGAGTCCTTTATCATCTGCTTTAGTGTTAATAATTTACTCCAATTTGTTTATTTTTTCATCTTATTTCACTAACGTTTGGTAAAGATAGGTACAAGCATTGCCTATCATATTGAATTTTTAGCATATTGGCTCAGTTTCCTAATCTATTCTACCCTTTCCTAACTTAAACTATTCTTTATTAAGAGAATTTTATAATATCTTGACAAAATTTTAGTCATAAATGTCTGTCGCTTTAGCCATATACTTCAAACTGTTGCAAATCTATAATATTATAAGCATTATTATTATTTAAAATTAAAATGAGGACAATTTTAATAATATTTTTGAGAGCATTTGAATTATTTACATCGTCAACTTTAGATTTAGTGCCTACATCTACTTTAACTGAATCAATTTGCTTTTAACATTTCATTATTGAGCCATCTATAGTATCTAAAAGCTTCTTTAAGCTATCGTAATTTACATCTAATTGAAATAGGGGAACAGCTGTAATATTTAATTTCTATCCTGCTGTAATGCTAGTTTCTTTTTGTTTAAAAATAACATTTCTAAAATGCAAAATATAATTTTTATTATTCACCTTCCATGGAACTCATTTATTTTTTATATATGCTTATATTTTATTGTTGATTCCTTAACTAAATAATTATTTGATGAAATATTCTTGATTTACGATTACCAAGCAATAATTTTTTAGTTGTGTTTAATAATTTGTATATATATTTGGTTGGCGTTAAAAGCAACAATACTATATTAACATTCAAAATAAATATTAATGATATTTTTAATGGTTTTTGTTGTTTTAAATTATTTATCTAAGTGCTTATTGACTTTAATAAATCAAGCAATTAAATCTAAAATCAATAATTATTGGAGTGCATATATATGAATGTATTTGTGATAATTTTATTTTGCCATTTTCCAGTAAAAAATAAATGAAATTATTTTTATTTAATAATATTTTAAACGAAAATTAATTTTTTAATAAAACATATTAAATAAGGGTGAATTTATAAAAAATAGGCATATAATTTAATTTTTAATTATATTAATTTTTGAAGAAAAAGAGCACTGTCATTTTTTTAATTATCTCATACGCTGAATAATTTCAAGAATATTTTTTTTCTTACCAAGATATGAGTGATTTCACTAAAAATGTAAAATTTTTTACAAAAATATTAAAATTAGTAAAAAATAAGGTATTTCTTACTAAAGGTTTTTAAAAAGATTATTTAATGTTAAAAAAAATGCAAATATAATTGGATTTTTTTATTAAAAATTTTTTTAATGGATAGATAATTCTATGTATGATATTAGTAATAATTTATTCAAAAATTAAATTAAAGTCTTTTCATTCTTATATTTCGTCATTTGGATTCAGAAATGAATAAAAGGCTGTAAAACTTATTAATATTTTATCCAAAAGTAATTTTTCTATTTTTTAAGTTTTTTAAATAATTGTCTAAAATTATAATTATTTTTCAAAATAAAATCAATATTTATTTGCACTCTTGTTTATTTAGATTTTAATAATAAAATTACTTTTCCTTTACTATTTTAATTTTGTTACTTAATTTTTTAAAAATGAGTTATATTGATAATAGTAACAAATAATATGGTAATACTTATTTATTTACATACTAGAATGAACTATATAAAAAATTATGGGTACTATCATGATAATAAACTATATCTTATCAAAGAGTTTGAATTCAAAATAGGAACTGCTTTACCCTAGAGTACAAGGTTTCAATACATTAAATAAGTTAAAAGGAGTACAATTGATACAAACTATGCAAAAGAGAGAAGTTAGCTTTTAGAAGCAGTAGAAGCAGTAGAAGTAGTAGAAGAAGTAGAAGAAGGATTTGAGCTCGTATTTACAGCATTTGTAACACCACATAATGAAGTATATTTTGTGTTGCATTATTAAGACCCACATTAAGAGCAAGGAGTTCCTTAAACATAAACTGGCTATCCTAAATAATTTCCTGATGCCTCATATTAACATACAGTATAATGTTAGTAATATGTACCATCAAAGAAATAAGAATGACCACAACCTAAACTATTAGATTTAGCCCAAACAACTTGAGAATAATGACCATAGGAACAACTATATTAATAAGCACTTATATAGCTAGTTTACCAGGAAGGATCCTTATATTCATAAAACCACATTATAACTTGAGAAGCAGGATCATAGTCACTTTGAGTAGTCCATCCACTTTCAGCTAAATTTTCACCATAATCCTTGTCATCTGAGTGAACCATAACTTAGCTCAAATTATTAGCCCAAGCCTAAGCTGCTGCTTCTAAGGAAATACTCCAATTCATGGCCATCATGTTAGCAGCCTAAGGTTATGATTTATCCTCTCCCCCTGCAATTTTATTTCTTACTATGTTGTGAGTGTCAAGTAAAATTTATCTTTGGGCATCAGTCAATCCAGAATTTATTAAGGTATTGGCGGCTTAGGCTCCACCTAATAATATCAAAAATAGATAAAAGATAGTTTAGAACTTCATATATTTTACAATTTTTTTTATATATTATTTTAATTAATTACATAAATAACTCTATTAGGATTTATATAGAAAAAGTAAAAAGTTTTATTTTAATAGACAAAAATATAGAAAAAATTAATGGAATAATATTTTATCCATAAATTTTATTTCAATTATTATGAGGCATAAAAAGTACTTGAATCAATTTAGCTAGATTTGAATTACCTATTTTCTAAAAATATATTTTCTAAAAAGATGTGAATAACAAGTTTATTTGGTATTTGTTACTTAAAATTCAACACAAAAATTGTAACAAAAAACGTGATTAAATTTACCATTTATTCCATTACTTTAAAATTTGAAATGTTTTTTTTCCATAAAATTGTTTTTAAATGACTTTTTATATTTGTTTAAAGAAATTTTATATTAAGAAAAACCAATTACATAAAAGTTTAATTAATTATATTACTCTTAAAGTATTGATTGATAGACCATAAAAATAATAATTTTTGGTTTGCTAGAATTTTGAAAGACTATAAATTATTTCTTGTAATATTTAGCCTGAAACTTTATTGCTACATACTGTAACTTCGCGATAACCTTCGCTAAAAATAACGACGAAGAAATGAAAAATCTAAAAAATATTTCACTAAAAATGTAAAATTTTTTACAAAAAAAATATTAAAATTAATAAAAAAATAAGGTATTTCTTACAAAAGGTTTTTAAAAACATAGCATAAAAAAAATGCAAATACAATTGGATTTTTTTATTAAAATTAATTGAATTGGATAATTCTTTGATATTAGTTATAATTTATTCAAAAATTAAATTAAAATCCTTTCTTTACAATATTTTGTTATTTTGATTCAAAAATGAATAAAAGGCTGTAAAACTTATAAATATTTTATCCAAAAGTAATTTTTCTATTTTTTATGTTTTTTAAATCACTGTCTAAAATTATAATTATTTTTCAAAATAAAAACAATATTTATTTGCACTCTTGTTTATTTAGATTTTAATAAATGTTAAAAATAACTTAATAAAATTATTTTTCCTATACTATTTTAATCTTGTTACTTAACAAAAAATGAGTTATATTGATAATAGTAACAAATAATATATTAATACTTATTTATTTATTAGAATGAACTATTTAAAAAATTATGGTTAGTATCATGATAATAAACTATATCTTATCAAAGTGTTTGAATTAAAAATAAGAACAGCTATATACTATTAGACACAGAAATACAAGGTTTCAACACATTAAATAAGTTAAAAGGAGTACAATTGATACAAACTATGCAAAAGAGAGAAGTTAGCTTTTAGAAGAAGTAGAAGAAGGAGAAGAGGGATTTGAGCTAGTATTTACAGCATTTGAAACACCGCATAATGAAGTATATTTTGTATTGCATTATTAAGACCCGCATTAAGAGCAAGGAGTTCCTTAAACATAAACTGCCTATCCTATATAATTTCCTTGAGCCTAATATTAACATACAGTATAGTGTTAGTAATAAGTACCATCAAAAAAATAAGAATGGCCACAACCTAAACTATTAGATTTAGCCCAAACAACTTGAGAATAATGGCCATAGGCAGAACCAAATGTATAAGTATTTATATAACTAGTTTACCAGGAAGGATCCTTAACTTCATCAAACCACATTTGAACATGAGAAGCAGGATCATAGTCATTTTGAGCTGTTGATCCACTTTCAGCTAAATTTTCTCCATAACCCTTGTCATTTCCTGAGTGAATCATAACTTAGCTCATATTACTAGCCCAAGCCTAAGCTGTTGCTTCTAAGGAAGTACTCCAGTTCATGGCCATCATATTAGCAGCCTAAGGTTATGGACTTTGCTATCCTCCTGCAACTTTATTTCTTAACATGTTGTGAGTGTCAAGTAAAATTTGTCTTTAGGCGTCAGTCAATCCAGAATTTATTAAGGTATTGGCTGCTTAGGTTCCACCTAATAATATTAAAAGTAGATAAAAGATACTTTAGAACTTCATAAATTTTACAATTTTTTTTTTTAATACTTTTAATTAATTATTTAAGTAACTCAATTTGTATTTAAATAGAAAAAAATCAAAAGTTATATTTTAATTGAGAAAACTATAGAAAAAATTAATGGAATCATATTTTATCCATAAATTTTATTTCAATTATTATAAGGCAAGAAAGTACTTGAATCAATTTAATAATTAGCTATTTTGGAAAAGAGGTGAAGAACAAGTTTATTTGATATTTGTTACTCAAAATACAACATAAAAATGTAACAAAAAACGTGATTAAATTTACCATTCATGCATTACAATAAAATTTGAAATATTGGCAGAATTTTATTTTTCCATAAAATTGTTTTTAAATGATTTTTTATGTTTGTTTAAAGAAATTTTATTTTAAGAAAGCCACCATGAATTGTAAAAAACTTAATTAATTATTTTACTCTTAAAGTATTGATTGATTGACCATAAAAATAATAATTTATGGTAAGCTTGAATTTTGAAAGATTATAAATTATTTTTTGTAATATTTTCAAGCCTGAAACTTTATTGCTACATAATTATTTGTTAAAAGGAAAAATATATTTAAAGGTATTTTCTTAATCAAAAACTAGTAATACATTTTTTTAATCAAAAAATATCCTTTGGCTAGAATTAAAAAACTGAATTTAATTCATTATCAAACAAAAATAGTTCAGAAATAAAATGAAGTTTATTAACATATTTATTTTTTTCATTTTAAATTAACACCATTTTCATATTAAAATAGATTCATGTAAATTTTTAAAAGAATAAAGTATTGTTTTAAAACTGACTTGATTTAATATATTGAAATAAGTAGATTGAATTTAATAAATAAATAGATAAGTAATTTTTAAAATATATTAATTAATTTAACTAAAATCTAGAATTTAAATTTAAAAAAATCAATTTTTTATTTCTTTGATAAACATATTTAATAGTAAGTTAAATATTCAATTAACTTTTAAAATTATATTATTTTCTTAAAATATCAAAGTAACTTTCAAAACTTTTTTGTAATTCAGATAATTATTTGCTTATAAAATTATTAATTATTTTTAGACTGGTCTGAATATTTATCAATACAAATAATATATAAAGTTATTAAAAATTTACTGTAACTCTTTTTAATTTTAATTTAATTTTCTATTATTTTTCTAATATAAAATAACAATTTATCTTCATATTCATGTAAAAATAATAAAAGCAATAATTAATATAAAATTAACCTTGCTTAAATTACTATAGCTAGCCGTTGTGTTTGCCTATTATGCGCCAGCAGAAGATCCACTAGCTGAACTACCAGAACCATTTCCAGAAGATGAGCTTCCTGAACTACCAGAACCGCTTCCAGATGACGAACTTCCAGAACTACCAGAACCACTTCCAGAAGATTAGCTACCTGAACTAGAGCCACTTCCTGAAGAAGAACTTCCTGAACTACCAGAACCACTTCCAGAAGATGAACTTCCTGAACTACCAGAACCACTTCCAGATGATGAACTTCCTGAACTACCAGAACCACTTCCAGATGATGAACTTCCTGAGTTACCAGAACCACTTCCGGAAGATGAACTTCCAGAACTACCAGAACCACTTCCTCCAGAAGATGAGCTTCCTGAACTACCAGAACCACTTCCGGAAGATGAACTTCCTGAACTAGAGCTGCTTCCAGAAGATGAGCTTCCTGAACTACCAGAACCACTTCCAGAAGATGAGCTTCCTGAACTGCTTGACCCGCTACCTTGAGCATTTGTTGCACCAGGTATAGCAGTTGTTTAGCCACATAGGGAGGTAAATATTGAATTGCATGATTGCTATTTGCCACAAGCTGAGCATGGATTACCTGATTAATACATTGATTAATTCGAAGCATTACCTGGAACAGAATATCTACAAACAGTATAATGAATATGATATTTTCCATCATAAAAGTAAGAATGTCCACAACCAACAGCAGTAGTTGCTGCCCATGCTAGTTAAGAAAAATGAGCATAATCCTCTAAAAATGAATATGAAGCAACATAACTTGAACTCCATGTTTTTACAAGTACTTCATTGTACCAGAGCTAAACATGATTTTATGGATCATAAGCTGTATCTTTTCCATACAGAGATTAAGCTAAATTTTCTCCATAAGAATCTCCAGCATCATCACTATGATAGTAATTCATAGAATCTGCCCAATCCTAAGCTCCTGATGCTAAATCATTATCCCAATTCAAGGCAGCCATATTTGAAGCTTGAGGATTAGGTGACTGACCGCCACTTGCAATCAAATTTCTTAGCTAATTATGCTTATCCAATAATAACTACTTTTCGTTTGCTGTTAATCCAGTTTTGCCAACCATATTTGGATCTGTATAAATTTAAGCATATAAATAATTGACCAGCAATAATACTATAAATAATTTCATTAAATTATTAATTTAAGACATTTTTATACCAATTGTTTTTTTAATAAAAAAGTGTTTAATTTTTTATTTGAAAAAATTATTATTTATTTGCTGGATATTTATAATTTTTTTAGAAATAGAAAAGTAATAGGTTTGATTAGTTAGCTATTAAAGATATTGAATTTAATAAATTTTGAAGTATATTTTTCTGTTAATGTAATTCAAAACTTCTTCAAAGGAATATAAAATAACTAATTAGTTTGTTTGTTACTAACTTACTCATTTTACAAAAATAAATTTAAATGTTACTGACTTTTCATAATAATTATAGTTAATTGATTTAAACATTTTTATAGTTATTTTATATTAAATTGTTTATTTTAAAAATTATATATTCTTAGGAATAAACAGTAAACTACTTTTTAAAAAATAATCAGCAAATTAACATATTTAATTGGTTAAAATACTTGATTTAAATTTTTAGTGCTACTACGTTCTTTCAAATACAATTTTAGAAATTATATCTATCTAAATTTTTTAATTAAAAAGCTAATTAATTCTGATTTTCCCTATAAATTTTCAAATTATTATTAAAGAAAAAAAACTTAAGTTAATTCAATACTCATAAAAACTCATAAAAAGTACTTTTTATACGTTTTTTCAAAAGAAAATTTTTTTAGGATTCATATACTCGCTGCATTTTATTTTCATAATTAATTTAGCTAACCTATTAAAAATCATTTTATCTATTCAAGATGTTCGTTAAATTTGTTTAGAATTTTTTGAATTTTAAAGAATAAAATAAATTTAGATTATCTTTATTAATTTTTATGTAATATATGTTTGATTTATTTTATAGAATAAAATTTAACTTCATTTTTATAAATTTAGGATTATAATAAATAAAATATATTTTTAATGATAAAGCTTTTAATTTAACGTTATTTTTCTTTAATAAAATAATATTTTGTAAATTAATTATTAATATATCAATATTTTTATACTTATTTGATATATTTAAATATTTTTTCTAAATAAAATTTGAAGAAATTAATTCAGTAAATAGTTAAATTACGATTTAAATATTCTTGATTGACCTAAAATTTTTCTAGATTTGATTTTTTTTAATTTGGTAGAAAATTCAAAAATTAATAATCAATTAATTGAGGTTATTTTTAAAATTCAGTTATTTTACTTATGTATTTTTTAATAAAAGATGATTAATTACTAATTCAATTTATTTAGATAACAATTTTTATACTTACAAAATATGAATAGCTATAAAATTATTGATCTCCAATTGATTTTTCATTTTATTTTATAAAATAACATATTATTGATTTATATTTCTTAACATCATTATTTTACCAGTATTTTAAATCTACAAAAGAATAAAAAAGCATAAAATAAATCAAATAAAATACGAGTTTTTTAAATATAATAATTGATTATTTATCTAAAGTGTATAAGCAATATGAGTTAAATTTAGAAATAAAAAATATGAGTTTTGAACATATTTTTTATAATTTACTAGATCGTTATAAATAGATAAAATTACAGTTTAAATAAATTTTATAGTGTTTAATTTGAAACGGTCATTTTTATTTACATTTAGTATATTAGATAATTTATTAGTGTTAATATAATGATTAAAAACAAAACTTTTTCAGTAGAGCAGAGCAAAATTGTCTATTAATTTATAGTTGAAGAGTTGATCAATTTTATAGATTTTGTTCAATAGCTGAACTTTTTGCTATTGCTTTAAGCTTTTTTTGTTTATTAATTTAAAAATGATTAAATATTAAATTGATCTGTCTAAATAAATAAATATATTTGAATTACTTTAGAATAAATATAGATAGATTTTGTAAATTTTTGCACTTCTATAATAGTTGCACCATAGAAATTATATACTGTATTTCTTAGGGATTGCTATTTTCAAATTATTTAAATATTTTTTATTTAATAAAGAAAAATTAAATTTTCATACCATTCGACACTAAAGCATAAATTTTTCAAGTTAATACAATATTTTAGTCCTTCCCCTAAATCTATATAGCCCTCAAGACCAATTAGATTATCACTTTTTATAATTTATATTTTATTAATTAAACTTTATTTTAATTTTATATAGCATTAATTTACATGTGTATTCCTATTGACACACTTTAAATTGAAATACTACTCTTTAGTCCTATCGATAAGCCAAGTACGCCTCCAGGTCCAATTTAATAGTTACTATTTAAATATTATTTGATATATTAATTGTATATATTTAAAATATGAGTGTTTACTTTCCTAGCTCTAGCTTTAGTTTTCTGAGCTATTTTAAATTTTTGATATTACTTCCAAAGTCATAAAGGGATTATGAATCAGAGTCAATGCCTCCATCTTTCCTAAAATATAAGCATAATATTTAAAAAGTTTTTTTTAGTTAAAGAAAAATTACTCTTTCTAGATTGAAAATTCTAATTCAGAAAGGTGTTTATTCTACTGAATACCCAAAGATAGAAATCTCATTCCTTCTTTTTAAATGTCATTCCTTTGTTTGAGAAAGTTATTAAAAATTAAATTTAAAAAGAAAATAAATTAATTAATTTACTATAAAAATAGAGAAAGCGATTCAAGAAACTCACAATTTTGAATTCTCATCCCAATTTCTCTAGCACCATCAACACCAATTTTATTTTATCTGGATATTTTTATATAATTTTTATTTTCTATAAATTGCAACTAAAGCAATATTCATTACCTTCCAACAAAAAGTTTAAAAATTCTCAGCCTCTTACTTGCTTACAATACAAGAGCGATTTCTTTTGCACCTTCTGGCCCAATATTATTTTTTCTATATTAAATAAATAAACGAATAATTATATTTTCTATCGTTGATTCTACATTAATTTCAAATTTTATAGTAACCCAAATATAAAGAAAGTATCAATAATCTTAATAATCTTGGATAAGAATATTAACACATACTTAAAATTAATTTTGAGAAATATCAGTCCAGAATGTTTTATTAAGATTATAATATCCTGCTTTAGAAAAAATAAATAAATAAATCAATGAATGAATCATTACTATCCAAAATTCAGTGATAGATACTAAATATTATTTTCACTTTTCAAGGAATCAAGTAATCCTTTGGTTCCTAATGAGCCAATGAAATCCTCTCTTTTTTAAAAAAAGGCATTAATTATTAAAAATACATTCAAATCTGTAAATAAAGAAGAATTTGTTTTGATTTAAGTGACTTTATATTCTAAAAATATGCTAAATTTTATAAATTTAAGTCATACCAAATAAATAATTCTACTATAATTTAGAGGGAAAATAATTAATTTCAGATTACTGAATGTCAATTGATAGGGAGTTCAAATGAAAGAGAAACTTAATGCTATCACCAATACCAGTGGCTCCATCGCGCCCTATATTATTATTCCTTAACACAATACATCAGAATTGATTTAATCTAAAATTAAATTACTGCTTTATTGTAATAGATAATGCGATAAGGTTAGAGCAAAATTTTATACCGTTCCCTAAGGATATGGCTCCTACTGCTCCTATATTATTATTCCTTGAAATAATTGTAGTTTTATTGAGAAATGTTATAAATTATATTGATTAAATATTCAACACAAAAAAGTAATTAGTTACTCTCCAATAGTTATATTCAAATTGATAAGATTGTGGCAATATTTTAATCCTTCTCCTATACTTTTAGCTCCTTTTGGCCCAATCCTTTTATTGCAGCTATTTAGATACAAATTATATTTTAACACTCCATTTTTAATAAGCTGCAAAACTTACTTCTCATTTTTACTAGAAATTATGGCATCTTTCTCAATCAATTAGGCTCTATTAATTAGCGCAATCAATAAAAAAAATAAAATTATCTGATTATCATATTGAATTTTAGTAGTAAAATATAGTTTACCCAAGTATTTAAAGCTTTAATATAACAAGGGACTGACATTTTTTCAAAGCTTTTCCTATGTAAACTCCTAAGTTATTGTCATTGACTTTATATCTTTTTGATATTATATTGTTTGTTATGAAATAAACGCTATCCAGTTAATTTTTATTACTTCAAATCCATTGTATATTTATCTTTCTCATATAGCCTGTTTAATTTTTAATGAAAATAGAGATTTTACTTTAATAATAATTTAGAGTAAGTTCTAATAGTAAAATAAAGAAAACTAATTCTTACTTACCCAAATATTTGTTTTTTAATGCTGTTTCCCATTTTTATGCTAATATCCAGCAGAAGCGGGATGATTCAACAAGACTAATTTTTATGCTCTTTCAATCAGATATTAATCTTTCTTTTAAACACTATGAGCAGTGAGAGCTTTGCGATAAAATATTTTTTTCTTTAATACTTTAGATTTTAATCTCTTACTTATTATATCACCTCACAAAAAAAAGATTGCAATTTTTTTAATCAAAAAATGTTTATTAAAACAAACAACTATCATTACAAAGATATCATCATCGTACTAACATATAAAATTTCTTTATTTTTATTATTATTCCCGAATTAATTAAAAATATTTATCATATTACCTAAAAGTAACAAGAATAATCCAACAATGATTGATGAAATAAAGACACTTAAAAAAAATTTACTATCTTAATATTTTTTCAATAAAAGCATTTTCTCCATTTAAAAAACAATTTACTTAACTTTTGATGCACATAAATATTAAAAAGAACTTAACAAAATGAATATAAATTTTATAATGTGAAAGCATACTTTTAAATATTATTTCCATAAAAATAAATTAATTTATTTTGATATGTTGGATTTAATATAAAAAGAATTCATTATATTTTAATAGATTTATCTTGATTCAGGACATGTTTAAAAGATATCAAGAAAAATGTATTTATTATGTTTTATTTAGAATAAATTATTAAAATATATTTTGAATTCGTATTTTTAATTTTTGTTCATAGTTGAAAGATTGTAATTAGTAATATTATATTTTTTTGCTTTATTAGTTCATACTTATTTCTTTAAAAGAGGAATTATCTTATTTTAAAAACACCATATTTCTAAATTAGCAAATCATAAATCAAACTAATATTACTAGTGTTAAATAAGATTATTTATCTATTTTTTATTTGATATTAATAGATGCTAAGTGTGCTAAAAAAAATAAAAAGCTGTGTTTCTTATATAATCTGTAAGCCACGCATTTGTAAAAGAAAAAAAATTTATAAAGAATTTTAGAAGAAATTTTGGATTATTTAAAATACAAACAAGTAAAGCAGTAATAAATAAAATTTTTATGATCAAAAATTCTCAAATTTGTGAATAAAAGAAATCTCTTTAGGCATTATATCCGCAAAATCAAATATAATAATTATTTATAAAATCAATATTTTAAAAAAATCCAGTGTTATAAATAAACTTTTAATGAAATGTATTTTAAAAAGAGAGAGAAGTGACGTTTTTAAAATGTTTTACATACAAATTAAGCAATAATAATTATAATATAAAGTAAAAAATAGTGTTTAAAATTTGCAATTGTTCTCTTTCAAATGTTTGTCATTTCAAGTATATTTTTGATTTGTTGCAAATCTCATCAAATAAATTTCCTGATAATACTTTTTGTAGCTGTTCTTTACCTTTCTTCGCCAGCACACCCCATTTCAAAGCTTCTTGGGTGAAGTTCTTTTCAAGTGAAGTTAGTACTAAAAGTGTACTCCATTGATCCAAAGTCAAATTTTCAGGTTTGTCTCCTATAAATTTATCAAGATTTTCATTCAATAGAGAATTCAAAATAAATTTATTTGAGTTAAAGATTCCTTCATAATTTATGTTCTGCAATATATCAAGAAGAGAGACAGATTTTGATTGGCTTTGAGAAGGCGAATCTCCTATTAAAAAGTCATCAAGCAAGTCTATCGCATTTCCATTGTTACATTAAATTTAGTTATTATTTTACTATATGTTATTATTATTCTAAATTAGATCTAAAATATCATCATTTAAATCGCTATTTGGATCTCCATTTTAAGCAGTGTTGCTCACAGTTGACATATGTCCTTATGAAGGATTAGTTGTTTAGGAAACATCATCTCCAATGTCTAGAAGGTCAGTATTTTACCCATGAGAGCTAATTGAGCCAGATTTTTTAGAATGTGCTTATTCTTATTCTGGTTATTTTTGAGGTTCTCCTGTGAAAATGGCATCAATTAGGTTATTTAAGTCTTAGGATTTACTTCTTTCTTAACCATCTGATGGTGTTTAGTTTTCTTAGCCCGATTAATTATCATAAAGTTACATTAGATTGCTAGTTGCTGAAACTTTTCTGGTTTACTACACAAAATGACTATCATCACAGCTCTTTTCTCTTATAGAAGGAAGCTACTCTTGACCTGCAATAAGGTTTTTATCTTAACCATTTTCAGATAGTTAATAACACTTTGTTATCCAGAATGTGTGGTCTTCTGCTAACACAGAATACTACAATGAAAGACTTTTTATCTCGTCAGTATTTTTATTTTTCAATGAGATGATGTGTTAATGCGCACAAAATTTTAACAAGCTTTTTTTGAGGTCATTTGAAATGTGAGATGAACCTTCTACTTGGCTACCTAATAAATCAATTTAATGTTCTTCAACTTTATTTAAGGCCGAGCTAAAAAACTTGAATGATAGAGGAAGACTTTATTCTTTTGATGTGTTTTTTAGTGCTAACACAAGAGATATCTATTCGTTAAATTAAATTGATTTAAGATTCTACTCGACTGGTATTACCTAAGATATAAAATTTTCACTGGCTTTAGAGTCTAATTCGAAATTGCAAAGGGTAGGTTAGAATAAAGTAGGTAACATTTTTAAGATAGAATCTGTTATTGATTCATTCGAATTGTATTTATTGCTTATCGAATTACCTCCTGTCAATGAAGAGATAACTTCAAAGATGGTTGAATCTGAACTTTATCTTGATTCTACGTTAACTGTATGGATAGGTGAACCTAATTTGGAAGTCTCTAAATATTAGTAAATTTCTTCCAATTTGTTTTCTAGCTCACTAGGATCTGAAATGAGTACAATTTAACGGGCATAATTTGCAATTGATTTCTAACCTTCTATATGTTTTAATGAATTTAATATGTTAAATGATGTTCCTAAATTATTTTAAAAGTCATTAATGCGGTTGATGCTATGACTGAGATTTTCTTGTGAATAAATAACAGATGATTCAAATACACTCTCTAACCTGTTTCCACTACCTTGAGATATTATGTTAAAATAGCTGTTTGTTGGTAGAGATCTTAGAAGTAGACTTATTCCTTCGATAGCTTGAGAGAACTTTTAACTTCCCATAGAGCTGCTTCTATCTAGTAATATAATTATTTCTGATTAAGACTTGCTAACTTAAAGATGTTTCATGATACATTCCAATTTTTCGTTGTTGAAGTGAGGATGCTTTAATTTTTCTTCTAATTAACTAAGGCAACTAACTCCTGAAAGTAGAGAAGGAACAATTGTGACTAAAGCATAAGCACTGTCTTAACTTTATTTATCACTTGGTAATAATGAACTATTAAGGTAAATTTTTTAAACATTGCTATAATCTTTGTTGAAAAAGTTAATAATGAATGGTTTATCAGAGCTATGACTATAGTTAGCTCTTAATGAAAGATGTTGCAGCCCTTAGCCTGCACCATTATCTAGAAGTATTGGCTATTAGAAAACAGCGACTTCATGATTTAAGGAATGATAAGTAATGCTATCCTCTTTTTATCTATCTTCAAAGTGAATTTTAGCACTTATTGGGTAGGAGGCTGTGATTGCTTATTATGGTAATTAGAATGTGTGATAGCCTTCTCTAGAAACAGCTAATTTATGAGAATATACTAAAGATATAATTATAGATTCCTAGGGCTTAACTACCGCTATCTTAAAACGTACCCATCCATCAACTAAAATTCCATTTGGAAATTTATTTTTACCTATTTTTTCTGCTATTTTCTATTCCTCTCTTTTGCATTCAGAACTATCGTTCAAGTTGCTTGATAAGCTAGATTCTAAATTTCTCTTACTTTATTCTAGTTCAGCTAAAAATGATTCCAGTATTAAATTTTTAGATTAAGGGAAGTAGAATTCTAGATGAGCTTATTCGTTTTGATTGAAATTCAAGTAGTGCTAAACAACTTTAACTCTAGCTATTCCATGGCCTATCAAGACTTCGAAATGTTCATTTTGTAAGTAGGGAAGGCTGCTATTGTTATTAACTTAGCTTGTTTATTGTGATGCATCTATTAAGCCAAACATCTGTAAATCTTAGTCCTAGTTAAAAAAAAGTAAAATGGAGATAGAAACATAAGAAAAAAGTGGTTTTTAATTAAATCATACAAATGGAGAATAAAACAATAAAAATAAGAATAAAAATAGTGATAGTTTTTTGAATTATTTTAATACTCTATTGTATCTTATCTTTAGAAATGGTTCTGTCAATTAAACAACTATCTTGCTTATGTAGTTTTTTAATGAGTTTTTTTAATCTTTGAATTTTTGATAATTATTGTTTTTGCTGATTATATAATATGCAATCTTATATAATATAAATTATAAGTTTTAAAGGTGAACCTAAAAACTACATCAAAAACAAACTCTATTTTTATGATCTTATTATATTGAAATTGAATAAATAAGAATTGCTCAGTGATATCATTTTTATAATCAAAAAATTTATTGATGGATTATCAAAATCTATAATCAGATAAAAAATATATTCTACTCCTATTCTATTAATAAAAAAAAAACTGATTGAATTTACACTATTTAACTAATTCCATATTTAAATCAATTATGAATTTATTTCTTTGAAATAAAAATTTAAGATCAAAAATATTAAATAAAAATTTTTTATTATTTTTTCAATTAATCATTCGGATCTCATTTGATATTGTTAATTTTTTATATATAATTATAAAATATCTATAGTGTATATAAGAAATGATAAATATTCTTTATATATGTTAATTATCAATATACTTAGTATTTTTTATAAACATTTTCTTTCAAATAAAAAAAAAAGTAAATTCTTTCAATATAAATTCAGAATAGTAACATATAATATCTATAATTGGCGTTAATGGATGAATAAAAATAATAATTTAAAGAATTTTTATCAAGATTAATAAAGATAGTTTAATATTACAATTTTGTTTTGAAATTTAAATCTCTTAGATTTATTATCGATGAATTTAGCAGATAATGTTTAGCATCTATTAAATATTCAAGATAAACTAGTTAAAAAAAAAGTCTTATGCATAAAATTTAGAATATCTAATTTTAAAATTAAAAAAATGTTTATAAAATTTTAAATAAGTTAGGCAATTGTGTTGTAAATTCAAGATTAATACTATGATTAATTATTCAAAAATATCTATTAATTCTTTTAGCAGTCTAAAAAATTTTTATTTTCAAAAAAAATTACCTCAGTAAAAAAAATGCTACTTATTTATTAGCATATTCAAAAAATCTATTTCAATAAAGGATGTATTTTTCATATTAAATTTGATCTTTCTTAAAAATAAATAATAGTTTGTTTTTTAAGAAAAAAATTTTAATTTGTATTATTAATTTTTTATTATAAATTAACTAGCTTGATTTGAAGTTAAAATTAATTAAATATTTTAAATTTTGAAACTTTATATTAGAATTTCAAAATAAAACACATTTTTTTTATTTTTAAAATTGAGATGATAAAATGAATGACAGCAAAAATAGCTTTATGTTTGCATTTTATTTTAAATTTATTCATAAATAATAAATTAAAGATATTGTTATTTTATTTTTATTAAATATATTAGAGCTGTTAGTTCCTAAAATTGTTAAAAAAATTAGATAAAATAATAGAGAAAATGGCAACAAATATTCAAGATTAATAGCCGTTGCAATAGCAAAATAGCTTGAATAACAATTAAAAATAGTTAAAAACATAAGGAAGTGCAACAAAACGTTAAAGTATATTTAAGGAAGATGCTATATCAGATGAAGGAATGAAAAATATTAGTAAAGTCATTCAGGAACTTCAATTAAAATTAAAGCCTACTTTTGATAATGTTTCAAAGATAAAGCTCCCAAGAATAACAGGAAGGTACCAAGAAGCATGGGATGAAATGAATAGGGCTAAGGAAGAGCTCATTAGCATGATAGAGTAGTATTTTATAGAAATGGATAGCAATTTAAAAGAAGCTTTTTCTAAATTTCCATGCGATGAATTAAGGGTTTAGACTTAGTAGAGAATTTAAAGTATCTTAAAAGAGTTCGATTATTATTCATAAAAAATGTTAGCAAACAATCTTCAGTAATAAGATGCTATAAATTTTAAAAGCAGAGTAAGATTCAGCTTAATTCTTTCAATTCACATTTATTTTAAATTAAAGTTTAAACTTTTATAAGCAACCAAGCGATATTTATGGATAAATTTAATAATATAATTGTAAAAATTACTTTAAAAATTAATTTAATCAATTTAGTAAAGCGAAATAAATGTATTTTTTATTTATTAATAGAAATATGAATAATAGATGATAGAAATTGAATAAGATGTACTGTTTTTAGATAATGCCTTTAAGATGGGAGTTTAATTAAAATAGAGCAATTTTCCATATTTTAAGGTTGATAGGAAGTAGCTTGAGCAAATATTAATGAGCTTAAATGATTATATATACACTGTCTGTCCTCCCGAAGACATAAACGAGTAGCTTCTTGAAATTCCTTATATAGATTTAGATTAGTACTACAATATTTCTAACAATCCTTTTGGGTAGGCCTCTTCATAAGTTAAATAAATCTAAAAGATTGCTTATTTTTTTGACAGAAAAGTATCTTTCGTAGATTTATAAAGCAATCAAATTAAATAGCTGCTTCTTCCTGTTTAATATTGTTAATATCAGCCTTCCTATTTGTTGCTTCCAAATTAAAATATTTTTTATTGTGGAGGTATTGATGATTCTCAAGAAAACTGTGATGGATTAATTTCTTCTAGATCTTTTGAGATAAACACAACCAAAAATATAATAACTCAACTTGCTGAAATGAGAGTCAAAAGGATTGGCCATTCTATAGTTTATGCTACAGTTAATTACCAAGAGCAGTCAGAAATACAAAAGCTAAAATCTGAATTGAATATTAGTATTCCATAATAAAAAAATAGCTAATAAAATAAACTAAGTTATATTTATGCTATCGGAGGGAAAACAAACTATGATACAAAGACTAAACTTTGTGAGAGGTAAATTGTGTTTTGCTTTTTTTTTAATTTTAAATACCTTTAAATCAGTATGTAAAATTCAAATTTTTGAAATATATTTACTACAGGTATGATGTCTAAAGAAATGTTTGGGAAAGTATAGCTCCTTTAAATTAAGCCAGATCAAGATCTGCATGCTGTTTATTTAACGAAAAATTTATTTATGCATTTTATGGAACAAGCAGTGAAAACAAATCAGTTCAGACTGTAGAAAAGTATGACATAGAGCTTAATAAATGGGAAGTTTTAGAAGTCGTAAATCAGTTACCTGGATTCGATGTGTCTTTTTCAGCTGCAATCTAAATTAACTCCTCTTAGATTATTTTAATTGGAGGCTTTAGAGAGTCAATGCTGAATGATAAAGGATTTATGCTTTTTAATAGAAAATTAATATGCTTTAATACATAAAACTCCACGCTTTCTTTGTTTAAATATAACATGCCTTTAGACTTATTACCATTCAGCTAGCCTGTTATAAGCAACAACGACTTGTACATAGTAGGAACATGCATGGAAAATATAAGTGAAGATAAACCGTGCTTACTACAGAAGAATGCCTTTGTTGTAAAATTAGATGAAATGTCTGGTCCAACAATTACTAAAGTCATTTCTAATTAAGAAGGCCAAGAAATATAAATTCTACCCTTTAAATAAGGGAATTGAATATTTGTATTCGTTATAATTTATGTTAAAGACTTTATAAATATAAAATAATAAAAATTTATAAATTAACTCAAATGATTTTTGTTTGAAATTCATTTAAAAACATGATAAAAATATTTTTTACTATTTATTTTTTTTTACTAAATCTAAAATAAAACAATTACAAATCTAATATTTAAACATAAATTCGCTAATTATTAACTATGTATTTATTTATTTAGTAAGGTTTTATATTTTTTAAAAATTAATCAAATGAAGAAGAGCTTATAATTTGAGCACAGCACTCTCAAGTTTGATAGATCTATTGTATTTTATTAAGACCCTGCAGGTGTTACAAACATTTTAACAAATTCTGCTAATTTATAAGCATTTTGTACACAAGCTGGTGAAGTTGTCTTTGTGTGGTATGTATAATTTAGCACATAAGTGTTATATACCAAGTCTTAGAAATCAGCTAACAAAGAATGCTCGTCTAATCCAATAAATTTATCTATATGTAATACATTGTATAGCACAGAAAATGGACAGTTTTTAACTATTTTTTATGTATAAAGATAAAATTCGCGCTTGTTCAACTACTTTTCAACTATAGCACCTGTTCCTGGAGAAGATACGTTTTATGTGTTAGCATTAAGTTCTGATGATCCATAGAAATTATAAGTACGGAAGCTAGTTTGATAACGAGATGTTGCAAACAAAAGGTGGAATGATTTGTTTTCACTTTAGGAACGGCGAGTGCTCATCATAGAGAATATAGCATCTTTTTCATTTTGTGCATTTTAAATAAATATACCGTCACGAATAATAATAACCCAGGTTGGATTTATTTTGTGAGTTGTTGCAAACTAACTTAAAAATCCTTGAAGAATATCTTTCATGCTATTAGTTATTGAATTGTTTATTTCTTGTTCTGAAAGCTCTACTATCTCTAAAGTACCATCTTCCTTGATTTTAGTTGAAACTTCACTAATAACTCTATAATCAGGGAGATATTTGCTATACTATTTATTAATAGAAGCAGCTCCTGCTACTATAATTTTTCTAGCATTACGTTGGCGTAATACACTAAACCCTATCATTGTGCAAGGATTTTAATTGTATGGTAATTCCTACATAAGCCAAGGTGACTCACCAAGCTTAGCTTGCATTTATGATAAGAAACGGCTTGCAAAAGCTTCAATCGAGTTTCCTGGGGGTATTTATGGATATTATTAAGTAGGAACATATTGCTAGAGAGTAGAAGCCTTAATAAGTGAACAGCAAATGCCTTTATCCACTGTAATTGCTTGCTTACAAGTTTTATAAAAGTGATAGTGCTCTAATTCACTGTTCATAATAATCAATGCAAATGTAGTAGGACTCTCAGATAAGGCAGTATTAAAGGTGCTTGTCCATGTTTCAATATTTAAATCATCTATCTTATAATATTTTGGTTCTGAAATAGGGTAATTGTAGTATAGCTTAAACTGAGAGATCGAAGAGACCAGAGCTTCAACTAATGGTGAATCGCTAGAGTGGACAAAAATAACCCATCTATTAACTTCAGTGAATTTAGTGAAAGCTCCATCAGAACAGAATAGCTATTTATAATATCCATCGAATTCGTTACATAAACGCTTACAGCATAAGTCGTTAGGAGAAAAAGACTCATTGACATTATTAACTTTGAGTTATAAAGGAGATAATTTGAGGTAGTTAAAACCAATCTGTTCGAACTCTTCTCCTATTTTAATTTACCATCCATTTAGCAAACTTTAAGCTTCAGAGCTATTTTTTAAAAATCTAGTAATTTAATTAGTATAATCATATACATCATAAGGTTCAAAGTAGAATTCTGTTCCAACATTATCGTCAATAAAACCTTTTTGAGAAATCTATCCAAAAAGATTGCAAAGACTTGGAATGAGGTACATTTGCTAATCTTAACTACTATGAAATTCGGATTTAAAGCCTTTGTGAAGAGGGCGAACTCTAATCATTGGCTAAACTCTGTCTCTAATGTTAATTCTATATTTGTTCTTAACATAAGAATAATAAGAGAGTTCTTCATCACCTTTTTCTGCAATCATATCTCCTTCATCTTAAATTTAGTTTTATTTTACGACAAATTTACTGTCAGGAGTCATATTAAAATCTATTTCTAAAATTTCATAATATAGATTAGTGGAGAAATAAGATGTCTTAACAGTGCGTCCTACCAAAAAATTGCTTATTTCTTCTCTTGGAATTTTTTTATCTTCAAGTTTGTTAATAATTTAGAACAAATTCATACGCAAGAAGCGCACAGGAGTGGTTTCAATTTCCAGATAAACTTTACCTCTAAATTCAATTGCCTTAGGTCTTAGCCCATTCCATGAGTAAGTTTGATAAACAACAGTTTTATCTTTACTAAGGGCAGCATTAGGGGGGTCAATAGGATTGAAAAACCCTTTTTAGTATTAATGATAATTTAGTTTTGAAAAAATTTCTCTTGCAATATAATTTAAAACAAGCTATCTCTCTTTGTTGGTAGTTATAAATGCAGGACTACCATTTTGTTAAATCTATTTAATACTAACCTAGTATCCTAAAACACTCATACTATCCTAACCTTAGTACATTTATTTACTGCTATAGCAAACCCATTGTGCTTATGGATTCTCTTAAACTTCTTCACTAAGGTGAATATTGTTTTTCTTTAAAAAAATACAATTGTCCATATCATGAGAGATATGTAATATTTTGCGCACTCCCAAGAATACAGCTTCTCTATCTGAACTAGAAGCAAATTTTTCAGGAGTTATCTAAACATCTTGCTTATAAATGGGTGATTGTATATCCATCTTCAAAAGATTGGAATACAAAAATAACTTATAAATCTATTGCTGATCCATTTATGTAAAATAAATATTGCTTTATCTTGATTTTATAATTTATTAGTCTACTAATTTTGCTTTCTTAACTAATTAAATAATTTTTTAATATCTTTGAACAATATATATTTTCTTTTTGCAAACATATAATACTATCTATAAAACTAACTAATTATATTACAAGCAAGCAAAGAGATTAAATAATAAATATAAATCATAAATTAAAATGATCAAACATTAATTTAGTTTTGTTTTAAGAATTATCAAGTATCTAGCAAAAACGATAGCATAATATAAATTAATACTTCTTGTAACTAAAAGCATTTATTAATTTAGCTATGTATTTTCTTAACTACTATCAAATATTATAAAAAGCAAAATTAAATAACCAAAATAAAAACCTTAAAATGTTAAAACAATTTTAATGAGTTGAAATAAATAAATATATTTTTTAAAACAAAATTTATTCTAATAAAATAATTCTTAGATGTTAACTAAATTTATAAAAATTATTAATTTTTAATTTATTTAATCTGATTAAAATCAAAGTAAAAATTAATGATTAAAATAATCAATAAACAAATTTTAAATATTTTATGAGATATAAAATAAAAATGAGTAATTAATTGTTGATTATTAAGCAAAAAATGTACATTTTAAAATATAAAATTTATATAGATAGCTACTAATAATTATTTTTATATACTTTATAACCATGAGGAGGAGTTATTATAATTAAGTTTAGTGTAGTTGTAAATTAAAACTTTAAAACATTAAATTTAGTGAGTGAAGGGTAGATAGATATATACAAGAATATGTTACTTTAAATTAATACTTACATACATAAATTTTATAAAATAGTCTAAGTGATTGCTTTTCAGTTGCTGGCGAATTCCTTGCTTATTCTCAAGTAATCGTTTCTTAGTTAGTTATTTTAGCTCAGCTAGCTAACTAGCTTTACATCTATAAACTAAACTCGTATTGTCTTTATATATTTTATTCACATTGTTTTATTATTTTTACAGAGTATTTATTAGTTTAAAATAAAAATTAAAGTGTAAGAGAAGTGAGTATATATTGCTAACTATTGTTATCGTTTGAATTGCTTTTGATTATTATTTTTTTATAATCTTTCTTTAGTTTTTATGAGCTTGGCCTAATGATTCACTCACTTGCAAATTAATTAATACTCAAAGGCAACTCTCAACAATAGAAAGAAATATGTGGAAGGAGATTTATAAACTTATATACAAGAATATTTATTAACATATTTATTTGCTTTAGTAATTGCTAGGATTGATTGATAAATTATTTGCTTATTTATTGCTAATTTAGATGATGATATTTAAGTATCTAATTTATGAAGCAAAACATTTCATTTTAGCTTATGGTTGAATTTCAAGCTAAACGTTTCTTTGAGTGTGCTATCAAACAATATAAATTATTTTATTACTAAAGCTGATTACTATTTATTTCATAAAAAATGAAATTATTTATTAACAACGATAAAATCATCGAATTTTAATAATTGGTATTTTATCACGTCAAAAGACGATTTGTTTATTAAAATATTTAAGTAATTTATTATTTTATTTTTATCTAAATTAAATTGTGCTCGCTCATTTTCAAGTAACCCTATAATGATATTTAACATTTTTAGGTACTTTCACTTCTTTCTTTAAAATATAGCAGATGGTAATTAAATAACAGTATTAGCAAGAACACTAGTTCAATGAATGAATATAGCTAGGAAAACAACCAACTCTTGAATTTATAACAAATCAATTATTATTATGGTAATTAAATTTTATTTAGGAATTATTTATAGTTTACTGATAAAGTGATTGGCAATAAAAAAACTGCTTCTCTATGGTTATATATAAGATATATAAAATTGAAAGATGAATGATTCAAATTTGGATTTTAAAGATTAGTAAAATATGCTAAATTTTTAGAATCCTGATTGAATCATCCATCATTTTTTCATATAGAATCAATTTAAGTTTTCAATGCTAAGGGATTAAATTGCATTTTTCACAACTTAATTGCCAATCAACTTTACCTTTTTATCAGTTTATTGATTTGAATGTTATTGCTATATTGGTTATTTGACTGATAAGGTATCCTATCCTTAGGCAGAACAATTTACAAATTTTTGTTATAATTACTGCTTTTACAATTCTATTTGTTGTTTAATTTATTCGAAAACAAGAGAACTGCTTTCTGAACTTTATTACTAAAGAGATTGGATTGCTTATTTAATAGAACTGTTAGTGTTGTTAAAGCTTATAGTACTGCCGCCTTCACTACTATCAGCTAAGGGACTGAAGAGGTTTAAGATATTCTAGCTTATTGATTGAGGAGTGCAGCTAGATAAGGCTGTAATTTGAGTTGTTGCAAGAGAGTCTTCAGTTTCAAGGGCTTAGAAAAATTCACTGTTACTACTATTATTTTTTCTCTCAAATGAAGAATCAAACCAGTTTAATATTTAGCTAATTACTGGCTTTTGGCTTTATGAAGTATGCTAATTTTATGATTATTAAGCACAATTGTTTGTAGAAATTGAAACATTAGTCTTTACAATACGCTTAAAATTACTTTCTTTAGCTTTAGGGCAATCGTTTTCCTTTGTGTTTATTGAAGAGTTATTTATTTGTAAATTATCATTGCATAATTTTGAATTAGCAGAATTGGGAGGAGTATTTATTGAAGAATTTGATTACGAATTGGATTGTGTTGAAATTTATTTGTTAAAGTTTTTATTGTAGAGTACTTTATTTTAAATAGAGTTATTATTTTAATTTTTAGGAATTGAAGAGCACACATTTTCAATTTCATCTAAAAATGCTAAATCTTCTTCGTCTAATATGTTGCGGTAGTCATCAAAATTATCTTGTAAAACTTCTTCAATTTATTCTGGGGCTTCTTACTTAAGTTAGCTATCATGTTTATCATCGGTAGTATTTTATTGCAAATTCATTGTGCATATTTTATTAGATTAAATGCCTTGTAAGAATTTTTCGTCTCTATTCATTCCGTTAGATGGTCTTTTGATAGGTGAAGTAAAATTTTAAGTAAATGAGGCACCAGTACTATTGATCTAAGCTTGATTTAGCTGCAATTAAGGAGTCATAATAGAAGATGAGTTTAAATTTGTCAAATTGTCCTCCCTTTTTCATAAAAATATGATTTAATAAAATTTAAAAAATTTGATCTGAGTGTGTTAGTATAAATTTAGAAAATACCTTGATATCTTACTAAAATAAGTGAAGTTAGTTGATTTGGAGTGTTTTTATTTATTTGAATTTAATTTATAAAATGAAAATAAGTTAGTGTGGTGTGTTTCATTCTGTGAATATTTTTTTTTTGAGTGCTTATTAATTGATTAATAAATAATTAATATAGCCTAATAGTCTATTTTTTAATTCAATAACTAAGTGAGATTGGGGAATTCAAAGAAAAATATAAAAAACTATATGACATTAGCTTGGATTTAGTGAAATTATAATGTGTTAGTATAAAAATTCAAAAAAAAATATTCATCTTTGAATGAAAACCATTTAAAATTAAATAAAAAATTTTTCTTTTTTTAGAATTTTTTTAAGCTATTTGAGCAAAAATAAGATTTCATTAAAATAATTTGTAAAATAAATAAACTCATTTTTGAGTAAATAATAATAAAAAATGAAATTTTTATTTTATTAACTGATTGAGATGTGCTGAGACAAAAATTTGAATTTAATCATTAAAATTTAAAGTTGGTATTTTCACTTTTAAAATTCAACATTTAAGTTGTAAATCTAAACGTTAGCATGCACTCATCTATTTTAAAGATTAAATTATTTTTATTATATTTTACCTTGAGATATTTCTTTGGTATTTCTTTAATAGATTACGAATGCGCGAGTTATTTGAATTCGGTGAAGTAATTACTTTGATGGGTTTCTATTTTTATTGGCTTTTAGCTATTTCTTGCATGAATTCTTCGCTTGACTAAGGTACAGCTACTGATAAATTCATAGTTAATTGTTGTTATTTTTCAAATTCTTGCTATTCTTTTTGTTGTTTCTGAATAATTTAAAGTAGCTTTTTTTTCTATGAAAAATAAATTCCATTCTCATCGCATTGCTACTTCTTCAAAGCCATGCTATTGTTATTATTATTGGTTTAAAATGTTAAGGGCCCAGCCTATCCACTGCCGTTGTTTTATATTGTTGGGCAAATATAGCTATTCTACTAATTCTAAGTGCCGCTTTGTTATTAATTTGGTTGCTATATGCTACTTTGATTGGCTATAACTATACAGTTTTAAAGAGAATATGGATTTTATTAAGGTTATTATTACCCCAAAATAGGATTTGATAGTAATGAACCATTTTAAAGAGAATTCTAACTGCTTAATTGAGACTAAAGTGAATAAGAGCTATTTACAGATGAACTTGATGAAGAGATATTTTATTAAGCTTACAAACAATTAGCAGTGACTTGTTGCTAACCATTATAATTTAATGAAGAATTGAGCGCATTTTGTTATATCACAGTATTTCCGTTTTGTTGAATATTTTATATCTATTAGTTGCTTTATTAATTTAAAGATTGAGAATAAACTAATGCATTTATGATAACTGACTGAGATTAACCTTGTACTTGTTAAGGGGCTTTCAGTTAAATTTTTTAAGAAACTTTTTTGTGCTATAAGGACGATGTAAGTAGAGGAGATTAGGCATTTAATTAGCTATTGATTTAAGGTGTACTCTACTATATGACAATTGATGATTAATTTGAATTGCTAGATCCTCCATTTGAGTTACAGCTTCCATTTAGCAAAGCTTAAAATGCTTATAACTATGATTACTATTATTACTAAGTAATCTTATTACTACACTCTTTGAAAGTTTAATTTGATATCTAACTACTACTCATTATATTGAGGTACCTTTAACTTATATGTAATTCTTAATCGTTTCTATCAAATTGAATCCCTTTATTTAATTTTATGTTGCGTTGGGTATTGGCCTGCTGTTTAAATTTTGAAGCTTATTCTAATTTAAATCAATTATGATAAGGAATTATTATTTTCTTGAAGCAATATAAAAGATGGAGGCGAAATCTCGAGCTAATATCCTAATATTTTTTCTATTTTTTGTTAATGTCAAACTCTAACAAGCACTTTATGATACAGTTTTTATAGATGAAGTTGGCAGTGGATTAGGCTCTTGTTTTAGGCTGAATTGTTTATGGCTTAATGGATACCAAAATTTAATAAACTGAATCTAATTCCAATAGATTTATGATAGTCCTTTACTATTGCTATCTTTTTTGCTTGTTTTTGCTTTTTTTCTTAGTTTTTCTTCTACCCTTTGGCAAGGTAATTTTCTTTTTTTTTGTTTCCTAAAATTTAATATCGTAAGTAAGAATGCGAAAGGAATCAACTCCCCACTTTTTGTTTTCTTTTTTTAAAATTTAATTTCTTTATTTTATTTGTTTGTTTGTTTATTTGATAGTTAGCAATTAATTAGAGTTTCTTCTTTCTTTATTTTTTCATTAAATTAAATTAAAAAAGTATTAACATTCCTTCAAATATATTTATTTAGCTAATAAAAATATTAATAAGAAGTTGATTAAATTTAATGAAAAAAAAAACACTACCTGAAAGAATTTAATTCAATCAATCAATCAACCAAATTGTTAGTTTTATAGTTAGATTTGAGATGGAACACAATAATTATTAATAAATTAGTTATTTAACAAATATTATTTTCATTCAATTTTTGCAAATTAAAATTTTTAATGTTTATTTAAATTGAAAAAATTGTTAAGGTAGTAAGTAACTAAGTAGTACTTCTTTAGATAATAATACAATCAATCCTAAGCAAATAAAATAAAATGGTATGTATGAATAAATGAATATATATACTGTTAAGGTTCATAAATTAATGCCGATACTTGAAATTTCGAGAAAAAAATTTTAATTCACCTTTTTATATAAAAAATGAATAAAGCTGAACTGGAGAGTGCCTAAATTTATGAATGAGCCTTTCAGGTATTTATGAGTGTTTTTTGTGTATATTTTTTTTAAAGATAAATTATTTATTTATGAATCTTATGTGAAGTCTTTAGTTTTATAGTTTTTATTTAATAGCCAATCAACTATACTAAAAAATAAATGAGATATAAACATTAAATTACTTGAGTGAAATAAATTCTTTTATTAAAATTTATTTTATTAAAATATTTAATTATAGATGCAATAAATATTCATTTAAGCTATTTTTTTATAAAAAATAACCAAAACAGCATAAATCTTATTTTCTTAATTGTATTTTTTTTAACATTAGGATTTCCATGGTTTCTATTTTATGAAGTTTGTTATATTTACTAGTATTTTAAGTTCATTAAAATTATAGCTGTAACCTAAATTTCTAAATTAAAATTAATTTGCTTGTTATCAGATAAACTTTATTTTCACTAATTATTTATTTATGTATTAATTACTTTAATCATCAATTTATTCAATCTTCAACTTTGAATTTTGTATATTACTCTGAAGACTTTTATCTAATTTTAAATAAAAGTAATTTAGTTATTCAAAAATTTACAAATATTTGTTTTGTTTTTTTTTCATTTTTTAGTTTAAAATTCTTTTAACATATTAAAAATTTACTTTATTAATTAAACTTTCTTTTTTTTGAAGTTATGAACAGAACCTCCATCAGAATTATCCTAATCTTCTTCTATTTCATTAAGATTTAATCTTTTCATATTGACCTTTACTCTTGAAGGCACGTCACCTAGGAAATCATAGTCTGAATCACTATTATCGATATCGTCGATAGAGAGATCAATATCAGATTAATTCTATTCATCATCGTCATCGCTACCCATATTTAACAAATCAGATAAGGTTGAATCACACCTTTAAATTAAACTCCTTTATTTAGGAATTGACTACATCTGCATATATTACTTTTATGATAATTCTTCATATTCTTAATTGTTCGAATTCCCTTTTTCTATACTAATAACATCAACTTTTTACTTGAAGCTTTTAATTAATCCTATGGTAGAGCATATAAGTCCGAAAAATGAATAGCTTATATTATTCATAAATTTATTACTTTTTTTATAAATAAATATTTAAAATTCAGTACATTCTCAAAATAAATTTTTTTACAATGGAGGAAGATTTTATCTTTTACAAAGCATAAGTATTCTTATGCAAGTAGTAAGTAGCTTAATAGTTTTTTCTCTCCTCTTAACTTTTATATTCATCATTTTGCAGCATAAATAATATATATGGCTTTCTTATTAAATTGGGTGGCAAGCTTAGATATCAGATAGCTTTTAGAGTATAGCTTTTTCTTTGCTAAATAAAATAAAATTAATTTTATTTATTTCAAATTTTAAATTATTACTTTCTTTTAAATAGGAAAACATAACAAGCTTCAGAAATTTTAAGAAAACCTTTTGTTAGCAAGAAAGAATCCTTCATAGATTTTACCTTTTTAGACAGATCTCTTGAAAATATTTCACTAATTATGTAAAAAAAATTAATTGTTTTAAAATGAATTCTTTCTGATTAGTTGAAAATATGTATGATTCTAAGTAAGATACTAACTAGCTTAATTGTGAAAAGCTTTTTCAAGGATTGTAGTAAAATTTAGAATATTAGAAAAGCAAGAGTGAGTTTAATATTACGTAGATTTTGTGATATTATTGACTTTTATTGATAACTAATTTGAAATGATCTTTTCAAAACAAATTTAATAAAAATTGTTTAGTATTCAATCATACATATTTATTTATACATTTTAGATTAAATAAAAACCAAGAATTTATTTCATACCTTAAATTCCCAATACTAATAGCCCATAGTATGTTATCTAATATGTAGTAAAAGAATCTGCAAATTACACATAAAAGTACTGTAATTTTAAGTGCTATAGGTTTACCACTCTTCAATCCTTTGGTGAAGTTGTTAATCTCACCAATGAATTTTAAAAACTTAAATATTTTTCTACCATTCTTCATAGAATCTCTAATCATTTTAGCAACTCTTGCAGTAGGAATTTAATCTGACCTAAATATAAATGAAAACATATTATTCAAATCATCATAATAGGATTTATTTATTCAATTTATATTTTAAGCTAACTTTGTTACTTGAAATTCTTTTGTACTCTTTCAATATTACTATGTTTATGGCAGACATAGTAAAAGTCTGAAAAATACTATAAAAAGTTACAAATTTTATCTCTTCCTTTGCTTTACTTCATTATATCAGCTACTGTATCCACCTAAAATTTAAATATATTTGTAAATAAATGCTAGAAATCAAAGAATTTATGAAAATTTATATGCATTCAATCTATTTATTTACCTAATTTTAGATCGTTGAACCAATTGAAGCAACATAATTGCCATACTTAAGAGGTAACTAAGTTCCTTTTTTGATGTTTTCATTTAATAACTACGAAAGATCGCTAAAAGATAAAAAGCTACTCTTATTCTTTTTGCTAAAATAATTGGAAGAGCTTTATTATTATAGTTTGATTTCTTTTAAAGTATTCATATTGTAGTTGTTGTTTTGGTCCTTATGTATCTTAGTATTTTAATTATATCTTGAAAGACTCAAGGAGAATAAAAAATAAGAAATTAAATATACTCTACTTTTTGATGAAATTAATAATTATATCAAAAAAAGTTTTTATTAGGCAAGTATTGTTTTTTTGTTTGTTTATTTATTTATTAATTGTAATATAATAATTATTTACAAATAGACCAAATTGAGTAATAAGTATTTATCAATATATTATCTTATTTTAGATAGTACATCACAAAAATACTTAAAGAATAATTTATATTCCTGTTATGGAATGTTGTGAAAAAATATTAAATTTGTTAAAGATTTCTATTTAATAATACTTAATAATTAATTATTAAAAAATTCAATACAAATAAATAAATAATATACAATTATTTCATTCATTTTTTGATATTACAACATTATTTTTAGATTAAAATTTTAAATAATATTTTTTACCAATAAATAGTTTTACATTATTTTCTATTCACATTTTTACATTCAAACGTTATTCTACCTTTTCATTTTTCTTTTTATTTCTTTACTTTATTAAGTTTTATTTGAATCAAGCTTTGTTGAATATCATTTTTTAGCTTATCTGTAATTAAGGTGTACCTTTTATGTAATTAGAATTTATATAAAATACCAATAAATAAAACGAAATAAATCTTACTTTGCATTTAATTTTTAGTTTTCTATAAATATGAAAGACTTTAAGGATTAATTTAATCTTTTTATTAATTTCTAAAATGTTGATGTTCCTAACTAACTTATTTTATTAAATATTTTTTTTTCTTTTAAGAATAGCTAGATATATTTTTATTTTTCAGTTAAATGTTGTCATTCACTTTTACAGCTTAACTAAAAAGACAACCACTTAAACTTCCTATCCAGTTATTCTTCGCTTAATTCCAATCTTTATTTTTATCAGTTAAGTAATAGTAGTTACTGTTATTGTTATTAGTGGTAACTTGCTTTAACTCTTAATTAGAAGTTAATTTACTATTATTTTGTAATAAAATAAAAATATTGAAATAATAATTTATTTATTAAAAATATGCTTTTGAATTAAAATTAAATTCAATGGATATAAAAGAGTTTTCGTTTTTGTTATGATTTTTTAATTAAAGCTATGATATATATATAGCTACGTTATGTGATTTTGCTGAAATTTTTTATGATAAATATTTACGAAACTAGTCCTAATTTTTATGGTCGAAACATTCTATGAGAAGTGTATGAATAAGGTCTGCTCTTTATGGCTAGAAAATGTTATTAATTTTGAAATCCTATCAAATTATTTTAATCAATTAGAGATGGATTTAGAGATGCAAAATTATTTTAGTTATTTTAAGACTATTAAGCCTATTAAAAAAAAGGCTTATTAATTGCTTAGTTAAAGAAGAGTCCTTGCTAAGGTTAGCTATTCTATTTTTAAAAAATTAAAATAATAAATTATCTCATTAATATTTTAAGTGCTACTTCTTTACATTTTTAAAAAAAGGAGAATTTCCACTAAACTAATTTTGAGGTTGTAATGTTAATGATTGTTGCATTATCTACTGTGGTATTTACTAGCTGTGACTGCTATTCAATTATTAATTTAACTAGCTTTAATTATTTTTTAGTGTAAATCCTTGCATTTAATAAATGTTTTCTGAAGCATTAAAGTAGTCTTTGAAAATATTATGCTTTCTTCCTTGAGATGGAGAGGCTGTCCTTATCTATTCGCGCTTAATTCCTACCCATGGTGATATATTATTTGTAGATTCAGATTCAAGATATTTTTGTTGAATTGTGCTCGTATTTTAAAGAGGAGATTGATTAATATGAGATCCATTTACATGAAGTGGATTTTCTGATCTAATAATCTAATTATAAGAACTATTTACTTTTTTCTACCTGTTTGATTAAGGTGACTATATTCTTTAATTTTACATCAATTGATGTTGCGGATTCATATTATCATAATTAATTTGCTATTTTTGAGTTTGATTCTCTGTTTTATCTTCTTTTAATAGCAAACTATTTAAATTATGCTAAACATTCTTATTATTTTCTATTTATCCTATGAAGGGATTCCCTATATTTTATATTTTCTTCCTATATGTTTACTACGATTTAGAATTCCTAATCATACTTTTTTACTGCAATCCTATATACTCTATTGATTTTATGAATAATTAAATTAATGACTATTCTATTAACTTAATAAAAACAAGATAAATAAAGATAAAAAGAAAGTATATATGTATATACTTTTTTAAAAGCAAACCAATTGGTTGGATTTTAATCATTTTAAATATTTAAGATTATAAAAAAAATTAAAAATAAAAGATATTGATGGATTATATTGATGTCTAACTTTTCTTTTATTTCATTTTTCTATACTGTAAAACTATTAAATTACTACTTAAAATTTGTTGAGAGAAAATAATTTTCAAAAAAAATGCATTTCTCAAATGGTAATTTAATTTTTTACCTTTAAAGTAACTAGCAATTATTTTGGGTAAAGAAATTTAATTTAATATTCCATTTTTTGAAGATTATATTAAATGGATAATACTTTAAAAAAACTATAAATTTTAAATTGTTTATAATTAATTAATAAGGCTACATTTATAAATAATTTTCTTCAAATTATATAAATAAATAAATTATTGTTAGAATTTGGCAATTAAAGAATATTTAAAATATATTGATAAATTATAATGAGTAATGAATTTATAAAATTATTTTCAATAATTATTGACAAACAGGTATGAATGAGCAAAACAAATAAAAGGAAAACAAATATAAGGAATACTAATAAATAATAAAAATATGGTATATTTTATGTTTTATATTTTATTTTTATTAAGAATTAATCAAGCAACTTAAATATCAAATTTAATTTAATTTTATGCCTAAGAAAATTATATTTTTATTCGTTATTCTAATTATTTAGAAGACTGTATTATTTTATTTATTTATTTTTTCCAATATTTTATAATTTAAATTTAGAGTAAGGTAAGAAAGTAAGTTGGTTAGTAATTCTACAGATTAAGATGCCTAAATAATAAAATAACAAAAAACTTATTTAGTTTTTCATTCTTTTGCTTAGTTTTTTTCCTTGTCTTCTTTAAGGGCCTCTAATTTTTATTTTTTAAAATTTCATGCTTTAAAAAATGATAAATAAAAAATTAATTTACTCAGCTCTGCTTCATATTTAGGGAGTAATTCAGCCCATTTCTCTTTGTTTTATTCAAAATTTATCATAAATTGTTAGAGTTCAGGTAAAAAGTTCGATATAATTTCAAATAGAGGCTTAACAACGAAATCTATAAAACCTTGCTAACTCTTCGAAGTATTTGTTTCGACTCTATCACACAAGTAAGTTACTGGTAGGCCTAATCTTTTTTCTTCATCACCCTGTTTGTAAAATTATAATTAACTCAATTTGTTAATTTATACTAAATAAAATTACTTATGCCCAAAATTCAGTCATAACTTTATTTGTCCATTGATAACATATTTCCCAAGGTCTAGCAGGGTTGCTAATATCAGAAGCATGCAATAAAGACTCCATAACTGTTTTCTTATCTTTTCCATCAATTTCAAAATCTAATTTTTTATTTTTTTTATACCATTAATAAAAGTAAAAAATAAATAAATAAATACCTGTGGCGGCAATACGAGATTTGAGTTTAGAGATATCAGCAAAATGCTTTGTCATATCAGTAGCAAGGACCATATTAACTACCATTTCTCTAAATTGCTTATATTCGTCATTTGAGAAATTTGAGAAAATGTTCAAATTATGGTTTTTAAGAATCATTTCATAGACAGAACTTACATGGTGGTTTTCTAATACACTTTAATCTAATAAAGATAAAATTTTTTGTTTTAAAAATTAGGTGTTTTTATTAAATTTTTGAAATACCATTAAATTTTAATGCCAAGATGTTTTAAGTATTGATCAAGAATACATTGTTATAGCCTCTATTTTAATAAATTAAATTATTTAATATCAAAATTAAATTAAATAAAACAAAGTTAAATTTTACGGGTGATCAAAATCATGAATTGCAGCTGAAAAATACATAGCAGCCCTTTCCATAGACTTTAATTTAGCAAGCTCTCCAAATTTGCATCTAGATATAAAAAAATGAATGGTCTAAGTGACATCAAATGAGTGGAGACGATCATGGTAAGGATTATCTCTGTAACCATTCTATATTCTTACACTTAAGTTAATGAATTTTTATGAATCTATCTTGAGATCATCAAGTAAGTTATATTTATCAAACAAGTAAACCAATAACTAAGAAGACTCTTGGCCGCCACACATTTTTTAAATTTCAAAACAATTAAAAGTAATTTCATCAATTGCCTTTTATTAAAATAAAAATGTATTTGAAATGATTTAAACAAACAAGTTAATTAATACCTTATCAAATTCTTTTGCAATGTGGGCTGGAATAAACTTTTGTGTAATAGTTTCAGGCATATGCATAATTTTATGTACTGTAGATTTTCTATTAAAATTGCTTGGGGCTACTTACTTTTCTTAAGGATTATTTTGATTATTTTAATCGGCTTTGGAGGAATCTTGTTTTTAATTTTGATTTGACCAGGCTGCAAGCTTTAAAATAAAAAAGTTAGTTAAAAAATAAAATTAGCTAATAAAAATCTTACTAAATCATCACCACCTTCACCAATAACGGGCTCGTAAAGTTTATTTGAAGCAATCATTTTCATGGACCAGTCAATGTCAGAAATAATTTCAGTATCATCAAAGTATTCCTTAAATTCTGATAAGATTTCTAAAACTTTTTCAGATGGAGTTTTTATGCTTGAAGTGACATTTATTTTCTTGAAATTTTAAAGCTAATTTCATATTATAAAAAAATATATGAATCAAGTATTGAATTGATTAATTAGTTAGATATACCTTTCTAAGAAGCAAAAAGATTCTTAAGAAACGAAAAATTGCTCTGATAATACTTGCTACTGAAGTGAATTTTGAACCAAAGCTTACTGTCATATCAATTATAACTAAAACTAAACTAAGCAAGATAATTATTGCATCCAATACAAGCCATCTGTCTCTAAAATAATTCTTATTAAAAAAAATGAAATTTCCTTTTAACATTTTTTATTATTACCTTAATTCCAGTACCATAAGCATTTAAGATAATTTCTATACAAAAGATAATCAAAATGACTAGCTCAACATATCTTAAACGGTTATCGATATTATCTTGCTAATCTTAATCCAAGAATTATTGTAAAGTGATATCAACAAAAATTAATATTGTATATATTATAACCAAAAAGATGATCATATACAATACAGGCTTCGATCTAACCATTTTTCTAATCTTTCTTCTAATTGGAGATACATTTCTATTACATAAAATAATTATTTATCTCTTAGTTAATCCAATAAAAAATATGGTATAAAATATTTTTTTTAACAAGATAGCATTATATTTGGAAAATTGTCTAATTCAAAAAATATTTTAAATCTTTGAATCATCTCAACTAAAATATTGCTTAATAATCATTTAGTAACAATTAAAACAGTTTTTAGCTAAAATAATAAAATTAATTTTATAGATTAAAATATGTTCATGCTTTAAATATTCAATTAAAAATTTAAAGAAGCATACAATTGGGTAATAAATAAAGTTAATTTAATTAATGCTTGCATCATACTAAACAATCTTTTAAAAGAAAACAGCTTTAAATTGTTTTTTTGTTGCCTTGAAATTTAAATAATTTTGAAATATTCATTCATATGTATGGAGAGAGACAAAAATATGAATGATGGACAAGCCTTCATTAAGAGAAAAAAAAAAGATGATGAAAATTAAAGAGCTATTTATTGAATGATAACTTCAAAGTAAACTCAGAAATAAAATTTGATCAATTGAAAATAACTTAAATTATCTTTAAACATATTATTCCCTAATAAAAAAAATTTAATTTTTCAATAATTAGTTAGTTGCTAATTTGCTTGATTGTTTGTTTGTTTGTTACTCTTCCCGTTTTTGAAAATTATCATCAAAAATTATTTTAATTATTTTAAGTTGAGGATAAAGAGAATAATTAACTAGACATATTTAGTATGATTTATGCTATCAACATCTAATTAATAACATTATCAAGCTATTTTTTTGTAAATTTATTTTTTTAAAAATTAATTCTACTGAATTTTTATTTCAGCTCTGCCTAATTTGGAAGGATTAGTCATCACGCTTGGACTGTCTGTAGCATTCTTCTTTAGCTGCTATTTTTAAAATTTTAAATAGTATTTATATATGATTCATAAACAATTTAATTTTAAATTTGCTTACTGACTATTTTTTTAAGTTGTTCACTAGAGTTAGCTTCTCCTCTTCATCATTTCCTTTTGTGTTAACTGTTTCTCCGCCTCCGTTTCCAGATTTAGTATTATCGCTTGCAGAGCTTTTGCTGGGAAGTTTTTTCTTACCAACCTGCAAAGTGTCTGCTCCACTGCTTTGCTATCCATTGATTACAGAGGTGTCTTATTTATTAATAGTCGTCTAATCTTATTTACTATTAACCATCGAGTCTTTATTTGTTTGATCACCACTATTTTCATTACTAGTTTTTAAAATTTTATCCTTCTCATCTTTGTTCATTGAATCAAAGACTGGGGATGCATCCACCCTATTCTATGACGACATCCTTTTAATTACTAATCAATCAATCAATCAATCTAATCTTTGAATTCTTATTAATGACTGTCAGCCAACTTTTTCAATTAAGCTGTAATTAACGCTTAACTCTTTGATTTCTATTCTATTAAGAGTTCGATCTAAATAAATAATATTTTTTTTTGTTTTTTCAAATTGAGTTTGAGTAATTTTTTTTTTAAGGTTAGCTTTTTATGTATTACTCTTTTTTTTATTTATTTTTTGTGAATGAACTAGTTAATAAAACTCAAAATCAATCAATGAATAAATTTCTTCATTCAAGGTTTTTATAAATTGAGTTATTATTTTTATTTTAAGTTATCTTCTACATTTCCCTTAAAAAATTTATTCTGCCATCAAAACTTCATCTATAGTTCTATCATTTAATTAATAACATAATAGGCAAATATATTGAATATATCTAATAAATGAATATTCAGAACGTAAATTTAGCTAACATGAACAATTTTAAGCTAATGATAACTCATTTAATTAAAGAAGTTAAATCAAATAATTATAAGTAATTGATTACATATTAAACTCCACTTTCTTACTTCTTCATAATATTTTTTAAACGTTGTTACTTTTTATCGAAATATTATGAATTATTACCAATTAGTATTTTCAGGTAACCAATTAATTTTATTTAAATTTCTTGCACTTTTGTTAATTTTTGTCCAAAAACACTTACTAACCAAAAGAATTTACAAACTAACTTAATCAATTATTTTTACAAAGAGCATTAAATAACAATTAATAATTTAAGTACTTTCTTTACAAACATTAGTAATTCTATAAATGGATAAAAATAAATACAATCTCAAATAAATAATTTTTTAGCAAAAAAGCAGTCATTTTAAAATTCATTTATTATTGTTTTTATTTCTTCAAGAGAATGTTTTAAATGAATTTTTATTAAAAAATTTCATAATAATCATTACATTTTTAAGTTTTTTTACAAATAAATTGGGATTAAGGTTGGTATTGTAATCATCTATTAACTGTTTATCTAAATTATTAAAATTTTTTAATTGATTTGAAATAGGTTTAGAACCAATAACAATATTTTACATTTTTAATAATATTATAAAAATATTTTACAAAACTCAAATCTTTTCTAAATTAATTTTAATCGAAATATTCTGATTTAGTCATTATTTGTTTATTTATTTTATATATTATCAAAACTTTTTATAGCTATTTTAGAATAATTAAGAAATTGTATTACCACTGAAAATGGATAATAAAAATATTATCATAACAGCTTTAGGTGTAGGTTTAACTGGAGGAATCATTTATTATCTTTCGAAGTTTCTCAAGAGTGAACCGTTAGGTTTTTCAAGAGATTAAGTTTTAAAGATGATTAAAGAATATAAAAGAGCATCACTAAGGGTATTTGTTTAGACAGCAGAAATAGTTAAAAGAATCAAAGATTAAAATGGAGGTAAAGACACACTTAAAGAAGGAATTACAATAAAAGATGTCGTTAAAGATAATATCATGAATGATTTAATATAAGAAAGAGAGTATATAGCTAAAAGATATAACATTTCTTTGGAATAATTTGATAATTATTATTCAATTTAATATGGTGGTGATAAAGAAATACAAGAAGTATGTAACTAGATTCAAAAAACTTTCGAAAATTCTCTGTTAGGAATACCACCTTCCTTAGAAGTTAGTCAACAAGTTAAAGAGAAATTTTCAGAGGATAAAGTCATCGAGATGCAAAAGAAAATTCTTAAAGCTCAATCTAAATAATTTAATAATGTTTTCAAGGATATAAAGTAAGAAACTTAATAAGATCATGTAGATATTGAAAGTGATCTCTTTAAGTAAAAAATAAGAGATTTGGATATTCATCAGCTCAAAACTGATCTTCTCAAAAAAGAGGGCTTTGAGTTTGAACCTGAATCACCTTGTGAAACATTCGAAAAACTTTCTTTCTAATACAAGAAAACTTCCAAAGACTATGAAATAAAACTATCACAAGTGATAAATATTTACAATAAAATAAAATCCGATATGCTATACTCCAAAGTGGATGATACATATATTGACATGATATTTAATTGAATTCAATAACCAACCACTTTATTAAATATTCTACATTTTATTATTTAAAATATTTTAATTTTCAACTACACATTTTTTGTTTGTATTTTTATATTTTTTTCAGCTTTTGAATAGCATTTGTAAATTGATAAATATTGATTAATAATTTTATATTGATTTATATAAACCAACTTATTTGCTTCTTATTTATTTATATTTTGCATACAATTTTTTATAAAAATAAATGAAAAAAAAAATATATATTTATACGTATGCATGTTATTATATAATATTTACTTATCTAATATCATTAATCAGGGCTCTTTTTTAATCATCAAAAATTAGTTATTCTTATTAAAAATAATACTATAAGCAGCTGTTTTTTGAACCATTTTTTAGCAAATTTTAAAATGATCACCAAAGACCGCTACAATTTCGATTAAAGATTTAACTAAATTGCAGAAAGGGTTCTTTCTTTAAATGGAGTTATTCCAAGATAAGTTTAAGACAATAACACAATATTGAAGCCATCTAATTTTGAATAATACTAAATGATGAGTGATCCAGACTATGAATTGCTTAAATAAGCTAATTTCATGACTGACTCGATGCCAAATAATTAAATTAATTCCTAAGCAAATATCTTTAATGTAAATAATCCTATTTCCTAGCCAACTGTACCTTAATAGTAGTACCAAAATCCATTAAGCTATTCTATGAATTTTAATTAGAATTAAGCTAATAAATATCCAAATAATGTAAACTAGAGCTATTCAACTCCTTAAAAATAGTCATTTAAAAAGAAAGAAAATATTAGAGAATAGATAAGCAATTTAAATAAGGATCAGCTAGATTAATATTTAAAACAAAATATTATGTAAATGAATCGACCTGATAATATTCTGATAAATGATAATATTGACCCAGAAAACGATGATTAAATATAAGAGGTTAATAATTAATAAGAAAATATTCAACCAGAAAGATAATTAAAAAGAAATCAATCTACTAGTTTATAAGCTGGTGAAATGATTCTTTAGTAACAAAAAATGTTTGAAGCATTATAATAATAGCAGTTTTAATTCTAATAAGAACTCATGCTTAGATAGTAAGAAATGGAATATGAAAGAAGAAGAAGAAAATTGAAAAAATAATAAGAAAAAGAAATGTAATAAATTTTAGAACCTTTAATTAAAACTTAACAGCAATTAATGGAAACATTAATTTAAAAAATAGAGCAAAAATAAAATAATAGTTAAAATTTTAATTAACTTAAATACCAGGAAGATGCCCTTGCAAAGGAATTAGAGTATAGGAAAAAGATAGCTTAATAGCAGCATGAAATCTAGCTAAAAAAATTAGAGTAAGAAAGAATTATTTCCCAATAAAATTTACAACTTCAAACTATGATGATGCCAAATTTATTAAATTTATATTCTCAAACCCCTTTTAATTAAATGAACCCTATGATGAATAAAAGTATTAACCCAAATCTAGCAGCAGCTCCCTATAATATGTAATCTCCTTTTGCATAGCTTCCATAGCAGGGTTAATAAAATAATCTCCCTAAGTTTGGAGATATCCCTTAAAAATTATTTACTAATCCTAAATCAAATGGAGATTAACTTATAGAAGAATTTCTTAGAGATATGAAAAAGTGATAGCAGCTTTAAAAAACTAAAATAGAGTATTTTAATTAAAGTTATTTAAAAAATAAAATAAAATTAATATTTAAATATTAGCAAACAATTTTACAACAATAACATTAAAAAAATAAATTAATACCTTCTTATAATATATCTAAATTTGACAATAAAATCAATGCAATAATATTAATTTAGTTAAAAATCAATCATCAAATGTGTATCAGTATTTTAAAGTAACAATAATTTTAAGTATTTAAAGTCTAGATTTGGAAATTTAAGATATTTCTATTATCCAAAACTAACTTAGTTATGTAAATAATAAAAAATTATATGTTTATATAATTCAGTATAATTTTTAAATAATTAATAAATTTATATTTAGCATTAATTCTAATAACTTGATTAGATGTTACTTACCTTCATCGAAGGCCATTATTAAATTATTGCAGAATTTAAATCTATTCTAAATTTAACACTATCCTATCATCTATACAGATTGATATCAATATTTTATTATAAGATTTTATTTGTATTAATGGTAATATTAATTCTGATAAAAATAGATTGATTAAATTCTATTTTTTAAAAAATAAAATCTAAAAACTAAATATTTTTCATTTCTTATTTTAATTATATTTTCATTAAATAATATTTTTAAATTTATCCGAAAAATCATTTTTGTGAGCTTAAATTTATATATAATGATTTGGTAGATTTAATATTTTAAGACTCTACTTTAAATTATATTTCAACTATTTAAATAATAAAATAGGAAAATTTTTATAGATTTCTTAAAAGAATATTTTTAATTTCTAAGAAATATTTTTTACAACAAAAAAATATAAGAAATTAGTAATTCATTACTTAAATTTATAACTTAGTTAAAATTTTAGTTTTTTAATATAATAAATTATTTTTTTGTTGAACAATAATTTTAACTAAAAATAGCTTACCAGTAATCATAACTTATATTTACTAGCATATAACTTGATTTAGAATGCTTTTTGCAATAAATTTAATAAAATTATCTTATTTTAAATAAATATTTGAAAGTATAATGTTCTTAAAATTAACTCAATAAAGGTCAGATCATTCTTCGTTAATAGATCTTTTTTTAAAAATAAATTTACAAATCTAATAATTTATATATATAATTACATCTCATTTTCTTATGTTTCTTCTTTTAACTTTTTAATACATAGTATTCTCTTGCTTCCTACCCATGAACCTAAACTTAAAAGGTAATTATCGATGTTTTCATGAGCAAGATAAAGGTCTGGTTTCTTATGATTGTGCCATGATACAAAATAAAATCTAGATTGAGAATATTTGTGATTTCCATTATATTTTATTGCAAAATCATTTTGTGAATTGTTAAAACCTAAGTATTCTACGAAATTGTCTATTTTAGCTTCCTCTAAATCATAAAATATATCCTCTAAATCAGTCCATTCTGCTACTCTAAACTCACTGCCAAAATTTTTAAAGCACACATCCTCGTAGTTTGCTACTGATAAATCGTAAGCAAGTTTTGTAAGTTTAAATTCGACTTTAAATTCTTTTTCAAATGCCTCTTTAAATAATTGCTATTCTTTTTAGATCAAAAGTTCTTCATTTTATTAAATTTCTTATACTATTTTCATCATAATTGCAGCTTATTCAATTTAATAAGAGATATACTTTTTTATGTTAGTTATGTTCTATGTATTTTTTTCATTCTCATAGTTTTCATTATATTACATTTTCTTCTTTGTGTCAAGCTAATCTAGAAGATGCTATTGAGTCATCTTAATAAGTTCGCAGGCAAATAATATTTAATCTATCATTTTTCTCAAAAAGTTATTTTTTTAAAATCTAATCAAGTAAATTTTGTAGAAAACTTGTTTTATTATCAAAAATTAATTTAAAATTAATGACTATAAATAATAAGGCATCAAAAACATAATCAGAATTAATTGCTATAAAAAATCTTTTTATACACAAATGTATTTCAGTAAATGGTTTTCTTTCAAAGGTAGTTTTATTGTTGTATTTTTTTTTTCAATTTTAATAAAAAAAATTATTATCAAATTTGAATAAAAAATGAAAAATTATTGATTGTTTAAATTAAAATTATTTTTATAAAAATTAAAATTAATTCTTATTTCATCAAAATAAATAAGTTGATTTTAAAATTTATGATTTTTTTAGTCACAAACAAATTAATTAAAAATATTTTTAATAAAATTTTTTATATAATAAAAATTAATTTTAGCAAAATATAAATAAAAATAAAAGTTCTGTATATGTCATTAAAAAAAATTAAAAATTTAAAATCAATAGAAAATGTAAAAATATATTGATTATTTTCTACTCCAGAACTAAGCAATAATTTATTAATAGATTTTGCCAAAAATAATAAAAATCTTTAATTTCAAAAATATAAAACACATGATGAAAAAATTATTTGTAAATATCTTAATTATTAAATGAAAAGAATTTGAAAACGAATATAAGAAAGCAGTTTATAGTTTTTTCCATTAAATAGATAATTTTTTTAGTTAATTAATATATAAATTAAGCTGATTTTATTTCAATAATATTTTGAAAATAGATATGGAAGAGGTTGATAAATAAATAAAAAATAAAAATTAACAGATCAGGAGTGGTTTTGAATAATTAAATGAATTAATCAATGCATGGATGTATCTATCTATCTACTCATAAATGAAATTCAAAAAATCAACTATAAAAAATAGAACACCATAAACAAACAAATTAATAAATAAATAAATAAATTAAGGATTTTCTATCAAAGAATATTAAAAAGATAATAAAAATCAAAATTAAAAATTAGAAAATTTTAAATTAAAAAATCAGAATCATTGAAATAAATAGAAAGATTATTGTAAAATATCTAGCAGAATTTAAGAACTCATATTGAAAGCAAAGTAATTCAAATATTACTACTAGTTATAATAAGTTATTGAAAGATAATTCAAGAGTTATTATAGTTTTAAAATTAATAGTTAGCAAACTTTTCATTCTCGCGTTAATTTTAAAATATTTTAACTGAATCTTTTCTTTTTTATTTTATAATAATTAATCAAAATTAAATTAACAGTTTTAGGAAAAATGGGAGCTGAACAATCAAAAGGTGAAGATTAAAACACAATCGAGCAAGTCCTTTAAAAATTCTAGTAGCAAGAGAAATTAAACCATCCTTCTTTTGGAGATATTTAGATTTTGAAAGATAAGTCCTCTGATAACTAAGTTGGTTTAAAGGAGTTTAATCTAACAGATGAAAGTGAATTTGCCAAAACTATAGAGAAATTCAAACCTAAACTTGCACTTGACAATCCAAATTTGATTAAGCTTCATAGTAATTTAAAAATTAGCTTTAAGCTATATTTTTTATAATCTCTTCGTAGTCTAACAAGTTGAATTTTAAAATATTATGCCAAAAAATATGAAAGATCCTTGAAAATTTTTTGAAATGAAGCATACCATTAAAATTGATAAATTTCAAAACAAAAAATAAAAAAAATAAATTATTTTTCTAACTTTTAACTTAAAAATTTGCTATTTTCATCACTAAAAGGATTAAAAGCACCATTAATAATAGAAAATTAACTTAATTGATAATTAACTACTCTTTTTAAAGAAAACTGTTTAAGTTTTAATTTATTGATAATATCTTTTATATTAAAGATTGCATACAAAATAAGGAAAGCCAATTCTGCTCTACTTTCTTTAAGGTCTATTTAGTATTTGAATATGTCAAAAATACTCTCGAATAAGAAGTTCAAGAAAGATCTAAGGATTAAAAGCAGCCTTTTAGTGAAGAGGAAATGTGGAATATTTTAACTAGCTGCATCTAAGGAGCTCATTTCTTATACTAAAATAAGCTCAGCAACAATAATATCCGTCCTTCTACAATCTACATTACTTCAAATGGAATTGTAAAATTAGCTGATCCTACTCTTTTCTCTTAATAAGGTTTATATCCTGCTGCTCTTTCTAGTCCCAATAACGTTCCTTAAGGTATCTACATCTCCCCAGAACTACTTAATGTATAAATTTCAGTTTCTTATTTCTATTTGACATTTAAAAATTAAAATGATATACCCTATAATTATAGAGCTTAAAATATGTTTAACCAAAGTTTTAATTCTTAATAACCTCATTTAGAATTAAAAAAATTATTCATTTATTTTTTTACAACACTTATGCATAATTTAATTAAATGAGGTTTTTTTATAGAAAACATATCATTAAATTAATTGATTTTTTTTCAAAATAAATATCTTTTATAGTTTTTACTATTTATAAATTATTTTATGTAATTTAATTAAAAAATAAATAAAAAATAGGACATGTACCAACAATAGTATAATCCAGTATACAACTAACAAAAGGCAGATGTTTTCAGTATTGGTATGTGTATGCTTCATGCAGCTCTTCTTTAACCTTTGGATGACTTATATGATTATAAAACTTTCTAAATCAACGAAGCTTTACTCCACGAAAGATTAAATCAAGTAAGAGAAAATTACGGAGATCTTCTCTACTAATACTTGTACCATATGCTCAATTTTAATGCTGATGATCGTTAAGATATTGCTTATTTTTACTAGTAAATTAATCTCTAGTAGGAATATGCAGAAACAGCTACTTTCTAATAAGCTGAAAATACTTCTGCTTAAATTCAAAAGCAGGTTGAATACACTACTACTTAAACTAGTGTAACTAAATCACCTGAAAGAGCCTACTAACCTTATGAAGTTATTACTACTAAAACTATCAAGACTACAACAGTTCCAAAAGTAATTAATTATTAATTTAAAATAAACAAGTTTTCAGATATAATATTGAGAATTTTAAATTTATTTTTTTACAGATAAAATTGAGTTTAAACAGTTTTAATATATTAAGTATATTATATAATGTTGTCCTTTTAATTAAAATAACCCTTGACAATTTTTTTATTTTCAAAAAATTTTATTCGGGCTTTCCCAAGAAATTATTAATTTTAACAGTAGGAGGAAGAAGTAGTGAAGAGATCAGCTGCTAATCCAAATTATGGTTAAGTTTAAGTTTAAATTCAACAATAGCCTTAGATAGTTATCTAAAAAATGTCTAATCAACCTACTGGTTATAGCTCTGCAGGCATGTTCAAAGATTCTGAAGATAAAGGTAGTACAATCACCTTTATTCCAAAGGATCAAAACTCTAAGAATGCTATTCCAGATGAAAATATTGGAAATGCTATTGGAGGAGGAGACACTTATTATCAATAGTAATAGCAAAGTGTTGACATTTAGCCTTAAATTGTTACAACATCTAATAATTATGTTCTTCCATAAACCAACACATATGTTACTTAAACATACACTAGTCCTCCCTTAAATTAAGACTACACAGCCAAATATACCTCTCCAGTTACAACTACTACTGTTACATACACTAACCCAACTGTCAATATTGCACCTTACACTCCACTTACTTAGTATTCTAGTTCAGTTGCTCCAGCAACTTCGACATCAAAGTATTCATCTACTTTCTAGCCAACTAACACTTATGAACTCTAAAAAGGTTCAGAAGTATCCAATACAAATACTGGAGCTGGTTATTATGTTTCTACTAAAGAATAGTTATATCAACCAGTTGCATAAACTACTAGCACAAATACCTAATTTACATCCGATTTGAGTAAGCCTTACTAGACTACTTCTTATGGATTAAAAGAAAATAATTTTTCCTATATTCCAGGTCCTAGTGCTAACACATATGGAAGTACTATTGGATTAAATTCTACTACAACTAATGTAGCAGTATAGAATGCATCACCTGCATTAACAACTCCTGCTTTAACTACAGTAAATTAAACTTCAACATCTAACACTCAACCTGTAGTCACCAAATAATCTATTGTAAATACTACCGTTCCTGCTGGTTCAACTTCTTCATACACAGCTACTAATACTTATGTTTCCCCAGCTCTCTCTCATATTCTTAAAAAGGACGAATCAATTGAAGAAGCTATTAAGCGTTCAGCTCCTCCACCTCTCAAGAGCGAATTAATTTCTTCTCCATATTCAGCATAAGTTGCATAGAATAGTGGATCCAATTTCTATACTCCAAGTATCACTACTACTTTGACTTAGCCTCCTATCTAAACCAACATTGCTACAGGAACAACTACAACTACCACAACTACTACAGTTAAAAACAGTAATCCTGTAACAACAATCACTACTTCAAATACTGGCTACGATGCATATAAGCGTAATTTTAAAATACTTATTAAAATATTTCTTTCCCTCCTTTAATTTTCCAAAAAATTTGATTTTGAAAAAAAAATTGAGATTACCTAAAAATAAAAAAAGAGAAACCCTCCCTCCTTATTACTTTAACATAATTAATTTCAAATATTAATTAAAAATAAATTAGTTGGTTGATTACTAATCAATGAACGAACGAACGAAATAATTATATATAGTTATGATATTTTAACTCAATTTATTTATTTAATATTTGCTTTAATATTAAATTAGCTTCAGATGAAATAGAAGCCATTCTTGCTAAGTATAGAAACTAAAAGGAAACCATGTCTTAACTTGGTTTAAGTTCTAACACTGCTGACATTAAAATTTCTAACAACTCTGTAGATGCACCATAAAATAACACAAATTTAGCAGGTGTTAATACCTATACAACAACTACTACAACAACTATTGCTAATAATACAGTCACTCCTTCCTATCAAGCTTACACTCCATCATAAACCTATACAGCTAACTTATCTAATATTGGTGGTAATTATGATATCAGTAAACCTATCGAGAGTTTAAATAATCAATTTTAAGGTCTTAACATTAACTAAAACCCAAATATTCAAGTATCCTAAGTTTAAAGCTAATACACTGCCCAATTCAATCCTTCTTAGGTTTCAAATACCTACTAAACATCAACAGTAGGTACATCTAACTTAGGAGCAACAAATAGTAGTCCTTACACTTAAACATAGTAAATATATTGAAAAAAATAATAAAAATTTAACACTTATTTAAAAAATTAGTAATATATAATAATCATTTGGATAATCTCAGCCTTAATCTTATTAATAGGAAACCTAATTAGTTAACGAGTACTAAACAGAAGGTAAATATTTATTGACTTTTTCTTTTAAATGTTAAACTTATTTAATGAATTTTTTAAATATTAGAAAAGGAGTATGTTATTGAAAATTATTCTAACAATTCTAAGTATGAAGGAGAAAAACTCAATGGAATGAGACATGGTAGAGGTAAGTTCTACTATTAAGATGGTGGTCTTTTCGATGGTGAATGGAGAGAAAATAAGATGCATGGCAAGGGTATTTTAAGCTATGCAAGTGGTAAACCAGCTTATGATGGTGACTGGGTAGATGATAAATTCGAAGGTTTTGGAATTCTTTACAATGAAAATCCTGCTCCCTTAAACTAACCCTATGATTTTAGCGATTTTGACAATGTTGAAGAATATTGGACAAAGTACGAAGGTTAATTTAAGGATGATAACAAAGAAGGATATGGTACTTTATTCCTCTCTAATGGTGAAAAGTTTGTTGGAACATTCTATAAAGATTTTGTTAATGGTGCAGGAACTTTCTATACCTTAAATGGAGATGTCTTACAAGGACAATGGCACCAAAATAAGTTTATTGCCTGAGAGTTTTCCATTTAAGTTTAAATTTTGAAAAAGAATAAATAATTAGCTGGCATTTTCAATAAATAAAATTATGCCTTTTATATGAAAATATCCAAGAAATTATATAAAAATTATAATATTATTTTGCAAATTTATTTCTATTTGATTAATAAGTATTTTTCATAAATAAAGAGCTCTCTTAAAATATTATTTTTCATATTTATTAAATAATTTTAATAATAAATATTTAAACAATTAACTTAAAATTGAAATAATAATACAGTTTACTTACAATTAGAAATGAAACATGTTATGAAATAATTTAAATTTATGTTTATTAATAGCTTATTATTTCTAAATATAATTCATAGAAAATATTCTTATTTAAATAATTCATTTCAAATTCAATTTATCAATTGAAAATTATTTGAAATTTTTGACTTTCAACCAGTAAATCAATATAACTTTATCCATAATGTAACAAACACAAAATAAAATAAGTTAGCAGTTATTATTTAATGATTTAAAATATTTCAATTCATCCATTTATCAACGTATTTATGCTTTTGTGGATACCAAATTATTTTTTATTCATAAAACTTTTTTACATTTAATTATTATTATTATTCAAAGAAATTAGAGAAGTGAAAATTAATTTCAAAGATATTTAGAATTCTTAATATTCGTTGATTTAAAGTTTTTATGTTTTGTCTATCAATTAGATTTATTTAAATAAAAATAATAATTCAATTTTTATAAATTGGAGGGTTGATTATTAAAATTTTTTATATTTGAAAAATATCGACTGCAGAAATTTTAGCCAAATCACTCTAATTTTTTGATAAAAAATTTTTTTGTAATCAAATTATTAGAATTATAATTGGGTATTTTTAATTGTTTATAAAAGAAAGTAAATTAAATATTTATAAGAAGTCAGTCCCCTTATTTCAAAACTGAATTATAATTTATTCAAAAAATTATATTATTTAATTAACAAAAAAACAACAAAAGTTAATTTTCCTAGAAAAGAACATTAAGAAGTTATCCCCTTTGAAAACTAATTAATTTAAAATGGAATTAGGAGAAGCAGATTTACATACATCACAATCAATAGTTTAGGAAGAAGTTCCTATGCAACAAGAGGTTAATATTCAAGAAGAATAAAATTCTTAATTTGACAATGTTTAATAACAAAATCAGAATGTAGAAGAATAACATTAAACAAATAAAAATAATTTAACTTAAAATGATTTTAATGAATTTCAATAATAAAATACAAATGAGCAAGACTTACCAAGAAACGATCAAACATAGGTTTAACCTCAATAAAACTTGTAGGATGAAAATAATTAAGACTAAACTATACATTTTACAGAGTAGCACTTTCAACAACGAGAAAGGGAATCTAGTGAAACTCATGATACAAGCAATTAAGAATTAGAATATTAAATTAATTAAAATATAAATGAAAATAAATAAGTACAAAAAGATAACTTAAATGAAGAAATTATATCTTAAAATAAAGAAGCACTTGATGGACAAGAAGATTATCAGAATTTCAATAAAAAAGATTTACCTGATAATAATAATAGTAATGAATAACATAACTAAGATTAAGAAAATATGAATTAAATTGAAAGTTAAGAAGGTTAAAATTAATTAGTTTAGATAGAAGTCAATGGTTCAGTGAATAGCCTATAAGAAAATAACTACATCTAAGATGGCACGTTTATGGAGTAAGAACATTTAAATGATAAAATGCAATAATAATAGGAATAGGCTGTAAAAGAAGAAACTGAAGAAAGAGAAGAAATGTAAGAGGAGAATTAACTCCATGAAAATTAAGTATTCTTTAATTTTACTTATATTATTTTTAACTTAAACTTAAATTTTTAAGGAAAATATTAGTATCAGCTAATAAAATTAGTAAGCTCACAGTGATATGTAAATCGAAGTGTAAGCAAATTAAATTAATTAATAAGAGAACCAGTTAGAATCTTTAAATGACAAGGAAGTTGTTAAAGAAGAAAATAATTTGCTTTTAAATATACTTTCTGATGAAAATAATAAAAGATTTCAAAGACTTCCACCAGAATTGTCTCCCAATATTTTTTGTCATTTTTTGGGAGGCAAATCATTACAATTGACTAACATCAATGATTCTAGCAGGCTTTTTATGTATTTCTTGGGAACTAAGATATTAAGATAGCTGCTTAATAAAGCAAATGTAAAGCTAAGAGAAATTTACAAGAAATAAAATGACGTTAAGGAATATACTATTGAAGAAATACAAGTCTATTAAGCTTTGAAAATTTTGATGGGTTTACAATAAAACTCAAGCAATTTTGACTTTTTCCTTCTAAAAGATCTTCAAAAAATTCCTCCATATCACCAACTCTTTACAAACGAAAGGTGGCTAATTTACAATTTTACAATTTTATATTTAAAATATTTTAATGTTTTAAAAATAGATTTTAATTCCTTCTTGATTGCGAAAGAGAGTTAAATAAAGACATTTTAAATAATGAATAACTTATTTAAGACTTTGTTTAGAGAGCTTAAAATTCCTAGACTTCTGATTAAGAATTGGTTTTAATATCAAAAAAAGGAAAAGTTGGTGAAGAAATTATTCACAATAATTCTGTTTATACATAGATATTCTTATGTGAGTTGAGTTCAGCCTTTGTTTTTGGCTACTTTGTTGTCAAAGATATGAGTTCTTTTGCAAATTAAATTTGTATAAATTTAGAGAGTTTTACTAATCAAAACCATCATGTATATTTTTAGAACGAAGAATTTTTTTCTAATTATGAAAAAATTTAAGAACTTTTGAATAGCAAAATACACATAAGTTCTTTTTTAAATAACAAATTTGACTAATTTCCATAATCTCTTTAAAATGAAATGCTCCACAATAAACCATTAAAAGCAAATAACAGTGAGACTATATTTGATAGGCAGACTTAAACTTAGCTTCTTATTAAATCGGATGAAAATTTAAAGAAAGAAGTCTTTTTAACTACCAGTGGTACAGTTAAATAAGATAAAATGGTTGAAAAGCATAAGCAAGCAATTTAAAAAATAACTTAAAAGCTTAGAATGCTACTAACAGAATACAGGTTTGTAAGTATCAATAATGATACGACATCTATCTTTGAAGAGTTATCCGAGATAGCGATTTAAAACTCTTATATAATTTATTCCCAAGCAAAAGGTAAATAAAATGATAAAAAATTTAATAACCATAATCTTTTTTATTTAAAAAATTTTTTTAAAATATTTAAATAGAAAAAATGGATTACAGACTATTTAGATTTAAATTAGCATAAGATTTACTCTAAAAATAAATACAAAAGATAAAATAAGAGGAATTATAAAATGTTAAATCTAAACTAATTGATGTTGAAGTTTAAACAGATAAAGTTGTTGAAAGTGTAATAAATGTTGAAACTCACGCTCTTTCTAAATCTCCAAAATCATCAGATAATAATGAATAGTTCATAATGAATGAAGTTAATTCACCTGTCTTTTAGGGAAATGATTAAGTAAAATTTTAAGAAAATAAACGAACATCTTATTAAATAATTATAATTTTTAGAATATCAGACAAGGAGGTACTCATGTCTAGAAAAAAGATGGTAAGTAAGGTATTTGCTTAGTTTGCTTACAAGAAAAAAATATTTAAAATAATACATTCATAACATGCTAAGAATGCTCTTTACAAAATAAAAAGCCAGTTTATTTATGTGACAAGTGCTTTGAAGTATATCATTTAGAGATGTATGATAAATATCAAATTTATTTTAATAGATTTTTATTTATTTTATTTTTTGAAATAGAAATGTTAACAGAGACAACTTTGATAAAAAAAATTTCTCTAGGCTAAGCACCCTAAAAAATTCAGTTACAACAGTTGTAATACAAACTTAATCATCCTTTCAAAATGAATATTTATGTATATTTTTAATCTAAAAAGCCAATAGATAAAATGGCACCTAAGCCATTATAAAATGGATATGGAAGTAATGGACTCAATGGAGGTTACAATACGGTTAATCCTCCTATTTAGTAACCTTTAATGAACAATGGGTACAATGGATATTAACCATAATAAACTTAAGTGAGGAGAAGAAGAACAGCTAATATTTAAGATGGGTATGAAACTTCAGGCCCTGCCTTTAACTCAATGGTACCACCTCAAATGAATGGAAATATGATGGGATAATAAATTCCTTTAAAAAGAAGAGGACCTGCTTTGGATGACTCTGGATTTAGAAGTGATGCCCCTTCGTAATTTTTCTTAGATATTTATAAATTTATCAAATAATTATTTTTTATAAACAGAAGCTATATTCCTGCTACAAGAGGCAGAAAGAAATTAAATCATGGCTAAGACTAATTACCACCTAGAAATCAATATGGTTACTCTGATTTAGGATAGCCAAACAACATGAATGGATATGGATAAGGGATGGGAAATAATGCAACAAATGGATATGATAGATACTCAAGAGGAGTTGACATGAATGGATATACTACTTCAGATCCTGCATATGGCAGAAATTATCAAGGGGCAGATAATTACAATAATAATTAAATATATAGAGGTGTAGGTACTCAAAGAAAGTGATTTATTGAATGTTAAACAAGAAAATTTAATTAAAATTTATTTGGTAAGTATATATTTATATTATTTAGTAGTTATATTCCATGTCAAACATTTCATTCATTTAAATTAATCAAAATATTTTATGTTTTCATTTCAAGGTATTTTATTTTAAAAATAACTAAAAAGGGTTTAAAAAGTATTTACATATAAATAAATTCAGGTTTAAACTCATTCATTTAAATTTTAGATAATTTATTATTTTACAATTTTAATATCAAAAACTTTTTATGAAAGCTAAATCATTATTTTTTATTTAAATTTATGACATTTAAAGCTGCTAATACATTTTAAAGATAAGCAGAAATGATATTTTTCGGAAATGAGGACTTATAACTTCCTCAAAAATATAAAAATTCAATTTAAATTTTAAAAATAGAAGAGAAGATTAAAAATTTTTTTTATTTTTTAGGAAATTTTTATATTAAATGAACGACTAATCTTATGAAAGCTAAACCAAATTATTGATATTTAAATCTATAATATGTTAATAACATATAATTTATGAAATAAAAATAAACAAAATTAAAAAACTTTAATTGTTAGAATCAACTTGAAGAATACAAAATAAAAATATTAAAATATAAAATTATTTAGAAATGCTCAACAAAATATTTTCTTTCTTTTAAATATCAAAAAGCTAATAGAAACTAAGCATCAATTTAATATTAATAAAATCCACAATTAAAAATTAAGCATTTTAGTTTGTTTTTCTTTAATATTTGAAAAGATTAACAGTTAAAAATGTTTAAATAAATAAGTAAGTAATAATATTGTTTAAAATTTATAAAAGTGTTTTTTATTTTAAAGATTTAAAGATATTTTAATTTTAAGTTCTTAACCAAGGGTTAGAATTTATTGAATATTTATAATCCGTAAAGTAGTTAATAAAAATGAATATTTTTTATGCAAATCACTTATTTTCATTATATAATAATTAATGATAAAGGCACTTACTTTCATTTTGAAATTTATTGTGGTTATTGTTAATTTTGCTAGTTTTGTTTTTAGTGAATTATGTTAAGTTATTTTTTTTAATCAGATTTTTCTTTTTTAAGCTTAGCCTCCATTTATTATTATTTCATTTTTAATAATTCTTCTTCAATTTTCTTTTGCATCAAAAGTAATTATTCAGACTGTGCCTAAGTATCCATTGAAAGATCTAGGTTTTTTAAGCCTACTGTTTTCAAAATATCTGAATTTAAAATATCATTTATATTGGCATCAATTATATTCATATTGCTTCTATTTTTATTGCTTTAACCATTTTACTAGTTAGGAGATATATTTTATTTATTATTTTCGCCTTTGCTTGCTTCTGTTTTTAATTTTTTAGAGGGAGCATTAGCTGATGATGAATAATCACCTTCTTCTTCATCACTTTCGTCTTCCTCTTCACTGTCATCTTCTTCACTTTCATCTTCTTCCTATTTTCTTCTTTTTCTTACATCCTTCTCTTTTTGTTAGTTTTATGACTGCATGTTTGATTAATTTATTTATTAATCCTACCTATTTTTTAGTTCTTAAGTATTATTCTCTTCGTATTTAACCTCAATATCTTCAATGAGTACTTCATCCTTTTGCTTAGCTTCATTTTGACTGTATAAATTATTAAAGCTGTTACTATTATTATTAGTATTGTTTTCATGAGGTTCCATTTATTTTTTAATTGGTTTTTATGAAGGAGAGTTTGTTTTCTTTCCATGTTTAAATTAATTGTTAGAGGAATCATTATCTTATATTCTGTTATTTTATCTTCCAAAAAATTGTTCGTCCCTATTTTAGTTTTACTCATCAGCCATTTCATCTTCATCTTCGTCATCATCGTCTTCTTCATCATCATCGCTATCATCATCTTCTTCATCTGAGTGCAGATCAGAATCATCTCCACTATTATCATCTTCTTCATCACCAGCAATATTAGGAACAGCGTTCATCATTTATCTCATTTCTTAAGACTAAAGAATACCTTGAGCACTCTTTAAAATCCATCTTTTTAAAACTTAAGCATTTACATCATATTCTTAAGCAACCGTAACAATATCTCTTCTTTTTATAGCCTCATTTACAATTACTTTTTTTTTCTCTCTAGAGAATGTACGATAAGGTCTTCTAGAGGAAACTGTTTAAGGATCTAATTCATATTTAAGTTATCTTGCCCAATAGCGTATCAACGAATTCTAAATGCTGTATTTTTCTGCAATAACTTAGACACTTTTACTTTTTCCTACTTCTGATAAAATTTATAATTTTTCTTCATCGGTATATTTTCCTTTGTATTTTCCTTTTCTTTTGCATTTACTACCTTTAGGACGGCCTCTAGGACGCTTTAAAAATGCTGGGTCCATAAGGACATCAGCATTAAATTCAGTCTATGGAATTAAGTTAGCTGATCCTATAGTTGTAACCTAGTTAGTAGTATTCTTTTTTTGATTATGGTTGCTTGAACCTTCTATATTTTCAATATCTGCTTAAATATTATAAGAACTAGGATGAAATTGCTATTATCCCCATACTTTCTAATTTCCTTTTCGTAAATATTTTTTATATACTTCACTTTAAAATTCTAAAATATCTATTTACCTTAGGTCTTTATTGCTGAATTGTCTTTTTAACCCAATTGACTATAATTATTTTTACTATATTAAAGATTATCGTAGTTATGAGGGTAGCTACTTGGTTGGTTAATAGCAGCTTATCCAAATACAGAAGCATTTCCTTAGAAAGCATTAAAATTTTAAGATTTGCTGGCATGGTCTGAAACAGATTTAGAATGTTCTCTTCCTTCATGATGCCCATGGCTATTTATAAAAAATATTTAAAATTAGTAAATAATAAATAAATAGTATTCATTTCAACAAAATGTTAGAATAGAAAAAACTATTTATATGTATGATTTAGGGATTTATTATAAAAGAGAATATAATATAGAAATATAAGGGTAATTAATTAGCTATTTGTAAGGATTTTATCAATAAAGATTAATGTTACTTGCTTTAATTGAATGCCTAGTTGCTATAATTATTGTTTTATTTGCTTTCTTAATTTTGAATTTAATGTTTTCCTCCATGGTTTGAATGCCTTTCTAATCCAGCATAGTAGCCATAGTCTCCAAATTTCAATGCCTTAGCAAAATCATCATGCAAATCTCTTACTACATTCTCTAAGTCTCTAATCATAAATAAAACACTACTTATTTCTTCTTTGATTATATCTTAGTCAAGCAATTGTAGAGAATAATGAGATTCTAGTTTACCAGATTTGTGAATTTAAAATATGTCCATTACATCTCTAATGAATCTTTCCAACTCATAAGTTTTCATTGGAGTTCTTTTCGCACTTTCAGTTTATTCTATTAAAGCTAACATTGTCACTAATTTATGAGACTTCTCAACAAGCATATTCTTCATACTCTAAAAGTGGCGTAAAATAAATTATCGCGCTTATTCAAGCATTTCAGAAGCATTCATCAAAGGAGAATTCATTCTAAATTATTTGAGTCCTAATTCAACATCTACAAAAAATTTCTTAGCATCAACTATTGATTGAGGATGACTGGCATGTGGTTACTATTTTTCACAATAATCACATATTTCACGAGTAAGTGCGCAACCAGCATGCAAACATATTTTAGTAGCTTCTTTTGTAGAGTGATTTTTGCAAAAAGAAATGTAACTATTATTACCAAAATAATAGTCATATTCGTTTCTCATATAATTTATATGATGCTAATGCTTTAACTAATTCTAACTAGAATTTTGGTGATGATGTTTCTCGCCCCCTCTTTCAATGCTATTATTGCTACTTTAATTCTAGATATCACTAAAAAGCTTTTTATCACCATTAGAAGTTCCTTTTTATTTAAATAAATTAAATTTAAGCATATTCGAAGAAAATTATATGATTCGTTTTTATTAAATAAAAGGCTATTTATAATTTATCTATTTAAATCCTCCATTTTATAAATAAATTGCTAAAAAAATATATTTAAAAAAAAATACCTTCTACATGGGATTTCTTTTCTATATCTTGCTGTAAATGAACTTAACTATTCTGATTTTTAACAGAATTTAAGCTCTAATTACTATTTTTTAATTGCTTTAGTTCAGAGTGATTATCTATAACTTTTAAGCTTGTCTATGTGTTCGCTAAATTAGATTATTCACTACTCATATTCTATTAATTATCCTTAAATATTTTAATCTAATTGATTACTTTATAAAAAGGATTCTATTTTTCTTTAAATTTTTTTTCACTTCTTATAATTAGATTTTATATCAATTCTAAATATTAATTTTTTACCTTCCACAAAATATGCGCGTAAATTCTGCTATTAAGCTTATAAATATTTAACGCTATATTATAATTTTTTATAATTGTTATTAAAAATTTGAGAGACAAACAAAAATAAGTGCATCTACATTAAAAACTTCATCACTATATTATTTTCAATTTAATGTAATATGATTTATGAAAATATTTCTCTCTTAAAATACACTTAAAGTTGATATAATTTTTGTTTTTATTATAATTAATATTATCTATTTCATGCTAAAATTTTTAAAGCCTCATAATTAATTTAATAAATTGCTTGCTTTTATAATTTAAACTATCTTCTTTTAATTTTTTAAGATAAAATACTTTTTAATCAAATATATAAAACTTGTAAATATATTAATTGAGGTTTTATTTAAAAATTATTTTCATTTGATTGAATTAAAAAATTTATTAATTATTAATAATTGATACTTTTTAGAAGCAAATAATATAAAAAATATCTCCATTTACTATCATCAAACATAATTAAATAATCAGTTCTTTGTAAAATAATTGTTTATCAATAATTATTTAAAGTAAATCAACTTTTTTATTCTAATTAAACTAAAAATCATAAGTAGATAAATAGATAGGATTCCAATTATAAAAAAAGAAAAATTTAGTTGTCTAAATCTAAAAAAAAGATGCGAGGAAGACATTTATTAAGTGCCCATAATCTTTATGTGTTCTTGATATCTTTATCAATTGCTCTTGGATCCTTTATGGAAGAGCATTATTTTAATGAATAGAGGTATGATCATTTTTCAAATAACTTTGAATTATGGGACTAAAGATATTTTATTGCTAAAAATGAAAAATCTTAAAATGGTTAGCTAGGTAAAGTTAACATAATATTTGTTTGTGACAAAGACCTTACTCATGATATCCTATCTTGCATACCACCTTTTTTTGATAGCTAAAGGAGAAATTCTGATGTAAATATTTTCTTACTAGAAATGAGGTATTATGGAGAATCTCAGCCTTATTCCAGCAGATATTTAGGCATAGACTATTTATCTTATTAATCAATTTAGCAAAATATAGCAGATATAGCATTGTTCGTCTCATTTTTAAAAAAGGATAATATGGTATCCTCCGATTCTAAAAAGTAAGCATTTTTTTATTAAAATAAACTTCTTTTGGTTATTTTATTTCTTTATATTCTGCCGAAAAAGCATACTTGTAGGATAGAATTGGTCTGGTAGTATAGGAACATGGACTAGGATTAAATATCCTCATTTAATAGATGGAGTTATTGCTTTTAACAGCTAATTAGTGAACATTAATTATGAATAATACAATTAAATATTAGATTAATAACTCTCACAAACAAACCCTTAATGTAAGCAATAAATTTCTGAATTATTGATAAATCTAACCTAGTAAATTTAAGAGCAGAGCAGTAAAAAGTAACTTTTGGAGTTATTTGATTTCAAGCATAATATTGATTAGAATATTTTTATTTTTTACTTTTAAGGTTTGTTGCAATAAGAATTAGAAAATAAAATCAAAATTTTAGAATTTTGCTCCTAAATTTAAAATAAAACAATATCTTAAATAGTAAATGAAATTGTTTCAAAATCTTCATAAGAATATAAGAATTTGTTTGATATCCAAGAATTTGCAAGTTTGTCTGATTCTAATAATGCAACATAAACCAAAAGAAAAAACTAATATCTACCTTTTATCCGTTTGTAATGTTCAGATCTAGGGTTTTCTAAATTTTTCTCTAATTAAGTAACTGAAAATAGTTAGAGTACAATATTTAAGAAAATTCCTTAGTATATCTTCTAAAAAATATGTTAAACTTTATTTAATTAGCCATTCCATAAAAATGTTGATTAACTTTAGCAATTATTTGGAGGAATTAATTTTAATCATTAAAATACTCTTTTCATTAACAATATGGATAATCTAAGCACTATTGCATATAAAAATTGTACAGAATAATAGATAAATCATAAAAAAAATAAAGTCAAGTTTGATGATGATAAAGTAAGAAGATGTCTTAACCTAAATGAAAATGGATAAAACATTGCTGATTACATTAATAAAGCAATTTATTAGTGGACAGATTGTATCTCTATGAAGAATGCTAAAAAAGATAAAACAAATAAAAAGGACTAAAATGAGCATAAAGATTAAAAAAATAAGAAAAAGTAAAGAAAACCTAAAAAACCAACAAAAAAAAAATAATAATGAAAATAAACAAAATTGAAACAACGTTTGAGAGAATTGTTTTTATTTTTTATGCAAAATTATTAAATTTTTTATAATTAAATCAAAAATTTTATACATTTTTTATATATTATATTTAAAGTAAACACAACTTAAATATTATTCTAACATTTTTATATTCCTTATATTTTTTTTAAAAATTTGAATAATTTAAGAAAATAATAAAATAGTTACTTTATTTGAAATACTAATATTTAATATATATTTTGTATGTAAAATAGTTTGCTAAAATTTATTAAATGCATAGAAATTTATTTATTTAGATATTTATTTAGCACAAGAATTTAAAATGTAAGCATTAAAAGTGAATGAATATCAAAATATTATTTATTTCTTTTATATTTTTGAGTTATTATTAATTTAGTGAAATTAAATAATATAGTATTATAATAATTAAACCAAAGTATTTTATCTAATCATTATGAGAGAAAAATTAATACTTATACTATTGGCTTTAATCAGCTTCAGCGCATGTTAACCAATAAACTAGACTCAATTATGGTTTGATTATTAGTTGACTGACCACTTTAATATTACTAACAATAGAACTTGGTCATAAAGATATTGGGTTTTAGATTAATATTATAACCCTTAAAATGGATCAGTTTTACTTTATATTTGTGGAGAATATACTTGCCCTGGAATACCTGAAGAGCGTTAATTCCCTATTTTATTAGCTTAAAAATTTAGTAGTTTAGTTTTAGTACTTGAGCACAGATTTTATGGTAACTCTATGCCTTTTGGAGACTAATCTATGAAATAACATAATCTTTACTTATTGAATGTTGATTAAGCTTTGGCTGATTTAGCATACTTTATCACTTATGTTAAAGATCATCATTTGCATGGTGTTCAAAATCATATTCCATGGTAATAAGAGCTAAATTAATTTTCATAATATTTATTTTATTTAGAAATTTAGATAACTTATTCTGCTTAAAGCGAACATTATTTATATCATAATTTTTAATAGGTTAACTATTGGAGGTTCATACCCAGGAGCAATGTCAGCATGGTTCAGATATAAATATCCTCATTTAACTGTTGGAGCTTTAGCCTCAAGTGCAGTTGTTAATGCTATTTTAGACTATTACTAAATGGATTAATAGGTAATTCTTTCAGCTCTTCGTTCTGGAGAAAAGTAATTTATTTTTTAGAATTAATGCTAAATATTTTACTACTAATTAATTGATGATATTTTCTTAATTTTTAATGTAATTTAAATAAATTTAATTACTTGATTTTTAATTTTAAATAAAAATTATATTTTTTGATAAAATTAAAATTTTAAATAATTAATATTTGAATTAGCTTAAAAATTATTAAAATTGGTATATAATTTTATTTATTTATTGTTTTAAAGATTTCATCAAATATTTTTATATTAAGATCTTTAAATTTTCAAATTTAATTAAATAGATGTGCTCAATCTATCCATGATCTGAACATATATGTTTAGAATTTATTACAAAATCCAACAAGTGCTTATGAAATCAAAAAATAATTTAATGCAGAACATTTAAATAATGGAGAATTCCTCTACTTCTATACTGATATTTTTACTGGAATGGTATAATATGGTTCTCGTACTGTCCTTTGTAATCAAACTTTGAATTATCCAACAATTGAGTAATAATATCAATCTATTTTAAACTATACCAAGGTATTACTTCATATTTTTTTCAAATAATTTTACAAAAAAATTTAAATTATATATTTATATATATTTTTTTTATAAAATAGGAAAATAACGTAACTGTTAACTATTATGGTTCATACTATCTTAGAAATGATACATATGATCCTGAAAATGATGGATCTAGATAATGGACTTGGTAATATTGTACGGAATTTGGCTTTTTCTAAACATGCTCTAATCCTTAAACAGGATCTAGAAGCACTGAAGTTAATTTAGATATGTTTACAAACTTCTGTAAATAATCTTTTACACAAGACATTTTTCCAAATCCAAGCAGAGTAAATATTTAATATGGAGGAGTTAATTTGAAGGCCACTAATCTTATTTTAACAAATGGTATTGAAGATCCTTGGAGGTGGGCTGGATTATAATAGTCATCAGGTGATATAGTAAGCTATCTTATTGACTGTGATGATTGTGCTCATTGTGTAGATTTATACACTCCAAAAGAAACAGATGCTCTTGTATTAAAGTAAACTAGAGAAAAAATTGTTGAACACTTTTCTTAATGGATCAAAGAACACTATGATAGTCTTGAAAAAAGCAACTAAAACTTAAATATTACAAAGACTAATTTTGTAAAAAGTTAATTGTTAAGATTGTGAAATAAGGATATATATATATATATATATATATAAATTTATAAATTTTCTTCATTAAAATGATATAAATGAAATAAACTTGATATAAATTAATTCATAAAATATATTAAAATATAAAAAGTTACCTTACTTCCTTGATAAGATAAAATTCCACTCTTTATTTTGTGTAAATTAATTAAAAAAAGTTTTATGAAGTTTTTTAGATAATTTCTAGAATGAATATTTTATTAAAATAATTTTTTGCAACTACATATTTATTTTTAATTAGGGAATAAATAAAATAATTAAAAATAGAATTGATAGTCAAAATAAAAAAATACATAAAGAATGATGGAAGGCGAATTTAAATAAATTCATTACAATTCAAATAAAGAGAGAAATTTTTATATTTATGAAAGTAAACTCTATAATAACTTATTAAACCGATTAGCTAATGATTAATTTTATAATTATTTGAGTTAATGAATAGTTGATTACTTTTATATATTGGCATTATTTTTATATTATTTCAGCAGCATATAAATTTATAAACATCAAAAGTTATTTACTTATTCATTTATTTATTATTTTATTTAAATATTTTTATATGTTTTCAAGAAATATGTTTCAAAGCAGAAGTACTTTCTGAAACAAATTTACTTTGATCGTTAATATTATCTGCTAATGTGTGAACTCTTTCTAAGAGTAACAAATTATCAATCCAGTTAAGAGGATCAATATCCTAATTTTAAAAAAATATAATAAGTTCAAGGTTTATTTTTCAAAAGTTGTTGTTTATTTATTTACCTTTTCATATTTACTTTCCTTTGATTTTTTCATGAATTCTAAATTCATATTAGTGTTAGCTTCATGTAATTGTTCAACAGATTCATTTAAGTAGTGTCTTTGTATAAAAAATTAAATTTATGATGATGATGAATTTTAAAATTAAAAATTATATTACGCATTCTTTTGGAGTAAACTTGAGATATTCAAACTTGAATGGTATTGATTTTCATACTTCTTTGAAATTTATTTGGTGTATTCTGAAATAAGTGCCTATATTTTTTATTTATTTATAATTAAATTAAGGGACTTATTTTTTAAATCAAAATATATATTTTTATTTACAGCAGCAAGAGGGTTTCTTCTAATTTCGACTGGGATGGGAATGAATATTTTATCAGTCTTAGTATTAAATTACTTAAGATCAGTAACACTAACTTTAGATTGTTCACTCAAATCTATGTATTTATCGCTAACTCTGTAGGCCTTGTAAGGATTATTAACACCTCTTAAAGCTTCCAAATTGTCGTAGATCAAGTAGATGCAATTAGGATTGTTTACCTATAAATTATTAAATGGTTTTTTAGTAAATGGGATTATTTTCATCTATTATGCATATTGAATATTTGCTTATTTTACAAGGATATAAAGATTTTGAATATTTAAATAAGATATGATTTTAAGCTTCCTAAAGGAGATAAATCAATTTTCATCAAAAAGCTGTAAAATTAACAAATTCTATTATATATAAAAGTATTACTTAGTAATTAGATTATTATTCAAAGCTATCAGAAGCAACAAAGTTATCGCTCTTGCTTGATACATGATACCAACCAACTTTATTGTTATCTAAATGAACTTCTTCGCTAAGCTTTGACATTTAATGATCATAGTCAGCTTGAGAAATAGATATTCTTGACTTTATAATTAAAAAATTAATTATTATTAAAATTGCTTAGCTAATTTTAGATAAATAGCTAAATTAATCTATTAATAATTACAGAGTCTGCAAGAGGATAAGTATGAGTTACTTCAACAATATTATCTGCGTAAAAACCGTGTAATTAACCAATAATTGTTTTGTCATCGCTTGATTTAGCGTGCTTTAAAATCTTTAAGATAACCTATTTATTTTATTAAACAAATAAATCAGAATAATTCATAAATGCGGATCACAAATTCATGGAATAATTTTATTCAAAGTTTTATGAAAGATTTCAAGATGGTTTGAGCTTAATATTTAGCAATTATTATAAATACGTTTAGTTAAATTCATAACTTCTATTTTATATTTTATTTTAATTTGCAAAAATGTTAGCTTATAACATTTATTTTAAACAAAAATATTTTAATCCATTTGAAATCAATCACTTTTATGCTTTGCTTCTAATTTAGCATTAAATAAAACTTAATCTATTATAAAAAATTACAAGTTCGTCAATCAAAACCTTATCAATTTGATTAGCCATTTTTATATATGATATTCTATTAATATTGCTCTTTAATTAATTTAATTTTGTTTCTTTTTATTTAATTTATTTGTTTTAACTTGGTCTTTACTTTTTTGCTTCTTATTTTTATATCTAATATCTAAGAAATCCTTCTTATTTAGTTCGTAGAAGATGTTTTTAATAAACATTCCTAACAATTCATCATAAAAGCTTGTAGATGTTTTTATATAAAAATAAATTAGATTAAAAATATGGAGTGAAAGATAGACATATACTAGATTTATAAATAATAAAATATAAAGTAATGTCTTGATTTCATTTAAGAAAAGGAATAAAAGTTAACTTAAAAATAATGTATTATATGTTAATTTATTTGTCAAATTCTCTATATTTTATACACTTTTTTCTATTCTCATTGAAAGAAGTACTAAATAAGATACTGATTTACTTAAAAATTTTTATAAATTATTTATTTCATTTTAAAATTCAATAAAATAAATTCTACCAAAAAAATAGTTAATTAAAAAATTAATTTTTTTTATGAAATTACTAAATTAATAACGTAGAAAATTTTAAAACCTTCTATTTATCAATTTTTAATCTTTGGAGAGTATCTTTTTTTAATTTTTAATTGAATCAAATTAAGTAAAAAAAAATAGTTGAAGTTTTATGGCTTCTTATGTGTTGGTAATAATTTATTGAAATATGTAAAATAAAGTTTGTTTAGCAATTGGACTTCATGAGAAAAAAAAAATATTTTTAAAGCTAAAATAGTTTAAAAAGAAAAATTATCAAATAAAAATTTAAAGTTTGAATAACTAATTTGAGGATATTATACATTCATACAAAAACAATCATTTAAATAAAATTATAATACTCAAATGATACTTAGCTAGCTAACTAGTTTTAAAATTAAACAAAACACTAAGTGAATTTTAATCTTTTGATAAATTTTTTCTTCATCTCATTACTTCTTTTCTGATGGGAATTATCTATAAAGGAAAGGGTGGAGGAGAAGACCTAAACCAAGGATAGCACCAGCAGCCCAGAAAAGTTCTGGTAATTATTCATACTTATTAGCGAGCTTGTTATAAAAAGACCATAAAGCCTTCTTGGTCAAAATGTCTCTTTTAAGTCCAGGGATTTCAGGTAGATGCTTGATATAATCTTAAGTGTAAAATTCAAAGAATTTGTTAGCATTTCTCTCACTTGATAGAGGATAGAATCTAATAAATCCATTGATAAAATAGATAAAACTAGGATAAAATTCAACTGATAAAGTATCAATAAGAGCTTTATTTTCAATACCATCAATATGAGCTAACTTTAATTCAGCCTTCTTTTAAGGAATAGCTACATTTTTATTGTAGTCTTGAATCAAAGTAGTCAAGTTTTTCAATTCAGAATAAACTCTTTGGCAGTAAGGGCATGAAGGACTGTAAAAGAAAAGGAAATAATCATTAGTTTTAGTTAACTTAAGGAAGTCATCGTAAGTATCAACTTTTACTTCCAATGATTATGATTTATCAAATTCTTCTTCCCCCTTGGCTAACACAGTTAAAGCGCAAATAAGTAAGACAAAGCTTAAGAATTTCATTTCTAACCTAATAAACTTTAGTAAAAAATTTACAATTAATTAATTAATTTATTTATATATTTATTATCAATTGATATTATTTTTGATATCAAACAAATGCACATCATATCTTTCTGATTGAATTTCAAAACTCTTCAATTTTTCTAAATTATAAATAAGTATTTACTCTATATTTTAAACATTTGTTTTGCTATCTGAAAGACTTTTTCTCTATCTATTAATCAATCTAAGAAATTAAAAAATCCTAATTAAATAAATAAAAAATAATTACCTCTTTTTAAAAAACAAACATTTTGACAAAATTTTAGTATAACATTCATTTATCATTTATAAATCCTTCATATTTTTTATGAATTTATTTTTTTATAAATTTTCATTTCAAATATTTTAAAATCTAAATTATAAATTTAATTTATTGATTTTTGTAAAAAAATATTTTAAATTTAAAAAATGAGTTATGAAAATAAAAAATAATTTATTATTTATTTGATTAATTTAAAGATTTAAAAATGGAAATTTATTTATCATTTCAAAGTATTATTTGTAATTGTAAAGAATTTAAAAAGTATTTTTATAGTAATTGTATGGAATTAAATGTTATTTTGTTTTTTATCCTATCGAATTTTAATTAATATTTGTAAAGAATATAAGAATTAAATGTTACTTTGTAATTCAACAATTCATTTATTTCGAATTTTAATAAGTATTTATAAACAATTTAAGAATTAAATATTCTTTTCTTCTTCATCTATTAATTTATTTTAAGCATTAATTTGTAATGATGAATTAACAAAAAATTTAAAATTAATTTCTTAATTATTTATTTTTAACTTTAACTGTAATTATGAAGAAATTAAAAATTAAAATTTATTTTCTTAATTATTTATATTTAATTTTAGTTTGTTATTTTAAAGAATTTAAAATTTAATTTAGTCAATGCTGCTTTAATTTATTTTTTTGAGAAAAAATTTATATATTTTTAAAATAATGAAATTTTTAAAAGATCAAATAAATAGTTAAATTAAAATATAAAATATTATTTAATTTAGTAATTTTAATTAGTATAAAATAAATAAATTGTTATTTGGGTAAAAGCTATGAAAAGTTATTTAGAAGATATTTGATGGATGGATTTGAGGTATAATAATTTGATATTATGCAATCTTGGAAACATAGTAACTAAAGTATTATACATACATATATGGATGGAAATATTAGAGGTAAATATTAATATAATCTTGATTGGCTATAAATTTTTATTTCAACCATAGATTAAAAGTTAGTGATTTCAAGTTATGCTTAGAATTTTAAGTTAGGAATACTTCTTAATATTAACTCAAAGGATTTATTTGACTCCCTAAACATTTATTTATTTAAAGTTTTAACTCTTTGTTGTTAGAGAACCAAAAACAAAAATAAGGAATATACTCTTTATTAGTAGTACTATAATAGTTATACAAAAAATTGTTTCAACCATACAAAAGTTTAAAGAATCCTTTGCTACTATTTTTTTAAATGGCACAAGTTCTTGGGGGCAGCTAGAGGAATATTAATAATTAGGTTTAAAATTTTACAGCTTCTCAGCTAGCTACAAAGAATTCATAAAAATATTAAAGTGGTTAATTTAACCAAGTTTAACATTATCAATGTTATGGTTAAGGTAGCAACTCACCAGGAAAAGCAAATGTTGATAATTTATATGATTAAAATGTTGAGTAGCAGTCTATATAAGCTGGTAGCAGTCTCACATTAGCTGTGAGCTAGCGAAATAGCTAGATTAGCATTAGAGATTATTAAAATTACGATGACTCTTTATCTAAAAAATAAAGCATTAAAAAATAAAATATGAGTCCATGGAGAAGAAATATTAATAATTAAAAAGTTATAATTGGCAGCAAAAATGGGTTTTATATTAATAATGATACTTCTACAATATCTAGTTCTTCAGCTCAAAAATAAAATTCTTATTAATAGTCGATGTCACCAAAAATCCATAAAATAACTTAACAAAGTTTAAATTAGAATGAACTTTAGTCACAGAAAGGAAGAAATAGCATGAATAGTTCTTATTTTCTTCATGTAGATACATAGCAAAGCTAACAAGATAATATGGCATATATTTAATCTAAAAACAACAATCGAAATAACAGCTATCAGCATCGTAACAGTAATAATTTTTAGTCTTCTTCTCCTTAACAAAGTCAGGCTACTTTAGCAAATGATTTGGTACATTATAGTAACTCAAATAAAAATTAGCATAGAAAAAATTATTAGCATCACAATTAAAGGAAGGTAATAAGTGCAAGCGAAGCTGAAAACATGTTTAATTAAGGTAATTATTCAGGATAAACTGCTTTAAACGTTTAATGTAAGTAAAAAAAAGATCCATAAACAGCACGTACATCTTAATAATTGTCAAATAATCAAAAAAAGCTACGTTTGCACTCTTTGAATGCTAATATTCATCGTATATTCAAAGAAGATAAATTTTAGTAGTAATCAAATAGTTAATTTACAAGTGAATCAACAGATTAATCATAAAAAAAAATACCAACTCAATAAAGAGACTATCAAACAAGAGTATCTCAAGAAAACTTAAGCATAAAAGACTCAAATAATTCCATGAAAAATTAAAATGAGAATATTGATGAGACTGATTAAGTCAAAAGTGCATCTCAATAAGCGAAAAACTTTTTAAAAGAAGAGGCTTTTGCCAACAAAAAATAGGAAACATGTGAATAAAAAGGATTAAATTCAAGTTAAATTACAGCTTGTGGTTCAGACTAAGATAATATTTAAGGAAAGTTTACCTAAAAAGAGCCAAATAAAGATCAGATTATACATTTAGATAACTAAAAGGAAGAAGAGAATGGATATACTATATAAAATAACGATGAATAAAAAAAAATTTAGTCATATACTGAAGATACTCATTTATAAGGTGAATAATAGCTTGATTCTTTAAATAGAAATTTAAAAGTAAAGGAAAATAAATAGTCTAAGGTACTTCATACAGAACCAGAAAACGAATCTAGGAGATAAAATAAAATAAAAAATATCAGATATAGTTAAAATAAGCAATAATATGTTAATTAGTAATTAAATACTCAAGAAGATCAAATCAAAAATAATAGAGCGTAAGCTGTAAGTACATCTCCAAGAAGCCACTATAATTTTAAACAAAGATCAAACACTTAAGCTTCAGATATTCCTCCAAAAATAAACATGGAAATAATAAATGGTAATTAGTAATTGTCACCAAGAGAGAGTTATTACGAAAGTCCAATTTATATCAGTCAAACATAATTTGAGAGCTAGGAAAATATCGCTAGACATGGAGGAAATTCTAATTAATTTTATTTTATAAATAACTCTCCTTTGCTGAAATGCAAAGTATCCTCTAGCAGGAATGGATATAAAACAAGAAAAAATGGGGCAAACACTGCTATAAAGAATTACATAAATAATTCATTGATGATAAAATAAAACTATTTGAATATATAATAGTAAATTTAAGGAAAATAGTGTAGAACTCAAGTTGATAGCTCATTTAGCTTAGTAAATTAAGGTGATAGCAAAAAGTCTCCTGCATTAGTTTGTAAAAATACAGATAGAGATAATAATATTAGCTTACAATATTTTAGCATCAACGAAGCAGATTAGATTTAATAATATCAACACCATCAGCCTTATTAACATAATTTAGATTAAAAGTTGCTAAGTAAAGATAAAATATCAAAATTTTAAGGAAATGTTTTGGATTCTGGTTTTAACAATTAGAAATCACCTCTAAAGGAAGTAGAAAACAATTCTCAAAATCGTAATCTAGACTAAAATTAATCAACAAAAAATAAATTTGTCAAATAAGACATTCCATAAAATTAAAGAGGAAAATCTTTCTAATAATATTAGAGACAATACGTTAATAGTGAAATCACTAATAATTCTTTTAATAATGGTGGATATAATAAAAAGTATAGTGTAGCTAATACAAGTGTTGATAATAAACAATAAAAAGTTAAGATAAAAAGTAAAATATATTCAACAAACTCTTCAAATCAATCTCTTAATGCTTCTATACTAGAAAAATCCCAAATATATGTTGATAAATACAAAAGTAATTTACAAAATGATCTTTCTTTGATTTAAAAAATAGACAAATAAAAGTAAGTAAGAGAAGGTGATTTGTATAATGTGAGTTATAACGATAAAAAACATGAATATGCACAAGAAATCGACAAAAAAATTTAATATTTATCTCATACTAAAATAGAGTCATCAGAGTAATTTATTAATTTACAATTTATTGTTAAAAATTTTTATTTAAATAACATTTTTTAAAAGTCTTAGGAGCAATCAATAAAATCAGAATTATTCTCCTAAAATAAGTTAAAGCTCATAGTCTGGAAACTATTAAAATTATCATCCCCAATCTTTATCAAGTTAGAGCAATAATCCATACAGCCCTATATTTATAAGAGGAAATACTCAAATGAATGATTACAATAATATCCATACTTCGCTTTCAAATGTAGTTTAAAATGAATAGACTAATTAATAAAACCAATAATATAAATTTTAAGCTGAATAAGATAAGAACAATTTTAAGAATGAAATTTCTTAGTCATAAAACAATATGAGAGAAAATGTAATAAATTGATTTTAAATAGATTGTTCATATAATATTTCTTAAAAATAATTAGGACACACAATTAAGCTATATCTGGAGAAAGCTAGCTTATTAAAGGGAAAAAGGAAAGCTTAACTAAAGCAGCTTAGAAGAAGAATTAGAAAAAATTGATTTATTAACAAAGAAAAACGAGAAAGCTTTAAATTAATATGTGTAAATAAAAGAAGATGCAATCTAAATGTCATAATTTTTAGTAAATAAGATTTTTTATTAAAAAATTTAAACACATTTTCTCTAATAAAATAGGAATCACATTTAAATTAAAAAAGAGTAAGAAATAATAGTCAAGGTAATATTTGAAAAATGATAATCTCAATAAAAAGTGATATAATTTAAGATTATCATATCTATCAATTAAAATAAAAAGATAAAGTAAATAAGTAAGATAAAGATGATAAATAAAGGTATTAATTAATTAATAATTTTTAAATAATTAAATAAAAATTTATTTGAATTTTGGTTAAATAAATATTTATAAAAATTTTAATAAAAAATATAAATGAAAGAAAATATATAAGTAAATAAATAAATAATGAATTAATTATTAATTTAAATTTAATAATCTTTTTGTTTTTTAATTTGTACATAGAATCTATTTATAATTAATCCTCTATAAAAATTTATATATTTATTTAATTGATTAAACGAACTGTCTAAACAAAACTATAATTTAATCTAAATTGAAAAAATTTATTCAGTCTGCTCATTTCTTTTTGTTAGATTATAAACATATTGATTGTTATATTGAAAGTAAAAGATAAGTATTTATTTATTTATTTATTAATTAATTTTATTTGTTTAATAATTTTATATAAAATTTATTTTTTGAAAAAGATTCTTCAAAAATATTAATTATAAAAAACTTATGTTCACAATATTTAGAATTTATATTTTACAAATACAATTATTATTTATTTATTTGAGTTTTCAAAATTATAAATTAATTTACTTGAAAAAAATTAATTAATCTGCTCATATCTTTTTTTAATTACATATTTTTTGCTTACCTTAAAAATAAAGGATCAGCTACTATTAATTGATACTTTTCTCAATTGATTTTATCATTTTAAACAAAATTTATTGTTTTTTTAAGAAGCAGAAATATTACAATAAACATTTTTACAAACTTTTAAAAATTAGATTTTATAAAAAATATTTGCATTTTATTGTGTAGAACTTCAAATTTCTAAATATTTTTTAATTTTTTTTGTCTCTTCTAAGTTTTTTTGGTTATAAATATTTAAAAATATATTTTCAAGCTTCTCGAATCAATATAAAAATCTCTAATATTTACTTATTTCACTGGCAATATAAATTAGCAATAAATAAATTGAAGAGTCAATTTTGTAAAAATAAATTTTGGATATGACTAGATATTTTAATAGGATTATTTTAATAATTAAAAAATTTTTGAAATGCTGTTCCACTAGATGATGTATATGCATTCATTCAAGCAAGTAAATTAATGATAAAATTATTATCAAAAATAGAATTTAGCTCGCCCAAGCTGTATCTATTGAAGAAAATGTTAGGCAAATGTTCTAAAAATAAGTTCATTATCTTTATAACACAAAAAATGAACTGGATCAAAATTTTTTTTAAATAGACTAGTTCTTCATTCATTTAGAGTAATATTTATTAAAGTAATTAATTAGATAAACAAAAACAATAATTAAGAAAATAAAAGTATTACAAACAAATAATAAGCAAATTATTTATCTACATTTATTTACATCTCATTTCATAGCAATCACTTCAATAATTTTATAAGTCCTATCTATCTATTTTATTTTGAAAAAGCAACATGATAGACCCTTAACTTTTTGATAACCTCAGAACAGGAATTGAAAATTTATATGGACCTCTTAGCGATGACCAAAATCCTAGTCATGAGTGGTTTAATCAAATGAGCCAAAAAAATCCTTAGGGTGATAAAGATATGAGAAAAAAGCTATTCGATCTTGTTGTAGAGATTCCTCATTTTTAAAACTTAATTCAAATATCAAAGAAAATGGGGAAATTTGAATAGTTATGCAAAAAGATGGTTCTAAGAAAATATACTAAAGGAGATATTCTCTTTAGGTAGTAGTCTTTTGCTAATGAACTTATTCTTGTGGTTGAGGGATAAATTTCTATGTGGTAAGTAAAGAGTGACCCTGATATTAACAATGAATAGAAGCTCATTCAAATAGCTGAAAAATCATTAAAGGCTTACAAGAGAGAAGAAGCAAAATAAAACTTGGATTTAATGCGTAATTTAGAAGAAGATAGCATTTTCCGAGTTGTAGCTAGAAGGAATGCTTACAAATCTCATATGCAAAAATCTAAAAGAAAAATAAACAATTAAAACTCTATTGGCCCTGAAATGACCCATACAAATACATTTTGTTATGATAAAAATGAACTGAATAGTTAAAATAGCATTAATTAACAATAATAACCATAAAACCAAGCATCTAATTTGTCTTAGTTTGCACCATAAAGCAGTAAAGTAAATAATGAATTAATTTCTAATTTTGTTGAAAAGAATAATCAAATTTCTACTTTGCAAGCTTAATTAGAATAAGAAATTGAATTGTAAGAAATAAGGTATTTTAAGACAGAAAATATCTGCAAATATAAGAGAATCTTCTACCACTAAAGAGGTGATTTTATAGGAGAGAAAGAGGCCCTCTCAAATGAATACTTAGAATATTTAGCCGTAGCTCACACAGACAGAGTATTGGCTTTTACTATCTCCACTGATGCATATCTTTCTATGTTTGATCTAGAAAGCGCCAAAACCGAATTCATTGTTAGAAGCTTGTAAAAATAGTTTCCTACTGCAAGACACGAATCTCTTTTGCGTATTGCCTATGATTTCAAAACTCAAAGTTATGACTACAATTAACCTATATTCCGTCTTAAGGAGAAAGCAGATAAAATATATATTGTTAAAAGTGGATTGGTCGAGGTTGGTTAAGAAAATTTGATTAAATTGGCCCTTCTTGGTGAAGGGTAACTCCTTGGATTTGAAGATTGTGTTTCAGAAGAATAAAACAGGAATTTTTGGGCCACCTCAAAATCAGGCGAAACTCTATTATTCTACATCCCAAGTGCATTATTTTTAGAAATTGTTGAAAAAACATATGATGGAAAACTGAAAAAAGCTCTTCTTGACACCACAAACAATAAATTAAACTATTATATGCAATCAACATCAAAAATATAAGATATTTTCTCTAAAGCTGCTCCTAAAAAGAAAAACGTAAACGTAGATAACCCCATTTTATCCTATATGATCCATGGACAAAAATCTAAAAGTAAATAAAATAATAGTTTTTTAGATAACGCCTATAAGACTATGATTGTATCTAGAAGCAGAGACTAGTCCTAAAATAGAAAAGATTCTACAAGCTCAAATGATGAAGCCATAATCCCAAATAATCATTCCCCAGCAATAATTACCAACAAATTTAAATCTATGAATAACATTAATACTGAAGATCTTTCAGATGAACCACACAATAATAAGTCTTTGCTCTAATTAAATAAATCTCATTCTCCATAACTTAGATGTCATACTGACTTCAAAGAACATCAAAAAGATAATAATTAATTTTTATAATTACCAAATATTAACCTTAACGTTCCTGCTAATCCATAAAAAAGAGTATAAATTTAAGTCGATTACTATGAACCTTCACATAATAAAAGTAAAATTCATTTTGATAGACTTAGTGAAAGAAAGGTTAAGAGTTTAGCTAATATCCCTGATGATAGTGAACCTATGACTGAAAGAGATCGTTAGCTGCAAAACCTTGAAAAGAGCAGCAACAAAGCTATGTTGAAAACAATAGATAGAGCAATTGATTACAAAATGTAAATCCTAAACAGAAAGCCAAAGCCTAAACCAGTAGAAAAGGAAGATGCTTTTATGACAGCATTTAAATACTAAAAAGCACGCTTTCACAGTGTGTTTACTCAAAAGAAACCAGGTCTACCTTTCAAACATACTCAATTTGAGCGTTTACAGAACAACGTTAAAAAATTTACAAACGAAAATTTGATTTGTCGTTAATCAGAATCGAACCTACCAGGCGATGATGAAACCGAAGTTAATGACTAAACTTTGAAAATACCTTAATCTTGTATCTACTATAACAACCTAGATGACTCAATAACAGCGCCTTCAACCTTACCTTTCTCTAGCAGAAAGTAAAATGATCGTCCTTCATCTCTCTAGCACATTGATATGGATTTTGATTCACATAACAACTCAATCAACAATATTAATATTAAAAGTTTAAATAAATTAAGTCCACTAAAAGCTCCTAAAAAAATGAATAAAAACGTGAGCTTCTTATAACTTAATAAAACTAATAGCACTAAAAATAATAATAAGTTCCATACTCATTCAAGTTCTACTCCTTTTATAAGAAATATCTTTTTGAATGAAACTGCCAAGATAAATAATCCTTCTTAATAAAATTCACATCATACAACACTTCCTAAATTAGCTCCTTTCAATTCAAATAAAAAAATATCTGAAAATAATAATAATAATAAAGTCAACAACAATAACAATGATCCATACTTCGATTAAACTACTTTAAGTGGAATTCCTTTATCTAAAAATCTTTCATCAAAAAAAGAGGTGAAAATACTAGACTTTGATGGAATATTTGCACCTAAATAATCATATATGCCAAGTAGCACTCGCAGTAATGGTTTGAATTCTTTAGGGATAACTTTAAATACTACCTATAGAAGTTAATTAAATGACTCAGCTAACTACTCATAATCTCACAGCTAACAAATATCCCCTGTAAAAGCTAGCAATTAAAAAAATAATAACATATTCAATTAACTAAAATAATCTCCTTAATAATAAGCTAACTGATTTATTTTAAATAAATTATCTATATTTTCATTAAAATATATATTTTAAATATTCTATATCTAATAAATTAATACAAATCAAAATTATTACACAATTATTCATATTAGTTTACTTTTAAATAAATTATAAATAAAATTCATGCAAGCAATAAATTATTTTCTTTTAATAAATATTTAAAATAAATTTAAAATTAAACTGATTACATCAAAATAAAATGGTCATTCATATTAAATCTCTACTACTTGAAAAAAAATATTATATTATTTATTAAGAAATGTCTTGTAAAATGCAATAAATAAAATAAACTTCAAAATAATGGATTTACAAATATAAGTGTTTGTGAAATAGTTAGAATGAATGGAATTAATAAATGATTATATTCTATTTAAAAATAATAAAATTTTATGAATCTTTAAAAAATAATGAATTTTGTTTGAATACAAATTATTACTAATAAATTTTTGAATTAAAAAACTAACTAATAAACAAAAAGATTTATATAACATCTTCAAACAAAATCTTAATTAAATCTTAAATTTATATAGTCCAGTTAATATAATAGACCAAAATATATAGTCAATTTTGTAAACGGGTATCAAAGAAGAAAGATAAAACGTTTTTGAATTAAAGTTAGTACAGTTAATTATAAGATGAGTTAAGCTTTTAGAAACCCATAAGATGGGTAAAATTATAATAGGAATCATTAAGGAGCTGGTCCTTAGCAAAAATAAAAATAAATTGTAAGATACTTGTTCATTTATTGTTTAATAAATAGATTAACAAAATAAAGCATTCAATAACTGGATTGCATTTTAGCATATGGAATTCATTTGAATAAACTGAATATTTACATATTATGTTATTTTCTATTTAGCAAAAAATTATTTTTATTTTTCTTAAATAAGAAAATCGACCCTAATGATTTAGAACTCATGTCAATAAGCAAATGGAATAAGTTAAGATAAGATGTAAAAATTAGACCTGCATACTCACTAAGAATCACAAATCCTAATAGGGAATCCGATTGTTACAGACTTACTCCTAAAGGATTAGATGGTTTAAATTATTCACCTAAGGTATAATAAGCAAAAATAATTAAAGTTTTTGATATAATTTTATGAATTTGATTGAAAGCACACTATTAAAGTTAACTTTAGGATGTTATTAACTAAAATTATAAATAATCAAATAGTCAAGAGAGACGAAAAGGTTGGCCATAAAATTTAATTTCTCATTTTATTCGAATTAACTCAAAGAATTCTTTGGTCGTTCTTACCTTACTGGAGCTTATGGACTTAGGTCTGAATAATAGGGATACAATTATTAATTTGAATATTCCCATCCTTTCAGTTTATTTTTCCACACACAGCTTGAAAAATCAGCTGCTACTTTGATTATTTTTGAGGCATATATCTTAGAAATAGGAAATCATGATATTATATTAAGTACTTTTTCTTGTGGTGTTGGTGAAATCAACATTAACAACTTGCTAAAAGAACCTTAATCTGTGGCTTTAAAAAATAGTAAAAATTTTGAATTTTGTTAGCTATTAAATATTAAAAATAAGTAAAATTTTAGTTACATAAATATTTGAAATGAATTTATTTAGATACGATGAGAGGATATGTCAGCAAAGCTTCAACTGAGGAATAGAGAATTGCTAATACATCTATTAGATTTAATTTCATTTTAGATTATTTCCCTTTACTATAAAAAATAAAACATCTCTTTCCAGAGAGTGTGTTAGTTTCTACTAATGACCCTATTCCTGGATTAGCAGAATAATGGCTAGATACAAAAGTAATATTTATGTTTGCTAATTATTATTAATGTTTGTTGATAAATTTAAAAATAAAAATTAATTTCAATTTAAAAAAATAAAAAAATAGTTTTAAGAAAATTAAACTCTTAAAATAGATCAAGTGTTTGAGATTATGATGGATCTGCTTCCTACTTATAAATTATATCTCGTAAATGTATAAATCTTAATTAGAGATAATGTTGAAAAAGAGTTAGTTAGGCAAGTTTAACAATTCTTAGAAGTATCAAAATCAATCAATAATAAAGTCATTTTCAAAGAAAAAAAACTTATTTGTGGTTTTCATAACGGTTGGGATTTTGTCAATAGAGGTGGAGGCTCAAATAGAGTTACTTTAAAGCAATAAATTAAAGAAGTCATAAAAAATAAAGACGGATAAGACTCTAATGTTATCAGCTTAGAATATAGTGGTATGCATGAAATCGACAACGTTTTTGATTCTGATTAAAGTTGTATTGTTCTTTAATTAGAGTATGATATAGAGTATGTTGCTTAAGCAAGGTAAATTGCTACAAGGGTTATAAGCTGGCTCCCAATATCTGTGTCTGGAAAATTATAATCTTAATCTGAGTTAATTGTGCAAGAAGTTATGCTTCATGGACCAGGAAAGAGTGTTGATGGATAAAAAATGATATCTCTCCCTTTTAGAGAAGAGTTTGAGATTTAAGTATCTGCTGGATTTAGAGTTGTTCCACCAGGAACTAATGAGAATAATCTTTATGAAGAAATTCAAAAAGCAAGAGTTGTATAGTAAGATTACAGAAGTTAGTAAATGCAATCAGTAATATTTTTATTTCTAAATATGAAACAATCCAATTTTATTTATTATATTTTATTAGATTAATTTATCATTTATTTTTTTTAGTAATAGGATTAGAGCAGATAGCCTGGATAGCCTGTACATTAAGCAAAACCTTTACCTTTTCCTCAATAGCAGTTAAATAGAATGCCAACAGGGGCAGATTTATAACTTTAGATGTTAGACTAATAGTTGATGAATGAAAGGAGAAGATTGGAGCAGATTAATGATTAAATTTTATAAAGAAGGCAGTTGTAGAATGCAGGTGGAGCACCTTTCAATATTTAAGATTATCAATAGATAACTTGGGAACCAAGAAACGAGTAAGAGCGTTACTTAAAGTAACTTTAGTAATAAGAAATGATGATGAAGTAGTAAATAGAGTAATTTTAGAGAGAAAGAGATTAAATATAAATGGGTCTTACATAGGAATACAAAATGATGAGAGAAGAACTTGTTAAAACAAGATAAAGTGCAAGTGCCCCTGGCTTTTATAAAAAAGCAACTAAAATTTAACCTGTTAGATAATCTCCTTAAAAATAGTAGGGAGGCTATAACTATGAAAATGATTTAGATGAGGATGAAATCATTGAAGGAAGATAACTAGACTTTAATCCTATAAGATCTTAAGTAACATACTAAGGAGAAAAAGATTAACCCCTCATTATCCACCTTAATTAACCCATGTACGGTAAAAGAGAATTATCTTAAAAAGATAAACTCGAGTTAATTAATTAAGGAGTTACTGGATTACTCGATGATATCCCACCTATGAATACTAAGGAATAATATGCTGATGAAAAAACTATTTTAGAAGAAGATATGAAAGATTAATTAAAAGCTTAAACTGTCATATTTAGAATATTTTCCATTAAACCTGATGTAATTGATTAATTATTTTATATTTTTTTAAATAATAAAAAATGTTAATTAATTATAAAAATATATATAGATTTATTAGGGTCTTCCAAAGAGAATGTTTTTAACATTTAATTTTTTTGATTTTCCTAAATATAAAACTGAGAGCTTTTCTTATGAATCAAAAGATGACTAAAATGCTATTTTAAAAATGATTGAGAATAAGTCACCTCTTCTTGTTTATAGAGAAGCTTTCTTTAAAGGTGAAGAAGAGAAGTTCATGTCATTCAAATTTGATATTGATCCCTCTAAATCAAAATACAATGACTTGTTTAAAGACTTTATAAAATACCTTATAAAAAAATAACTTCATGTTGACATTTGGGATGCTGATACTCAAATGCTCTATGGATCTTTTAAAATACCTTTGCATAAAATTAGGAGATAAGGACAAAATAAAAAGACTACTCAACTAGTAAATAAAATTAAATATTCGATATTTTATTTGAAGAAATTTTAATTCTAATAAAATAGGATCTCGATATTGTTAACCCTAATTTTGTAGGTTATAGGGGTTCAATTCAGATATAAATTGATAATATAGGAAAAGAAGAGGCTTTCCCTAATAAAAGAAAAGATTAAGAATATGAGAATAAAATAAATTCTGTAAATTAATGGTAGAATAAGTAAACTGATAAGATAAAGGTAATCTCTGATTCACAGATAACAATTCCTATAAATTATATAAAGAATCAAAGAACTAATAATGCTTCAAAAGTTTCTAAACTAGATGATTAAAATAATGCTGATGCAGGTGTAAGATCAGATGAGTAAGTTAGAAAGGTTGAGAGAGTAAAAAGGTTCAAGAATAATACTCTTAACTAAGCTGCTATGTTATTTAATGAAGATGACTAAACTATGTTAAATAAAATATCTCTTGGCTATGATATCAGCAAAATCAAAGAACTATCATAACACAGAATCACGCAAATAGATGAGATAAAAAGCAAGTAAAAAGATTTTATTAAAAAAAACAAATAAGCAAAAAATTAATATTTTTATTTTTAAGGAAAAAACCAGATTTTGTTAAGAGTGTTATTAGCAAATTCTTAAATGAAGAGAAAGTATTATCAGTTTCATATGGAAGATAGGAAATAGTTCCTTATTTATTACAAAATCCTACAGCCACAATTTAAACTTTCTCAATTATAATTGAAGATGCAGATGAAGACATCTTAAATCATAGTGAGTTTGAACCCGTTACTGATTCAACTGAATGGAAGTACTGGATTTCAGCACTTAATTTGACAGAGTTACCATCTTATGATATTATTCAAGGAAATACTTTGGTTTTAGAGCCCAACTAAAAAGTGCACGTTTTATTTAAATTTATGACATATAGAAATATTGATCCCTAGCTAAAAGATAAATAGGATGCAGAAAGAATTTCATAGCAAAGAGTAAAATATAATTTTTTTGATAAAATTAATAAGAAGATAATGTTTATTTTATTATATAGGATGCTGAATATAGATAAAAGCACATCAATCCGAGATCAATTAATGTATTTTTTAGCTTGAAACAGCAAACTATTGTTGGGGGTTTTAGAATAAAAGTAGAGCCTCATCAATAGATTATAGATCACATATTCAGATACTATGAAAGAGCAACAAAAACTGTTAATATTACACTTCCTCCTTTATATTTAAAAGACTAAGCGCCAATGCTAAAGTAAAATAAAACAAATTATTTTTCTCAAATTTAATTAAATTTATTTTTAAAATAAAGACCTACTTTGCATGTAACAGATAATAAAGTTGCAGTTGAATGGGTTAACGAGCAAGAAATAGCTATTTATACTAAAATGCCTAACATTTCAAAAATAATGAGATTTAATATTTTAGTGTATAACTCTGACCTTCGCTCTAATTTATTGTCTAATATTCAAGTAGAACTACATGGACTCGAAGGGTAAAATTAAAAAATATTTAATATTAATGGTATTTGAGCTTAAATAAATGTATGAAGGGTTGATGTTCATGTAAATATGGGTCAGACAACATAATTCAAATTAAACTTACCTGGAGATATCCCAAGAGTAGTATAATTATACAGTTCGATGACCAATATTCTTTGGTTTAGCTCTCCATACGACACAACTTTTACTTTACCACCAGGAAAAATAACATAAATAGAAACAGCTGTCAAATCGCTATCAACAGGATCTTAAAGAATCTAAGTAAATGCCGTTGATGTTCATTCAAACGAACTTATACACTCTTGGATAGTCCGTATAGAGACAGATATTCCAAAACCCAATAAAGTTTTTGAATTAACTGCAACTGCGTTAAAAGAGTCTATTTAAGTATTTGAATATAGAAATAAGTCTCAAAAGACTAAAACTTTCTAGTTCTTATCCTCAGATCCATCAATTTTAGAAGTAAATAATAAATTCTGTCTATTTTTAATCCTAAACTAATTAAAAAATAGGTTTTGGACCCCTCTAAACAAATTCTTGGTAATAGCGGAGAAGAAATAGCTGTTAGAGTCGTTCCTAGAGAATACAAAGCTCCTGAAGCCCAAGTTATTATATTCGCTTCAGATTACGATGAGACTGTCTTTGATACAATGAAATTCAGGATAAGGTATATTTTTAATGATGAAGCACAAAGCTTGCAAGCCTTTAATAGGCTAAAGTAGCAAAAAGATATGATTTTGCAGTAATAAGCACAATAATCCATGAACTTAGAAGATTAATAACATTAGATTGGTTATTAATCAGGAAATAATTTTTATAATAATAACGATCCTTACTACTAGTCAAGTTCAAACTGGTAAAATGATGATGGATATGGAAATCAAGGAAATTATTAACCAAATGATAGTAGATATGGATAAAATAGCTTTTATAACGACGGGAGAAGATAGAACAATTACGAAGATAACAGAAGGTATTAAGGAAATTACTAAGATTATGGGTAAAATAATAATTAATACAATTATCAATAAAACTATGATGAAAATCCAAAAAGAAGAGGAAATTCCAATTAAAATTATGACAACTAATACCAAGATTATGGAAGAAACCAACCAAGTCTTTAAAGAGGAGGTGCTAGTAATTATGATGATTACAATGCTAGATAAGGAAACAATAATAATAACTATGATTAATATAATTAAGGATAGCAGAATCGCTAAAACAAAAAGGTGAAATTTGACTAATAGTAAAATTATAATAATTATGGAAGAAATAACTATAATTAATATTGAAATTTGTCCAAATAAATTTTGTTTATTGTTAAGAATTCATTTATATATTAAAATTATTTTCTCAAAATTAGTTAAAGTAAATTATGATCGTTTTTTACTCTTTTGTTTCATTTCTATTAACAAATGTAATTTTCTTCAATTTTTTTCATATTTTAAATTCAAATTTTAAGAAGATATTCGTTTTGATTAAATAGTCTTTTGATCTATCAATAAAAATCAATAAAAAATAAACTAATTATTAACTTGATATATTTTTAACAGAAAAAAAATTAAAAATGAAATTATTATTAAACAGCAAGCATTAAATATAAAAAATATTAATTATTTTAATCTTTATCTATTTTAAATATTTTTAATTATTTTATTCTTATGAAAATTTAATTTTTAAACATAAAAAATGTATTAATTGATTTTCAAATAAAAGTTTAAAAATTGATGACAATTAATTATTTTTAAAATTTAATAATTACTATCATAATCATTTTAAAATATTGTTTGATATTAATAAATAATTGATGAAAATAATCATATCATTTTTAACATTAATTTACAAAAAATTATCTCATTAAAAAAATTCAAATTATAATGCACTATTAAATTTAAAATTCGTAATAAGTAATAAGATATAAAATTATGTTGTCAGTTAAGTTCTCTATAAATATTTATTAATAATTTATATTTGAATGAATTTTATTTTATTTGTTTTTTATTTTTCATCTGTTTGTTAGTTTAATTTATTTGTTTGTTTTAATGTATTTCAATTTTTTAATTAGATTTATTTATTTTCTATGTTTTTTTTAATTTTTCAGTTAAGATTTTTTTAATTTTTTTTTTTCTTTCTTTCTTTTTAATGTTATTTAATTTTAAATAGAAGAATGATTAGTTAATATATTTATTTTTTATATAATTTGGAATAGAGAAGGGGCGTTGCCAAAACAGAACTAACAACAGGTTGTTTTAAAATGTATGATCTTTTTATGTGATCTATTTGGTTTTTAGTAGATTTTTTGCTTTTAATGTTTTCTTAGTATTTTTTTTGCTTTTATGTTTTTACAACCTGTGCTGCTTCTTGGGGGGATACTTTATCTAAAGAAGGTCTATTATGAAAAATAGTTTCTTTTTTAAGCTGGAAGCAGTCTTACAGTAAAAAATTTTTATGTTATGAACTGCCAGGTAATAGCGAGAAATTACTAATTAAATAATAATCAATATAGCTGTTAACAAACAGTGAATTTCATTATCTTGCTCCTTACATCTAATTCATCTCTCTCTTAGAATGAGTCTTTATAATGAATTCTTACCAAAAAAAGCCATTGATATTAAGTAATAGTAAATCTTTCTATTCCTTGAGCAACTAACAGAAAAGAGTGTGGGAGACGCGCTCATTTAGCTGTAATAACCGGTTTTTTTTTTGAAATTTACAGCTAATCAAGGTGCATCTCTCCGGGGGGGGTTTTCTTGTATTGCCTTGAATTCAGCACTCCGTACAAAAGACAACCCAAATACAATTGCAAGCTCACGTCAATGTATTTGCCTCTTAGGATACTAAAGAATTCACATGGGATTCGAGTGCAGACCTTGCCTATTCTTTTATATATAGAATTTGGCAGACCCTGTCAATAATTGATAATGCTTTCGAAATTAATCAAGTTATCGAACCCAGGGTCACCCTCAAAGGATCTAATAATAAAACGATTTGCATCGATTTATTTTGGGTTTAAGTCAATTTGGAACGGGAACGTATCCAAAAGACTGGTCTATAAGCACTTTACTTCGTGGCGCATGTTTTTTAAATTAGTGAATTCTATTCTCCCTCGAAATGCCCTTCGTAACCTCTGAAAAGCAGAATTCCGTTTGGATTGCAAATAAAAAACTTGTTTGTTTTCTAAAGCTAAACAAATTAGCTTTTTTTTCTTATTTAATTAATATAATAAGACTTTTACTTCTTTACCTTATTTCTTTAAAATTAATAATTAGTAAACAAATTATTACTTTTTAGATAAATAAATTAGATTATTTTTTTACAAACTAACCAAAACTTTTTTTATAAAATATTTTTTGATAAGCATTTTTAAATATTTTAAAATAAAATATTATCATAATCATTTTTAAATATTTTCATAAACATTTTATATATTAATTTTGTCAACACTTTTAAATAATTTTTCATTATTTTTTAAATACTTTTATTTTTTGTCAACTGAAGTTTGACATTAAAAATAATTGTTAGTATTTTAAATATTTTATTTACAAGTAATTCATAATATTAAAAATAAATATTCATTTATATTCCATATGGAAATATTAGTTTTAAAGAAAGAAAATGAGTGAATATACAAAACTCTAACGCATTTTACAACATTTAGCAAGAACAAATAAATAATAATTATATGTATGTAATGTTTTTATCTTATTTTTTTTGATGAAAAACCTTAGAATAAAAGTATTAAAATAGCGGGAAAGCAAATAAAGAATTCGCATATTAATTGAAAAAATGTATTTTTCTTGTAGTAAAAATATCAAAATGAAATATTTTTAAGTTATAAACAAGATGATTGAATTTTAATAAACTAATTGAAATATGGTGATTTTTAGTGAAAATAAATTTATCTCTCAAGTATATTTTATTCATATTATTTTTAAATGTGTAAAAGAAATTTGAATAACTTATTCCATCGTTTTTGCCGATAAATTTTGTCTAGTGAATAAATAGTAAAAATTATAATCTGATCAGCAAATTATGTCTTTGTTTATTTTATTTAGAAAGGCTAATTTTAATGAAGTATCTTAATTATTAAGCCTAAAAAGATGAAATAGCATACATCAATTTAATAATGAACATAGAAAAACTAAATTTGTGTGCAAAATAACAATTATCCATTTAAGCCTAGACGTCTTTATAACCATAAGCAAAAAAACACTTCTTTATAATTTTAATAATTATTAAAACTAATAGAAAAAAAATTAAAGTTAAAAAATAAAAAAAAAATGAAAATTGCTGCTATCCTCCTTTTAGGTCTTGCTGTCCTTGCTACTACTTCCGTCTTTTTGCTCTAAAAGAAGAATGTTGAAAACGTCTACTCAGACTGTGGTAAGCTCATTGTTAATGACTCTTTCGGAACTGCCGTTTAGAACATCTGCCCTGTTGAATTTGTCTTACAAATCTCTTTCAAGACTGAATATGGATATGAAACTTATGAAACTGGATGCCTTTAACACAATGAAGTCGCTTTGATTAAGCGTCAAGTTGTCGAAAGCAGCCAAGAATATGAAATTAAGAACTTAGAATGTTGATAATATAATTTTTTAATATTTAAAAATTTGTCAATAATACGTATACATAAAATGTATGTAGTTTGATTATTATAAAATATAAAATATCTCTTAAACTAAAAACTTAAAGATTGTCTAATTTAAATTAATATTTATTATATTAATACAATATTTTTGGTCAAATTATTAATTATTGCATTAGTCTTTTTGTAAAAACTCTTTAGTTTAGCTAAACAATTTATTTGACAAAGAATTGTGATAATTTTTTTAAAATAATATTTTTCAGTAAAAGAAATAGCATTCACTGCTATATTAAAAAGATGAAATAATATTTTGTATTCAAAGTAAAATTTTTTTGATATATTTAATTCTCAAATTAAAAAAATTAATCGCTTTTATAAACCCATTTCATTATAAATAACTTTTTAGTACTCATAAGAAATTAAATAAACCAAAACCTTATGAAAAACAAATGTATGCTAAGTTATAGCCTCACCTCAACTAAACAGTTAAACATATTTTAATAAAAAGATTAGCAGTAAAACATTTCTAAATTTATTTATTTTAGTAAATAGCATTTGTACTTCTTTACTAAGAATTTTCTACTTCAGCATCCATATTTAAAAGAACTTATGAAAAGTGTTCTACAAAAACAAGAATAAAATAGAGGTTTATTTTTTATATTTTTCGGATTAATGACTAATTAATCTTTTTTGTACAGAATTATTGAAAAGAAATTTTCTTATGAGGTCTTATCAGATTAATTTGATAATCATTACGTAAAATTCTGATTAATTTTGCATTTTTAAAAAAAATAATATTAACAATTTGTATAAAAGATATTTAAATTTTTGATTAAGAAATCTTATATTCTGTATAAATCTTATTTACATTTATTTATAATAGTAAAAATAATTAAGGCTAACTGGATAATTTTTAAGAATTAAATTTACTATATATTTACTTAATTCCAAAATTAATTATAAATGATATATACACTAAGTTTAAGGATAAGTATATCTTTGGAAAAATAATATAATCATAATACTTTTCAGTAAAATTTTCTGTTTATTATAAGCTAAATTTAAAAAATTTAGACTTTCAACTTTTTAAACTAAGTATAAATTTATATTATTATATTATTTTGTTCCTTGATTTTTGCAAAGCTGAAATAAAACTACTTTTAAGGGTCTGATTTAATTGATTTATTTTAAATTTTCTTTTGTTATTATTTCAAATAAAAGTATTAATTAATATTTTTACAAACCTTAAAAGTCTAGTAATAAACATTTTTGATTTGTTGCTAGTTCATATTAATTTTGATATTATGTAGTCCATCTGCTTTAATGAATCCTAAATAAAACTACTTTCAAATATTAATTGATTCTTTAATTTTTAATTTTAATCTATATTTTTCCTATTATTTAAAATAAAATTGAAATATTAATATTTTCTTTTTAAAAATAATATTAAAAACTCTGTCTTGCAGCTAATTAGTTTTTTTATTTATCAGTAAAGAAAATAAGTATATTTTATGAATATCTAAAACTCTACAAGTATAAAAAATAATTTAGATAAATAAATACTAAGGTAAAAAATAAAATATTTTGCATTATGTAAATTTTATGAATATATTTTTATAAAATTTCTTTCATAAAACAAAAAAAAAAAATAGGGATTTTATCAAATCAAATTTTTCATAATAAATTATTACTAAATAAATTGGTTTAAATTTTTTGCTATATCTTATTAAAGATAAAGAAATATTTTGGAACACAAATTTTTAAATTAATTAAAGTTGTTTTGACATTTATTTAAAATTGAAAAACTTAAAAATAAAAATTTTTGAAAAAAGTGATAAGAAGCCAATCATATGTTTTCTTAATGATTTTTAGGCTTATTAATTTAAAATATAAATCTACTAAAATTATAATTCATTAAATTTAAATAAATTTTTAAAGTGTTATTTACAAGAATATTAAATAATAAAAATGATTTTAGTAGAAGTGAGTTAATTTTAAATATATTTCTCTTTTTGATTTTTACTTTTAGAAATATTATATTAAAAAATTGTAAAAAAGATATATAAATTAAAAGATTAATAGATTATAAATATTTTAATCTCAAATAAAGTAATTAGAATTTTCATAAAAAAATACCTTTTAAATAGCAGCATAATTATCATAAATTGTTGCTTTTAACACAAAATTATTTTTATGATATTTTAAATTTAACTACTAATTTAATTAAAGAAAAAAGATATTCATTTTTTTTTAAGTACTCGAATTTTTATATTTTTTCTCTAAAGTAATTAATATGTCAAAAATATTTGAAATCCTTAGAGATAAATAAATTCTATTTTTATAAAAATTAAAAAATAAAAACAATTTCTTTTTAAAGATTTTTAAATGATTTTAAATATCCTCTAAATATATCTTGATTTTAAGTAAAATAAATCTGCTTCTTAAAATTTTTTTAGAACTTAATAAAATTTATTTATTTATCAAAATTTATATCAAAATAATTATCTGATTTAATAAAATTTGAAATGGATATAAAAACTCTTCAATTAATGCCAATTATATATTTAGAGAATATTAAATTTATTATAATATTTTATTAGTATTTGAAATTTAAACTTTAAATTAACATTTTTTTCAAAAATTTTTAAAAAATAATATCTTAAACAAAAAATCTTTGTCAATATTATTATTAAAATTAAAATAAATGGTTAAATATAAATTAATACAAATAATTATAAAAAAATACATTTTTCTATTTATAATTAATATCAAATTGATAAAATTCATCATTTTATAAAAAATAAAATATTTTATTATTATTTTGTTAAAAATCTGAAATTTATTTTTAAGTCTGGATTTTTTAATTTAATATAAACACTTGTCACATAATATTAAATTAAATATTTGTAAAACCGAAAAAGGAATACTAAATTGTTGATAAAATCAAAATTATGGAACTCTTGACTAAATTTTATTTTCCTTGAGTTAGTAATGAATTAAATAGTAGGGGAAAGTAATAGTTACTCGATATGTATTCACACTTAAATCTATAGTAACTTAATAAATAGTAATATTAGATTAGAATATAAATTATTTAATAATTTTTAATTTTATAAAAGCAAATAAATAAATATTGATTAAATTTAGATTATTTTAAATTGGCTTCCATAATTAGTGATTTGTAAAGAAAAATAAATTAAAATTAAATTTTATTTATAGAGTAATTGCAAATTATGATTTAAATTACATTTAGCTATGTATTTTTACAAATGAATTAAAAATATGAGGTTTAGCTTCATTAAATTTAATATTATAATATTCTCTATAAAACTATTTAAAATTAACATCTGCAAGAAATATTTTTATTTTTTAATGTATAATTTTTTAGAAATAACTAGGTTAAAGTGGGACTCGAAAAATTAAATAGTATTAAGATTACCTCTATTTATTAGTTATATGCATACTATAATAATTAAATGACTATTTTATTACTAATTTACTAATTTAGATTTTTTCCAGAAATTTTTGTTAATATTTTTTAAATAATTAAAAAATATGCAGTAAGAAACAGCTTTAATGCAAATCAATCAAGGTTTCTATTATTATTTATATTTTTATCAAAAAATACTAAAAGTTCTAAAGTTATGACTCACTTTAGAGTTTAAAATAAACTCTTAAAGGAATTCTAATAAGTTGAAGAATATTTCTATTTTAAGATAATGCGTGTTACCTATGTAATTTAGTAATTATCAATTTACAAAAGTGTTAGTATGACTTATTATTTTGTAGTTTTTTAATTAGGTTTGATATAGACTTGATTTATTTAGAAGGTTTCTGCAAAATTAAATTTTAACTTAATTTAATAAGCAAGTAATCATTACTTGTAAAAAATTAAGAATGTAAAAAAAAAAAAGGGAAAGTAAAGCAATTAATTTACAGAAAGTAAAAGGAAATTAAGAATTTTTCTCTAATTTTTGAGTAACAAGAAATTTGTAAAAATTAAATTTTAATTCAGCAAAAATAAGATGTAAAATAATCTTGTAAATAATTTAATCATTAATAATATAAGATCATAGTTAATTTCTTAAACAACTAAATAACTCATTCCTTTCTATTGATTACTAAATTAAGATTAAAAAAGAATTTTGAAGGAATTTCCTGATTATTTAATATTAATCTAATAATAGGTCAGAAACATTAAATGGTGTTATAAAACTAAATTTTGTATACATTTTTATAATTAAAAAAGTTTAAATAAATTAAATAAAATTAGATTTTCAAATACTTCTTTAAAAAAAATGACAGACACATAAACTAATATAAATTAAATCTCTCCTATCTAAATGTAAGAGAAAGGAAGTGGTCCCGTTGACATAAGTTTTAAAAACATCAAATATTCTGTACAAGTAGGAAAAACTTAAAGAGATATTCTTAAAGATTTATCTGGATTTTGTTAGAGTGGTACTGTAACTGCAATCTTGGGAGCCAGTGGTGGTGGTAAAACTTCTCTACTTAATGTTTTATCAGGTAAAATAGTGAATGGAGGAAAAGTTACCTTAACAGGATAAATTATGGCCAACGGACATGAATTCAGCAATGAATAGTTCAATAGATTTAGTGCATATGTCATGCAGGATGATATCTTAGTTAGTTGTCTAACAGTAAGAGAATGCATTTAATTTGCTGCTGACTTAAAATTATCTGGCACAGATGAATACAAGCTAGAAAAAGTGAATGAAATGATAAGCTTATTGAAACTCACAAAATGTTAGGTATTTAATTAAGCACATTACTTCATTTTTCTTTTTTATATTAAATATGCTAAATTCTATTTAGAAAATTCTGCAAATTTAAAGAGGTTATATTTATTTATTAGTGTTTATACACTTATAAATTTTTCCTATTAAATTAATTTGAGGCAAATAGATTTTAACAGTTTTAATTTTAATTAAGAAATATTTTGGAAACAATTTACATTTTACTTGAGAAGATAAATTTATTTATTTATTAATTAATTTTATTTATTTATTTAGAATGCTCTTATTGGTAGCAAGCTAATCAAAGGTGTTTCAGGAGGTGAAAGAAAAAGAGCTAATATTGGATGCGAATTAATTACTGATCCTTCAGTTATTTTCTTAGACGAACCTACAAGTGGTTTGGATTCTTTCACAGCTTACATTGTAATTAGTATTTTAAAGGATTTTGCTAAGTTAAAACAAAAAACTGTCATTATGAGTATTCATTCACCTAATACTGATATTTGGAATCTTTTTGATAATATAAATTTGATGGTTTAGGGTAAATTCATTTACTAAGGACCAAGAGAGTAAATTATTTCTCACTTTTCATAGATTGGTTTCTAATGTCCCAAATACATTTGCCCTGGAGATTATTTAATGTAATACATGACTCATTCTGAGAGAAATGATGCACTATTACCCTCTTTTTTGGAAGGATACGAGATGTATCTTAAGGATGATATTAACAATACTATCGATAAAAACTTATTAAAAGACGACATACCTTTAAAATCAACAACAACTAGTTTCTTGTTCTAAGTTAGCAAAATAGCAAAAAGAACATTCATATCTACTAAACGTGATCCAATGTTACTCAAATCTCGTGTCATATAAACTATAATTATCTCCTTATTTATTGGTTTAGTATATCTAAATTAAAATAAAATCACTTAAGACAGTCCTATCCGTGATGTTTAAGACAGAATTAGTTTGCTTTTCTTATGCACTCTTAATATGTTCTTGAAATCTATGAGTGGTGTTTTGGTTACTTTCCCTAGTGAACGTGAAGTCTTCTTAAAGGAATGCAATTCTAAATATTATACAGCTCATGCCTATATTGTAGGTCGTCTTTTACTTGAATTTATCCAAATTACTATTTATCCTATTATCAATACGGTAATTATTTATTTTATGACTGGATTAAACTAGTAAGAAGCTTCTCTTTTCTTCTATTTCTTATTGGTTTCAATAGCTCTAAGTTATTGTGGAAATGCATTAGGTTTGTTATGTGGTAATCTCTTTACTGATCCTCGTACAGCTGTTGCAGTACAACCACTTCTCTCAATTCCTTTTTATCTTTTCTGCGGGTTTTACAAAAATAGATAAGATTTTGCTTCTTGGATTGGGTGGATTCAATATTTATCCCCACTCACATACTCCACTGAAGGTGTTGTAACAAATGAATTTTACGGAATTACTGGTCCTATTGACCCTGTATAATAAAGTAACTATAATTTAGGTAAATGGAATTGCTTGGGATATATAGCTTTGCTTTTCGTTGGTTACCAAACTTTAGCATTCATAATCTTTTACAATAAAAGAAAAGTTTTATAATGAGTAATTAAATTATAAATTGTAAATCGAAAAAAAGTAAATAAAATTAAAAATAATACTTTATATTAAATTATCTAATTAATCTTATCTCTTTAATGTAATTTCAAACAAATATTTTATATCATTTGTTAATTTCCTTTAAACTAAATTTTAAACTTTCACATAATTTAAAAATAAATAAATAAATAAATAAATAAATAAATAAATAAATAAATCAATCAATCAATCAATCAATCAATCAATTTATTCTACAAAATTCTCAGAAATCTGGCTAAAACATTAAATAAAAATTAATAAATAAATATATATATTAATAATAAAAATTATTATGAATTATTTCAATATAAATTAAATTCAATATTCATGTATCTCTAAATGTTTCCTAAAACGCAAACTAAATTAGAAAACTGCTTATTTTTTGATAGCTTCTTGTAAAAATCTTTTAGTTCCTAATATTTAAAAAATTTATATAAATTATAATGTACTTATTCGATTTGATTTGTGATAACAAAAAAAATTTTATATCTGAAATTACTTATTTTTAAAATGAAAGATGTTGTAAAACTAACTATTCGTTGTTATATTCTTATTTAAGTTTATCTAATTCTTAATTAATTTGCTAGAATATTGCCTTAGACTATTATTCTTCTGTGTAAGTTGCATACTTTAAGTTTTTAATTCTTTAGAAAGATAAAATATCTCCTTAAGTGAAATTAATTATATTGAATGAGAGGATGCATCTTCTTTTGACGTCTATTGAATTTCTAGTTAAAATTCAAAAAATTAATTAAATATATTAGAAATAAATTTGATTTTACTCTCTAGATTCTCTACTAGATAGATTAAATATTTCGTTCTATATAGGCTATTCATTACTTGGATTTTTATTTAGTATGGTTGCTTAAGATTATTGAAACTCTTTTTTTATTTAACATTATTTTTAGGTATTAAATTATGAAAGTTTATCTTTATTTAAAATAGAATGTTGAACAGAATCCATATGGCTTATTTACTACAACGAAGGCAAATTAGAATTTAAATTTTGATTAACTTACGGTGGTATATAACTTTTTTGTATTTATTTAATTTAGGTTTTAATAGCAAATTTAGTCATATCTAAAAACCCTGTTTTACTTTATTTTTTTTATTTACCTTATCCTAAAATTTTTTAGCCAATACTTACTCTTCTTTCCTTTTTACTTATTCTTTTTTTAGTATTTTTTACAAATTATTTTCCTTGTAATTTAACTTGTAAATCGTTTTTTTATTAAATTTTAGCTAATTTATTTTTAAATTTTTTGTAAATATCTTTTAATTTAAAAAACATCTTTTTATTGAAAATATGATTCTCAGATTATAAATGTTCTTGTAATTTGTTGTAAATAATTTTCTTTTGAATTATTATCCTTAATCTTTTTAATCTCTAATAAGTTAATTGCATTTTATCTATAGCAATTTAATATTTTTTTATCAAGGGTTGTAGCATTTTTTAAGTTTTCAGTAAAAAATGCGATAATATTTTTTTAGCAATGAAAATAATGAAAGCGAGATTAATAATTGCAACTAATATGTATATTATGATTTAAGAGGCTTTTGATTAATGATAATTATTTAATATTATACCCAGTGATATTGTTAAACAGCACACAATAGATGATATAAAATCAGTTTTATTTAGATCTGGTATTAAATAAGGTTATTCTATTTTAAAAAAATAAATTTAAATGAGAGTTAATTTTAAAAATAATTACAATTTAATGAGAAGCACATCTACATAAAAACAATTGCAAGAATAATGCAACCTTTTACTATAACTCTCTATTCATAAATATTAAGCACAAGTATGATCAATATTTTCTAAAACGTTTTGACTATCTCCCACCAAAAGCAATTCTCAGAGTATTCATTATATAAAAATCCAAAGGAAAATTTCATACTGATAGTATGTAAACTTCTTCTTTTAATAACCAAAATCAAAAATTGCAATAAAGGTATAACGACTGCCCATAATCCAAGCAGAGGCCAAAGTAGCATTACTTGTTTTTTTTAATGATTCGAATCACACTCGATAGATGTAAAAAGCTTCACATAATAATCTTCTCCAACTTAAATACAAGAAATCTAATTAAAATTTAATAAAAATAAATTAAATTTTCTCTCTACATTTAATCTTATTTGTATGTTATTTTTTATGATATTTTATAAAAAAACATTTTTTATTTAAGATTAAAAATTTAAAAATTAATATTTATCTTTTTACTGTTTTCATAATTTATTATTATTTTCATAAAAAATTTAATTTTTAAATTAAATTTAATAAGTAAAATTTAATAATCATAACGACTTACTGTTCCAATAATAAGATTGACCATAGAAGGTAGATTAGCATACAGGCAGTAATTAATAGCACAAACAATAATAGATAGATTCATTTTTGTTTTCTAAATGCAACTTTGAATCTATAAGCATATAAAAAGGCAAATAATAAAGAAAACTATCTATGCATGAGAAACAAAAAGCCTATAGTAAATAAGATCCACGCTCATAAAATGCTAAATCAATAAACAATCTTAAGCATATAGAACATTTTCTAAAGGATTTCCTACTGTTTTATATAAGAAGTTGATTTAACTAGGAATATCTATCCTGAATGTACTCAGACATGAAATAATCTAGAAATAATTTATTAGTATCTTTATATATAGATTTGATTTGTTTCTCTCTTCAAATGAAGATCCGAAATAGAATAATTTCATTTTCATCAGGTATTCAGCATAAATCTTCAACTTAATGTAGTTTATAGATGAAAATACCACTATAGCTATTAAAGCGATTTATCCTGCATTACTCAATATGACAAATACCCAATTATAGGTTACTTGAGTGCAACTTGTATAAATTTAAAATTCACATAAATAAATTAGGTTAATATTCAAGTAAATAAAATTTTATTAAATAAATTTACTCAGCACAACTGTAAGTATTTACTCTCTAGTAAGGTTTTATCCAGTACTGAGCTTTCAAATCACAATCTTCACAAAAAGCTCCTATATGACCTATATTTACGTTATTATTATAAAAAATTTATTGTATTTTTAATAATTTTACCTTCAGCGCAAGCATTATTTTACCAAGAAAAAGTTTTTTTAAGTGAATCTAAATTCTAATCTGTAACATTTAAATCACCTAGACAATTCTCTATTTTATTTCTACATTCACTTATATCACTTGATTGGTTATTTTTTCTCCAATAACCTTAAGGTATCAAAATGATGTTTTTATAGCAATAAGCGTCACTTATTGGGCATTTATGGCAAGTCTATGATTAATATTCTAGCGAGTATGTCTTTAAGTAGCAAGTTTAGCAAATATCATATTTTCCATCTTGCTTTTAGACTTTGGTACCTGGCAAACATTATTCTGAAATTTAAAATGAAAGAGGAAAATAGTAATTATCATTCATACCTATTAATTTTTGAGTTTTTACTTCATAAATCGGTAATTTTATTTTTGAACAAGTTAAATTAACATGAATTAAAGACCCAAATGTTCCAAAAATTTACAATTTTTTTGTTAAATTAAATATTCCTTGATTAAATTCAATTTTCAAAGGCTAAATTAACACATTTTATGAATTTGAAGTTGTAGAAATTTCTAAAAAAACCTGCTCTAATTCTTCTTTCTCATCAGAAATTTTAGTGAAATATTTGAATTGTTCGTTTCTTCTTCCAAGTAAATAAATCACTAACTCATCCTAAAATTAAAAAAAAAATAACAATTAAAAATATAATTAAAGGAAAATAAATAATATTTAACTTAAATATATCCACTTTCTAAAATAATTTTAGAATTTTTTTGGAGTTATTCACCTTTATACATAACTTACATTTTCCATGGACCCACTTCTATATCTGGTCCATATTAATTTGCTATATTTCTATAGATTGTTGTATATTAGTTCATATTAGGATACCTTATATTAGAGTGGAAAGCCCCACTAACTTTTTTTGCTTGATTATACAATATTAATGTTGATAGTATCTCAACATTGTAAAGAATTTTATTATTGCTACTCTCTTGATCTTTTTATTCTTATTTGTTCTCTAAAATACTATTTTATATTTAATCGAACTCTCCGTCATCATTAAATATAGCACCTCCATACCCTTCTGCTAAATTATTTGTAAGTGTGCTATTTTGAATTTTTATATAAGTATTTTTGGCATATATACTTCCTCCATTAAAAGCTGAATTATTTTAAAATTAGCAATTGTCTATAAGTATTTATTATATTTCAGAATTTTCAATAACTTTATATTCTTCTAAATACCTTGCCTTGCGAAGATTCACAAAATCGCTAACTGAATATAAATTATTTTAAAAAGCTATAGATAATTCTAAATTTTTCATCTTGTATGTTTTTATACTTTGTACTATTTATTTTTCAAATAAAAGTCTTTATTTTGTTTAAAACTACTACATAAGCTTCTATTAAGAGTATTAAATATTAATTGCTCCTCCATTCTTTCCTTAATTATTAAAAAATTGATTTTTAGTAAGAGTGGCCACCTAAGACGTCAAAAATAAAGGCCCTAAAAAACAATCAGGACAAACCATTTTTTAAAATATTGATTGATTTATTTAGATTATATTGATTGCATCAAGAATAACAAGGGAGTTCTTTACTTATTAATAATACTTAGCATCAGAAATAATATTCAAATAATAGTCTTACTTTTTTAACAAAGTCTCAGTCATTTCAGAATTTTTCTCATTTTAAAGACTTTTTAGATAGTACTCTTTTAACCTTTAAATGTTTAAAAACTTTGTTTGTTAGATAAAAATTTAATTAGCTTGAACAACTTCAATAAAAGTCTAGAAAACAACTATGTCTTAGAAAACACACTCCACAGCGAAAAAAGAAGTGAAAAATTAAAACTAAACTAATGGTTAATACAGAACTTAGTTGATGAAGATATTTTAATCTATAGATTATTAAGGTGAACTTGTAACAGATACCTCTTTGAATTCTACACTCTTTAAGTTCCTAAAAGAAATTTATGATAATTCATTTAATTTTATGTTATTAAGATTATTAATAATTTTTTGAACTGTTTTTGCAAATATGCTTAAATCATAAAATATTTGCACTTGATCTAAAATTAAGAAGCCTTTAGATCCTGTTGCAGAATCTATGTTAATTATTCCTCCATTAATAGCAAAATTGTTAGATAATTAGGATTAATTTATTAATACTGCTACTTTTCTACGAGAGTAACTCATACTTAAGAATCCACCATTTTAATTTGAAAGGTTGTTATCTGCATAAACTTGGTTTAATTAAATGTCAAGTTAATTCTAATTTCCAGATTCAATAAATATTGCTCCTCCTTCACTATATTTATTTTCTAGTTGAGCAATATTATTTTTAAATTATGAGTCATTTAGTCTTAAAACAGCATCATATCTTGGTTACCAATAGATTGCTCCTCCTTTTTAAGAAAAACATTAAGTAAAGCTACATTTTGAAATTTTTAGTAACTATGATTAGCAATAAAAAGCTCCTCCTTAAATTTCAGCCAAGAAATTAGACATATCTATTTATTAGAAATTAGAATTTACAAAAGAACAGTCTTCTATATAAACTTCATTTGCTATGATTATAAATTAGCTATATCCTTATAAAGCATTGTTATTATTAGCGGTAACATCTTTTAGAGTTACTTTTGATTGTTCTGAATTTATAAGAATACCATTGGAAGAATACTTAAAAATCTATTAAATATAAAAATTTGCATTAATTTAATAAATAAATTAATAATATAATTCTTTTAAAAATCTATCTTTGAATAAATTTTTTTTTAATTTTAAATTAAATTTAACTAAAAATTTTAATTTTTTCAGATATAAATTAATTTTGGGGGTTTATTTATATTTAATTGATGATAAAATAATCAATTTTAAAAATTAGGGAGTTCTAAAAATTTATAAATAATAAATTGTCTTACTTTTTTAAGAGATGATAAATTGTTATTTTCCAATTTTGAAGATCTGATGATTACATTAAGGAAAGAGTGAGATGTGATAGAAATTAAATTAACCTCTTCAGATTAATCAAAAATAGATAATTAATTGTCTTGTGCTTAAAAATTTTAAATATTTACACTTACTAAATTTTCATTATTTGTAATTATTTTTATTAAACAAGCTTAAATTAGTAGCTTTCTCATGGAAATATTTCTTAAAAGAATATATTAATTCACATTCTCTACTAAAATTTATGGATATCTCATATTGAGACTTTAGTCACCTTACTATTTAATATCTAAGGTATTGATATTTACAATATTGATATCATTTATAAGCAGAAACTTAGAATTTTCATTATTACAAATTACCATTCTATCAACATACAACTAATAGATTCTTTTTATTGAAAACATATTTTAAAATTGGTTTTGTTGCAAAGTATTATCACAACTTAAGTTGATTCCTCTTAAATTCACTTTACCAATTTTTTTTGTCTACCCAGTAAGCTCTAAAATCAAAGAACCATCTCTACTCATTAAATTATTTTATAAGTAAATATCTAATAACTAAATTAATATTTTGTCTGAATTAGCTAGTGTGTTATCTTAATCATAAAATTCATCAATTATAGGTTCCCATTATTTATCAAACACTTCATATTCTGGATCATACATTATTTTGCTTTGTTTTTAAGGCAAATAAGTGAATATATTTTAGTTATTTAATGTGTTTTTTGTCAAATATAATGTTTGAACCCAAATTTTATTAGCTTAAAAGATACCAAGCTTGATATCTGTACTAGTGATGTTATTTTCTTAAAATTATATGTTTCTTTTTTCATTCCTAATGAATGTTTAAATCACATAAAAACAAAACTAAGATTCTAAGAGATTTTTTAATATCATGATATCACTCCAAATAGAAATAACAGCAATATTTATTTTTTAATCTAAAATGAAAAATATACTATTTTAGCCTAGATAATTGTTAAAAAAAAGGCTATCCTTAAAGGTTAAAAATATTTTTTATGAAGAGAATCTCATAAAGCTCGAACCCTTAAAAGTATTCTGTTAATAATAAAAAAATAAATCAATTTTTAATATTAAATTTCAAAAAAATTATTACATTTTGTATGCACAAATTATCTAAAGTAACATTCAAATTGTCAGTTTCATCAAATCTTTATAAGTCTATTTAATTTTTCATCTCATAATATGACTTTTAATACATTTTGATCAGTTCAAAGTTTTGATATGTAAAGTTAGTAAAATTAGTATTTTAGATTGTCAATTATTATTATAAATTAAAAATTTGAAGATCAAATAGATTTTAGTAGAAAATATTAGGGCCTGAAGGGTTAGAGAATGTAGTGTTGACTATTTATACACTTCTGATGTATGGTGTATCAAATATAAATCCTGTAGGTTTGAAGTCTTCAAGCAGAAGTTTCCAATCTATTCTCTAAATGTTAATATCTGTAAAGCCAACAAATTTAATTTATCTTCCAAGCAAAATTTTTCTTCTCTGATCAGTTTTATCAGGATTTGCTGGATCAAATGTTTGAAGAGTTAAGACAAATTCTTTGAGCGTGAATACTTTTTGCATTAAATTGCTTTCTATAATGATATTTTAAGAAATTTAGCACTCACTACTACTAGGAATAAAATTCAGCTTCACATCTATTTTTTGTAATCCTATTTCATTGTAGATAACGACTGCTCTTAAAAAATCAACTTCATTTACAATTACTTTATCCCAATTAATTTCATCAGCTCTTTGCAAATTATAAGGACTACTCATTAAACCTTATCCAATAGCACCTTCTTTTGAGCCACAAGCAACATAAACTTCTATCTTTTTTTCATAGTAGCAGCCAACATCACCTTTTTTGCATAATAAACATTTTTTATTTTTTTAGTCATATCTCCAATGATATTCATCACTTATTTTAATGCCCTAAATATTTTAATTACATCCTAAGCACTTAGCGCTATATAAGCTTAATGGATTATTAGTGAGTTTATAGTATTAGCATCCCTTACATCTAAATTTATTTAAAATTATTTTAAAAATTGAAAATTTATTATTGATTTCAAGATTCAAATTGATAAGAAATCTAGATGTTGAATTCAAATAAATTTTAAGTTTTCTTTTACAATAAAGATTTTAATAAATAAATAAATATTTTACGAAAGAGGGCAAATATAGCAGTCATTATGTTCTTCGTTGTAATTGATCATTTAATCAATATTCTTTATAATTTATTGAAAGTAAAAATCTGTAATGTAACCTAAGATAGAGCTTATTCTTTTCATGATACTAACTTTGTTGCAACTAAGACATTTGCTTTGCTTTTTATATTGAAAACAATCTAAGCAAAATTCACCACATTAAATGCTAACACATTTCTTTTTATTATAATCAAAATAATAGCTATCTGTACAGGAAGTGCATATCATTCCTATATCGTTACCTTATAACTAATTTAGCCTTTATAAAAGAGAATTTTATGGTCTCATAATAGTTAGTTACCTTGTGAGGTTTACAATATAGTCACCCTCAAAACAAGATTAACATCCCTCAGGACAATCTTAGCATCCCCCTTAAGTAGGAATTTAATTATTTTCACATACTGTACACTAAAATAAGGTATCACTTTGGCTGTTGTAATTATAGCATTTTGAGCACCCATATACTTATGTTTTACAAAAAGTATTACATTTATATGTGTTAAAATTAAAGCTATAGTTTTAAAGACATTCTTAACAAGTAATGATATCATAAATTGGTTTAATGGCTAAGGTACTTGTATTATCAGTAGGGTAAACTATATACAGTAATGGTACTTTGCAATAACTAAAATAACTGTCAAGATCATCTTTTATAAATTAATCTAACTTAGTACAAAGAGTAGCATTTTATCCTTCCTAAAATGTTATTATAGAAGTTTATTAATTACACACAAGACAGCCCTAGGCATAGGTGTAACTTGGATTTGTGTAAAACCATTAATTAGTAGTAAATGGTCTCATTTCATAAATAACATTTTATTTTGTTAGAGGTGTATTTGATTCAAAAAATATTTCATCCAAGCAATCTTCATATAGCTTTTTCACACAACTTATTTCTAAAATAAATTTAATTAAATTCAATTTTATTTCGCCAATTAAAAAAAGATATTTACAATCAATATTGAAAATGAACCCATCTATACATTATACACATTTCTTGATCTTCAAAAATCCTGCTCCAGAATAAAGAGCTTAATTAAGATCAAACAAATTTGTAAGATTATAGTTTTGATTTCCTATTGTAATAATTGAAGATTTTATTAACTAAATATTTAATTTAAAAAAATATTCTATCTACCCCAACTGCAAATATTGCAATTATCACCACATAATTCACAACCACTAAAATCTAATTTTAAAACTAATCTTTTGTTATCTTCACACTAATCACACAAGAGTCTATACTGTTCTTCAGATAGCTTAGAGATATCTAAAGACTTTAAAGTAATTTAATCTACTGACCAATTTATTGTCTGTAAATTATAAAGTCCTCCATAAAAACAGGTTAGGCATTAGTCAGGGCACTTTTAGCATTAATTAATTTTGAAATCTAAAGTGAATCCATCTTAACATTTTAAGCAAATAGATTATGAGCCTTTTACTTGACATGTTATACATCCTGGTAAACCTTTTGTTTATCATTAAAAATAAAATTAAAAATATCTCTTTTGATAATTTTTTACACTTATTAGAAATTAATTATTTATCATTTTAAAGTGCTTATAATGTATTTTAGTCATTATTTAATTAAAGGATAACAGTTTCTTCGAATATTTTGGCAGACCTTATTATACCTTCTTAATACTTAACTATAAAATGGTAGCAATAAAAGTAATCTTATTTGTACACAAATTGTCTTCCAGGCCTAAAAATAAATAATAAAAATATTTATTTTAAAAATGTAGAGGAAATAATTTTAAAATTTACGGATACAACGAATTTATGTCGCATTAAATTTAGATTTATTATTTTTAATTAGTTTTAAAATTTAATTCATAAGTTTCTTACTAGCTATTCAAAATATTAACAAGGACACAGTACTAGATTTTAAGATCGTTATTCCTATAAAGTATGTATTCATCTTAGCATTAAGTGCACCATTTACTATTTACACATAAATAGCAGCTAAAATAAAAAACATTAATAAATAAATTAATTTAAATTAAATTAAATAAAATTACCCCTAAGGACATCCATTAATAGGGATATAATTAATGCTTAAACTAAAAATAGTTAAACTGCTATCTTTATCATGATTTAAAATTTCATTTTATTCCTTTAAGCCATAACATTTATTATCGCCTGGCTAATTGTAAAAACGAGGACATGACTGACAAACGGATTTATCCTCTAACATATTTATGCACCTTCCTGAAGGATGAGTACATTATATTTTAGGATCGTTATTATAGTTATCTAGATCGTATAATATACAAGGGACATCAACATTTTTAAATTTTAAACATTGGTTTGATTTTAATTTAAACTGGTTAGTGTAAATACAAGCCCCTATATTAATATTTGACAATTAATGAATTTTTTATTAATATTTTATGCTTACTTTATCTTAAATCAAGACACGTGCCTTCAGGACAAGCTCTACAATTTCTTGAATCAAAATTTTAACAAGTTCCTTTAATTACAAAAAAAGCTTAAAAAATATTTTTTATGATTATATTACCATCAAAAGCCATACAAGTACTTGAACCCAAAATGTTAAAATTTAGACATGGTTATGTGATATTTCCAACCTGTAAACATTGACCTTTCTTGCACATTTTACATTTTATCGCATCAGCAATTGTTAAGCAATTTTATTTTTCATCTGTACATATTATATCATCAACCATTGGTACACATTATTTTTTTCCATTTGGGCCTACTTTAAGACAATACTCACCTTCAATGCAATATTACTTAAATTTAAAATTATTAACTAGGATTATTACTATCTAAAATAAATATTACTGCATCTTAATCAGATGTTCCTAGATAAATACATGAGCCAGTTTATTTTTCAACTCCTAAAAAATAAAATAAAATTATTAATTATAAAATTAAAAAAAATAATTACCAATAATTTTATTATCAATGCTGATTTTTTCACAGAAATAAGTGTTTTTTTAATTTCCTTTTTTTGGATCTTGCTTATTTTTACTACCACCATTTTGCTTCTTGGAAGATAGAATTCTATTACTTTTTAAAGTTTCAGATTCTTTATTAACGAATTATAGTATTCTAAAGCCAAATGAATCAAAATCAGACTCGTCTGGTGGTGTATCATCTTCTGAATTTGAATTATCGCTCTCTTGATTCGGATTTTTTGTGTTATTTGACAGACAATGCCTAATTTAAATAAAATGATCAAAATAAAATAAAGAATAATTTATGAATGTAAATTTTACGTATTTGCACATAGAACTGCTTCTTTTTTCATATCCCTTTCTTCTAAGCACTAGGTGTCCAAACTTTTTCCAACAAAAAATACATCAAAAGGCTAGCAAGTCGATTCTTTATTTAAACAATAAGTATTATCACAGTAAATAGACTTTAAAGGATCTTAATATAACTAGCAATTTCCACCATCAAATGCCCTCCCTATGAAGTTAAGGGAGCTTAATCCAGGTTAACTTATATTATTACCTGAAGCATCCTAAAATGTGTATTACTTAAAATACATACATTTAGGCAATGAAGATGTAGAGTCCTGATAAAGACAAGACTAATTTGTAAAATCAGAAACACACCTCATAGATGACATGTTTTATTTATCTATTTACAAAATAATTTATTAAATTTTTATAATTAAAATCTAAAATTAAAACCTATGAATTATGAATCATATGAACTACATGTTTAATCTTACAGTTTTACCTATCTACTTTTATCTTTATTATCTAACTAAGCACATAACCAAAAGATATTCGATCCCTTACTTTTAGTTTAAATACAGTAATCCCCAAAACATTCAATTACTCTTTAAGGACTTGATGGATCATAAGAGTTTAAACAAATATTTGTAAATATTTTACCAAAATATTAATTATTCATTTTCACACATTTAGTCTAACTGTAGTAAGAATAATACTTTCTTTAAGTTTAATCAGAGTAGAAATCATATTATCTAGAGGTTAGTTTAGGAATACAATATCCTGTAGCACATGCTATTGCCCACTCTTTGTCATCGCTTCCGCAATATCTAAAAAAGCCATAACTTGAAATTGTATTTTGCTATTTTTTAGAATCTAGTTCTAATGAAATCTTTACACACTAAGATAAATATGATTTATTTAATATCTTGCAATATCCAAAAGCACATCTATTTATTTTATTTAAAATAAAAAAAATGTTAATTTAAACTAAAATAATAATTAAACTATTATTTTTTTATTTACGTAAGATATTTATCACTGTCATATGTTATACAGTTTCCATTAATATCAGCTCCTTTAATTTTATCTCCAAACTAATTTTCATCTAAGTTTACACATAAAAACTAACCTTAGTATATGGTTCGAGTTAAGTCTTAATACTTGCAATAATTTGTTTTATAATCAATTTCTGAATCTTAATAACAATATTTGATTTTTTAGTAGTACTTATCTTTATAAACACATTAATTGTCTTCTGTTTTACCCTTATTGAATTTTTTAAATATCACCAAAAAAATTCTAAATAAATAAAAATTACAATAGGACCATTATCCTTACTAGTGATAGATAAGCAATAACTGGTTGATGATTATTGATCAATACATACATCATTATTAGTATCAGCAAAGCAAGATAAAAATTCTACCTATAACTGCTCATTAAATTTTAGGCATTATGTGCTAGTAGCCTAACCAATGTATTTGTTCTTATTTTACATCAAAATATTTTCTTTATATTATATTACATTTTAATCCTAATAGTCAAAATATTATTCCTCCTAAAGTTAATTTAAATCAACGCATTTTTTTTATTCACTTTTATCAAGACATAGCTATTTCTAGCATCCTTTTATACAACAGTAGGAAATATCATTAGCTTTATCTTTGAAATTTGATTGATCGACACATATTTAATCACTTGTTCTCATCTAATAATTATTACGTTTACCTATCATGTGAGCAAATAGTTGATTTGTTTAGAAAGTATGTTTCTCATAGATAAAACATGCTGATGGATAAAGTTTTATATCACCATTTAAAAATGACTATTTTAATTCTAAAAATGATTAATTATAAAATTACAGTTATTAAAAAATTACCATCATATTTTCCATTTTATTTAAGAACTTCATCTCCTGTTTTAAAGCATGTTCCTTTTTTTTGACCTGCAACTATATCATTTTTCCACATAATATCTTCAATCAAATCAATACATATACCATTTAAAATGCAATAACTAAAATTAACTTCGCATTAGCATGGATCTTATTAATTTGGTTAATTTGGTAAACTTGGTTAAGGAGGAGGAGCATCTTTACATTTACAGCAATCCTAAGCCTAAGTCTAAGCTTAAGCAAACTTATCAAACTCTAAAATTAAATATAAGAAAATAAATATTTTTGCATACATTTTATTATTCCTTCAAATTATTACTATTAAACAGAATTTTTGCTAATTATTATTACATAAATTTTTTTCAAATAAACTATGTAAAAGGAATGTAATTAAAATAAATATTCCCTTATCAATTGCTTAAAAATTATTTGTTTTCTACAAAATCTAAAAACTTTTTATAAATATTATGCATTTTTTAATTTTTTAGAGTACTATGTTGTTAACTAGATAAGCGAATTCTTTGTCTATAAATAAATAATCTAAAAATATATGATTGCTTATTAGTATAATAATTTAAGTAAATTAAGATATTAAATATTTGTAATTATAATTATATTCTTGTATAAATTTTAAGGCGTATTAATTTAAATTAGTATGCAGATTTTAATAGATAAACTTATCCTAATGACATCACATTAAACAATAAATTTATTTATGATGAGAAATTCTTTTAGAACCAAAAAAATAATGTATTTATTTTATATTAGAAATATTTTCATACATTTTATGCTTCATCAAATAATTAATGTAAATCTTCCTACTTTCTCACACAATTAGATTTTCACTTATAAACATTTTTTTGACTAATCACCCACTAATGATGAATTAAATTTGGGGTGAAGGTAGATAAAAAATAGAAAATTTACAATATTCATAGATTAAATTTGAATTTTCAATTATCTTTAAAGATATTTTTATAAATTAAAAATTTAATTTAAAATAAAATAAAATAAATTTATTCAAGCAAAATTAAAACCTTGCTTATAATTATAAAATAAATTTATTTAAATAATACTTAAAAGCATGTTAGTGAACAAATAAATAATTTAATTAATAAAAGTAAGAATACAAATATATAAAATAATAAAGGATTATTAAATATTAGTAATTTATTTTCAATATAAATTAAATTGAATTTTCATGTATTGCTGTATATGCTCCAAAGTACAAACCAAGTAAGTGTACTACTTAATTTTGTAAAGGCTGTCGAAAAAGTTTTTTAAGATCTATTTTTTAATTAAAAAACAGAATTTTTAAATTAATTTTTTTTGTTTTCAAGTTCATCATTTAAATATCATTACCTAACTTTAATTAGAAAGATGCTACAAAACAATCTGTTCGTCTTTGTATTCCTGCTAAAGATCATTTAACTCTTTATTTATTTGCTTAAATAATAACTTTGCACATTATTTTTCTGTATAAGCTGTATATTTTAAATTTTTTATTCTATTGTAAGATTATATATCTTCTTGTGTGAAATTTTCTATGTTCATAGAAAGAATACATTTTCTTTTTACATTTATTGAATTCCTAATTTTAAAAATCACAAAATAAATAAATAAATATTTAATGCATTATTTTTTATTACATCATATTTTAACTTTCTGGAAGATTAGCTTATTATTCATATGAAGTTTCAATTTCTTTTTTATTGCTTTGATTTTAAGATATTGTTGTAGCTAAAGATTCTTGATATTATTTTCTAAATTTATCCTCTTTTTAATTCTAAGAGACATTATGTAAATCTACTAAAGATATTTGATATTATTTTTTACTTTTTTAATACTAAAATATGTTAGTTTAAGATTCTTGGAATTCTTTTCTAATTTAATTATCGTTTTAAATTTTAGATTATGTCACATTATCTAAATCTACAATAGAAATTTAAGGATGATTTTAAGTATCTAATGAAGGAGCTAAATAATTTTTTTGTTGAGTTTTAATCATAAATCTACTCATATCTAAAAAACTTTTTTTAATTTGTTTTTTTTGCTTAACTTAATTTTTAAATACTATATCACTAGTATGAGCTTTAATTTCTACGCGATTTGTTCTTTTTTTAATTTTTTTTACTGTCTTAACACCTTGTTTAACTGATAGTTATTTTTTCAATTCGATTTTTAGAAGCAAATCTTTAAACTTTTTGTAGCCAACCTTAAGTTTAGAAACTAGTTATTAATTGAAGACAACTTTTTTAGATTAAAGATTTCTTATTTAAAAATCATGAAATTCGTTAAAAATGATTTTATTTTAAATTATTAATCTTAATTTTTTTAATCTTTTCTAAGTATTTTCGTATTCATTTTTAGCAAATTATATTTTTTTAAAACAAGGTTACAACATTCTTCTAAATTTCTACCAAAGCTGTAAACATATTTTCTTTGAAATAAATACCAAGAAAGCAAAATTTATAATAGCAACTAATATGTAAATTATGACCTAAGAAATATAAGATTAATTGTAATTATTTAATATTATACCCAGTGATATAGTTAAGCAACTCACAATAGATGATATAAAATCAGTTTTGTTTAAATCTGCGATTAAAAATGGTTATTCTATTATTAAAAAAAGTTAAAGTAGAAGTTAATGTAAAATTTAATTACAATTTAAAGAGAAACACATCTGCATGAAAACAATTGCAAGAACTATACATCCTTTCACTATGACTTTTGATTCATAAATATTAAGCACTAGAATGATTATAATTTTCTAAAATGTTTTGACTATCTCCCACCAAAAGCATCTCTTAGAGTATTCATTATATAAGAATCCAAATGAAAATTTCATACTTATAGTATGTAAACTTCTTCTTTTAGTGACTAGGATTAAAAATTGCATTAATGGTATTGTAACTGCCCATAAAAACAGCAATGGCCATAATATAATTTTTTGTTTCTTTGCATGGTTTTAATCACATTCTACTGAAGTAAAAAGCTTCACATAATAACCTCCTCCAACTTCAACACAAGAGATCTTAAAATATTACAAAAAATTATTAAAAAATATAATTTAGATTTATAAAATAAATTTATTTTCATTAAAGTAGTTCATTGGCATAATTATAAATGCAATTATTTATATTGAATTTATAATTATTTAAATAATTAAACCTTCAGCCATAAGCAAACCTTAAAAAAAACAAAATTATTATGTCAAATAAATAATCAAAAATTAAAATATTTGATGGATTACAGTTCCAATGATAAGATTAACCATAGAGGGAAGGTTGGCATAGAGGCAATAATTAAAAGCACAAATAATAATTGAACAATTCATTTTTGTTTTCTAAATGCAACTTTGAATCTTTAAGCATATAAAAAGACAGATAATAAAGAAAACTATCTATGCATGAGAAACAAACAGTCTGTAATAAATAAGATCCACGTTCATAAAATGCTTTATCAATAAGCAATCTTAAGCATATAGAACATTTTCTAAAGGGTTTCCCACAGTTTTATATAAGAAGTTTATTTAACTGGGAATATCTATCCTGAACGTACTCAGACATGAAATAATTTAGAAGTAGTTAATTAAAATCTTAATGTATAAACTTGATTTGTTTCTCTCTTCAAAGCTAGAACCAAAATAGAAAAGCTTCATTTTCATCAGGTACTCAGCATAAATTTTCAATTTAATGTAGTTTATAGATGAAAATACCACCATAGCTATTAAAGCTAATTATCCTGCATTGCTCAAAATGACAAATATCCAATTGTAAGTTACTTAAGTGCAGCTATTCATTAAATTTATAATTCATATTAATTATTATATTAATAATTGACTAAGTAAACTAAGAATAAAAAATTAATGAAAAATGAATTTACTCTGTGCAACTGTACATATTCACTCTTTGGTAAGTTTTTATCCAGTACTGAGCTTTCAAATCGCAGTCTTCACACAACGCTCCAATGTGGCCTATTTTTTATAATATTATTTTAATAGTAAGTAAATATAATATTTTATTATTTTAGATAGTTAATTATTTTGTTTTAATAATTTTTACCTTCAGCACAAGCATAGTTTTACCAAGAAATAGTTTTTTTCAAAGAATTTAGATTCTAATCAGTTTAATTTAAATCACCTAAACAATTTTATTTTTAATTTCTGCATTCAGAGATATCACCTGAACTATTATCTTTTCTCCAATAACCTTAAGGTATCAAAATGATGTCTTTATAGCAATATGCATCACTTAAAGGGCATTTATAGCAGGAATCTGACTAATATTTTAAAGAGTATGTTTTTTAATAGCATGTTTAGCATATATCATATTTTCCATCTTATTTTTAGATTCTTGTGCCTGGTAAACATTAATCTGCAATTTAAAAATATAAAGGAAAATAATACGAGTCAGTCATACTTATTAATCTTTGAGTTTTTGCATCATAAATTGGTAATTTTATTTTTGAACAAGTTAAATTGACATTAATTACAGATCCGAAAGTTCCAAAAATTTGTAGTTTTTTTGTCAAGTTAAAAATTCCTTTATTAAATTCAATCTTTATTGGTTAAATCAATACATTTTATGAAATAGAAAAATATGATATTTCTAAAAAAACTTATTCCAATTCTTCTTTCTTATCAAAGATTTTAGTGAAATTTTTGAATTATTCATTTCTCCTTCCAAGTAAATATATCACTAATTCGTCCTAATTTATTTAAGAAATAAATAAATAAATAAAAATTGTGTTTTAAAATAAAATATTTAATTTACTTATATGTATCCACTATCAATAATAATTTTAGAATTCTTTTGTAGCTACTAGCCTTTATATATTACTGACATCTTAAATGGACTCACTTCTTGATCCGACCCATATTAATTTGCAGTATTTCTGTAAATTATAGTCAACTAGTTCATATTTGGATACTTATTATTTGAATAGTAACCACCACCAACTTTTTTAGCTTTGTTATACAATATTGATGTTGAGAGTATCTCAAGATTGTAAAGTATTTTTTGGTAACTCTATTCATCGTTTAATGATGTTTCTTTTAACAAAATCGAATTCTATATTTAATCGAATTCTCCATCTTCATTAAATATAGCTCCTCCATATCCTTCAGCTACATTATTAATAAATGTAGAATTGTAAATTCTCCCATAAGTATTTTTTAAATATAGGCTTCCACCATTATATGCAGAATTATTTTAAAATATGCACCCATCAATAAGTATTTATTATGCATAATTATTTGGAATAGCTTAATATTCTTCTAATAATCTTGCTTTGTGAAGGGTGACTATTCTATTGAATTAATTAAAATTTTTATAAAAAGCATTTTGTAATTCTGAATTTCTCATGTTGTAAGTTTTTATCTTTTATACAATTTATTTTTCTAATAAAAGTCTCCTCTAACTTCCAAATATTTGTTTATATTTTTTTAGTGAAAATTAATAGTTAACAGCCCCTCCATTTCTTCCTTAATTATTGAAAAAGTTATTTTTCGTTAGAGTAGCTACCTAAGATGTTAAAAATATAGGTCCAAAATAGCAATCAGGACAAATTATATTTTAAAATGTTGATTAGTTTATTTATATTATATTTATTGCATCAAGGATAACTAGAGAGCTCTTTTTCTACTAGTAATACTGAGCATCAGAAATAACATTTAAGAAATAATCTTGCTTTTATTATTTATATTTAATAGATTCATTGCCATCGTATTTTTGAATGCTATTAATATAGTATTATTTCAGGCTCTAGATGTTTAAAAACTGTGTTTATTAAATAAAAATTGATCTTGATTATATAATCTCAATAAAAGTCTAGAAGACAACAACGTCTGAGAAAACACACTAAATAGCTAAAAAAGAATTAGAGAATTAAAACTAAACAAATGGCTAATACAAAATTTAGTTGATTAAGATATTTTAATCAATAGATTTTTAAGGTGAACTATTAACAGAAACTTCTTTGAATTCTACACTATTTAAATTTCTAAAAGAAACATAAGATAACTCATTAGTTTTTATATTATTTGCATTGTTTATAAATCCTTTAATAATATTTGCAAATATATTTAAATTAAAAAATATTTGCACTTAATCTAAAATTAAGTATCCTTTTGATCCTACTGCTGGATCTAAATAAATAATTCCACCGTTAATAGCAAAGTTATTTGAAAATTAAGATTTTTTAATTAATACTGCTACTTTTCTATGAGAGTAGCTCATACTTAAGAATCCTCCTTTTTGATTTGAAAGATTATTATCAGCATTAACTTAGTTTAGCGAAATATCAAGTTAATTTTGATTTCCAGATTGTATGTATATTGCTCCTCCTTCACTATATTTATTCTCAATCTATGCTATATTATTTTTGAATTCTGTATCATTTAAACTTAAAAGAGCATCATATCTTGGTTACCAAAATATGGCTCCCCCTTTAGCAGAAAATGAGTTAGTAAAACTACTTTTTTAAATTTTTAAGACAGTAGATTAACTATAAAATGCTCCTCCTTGAATTTCAGTCAAAATATTTGATTTTTCTTTTTATAAGAAATTAGAGTTTAAAAATGAACAACCTTCTATTTAAATCTATTTTGCTATAATAATTAATTAGCTATATCCTTATAAAGCATTGTTATTATTAAAACTAGTGTCTTACACAATGACTGTAGACTGCTCTGAGTTTATAAGTAAGCCATTTGATGAATATTTAAAAATCTAATTAAATTAAATTTTTTAAAAATAAGTATTTCATTAGAAAAAATAATTTTAAAGTAGGTAATTTTTTAATTTTAAAAATTGAAAACTTGAGTTAATTAATCTATATAAATAAGTTATCTAGTAATTTTTGAAATATATTTTTAATTTACATCCCACTTTAAATTTAAAAGTATAAAACATCTTTTAATTATTTTAAAGGATATTTATTTATTTGATTTTAATTAAATTAATCTAAATAAAATTTATTATAATAAAAATTACTTTTTTCTTAGATATTAAACTATTGTTTTCCAACTTTGAAGACCTGATAAGAATATTTAGAAAAGATTGTGAAGCGATCGAAATTAAATTAACCTCTTCTGATTAATCAAAAATAGATAACTAATTATCTTGTCCTTCAAAATTCAAAATATTTAAGTTTACTTAATTTTCTGTATTTATTGTTATCTAAATTAAGCAAGTTTAGATGAGTAGCTTTTTCATAAAAATGTTCCTTAAATAAATATATTTATTCACATTTTATATTATAATTTAAGGATATCTAATGCTCATATTTTTATCAACTTCTTACTTTATATCTAAGAATTTGATATTTACTATATTGATATCATTTAAAACCATAAATTTAGAATTTTCGTTATTACAAATTACCATTCTATCAACAAACAATTAATAAATTCTTTTTATTTAAAATATATTTTAGAATTGGTTTTACGATAAGGTATTATCGCAACTGAAGATGATTCCTCTTAAATTCACTTTGCCTATTGTATTAGATTATCCTATAAATTCTAAAAGTAATGGACCATCTCTGCTCATAGTGTTAGTTTAAAAGTAAATATCAAATAACTAAAATAATATTTTTTCTGAACCAGCTAGTTTGCTATCTTAATCATAAAATTTATCAATTATAGGCTCCCATTACTTATCAAGATCTTCATACTCTGGATCATATATCATTTTGGTTCTTTTTTAAGGCAGATAAGTGAATATGTTTTAGTTATTTATTGTATTTCTTGTCAAATATAATGTATATACCAAGAGTTTGTTAGCCTAAAAGATCCCTTATTTGATATTTGTACTAGTGATGTTATTTTCTTAAAATTGAATATTTTTTTTTTCATTTCTGATAAAAGTTTGTATAGCATAAAAACTAAATTAAGATTCTAAAACATTTTTTAATATCATAATATTACTCCAAAGAGAAATAATAGCTATATTTTCTTTGCCATCTAAAAGGAAAAATATACTATTTTATCCAAGATAGTTGTTAAGAAGAAGACTATCCTCAAATTTTAAAAATATCTTTTTTGAAGAGAAACTCATAAAGCTCGAGCTTTTAAAAGTATTCTTTTTATAAATATAGAATAATTTAATTAATATTTTTAAATAAGGATTTTCAAAATTAAATTTCAAGTTAATTTTTTACATTTTGTAAGCACAAATTATTTAAGGTGAGATTCAAGGAGTCAAATTAATCAAACCTATTTAAATCTATTTAGTTTTTCATGTCATAATATGACTTTTAATACATCTTTATCAGTTCAAAATTTTGATATGTAAAGTTAGTAAAAGTAGTGTTTTAGATTATTAATTATTTTTATAAATTAAAGATTTGAAGATCAAATAAATTTTTGTAGTAAATGTTAAGACCTGAAGGATTAGAGAAAGTAGTGTTGATAATTTATACACTTTTTATGTAGGGCGTATCAAATATAAATCCTGTAGGCTTTAAATCTTCGAGTATAAGATTCCAATCAATTCTCTAAATGTTAATATCTGTAAAGCCAACAAATTTAATTTATCTTCCAAGTAAAACCTTACTTGTTATATCAGTTTAATCAGGATTTGAAGTATTAAATGTTTGAAGTGTTAAGACAAATTCTTTGAGTGTGAATATTTTTTGCATCAAATTGCTTTCTATAATAACATTTTCATAAATTTAGCACGTAATGCTACTAGGAATGAAATTCAGACTCACATCGATTTTTTGCAATCCTATTTCATTATAAATTACGACAGCTCTCAAAAAATCAACTTCATTTACAATTACTTTATCCCAATTAATTTCACCAGCTCTTTGTAAATTATAAGGATTACTCGCCAAACCTTGTCCGATTGCACCTCCTTTCGAGCCACAAGTAACATAAACTTCTGTTTTTTTTTCATAGTAGCAACCAATATCATCTTTTTTGCATAGCAAGCATTTTTTATTTTTTTAATCAAACCTCCAGTGATAATCATCACTTATTTTAATGTCCTTAATATTTTAATTACATCCTAAACACTTAGCTGTATATAAGCTTAGTGGATTATTTGTAAGTTAGTAATACTAGCATCCATTACATCTAAAATTTAAAGTAAATAATATTTTAATTATTAACTCAATTGAAAAAAAATTTAAAATAAAATAATGTAAATTACGAAAGAGGACAAATAAAGCAGTCATTATATTCTTCATTATAATTTACCATTTAATCAATGTTATTCATAATTTTTTAAAAGTAAAAATCAGTAATGTAACCTAAAATTGAACTTATTTTTTTCTTCAATTTCTAATTATCGCATTTTAAACATCTACTTTACTTTTTATATTGATAGCAATCAAAACAATATTCACCGCACTCAACACTAACACATTTCTTTTTATTATAATCAAAATAATAACTATCGCTACAGGAAGTGCAGATCATGCTAATATCTTAACTGTTTAGTTAAGCTAACCTTTAATCTAAAGAATTTTATGGCCTCATAATGACTATTTATCTTGTAAAATTTATTAAAGAGTCACCCTCAAAGCAAGATTCGCATCCATCAGGACACTCTTGACATCCTCCTTAAGTAGGTGTAAGATCGTTTTCACATTTTGTACATTAAAATAGTGTATTATAATTATTTTTATAATTGTAACATTTCTCGCAGCCATAAATCTAGGAATTACAAACAATATTACATTTATTTGTGTTAAAATCATAACTATAATTTTAAAGACATTCATAACAAGTTATCATTTCATAACTGCTCGGCTTAATTACTGGGTTATTATTATTCTCAGGATATGTAACATACAAAATAGGTGCTTTACAATTACTATAATAGTTATTAAGATCTTTTCTTTCAAATAAATCTTGCTTTGTACAAATAGTAGCATATGCATCTTGTTAAAAAGTAAGTATAGAAGTTGTTTGATTACACATAAGACAACCTTGAGCATAGGTGTTGCTTGAGCTTGTAAAAAACCATTAATTTGTAGTAAATGGACTCATTTCATAAATAAAATTTTATTTTGTAAGAGGAATACTTGATTCAAAAAATATTTCATCCAAGCAATCTTCCTATAGCTTTTTCACACAACTTATTTCTAAAATAATTGAAGATTTAATAATTTGCTATCAATTAAAAAATATTTTTACAATCAATATTGAAAATGAACCCATCGATACATGATACACATTTCTTGATCTTCAAAAAGCTATCTCCAGAATAAAGATCTAAATTAAGATCAAACAAATTTGTAAGATTATAATTTTAATTTCCTATTGTGATAATTGAAAATTCTATTTAGTAAATATTGAATTTAAGAAAATATTTTACCCCAACTACAAATATTGCAATTATCACCACATAATTCACAACTGCTAAAGTCTTATTTTAAAACTAATCTTTTGTTAGGTTCACATTAGTCACATACAAGTCTATACTGTTCTTTGGATAGCTAAAAGATATCTAATGACTTTAAAGTAATTTAATCTATTGACCAATTTATTGTCTGTAAATTATAAAGTCCTCCATAAAAACAGGTTAGACATTAGTCAGGGCACTTTTAACATTAATTAATTTTGAAATCTAAAGTGAATCCATCTTAGCACTTTAAGCAGATTGATTATGAACCTTTTACTTAGCATGTTATACACCCTGGTTAACCTTGAATTTAATTTAATACTGATTAAATAATTTTAAAACAAAATAAATAAACTACATTAGCTCTTAATAGTATTATTTTCATTTGAAAGCTATGCTAAGCTACTTTAATCGCTACTCAATTGCAAGATAATAGTTTCTTCAAATAATTTTGCTAGTCTTATTATACCTTCTTCTTAATACATAATAACAAAATAGTAGCAATAAAAGAAATCTTATTTGTAAACAAATTCTCTTCTTGGACTATTATTAAAAATATTGTTAAAATAGAAATTTATTTTATTAAATTTTACGGGTATAATGAACTAATATCACATTAAATTCTAATCTTTTATTATTTGTTAGTTTTGAAATTTAATTCATTAATTTCCACTTATTTGTTAGTGATATTAACATAGATACAATTTTAAATTTTAAGATCATAATTCCTATAAAGTATATATTCATCTTCACATTAAGTGCACCAATTATTGTCTGTACATTTATAGCAGCTTTATTATATAATTATTTATAAAAATATTAAAAATGTTTATAAAATTAAATTATTATTTTACCCTTTTGGACATTAACTAAGATTTTTATAAATAACATCCAAACCTAAAAATGATTTATTATTATTATTACTATTACCATTTAAAATATCGTTTTGTTCTTTTAACCCATAACATTTATTATCGCCAGGTTAATTATAAAATTAAGGACATTATTGACAAACAGAGGCTTTGTCAAACATATTAATACACCTCCCATAAGGATCTGTACATTATATATCATCATCATTTTTGTAATTATTTAAATCATATGTTTAACAAGGTACATCAACATTTACAAATTTTAAACATTGATTAGGCTTAAGTTTAAATTTATTGGTTTATATACAGGCCCCTAAATAAATGTATGAAAAATAAACATTATTTTTATTTTTAATAATTAATTTACTCTGTCTTAAATCTAGACATGTTCCTTATGGACAAGCTCTACAATTTCTAGAATCTAATTTTTGGCAAGTTCCTTTTTTAATTTAAAATATTTAAATATTTTTTATAATAGTTGAATTAATTACCATCAAAACCCATGCATTTATCAGAACCTACTGTATTAAAATTAAGGCAAGGATTTTCTTAATTTGTAAGATCTAAGCACTGACCCTTTTTGCACATTTTACAGTTTTTTACATTATCCTTTTCTAAGCAATTTTATTTTTCGTCTGTACAAATTATTTTATCTGTATCCATGGATACACATTAACCTTTTCCATTTACGATTTAAAGACAATATTCTCCCATTATACAATTTTACTAAATAAAAAAAAGTATGTTATCAATAATGTTAAAATAATTTTTAATACTGCATCTTTATCATATTCATTTAAGTAAATGCATTGGCCTTTCGATTTATCTACACCTAAAAAATTTTTAAAAAATAAATATAATTTAAGATTGCTTAGGTTGGTAATATATTACCAATAATATTGTTCTATTTGCTGACTCTTTCACAGAAAAATAAATCATCTTTTTTATTATCTTTTTTATCATTATCATTTTTATTTTCTTTTTTTGAATCATTTTTATTTTTGTCTTTATTATTTTATTCTTATTTATCTTTATTACTTTTCTTTAAAATTCTATTATTTTTTGCTTCATAAGATTCATAATTTAGTTCTCCTAAATTTATTTCTAGTTGATCTCTTTAACTATTTTTTGAATATTCATCTCTATCTTCAAAAACATTTTTTTATATAGATTTGCTTGTTAAACAATGTCTAGTTTTTAAAAACTATAAATATTTATTATATTAATCTAAAGAAATTTTACGAATTTTCACATAAAACAGCTTCGCTTTTCATATCTCTTTCTTCCAAGCAGTTAGTGAACTAATCTTTTCCAACTAAAATTAAATCAAAAGCTTAACATGTTTATTGTTTATTTAAGCAATTTCTACTATCACAGTAAATAGACTTTTAAGTAGCACTAAGACGCAAGCATTTATCATTATCATATGCCCTTCCAATAAACTAAAGAGACTCTAAACTTGTTTGAGTAATATTTCCATCTTTTGTTTGAAATGTGTATTATTTGAAATACCTACATTTAGGCAAAGACGAATTTTCTTAATAAAGACACATTTGATTTTAATAATCTAATGAGCATCTTATTGAAGAAAGATTTTATTTATCTTTTTATAATAAATATTTTATATTTTTAAAATAAAAATTTAAATACAAACCTGTATATTAGGAAATATATGAGCTACAGGTGTGATCTTCAAGCTTTACTTATTTATTATCATCTTTACTATCCAGAGAAACACATTATTGCCAAGTAAAATTATCTTGCCCTTCTTAAAAAAATTATATACAATAATCTCCAAAACATTCAATTATTTTTAAATCACTCTTTGAGATTTAGCAAGAATGTTTAATAGTTTTGCCAAAGTATTAATTACTCATTTTTACACATTGAGTATCTTTATACTAAGAATTTTTTTTTTAAAATTCATCTTAATAAAATAAATTCTCTCTTTCATTTATTTATTTAAGCTTTTGAATACAATATCCTGCAGTACACCCGACTGCCCACTGTTTATCATCACCACCACAATATCTAAAAAATCCAAAACTTGAAATTGTATTTTATTGTTCTATTTAAAGCTTTACACATTAATATTACTTTTTACTAGTAGACTTTAATTTGCAGTATCCAATAGAGCACCTTTTTATTTACTTAGAATAAAAATTAAAGTATTTAAATTGATACTTACATAAACGAAATATCATTTTCAGATGTGATGCAGTTTCCATCTTTATCTTATCCTCTTATTTTGTCTCCAAATTAATTTTCATCTAAGTTTACACATATTTACTAACCTTGATCAATAGTTCTAGTTTAGTCATAATATTTGCAATAATTAGACTTATAATCAACTTCAAAATCTTGATAGCAATATTTAATTGATTTATAATAATTTCCTTTGTAAACGCAATAATTATCAGTCGTTTTACCCTTTTATTGTTTAAATAATAATTACATATAACCTATAAATAAATGAAATGAAATATAATTTTACTATTGGGCCTTTGTCATCTTTCGAAATCGATAAACAATATTTATTTTATTCATCAATACATATATTATTATTTTATTCTGAAAAACAATTCAAATATTCTTCTTAAACATTTTAGTTTCTTTTTAAACATTTTGAGGTTTTATCTACACCAATATATTTATATTTGTTTTGATTTAAAATACTTTATTTATATTGCTCTACATTCTTATCTTGATATGTTTCGATATTATATTTAACTTATTAGGTAGGATCAACGCATTTCTCTTTAGCATCTTTATCAAAGCATTATTATTGTTTACATCCTTTCATACAGCAGTAATTAATTTCATTTTATTTTTTTACAAAGTTTTCATTTCTACTAACACATTCCATTTTCTCAGTTCTCATTTCATATGATTCATGCTTTCCTATCATTTGAATGTACAGCTTATCTTAAAATAACGTATTATCTTCAAAACTAAAGCATGCCGAGGAATATATTTTTATTTGATTTTTATGATTATCTAGAAAAGCCTATTTTAATTCTAAACAAAAATTTTTATCATAGTTTATCAAATAAAAATTACCATCATAGCTTCCATACATTTTCATTATATTTTCTCCTATTTCAAAACACTTTCCCTTAAATATTCCTGCTGGTATGCTATTTGACCACATATTTTCATCACTTAAATCAATACATTGATCGTTTTTCATACAATAGCTAAAATTATGACTGCATTAACATGGTTCAGGTTTCTATTCTTCTGAAGTAGTTGAGTTTGTTTATATTTTCGGACTAGGAGGAATTCTACAATCACAGCAATCTTAACCTTTAGTTATAATAATTTTATAGAGTTATAAAATAAATATTATAATTAGAGATTTTTGATAAAACATATTTTGTTTTGTTATTTCTTTAAATTTTTTAGATGCTTTATTTTAACACTTTTTACTGATTTTATTTTTTTCTTCAATTATTTTTATAAAATTATGTGTTTTCTATTTATATAATAAGTTTTTACAAAATTAACTATGAAATCTACTAGCTTATAAATTTACTTTACACTATATTAAAGATAAAAAGTCTTAATTCAAATTATATGTAATAAATAAAATATTTTAAATTTACTATTATTAATTAATTCATAAATTTTGATAATTTTTAATACATTAACTCAAAGTAAAATAAATGATAATTTTATTCATTATAAATACTCAATAAATAATTATACCAAACCCCCTTATTGTCTTGAATTTAGTATTGTTTTAAATTAAATAAATTAATAATTAGAGTGGGAATAAAGTGGTTTTGCTTTAAGAAAATTTAAAGTATATTCATTCCTGTATCTAATATACTTACTTACATTTAATACATACTTGATAAGAAAATAGTAACAAAAAAATGTGAATAGAAACTAGAACCATTATTAATTAATCTTTAATTTGATTAATTATGAGTGAAATATAGATTTATTGTAACCCAAGAAATATTAATTAAGAAAATATATGATAAATCAATTTTAATAGCTAGCTACTGATACTCAAAATTAAAAAAATTCAAACTATTAAAAAAAAGATTGTAGTACCTATTCTAAAATAAATTAAAACTATAAGCCTATTCATTAAAAAAATAACATCTTGTGGGCTAATAATAAGATGTAAAAATAAAGATAAAAAAGATATTCAAACCATATAAATTTAATATAAAATATTTTTATTATTTTTGATATAATTTTGAAGATATTTATTCTTATTTTATTTCTTATCATGCCTATTGCTATTTATAATTATCAGCTTTTCTAATTAAAAACTTTCTGTTCTATACTCAAAGTATTTCTGCTAATCTATCAGAGAATTGGATCCTTTTATAAATTTATTACTATTTAATTCTTATGTAATTTCTTTGTTTGTAATTAAATTTTATACAATCATCAATTTTATGACTATCTTTCAATGAGATATCTTTCTTTTTTAGTTTTTTTAATCATCTAATTTTCAATATCTCCTATTCCCTAAGTTTTATAATTTTATCTTGGAGTAAGATATTTTAATTTAATTTATATGTTTTTAATTAATTATTTGGATCTACTCTATTTACATACTTAATTAGAATTTAAATGGATTCTAAATATTTCTAAGAGCCACTTTGAATTTGTGAAAAAATTTAATTTTCAATAGATTATCAAATTTAATCTTCTTGTATAAAAATATTTGAAGTATTATAAGCATTTTTTTGGCGATATACTTTCTAAATAAATAAATAAATTATATTTTAAAAATATTAAAGCTAATTATTTCCATAAGATACTTCATTTGAATGAGGTTAGCTATTTTTTTAATTATCATAATTTTCATGTTTACTTGAAATAGAAATCCCTATAAGATTTGTATTTTTATCCAAATATGATTATATTGGAAAAGCTTTTATTTTATTTAAATTAGATATAATTCTTTTATTCTACAACAAGAATTAAAGAATGAATTGGCTGCCAATTAATTTATGGAGTGATTTTAATTTTAGTATGATATATTATTTTCAGTAAATTCAAAGTTAATAGATTCATGCTTGTTTTTTAAAATTAAATATGTTTTTATATTTTTTGATATTTATTAAACAGAGATGATCTTTTATTTATAGATCATATTTTTTATAGTGTATATTTTTTTTCCTTACTTGTTTATGATTAAATATATTTTGGATAATAAAATAATCAAATAAATGTATTAATAAAACAGAAGGATTATATAAAATTAAAATTTTTTTAGAAAAATTATATTAATTATTAATTATAACTTTAGGAAATTAATAGGTAAAAATATGAAAAATTATTTTTAATAGCTATTTTTATTCAGAATTAAGAAGAATGAATTTGTGTAATTCAAAAAATTTTTAAAAAAATTGATTAAGGTAATGGTAAAAAAATAAATATATTCAAACCACACATAATTAACACATTAATTATCATTTACTGAATAATTGAGGAGATATTTTTTCTTTATTCTCTTAAATATCATACCTACTACTATTCATAATTATAAGATTTTCCTATTCAAAATTTAATTAATGTTCACTTTGTTCTATTTTTTAATTTTGAATTTCATTGCTTTTTTATTCTTAACTATCTGTTTCTATATTCAAAATATTTCTGCTAAGCTTTTAGAGATTTAACTCTTTGTTTGAATTCTATGTACCATTAAATTCTTAAGCAATTTTGCTATTTTCATCTTTAAGTCTTAGATAATTTTCACTTTTAGAGCTATCTTCCATTTTTTAATTATTTATTATTATCTAATTTTCAATATCTCCTTTATCTTATTTTTCACCTCCTTAATCTTTTTGTAAGATATTTCTATTTAATTTTTAAATATTCTATTAATTATTTGGATCTGTGTTATTAAGATGTTCAATTGGAATTTGAACAGATGCTACATCATTCTCGGAGTCATTTTAAATTTCTGATATAATTTAGTTTTGAATAGGTGAGGACATTTAATCTTCTTATATTTATCTATCAGTAGTATGAAACTGATTCTTTGGTGTGAAACTTTCAAATTAAATTATTTTTTTAAGACTTGCTAACTAATCATTTTCATTAGATCTAGCTGTCAAAGGGGATTAAATAAGTTTTTATGTACCGAAATTCTCGTCAAACCTACTTGAAATGGGTACAATTTCTAGAAGATTTCTATTTGTACCCATATCTTATATTATGGAAGTACTTTTTAGTTTATTTATTTTGGCTCTGACACTTTCATTCTACAAAAAGCTTTAAGGAATTTACTGCGCTACCAATTAAATTATGGAAGGATTTTAATTTTAGTAATGTATAAGATTTTCGCTAGGAAACTCAAAGTTTATAGATTCCTGTTTATTTATTATAATTATAAATTAAAATATTAAACAAAATTTATTAATTACAATTTCATTATCTGATTTGAGCTATTTTTCCAGTTAGAGAGGCTTTTAGACGTTATTTTTTTCATTTATCTAATTTTCACTCTATAAATTTATTTTTTTCAAAGAAACAATTTTTGCTTAGCTTCGATTTTTCATTGATGTATTTAAATCTAATTTAGATCCATTTTTCATTTACTCTCTACCCTAAATTATTAAATCAATAATATTTTCTAATGGAACCTTAATTTTTCCTGTCCATGCGTTGATAATATTTCTTTTTTTAAGTTCATTTTAAACTAATTTGACTAATTTTTAAAATTTATAAATTGTTGCTGTTTTTTTAGTATAAAAACATTTAAATGGAGAGAATTTAAAGCATAAAAACTTAAACTCGAAGTAAGTTTTTTTAACCATTGGGAAATAAGCATAAGCTAGCTTCTTAAAGCACCAAATTAAAAAGACAGTGTTAATTGTAGCTATACCAATTACAGATGAAAGCAACCAAGCATAATTAGTTTTGTTCTCATATGCAATGAATGCTAGGTAAATAGAAGTTGTAAGCACGAAAGTTGAATAAATATCTATCTTATTGTACAGCTATTCCGAATAAGGATGGACTTTAACCAAAAAAAATCCGTATAAAACTACAATAAGCAGAATTAACAAGATCTGTTAGTTTATAAATACATTTTTTTAATAAGAATAACTTAAAAAATAAATTACTTTGTTTGGGATAGAATATTCATAGATTATAAGAATAGACATAATTAATAGTTTCATATACATTTTGAGAAATTCCCAATACCAAATTTTTCTTTTTTCACTCATATCATATTCTCCAATAATAAACATGTAGTTTTTCCTTTTCAATATGGAGTCTTTTGATTTATAAACTTTGTACATCATAAATCCTGGTATTATTACAGAAATAATCAGTAGAATCGGTAGTATCAATGACAAAGACCATAAAATATGTTCATCTGTATAACATGTGTATAATACATTATATTAAATATATCTATGATCTCCTTTATTTTATTATGAATAAATAAAAAAATTAAATTATCAAAAATTTCTAAAATATAATAAAATATAATATAATATACCTATCGAACGACAACTTAAAATACTTACAGCATCTTTATACAAACTAGGCTAAAAGTACATCAAGCAATAAATCAAAGATGTGGAGATGTAAAACCTTTTTAAAAAGCTGTTGCCTCTATATTTTATCAAACCAGTTATAATGAAAACTAGTACGCATAGTATTGGTAAACACACAGAAGCAATAAATTACACATAAATTATATTTACTCCTGTGCTAAGTGAGATTTCATGGAAAAAGCATTCAAAAGAATATAATACTTAGACTGTTGGATTTGCAATTACATCTATAGGACTGTTAAAAACACTAGGAAAGCTAATCTAAAATGTTGTAACAACCATTATGATCTAAAAATAGCTAATTATGAGTTTGAGCAAAATAGATGCATTAACTTCCTCTCTTTTAATCGAGTTTTTAATAAATTAACTACTAGCTCCTTATTTTTATGCTTCTTGCTTGAGTTACTCTTTTCTTTTGATAATAAACATAATTCTTTAGAGTACTCCATCAACACTCATCTTTGCACAAACGATCTAATTAAAATGAATTTTAGTTTAATTTATTTAATAGAATTTTAATAATAATTTACGTATAAAACAACCAATCCTAAAACTTTAAAAGTATTATTGACAATATCTCCGCATTTTGAGCACTAGAAATTACCTTAACGAGAGTATCCGTTCGATATATCACAAGATTCACAGAGAGGACCTATATGGCCAGTATTACAAGTAAAATTCTAAGGACCTCCTAGACAGTTATTTTATTTATTGATACATTACAATATTTCATCTGTTTAGTCGTTCTCCCTCCAAAATCCCTCTTTCAAACTGATTACATTACCACCAAGACAATTTGTATTTGAGATACATTTTTAACATTCAAAAATAGGTTGATTCAAATTTGGATAAGAAAGAGAATACCTTTGTGTTGAAAAAATAAATTAAAAAATAAATTGAATAAATTGTTATTACTATCCTTCAGGGCATTTTGAGCATCCAAAAATATTGTAAGAATGACCATTATAAATTACTTATCCTTTTTTGTACACTTCTCCTTGTATGCAATCTCTTAGATGTATGTCAATAATATAGAAATAACTATTTTCAGGGTAGTTTGGATTATTTATAAACGGTGATGATAATTGTATGCTGATAGATGAGTTTGGAACTCCAGTAATAGATATATCAGTTAAGTTAAAGTAATCAGTAAAGGTAATTTTTTGAATACTACTAGAGATTTAGAAAGCGTTTTTATCATCTAATTTACCATAAGGTTATACTTATGCATATATTTAAGATCCTATAACTGATTCATATGAACCATCTATTACTTAATTATTTTCATCTACAAGTTCAAAAATTAAATCAGGAAGTTAGTCACCACTGACTTGAATACCTATTTGTAGTCTCTCCAATTGTAAAATTGGATCATATTGTACACCATATTATATTTAATTTTGATTGCTTTATTAAGTTAATTTTTAATTAAATTGCAATTTAAAAGGTCTAGAAAATAAATTTCCTCCATATTTTTTACCTTTTTTTAAAATAATATCATAAGCTTGTCAAAGTACCTATCAATCAATAAATTTAAAATTACCTGCTGTATTTAAAGATATTACTGTGGAAGAAGTTATTTCAGGATCAAACCCAGTGTATTATATACCTCCTCCTAAAAAATTAGCTGTATTATTCATAATTTTTGAGTCTGAAATTTAAATCCAGTCAGCAGAATTTAGTTTACTGTTTTATGAAAAGGAATTTAAATATATACCACCTCCTTAGAATGCACTGTTTTATAGGAATTATGAGCCAAATATTATAATTTTTTAATTTGGTTAAATTAGGTCTACATTTTAATAAATAAATAAGCCTCCTCCTTCTTAATTAGCTGAATTATATTAAAATAGAGAATTCATGATTTTAACTTAACCACTTTCATTTATCAAAGAAACAGCACCTCCTTTATTTGAAGAAGTATTATTAGTAAATATTGATTTGTCTATTTATCCACTTGATTATACTATAGACAGAGCACTTCCAACACAAAATAAGTTAGAGCACTAATTTAGGTTCATAGTCAGTTAAGATATTTAAAACTATGAAAAACTTCTTATTATGAATGCACTTACAGCTTATGTTTAATACTAGTTTTATGTGAGCTACAAATTTGAGTCGCTAACTTATTCAATTTATCTAAGTGAGCTTACCAATTAGTAGCTATTTAAAAAAAATTCAAATAATTAATATTTACAAAATATTTAAAATTAATTAATTACTTCATTTTTTGTATCTCCACTAAGTTCATTAGAATTTAGCTTTATGTGTCAACCAACAAAGCTCCTCCATTTGAAAAACTACCTTAAATGATTTTAACGTTTTGCAAATTTCCAGTAGATTTTTATTGTAGGTTTATGACTGAAGATTGTTATTAGTTTTATTTGCAAAAAATTTAATTCAATTAAGAATTGGTAATTGTAAAATTTGAATTTTAAACTGAAAATACACTTCCTACTGTTTAATATTACCTAATCTACTAAAATAAAATATTTTATTGTAAATTAATTTGTTTCAAAGGGTTATTTATGTCTATTATCACATCATTTAAACTCACATTCATGTTGTAAAACGAAATGAAGCTGCCTTAGCTACTAGCAAATGTTTAATTTATTCTTGGGGAAGTGATAATAATGTTAGGCATTTCTGGTTTATTATTATTTAAAGCTTTTCTTATTGTAAAATAAGAATAGATTGAACCTCCTTCATTAGCTATCAATGAAGTAAATTGGCATTAAAAGAAATTTGCAATTGTATTTGCAGGAGGATTATTTATATAAACTGCTCCACCATATTAAAAGCTAATCAAATTTGAAAATATACAGTTTGTAAAATTAAATTGTGGATTTGAAGAAGTAGGAGTTATAGTAACTGCTGCACCATTAAGACTTGATCCTCTATAAAATGAATTTTTTGTCATGTTTAAAGTTTTAGACTAAACTAATATAAAGCCTCCATTTGTCCCTAGTAAAGGAGCATTTGTTTAAAATTAATTATTTTCAAAATTATTATTCTCCATAATTAAATCTTAAACATTCAAGTATAGTACTTCCTATTAAAAAAAATATGTTAATTTTATAATATAACAATTTTTAGAAAAATCACTGTAAATTCTCCACTATTCTCACTCATTTAAATACCGTAAAACCTCGTTAACTCGCAACCCGCAAATTCAAAAAATTTTCGATTTATCGAGGTTTATTGTTAACTAAGGAAGCATAGTCTGGGGAAAGATGAATGAAAATATAAGAAGAATTACAGTATGTTTATTTTTTAATTTAATAACTTTAAGTTTTTACCTTAATACTCTATGTGTAGAAATTGAGGAAATTTGAATTTGTTAATTATGCTGATGAAAAAGGCATGAGTAAGGTCAAAGTAGAGGCCATGTCATAAAATACCTATAAGGGAGTTTAAATCAAGACATTTGCTACGTTTAAATTATTAATGAATACTTTATTTTATAATAAACTATTTAAAAAAAGTATAGACGCTTAGTTGTATTCACTAGATGTAGATATTTTTATATTCTTTATAATCAATCCATCAATTTTAAAAGTAGAAATTTATTATTAATCTAAAGAATTAAATTAAGATGTTTTGATATAAATCAGATAATCATTTTAAATACTTAAATTTTCTAATAAGGAATTAGTCAATTAAAAGGATAAAGTATTAAACTCTGTAATTTTAATGCATGCAGAATTAGTTTCAGATTGATTTAATTAAATATTTTTATAATTTAGTAAGTCAGCTTAAAATAAGTTAAGGTAAGAGCTCTAGTAAAAACCTATATTCTTATTATCAGTTATATTAACATTTTGAACATAAATTGATTGAATGTATTATGTGCAAAAGAAAAAGTACTATGACTAAGCTTTAGGACTTATAAATGTATTCATATCATTTATTTAATTATCAGGAAGTTACTAATTTTGATTATTATTTATTTCTGTTAAGTATTAATTAAAAATTGATGGATTATATGCTTGACTAAAAATACGGTTTTATGATATAATAATTCTTGTAAAGTTGGCATAAGTCTAACTCTCAATAGCTTATAAAAATTGAACATTTAAAATTAAAATGTTAAAGCTTTAGTCGCTAATAAAAAAAGCATTTTGAGCTATCAGAATATTTGAAATATTTGCAACAAAATATTGAGATTAGTATGTCTTACCTAGATTTATTTTTTATGTTTTATTAAATTTATTTTAATATTCAATTATTTTTTTAAGTTTAGAAATAAATTTACCAAATAATGTGATTTATTAAACAGAATTTTGCTAAAACTAAAATCCTTAAAGAGCTATACTTTGTGCACTCATGAAAGTACTTAATAGTTGATTACTTTGAGATAAAGTTATTATATTATTGTTAAATTAAATATTTGTAGCATTTAGGAAAAGTTAATTTGAAGCAGAAACAAAGACAGTTGATTCAAATTTACAATTTTGAACAATAATATTTTCAAGAGTGAGATTAAAAATAGTTGAAGGAACTTGTATAAAATAGTTTGCACTTTAGTAATTCTTATTTTGAATAGTCATATTTCTAAAAGTAGCTGAGGAGCCAGATTAAATTTAGAATTAGTTAAAGTTATCTAAAATACTATTTGGATTTTTGCTTTATTTTAAATAAATAAATAAAATTATTTAAATAATAAAAGAAAATAAAAATATTATTTACATTGAATAGGTCAAAATGTTGAATCTTTCAAAGAACGATATATTATTTTATATTTAAATTAGTGGCTAAGTTTAGTCAATATAATTATCTATATTCACATTCCATAATATATTGCGAAACGATACTTAAATGTAATTATCAAATGAAAATGGAGAATCACCATAAATTTTAAGTGGAGGCAAATTCTAATAACCTCCAGAGGTATTAGTTGGTAAAGAAGTATTAAATGTGTGAAAGCTTAACCTCATTGATATGTTGTTTTATGTCAAATATTGTTATGAGACAATTTACTTATAATGGATATATTAAATATTGTAAACACTATCACTACCAAAATAAAAATATCTTTTTATTTAAATGTTCGCAACTTTAGTGATAAAATTTTAGTAATCTAATACTTGATTATATATTTATTCTTATCTAAGTAATATATTTGATGTTGTTTTTTGTAAAATATCTTGTAAGCTATTCGAAGCTTATGTGTTAAGCAAAGTCTTAATTGAACACTATATATTGATGCAACTTTAATTGTAGCATTAAGGAGCGTATATCCTTTTTAAATGTGAAATAAATAAATTTATAAATAATAACAAAGAAAAATAAATTTATTAATATACCTCTTTATTTCTCCATCTAGCATGAGTTGATAGAGGGAGTTATCAGAAGTAATTGAAAAAAATCTTGTGTTACTATCAGAAATGTTGTATAATGTGAGTTACAGATTTAGAGAATTAGTTGTCATATTATACTATATCAAATCTGTATTAGTATTATATTATACAGCGAGTATATTTTATGATTACATATAGTAAATAGTATTGAATGTCAGAAGTGATTTTATTTGTGGATTTGAGGTATTATTTATAGTATTTATTAATGTAAGTTATAGATCTTAATTCTAGTTTTAAACCCATTATTAATTGTATGAAATTATCACTGTTATATATGAGCCATCACTCATAATTAGTTAAATAAATATCTGATTTATTGGGTTTAGGATTGTAATTTTTAAAATTTAAACTACATCTGCTAGTGAAGCTAGAGTAGAAATATTTTATAAAGTAATGGTTGTAGTTTGGAAACTTGAAGGTGTGTTAACAGAGGGTTTGATTATCATTATGGAGTTCTAAAATACTATAAACATATTTTATACAGAATCTTTAATAAATTAAAATGGTGCTTAGCTAATAGATGATAATTAGTAAAAATTGCTACTTGTTTTACAAACAGATACTCCTAAAGAGTTAATTATGTATATATTTAAGCTAATTTAAGACGATTATAAAATTCTGTTTTGTTAATTAATATTGCTCTCTGAACTAAAATATTATTATTCATTTTCTGTTTATAGTAGTCTATTAAATTTTTGGTTTTAAATGCAGTATTAGCTAAATTAAAATGGTTAAGTAACAAGAAGTAATACTACATATTTATCATTTAACTCAGAAGTATACGAAAGCATTCCAGGAATGAGCAAAGGGTTTAAATTATCTGTTTAAACATCTAAAGGAATTAACTAAGTTTGAGTAGCTAAAGATAAAGTTTTAACAGGGGTCAGTGTTGGAGCAGGATTAGGAGTTTGTTGTGGACACTTTGTTTAACCGCTAGGAATTGGATAGTATTGTTTTGTTACACTTGTTAAAGTTAAAAAGCTAGGTGTTGAAAATACAACTGTTTGCTCTATAGTAATTTATCCTTATTAACCTGGACCTGGGCCACCACCACCACCAGGTTATTATCCCTAATAAGAGCGTGTAGAATTTAATACTCTTTATTGACTTGCTAAATTATACTAAAACAATAACTATTATTGACCAAATTATTACATCCCTTATCCAAGTGAATTTTTAGTTATACCTATAACAGTTTAGGTTTAACTATCAAGCATTATATCACCAATACTAAATCCATTTGAGCCTAATTTAAGTTTTATATTAAATTTTAAATGATCATATAACTAAATTAAAAAATATACCTATCCCAATTTTACTAAATAATGGTGTTATTTGTAAGGTTTAAGATTGCTGTTAGGTGGTTAAAGAAATGAAGGTAGGGTTTGAAATATCAAGAGAAGCCACTTATCCTTAAGTTGTACCAATAATTAGAATTGATGTATTTGGAATTTATAACATTATTGAAATAAAACCATTAATTTAAGATTGGAAATTAATTAAATTGCTTGTTAAAATAGAAAATTTTGAGTTGATTAAATCAGTATTTTCAAAAATAAAGATTTATGAGGATAATAATGAGAAAACTACATAATTTTTATTATTCATAAATACACTTTATATTGCCATAATTTGATTTGTTCCTATTTTTTAAATTGTAGAAATTATTAAGTTATTAAATAAATAGATCAATAGTTAAATTAAATAGCAATCTAATAAATATTTTCTTCTAAATATTTAATTTTTTAATTTATAATTTATTACCCATGTTTATGCAAATTATTGGATTGAGTAAAATAGAAAGAGTATCAACTCCATAGCTTGTTCCCAAAAGATTCTGAGCATTTCCAAAATCATAAGCACATAGACTATTTTATTGCAATGGTAAAGGGGAAGTGAATTGATTTCCTCCACCACCACCACCACCTCCACCGCCTCCTTAAAATTTAGTTGGAGCTCCATAAGAAATCAATAGATAATTAGTTGAGTTCATTTTTTTAAATGAATTTACAGTAGCTGGTAGAATTATTGGTGATATGAAATCAACAGGCTTTTATTAATCCAATATTGATAAATTAATTAAGTAGGAGTAGACACTATTAAATTAACCAGAGTTAATAGCAATCAACAATGAATTCCTACCTCCTGCTGGTATAGTGGGAAATTTTGAATTTGGATTAACTACAAAATCTTCTATAAGTTGATATTAATTTTAATTCTAATTATTCATACCAAAAATTCCTTATTGACCATTACCAAGACCTTTCACTTGAACTATTTATTTAAAAAAATAAAGTAAACTAAAATATTTATAAGGAAGATAAGTAAAAAAGAATTGTTTATCTTCTAAAATTTATTTAGTATATAAATTATTTTAGTTATTCTTATTTTACTTCATAATATAAAATTTATTTTAATTTATTACTTAAGTAATCAAAGTTATCAGTAGAAGGATAAAAATTATTATCCAGCGAAGAAGGTTTAATTTATATTGTTTATGTTTTTCTATTATTTAATACTATTAGAGAAGACTATTTTTGAGAACCTCTTGATAATTATTCTTGTTTAGTTTTGCTGATATCTGCTACTATCAGTGACAAATAACTTATGCCTTGATCTATAATTTTATAAAAATATTAATTATTATTTATCTTTCAATAAAAAAAACCTAGACTTTATATCCCAACTATCTCTTACTTCTAAAGCAAATCAACCACAGAAAATCTTTGTTGAGACAAGGTAGCTTGTAATAAATTGGGATAAAAGATTTATCCCAAGATTGGAGGATTAGCAGTGGTTGAAGTTTGATGAATGGTACCATCAAAAATATCATATATATAGCTATATCCCTATTAATCGCTTACACTAACTAAAGTTGTACCCTGTATGTATACAATACTTGTTACTGATGCTTGATTTCCTGTATTAAGATTAAAAATTATGGATGATAAATCATAGTATTGATTGTGAATTAAAAGTAGATTTTCCAAATAATATCATAATTGCTACCTCCTATATTTTGGATTTAAAAGCATGCAGATGACTCTTATAGGTCTAATCGAAAGCAATTGATTTATAAAATAAAGAATTTTAGAATAGCGTAGAGAACTAATATTGATCTTAATATTTATCTCATATGTATATTTATTTTGCTTGTATTTTTTTTTACTTATTATTGTTTTCTAATTAGTATTGAAATTTATTACTTCTTGAAAGAATATTATTAAGAAATCTTAATTAAGATGAAGAAACTAAAAAATTTTGCTATTATAGCTATGTTCATTTAGTAAACACTTATATATTTTCATTTTAATTACATCATTTAAAATCCGAAATACAAAAATGATCAAGAAATTAAATATATTTAAGTAAGAAGCATTTTATAAGATGAACCCAAAAATATCCATAACATCTCATATGAAGAATTTAAATTAAATTTTAAAGTTTTCATAAAAAAATATTTTAGAGCATTTTTATAAGCTCTGCTTATTTTTCTATAAGATTTACGCAATAGAGTGAAATAACTTTTAAAAATAATTAATTTAAGCCAAGTTTGTGGTGATAATCTAAAAGAAATGAATTTTTAATATCAGGATAATGCGAATGAAGCTTTAATTTAGTACACACATTCTTTTTAATTGATAAAAGATCTAGGACAGTAAAAACAATATAAAATAAGCAATGTAATATGTGTTAGTACTAAATTAATTAATTTAAATATTATTTAAATGTAAAATAATATTTACTTTACAAACTTTATACGTATGTTAAAAGTATTTAGCTTCATTTTTAAAATAAGAATAAATAGTATTTTTATAAAATTCTACATTCTCTTCATGAATTTAACTCAAAATTATCTTATTACTTGATTATCGCATAATTTAACTTTCTCACTTTCATCATAGTCTTTATTTAATTGATAGAAAAATAAACTGAATAATTAATTTTGGGAGGGGAATATTGTAAAATTTATTGTATATTTGATATTTTCCTTATTTGAAAAATATTAATAATGAACAATGATTGTTAAGTAAAAGAAAAATAATACAATAAGTAACATTGATTAAAAAATAATAGATCTAAATTTCAAAGAAAATTTAAGAAAGAGAAAAAATAAAACAAACAAACTTGATTATATTTCAAACAAATATTTTTTAGATTACGAAAAAGATTGTAACAAATTTTTAAAAACAAGCTAAGTATTTCAATATTTTCTAATTCTGTGGAAGCACTAAAAAATTGGCTATGGCGATTTACACTAATTGTATTTTAGAAGATATATTTAATTATTTTAAATAACTTGTCACATATTTTTGCTTTAGCAAAAGAGATATGTTTTTAACCACAAAATACTTGAGTAAAAAATTTAATTTACATAAAAATTTTATTTTACTTGCCAAAAAAATTAAAAACTATTTAATAATTTAAGGAAATCACAAATTTATTTATTTACTTATTTTGAATGTAGCAAAAGAAAATTTTTGCTATTTTGTTTACAGTAACAAATTAATTTTATTTGCGTTATAAGTTTCAACTCATATTCATGAGATAATATATATTAATTTAATTTCGTCAATATATATTAAATTTAGATTGCATATTCTTGGCTTATATAAGATCAATAAACAATTCATAAAAAACATAATCTCAAAATAGTGTAAACTAAAATACAATCCAATAAAAAATTAAAAATCCTAATTAAAAATAAAGAAAGAAAAGGAGATTTACTCAGTTTTTTTTTAAAATGTAAATCAAAATATTAGTAATCATAATTTAAAATAACTTCTATTAATTAATCATTTAAATTTAATTATTTATTTAGCAAAATTAATTCATATTTGATTTGTTATCCATATTTAATTGTAATAAAATTAATCTTTTATATTTTCTTAAAAAGTGATCAAACATAAATTTATATTGAGTAACTTATAATTTTAATTAAAAAAGTAAATTAAATATTAGTCCCTAAACAAACAGTATAAAAAAAAGTTATTTAATTAATAATTAAATGTAAAATTAATTAAAATTCATGTTTTATTTATAGTCAGCATAAGATTTTCATAAAATTAATCTTTCATATTGATTTAGCATGTTTTATTAAGTAAAAATATTAATGTCAACTCATTTAAATATTTCTTAATATATGTTTTGACTAGCTTGAAATGATTCTAATTTAAAGCTACAATTTGGTTTTAATGAGTGATTATTTTAAAATTATAATAAATGTATGTTTTTTAATATAAATATTAATTAATCTTAGGTTACATATTTTTAGATTATACTCTTACCTCTAAAAATTTCAATATTAAGTAATTTATATTTTCTTTGAAATAAATTTTAAAGTAAAGTAAACCAATTAATTAAAAGGGATCAAAAAAATACAATTTTATTCTTTTATAATTAAAATCTTTCTAAATCACTCATAAGATACTAATATATTTTTAATATATGTTTTAAAAATATAATTTTTCTAAGTGTTATTGTTTTAAATACTTGGTAATAAAAAAATTAAAAAATTCAATATCTTTTTAGAAAGTATTTTATAATTAATTTTTTTGAATAAAGAAATGTCACAATTAATTTGTTAGTTCAAAATAAATGGATAAAAATTTATTCCAGATATATTAATCATCTATGAATAAGAATAAAATGTATGCTATTAATAAACATAATAATATTAATATGAACATCAAAAAATAAAAAACTAAATGAATGCTTTTAGAAGTTATTAAATAGTTCTTGAATGAACAGATTTAAATTTGCGTTATTCAGATTTCATAAGCGAATACAGTAATTAAAAGGTTGAGTATGCATGAATTTAATTTATCTAATGTAAATAAAAAACAAATTAATTATTTTGCACACCTTATAAAAATTTTGGTTTGTATTCTAATATTTTTTTTAATTAAACTCAAAAAAAATAATATTTTAAATAATTAAAAATAATAAATTATTTTTTTTATATTTTACAAATAATTCACTTATATTTATATTTAGAAATTTTAAATTTTTTCAAGACATAAATTTCATTAAGCAAACATTATTAAAAATGAATAAAATTTATTTTATATTTTTAAAAATTTTATTTCAGTTTAAATAAAATGAATAATTTTTTAATTGTTTGTTTAAAAATATGGTTTTTGAAATATTTTTAATAATTTATTGTTATATTAAAATGATATTAATTATTTTTAGAGAAAACTATTATTGAACAAATTAAATTAAATAAAATATTTTTTTTACTAATAATCTCATCAAAAAATAAAAAAAATTATATATTTTAATTAATGAAATATTTTAACTTTTAAATGATCAAATTTAAATAAATTATAAAGTTAATTTTATTTAAATGCAATAGACAATCAAATTTTATTGTCTTTTATCAGAATAACTTCTTGATTCAAGAAAGAATAATTGCCAAATGAATTTGTATCTATTTCTATTCATTTGATTATACAAAAAAAATTAAGATAAGTTAATTTATATCCTGTCTTGAAAATTAAAACAAGTGAATTTAACAGAAAAGTTTCACTATACCATAAAGAAAAAACAAAACAATCTTTAATTTTCTTTTTAAATATAGTTTAGAATTTCAAATTTATAAATGATAAATAATTTATATTAAAATAAATAATAAGAAAGAAACAATTTATAAGTAAATGCTAAGATTACTTGGATCTCTTTGTGGATTAAGTGAACCTTCTATTTGGAGAACAGTATTTCCTGAAAAGTTAACATAAGATTAAGAAAATTAATATTAAGATACTTTAAAACTTGAACCTACTGAAAGACTTCCAAACCCTTTAGGAAATAGCAAATACCCAATAGAAAATGATATTGAATTTTACTCAGTTTAATTTTCTGAGTAGAAAAAAAATAAATTGAACACATACAGGTATCCTGTAAGAGAAAATATTGAAAAAAAGGCTATTTGTATATTTTTCCATGGGTATAATTCTCATATTGGTTAGTCAGCGCATATAGCTGAATATCTTGCTTAGCATGGTATTGAAGTTGTAGGATATGATTATAGAGGATTTGGAAAAAGTTAGGGCCTAAGAGGCTATGTACCTCCCTTAGATTCTCATATGAAAGATGCAATTCAATACTTTAAGTTTATTTCTGATTAAAATTAAGGTAAATACCCAATTTTCGTATCAGGACTAAGTCTTGGAGGATTGACATCTTTCTAGCTCACTCTCAATAAAGAATGCTAAAATAAAATAAAAGGAATGATTTTGTTTGCTCCTGCTATTAAAGACCATCCTCTATACGCTAAGGAATTTAAATTAAAATTAAGAATATTTGGTTCAATAAAACCAGAAAAATAAATCGAACCAAGAAAAGGTTATCCAGTTTATCGTAACATGACTGTAAATGAATATTTACATAATCAAGATGATCTTTATTACAAAGGAAACACATTTATAGGATCTCTTAAGCATTTAACAGAAGCATAAATGATTGCTGAGAAATAATATGATAAAATTAAAGTTCCATTTTTGTTATTTATGGGAGGTAAAGATAAACTTTGTGATCCTCGCTTAGCAGAATAACTTTAAAAGTAATCACCATCTAAAGATAAAACTGTAGTTTATAGGGAAAATATGTGGCATGGAATATGGCTTGAGCCAGAAATAGAAGAATTCAAAGTTACTTTTAAAGACTGGGTTTTATAGAGAGTCTGAATAAATATTAAATCTTTAAATTTGCTAAAAATTAAATAATAAGAAATATATTTTTATTAATATTTACACAACATTAATTTTAATTTTATGTTTTAGAAAATATTTTTTAACTAATTTGTTTAACATTTAATTTTATAGATAAATTTATTTGTTGATGTTTTAAATATTAAATTTTTGGTTTAAAAAATAATAAATTTTGCACAAAAATGAAAATCTATTTTTTATTATTAAGTAATATCAAAGAACAATTGTAAAATATTAAATTAATATTTAATTACTGAATATATTTTTGTAATGTTAAATGAAAAACCTTATTATTTTGATCAATTGTGCGAATAAAAAGTTTCTTAGAAATAATAAATTTAACAAATAAAAAACAAAAACAGAGACAAATTATATAATATATGTAAACCCATATTGATATCAATCTCCATCCTCCATTTTTCAGAAACTTCTAATGGTTTTGCTTTAAAAATGAGTGAAAAGTGGATTTTATATTCAAAAGTTGGTTCGTCTTGCCAAAATCTATTAAATAATATTTCTTTATGATTAAGGTTTTGATTAAAAAATTAACCTTATTGTTAGCTAATGAGGCATTAGTACTTATTTCCTTAAAAATTTTATTTTATATTATTCAACTATTCAATTATTACTTTTCTTTTTATGACTTACAATAATAGTTACTTTTATTAGAAACGATCAAATTTTCTTAATAGAAATTTAGATAATTTTTACTGTCTTCCAATTTTTAGTTTTAAACTTGATTATTATTTTATTCTTTGATTTTACTATCTTCATTTACAATATTCCTACTCTGCTTTAAGTGTTATACTTTTTTATTATAATTTTAAATTCTCAAATAATTATTGTTAGATTTTAAATTATCATCATTTTCAGTATGATATTTTATATCTTCATTAATCTAGCTCTATATAATATTCTAATTAATAACATTACTTTTCTTCTAAATATCACTCTATATTTCTTGGAATATCAAACTTCTACTCAGTTTTTATAAGTGTAAATTATTATTTTCATTTGCTTTATTTAAATGTTCTATTGGTATTTAGCTATCTGTTGTATCATTTTCAGACTCTTTCGGAGTTTCTAATATAATCTGATTTTTATTAGGTTCCAAAATTTCATCCTTCTATATCTACATACTATCAATATTGGTTTAATCTTTAGGGGATAGAATTTCTTTATGACTTAACAATTTTAAGTTTGTTAAATTATCATTTATGTTAGATATTGTAGACATAAGTGGTGATTATTAATTTTTATAAGTTCCAAAATTATCTTCAAAACGACTTGAAAGAGGTGCTAATTCGAGAAGAAGATTTCTATTTGTGCCAAAATCTTAAATGATTGAAGTGCTTTTTAACCTATTTATATATGCTTTAGCACTTTCATTTTAAAAAAAGCTTTAAGGAATTTATTAAGCAGCCATTTAGCTTGTTGAATAATTTTAATTTTAAAAAGCTATAATATTTTCGCTAGGAAATTCAAGGTTAACAGATTCCTAAATATAATTTAAAATTATAAGTAAAAAAAACTAAATTAAATTAAAAAAAAATAACCTGTATTTTAGGGAATTTTATTTATTTATCTACTTTTTCATGTTTTTATATTTAATCTTCATTATTTATTTAATTTTTACTAAATAAATTAATTTCATTATTAGAAACAACATAATTTTAGCTTCTAATTTTTATAGAACTATTTATATTTAATTTTGAACCATTTTTCATTTACTCTCTACCCTAAACAATCAAATCTATGATATTCTCTAAAGGAACTTTAATTTTTCCTGTCCATGCATTTATTATATTTCTTTTTTTGAGTTCGTTTAAAACTAACGTTACTACCCTTTGAAATTTATAAATTCTAGCTGTTTTTTTAGTATAAAAACATTAAAATGGAGATAATTTGAAACAAAGGAACTTAAATTAGAAGTATGTCTTTTAAACTATAGGAATATAAGCATAAGCTAGCTTTTTAAAACACCAAATTAAAAAGGCCGTATTTATTATTCCTATAATAATTATTGAACAAAGTGACCAATAATAATTATCTTTATTTTCATAAGTAATGAAAGCTAAGTAAATAGAAGCAGTTAACACAAAAGTTGAATAAATATCAATCTTATTATATAGCTATTCTGAATAAGGATGGACTTTAACCAAGAAAAATCCATACAGAGCAACTACTAGAAGAGTAAATAAGATCTATTAATTTAAAAATAGATTTTTATTTAAATTTGAAAAATAATAACTTAAAAAATAAATTACTTTGTTTGGGATAGAGTATTCATATATGATAAGAATAGACATAATTATAAGTTTCATATACATTTTTATAAATTCCCAGTACCAAACTTTTCTTTTATCATTCATTTCATATTCTCCAATTATAAACATATAATTTTTCCTTTAAAGTATGGAGTCTTTTGATTTGTAAACTTTATACATCATAAATCCTGGTATTATGAGAGTGATGATCAGTAATATTGGCAATATCAAAGATAATGACCATTAAATATGCTCATCCGTATAGCATGTGTACAACACATTATATTATATATACCTATTGTTTCCTAATCATAAAATAAACAAAATTTAAACTTGAAATTAGATTTAACAAATATACCTATCTGGCGACAGCTTAAAATACTAATAGCATCTTTATAAAGACTTGGCTAGAAATACATCAAGCAGTAAATCAATGAAGTAGAAATGTAAAATCTTTTTAAAAATAAATTTTTTCTGTATTTTATCAAACCAGTGATAATAAAAACTAATGCACAGCAAATAGGTAAGCACGTTGAAGCAGCAAATTGTATATATATAATATTTATTCCAGTTTTAACTGAAATTTAGTGGAAAAAACACTCAAAAGAATATAAAACTTGAATAGTTGGATTTGCTATCACATTTATTGAACTATTAAAAACATTTGGAACATTAATCTAAAAAGTTGTTATAACCATGATAACTTAAAAGTAATTGATAATGAGTTTGAGCAAAATGGATGCATTTGCTTCTTCTCTCTTAATAGTTTTTTTTATAAACAATTGATTAGTTCCAGTTTCTTATTATATTTAATCTTTCCTTTTGATGATAAACATAATCCTTTGTAGTACTCCATCAACACTTAGCTTAGCGCATATAATCTATTTAATATGAGTTTTAATAATTTTTATTATAAATCTAATTTACTAAAATCTTACATATAAAACAACCAAACCTAACACTTTAAATGTATTGTTGACAATATCTCCACACTTTGAGCATTAGAAATCACCCTAACGAGAGTATCCATTTTATATATCACAAGATTCACAGAGAGGACCTATATGACCAACATTACATGTAAAATTTTAAGTACCTCCTAAGCAATTGCTTTACTTATTTATACAATCTAATATTTAATCTGTTTAATTATTCTCTCTCCAAAACCCTTCATTAACGTTTATTACATCTCCTCCTAAGCAATCACTATTTTAAACACATTTTTGACACTCAAATATGGGTTCTTTCATATCTGGGTGAATTAGAGAATACCTTAATTTAAAATAATAAGTAAAATGAATTTTGCAAATATTTGAATTAATTACTATCCTTTAGGGCATACTGAGCATTGATATATTTAAAATATCTGATCATGATAAATGACTTAGCCTTTTTTATACACTTCTCCTTTAATGCATTCTCTTAAATGAATATCAATTATGTAATAGTAATTATTTTCTGGATAATTTGGATTATTTATAAATGGCGATGATAACTAAATGCTTATATATGAATTAGGAACTCCTGTAATAGTTAAATCAGTCAGATTGAAGTAATCAGAAAAAATAATTTTTTAATAACTGCTAGATATTTAGAATGCATTTTAATTATTGATATTACCATAAGGCTGAACTAAAGCATAAATTTAAGAATTTATAATTTATTAGTATGAACCATCAATTATCTAGTTATTTTCATCAATTAATTCGAAAATTAAGTCAGGAAGTTAACCACCACTCACCTACTATTTGATTTATAACCTTTCTATTCCTAAATTCTAGTCATACTTTATTTAATATTTTATATTATTTTTATTGCTTTACTATGTTAAATTCTAATTAAAGCGTAGCTTAAAAGGTCTAGAAAACAGGTTGCTACCATATTTTTAACCTTAAATAAGTTGATTATAAATTATTTTAAAAATAAATTTTAATAATAACAATATTTACCTGCTGTGTTCGAAGATATTCTTGTTGAGGAAGATATTTGTGGATCAAATCCTGTATATTATATACCTCCACCTAGAAAACTAGCAGAATTATTCATGATTACTGAGTTTGAAATTTAAATCCAGTTAGTTGCTTATATATTATTGCTTAGCGAAAATGAGTTTAAGTATATGCCACCACCTAGCGTGGCATTATTATTTAAAAATCGCGATTTATATATTAGAATTTTCTAGTTAGTTTAAATTAGATCAACATTCTGATAAACAAAAAGACCTCCTCCTTCTTATTTGGATGTATTGTTTTAAAATAGTGAGCTAGTAATATTGATTTAACTAATTTCATTTATTATAGATACTGCTCCTCCGTTGTTCGTAGAAATGTTGTCTATAAAATTTGATTAATCCATTTAACCAGTAGATTAAATTAGAGATAGAGCACCTCCAACACAAAATAAGTTACTACATTAGTTTTAGTTCATAGTTAATTAATAAATTTTAAACTAAGAAGATCCTCGTATTATAAAAGTACTTAGGGTTTATTATTGATATTAACTATAAGTAAGTTAAACACTAGATGTGTTAGTCTGCTAAATTTATCTAAGTGAATTTGATTGTTAGTAGCTATTAAAAATTTATGATAAAAAATAAAAAAATACTCTCAATTTAAAAAGAAGTTACCTCAATTAGCTTATATTAACAAAATCTATTTCGATTTAGCTCTATGTATCAACTAATAAAGCTCCTCCATTAGAAAAGCTTCCTTACGTAATGTTAACGTTTTTCATATATCCTTAGGATTGTTATTATAAATTAATGATAGAGGATTATTATTGGTTTGATTTAGTTAATATTTAATTCAATTAAGAATTAGTTAAAGTAAAGATTGAATTTATAACTGAAAATAAGCTTCCAATACTTTAAAATTAACTTAACTGTTAGAATAAACTTAACTATTAAATATTAATTTGCTTTTAAGGGTTATTTATATCTAATAAAACGTCACTTAAGCTAACATTCATATTGTAGAATGAAAAAAAACTACCTTAATTGCTAGCAAATGTTTAATTAATAGTCAGGGAATATATAATGATATTAGGGATTTATGAGCTATTATTATTTAATCCTTTATCTATAAAATAATAAGAGTAAATTGATCCTCCTTCACTAGCTAATAATGATGTGAATTAGCATTAGATGAAAGAAAAAGTTGTATTTGCAGGAGGATTATTTATGTAAACTGCTCCACCATATTATTAACTTATCATATTAGAAAATGAACAACTTTTAAAAGTAAAATTAGAGTTTGATGTTGATGGAATGAGAGATATCGCTGCTCCATTGTAGCTTGTGCCTCTATAAAAAGAATTATTGGTCATATTTAAATTTTAAGACTAAATTAACATAAAGCCTCCATTAGTTCCTAGTAAAGGAGCATTTGTTTAAAATTAATTATTTTCAAAGTGATTCGTGTCCATTTTTAAATTTTAAACATTCATATATAGTACTTCCTATTATATTGTATTAATTTTAAATTGTTTTAAAAAATATTTTACTCAATAAATATGAAAATTTGTAACCCCCTTTTAAGAAATGATTGAAGAAAAAAATTTTTCAATTGAAAAAAACAAAATTTTTAATTATGAGGGATCTCCAATAAATTTAACTAATATTATTTAGCTTTACCTTTTTACTCTAAGTATAGAAATTCAGAAATTATGAATTAGTTAATGATGCTTATGAAAAAGGAGCCAGCAAGCTCAAAGTAGAAGCCATATCATTAAAAACATTTAAAGGTGTTTTTAACAAGATGTTTGCTACATTTAAATTATTCAGAGATATCTGAGTATTTTACAAACTATTAAAAAATATAATTGAAGCCTAATTATACTCTATAAGAGTTGCTACTTTAATGTTCTTTATACTCAGTCCATCAATTGTAAACTGAGAAACTTATTATTAATTTGATGATAGAAGTTAAGAAGTCTTTAGATAAATTAGATAATCATTTTAAATATATAAATTTTCTAATGTAGATTTAGTTAATGAAAACTATAAATTATTGTATTCTGTAATTTTTATGCATGCAGAATTAGGTTATGATTAATTTAACCAGGTATTTTTATAGCTTAAAGTGTCAGCTTAAAACAAGTTTAGGAAAGAACTCTAATAAAACCCTATATTGATATTATCTGAGATATTTGCATTTTGAATGAATACTTATTAGATGTATTTAGTTTAAAAGAAAAAGTATTGTTGCTGTACAGCAGTGCTAATAAAAGTATTCGTATCATTAATCTAATTGAAAGGTGGTTTTTAACCTTGACCTTGATTATTATTCACGACTTAAAGATATTAATTAAAAGTAGATTAATCATAATTATTTTAAAATACTTGATTTTATTGAATTGTAATTTATGTAAGATTAACATAAGTAGAACTCAGAATGGTTTGCAAAAACTCAACCTATAATATCAAGGTATTAATACTATACTCATAAATAAAAAATGCGTTTTATGTAATTGAGCTATTGCTTATGTTTGCAACAAAAAACTAAGACTAGTCAGTTTTACCTAATATAAATTTATCAATATAAATATTTTTTAATTCATAATAATAAATTTACCAAAAAGCATTACTGATTAAATTGCATTTTATTAAAATTAAAATCCTTAAAGAGTAATACTTTATGCACTGATGAAAGTACTCAATTATGGATTATTTTGAGATAAAGTGATCTAATTATTTTAAAATTAAATATTTGTAGCATTTAAACTTAATTAATTTGAGGCAGAAACAAAAACAGTTGATTCAAATTTGCAATTTTAAACAGTTATGTTTTCAAGTGTGAGACTAAAAGCAGTTGAAGGGACCTGTATATAATAATTAGCTCCATTGTAATTCTTATTTTAGATAGTTATATTTCTAAAATAGGCTGCAGAACCTTATAAAATCAAGAATTAAATGAAATTGTCATTAATATTTTTTGTATTTAATCTATTTTAGTAAATAAAAATTATTAAATACCTTAAAAATAAATAGTAAATATATTTACGTGGAGTATGTCAAAACGCTAAATCTTTCAAAAACACATATATTATTTGCTATTTAGAATAGTGGTTTAGTAGGATCTTAATAATTATCAAAATTTACCTTCCATAAAATATTTTTAAAAGAAACTTGAAAATAATTATCAAATAAATTTGGAGAATCACCATAAATAGTAGTAGGAGGTAAATTTTAGTAAGATCCTGAAGTGTTAGATTGTAAAGATATGTTAAAAGTGTGAATATTGAGTCTTAATGTTATGTTGTTTTATATTAAGTATTATTAGGAGGCTATTTATTCATAATGAATATATTTAATATTGTAAACACTGCCACTTCCAAAATAAAAATATCTTTTTATTTCTATGTTTGATATATAATTAATAATATTTGAGTAGTAAAGCACTTAGTTGTATATTTATTCTTGTCTAATTAATACATTTGATGTGGTATTTTGCAAAATATCTTACAAATTATTTGCAGGTAAGGTGTTAAGCATAGTTTTTATTGAGCAGGTTGTATTAAAACAGCTTTAATTGTAGCATTAAGGAGCATATATCCTTTTTGTTATTTTTAATTAATAAATAAATAAAAATTAATTTTATTGAAAAATAATTACTTTATAACTTAACCATCTGACATTATTTAGTAAAGTGAATTATCTGAAGAAGTTGAAATAAATCTAGAATTACTATCAGAAATATTGTATAAAGTAAGGAACTAATTTAAAGATTGAGAATTCATATTGTATTATAAGTAATCTATATTATTATTATATTATACTACTAATATATTTTGTGATTGCATATAGTAAATATTATTGTATGTCAAAAGAGATTTAACTGTAGGGTTTGAGGAGCTATTTACAGTGAATAATAATGCTAGTTAAAGATCTAAATTTTTGTTTTAAAACCAAATCTAACTATATGAAATTAAAAATGTTATTAATGAACCATCGCTCATACTTAGTTAAATAAACATTTGATTTAATGGATTTATTATTGTAACTTTTTATATTTAAACTATATCTGCTACCTAAGTTAAAGCAGAAATTTATTGTAAAGTTATAGTCGTATTTTGAATGCTAGAGGGAGTATTGAGAGCAGGTTTTATTATCATAATTGAGCTCTAAAATACAACAAACATATTTTATACTGAATCTTTTACAAATTATAGAGGTGCGTTAATAATAGAAGAGAGCTAGTAAAAATTGCTATTTGTTTTAAACACGGATACTCCTTTAGAGTCTATTATGTATAAATTTAAGCTTATTTATATAGTAGATTAAAGAATTCTATTTTATTTATGACTATGAACTGAAGGAGTAAAATATTATTACTCATTTTCTATTAATAGTAGTCTGCTTAATTTTTAATTTGAAATACAGTATTAGCTAAATTTAAATGGTTGCGTCACAAGAAGTATTACTGCATATTAATTATTCAATTCAGAAGTATAAGAAAGCATTCCAGGAATAAGTAAAGGGTTTAAATTATCTTTTTGTACATCTAAATTAAATGTTTTGGTTTGAGTATTTAAAGATAAGATTTTGACAGATGTAATATTTGGAGCAGGAGTAGGGATTTGTGAAGGACAGTTTTATCCGATGGTTGGGTTTAGATAATATTAATTTGTAACACTGGTTAAAGTTAAAAAACTAGGAGGTGTAGAAAACACAACTGTTTATTCTACAGTCGTTTAATTTTATTAACCATAATTTTGAGTTAAATTTAAAACTCTTTATTAACTAGTTAAATTATACTAAAAAAAATATGTTTGGTTATTTTATTATCCTTACTAGCCTTGTTTGGATATACCTATTAAAGTTTACGAAACATTATCAAACAACAAATCTCCTATAGTTTATCCATTCAGCCCTAATACGAATAAATTAGTATTTTAATTAAATTAACAATAAAAAATAAAATTATTTTATACCTATTCCAATTTTACTAAAAAGAGGTGAGATTTATTTATTTTAAGATTGCTGTTAAGTAGATTGGGAAATCAAGTTAGGATCTTAAATATCATAAGATGCAACTAATCCTTATGATGTGCCAATTATTAAAACAGATGTATTAGGAATTAATAGCATAATCAAGATACTACCATTATTTTATTAAGAAACATTAATCATATTAGCAATTGAAATTGAAAATTTTGAATTAATCAAATCATTATTTTCAAAAATAATTATAGATTAGGATTCTAAAGAGAAAATCACATAATTTTTATTATCCATATAGATATTTTATATGCTCAGTATATTGTTTGTACCTATTTTAGAATTTAATTAATTAATTTTATATTTAATACTCATAAATTGATTATAATATATAAATTTAATAATTTAATTTTCTATTTAAAATATATTTTACCCATATCTTTACAAACTATTGGAGTACTTAAAACAGATAATGTATCAACTCCATAGCTCGATCCTGCCAAATTTGTGACTTTTCCAAAATCATAAACACATAAACTATTTTAATACAAAGGTAATGGAGAACTAACTTAAGTTACTATACTACCGCCACCTACTCCTCCTCCTTTTTAACCTTATCCTTAACCTTAACCTTATTTTAATGTTTATGCAAATGCTTATAATTATACTTAAACCTACTAAAAATTAGTAGCTGCTCCATATGAAATTAAAAGATAGTTAGTGGAATTCATTAATTAAAATGCGTTTACAGATGCAGGTAAAACTATTGGGGATACATAATCTAAGGGCTTTTGTTAATTCAATATGGATAAATTGATTAGATAAGAATATATGCTAGAGTAAAAACCAGAATTAAGAGCTATAATTAATGATGCCCTTCCTCCATGTATGATCTGAGAGAAATTTTAATTGGGATTGACTTAATAATCTTCAATAATTTAATATTAATTAATAGAATTCTAAGAAAGTGCTCCAAAAATTCCTTGTTATTATGCTGAAAGACCTTGTACTTAAACTATAAATTTAAATTTAAGTTTAAAATTAAATAAAATATTTTTATTGAATGCTAAGCTATAGTAAAATAAATAAACGAAATCTTATTTTTAGTTTATTAATTTTTGAGAAAACTAAAATTTAATCATCAATCTATTTAATTTTTAAATTAAAGAAATTTATTACTTAAATAGTCATAATTATCTGAAGGAGGATAGAAATTATTATCTAGAGAAGAAGGTTTTATTTGTATTGTCTATGTAATTTTATTATTTATAATAATTAATGAAGAAGAACTTTATGATCCTCTTTATAATTATTCTTATTTAGTTCTACTTAAATCAGCACTAATTAATGACAGAAACATTGTATTTTATCCTATATTTATATATCAAATTTAATGATTATCTTACTTTCTAAATAAAAAAAACCTTTATTCTGTATTCCTAAAATCTCTTATTTCTAAATTAAATCTACAATAGAAAGCTTTTTTTAAGTTAAGGTTGCTCTGATAAAATTTGGATAAAAAATTTATCCAAGGATAGGCGCATTAGCAGTTGTTGTGGTCAGATAAATACCTCCATTAAAAATATCGTAAAAGTAACTATACCCTTGAGAATCACTAACACTAATTAAAGTGGTACCATCTATGTATACAATGCTTGTTATAGAAACTTAATTTCCTATATTATAATTCAAAACAATGATGGATATATGAAACTTTTTTATGATAAAAAATCAGTAGATTAAAATATTTACCTCCTAAATTTTATATTTAGAAGCAAGAAGACGACTCGAATAAATCTAAACTCAAGCATGTAATGCTTTAAATTTAGGACATGGTGGCTATATACAAAATGTATACTAATCTAAAAAGCTATCTCATTTGAAGTTATTAATTAACTTTTTGTTTACTTTTAATTATCATAGTTTTTTTACTTCAAATAAATATAGTATACAGTGAGTAATTTAAAGATTAAATTTTTGCTATTTATTTTAATTATTTTTAATAAGCACTTGAAAGTACAAGATTGTATTTTTTACCACTACTTCATTCAGAACTCTAGAAAAATAAAATTTGATAGAGGGATAAAGAATTTTAAAAAACAAAAAAATGCAATTAACCTAATTTAAAATTATTTCTTCTTTATTATTTTTAGATATCTTAAATTTCAAAATATTTTATTTATTTCTATTGTTTTGGAATAAATTTAAATTATTTTTGTATTCAAAGAGCTATTTATGCAATTATTGACAATAATTAATCTATTAAGACTATCTTATCTCTAATCATAATTGTAGTAATATTCAGTAGAAGGAATAATCGCAATATTATTGTGGTCATTAAGTATATTATTTTTAGTAATATGAATTTAAAAATGTGTAATTTTTTATATTGGTACAAAATTTAGGTCAGTAACAATAGTTAATAAATAAATATGTAATAAAATGTGTTAATAATAGGTTTTTTTTGTTAGATTTTATTTTACCTTAATATTTTTATCTTTTAAAATGAAAACTATAATATTTTGGGATTTTTTTTAAAAGCTGTAAACTATTAATATATTTTTTCAAATTTTAATTTGATATTACACTTTCTTCATGATAAAACGCATGTTAAATTACATAATTATTAATTAGGCTGAACTTTTTTTTGAATTTCTTATGCTGTTTATAATTTTAGATGTTTGATAAATTCAATGATCAATTAATTTTTTGATGGGGATTAAATTCTAATAATGCGATTATAAACAAAAATAGCTAAAATTTATGGTAATAAAAATATGCCAGATAATTAAATAAAATTTAAAATTTCTCTCCATAATACTGAATCAGTAAATTAAATAACTTTTTCTAAATTGCAATTAAAAAAAAGATTATAGCAAATTAATTTTAAAAATATGTTATAAAATTTCAAATATCCTATTTTGCTTTTTTGAATAGTATATTTATGCCTATTTTTTTTAATTTTAAAATGATATGAACAGTAACAATGTAGAAAAAATTATATTTTTCTATAATATTTTATCAATTAAATAAGAAAATTATAATTCATTATTTATTAGTAATTAAATATTTATTTTTTCTATAACTTTTCTATTTGGCTTCATTTAATTTGAAAAAATTCATTTAAAAATAAAAATGTATTTTTATTTACAAAGTATATCTGACATTTATTTATTAAAATTAAGCATTTTAGTTGATATCAGTGTAAAATAATATAAAAATAGTCTATTAAAAATTAATTATTGATTTTTTATCATAACTTTGAATTATCACTTTATTAAATAATCTAAAGTAAGTTCATAAAAATGAGTTCTTACTAGAAAACAGAAGCCTTTCTAGGACAGGTTATAATGTATTAAGAATTTAAAATAATAAAATTTATTAAATAAATATATTAAAAATTTTTCAAATTTGAATCTTTTAGAAATATATTTTTATAATCTATTAATTTTAGATTATTTGTTAATGAGGAAGATAAAAATTTTGGTAGTAGGATAGAAGTAATATTATAAAAATATATTGTAATTTATTTAATAATATTTTTATATATTAAATTTTATTTAAATATATTAATATAAAAATTATTTTTTTTCTGGTTTTTATTAAAATTTTAGTTATATTAATTAATAAGGATTTAGGGTTTATATACTTAAAAATATTATTTTAAATTATTCAACTATTCAAGGAGTACTTTTCTTTTAATGACTGAAAATCATAGTTACTTTTATTAATAACGATCAATTTATCTTAGCCAAAATTCAAAAAATTCTCACTGTCTTCCATTTTTTAGTTTTAAGTTTGATTGCTACTTTATCCTTTGCTTTCATTATCCACATTTAGAATATTCTTATTCAGCTTTTGAAGTACAACTTCTTTATTATAATTTTAAATACTCTAATATTTATTGTTAGATTTTAAATCATCTTCGCTTTCAGTATGATATTTTATATCTTCACTACTTTAACTCTTTATGATTATCTAATTCTCAACATCGCTTTTATTCTAAATATTACTTTATAATTCTTAGAATATAGCATTTTAATTCAGCTATTATATGTGTAAATTATTATTTTCATTTGTGTTATTTAAATGTTCTATTGGAATTTAATTATTTGTTGTATCACTTTCAGAATCATTAGGGGATTCTGATATAATCTAATTTTGAACAGTTCCCTAAATTTCTTCTTTCTATATTTACCTGCCTTCAGTATTTATTTAATCACTAGGGGAAAGAATTTCCTAATGAGTTAATATTTTTAGATTTATTAAATTATCATATATGTTAGATACTGGACTCGTAGGTGACTATAATTATTTATAAGTTCCAAAATTATCTTCAAAACGATTTGAAACAGGAGCTAATTCGAGAAGATTTCTATTTGTACTTAAATCTTAAATGATTGAAGTGCTTTTTAACCTATTTATATTTGCTTTTAAACTCTCATTTTACAAGAAGCTTTAAGGAATTTATTAGGCGACCATTTAATTTGGTGAGTGAATTAAATTTTAGAAAGCTATAATATTTTCGCTAGGAAATTCAAGGTTAACAGATTCCTATATATAATTTAAAATTTTAAGTAAAAAAACTAAATAAAATTCTAAAAAAATTACTTGTTAAGGGGTTTTTATTTGATCATCTTCCATTTTTGCATGTTTTTATATTTTATCCTCTTGATTTATTTAATTCATACCTGAAAAATTAATTTAGTTTTGAGAAGTAATATAATTTTAACTTCTTATTTTCATAGAACTATTTATATTTATTTTTGAACCACTTTTCATTTACTCTCTACCCTAAACAATCAAATCTATGATGTTCTCTAAAGGCACTTTAATCTTGCCTGTCCATGTATTTATTATATTTCTTTTTTTGAGCTCGTTTTATATTAACTTTACTACCTTTTGAAATTTATAAATTCTAGCTGTTTTTTTAGTATAAAAACATTAAAATGGAGAGAATTTGAAACAAACGAACTTAAATTAGAAGTATGTCTTTTAAACTATAGGAATATAAGCATAAGCTAGCTTCTTAAAACACCAAATTAAAAAGGTAGTGTTTATTATTCCAATAATAATTATTGAACTAAGTAACCAAATAGAATTATCTTTATTTTCATAAGCAATGAAAGCTAAGTAAATAGAAGCTGTTAATACAAATGTTGAATAGATATCTATCTTATTATAAAGCTATTCTGAATAAGGATGGACTTTAACCAAGAAAAATCCATACAGAGCAACTACTAGAAGAGTAAATAAGATCTATTAATTTAAAAATAGATTTTTATTTAAATTTGAAAAATAATAACTTAAAAAATAAATTACTTTGTTTGGGATAGAATATTCATATATTATAAGAATAGACATAATTATAAGTTTCATATACATTTTTATAAATTCCCAGTACCAAACTTTTCTTTTATCATTCATTTCATATTCTCCAATTATAAACATATAATTTTTCCTTTAAAGTATGGAGTCTTTTGATTTATAAACTTTATACATCATAAATCCTGGTATTATGAGAGTGATGATCAGTAATATTGGCAATATCAAAGATAATGACCATTAAATATGCTCATCCGTATAGCATGTGTACAACACATTATATTATATATACCTATTGTTTCCTAATCATAAAATAAACAAAATTTAAACTTGAAATTAGATTTAACAAATATACCTATCTGGCGACAGCTTAAAATACTAATAGCATCTTTATAAAGACTTGGCTAGAAATACATCAAGCAGTAAATCAATGAAGTAGAAATGTAAAATCTTTTTAAAAATAAATTTTTTCTGTATTTTATTAAACCAGTGATAATAAAAACTAATGCACAGCAAATAGGTAAGCACGTTGAAGCAGCAAATTGTATATATATAATATTTATTCCAGTTTCAACTGAAATTTCGTGGAAAAAACATTCAAAAGAATATAAAACTTGAATAGTTGGATTTGCTATCACATTTATTGAACTATTAAAAACATTTGGAAAATTAATCTAAAAAGTTGTTATAACCATGATAACTTAAAAGTAATTGATAATGAGTTTGAGCAAAATCGATGCATTTGCTTCTTCTCTCTTAATAGTTTTTTTTATAAATTAATGATTAGTTCCAGTTTCCTACTAGATTTAATCTTTCCTTTTGATGATAAACATAATCCTTTCTAGTACTCCATCAACACTTAGTTTAGCGCATACAATCTAATTGAAATAAATTTTAAATTATTATTTTTTAAAGTCTAATTTACAAAAATCTTACATATAAAACAACTAAACCTAACACTTTAAATGTATTGTTGACAATATCTCCACACTTTGAGCATTAGAAATCACCCTAACGAGAGTATCCATTTTATATATCACAAGATTCACAGAGAGGACCTATATGACCAGCATTACATGTAAAATTTTAAGTACCTCCTAAGCAATTGCTTTTCATATTTATACAATCTAATATTAAATCTGTTTAATTATTCTCTCTCCAAAACCCTTCATTAACGTTTATTACATCTCCTCCTAAGCAATCACTATTTTAAACACATTTTTGACACTCAAATACGGGTTCTTTAAAATTTGGCTGAATTAGAGAATACCTTAATTTAAAATAATAAGTAAAATGAATTTTATAAATATGAGAATTAATTACTATCCTTTAGGGCATACTGAGCATTCATATATTTAAAATAACTTATCATGATAAATGACTTAGCCTTTTTTATAGACCTCTCCTTAAATGCATTCTCTAAAATGAATATCAATTATGAAATAGTAATTATTTTCTGGATAGTTAGGATTATTTATAAATGGTGATGATAATTAAATGCTTATATATGAATTGGGAATTCCTGTAATAGTTAAATCAGTCAGATTGAAGTAATCAGAAAAAATAATTTTTTAATAACTGCTAGATATTTAGAATGCATTTTAATCATTGATATTGCCATAGGGCTGAACTTAAGCATAAATTTAAGAACCAATAACTTACTAGTATGAACTATCAATTATTTAGTTATTTTCATCAACTAGTTAAAAAATTAAGCTAGGAAGTTAACTTCCACTCACCTAATTTTTTATTTACAACCTTTCTATTCCTAAATTCTAGTCATACTTTATTTAATATTTTATATTATTTTTATTGCTTTACTATGTTAAATTCTAATTAAAGCTTAGCTTAAAAGGCCTAGAAAACAGGTTGCTACCATATTTTTAACCTTAAAATATTGTTAATAAATTATTTTAAGAATAAATTTTAATAATAATATTTACCTGCTGTGTTAGAAGAAATTCTTGTGGATGATGCTATTTATGGATCAAAACCTGTATATTATATACCTCCACCTAGAAAGCTTGCAGAATTATTCATGATTACAGAGTTTGAAATTTAAATCCAGTTAATAGCTTATATATTATTGCTAAGTGAAAATGAATTTAAGTAGATGCCACCTCCTTAGGTGGCATTATTATTTAAGAATCGTGATTTATATATTTGAATTTTCTAGTTTGCTTAAATTAGATCAACATTCTGATAAACGAAAAGACCTCCTCCTTCTTATTTGGATGTATTGTTTTAAAATAGTGAATTTGTAATATTAATTTAATTCATTTCATTTATTAAAGATACTGCTCCTCCATTGTTCATAGAAGCGTTGTCTATAAAATTTGATTAATCTATTAATCCAGTTGATTAAATTAGAGATAGAGCACCTCCAACACAAAATAAGTTACTACATTAATTTTAGTTCATTGTTAGTGAATAAATTTTAAATGAAGAAGATCCTCGTATTATAAATGTACTTAGGGTTTATGATTAATATTAACTATAAGTAAGTTAAGCACTAGATGTGTTAGTCTGCTAAATTTATCTAAGTGAATTTGTTTGTTAATAGCTATTAAAAATTTATGATAAAAAATAAATATACTTTCAATTTAAAAATAAGTTACCTCAATTAGCTTATGTTAACAAAATTTATTAAGATCTAGCTCTAAGTATCAACTAATAAAGCTCCTCCATCAGAAAAGCTTCCTTTAGTAATGTTAACATTATTCATATATCCTTATGATTATTATTGCAAATATAAGATGGAAGGTTATTGTTGGTTTGATTTAGAGAATATTTAAGTTAATTAAGAATTGGTTAAAGTAAAAATTGAATTTATAACTGAAAATAAGCTTCCTATACTTTAAAATTAACTTAACTGCTAAAATAAACTTTATTATTAAATATTGATTTGCTTTTAAGGATTATTAATATCTAATAAAGCATCACTTAAGCTAACATTCATATTATAGAATGAAAAAAAGCTACCTTAATTACTGGCAAATGTTTAATTTAATGAAGGGGAAGCTATAATAATATTAGGAATTTATGGAATTTTATTATTTAATCCTTTATTTATAAAATAATAAGAATAGATTGATCCTCCTTCCCTAGCTAATAGAGATGTAAATTAGCATTAGATGAAAGAAAAAGTAGTATTCGCAGGAGGATTATTTATGTAAACTGCTCCACCATATTATTAACTTATCATATTTGAAAAGGAACAACTTTTAAAATTAAAATTAGAGTTTGATGAAGATGGAGTGAGAGATATTGCTGCTCCATTATAGCTTGTGCCTCTATAAAAAGAATTATTGGTCATATTTAAATTTTAAGACTAAATTAACATAAAACCTCCATTTGTTCCTAGTAAAGGAGCATTTGTTTAAAATTAGTTATTTTCGAAATGATTAGTATCCATTGTTAAATTTTAAACATTCATATATAGTACTTCCTATTATATTAAATTATATTAATTTTAAATTGTTTTGAAATATATATTAGTAAATTAATAAAATATTAGCACCCTTATCATAATTGACTAAATTTAATTTTTAAATTTTTTTTTCAAAAAATACATTTTTTTTAATTTTGAGGGTCTAATAAAAATTTAAGTAAATTTATTCTTTTTAAAAAAAATAATATTTAAGCTTTACCTTAATACTCTAAGTATAGAAATTCAGAAATTGTGAATTAGTTAATGATGCCTATGAAAAAGGAGCGAGCAAGCTCAAAGTAGAAGCCATGTCATAAAAAACATTTAAAGGTGTTTGTAACAAGATGTTTGCTACATTTAAATTATTCAGAGATATCTGAGTATTTTACAAACTATTAAAAAATATAATTGAAGCCTAATTATACTCTATAAGAGTTGCTATTTTAATGTTCTTTATACTCAGTCCATCAATTTTAAAATGAGAAATTTATTATTAATTTTAGGATAAAAGTTAAGAAGTCTTTAGATAAATTAGATAATCATTTTAAATATATAAATTTTCTAATTTAGATTTAGTTAATGAAAACTATAAATTATTGTATTCTGTAATTTTTATGCATGCAGAATTAGGTTATGATTAATTTAGCCAGGTATTTTTATAGCTTAAAGTGTCAGCTTAAAACAAGTTTAGGAAAGAACTCTAATAAAACCCTATATTGATATTATCTGAGATATTTGCATTTTGAATGAATACTTATTAGATGTATTTAGTTTAAAAGAAAAAGTATTGTTGCTGTACAACAGTGCTAATAAAAGTATACGTATCATTAATCTAATTGAATGGTGGTTGTTAACCTTGACCTTGATCATTATTCACGACTTAAAGATATTAATTAAAAGTAGATTAATCATAATTATTTTAAAATACTTGATTTTATTAAATTGTAATTTATGTAAGATTAACATAAGTAGAACTCAGAATGGTTTGCAAAAACTCAACCTATAATATCAAGGTATTAATACTATACTCATAAATAAAAAATGCGTTTTATGTAATTGAGCTATTGCTTATGTTTGCAACAAAAAACTAAGATTAGTCAGTTTTACCTAAAAAAAATTTTTAATTATAAATATATTTTAATTCATAATAATAAATTTACCAAAAAGCATTACTGATTAAATTGCATTTTATTAAAATTAAAATCCTTAAAGAGTGATACTTTATGCACTAATAAAAGTACTCAATTATGGATTATTTTGAGATAAAGTAATCTAATTATTTTAAAACTTAATATTTGTAGCATTTAAACTTAATTAATTTGAGGCAGAAACAAAAACAGTTGATTCAAATTTGCAATTTTAAACAGTTATGTTTTCAAGTGTGAGGCTAAAAGCAGTTGAAGGGACCTGTATAAAATAATTAGCTCCATTGTAATTCTTATTTTAGATAGTTATATTTCTAAAATAGGCTGCAGAACCCTATAAAATCAAGAATTAATTGAAATTATCAATAATAGATTTGGTATTAAGTCTAATTTAGTTAATAAAAATTATTAAGTATGTTAACAATTAATAATAAATATATTTACATAGAGTAAGTCAAGATGCTAAATCTTTCAAAGCTACATATTTTATTTGCTATTTAGAATAGTGGCTAAGTAGGGTCTTAATAATTATCAAAATTAACTTTCCATTAAATATTTCTAAATGAAATTTAAATATAATTATCAAAAAAGTATGGAGAATCACCATAAATAGTAATAGGAGGTAAATTTTATTAAGATCCTGAAGTGTTAGATGGTAAAGATATGTTAAATGTGTGAATATTGAGTCTTAATGTTATGTTGTATTATATTAAGTATTGTTAGGAGACTATTTATTCATAATGAATATACTAAATATTGTAAACACTGCCACTTCCAAAATAAAAATATCTTTTTATTTATATGTTTGCTATATAATTAATAATATTTGAGTAGTAAAGCACCTAGTTGTATATTTATTCTTATCTAATTAATATATTGGATGTGGTATTTTGCAAAATATCTTACAAATTATTTGCAGGTAAGGTGTTAAGCATAGTTTTTATCGAGCAGGTTGTATTAAAACAGCTTTAATTGTAGCATTAAGGAGCATATATCCTTTTTGTTATTTTTAATAAATAAATAAATAAATAAATAAAAAAATAAATAAAAATTAATTTTATTGAATGATAATTACTTAATAATTTAACCATCTGACATTATTTAGTAAAGAGAGTTATCTGAAGATGTTGAAATAAATCTAGAATTACTATCAGAAATATTGTATAAAGTAAGGAACTAATTTAAAGATTAAGAAGTCATATTGTATTATAAGTAATCTATATTATTATTATATTATACTACTAATATATTTTGTGATTACATGTAGTAAATATTATTGTATGTCAAAAGAGATTTAACTGTAGGGTTTGAGGAACTATTTACGGTGAATAATAATGCTAGTTAAAGATCTAAATTTTAATTTTAAAACCATATCTAACTATATGAAATTAAAACAGTTATTAATGAACCATCACTCATACTTAGTTAAATAAACATTTGATTTAATGGGTTAATTATTGTAACTTTTTATATTTAAACTATATCTGCTACCTAAGTCAAAGTAGAAATCTATTATAAAGTTATAGTTGTATTTTGAATGCTAGAGGGAGTATTGAGAGCAGGTTTTATTACCATAATTGAGCTCTAAAATACAACAAACATATTTTATACTGAATCTTTTACAAATTATAGAGGTGCGTTACTAATAGAAGATAATTAGTAAAAATTGCTATTTGTTTTAAACACAGATACTCCTTTAGAGTCTATTATGTATATATTTAAGCTTATTTATATAGATTGAAGAATTCTATTTTATTTATGAATATTATCTGAAGAAGTAAGATATTATTATTAATTTTCTTTTAACAGTAGTCTATTTTATTTTTGATTCGAAATACAGTATTAGCTAAATTAAAATGGTTGTGTCACAAGAAGTGTTACAACATATTAATTATTCAATTCAGAAGTATAAGAAAGCATTCCAGGAATAAGTAAAGGGTTTAAATTGTCTTTTTGTACATCTAAAATATATGCTTGATTTTTAGTATTTAAAGATAAGATTTTGACAGATGTAATATTTGGAGCAGGATTAGGGATTTGTGGAGGACATTTTGATCCTTAGCTTGGGTTTAGATAATATGAATTTGTAACACTGGTTAAAGTTAAAAAACTAGGGGGAGTAGAAAACACAACAGTTTATTCTACAGTCATTTAATTTTATTAACCCCCTTGATAATTTTTATTTAAATTTTAAACTCTTTATTAACTTGTTAAATTGTACTAAAAAAAAAAATATTATTAATTATTTTATTATCCTTATTAGCCTTGTTTTGTTATGCCTATTAAAGTTTATGACACATTATCAAATAACATATCTCCTATAGTTTATCCATTCATTCCTAATACGAATAAAATTAATATTTTTTTAATATAACAATAAAGAATCAAATAAATTAAATACCTATTCCAATTTTACTATAAAGAGGTGAGATTTATATATTTTAAGATTACTGTTAAGTAGATTGGGAAATCAAATTAGGATCTTAAATATCAAAAGATTCAACTAATCCTTATGATGTGCCGATAACTAAAACAGATGTATTAGGGATTTATAACATAATCAAGATACTACCATTATTTTATTAAGAAACATTAATCAAATTACTATTTGAAATTGAAAACTTTGAATTGATTAAATCATTATTTTCAAAAATAAAGATAGATTAGGATTATAAAGAGAAAATCACATAGTTTTTATTATTCATATAGATATTTTATATTCCCATAATAATATTTGTGCCTATTTTATAAATTAATTAATTAATTTTATATTTAAATACTCTAAAATAAATCTATCTATTAAAATGAATAAATTTATTAATTTAATTTTCAGTTTAAAATATATTTTACCCATATTTTTACAAATTATTGGATTATGTAAAATCGATAGTGTATCTACTCCATAGCTTGATCCTGCCAAATTTGAGGCTTTTCCAAAATCATAAACACATAGACTATTTTATTATAAAGGTAATGGAGAACTAATTTAATTTGCTCCACCTCCTCCTCCACCACCTCCTTATTAACCTTATCCTTACTAAAAATTAGTAGCTGCTCCGTAAGAAATTAAAAGATAGTTAGTGGAATTCATTAACTTAAATGCGTTTACAGATGCAGGTAAAACTATTGGGGATACATAATCTAAGGGTTTTTGTTAATTCAATATGGATAAATTGATTAGATAAGAATATATGCTAGAGTAAAAACCAGAATTAAGAGCTATAATTAATGATGCTGTTCCTCCAGATATGATCGAAGCGAAATTTTAATTTGGATTAACTGCATAATCTTCTATAACTTAATATTAATTAATTGAATTCTAAGAATTTGTTCCAAAAATTCCTTGTTATCCCTTAGAAAGACCTTGAACTTAAACTATTAATTTAAATTAAAAATCAAATAAAATATTTTTTCAGATGTAAGATTTGAAAAATAAATTAAAATCAAAATTTTTGGCTAATTAATTTTTTAGAAAACTAAAATTTAATCACAGACATATTTAATTATTTTATAATTAAAGAAATTAATTACTTAAATAATCCTAATTATCTGTAGAAGGATAGAAATTATTATCTAGAGAAGAAGGTTTTATTTGTATTGTCTATGTATTTTTATTATTTAAAATAATTAATGAAGAAGGTCTTTATGGATCTCTTTATAATTATTGCTATTTAGTCCTACTTAAATCAACCCTAATTAATGAAAGAAAGACTGTATTTTATCCTATATTTTAATGTGAAAATGAATGGCTATTTTATTTACTAAAGAAAAAAAACCTTGATTTTGTATGCCTAATATTTCTTATTTCAAAGTTAAATCAACAATAGAAAGTCTTTATTAAGTTAAGGTTGCTCTGATTAAATTTGGATAAAAAATTTATCCAAGGATAGGGGGATTAGCAGTTATTGTGGTTTGTTGGATACCTCCATTAAAAACATCATAAATATAATTATATCCTTGAGAATCGCTAACACTTATTAAAGTGGTTCCATCTATGTATACAATACTTGTTACAGAGGCTTAATTTCCTAAATTATGATTAAAAAAAATGATGAAATTATGAAGATTTTATAATTATATAACAAATAAATCATCAACAGCTAGTAATATTTACCTCCAAAACTTTATATTTAGAAGCAAGGAGACGATTCTGATAAATCTAAACTCAAGCATGCGATATTCTAAAGATAGGACACGATGGTAATATATAAAATGTAAACTAGTCTTTTATATTAACTCATTTGAATAATTATTAATTAATTTTTTGTTTTTTGTTTACTTCTAATTATTATTATTTTTTACTTCAAATAAATAAGATTTACAGTTAATAAATTGAATGTTAAACTTTTGTAAATTTATCTATGTTTAATAAACGCTTGAAAGTATAAGATTAAATTGTTTACAAATAATTTAGTAAGAATGTATAAAAAATAAAGATATGTTGTCGGAATTAAGAGTTTGATTAACAAAAAAATGTAATAAATATAATTTAAAATCTATTTCATTATTTATTATTTTTATTTACCATAAATAAATTTCAAAATGCTTTTTTTTTGTTTTGAGATAAATCTTAAGCTGATTTATGTGTTCTAAGAGTTTTTTTGAAATTATTAAATGACCTTATTATTGTAGTAATTAAGTAAATAGTTTTTAGCAATATAAATTTACTTTTTTCTTCTAGGAAGTATCCTTTTTAATATTAGTGCAAAATTTAAGGGATCAATACCTAAAAAATAACAATGTAATAAAATGTGTTTTTTTTTTTTTAGATATTATTTTACCTCAATATTTTTAATTTTTAAAATGAAAACTCATAAAATTTTCTGATTTTTTATCAGAAACTGTAAGCTGTTAATATGTTTAAAAATTTTTCAATTTGATTTTTGCGTTTTCTTCATAATATAACCCAAATTAATTTTCTTATTTAAAAATTAAACCTTACAATTTTTGAATTTCTGATTATTTTTTAATTTTAGGTGTTTGATAGCTCAAAATGTTAATTATTTTTTTACTGAAGATTCAATTCAAATAATACAATTATAAACCACAAATATATCAAATTTGTGGTAATAAAAATATATGACATAATCAAGTGAAAATTAATATTTTTTCACTAATACTCCCACCAATTAATTAAATAACTTTTTTACAAAATATATATAGAAACGAATATTAGAGTTAGAGTAATTTAATTTAATAAAATTATGTTGTTAAATTTCAAATATCCAATTTTGCTTTAATTGACTCAATTATTACTGTCAATTATTTTTATTTAAATTTAGAAATATTCTGAACAGTAACAGAATAGAAAAAATCTAATTTTTCTCAATTCTTTTATTAATAAATGAACAAGATTCTATTTCAGTAACTATAAATATGTAAATCACTTTTACTTCTATTAATTTAATTTCTGACAAAATTTAATATGTAACAATTCATTTAAAAATAAAAAATGTTTTTTGATTTACTAAATATGTCTGTCTGGCATTTATTTATAAAAAAATTAGCTTTTAAATCCAAAGCAGCGTAAAATGTGAAAATAGATTATTAAAAATTAATATTGATTTTTTATCATGCTTTTGGGTTTTTAATTAAATTTTATTATATAATATAAAGTAAACTCATTAAAAAGCCAAAAACAAACTCAAATTTTTTCCTTATTTATAAAGAATTATCAATTTTTTTATTAAGAGCTAAATAAAATTAAGTTGTGATCAATAAACTAAAGTAAAAACAATAAAAAAAAACAGCTTAACATTTTGGATCAAAATAGATATTAAAGTATGTGTTTATTTACAGACTTAATTTTTAAAAGGATGTAAGTATTTTTTTTAACCTTCCAACAAAATATATCTATTAATTAATAACTGATAATATGTCATTTAATTAAATTTGTAAATTTAGATCACAATTTGTAACCTAAAAAATATCAAATAATAAATTTATATTAATCGTCATACTAAAACGAAATTAAATTAATTGCTCTATAAAAGAAATAAAATAAAAATTAAACTTACAAATTTAATTACAAGAATGAAGTTTCTTTCAAAATACTTTCAGGGATAATTATTAATTTGTTTAATAGTTAATTTTTAAAATAGTAAAAATAATAAATTCTATTAAAAGAAATGAGATATAATAAAGATTTATATTTATTTATTTATTTAAATTACTTTTAAACTCTTTAAGCAACTAAAAATTTTAAAAATATGATTTTTTAAATAATATACACTTATCTATTTTGTAGAGATTATTATTTTTTAATTAATATTTAGTGTTACTTGTCTTTTTTGGCTTTATCTTAGGATAGAAAAAAATTTATTAAATTTACAGAGCTAATGTAAAATAATATTTTCAATAATTTTTCAAAATTAAGCCTTTATTAGTAAATATATTATGATATGCAAATTTATTGGAAAGTTTATAATATGTTTCTTTAGTTAAATATTTTAGCAAATAATAAATATTAACTTATTTAAAAAAATAAATTAACAGATAATAAATATGTTAAATATTCTATTCTCTAATTAATGATTCATCATCTTTACTATGGTAGTGAATCATAACATTTTTTACAAAACCCAAAGTCATTTTCAGCAGGTTTTATTTTGCATTTTTCACAAGAGAATTTTTGCTACTTTGTTTTGGATATTTATTTTTGTAAGGAAGGAGCTTTTGGTCTATTTGACTTTGCTCTTTAAATTTAAGGCATTTCTATTATTAAAAAATATAAATCGTTAAAATTTTATAATTGGTGATAAGTTTTTTTACCATTTCTAAAGTCTAATAGCATTTTATTTAAATAATCAAGTACTTAGTTAGTCTTTTATTCAACATCTTATTTATATTTGGTGAATTGAGAATTTATGTCCTTTTTAATTGAGGAAAAACTCAAATAACTTTTATAAGCTAATAAGTCTTCAAAAATATTTAATTAAGACTCAACTTAACCTTGCTAAAATTCAAAAAATTCTATTTTATTATCTTCTATATAATATCCTATAGGATATGTATAAGCGGTAGCTTTCTTGGCCTCTATTTTTTTTAAATTTTATTTTATGTTAGCTTTTTATAAATTATATCTAACAAATAAATATTTATACCAATTAAGACTTCGTAAGCAGCTTAATAAAAATCCAAGAACTTTTCTTCAATAATTATCGAATTTAATAGCTAAAATTTGAATTGAGTAATGTTTTCTTTAGCTTCTTTTGTTGTTAACTTAACTGCCTCTATGTGATCTTTGAATCTATCAGAATAAAAAGTATATCTTTTCAGATTCTTTTCATCCTAAGTTAGCTTAGAGTTTGTCTCTTCTTTGTACTTGTTGCAGGAGTAAAAGTCATTATGATTAACATACTCACCTAGACAAAGCCAACAAAAATGGAATTTACAATTAGTGCAATGCATATGCATACAACCTTTATTTTTCTCAATTAATACTTAGCATCTTGGGCATTTTTTTGTGTTTAAGGATAGCCACATTTAATCCATTCCTGAATCAGTCTATCCAGTAATTAATTTAATCCATTTTCCAAGCATTTAGCAAGTACAAGGTAGATGGGCATCTTCATAACACTATAAATAAAAATTCAATATTTCAAACACATATTATAATTATATAAAATGATTACTAAATTGCAGAAATATCCTCCACACTAACATTTTATATTCAATTGCTAATTAAGGAAGTGCTTTTTTGATGTATTATACGAAATGTAGTCACAATTAGGATGAGGACAAGTAAGTATCTGTATTTTCAATAATAAAAGTATAAAATAAATCCTTTTATGAATAATATTACTAATTTGTTTTTTTGTAGTATGTCTTTCAGTATGAATTTAAATATAACTTTCTACTCTTACTCACTACTTAAAAACTTCTTGAACTCATCAAATCCTAGTCTTTCTTTGCAGCCGTCCATTGGACATTTCTTAAATAATATTTCAATCCCCTCTTTAAAGCAAGTTTTAACATATTACTAGAAGCAACTTGTACAAAAGTAGTGATTACAATATAAAGCATATCTATTTGCATTGGTTAACTCATCAAAGCATAATAAACATTCCTATAAATTAATATTTCATAAATATCAAATTAATAATGAATGGTATTTTACTTTGGAGTTTTTAGCTGCTATTAGCTCTTTAGATTCGCTATAATAAATATCGTACATAATTTCATCAGGAATGTCAGCACATTTTTTAGAATTATAGGAGTTAAAGCTTAATAGCATAAATGCACGCCCTTTAGAAATATCATTTTATTCAGCGATACTTGCTATATCATCAATAACTTATTTAACAAACGTATCCATTTGCTAACATTAAAAAATTTTATTTTTGCAGGCCAGAAGCTATTAATCTTTAAAAACATATTTTATAGTAGTAATGATTTATATAAAAATATTCCTAAATACCCTATTCTTTTGATATATCTGCAAAAAAATCCATATCTTTTTACTCTTCTTCTTCATCATATTCATATTCATCATCATCGTCATCATCATCATACTAGTATGTTTAATCACAATCATAATCGTAATCACTCATTGCTTTAATTTTTTTATTGTAATAGCTATTCTATATAAAGTTAATTAATTTGTGAAAATAATTGATTGATTTAATTAATTAACCTAAAAATTATTATTGATTTATTTTTAAAGAATTGATTGTTATACTTATTTAAGATATTTAATCAGAAATTTAGTGTTAATTATTAATAAAAATATATTTTATGATAAATATCTAATAATGCAATTTATTGATTAATGATTAACAAAAATCTATAAAAATAAAACAATATTAGCAGCAAAGATAGATCAATTAATTCAGTAAAAATAGAAATTTAATTTAAATTTAGTTAATGAAAATTTAGTTTTAAAATTATAACAATTAAATAGAATAATTGTTTTCTTATTCAAAATTGCAATATAATAGTTTTTAAAAAATCTATAATATCTTAAAAATTAGCTGACTTTGTTTTACAAAATCAAATGCATTTATTCAGATTGCAATTACAAAAATTAACTAAATTAAAATTTTGAAATTAAAAGTTTTTTTGTTTAAAATTTATAGTAATTATAAAAAATAGATATAGTATTCCATTAAAACAAAAAATGTCATCTACTTATGCTGATCCAAAAAGTTTTTACAAGTAAGGCAACGAATGTATTATTCAAAATAGATCTGTTTAAGATGGGTGGCTATAAGGAATAGATTAGAATGAGTACTTTAATTATTTGTATAATGCTTTGTACATAATCAAAAAGTAGAAACTTGTAGATTAACAAAGTTAATAATCTTAATACAATTAGTACGTTATTAGCGAAATTGAGCGCGTAAAACAAAAAAAATATAGCAATGAAGAGTTAAAACAGCTAACTACTTCTTTTAACTAAAACAATTCTCATTTAGAAGTTTAGTTGATGAAACCAAAAAAAATGTTTGAAATGGAAAAGATTGGTAAGGCTATCATGTTATTTTTTTAAGAACATTATTTATATTTATAAAGCTTAAAAAGCAGTTTAATTCTAATATATTAGTTTTTTGATAAAAAACCATTTTATAGACTAATATTTATTCTTAAAAATAGGTAAAAAATCAGGTAGCGTTGTTAGAAGGCTTATTTTTTTTGAAAATGATAAATTATATTAACTTAAAAGTAATTTATTTATATAAATTAAATAAATACATACGTTAAAATTTTAATTTCAAAATTAAATAATACAAATTAATAAAAGATAATGAAACAACAAAACCTATTAAGCGTCTTTTAGAGTTTCCCAAATCATTTATTCTCCAATCATTGGTATAAATTATGCTATTAATTATTAAGCTAAATTAATTTGCATTATAAAGGATCAGTATGAAAATTTGAGTGCCAAAGAAAAAGCTAATTAAGTAGCTTGGACAAAAGGAGTTAATAAAAAAATGGCAAGAATGTTAATGTCACTGCAATCAAGACCAAAAGGAATTATAGTTTATTTTGATTTGTATGAAGATGGTATTATGCTAAGGGATTTTTTGATCTCAAGTAATTAATAATTGTATTTATTTTATTTTCTATTTGTAAAAATTGTTTTGAATTTAAATAGTGAAAGTTAAATAGTAATTCGATAGATTTAAGATATGTCTATAGAAAGTTTCTTAGTAAATATGTAGAACAACTGCAGAAAAAGTAATTATTAGTTTATTAGATAAAAAAAAATAATATTTTTTATAATTTCTTAATTAGTTCAGATAATGTTTGTAGAAATCAATTTAGATTAACACACAATAAAATTAAAAAGTACTTATCCAAAAAAATAGATTTTTAAACTATTTTGATAGTATCATCTTAAAAAAGTTTACAAATTAGATTAGAGATAAAGCTTATCATAAGAAATAAAAAGAATAAATTTATCAATCATAAATTTAATAAGCTTAAATTTAGTAGTCATAAATATAATCGACATAAATGTAGCAATCAGTAGCATAATCAACTAAAAAAGGCTAAGAATATGAATCCAACATACATACAATATAATAATCTCCTTCGGTGAGAGAACCAGCAAACCCAATTTATTATAAACAATACACAAATAATAGCTTTTAGGAGAGTAACAAAAAATAAAAATTAGATTAAATAGGGAGAATAAACCTACTTCAAAACACTAAAGAATTGGAAAACTATGACTCTTACTTCATAAATAATTTTATCTATTAATGGAGAATTTTAGCTCAAGAAAAATAACAAAATATTTAAAAGTAAAAAAAAGAAATCCATTTAACTCTGAAGTAAATTGAAATAGACTAAAATTTAAATTTTATTAAGCCACTTTTAGTTATAAAATTAAAAAAGGTATTCTTTTTTTTTTAATTTATACTTTAAAAATATTATTTTTAATAAGAATACTGATGATGAATAGCTTAGAATTATTAATGGAATGTGGTAAGCTACTTAAGGCGATGGAGAATATTTTAACATCCAATTGTAATGTAAGATCAAATCTAGATCTGATTAATCTTAAATTGTTTGGACTTTTTAAAATGATGATTTAGAATAACAGTAGTTGGCTTCTAAATAATTATTTTAAAATAGATTTAACTCTTAAGTGAACTCTAGTGATAATAGTTAAAGCGAAATAAAACTTATATTAGAAGAATATTAACCTTCAGATAGTATTTAAATAGAGCTCAGAGATTAAGGAGTGAATAATCAAGAAAAGGCTTACATTACAAAATAATTAAGTGAGTTATACAGTGATGAAGGAATAGGAAAAGTATTATTTGTTGATCTCGATTTTAGAGATACAACCTTTTATTCTCATTCAAGCATTCCAATAATATAAATAGAGAGTTATCTCTCCCCTTCAATTTATTCTACATCTTAAAATCTTAACGATGATATTGAAGCATAAATTAATAAGAATATGCCTATTATAGATCCTCTGTATGGAAACTTTGTTTAACTACCGATTTTGACTAAAAAAGATGTTAAATCTATGAAAAACGTGCTTAATAAGCTCAACTTATTAAAGAGTGATTCACATCGAGCAGTTACTAAAGAAAGTTAATCAAAAGAAGCTGAGGAAATGATTAGTATTAAAAAAAATTTAATCTATTTTATGTCTAAAAACATATGTATCTCGAACTCTCTTCTAAAAAGAAACATAGAGTTGGTAGTTTCCATTGAAGAGGAGCTTTTGAATATAAAAGAAACAGCCCCTAAAAATTTGTAGCTTTAGGGTCATCTTTCAATTCCACAACATACTTCAAAAGATGATGAAAAGTAAATTTAAATACTCTTATTTTAATATATTCTAAATAAAAAATTAGGGAAGGATAAACATTGTTTTCTTTGCTCTAATAATATTCTGATAGAAATGTCTTAAAGTTAGCATCTCCTTAAACATTATAAAAATTAGAAAAACTCTTTAAAGAAGGTATTAAATATTTGTTTTTTTTTTGAATTATTTAAACCAAATTATTTATAATTATTGCAAAAAATATTTCAGGTTTACCTAACTATTTAAGATTAAACATGTGGATGAGTATTTCGAGAATATAAGAAATAAAATTTCTTTACCAAAAAGGGAATCATGATTTTTCTAAAATAAAATAAATCTATTCTATCAATCAAGAAGTAAATCCTTTCACTTCGACTTACTAAAAAGATAAGTTTTAGTAAGCATCTCAATACGATTAAATTTTAAGAAATTCAATCGAAAACCTTGGAGTAATTCAACAAGAAATGAGAGAAAATTTAAAGAACTACTTTTCAAAAGCAGTATAAAGAACTTCTTCTCAACTTTCATTCAAATAAATTGATAATATTCTGAATGCATATATTTATTGGAGTTCTATAATGAGCAAATAAGATTCTGCTGATGCATCATCTGATAATTTTATTGTCTATTCTCCTAATTTAATCCCTATTTGTGATAAATTGGGTTAATTAGCTTTGTCAACTAATTTTAATTAGGTATTTTTTATTTAAATTACATTTCATTTAAAAATTTTTAAAAATAATTAATTACATATTATTTTAAAATAATTTTAAATGAATAAAATATAAGATTTAATAATTGAAAGTTTTTTAATTGTTTTTATCTAATTTAAAATATGTTATTTGTTTTTTTTTAACTGAATTAATATAAATTAAAAGTAAGAAAACTAAGAATCAGAAGCTATTCAGTAGCAAAGAATAGAAGAAGATGTTTTTTGGACTTTAATATCTTTAGTGTATTTTGTACTTCCAAGATATTATTTATTTCAACCTATAAACTAACAAAACGTACCTGGAATTAAAGATACTTGCACTAACAAATAATATATGCCTAAAATGTATACACCACAGCTTTCCAGTAAGATGATTGGAATCAAATCTGATATGACACTCCTTAAAGTTCTCTTAAGAGATTTGAATTTAGATTTGCTCAAGCACCTAAATTTAATTGGGCTACCTGTAGAATATTATTTTTACAATCATTTTTTGAGTGCATTTTGTGACCTTTTCCATCCTGAGACTGTTTACAGAATTTGGGACATTTTGTATTATGAAGCTTCACTTGGTTCTGAAGTAATTTAATAAAATATTTTTTTATAAATTATTAACCTTCTTTGAAAATTAAAAGGGTCATTAATCTTATATTATCATTAGTATTGCTTATAATCTACTAGAATCAGCTTAATATGATTTATTTTTATGTAGAAATCCAGAACAGGCAGAATAAGTTTTGAACTTTTATGGTAAATATATTTTTTTTGCAAATAAAATTACATAAATTAAAATATTTAACTAAACAAAAGCATATTTTGCTCTAGTACCTAACTTATTCATAGAAAATGTACTAAATTTATAACAAAAGATTATATAAAAACATAGCATTTACATGAATATTATAGTAAATTTTGAAGATGAATTAATAATTTATTATAAAAATTAATTGATAAAAAACTGCTTACTGAACGATTTAACTCACGCAAAAAATAAATTTGCTTCATGTGAACCTGTAAAACTTTCTGAACTTAAATAAATTATTTAGAGTATTTATGAAGTAAATGGACCTAAAAGAAAGAAGGGAACCCTTATTCAAGCTAAGATTAAGCAAAGAGACAGCTTAGAAATACCTGATTAATTTGATGAAATAGACTATAATAGATATCGTCTTAAAGATAATACAAATTTATAAAATAAAACAATTGCTGCAAAGCTATATAATCCTTACTACAATACAAGTGGTATACAATTGCCTACATCTAAGGCCCCTTCGAATAATTCTAGCATGCATAATATTTCTAACTATAACAGTGCATTCAACCAAAATAATCATCATTCTATCTATCAAAATAACTAACTTCAATCATATTTAGAATTCGGTTCAACAAGGATTTAAAGCAATTCTCCTTTTCCTTCTTCAAAACCAAGTGCTCTAAAGTAGATTTAAATTTAAAAATTCTTTATATATCTCCATCAATTAAGATTGTTTTGGTCTGATTGCTCAGAAATTCAATTAGAATTAGTGTATACAGAGGATTAAAAGTAAGAATTTAAAATTATTGTTGATACTAGTGTGCCTCTTAGCTGCTTCTTCCCATTTATATATATAGAAGGCTATGATAGATTAAATTTGTATATTTACTAAGATGACTCTGCTAGCAAAAGTATAGTTTTATTAAATGAAAGAGTACCTATTTTAGAAGCAACGATTGACCTTTCTAAATTTATAAACGATTATGTCATAAAAACATCGTTTTACTTTAAATAAAATCCCAATCATCCTTATAACAATTTGTTTGAAACAGATGAAACTTGTGTTGAAATAGATTTGTCTATTTTATTACTTTCAGATAGGCTTAAAAACTAATTGTATTAAAACTATGTTTCAAATGAACCAAATAACTCAGCTGTAGCAGCTTTGCAGTAAATTCAAGGTGAATATGAATATCCCTCTAATCACATTAATCATTTCATTTTATATGGGGAATCTTCTCTTGGTATTGATTACAGAGTTCTCCTAAACCTTTTTTAGCAAGATATCTCAGATACACCTTTCTCTGGCTAGATATCTAATTCTGTTATAGATCCTTCATATAAACAAGCATGGAAAATAAGTAAATAATTAAATATATTTTTTAATAAAAATTTTTTAAACAAAAAAATAAAATTTCAAGATTCAACCATAAAATTTGAAGAGCTTAAAGAGTTGATAGATAAGTCTTCTAAATTCTTTGGCTAATCAAACAGCTTGTTCATAAATACTAATTTACTGAGGGCTTTTTATAATAGTTACTTCTAAATCAGCAACAAACATTTTTCTTTATGTGAAGCTCTACTAGATATGACTATATTTTGCAATAGCACATTACTTGAAAAGCTTGATTTGATTTTTGATTTATTAATTTGCTTTGAAGGTGTAAAAAAAAGTAATTTATTCAATAAAGTAAATTTAAGTATATGAATAATGTATTCAACATAATTAGATGAAGAATCAATTGGTTTAAATTCAGTTATGGAATTTGTTAAACATATATATGACTCATATTTAATTTACTTACCTGATAATTAAATTTATGATATGGTAGAATATGTAATGACAGGGTAAATAAGTACAATAGTTAAAGCTTAACTTTTGGTAAAAGATTCTTAGTTGAATATCGATATAACTGATGAGCTCATATTCTTGATGAATGTTAAGAATTTACAAATAAAAGTAATTTATTTTTTTTAGCAAACATTAAATATAATTTTTATATCTAATATAGAGTAAAGATTTTATATTAGGAGATTCGGACAACTTGAGAATTTTATAGTCACTAGTCAATCATAGATTGCAAGCGCTTTTAAGCAACACTTAGTATTCTCAATTTTTAATTTAGATAAATTACCGCTCTGAGGGTACACTTCATGTTTATAGTTGTCTACTAGAAAAAGATTGGTCTCTTTCAAAACGTTAGACCTTTGACGAACTATCTGAAATGGTTATAAGAAATAACCCAGGGTAATATATCTTTATTAAAATAGTTAAATTTTATTAATATAAAATATATAGGTATAAGCCACTATAAACTGTTATGAGAGAGAATTAAAATTTACTAAGTATAAATGTTTCCAAAACTTAAATTAAAAAAGAGACATTTATAAATGGAATACTGAAGTTGCCAGTGATACATCACTTAATTAATTATCAAAATTCTATTTTTAATAAAGCAAATTAAATTCAAAGTTTGAATTTGCAAGATTTTTCAATTCCATAATAATTAAATGGTTATTTTTAGCAGATTTAGGTAAAATTTAAATTTGAACAAAAAGAAAAATATTCATTTTTAATGCAAAATAAATAGATCGTTTTTAAGGTAATGAAAAATAATGAAGAAGAACTACTCAAAATAAAGTTTATCGATAATAGACGAGAGAGTACTGAGAGATATACTGCTGAATCCAATTATTATAGTTATACACCAAGGAGCAATTTAGACTAATATCCAAATATTTTAAAGTCTTACATCCCAGAGCAAAAAGACTTTAGATATAAAGATATCCTGATTCTAACAAAATAAAATTTGTTCTTTGAAATAAAGAATAAGTAAAGAATTTAAAAAGAACTAAGAATTCATAATAGGTAAAGAACTTTAAGTTAAAGTTAATATGTTAATAAAACAGTTTTATACCTCCATGCTAACCCATTTGATACTTTAGAAGAGATCTTACTAAATATAGAAATCTTGATATTAAAAGAAATTTCTAATTAATTAGATGCTGGGTATTGCAGCTTAAAGTGTCTTGATATAGAAAATACAAACATTGAGCTTTACCTAAACGAAGGAAATATTATGAATCTGTTAGATTAATCTTTATTCAAAATAGCACATTAGCTTCCATAGCAAGTATGATTTATAATTTCTAAATTAATATTAACAAAAATTTTAAAATAGGAATACATATATAACATAATATACACCTACGATGATTGTTATAAATTGTAAAAATAAAAAGGAGTATTAAATATGCCTTAAAATTATATTAAAAAAATTGACAATAACTTCAATTAACTATGCAAATAATATTATACTGAATTTTTAAGCGAATATGTTCCATGTAAAATAATAAAAAAAGTTAAAAGCTAAAAAAGTAATGATAAAAAAATAAAATATTATATGGTAGCACTTAAAAGTAATCCACAAGGTAATAAACTAACTCATCATATTATTATTAATTAATTCTATTTTAAAAAAGGTTTTGCTCTTAAAAAACCAAAAGATGTACTTATTGTAGACAAGTCGGCCATAGAGTTTATGCCTTTAACGACACTCGAATCGCTATATCCTTAATGAATTTTTTGATATTATTTTAAATAATATTAAATTTAAATTTTTATTAACAAAATATTTAGTTAAATTGTTTAAATCAAAAAAATTGATTTATCCTAACTAAAAAATGAAATTTCTTAAAATAAATATTATCACTTATAAATTATATGGGTTTAAATTATGTGTTCTTAACAACATTTTAAAAAATTTAATATACTTTGATAAAAGATAAGATCAGCATTTGTATTTTTTGTATCACAAAATCCTCAATACTTTAACTTAAATAAATTATATTTTTTTATAAATTTTTTTTATATCTATCTAATTTTGATTCCTTTTCTGTCATTAATAATTTACTAAGTTTATTAAAGTTAATTTATAATATGAAATTAATGACAAAAAAATATATTACATATATTTAAATTACTGTATGGCAGATTAACCAAAAATAATTTTTTATTTTTTAATAATTTAGCTAATCTTAAAATCCAAATTTTAATGTGCTAATTCAAGTTTAGCAACTTAAAAGATTGGTCTCTTTTTAACTACTGCTTTGTATTTTAATAAGAAAGGAAAAATGTCTTACTTGTAAAGATCAATCAATATCTCAAATTTAATTTTATCTATGAACGAAGTATCTTTTTATTAATAATGTAGTTAATATTAAAGCATATAAAATTGAAATTCCTAGGATCATATAATAATACTATTTTATAAAACTTGAAAATTCTTTCTTAAGTTAAAACAGAATTATTAGAATATGTAGTATTATTATTTCTATAAGGTATCCTATTTCTTTTATAAGATATTTCATCTTTAATTAGAAGTCTCTTTAAGTAAAAGTATCAGTTGGGATGTTAAAAGCTATAAAATACAAATAGCTATTCTAATAATAGATCATTCTTACAAGTAAATCTTAAAATTTAATTTCTAAAAAACTTATTATTATCTTAAACCCGATAATATAAGCAATATTAATAAATCTCTATGAAACTATTAGAATTTAGAGTCCAAAAATATTCAAAAATGCAAGCATTTAAACTAAAAAAGCTGTAAATAATTTGGCTTATTTTTATTAATTATCCTTTATTACCAACAAGTAAGTAAGATGGATTGATTAAAGTACAAGTTAAGTTATCTTAAAAACTGCATCTATGGTTTTTTCTTCTATTGATATCTATTAGAGGAAAGAAAGGTAAAAACTAATAAAGCATATTTGTAAAATATGTTTAAAGGATTATAAAAAAAAGTCATACTATCTCTTACTCTTTATACATCTATAGAAAGGAACACTTTTGTGAAATATAATTAAATACACTTTAGTTTAAATTTCCTCTAATTTTGATTTATTTAAAAATATTTCAAAGTTAAATATCAAACCTTGTAGCAAACCTAGTAAAATATTATATTTTAAAGTGTATATATTGGATATACTGTTTAAAAGAAACTCAAATTTAACTGCAAATACTTTTAAGCTTTCTTTACTTTTTCTTTATTTTTTAGAAAGTTTTTATTTCATTTTCCTTTCCTTTAAATATCTTCTCAAATAATTTTTCTTTATATATTTTGAATATTTTTGTATTAAGAATATCAAATATATTGGCTAACAAGCATTTGTCACCTTTAAATTAATATTTTCTTTTATAGCAACTATTTTAAATTTTAAATTTATACAATTATTCACTAATTCAAGTCCACTCATTTAATTATATAAAATTGAATTAGAGGGAGTTTTTATTTTTTACTTATTGTACTGTCAAGCAATTCTCCTAATTATTTAATTTGAAATGTTTGATCTCGGTATTAAACGAGCGTCTATTTACTACCCTCCCATTAATTTCTATTTGTATAAAATATTATATTTCTATATGAATAAAAAGAAAGAATAAAATCTAAAAACATTAATATATTTTTTTAAAACATCGTTTTCATTAAAAAAAAGAAAATTATTTAGTTTTCTTGAGTTATAAAAAAGTAAATATGATTATTTTTTTATTTATTTATGTATTAAAATGAATTTACTAATATTTCCACTAAAATATTAAATTAATCATTCATTTAAAAATTTGATATACCTTTCATTTGATTAATTTTTACATATTACAATTCTGATATTTTATTTGTTTTCTTTTAACTTGAATAGCGAAATTAATTTTAAAAAATCATTTTTTTATTTAAAATTTACCTTATTTTGTTAATAAAATTAATTATGTTTAAGCAATATTTCAGGCTAAATTAATTGCTTTTAAAACATCTTTTGTATTTAATTTAATTAAAATTTTGGTAATAGTGGAGATCTGGTTATAAATTAAACTAGTGAGGTTACTAATTTCATTTAAAAAAGTAAATAGTTTTAAATATAAAATAATTATTTAAAATACCAATTATTCTACATCTATTTACCAGATATGTTGAATCGATATTTTCTACTGTAGATTTTAACAGAGAAGATAAATCATCAAAATTTTTGATGAAAAGTAATTATCATTAAAATAAAAATCTTTAATTAAATTAATTATCTTTTCTAGCTTCTAATAACTAGAAGAAATTTCACCTACATTCAAGAAAGAGTTAGACTTATCAAAGGTTATAATAATTTGAAAATGAAGAAGAAATTAAAAATTAACAATTTATTAATGAACTTATATTTGGTTTTACTACTTTTAACCAGTATTTCATCATCATTGACTTTAAAAGTCTAGTAAAGATGCATTGTTGATGGAGTTTAATACAACCATCCCCTCATGTAAGTAGTAATAATGTTTATAGGCGAAGCATTAAATTACTTTAATTTTCTATTTTATAAATGGAGGCATCGAGGGGCATATGAAGCTTAAAAAAAGTATGAAATAGAAAAAATGGGTAAAATAGAAAAAATGGGTAAAATAGAAAATGTAAATAAGTTAATATTTGCAATTCCAGCTTTTATTGATTTTTTTGGTACTTTTCTTACTTTAGTTGCTATGTCAATGCTACCATTTTCCTTTTATTACATGATACGTGGAGGAAATATTATAATTACAGCTATTTTTTCTGTTCTCTTCTTAAAAAAAATACTTTATAAGCATAATTTTGTCGGATTGCTACTGAATTTCTTAGGATTCTTGACAGTAGGTATTTCTGCAATTTTAACTTCTGACACAGATTAAGATTCTACTTATCTTATTGTTGGAGTTGTATTGATTATAGTTACTTTTTTTACTACTACTTGCTAACTCGTATTTGAAGAATTGCTTTTTAAAAAGTATTACTTGCATCCTCTTGAAGTAGTTGGATGGGAAGGATTTTGGGGTATAATAATATCCCTACTAGGATTAGCTTTATTTTCAAACATTCCATGCATTAGTAATGTATAATAATGTCCAAGTGGCAAAATGGAAGATGTTCCTCAATTTTTTGAAAGTGTTTTTAATTTAAATGGGACAGATTAACCTAAATTAATAATAATGATAATTTTGAGCATGATATTTATGATGATGCTCAATGGTTTTAGTTTAACTGTGACAAAATACTCTGGCTGTTTAACAAGAGCTGTAGTAACTGCTGTGGCCCCATTCATAGTATGGATGTTTACTATAAGTATAGGTTGGGACGATTTTAATTACGGTTAATTTGCAGGCTATACTATATTAACAGTGGGAGCAATGATATATTGTGAAGTTTTAGTAATCCCCTTCTGCGGATTAGATTCCTTCAAAAATATTCCAAGTGCAAAAATATTAATGAAAATTCCAGATTAAAAATAGTCTTCTTAATAATCTCCTCTTCCTAGTACAGCAAGAAAATGCTTATTTGTAACTGCATGCTCGGAAAACCTCAATACAGAAACTGAGAAAATGGCTTATTGAATTTAAATGAATCCATTTTACTTAACAGAATAAAAAAAATTGCTCTAAAATATGATTGTAAACTAAACCAAATGTATTCATAAATACTTGAATTTTAAAAATATATGATAAGCTAATTAATTTAATTTAATTTAATGGTTCTACTAAACTAGATAAATAAAAAAACATATATAAAATCACGAAAAATTTTAGTTTTAATTAAATCTTTTACAAAAATTATAAAACTAAGCAATACTATTAATATATACTTTATATATATACTTATATATAATTTCTCAATAATCTTTGTATTCTATTTATTTAATGCTTGGCAAATTTTAAAAATTAATTTAGTTCTAATAATAGGGCAATTTTACTTAAGCTCTGTAAGAAACTGAAAATCAATTTATGTTTTCATAAATGTTTTAACATAAATAAGCATGGAATTTTATCAAATACCATTTGGATGTGTAATTATTCTAAATAAACTCAATCAGGCTTGTATTTAGAATTGATTTTAAAAATTATGTGAAGAAAATGAAAATACTTTGCATACATAAGAAAAACTACTTTTCACTAGTAGTTGAACAAATTAATTATTTTGGAGTATGCAAAACAGAAAATAATGACGAATTAGGTCTAATAATAATGTACTACCTGGTTTATTTTGGAAACAAAAACAATTGCTTGTTATCCCTTATTAAATAGATATTAATTAGGTAAGATTTTACTAGAAAATCAAAAACTAGACTATAATTATGCTCCTAAAATAAATTATCAAAACTAATTAAAGCGCTAATCAATTTTTTAATCATTCGAATCTTTTAATTTCCGCTGATTAAATATAACCATACTGCTATAACCTCTTCATTAAATTTAAGAATGCTGTCTAAGTATTTATATATTATATCATACTATAATTTGCAGCCTTAAATAGGACTACAACTATACTACTAAATATTCCACAATAATTAATTAATAAATAAATATAAAAAAACTAATTTCTGCTAAGTAAAACTTTTCCTTTCTTATTTATCTCTGATTGACTAAGAAAAAATTTATTTTAATAAATGGCAAACCTTTCAGTTGTTTAAGTTAATATTCTACTATTAACTCTGCTTTTAATCAGTATTGCTTCAGGATTGTGCTTCAAATAATAATAAAGAAGTGTCGTAAATGGAGTATAGTTTAATCACCCTTTTATGCAATCTATGCTTATGTTTATAGGTGAAGCCTTGTGCTTTTTATGGTTCATTGGATACAAGAAAAAATACAGAGAGTAATACGCAAAAGAAGCTCAGTAGGCTGCTGAAAAAGGTCTAAAGCTTGAAATAAACAAAGCCATATATGCTATACCTACACTTTTCGATTTTCTATCATCAACCGTCAGTTTCTTTGCTATGAATATGATGCCATTATCTATTTACTATATGTTCCGTGGTGCAGGTATTATGGTAACAGCTCTTTTCTCTGTTTTATTCTTAAAGCGTGTCTTATATCGTTAAAATTACCTTGGTCTCTTTCTTACAGTTGCTGGTTTTATAGTAATTGGTGTTACTGCTATCGTTTTATCAGACTCTAGTCAAGATAACAACTAATTAATTCTCGGCATCATTTTGATTATATTTTCTTTTGTTTTCACTTCAAGCTAATTAGTATTAGAAGAAAAACTCTTTTCCTAATACCACTTGAATCCTTTTGAGGTTGTAGGCTATGAAGGATTCTGGGGTATTTTCATCACTTGGATTGCTCTTAACATCTTCTCCTACATACCATGCCCTAGTAACATGGATTGTCCTGATGGAATGATGGAAAGTGTCCCTACCTTCTTTAAAACTGTTTTCACAATGGAAGGAGATGACTAACCTACTCTTTTAATTATGATAATTCTCTCAATTTTCATTATCATGCTATTAAATGGACTTGGTCTCTGTGTAACTAAGTATGCCAGTGCCATGAGTAGAAGTTTAATGGGAGTACTCTCACCATTCCTTGTCTGGATGATTACTATTGGATTAGGATGGGATAAGTGGAAAGTTGGCTAATTTGTTGGTTATGTAGTTATAACTTTTGGTGTCTTAATATACAATGAAATCATAGTCATTCCTTTGTTTGGCTTCAATCTTAACTTAAAGAAAAATATTTTGAAGCGTTAATAAGAATTAGAAGCAATACCAAAAGAATAAGAACTTGAGAAGAGAGACTCTGAAAATAAAAATCTTGCATCATCTGAAAACGCAGTATGAATTATTTTAATTTAAAAATAAAACTAATAATAATAATATAATAAATAAGAATATATAAACATATAATAAATACTCTCAAATTTTTAATATACTTTTTAAAATATAAAATTTTTGCTTTTGTATATGATTTATAAAGTTGTTAATTACTAATATTAATTACTAAATTAAGAAATTCAATAATCTTTTTTTCATAACTCCTAAAAGATAAAAATTAAGAAATGTAAATATCGAATTAAAATTTATTTTTCAATCACCTAACTTTATCATAAAAATAAATCAATTAAGAAAATAAAACTTAGATTAGGCATGAACATATTTTTAATTTTCATACACAAATAAAATTTCAAATTATCAACTAATAAACTGCCAAAAATTGAATTTTAACTTTAAAGTACGTATTGGCATTAAAATTTTTAAATTTTAAAAATTCAATCCATTCACCTAAATTTGTATTTTTAAAGTAAAATATAGTCAAGAATATACAATAGAAATTTAAAGTTTTATTTTCAATAAATTGATATATTTTAAAATCGTTTTTAAAAGATAAAACCATTTCTCAAATTTATTTATTTATTTTATTTTGGATAGTTATTTTTTAACTTTAAAAAAAAAAAAAAATTCAATAAGAGTATTACTTAAAATAAAAAAAATATATTATTAAAATAAAACTCAAATAGATAAAATAAAAATATTAGAGCAAATATTTAATTTTTTTTATTGTATACTCAAATTTTAATGTATTTTTTTTCTTAATGAATTTCAATTTTTCAATAAAATAAGAATGAGAAAATTATCAAAACTATCCAAAATAAAATAAGTAAATTTAAGATATCTAAAATATATTAAATATCTTGAATGAAATAAAAATATTTAAATTAGATTTTTGTAAGTTCTATCAATAGTTTTATTATATTTCACAGTAAAATAAAAATTTAAGGTGTGGGTTGTTTTTGAAATGAAAAAATATAAAAACTATTTTTAAAATATCTTGTATTTATAATAGGTAAATAAGTCATGTAGTTTTTAATTGAATTTTCAATTAAATGTATATTTTCTGTGTTTTGCTTTACTTTTAGAAATAATTTGCTTTATAAGTTTGAAATTTTTGACAATATTGTTAAAATTTTGAAAAAAGAAGCTATTAATTTAAAAAATAAAAGTTAAAATAATAAAATACTAAATCAATAAAAAATTAATATCAATTCATTTAAAAAAAAATTTTTTAATCAATAACTCTTATATATACTGAAAGAGTGAGCTTTTATTTACTTTCTAACCATAGAAGTAATTATTTGAAACAACTCATAGATGTACTGATTTAAAAAAAAAGGGAGATTCAGGTGTAGGTAGAATTTCATCACTATTGAAGAAATGTAGAAAGATATTATTTACCTAATCCTATGGAAATAAATATGAAGAACTAAGAATCTCAATCTACTTCATGGTAATCCCCCAATCTCCCTCTAACTTATAATTTTTATTTTTTTTATAACTGTTTTATGTTTAAAAATGTCTTGCTTTTAATTTTTTTAAATAAATGCATAAATAAATCAATTAAAAAATAAAAATAAAAATTTTTTCTTAATTAACCATCACTATTTTAAATTTTTGTAATAATTTTGGTTAAAAGTAAATTCTAAGATTAAGCAATCACTGATAATTGGTAAAAGATAAATAAAATGAAATAATCTAAAATAAAATTATATAGAATGAGATTTATAAAAAATAATGTAAAAAATATATTTTTCTATTTTGTATTTTAAAAACTTAAAATCAATGGTACATTTTTGTTTTTTTTTATTACAAATAAAATTGTAAGTACTAATTTTTATATAAAAAATTTCATAAATTGAGATAAGTAAATCTATAATTGATTTGATTAAAATTATTAAAGATAAAAATAATTACTATTTTACATTATTTAATTTAAAATTTATTAAAGTATATTTAAAATTCAAACAAGAAATTTATTCATTTTGTTATTATTTTTAATTAATTAAAATAAATAAAATCAATTATTTTATTTTAAACTATTTTAGTTAGATAATCAATTATCATTTGATGCTTAATATTTCTATTAATTAGCATTTAAGTTTTAAAAAGTTTTAAATTAAGTTTATTTTAAATTAAACTTTTGATTTTCAGAACTAGGTTAAGTTTCTTCGTCAATTTTTTAGTCATCAAAAATGCTACTCTAAGCTTTATCTTCTATCTTAATGTTATTAGGTGAAAAGTTATTTTATAATTGATAATTAAAATTAGAGTTTTCTAATTAAATTTGAGGTTCTAAAGTATCATTTAAACTCTAATTTTCATAATATTAGCTTGATTTAACCCTATTAAAAAGTTAGCTTTTTTTGGCTAAAAATGAGTTTATCTGTTGATTAATTATTTGATCTATTTGCTATTTTTGTTATTTATAAATTTTAAATAAATATTTTTTTATTTATAAAAATTATACTTTTTAATTAATTGAGCTTTCAATTATTTATTGGCTATAAATTAAACTTATTGGATCTCTTTACATCTCTATATTTTATGAGTTTTGAGCTTTGGTTTTTAGTACTGGTGTTAAAGATTATTAGTTTTGAATATATTGTTGGCCTAAAAGAACTGAAGCAGCTTATAATCTATCAACTTTTAATTTTCCAGTCCACAAATTAATTATATTTTTTTCACTCATAACTTATCTAAATGATTTTACCCATCTCTTTTATAAATAAATAATTTTTTTCTTTTTCGAGAAGAAATATTTTTTGCAGCATGTAAATTTAATGAAAAAAATCATAATTCTTTCTATATTTGACTGCTATTACTTTAAATAGGCTTAAGTAATTAATCTAAAACACCATAATATGTATAATGAATTTATAATTGTTATTGAAATAATTGCAAATAGCCACCAGAATAAGCTTTGTTGATTATGATAAGCAATAAATCCAAAATAAATAGAAAAACTCATAATTATAGTTTATGATAAATCCAATTTTTCATAGCTCTTAGTTTTATACGGAGATACAAAGAGAAGCAAGATTCCATACAAGCAAACGATAAAAAATATGAACAAAATCTAATTAATTTTTATTTTTTTAAATAAAATATAAAATATTTTAAATTTACTTTATTAGGAATATTGTACTCATAAAAAACTAAGCAGCACATGATAAATAGTTTCATATACATCTTTATGAATTCCCAATACCAAAATTTGTCTCTGTACTCGCTTGTCATTAAAATATATTTTTTTGTTTTTGATTTTCTTTTTGATTTTTGAGATTATTTGATAACCAAAGCTATAAGAAATGGTATAAATATACTAAATATTAAAACTATAGGTAAAATTAAAGCTAATGACCATTAATAATATTCTTTTGTTAAGCATTAATAAAGGATGTTAAATTAGATGTACTTAATTTATCCTATATAGAATAATTAGAATATTTTTTTTACTTGAAGAAATAATATACAAAATTACCTATTTATCGGCATTTTATTAGACTGATCGCATTCTTGAAAATGCTAGGCTAAAAGTATAAGAAGCAATATAAAAATGAAGTATAAATGTAGAGTACTTTTTTTGAGGGGTTATTTTTGTATTTAATAAAACCTGTTAAGAAAAAAACCAAAAAGCAGGTAATAGGAAGAATTACTGAAATTATAATTTAAATATAGATCATGTTAATACCAGTTTTCTGATATAACTCATAGAAAAAGCACTCAAAAGAAAAGAATACTAAAATAGTTGGATTTGAAATTATATTTAAAGTATCATTAATGTGGTTTGGTATATTAATCTAAAACGTTGACAACACCATAATTATCTAGAAATAATTCAAAACTAATTTCAATAAGACTGAAGTTTCATATATATTTTATTGTAAATCTTATTTTTTAACACCTCTTTTATCTAATATATAAAATAATCTGCTTATAACTCCATCAACACTTAATTTCGCACTTATAATCTTGTATTTTAAAAAATAAATTAGGTTTAATAGAGCTTTAATAACCTTTATAAATTGTGTCTATATTAGAATGAGTAAAATTGATAATTATAATTATAAAATTTTTATACATAAAACAGCATCAAGCCTACAATTTTCAAGGAATTAATAATTTTATTGCCACATGATCCACATTCAAAGTTTCCAGTATTAGAATAGTTATTTTTTATATCACAACTTTCACACAGAGGTCCTATATGAGCCTGTGAACATATCAAATTAGTTTAGCCTCCAAGACAATTTTATGGGGCATTTATACATTCTATTATCTCGTCTGTCTGATCATTTATTCTCCAGTAACCCTTTTTAACATCAATTATATGACCTCCTGGGCAATTAGCATGAACACTGCATTATTTACAATCTATGCTAGTATTATTTAAACTTGGATATACTAAAGAATACCTTTAAATTATAAAAAATGTAAATTTTTTGTTTATCTTATAATGAAAAAAAAATACGTTCCATATTCGCATTAATTGCATGAATAAAGCTTTTCTGGAGGGTTTTATGTCAAATCTTCATAGACAATATAAATTTCCCCTCTAATACAAGGACGTAAATTTATTTCTAAAAAAACTTGATAATTCTATTTTTAGCTCTATAAATCAATAGTTAAAGACAAAAAAACTGATTTTCCAGGAATACCAGTTACTACTAAATTGCTTACATTATAATAGCCTATAAATTCAAATTCTTGCTAAAAGCTAGTAATTGCAAAAGGAGAACTAGATAAGTTTTATGCTTTTTTTACTGATAAAGTTAAATCATAATTCAGACTTTAAGCTATTGTAACATATGAACTATCAATTGTATTTCCCTCTTCATCAATAAGTTAGAATATTAAACTAGGAAGAGGTTTACCACTTACTTAATGATTAATTCTATAGATTATATTGCCAGCTGAATCATAATAAGTTATATATTTAAAAGAATGAACTTCGCTGCTTAACTTGATTTATTTTGGAATTGAAAACATGTTTTTCCCAAATGAGTTTTCTGAATAAAAATAAAATTGAATTTATTTTTTTAATTATTAATTTTATCAATATTACTTGCACTATTAGACGATATGCTTGAGATAGAATCAAAAAAAGGTTTCTATCCTTAATAATAAACTCCTCCACCTGCTATTTTAGCTAGATTGAATTGAATCGAGGTTTAAAATATTGAAGCTAATTTTTATTTTTTTTTCGATATCAATTAAAATTCAAAATAAATTCCTCCTCCTTGCTATGCTGTGTTATTTTTAAAAATATTACCTTAAAGTATAATTTGATTTTAGTCTTAATTAGAAATAAATGCTAAACCCCCTCCTAAGCCATATTAAGCAATATTATTATAAAATTATGAATTAACAATTTCCAATTATTAATTTATATTTAAAATATTAATAGCTCCTCCATTTCCATAGCATTAATTATCCGTGAAATTACAACTTTTAATTTTACCTCCTGAATTAATCAAAAGCACACTTCCTCCATTACAAAACTAATTTAAACAACTTATGTTGGCAAAAAGAGAATTTTCAAGATATAGAGTAGATTATGTTAGAGTTAAAACACTAAACTAAGAGCTTTAATCTTGTTAGATATTAGTTTGTAATTACCTATTAACTCGATTGATAATTCTATGAATAAAAATTAATTTAATATAATTATTTATATTAATGAATATTTATTTACTATATATTTGTTAGGTTAGATTATATTAAAGACAGCATTGATTAACCAATATTTATAAAGTTTGTTTAAGACAAAAAACAGTTATAGAAATTCGATTATTGAATTTATATACTACTTTTATATTAGCCACTCAAAAATAAAATTTAAGGATTTTTATTTCTACTCTTGTTAGATAATATTTGATTTTGATTGATGTCCATTTGGGTTATTACTAAAAAACTTGACTATAATGCTATAAATTAACTTATCTAACCAAATTGGCTGATATAATAGCTTACCATTTTACTGTAATCTAGTAGTAATGCGAAATTATATAAACTTGAGCTAAATTAATTAATAGTTATATTCGAATTTTATGAAAAGATTAGTCCTCCTTCCTAAGAAAATAAATTATAAGAAGTACAATTTTAGAAATTTAATTGAGGATAAGATTCCTGATAAGCCACTTATTTATTTATATTATAAACCTATTATATAAATATGGCTCCACCTCTTTTTGAAATTATATTTTTAAATATACAATTATTCACGCTTACATATGTTTAATTTTAAGCTTCACCTACATAAATAGCACCTCCGTCATTTTAAGAAATCAAAAAATCAAATTAGCATTAATAAAACGAGTAATTAGCTGATTAAATTCTTGGCCTTATAGTGAAAACTGCTCCAAAAGAGGCTTATCCTTTAGTAAAATTAGATGAAATAACACTCAGATTATCTGTCTCAAAGTTTATGAAACCACCTTAAAAGTTAGAACTTTGATAGTTATTATTTTGAAAGTTGCAGTTACTCATGCTAATTTTATTCAAATTTCCAAAAACTACAGTCTATTTAAATATAAATGAATTTATTTCAAAAATATAGAAAAGTAAAATTTTTACAGATTAAGATTAAGTTGTTAAATTAAGAAACTAAGAATCTTAAATTTCTAAATTAGATAAAGGAGCATAAATTAGCAAGCAAGAACTTTATTTTTAAATAACTATTTAAGGAGTTTAAAATGTAATTTCAGAGAAAATAAACTTTTAAAGCTTTAAATAAAGATATTAAAAGCTATATATATAAATAGTAGAAGACTGTTAATGCTAACTAGCTGTACTTATAAAGATATTTTTAAAACTATTATTGATTAAAGTTACTTATTGTTAATAAATTTATTGTATATCTGAGTCTTCGTTAGAATATATCTATATGACATAGCCGTTCAAAATGTTTTTATTTTCAAAACTACTATTAGATAAAGTAAAGTTTAGCTATGCGAATTATTATGCATTAATGCAGGCTTAATCAAAAATATTATTTTCAACCAAATTATTAAAGCAATTATACTTATCTATATATAATTGTGATGCACCAATCAAAAATAAAAAAGTGATTTAGTTATCAATATCTTAAACTTGTGAAATTAATGTTTATTACATCTAATCAAGAGCAATTTAATAAACTTAAATGATATTTTAGGAAGCTATATTATCATAGGTATTCATTGATTCACATTCATTTAATTAGAATTATATATAGTCACAATTATAGAGTTTTGTATTTTAAAATACAGAAGATATCAGATAAAATTATTAATTTGCTCCTCCTTAGCTCTAAGAAATCGGTTAACAATCAATAATAAGAGCTTGTATTTATGGATCACTAATTAAAAAAGTATTATTCACTAAATTAACTTATGTAATATTCCAATATGTCTAAATGCTTAAAGAATTTAATCCTATAATTTTATATTAAGTTAAAAAAAAATAAAATAAATGTTTGTTTTTAATGGATTAAAGTATGATGAAAAATTAAAAAATATAATTATTTAAATTTACCAAATAAAGTAAAGTCTTAGATGACATTTTGACTAAATGTTATATTGAATAATGTTACATTTTAAGCCATAAAAAAGTATTAGGAGATATAAATAGAGCTGTCTGTGTTTAATTATAAATTATTTTTAAATGTTGAATTTTCTATGATTAAATTAATTTAATTAGTCGAATAGAGGAAGTTTGTATTTTCAAAGTAATTTCCTTCAAAATCTAAGTTTTTCAAAACAATTAAGTAATCATTTTAGATAACATTTATTAGCGTTGTTACATTTATAAAGCTTTGGTTCTACACTAAAAGATTTTATATATTCAATTCAGCTTATTATAAAAATATTTCAGGTACTATGATAAGACTGTTACTGATTGTTTTACTGTTTTTAAATATTTAAAAAAATGGTTAAATTTTCTGAAAATTTAGCTAAATACTTACTTATCAAAACAAATATTGACATCATCAATTTTAAAGTACTAAGCGCTAATTATTATGGTAGGTTATTTTTATTTTTGGTTTAAATTTACATTTTTTAGAGAGATATATGTGAAATTTTGTTGATAAAAAGATTCATTTAGGGTTAATACAGCTTTTGTAGATGTTAAGGAGCTTTAATTGAGGAAATTACTCGATTAAATGGATAAGTTTATTGTTTTATTTTAATTTTATTACTAATTTAAATAAGCATACCAACTTCTCCACTCAAACTAAGTGTCTTGTTAAATATTAATGTTATAGTTGACATTAACTGAGGAGAGTAAAGTATTCAGTTATGATAATTTATAATTAGAAATTAATAATAATTCAGATCTCTATAATATGCTATTAGTTGAGAAAATATTTGATAGATCACTATTGTTTTCTTGATTTATATTTACATCATAATTACAATATTAGTAAGCACATTAATTATTCAAACAACTATTCATATCTATTCTATTTTTTTAAATTTTAATATATTTTATTAAATAATTTTGTTAAAAATAAAATTAGAATTTAATATCAATTATAAAATTTAGATATTTAAAAGATAAATTTTGAAAGAAAATTAATTAATTAATTTTATTTACATTTATATTTCGTAGTTTGGTTATAATTTTATAATTTAGTGATTTTAAGTGCTAGTAAAGATGATAGAGCTATTTGGTACAAGATTATTATCATTTAAACTCGTTAAATATTAGATACTAAAATTTATTGCATTTAAATAGAGAATTCTTATTTCTGATCCTAAGTAGCATACCAATAAATTTATATCATTCATATACTAAAGTTTAATAATATTTGGTAAATTAGTTTCTTTATAATCTGATGATTTAGGAATAAAAGCTTTTTTAACTTGAATTTAAACATCACTTAAGAGATTTTAATTATAAGTGATAATAGAAGTAGATAAAATATTATTAATTTTTGAAGTATTGCAATAAAATTAAATTACAAAATTGTTTATAGAAGGTATCAAATTAAGAGAAACAAACTAAGTTATATTTAAAACTGATCTATTTGAGAATGCTTTTATGATATTTTATATATAACTTAATAAGAAGAATTTTTTGTAAATTTAAGTTTAGTTTTATTGATCTAAATATGGTTTAATAAAGGCTATTTAATCCTCAGTAATTATGAACAAGTTTTATTAGGAATCCATACTAAAATTTAAGAGTGAGATTGTATCGCTATCTTATTATTATATCTTATATGATGTTTAATAATAAATATTGTTAGTTGAAAGATTTATAATTAAAGCATGCACATACGAGTCTTTTTTTAAGGTTATACTACCAGTCTAAGATTAATTTAAACTTAATTTACAATATAAACTAAATGTAAAAGTTTAAGCTGAAAAGAAAAGCAAAGCATACTTTTAATAATTTTAAGTATATGAAAAAACTTGAAAGAAGTTATTTATTGTTAAATTGTATTTTTCTAAATTAAATGTACCATTTATAATTTACTTTCCATCAAAATATTTATATGAAAAAGAATTAATGAGTGTTAAGTTTTTATTAGTAATATTGGTTGGACATTTATTTTTTATTAAAGGTGTGTATAACTAATATTAATTCTAAATAATAGAAAATATCTGATCTGTACCCAAAATAAAATTTTAAATTTGAATAGAATAATTAGCTTGGATTATTTACTAACTTGAATTGTTTGTTAAAAAATTATATTTTTAGTAAAATAATTAACCTAATTAACTAGTAGCATTATAATTTATTGTACTTATTGTACTCATTATGTTTTACTAACTATCATAGTAAGAACTGTCTATGCTGTTATTGCTATCTATTTATAATATTTATGTGAGTAAGCTCATTAACAAAAAAGTTGAATTTATTTTTGTATTTTCTTTTTATTTAATTAAAATTTTTATTCAATTAAAAAAAATGTTTACTTAAATAATTTTAAAGAGAATAACTCTTAGAAGAATTAGAAAATGTGTTTTATGAGTTAGATGTTGTTAGATTTGAAATATCAATTGATTAGATATATCCATTTGTGTATCCTATCAATAGAAAAGAACTGTTTGGAATATTTAGATATTCTAAGCACTATGCATACCATGCTAAATCTATTTTATTTGATGCATTTTAGATCTAAAATTAGTTTTAAATTAAGTCATCCAATTTAAAGATTATGATTTGAGTCTAAGATTTCACAAAAGCAACATAATTACTTCTATTAGAAACAAAGCTAAATATTAGAGTTATAAGTGAAGAGCCTATATTTTTCAATAAAAATAAGTATTCATTAAAGTCGCAAATTATATATACCCATTTATATTGAAGCTAAAGGAGAAGAAAACATTTGAGATGCTAAAAACGTATTTGGAGATGTATCTTGCTTTAAATTCTTTAAATCTACAAAAATTAAATTATTTAAATAATTTTATTTTGGAGCTGTAGATATTGCTTATCCAAACTAAAGAGCAAGAATTGATGAGCCATCTAAATGGCCAAAAGAAAGTATTACATAATCACTAATAAATGGGTTCCAAATTAAATTATCATTAAAATTTTCTAAATTTAAAATGGTGGGGATACTACTAAAGTATAATAAAGAATTTTAATTCATCCCTATTAATACATGTGTTTAACTAGAAAATCCATTAAATCCTGTAACATTCTAAGCTATTATAAATTTTGTTGGCTAAATTGAGTAGCTATAAGTACTTGCTATTGAGAGATTAGTTTGAACTAAATAATTTATAAAATTTATAAAAAGCTTTATTGATTAAAATATTATATTTATTCTTACTTTGAAATAGAGAAGCCAGAGTCATATTTTCTTAATAAACTAGAACTTGAGTATTTTTTTAATCAAAATCTATTTATATAATGATTAATTCTTAAGTAGAAGTAAATTAAACTAAATTATTTAAGGCAAGAGTTTATGATTTCACATATTATTAATCTATTTAATTATTTAAAAAGTATTCATAAATTTATATCTTTGATGATAATAATATAATACTTTGATTTGAAATCTGCTAAATTATGTTAAAACTATCGTATTCATAAGAATTGTATGTTAATATTTCTGTTTTAGTTAGTGCAATTACTTAGCCATTTAGATTAGTTGAGAGAGAAATAATTCCATTTGGATCCTTCAATGGAGTATCTTGATAACTGACAACTTGGCCATCTCTTATGTCACGTACGAATATTCTATTAGATTAATCAGAAGATAAAAATATAGTAGACTCTTAAATGTAGTTTAAATCAGTGATTTATGAGCCATGTCCTAATTATGTTTAATTAAAATTTGATATTAAAAAAAATAATTTATCCTAAAATTATCTTCAAAACCTTAAATTATTCTCAAACTAGGGCAAATTAAATCAGAATAAGGTAGCTCAAAGCATTTTATAGCTTATAAAACTAAAAAAAACGCTAATAGGGAACTTTTTTTTATCATTTATTTCATATTGTTTAGAGAAATATTTATTTAGTAGTTCTATAAAACAAAATTTTTTAATCAATCTAAATATGTTAATTAGTTAATTAAAACTTCTCCCTTTAACAATTTCTATTTGAATCTGATTGAGTAAATTAATATGATTATGAATGAACATCTTTTAATTAATAAACATTTCTCAAGTCTATCAAAAAAAAATAAATAAAAATAAACTTAGGTTTAACATAATCAAAATATAAAATAAACAAATAAATAAATAAATAAATAAATAATTTAATTTATAAAATATTTTTAATCAATAATATATTTTTTATCAAAATATAAATGCATTTGGAGGTAAATTTTGGATTAATAATATTAAAATTTGATATGTAGTTAATATTTTACATTTATGTAAATAATGCCTTTAAATTACTAAATAAAATTACATAAATTCAAGAATTTGAATTATCTAAAATAAATATAAAATAAGATAATGTATATTTAGCTGCTTATGAATGAACCAAAATTATATTTAATTTTTCACAATCAAAGTTGAATAAAAAAATTTTGAAAATTTAAACAAAAAGCTAAAATATAGATGACTGAGCATACTTTCTTCTTTCATAAGTTTTATATAATAGCTTAGAAAATAAAAATAAATTCAGATTATTATTTTACTAGAAAATATTCTTTAGTGTGATTAAATATAAAATAAATATATTTAATAAAATATTATAAATATCAAAAAAAATATTTTAATCTTTTGCTTGAAAAACATTCAAATTTATGATTTATGTTTTAATTTAAATTAAGAAATATTAAATTAGATAAATTTATATTAAAGAAAATAAATTCCTTATTATTCATTTATTGTGTATTTAGAAGTTCTTGCTAATTGAACACAAATTTAAGTAAAATATAAACTTATTAAGCATAAAAGTTTGATATTAATATTTTAATAAAGGTAAATAGTAAGTAAGTAAATAAAAATATTTATTTTAAAGTAAGTCACAATTCAGATTTATTTTATTTTACTTCATCACCTATTATTTTTTAACATAATTAAATACAATTTTTTTTACCCTAATAAAATAATTTACATTAAATTTCTTCTTCTTAATTTGTTTAAGAATTTTGTCCAAGTTTAGATTTTTATTTGGCATCTGATTTATTAATGGTTTAAGATTTAAAAAACTAAGAATTTTTTAAAGAAGGAGAATATACTTATTAATAATTTTCTAAATTTTTGATATAAAAATTCTCATCTAAATCATTGATTTATTCAGTATTATATTTGTTATAAAATTTATAGCTTAATTGAGGTGAAATTTAAAAAAAACTTTATAAGTTAGAATTTATTTTTTCTTTTGAATATTCTTAATTATTATTTATCTTAGTTAATTCTGAAGACATTAAAAATTGTGATGATTTTAATTATGGGCTATTAACAATAAAATCATTTTATTATGAACTTATCTATTTAATATTTAAATAAAATTTATTTATGAAATACTATTAATTTCTGAAATAAAATTACTTTTCTCTCTAAATTTAATTTTAAGCTGATTGATCTCTATTTGGATCTTTATTTTTGAATTGGAGAATCAAAAATTTATTACAATTTTTTATTTTCATCTTTATTTTAATTTTTAGTGTTAAATATTTATAATTATATATCTTATTCTTAGATCTATCCTAGTAAAATTGGGATAACTTAACTTTTACTGACTTTCAGTTAACCCGTCCAAAGATTTATAATTTACTTTTTTTTGATTTCTTTTTAAATAGAAACTACCCATTTTATCAATAAATTTAAAGAATTTTGTTTTTTAGAGAAGAAATATCTTTTAAAAAATTAATATTTAAAAAGAAAAAGCTTTATTTTTATAAATTTTTTTTAAATTTATTAAAAATAAGCTCTTGCTAGAGATTAAAAGCACCATAGGATGAAAATAAAATTGATTATAGCAATCAAAAGTATTGAAAATAGCCAAAAGAATAAATCCTCTATGTTCTGATAAGCAATAAAACAGAGATAAATGGAGACCCCTTAAATAAATGTCTGCGTAACATCTATTTTTTAGTAAATCCTTTATTTGTAAGGTTAAAATAGCAAAATAGCTAATCCATAAACCATGACTATTAAAAGAATAAACAATATCTATTAAAATTAAAATTAATTAATTAATTCATACATAAATAATTGAATTAGTTAATAAATAAAGGAATTTAAATAAAGTTTTGAGATTTTAAAAAGGATTTTACTTTATTTTATATTTCATATTTATATATTGCCAAGCAAAGCATAATCATCAGCTTTTAATAAATTTTTATAAATTCCCAAAACCAGAATTTTTCTTTGTACTCATTTGTAATTAAGAAAAATTTTCTTCTCTATAATCTCTTTTGCGATTTGAAGGTTTTAAAATTAGAATAAATAATAAACAAAGGTATTATGAGGCCAAAAGAAAGTATGATTGGAAAAACTAATGATATTTACCAAATTTTATGCTCTTAAGTGTAGCACTCATTTAAGCTATTAAACGAAATGTAACTTATTTTTCCTTTTTGTTTTAATAATTTTAAAAAACTTATTAAAATCTCTTATTTAATAAATTTTACCTATCTAACGGCAGGTTACTAAACTTATTGATCTATTGAATATACTTGGCTGAAAATAAATGAAGCAATATAAAAAAGATGTGTACAAATAAATTGGTCTCCTATAAGGGTCTTTTCTATAAATTATACCACCTGATACTAAAAATATAATAATTAATATTATGGGTAAAGCTACAGATGCTATTAGCTGCAAGTATATCATGTTCAAACCAGTTTTTAAGTATAATTAATAGAAAAAACATTAAAAAGAATAAAGTATTTGAGTTGTAGGATTTGCTATGATATCAACTGAAACAACAAACATGTTAGGTATTTTTAACTAAAAAGTTGTTAAAACTACAATAATTTAGAAGTAGTTTAGTACTTATTTCAAGAGTACTGATGTATCCATTAACTGTTTATTAGATTTTTATACATTATTATTTACACTTATTCCTTAAACTAGCTTATTTAACACACTATCAGCGCTTATTTTGGCAAAAAGTATCTTTTTATATAAAAAAATTTATTTCTATAATTTTTTTTTTAGGTTAGTTGTTACATAAAAAGTCATTAATGACAGAATTTTAAGTGAATTTATAAATGGACTTCCACAATAATCACAATCATAATCGCTTATATTAGAATAGTTATTTTTTAGATCACAATTTTCACATAGTGGGCCTATATGAGATTTAGAGCATGTATTGTTTCCTTTACCTCCTAAACAATTTTATGGGGCATTAACACATTCAATTACTTCATCTGTTTAATCATTCATTCTCCAAAAGCCTTCACTAATATTCAAGATATCTCCTCCTTCACATTCTGCGAAATCAATGCATTTTTGGCATTGTATTTCTGTATTTTTTAGACTAGGATAAGCCAACGAATATCTTAAATTTTTTTATAAATAAGTAAAAGAAAATTTTATATTAATTTTACGTTCCTTCCTTGCATTTTTGGCATTCGTAATATGTTTTTGATTGGTTTTATGTTTAATCAATAAATTTACCGTAAACTTCTCCCCTTTAGCAAGGCCTTAATTGAATCTATAAAATAATTTTGTAAGCATTATTTATTTTTTATTGAATACCGTTTATGGTTAAATTTAAAAAAACAGATGTTCCAGGTTATCCTATTACTATTAGGTTACTTAAGTTATATAAATTATTAAATTGAAAAGATTTTTAGGAGCTTACTAATGCAAACGAGATATTATTCATATTCTCTGCTTTATTAACATTTAATTATAGGTCCAATTATTATGCTTATGCAAGTTGTAAATATTAATTGTTGATTATACTACCACTTTCGTCTATCATTTAAAATATTATATTAGGCAATTTTTATCCACTAACTTAATTTTTTATCTTATAAACCTTTTCACCTGTGTTCAACCAATAAAAGCTATAATTAAACATATGTTAGCTTAATTATAAATTTAAGGATAATTCTTTTGGTTATGAAAAGTAGTCCTTTCCAAATGGGCTCTCTAAATTTATTGAATAAATAGTCAAATAAATTTATCTATCTTAAAAGATTTTTAAATATTTATTTTTACCTGCTGTATTTTAGGAAACTTCAGTTTAAAGATTTACATAAGGTTTTTTGCCAATATAGTAGATACCACCACCAAATTAACTGACTTAATTTTGTATGAGAATTGAATTATTAAGATATGCTAGATATTAATTTCTTAAAGGTAACTTTTAAAACTCAAAATGTAGTCCTCCTCCTAATTCAGCAAAATTTTAAGAAATTGAGCTATTTAATATTGCTAACTAAAATAAGTTTTGATCATAAATAAATGATATTCCTCCTCCATTACCTTTTTATGCCCTATTATTCATAATAACAGAATTATAAATTGTTAAATTTTGATTCAGTCCTAATATACTTAGGGCACCACCATTTCCGTAACAAAAATTTTAAATAAAATTGCAACTACTTATGCTACCTCCAGAATTTTCTAATAGCATAGCACCACCTATGCAAGATTCATGAGTGCAGGTTGTGTTATAAATTAATAATTTTTATAGATTGATTTAAGACTAACTTATTATTATAGCGCTAAATTTAGTAGATATTTAAAGATTAATATTTGTTTGCATCAGCCTTTATCCGTTCTATTAAAACCTTTTTTAGTATAAATATAAATATCAAAAAGTCATGAAATAAAATTACATTAAATTCTTTATGTTTGATTCAGATATTTCGAGTGATGATTAAATTAGTTGAATAAAACCTGATTATAGAAATTAGCATGAGTTAATTTCAGTTTTTTTAATAGTAACATTGCTATTAGTTACTGCATTTAAAAATACAGGATTTAATTGGGTAATATAATATCTACCTTAGATTGCGCTATGATCATAAATATTTATTTTTTCAGCAGTAAAATAGCTTTAAGATAGATAAATGTATTCCCCTAAAAAAGAAAGTTAGTTCAAGCTTTACAAAATAATATAATTTATACTTGAGAGATTATTAGGGTTATTAGTTAGTGATGTATGATTATAAAGGTTTATGTTCGCATTTTATGAAAATATATAACCTCCTTACTAAGCATATACGTGAGAAGAGGTACAACCTTAAAATGTTATTTACGGATAAACCAGATAAAAATATTAAATTTCTAAAGAATTCATAGGGTAAGCTACATAAACACATCCTCCATATTGCGATAGTATATTATTAAATGTACAATTGTTAAAATTCATTTATGTTTAATTTAGAGCTTATCTAATATAAACAGCAGCACCATTTTTAAGAGCAATCAGATTTTAAAATAGACAATTTATGAAAGTGAAATTAGCATTTTTAGTATTTGGATTGATAGACATAGCTGCACCATTTTCAGCTAAGCTATTTATGAAATTAGTCTCTATAACAGCCAAATAATTCGTGAAGATCTATAAAAAACCACCCTAAAAGCTATTCTGGTTATAATTATTTCCTTTAAAACTTGATGAGTTAAGCTTTATCTGTTTAGCTTATATATAAACCGCCGGCTAAATTAAAAAAAATAAATTATTTTTACATTTATTTATTTAAAATTTACTGATGAAGAGTAATTTATAAAATCTGAGAAAAGAGAATATAATATTTCAAGTTAAGAAAAAGGAGCTTGAATAAGTAGGCAGGAGCTTTATATATTAAATACAGTTTAGGGTCCAGACAAATAAATCTAGTTAAAAGTTGTATTGGATACTTAAATATTAAAATTTTAAGGAGTGGATATATAAACAGAAGATGTTTATTTATATTGACTGTTCACCTAAATATTAATATTAGTAAAATCATTGTCTGATAAAATTATTTATCCTTCTTACATTATAGACCCTTTTGAGATTTAATTCGTTTATATTATAATGACAAAATTATCTTAAATATTTTTGTTGAGGAATAAACTGTTTTGTAATTTCAAATTTAGATTTTAAAAATTTTCTATATCCAAGCAACTACTATCAAATCTTTGATTATCAGAAATCATATTTTTACAGGTGTATTAATCAATATTAATATTTTTTGCTTTATTTGAATATAAAAATGATATTTAACTGTCAATATCCTAAATCAGTGATATATTAATCACTTGCATTTAATTCAAAGAGATCTAGAAAAAATAATTTTTATACTATTAATCTTAGCTTTAGGTTTAATTACATTAATTGTTATTATATTAAGTCAAATTGCATAAATAAACAGAAGAATTTAAGAATTTTGATTAAGAGAGCTAGAAGTTAGAAAAGTTCTAAGAAATGTAGTTCATCTAATTCAAATCTAAAAATAAACCATAAATTTTAGAAAAAGTAATTAAAAACACGTTTTTAGTTATATTTACTAAGCTAGCATTAAAATTTAATGAACCAAACAGTGAATTTATTCCTAATTAAAATTAAATATTTTTTATTTTAAAAAAAGATTCTTTAAATAAATAATTTAGAAAAATTATTATATAAAAAAAATAATTAATCTTAAAGAAATATTTGTCAAATTACCTATTAATGAGGAGTCTTATAATATGTTTGAATCGAATAACATATTTTATAAAGATATATTTTAAGCTGTTATAAAATATTGACTAGTGTATTGCTTGTTATTTTAAATTTCGATATAGTTACTTTGAAAGGAAAAATTTAACATTTTTAAGGATAAAAGATTTGAAGAGTAGATGAAATTAGTATTCTTAAAATTATTTCCTGACATACTAGAATTTTATATCTAAATTTAATATAATTTTGCTTAAACATATATTAAGGGTTGTAAACTGTAAAAGGTTTATTTTGAGATATCTAAATTTATGATGCTCAATGATAGAGGTTGTTAATGCTCAACTTAGGGAACTAATATATACTGGCAAGATTAATACTGATTATTTATAGAATTTTGAGTAAATGTTAAATTATCAATAACAAAGTATTATGATTTAATTATTATGAAAGGTGCACTTTTGTTTAATTTCCAATTAAGATTTTTTAAGCACACAGTTTTGTAATATTATTAAATAAAGGTATCTTAGCTCTCAATATTTGCTTTATCGTTTGTATTTAAAACGTTTTAAATTTTAGAATCAACAGAGGCTATCTTTAGATTAATACTATTTGAGGCTAAAAAATTTGTAAAAAACATTATTTAAGTTAAATTTATATATCTGTTTTTCCAATTTAAGGTGCTTAACATTTCAATAAAAATATTATAGTTAATATTTGTAGTAAATAAAATAGATGCTAGTTATAATAAATTTCCCATTTAAATATCTAGTAATTCAGCTCTTTATAGATATGAATTAGTTTTAAATATGCTTGATAAAGTGCTATTAATATTCTAATTTATATAACTTGTGTATTAACATGTTTGGTTTATACAGCTTTGAGTTAGGCAATACTTTAAATCTATTCTATATATTAAAAAATAGTAAATTTATCATTAAAATAATAAATTAAATTTAAAACTAATTTACATTTTAATATTTGAATAAGGATCTAGTACTATAAGTTATTGATTTTATTGGAAATAGGTATAAATATTAGAATTTTAGGATTAAATAACAACACCATTTATACTCATTAAAAGATTTAAACTCCAATCAGTCTAAGAAAAATAATAATTTCTAATTTCATTCCCGAAATTTAGAATTAAAACAGAAGCATCTAAAATATATTAAACTTGATATATTAATGGTAAGTTATTACCTAAGTTTAATGTTTATTAAGGATTTATTAAAGTTAATAATTGCATATTTAAGTTTTAATCCCAAGTTTTATTGTATTAAATAATTGAAGTAGTGATCACATTGATTTTATCTGAAATTTAGTTATTAAATTATAATACCAAATTGTTTGTTTATTTCATATAATTAATTGAAGCTAATTTAGAGATAGCTATTGATTAATTACTATCAAATTATTTTATTAAATCTTATAATTGATTCAATTAATAAGTTTGTAGATAAATTTGAATTTAATTATTTTGATCTATGAAGGGTTTTATGAATATTACTTATGTTTCGAATAGAATATTAATGTTATATTCATTATCAATACTTGAACTAAGTAAGCCTTAAATGGGATTTATAGATTATATCAAAGGATTTTAAGATATAAAAACAATTTTATTTTACAATATATTAATTGCTACAAACTGTAATGAAGTTTGGTTAACTATTGATACAGTTTAATTATTTGTTGTATTATTATATTTACAATTATCTGTAAAAGCAAAATAATTTGTTTCTAAAATTAATAAGGCATAACTTTAATTATTTTTTTGGTAATTGTAAATATATAAAATCTGATTAACTGTTAAATTAAATTTACTAAGATCAATATCTCCTTTGCTAATTTAAGTTTTGTTCATAAACTGATACTTAAATTGATTTATAGAATACATAACTGAATTCTAAGCTGTAGATTTTGTGCAATTATTTAAATATTTTGAAGTATAAACTAAAGGATTTATTTAATAAATTGTAAATATCATCTAGCTGTCAAATAAATAATTTTATATGTTACTAGAATTACTAAACTATAACTGTTTCTAAGCTACTGAATTATTCTATATGTTAATATTTTAATAGTTAAAAACTGTGACATTTTATGTACTTAATTAATTATTTTTGTTGCTAATAACACTAAGAATTCCGTTTGAACTATCAAAAAAAGAGCTATTAACTAAAGACTTCATTCCTATATATTTAATATAAATTGTAATAATTCTAAATTAATTTTATTTCAAGATAATATATTGGTTAAAATAGTAAAATTAATGAGATTTTGTAAAAAATGATAGTTTTTGAATAATTAAAAGAAATGAATGAATTAGTGTTTTATTTGAAAAATGTAATTATTTTTAAATAAATTATTAAAAATAAAATTTTTATTGCTAACCTAAATATTTTTGTGTGAAATTTAGATTGACATTAGATATAGCCTACAATTTAGTAGAATTAGAAGATAAATAATTCTAGAAATTAAACTTAGAAACAGATCCACTTCCAAACCCAAGCAGCAAATATTATGATTAATATATATCAGTGTATTCGATTGATGTTATATTATCATCAAACACAATTTAAATTGGTGAATTCAAAAGTTAAAATTTACTTGATATTAAATCCTAAGTTTTCTATATTATTAAAGTTTTATTATTTGTAGCAAAAGTGGTATAGTAGCTATTACCAAACCAAAAATTATATATCAAAGAAATTGTGTTATTTCCTATTTTTATATAAAATATTTTAAAAGCACTTAATTTTTTTGTTAAAATTGAATTTTACCCATTTATATAGAAGCAATTATTTATTTCAACATTTTGTCTGTTTAAAAATAGTTTTTGCTTTTATCTAGTTATAAATTTTGGAGATCATAAAACACTAAACAATTTGTATAAGTGTTATTAACAGGTCTTTTTATAGAAGCACCATATTAAACTGCTAAGATAGAAGATCCAGACAAATGATTAAAAGAAATTATAATATAATCGCTCTAATATGCAATCCACATATTATTCTGTGTAGCTTGCACAATATTTATGTTTGGTATAAAAGTTGCAAAAACAAAATTATTTTGCGATATTCCTACTAGTATATTGACAGGTTATGCAAATCCACTCATACCTGTCACATTTTGAGCGATAACAAAATTCTGAGCTTGATTTAATTATGCATTTGGCACATTTGTGTTAACTCCATTTGTAACTAATATAAAATAAATTCTAAATATTTTTAAAATTGCTAATTTTAATTCTACCTTCATAAAAAAGACTTAAAGTTTGATTTTATATATAATATAGTTATGTTAATCCTTAATCTAAATTAACCTATATAAATATCATGTATTATTGAATTTAAGAAGAGTTTAAATTCATTTAAGTAATCCACTAAGTCTTCACAAAAAATTGTGACTATGCTACTATTTTTTAATATCATATTGAATGCTTTTTGCTTTATAATAATAAAACTTTACCTAGTTGTTAATTTTATATTGAATGTGCAATCATGTTATTTTAAAATATATTAAAGTAGAATAATTCTGAGCGAGTAATAGCTAAAACATCACCATCAGAAGAAGAAGTTACAGAAATAATACCACTATTATCAAAAAAATAAATTCCATCATACTTATAAATTAAATCACCAGTTCTTATATCGTTTAATCTTAACCCATTTGAATCATCAGCAGAAATATAGGTTGCAGTAGAATTAATATAATTCAGGCATGTGACTTTTGAAAAATGTCCTATTTTTTTAATTTAAATTGACACTTAAATAATAATTATTTGCTAATAATACTACCTTATATATTTCTTATACTTGGACAGTCAATTTGACTTTCCTCAAATTCTTATAATTTGATAAGCGAGATCAAATTCAATGAAATTAATAGTATGTTAATAATACTCATTTACTTATATTTTAATTTATTGTAATTAATGACAATTTTTTTCTTATTAATTTCAATTAATTCTTCAAAAAGTAATAGAAACACATATGATAATATATTTTATGAAAAATTTAAAACATTAATTTTAGTTAAAAGTAATTTCTTTTGCTAATAACATATAAAATATAAAAAAATTTTATTTTAATAAATAAATATTTTATTTTCTTTCTAATATCTCAATTTTTAATAAAAAAAACAAACCAACCATTTTAAATAATAGAAGTATAGAAGTTTGTTTGTTCTTTTTAAAGTTATTAATTAATTAAATTATATAATTTTATGTAATAAAATTTGGTATATTATATTATGGGATTCAAAATACATGTCCCCCACCATTTATTTTCAAAACAATGAAGTTCTTGTCTATATAACTCATTTTAAGAGGAGGGGGACATGTATTTTGAAACGATCAATATATTGATGAAATGATGGTTTTTCAAGAATATTAAAATATATTAATTTTAAAAATTTTTTATTGAAATTATGTATATTATCTATTTTGGTAACTAAAAGTAATAATGAAGTTAAAGAATAATCTCTTAAAAGACAATAAATATTATTTTTATATAAATATATATAGGAATTCAATAAAAATTGTAACATATAAAAAAAGAATTATTGTATAAATTTTTAATTCATTAATATTGATTATGATTTAAGTTTTTTTTTAGAAATTTTAAACTTTTAACTTTTAGAAATTTATTATTTTAATATTATATATTTTAAATATAATGCTCTTAAAGCTTCATTTGGTTAAGTAAGAAATAATGTAGGGATTGTCAATAATAAAATCTATTTGTATTATAGAAAGTAATTATTTTATTTCAATCATTTCATTATAAACGTATTTCAAGAAAGTATGCCATCCTATAGAGAAAAAAACCAATAATAAGATAATTTAAAAGCACAATAATATTATCTATATCTATAATATATTTTGCAAATTTTCGCTCATAGTTGAGAGTAAAAAATCTTTAATAACTATTAGAGTCTTGTCTAAATTTCCTTACAATAAATCAAATTACTTGATATTTACAGTTTTTTACCATTAAATTACTTGATTTTAGATAACAGAAGTATTATTTTACAGCAAAATATTATGTAAATCTGCAAAAAGTTAAAAAAGGTTTTTCATTCCTATTTAAAAGCCTTTTGTTAATATTCCTTACATGACTGTAGAGCAAGTAGATAGATCAATAAGATTGTTTTAATTTACATATTATGGATACTTTCTTATGGCCTCACATAAATTTCCATTTACAAGCTCATAAAAAAAATTATCATACAAAGCTTATTACGATTTCTTTTAGTTTAAGCTATCATTAATTACTTGAGTAACATTTAAAAGAGATTAAGAGTTAGAAGCAGATAAAGTTTTTAATCTAGAAGCATAATATGGAGGATTATATACTAACCTTTAAGGAACTAAAATATAAACAAGATATTTTAAACTAACTGCCATGTTACTTCCCATTTGTGCTCTTAAATTATAGAGTCCACCTATTTTTTATGTAAAAAATGCTTACTAAAAAAAATATTTTTTTAATTATTTACTTAATAATTTGATGTTGGTCTGTACCTCTGAATTAAATTAATCGATTAAAATATAATTCACAATAGGTTATATTATTATTAAAACAAAGGCTAATATGCATATAAAGAAAAGTCCTATTTTAAATTTAGGTAAGGAGCTTGTGGATGAAATATTTTTTCTTTTTCTCTGTAAGAAATCTTTATTATTAATTAAGGCCATCTTAGATTTAGATAACTTAGCTCCCTCGTTTTAGAAATCTATTGCCAATTAAATGGAACGACTCATACCTCCTAAAGATTAAGAAGGAATAGTTGCGAAAAGTTTAAGTACGCTTTGATTTTTATACTAAACAAAGTAATATAAAGGAAAAAGAGCTGAGATCAGCGTGAACGAAACTATCAAAATTAAGCTCATTAAAGTTTATTGCTAACTTTCTACTTAGTTTAATACATTTTATGAATGGAGGGTAATTTCATTTTAAATATATGACATATTTGTACTAAAATTTATGAAGTTATCAATATTTTCTTTTTAATAGAATATTTATTCGTTGTTATCAAAATCTTAGTTCACAAATAAGTAACTGTTGGCTATAAAGTTTATTAGAAAGTGCTGAACTGTTAAATTGAAGGATATTTTTTGAGAAGGAATGTTTTTAAGATTTTGGCTGGGAGGAATAACAGAGTCATCAAAATTAAAAACAAAATTCATAATGTTTGTGTTGATGTATTAAAAGTATGGCTTATTTGATATATCTTGTCTGTAGTATCTTTTCAATAGATTGAATTCTTCTTTTTGGCCTACTATTCCTCTATTCCTCACTTCTGCAATATAAGTTTTGTTGTACAAAGAAGAGTCTTGGAATCCATTAAACTCAATCAAATCAGCCATAGCTCCAAAAGCAATAGTATTAGTAAGTGATACTCTCATTGTATTAGCCCAAGGAATTAGTTAAATATCTTCTTTACTTGAGTTGAGCATAGATTGAATTTGCAAAAACTCATAAAAAGTAATAATTGCTATAGTGATAATAGCTAAGTATCCAAAAATATTTAAAAGAATAATTGATATATCCTTTTTATTTGACTTTATTAATCTTTATATATTTTTCTTTTGTTCATGGTTATGACTTTAGCTAGTCTTCACTGAGCTTACATCCAGAATACGAGACCTTTATTCTAATTCTTGCTTTATTTTTTCTTCTTCTTATTATGCTGAATTAGAGAAAAAATCAGACGAGTATCCATCCTTATCTCTTCTCGCACCATAGAAATGAATATCTTCCTCCTCCAGCTATATCTTTTTACCAGTTAATTTGACATGATCTTACCTTTAATTTTAAGGTTATGTTTTGTAGTAAGAAGTTAAAAATTAAATCTGTTTGCTATTCAGAGATTGTTTTCCTGTCTAATTTATTGCTTAGTTTACTTCTTGATGATGCGTATGTGGAAAATCCATTGATATATTCGAAAAGGTATTGTTTACTTATGTATCTTAAATTATTTTCCCTCTTGTATTATGCATTTTACTTGATCTATCCTTTATTAGATCATAAATACCTTTCTACTTTGGAGATATAATATTTTAATCAGTTTCATATTTAGCTTATAGCTATAAATCAGATTACGTTTATTTAGTATAATTATAATGATTATTTTCTTCTGTTTCATGATTTTAATTTTTTTTTGCAGTTGATGGTAAATCTTTGAATGTGTCAGTTACAAGTATATCTTACTTACTATTTTAATTCAAATTGCTAATAGATTTACCTACTTAAGTACTGATATTTTCATCTCCTTATTTGTATTAAAGAGCTTGCATAATTGAATTAAGCTCGGGGTAAGCCCCTCCTTATTCTGAAAATTGTTTAGCTAAATAAGATTTGTCATTTTTATTAAACTACTGTTACCTGTAAGATATTTACAAGTAATCTTCTTCCCCATGTCTAGCTGTATTTATATTGCCTATAGAACCCATTAGAAGAGAAGAAGATTAGTTAATCATCATGCTATTGTGATTCATATTCATTTAAGAATTTTATTCATATTCTTTTTTAGTTTGCACAGCTTTCATCATTTAGAGATCTGATTGAATTTATGGAGCAAAATTATTATCATAAATATCATCTTCATTTGAATTTTTCTTTAAATTGATAAAATTTTCAACAATTTCATTTTTTTAGTTAATATATTCTTTTTTTTCTGGAATAAAACCCAATTAATTGTACTGTTATAGGTCTTGCCTATTTTAAAATTTTTAATTTTATTCATCATCATAGCTTTATCTATTATTATCATCCATCTGCATACTAAAATCTATAAAATATATATTAAAAATTATCTTAAAAAATGAAATAATTTTAATAACTTACTTTTAAAATCATCATAGGAATTTATATTTGAATTTAAGAATAAGAGTTACTCAGCTTTCTGCAGCATTTCTAATTCCTTTGAGATATCAAAGTTAATGTTAAGCAAAGCAGAAAATTGGTTTTTGAGTAAGTAAAGGTTTTCTCTTTGAGCTTCTACACTAAGAATGCGTCTTATCTGTTAAATTTCAACTATGTTGTATGACACGAATGAGTTTTTAAAATGATAAAATTTCATTTTAACTGTAAACATATCATACTAATCCAAATTGTACTATTATAATTCCTTTTAAAGATTTTAGTATTCTAATTTTTAATAAAGTAAAGATTGTTAAGGTTATATTTTTTTTGCAAACTAAGTTTGGCTCATTATATTTTATTATGAATCTGCTTTAGGCATAAAAGCAACTGTTTTAACTAAATCTTTGTGGACTTCTTCTTGTTTATTATTTCCTTAAACCCAAAGCTTCTCAAAATAGTGAAGCAGAGGTATTATACGATTTAAGCAAATATTCTATAATTCACTTTTCTGTAAATATTTAGAAAATAACCTATCAAAAATATTTTAAGTTGCTAACTAAATTTGAAAGTTTCTTGTATTAGTCATGATATAATAGTAATCTGTTTAAATATTTTTAATATGACTCGTTATTCCACAGTCAGACTAACCAATACAATCTATTTTAAACTGCAATGATATTGGTACTCCCCAACCACTACTATTTCTTGCCATAAGTAAAGAAAAGTAATTATTAGGTTCAATTATCTTTTTTTAAATATTTTGCTAATTATTTTAAACAAGTTTCATCAACTTAGACTTTGTGTCATCATACTCTGACTAATAAGTGCTTTCTAATTTTTTATTTTCTACTTAAGTTTTTCTCAAAGACTGCTAAAATTCAGATTAGCTTGAATTTTATAAATACTACTAAATCATTTTATCATGATACTTAGCTATTAGTGAGGGAATAATAACATTGATACTTTTTCCTACAATATCTTTGATCTATATTCCAAATATATTTTCAAATTTATTTTAAACTCTCTTTACTATACCTAGATTGCTTTAAATCAAAGAAATAAAAACTACACAATTATCCTTGTCAAAAATAGTATGATCCACATTTTGCAAAGCTTATAAATTTGCTCTTCCACGATTTGATTTCCTAAAAAGCCTTCTCTTTTTTTCTCCAAAACCAAGATGAAGAGCAAAGCCTTCCATATAGTACTATACTTTATGGCTATTGTAGTGAATATTTCCTAAATTTTATAAATCTTTTTGCAATTATTCAGTCTTTTATTTTAATTTAATAGCATTTTTTTTAAACTCAATAAGATCGATATGATCTTCACTTAATATTTTTATTACTTTAATCTTCATTGCAAGCGATTCATAATACATTCTTTCTACTCTATTTAATTCTTCATCAAATAGTATACCTATAAAATAATTTACATTTTCAATACTATGATTTCCTAATTTGTTTTATTCTTATTTCAATAAACTTTCTTCATTTTATGCATTACCCAAATAGCCTGCAGAATTAAGAGTGCTCTTTTTATTTGTTTATCTAAAAGAATAGTTTATTCCTGAAAATTCAAATTTTTACTTAGCCATTAAAAATATCTCATTTAAAAATGCAGTCTCTCTTATTGATAGTCGTAAAAGCTAATTAAGTCTAATAATCTCAACATATCCCAAAACTTTTGATTGCTCCACTTCAATTAAGAAGTAAAAGTAAGTAAAGTAAAAAGTACTTTTACCAAAGCGACTAGCTTTTAAAGAATTGGAATTGATAACTCTAAGATACTAATTCCTAATAAATTGCTTGAGAAATTCTTTCCTCTCTTTTCCATCTAAAAAGTTTTGCTCAAACTGTTCTTAAGTCGAAGCCTAATTTGATAAAAAAATTGTTGGTTGATAATTTTGATTAATTAAAATAAAAAAATCCTACTTAGTAATTACAAAAAATGCAATCTGTATTATCATTACAATTAATTTTATGATCGCTGCTTAATTTTTCTAAGATAATTGAATTTTTATTAATCCTAAAATCTTCAAAAGCAATTCCAATCTACTGATATAAAAGTCTTAAGAAGAAATCTAATTCTTAAATTTTTTTAGACGATTTTGCTAATTTATCTCCAAAAAAGTATTGGTTCTAATATTTACTGTGCAGATCCTCGTTTTGTTAAGTTAGAATCTTAGAAATTTTATTTGATATAGGAATCAAAGCTAAAATTAGTATTGAGAGAGGAAATTATTAATCAACGGCAATACTAATTAGCAGAAGCGCTAATAGAAGAGTATGGTAGGTTGAAAAAAAAAGATAGTAAAATCTGGAAAATGAATTATTATAAAATGAATTAGTGTAACTATCTATAAATGTGTAAATTGCTAATGATAAACTAAATAGACACCTAAGAGGAGGGTCTGAAACAAATTAATTTAGTATTATTAACATTGTTTCTAAGAATTGTAAGACAAAATCCCAAATAAAAGGATTCTTTTTTCCTAAGAAGTCTTTGGCTACAAATGAAAAGTCTAAGTCATGTATCCTGATACAAAAACCTTTAGATTAATGAAATTAATTTGATTTACTTAACTAATTTAATTTAATTCTTCAAGGAATAAATAAATTCCTATTTCCTGAAATTAATTGATGTAATAAAAAAATTGGTTATAGATTTCATAATTTAATTAATTTTTTCGCTCTTTTCTAACCGCAATTTTAAAAAGTAAAGCTACACACATATTTGAAGATTATGCTAATCAACTTTACAATATTTTTGCAAAAACAATCTTAAAACTTTAAAAATGAAAACTGTTCAAAAATATGGATTGTTTGTTACTTATAATTATTGAGAGAGTTAAGTTGATTGGTGCTACAGGATTTCCTTACATTTTAACAGAAGCTACACTTATCAAAGGAATATATAGTACATAATTATATGTTTAAGCAAAAAAGCTTAGCAGTAGCTAGAATGTATTATTAGAGGAGTCTGAGGAATATTAAGTAACTCGAGCTAAAAAAATTAATATAAGGGTTGAATTAATACCAATTCCTATCCAATTAAATACATTTTAATAGTCTTCCATTTATTTTAATATATTCATATAGCCTAATTTACTTAAATTATAGTCAATGAAAGTAAGTTTATCTAAGGTCTCATTCTTCAAAACTGGTAATATAAACCAAAATAATCTTATTAAAAGGTAAAAGAAACTTATTAGCTTAAGGCGCTTAAATGCGTGGATATCTATGCAAATCTACTTCTCATAATATATCTTAAAGTTGTAATACAATCTCTTTATTATATTCATTTTTATTTTCCTAAATCGCTTGTTTCAATTTATTTAATTGCTAAAACTTAAGAGCTAATGATAAACAAATTATCAATTAAGAAAAAGTTTATTATGTATAATTTGTGTTAATTTTAATTTTGATTACCAAAGGGAACCAATCGTTGAAATCACAAATCTCAACCTTTTTTTTAAGATTTTATTAAAAATTTCATCTCACAGATTCTTTTTACACTTACATCAACTTAGGATAGTAAAGGTCAATAATTTATTAAAAGTTGAATTATTCTGAAATAAAATTATAATTTTGCATACCTTTAAAAAATATAAATATTACTGGATTAATTATTTGTTTAAGTATAAAATTAATATCTTTCTTTTTGTTTTTTTAAAAATAATTTATGATATTTAACACGTTATTTAATAGTAAGTTAATTAATATCCATGTCAAATTTAAAAATAAATAGAAAGATAATTGATTACTTTTTGGTATATAGCTTAATTTTTTATAATTTGAGAGTAAATAAAATTTGAAGAAAAAGGATAGTTATTTTCTTATAAATTTGTAAATGAAAGTCATTAAATTTTTTTAATTTCGGAATTTTTCAAATTAAAATTATGCTTCTTGGCATTGAATAAATAACTAATATTGTGCTTGTAATAAAATATTCGCTTTAAAAAAACTGCATGTTTTTACCTTTATAATATTTATTATTTCTAGTTATCTTCATACAAACTTAAAATTTATTAATTAAATAAATTTTATATTTTAATTAAGAATAAACTGAAATTATCTTTAAAATATTAGGTTGTGTAACAATAATTGCGAGTTTAAATAATAATCTATAAAACATATACAAACACTCAGTTAAAATAGTCTCCTTAGGCATTCATGCCTTTTTTCTATCTCTCTTCAAGCTTTGATTTATCTTGAGAAAAAATTTTGGTTCTCTAGACCCTATAAAAGCTAAAAAGGTTTCTTAAAATTCTTCACTATTTTTAAAGGTTTTACCTGATAAATAATTATCTAAGTGCTAAAAGAGGTGCTAATCTGATGGGACTAGATTATGAGAGTAAGCTGGATGCTAAAGTACCTAAATTCCTAGTTAAATGAGCTTATCTTTTGTGCTTTTCGCTTAATGCAGGAGAAAAATTAAGCGAATTTCCTCTTATTCCTTAGGCACAGTCTACTTGCCTTCTGAACTTAACTTTTTGTTTTTTTTTATTTATTTTGATAAATTTAGGTCTCTATTTTCAAATTTACTCAAAAAAAGATATCAAATCCTTTATTTTGATACGATTTTAATAAATATATTGAAAAACTTGTAATAATTATTACACAGCCTATATAAATCTAAAATTTAATAAACTATTTGATTTTTTAGATAGTAAATGAATGTTAATCAAAAGATAATAGGGTTAGAAAACAGATATTCTCAAAAGAAGAAGAAAAAAAACTATGTTTACTTAAGCTTCTAATTAATTAAATAAATTAAGTACAAAACCTTAAAAAAATTTTTTGGCAAAATGATTTTATCTTTATTCATTTTTTTTTACTGATTGAAAGATATTACCAAGAAACTTGAAACGTATATGCATTATTTCACTTAAATTAGCATAGTCTTAACTCTAAACCATAAAAAACTTAAATTCCTATTTATGTAATTTTTTATTTTTTAAAAGATTAACCTTTATTTAGCTAATTATTTTACTATTAGTTTAATCTTCAAAAATAAATCTCTATTAAATTTTTAAAGTTTAATTTTTAAGTAGTTTTTAAAGTTTAATAGATAAATAAATTAGAAAATTAAAAAATTACTTTTAATTTAATTCAATTTGTGTGACTTTTAATAAATGGCTAATTATGATAGAGTTTTTTTGAAAACTTGAATAAAATCATGAAAAAAACTAAAATTTAAATTAATACAATACATAAGTGTAAATTTACCCATTTGTAACTAAGCAAAAAACAAAATTTCAATTATTTGAAGTTCTTTATCATTTATTAATTTTTTTTATGGATTTTGGGCTCAAATTATATATTTACCAAAAACTTAGGTCATAAGATGGTTCAATTTAAAAAATTTTAATGTATTTTTTAATATTTAAAAATTAAATTAATTTTTATAAATATTTATTTATTTATTAATTTAATATAATATATTTAACTTTTAAATTACACGCATTTTCATACATCATTTTCTGGTTATAAATCACTCTATTAATAAATTTTGCTTACAGCAATCTCTTAATTTTTAAAGATTTACTCTTCTTACTCTTTTTTATCTTGATCATGCTCCAAACTTTTTTTAAATGCACTCAAAAAATTTCTCTGACTATAGTTATTAAATGGACTTTTAGCTTAAAAAGAATTATTTTAAGATTGCATAATTTTAGTACATGAATCTCCTATATACTTTTAATTATTTAAAATATTGACTCCCTCATTAATTTGTATATCTGAGATTATATCTACTTCATTGACTTTATCAAAATGGCTTTCTGAGCTATCTAAGCTTTTCCCATCACAATGATTGTTTAGAAGTCTACTCATTTAGATATTTTTTGGAGAAAATAGTTAATTATTAAGGGTAGATTTGTCAGTAATAACTTTTGGAATTATTCCTTCTGTTTTATAATATTATTTAGTATTTTAATAAAATTATTAATAAATAAATTTACCTGAAGCATTTCCTAATGAAGGATTAGTCTTAAGCTAGTAATTTTTTACTACATTTTAGTTTTTATTTCTTTCCAAGCACTTTTAAATATATAAATTATTTATTTTTAAATGAATAGATGAGGTTATTGACAAATAAAAATGTAAAAATATCAAATAATTTACTGATTTAGCTTTTAATAAATGTGGAATGTTTTTAACTTAATTTTTTTCATCGATATTTAAATTATTATTGAACTCATTTTCATTGGATTATTCATTTTAATTTTCTATATTATCATTGTTGAATTTTATTTTTTTCAATTTGCTTGGTATTTAATCATCAGGTATCTACCCATTTAATATTGGAAATACTGATTCTGGTTCTACTTTTAGCTTACCACTCCATAAGCTGATCAGTTTTTTCTTTTTCAAAATTTTAACAATCGATTTCAACCATCTTCTTTTGAGGTAGTATTTCCTTTATTTTTCTGAGAAAAAATATTTTCTACAGCAAATGAATCTTACAAAAAATATTTTAAATTTTTCAAACACATCTTTGTTCTAAGTAATAAATACTGTGCTTAGTATTTTAAAAGCCCAAAGTACAAATAGGAGATTAATGATCGCAATTAAAAGAATGGAAATTAACCACCAAAATGGATTTGATACATTTTGATATGCAACAAACCCTAAATAAATCGAAATAGCTTAAACAATAGTTTATGTCATATCAACTTTATTGTAGATTTGTTCTTTGTATGGTTAAAAATGAAACAATAAAGAACCATAGCAACACACAATAAATAATATGAATAATATCTATTTTTGTTTAAAAAAAAATTTTAACTCTCTTCATAATTAAAAATAAAATAATCTTACCTTGTTTGGTATATCATATTCATAGAAAGTTAAACAACACATGACTAAAAGTTTCATATTCATTTTAACAAATTCCCAATATTTTGAATTAGATTTATATTCTAGAATCATAAACATAAAACTTCTTTTTTCAACAATATATTTTCTTTGTTTTGATCTCCAAATTAAGATAAGCAATATTAGGGGAATAAATACTGCAACCACTAAAATTACAGGAATTACTAAGCTTAATGACCAAATCACATAGTCTGAAGTATAGCACTCGAAAAGAAGACTAAATTGAATATACTTAGTATTACCTTATATTTTTTGCAATTTTTAAAAAAATGATATAGAAACCAAAATTGTTATTTACCTATTTAACGGCAGCTGATAAGAGTAATTGCATTTTTGAATATACTTGGCTAAAAGTACATTAGGCAATAGCAAAAAGAAGTGTTTAAGTAAAATCCTCTTATAAATTTATCGCGGTATGATAAGAAAGCTGAAATAGCAAAGATAAGCAAACACGCTATAGGAAGAATTACAGCAGCAATTAGTTGTAAATAGATCATGCTTATTCCTGTAATTTGCTAAAGCTGGTAAAAGAAACACTCAAAAGAATAAAGTATTTATGTTGTTGGATTAGCGATAACATCTACTGGATTATTGAAGAAAGATGGAACACTAATCTAAAATGTAGTTAAAACCATGATAATTTAAAAATAACTTAAAATTAACTTTAGCAAGACAGAAGTATTTTATTCTGCTTCTTCAATCTATTTATCAGTAAGGTGTACTCTAATAGAATAATACTTTAATAACTTGTTTAGAATTCCATCAACACTTATTTTTGCACTAATAATCTTTTTTTTAATAAAATTAAAGTTAATTTAAGATTGAAAAATAAATAAATGAATAAATAATTATTTACATAGAATAACATCAATCCTAGAATTTTCAAAGAGTTAGTTACATGATCCCCACATACTCCACACTAAAAATTCCCAGCTGTTGTATATCCATTATAGATATCACATGTTTCACAAAGAGGTCCTGTATGTCCTGTAGAACAAGTAGAGTTATTTTATCCTCCTAGACAGTTGCTTGGAGAATTTATACACTATATTATCTAATCACTTTGATCATTAATCCTCCAATATCCTTCATCTACATTTATTTAGTCCCCGCCTGGGCATTATGCATATTAACTGCATTTACTGCATTCTGTTACTGGTTTAGATAAGTTTGGATATGCCAGTGAGTATCTATGTAAAATATATTTTAAAAATTTTGAAACTTTTAATTTTCTAATAAATTTTACGTTCCTGTTGAGCACTTCACACATTTATAGAATATTTATGTTGATGAAGAAGATGTTTGAATAACTTCGGAAAATATCTCTCCCCTAATACACTATCTTAACTAGATTTCTAAAATAACTTAATATCCATTAGAATTATCTGATGAAATACTACTAGATGTTAGGATTAAATATACACTAGTTCCTGGAATACCTGTTATTATAAGATTAGAAACATTAAAGTACCCTTAAAAACTAAATGTAGTTTCTGAGCTAGATATCACAAAATTGTTTGATTTTTTAGATAAATCTAATACAACTTTTGGATTTATTTAAGTATAGGAACTATCAATAATCAAATTATTTTCATCTAGTAATTGAAACACTAAATTAGGTAAACTAACACCACTTACCTAGTCTTATATTTAATATACTTGATTTCCATCAGAATCTATGTAAGAAGTATAATTGAAATTAGAATATTATTGACTTAAAGTTTTGTTGAGGATTATTTTTTTAGGATAGGAGAAAGAGTTTTACCCATATGTGCTATCTATTGAAGAAAAAAAAAAAAAATACAATAAGAAGAGAAAAATCAAGAAGAAAAAAATTATACTTGCTACGTTGTTCATAATTACTGTTTTCTAGTCAGTATAAGGACTTTAACCTTGATAAAAAATACCACCTCCCAATATTTAAGCTGTGTTACCTTATATTTTGGTGTTTAATATATTAACTATTTAATTATTTTTTTCTTTTGTTGACTAAATTTCAAAATATGCTCCACCTCCTTAGTTAGCAAAATTTTTATTAAAGAAGCAGGTATCTATTACTATAAAATATACATCTTAATTCGTAATAAAAGATAAACCACCTCCAAATCCTTTAATTGTTTAACTATTAGTAAAATTGCTATATTTAATAGTGATATTGTTGCTTAAATTAATGATTTATAATGAACCTCCATTATTTTGTGCTAAGTTTTAATCAAAAACTGAATTTATTATACTACCTTATGAATTAAATATAGCCAAAGCTCCTCCACTGCACAAACTATCATTACAACTAAGCTTTTAAAGTAATCCATAACTCAGATTTATTGTTGATTATTATACAATCATTATTGCACTAAACTAAGACTATATGTCTGTTGTTATATCTGTAGTTAACATTCTAGTGCTTGAAGGTACATAACTCCTATTTATTTAATAAATTTAAATTAATTTATTTTTAAATAAAAAATACTTTCAAACAATAATTAAAATTAAATTTTTTGTAATTACTATTTTCAGAAAAGTAATTAATTTATTTTAAATGTTTAATTTATGATAAATATTTACTGACTATTAGTTATATTTGTATATGCCATATTGAGAGTAGATTGTTATATTAGAATCATTGCTGAGCTATAATAAATGCAATTATCAATATATGAATTAGTAATATTTGTAATACTAAATGATGTAGCTTTAAGAATCAAAGTTTAAGCATCACTAGTAGAAACAGTTTTCTAAAATATTTAAAAACCAGATAGATTTAACAAAGAAATTTAAGCTATGCTTGATTACAAAGTTATATATTCTCCAACATTCTACATATCTTTTATGTAATTTAATATTTATGTATCATATGTTTAAAGATTTGGGTTGTTTTATCTAGACTTTAGATCATTTATTTGTAAATTAGAATTTTATATATAAGCTAATCCTCCTTATATTGAGAATAAATTTGAAGTAGTACAGCCATTAAATATCACAGTAGGAAATGTGCTTTGGAGGCTTAAAATATTCTTAGAAGATACCATAAAATATAAATAAATACCTCCTCCTTCAGAAGAAAGAATATTTGTGAAAATGCAATTATTAAATTACAAAGTAGTTAAATTAAGAGCTTAATTAATGTAAACAGCAGCACCATTTTAAGCAGCTATCAAATTTTAAAATATACACTAATTGAATTTATAACTTGCTTAAGCTTAACTTGGTACTATAGTCAATCCATTTCCCTACTAAGCAATACTATTTGTAAAATTGGATTGGGATACTGTAAAGTTGTTAGATTGTATTTCTATGTATCCTCCTTTGTATGTTGCATAATCTAGATCGTAGTTATTATTTTAAAACTTTGTATTAGTTATTTGGCCATTATATACATTCAAATAAAAAGCTGCCTAAATATCAATTGAAAAAATAATGTGTATTAATTAATGTATAATTTTAAAAATAATTATTATTTACGGATGATGAATAGGAAATTAAATTCTAAATTGCTGAGTTTTAAATTAAAAAGCTTGAAAATGGAGACGATAGAGTCAAGCATGAACCTGAGCTTTGAAATAGTTTCTACGGAGTTAAAAATAAGATCTAATTATAAGTAACATTTGTAAATTATATTTGCAAATTCTAATAGGACTCAATTAAAACAGCTGATGATTAATAAAAGGACGTTAGAGTAAATAAATTTATTGTGTTAAAATATGTATCTTAAAATGTAATATAACCGTTAGGCTATTATTAATTTAATAAAGTAGAGCTGGAATCAATAGATATAACATAATTATTTTATAAATATTTATTTTCAAAGCCACATTAGTTTAATTACAGAGATAATTGTGTATGTTCCTATAATACTAAGCAAGGAAAGTCTATAGCTGAACTTTCAAAATTTGTATTTTTGCAATAAAATTGAGTAATTTTTACTGAAATACATTTTAAACAAGAGAATTAAGTAATGTGGTTATCAATACTATTAACTGTTTAGAGTACCATTTCTTATGTATTTGACAAGGCTATTTATATGTAATTAGAAGATGAGGTATCTATATTTACAGAGGAGCAACTATCAGTTTGGTACTAATCATAGCTGCATGGAATTAAATTTAACTATCTAAAATTAGAAGATTTTATAAATAAAGCAGAAATAAAATTCAAATCTTATGTTTGCCCATCAAATATTAAAACTATAATTGTCTAATCAGTCATTAAGTATGTATTACCTATAAAATTAAAAGTATCTATAAAAGCCTAAAAAAGTGTCGTGTAAGAGTTTATTCCTAAAAAAAATATAATTTTAACTTTAAATAAATATTTTAAATAAAATATTACCAATAAGAGATACATTTTCAAGAATATTAGAAGTTATACTTACTTAATTTAGCGTAAAAATTTAGGCGCTAATGAAAAACCTAGAAGCATTAGCTGTTTGCTTAAGCCTAATGGTATTACTTATAAGGTTAAAACCATCCATTTAAAGGTTTAACAATTAAATAGAGTATATAAGGTTAGTGAAATAAAAAATATTATTTTAAAATGTTATATTTTTTAGTATTAGTGTATTATCATTAGAATTTATGTAAAATAAGCTTCCCGAAGAGTTGAAATATTATTTTTATATAACAGTGTTCTAGAAAAGTAAAGTTCCGGTTGATTAGCAAACAACATATAAAGGTATTGGGTTAGAGCTATTAAATAAAATTTATATGTTTTACTAAAATATTTTAATATATAATTTACCTTTTACTGATAAGAAGCGTATTACTCATTATAAAATTAGGAATACTAACTTAAAAGAAACTAGCATAAGCATTTTATGTCAGTATAACATTTTAAAACTAAACATAGTTGTAAGTATTGATTAGCTGTTGTTCTTTTATAGAAATATTAAATACAGAATAAGTGTTTTAAGGTATATTTAAAGTGTAATCAACTGATTAAATATTAAGATTAACTTTTAATTTTTTTAAATAATTTGATATTACTGAATTTTTCGTATCTAATTAGGTATATTATTAATTCCAAATAATTAAACTTCCTTATTAGACGTAAATATTATAGTTTATATTTATATTTATTAGATAAAGCATTGAATTAAGTAAACTATACTTGGATTAGGCTAATGCTTCTTATCTTAAGATATAGCCTGAACTATCACTTTTAAAATAATCTGCAATGCTAGAACTATTAGGTTATTAATTTATAAAATTCCTAATTTCGCATGTACTATTATCACATACGGTGGATTCACAATCATTTAAACTAACTCTATTTTATAATAATTAATTATAAAAATTATGTAAAAACTTAAATGAATTTCATCAAAAAATATTTATTATTTTACTAAAAATTTATTACTCAACATTTCATTAATTTTATTAAAAAGAAATTAAAATAATTATATTTTTTTGGTTTTATTAAAAAAAATATTTACATTTGAAAGAGGGAAGAACTATCTACTATAAGCAATTATGTGGTAGATAAAGTTACTATAAAATTAAAGAAGTTGTCTGATGATGATTTATCAATTGTGAGGTATAATTATAAACTATAATTTTATAGATTATAAGAATAAACTTTCAAATAAGTATTGACTTTAAGAATAAGCAGAGAGGTATCTTGCTTGTATTCTAAATAACTAACTTAATAGGGATAGCTATCATTATTAGATTAAGATTAAAATATTTGGTTAATGGTTAATTCAACATTTGTTTACCATGTTGCAGAATAGCTTATCAGTGATGAATAAATATAATTAGTTGAATCATTCAAGTTAAATTGAATAAATAATTAATTTAATGTTGGAATGAAATAAAAACTAATTATGTTGTTTATTGCTGTTTTTATTGTTGTATTAAAAGTCTATATTTTTTATTAAATTAAATTACTTAGAATTTAAAACTAATTCACAATCATGACACCATTATTTATTTAAGGCTAAAGAAAAATTATCTAATTGTTGAAATACAAAACTAAATTAGAATTAGAGTCAGATATGAAATCAATAAAACCAGACATGCTTTACAATTATAGAAAAGGATTTGGTGATTAGTATTAAAGGTGGCCTTTAGAATCATAAATGTATAGGAATAAATTAGCTGTATATTATTATAAAATTCTGCCTCCAGGTGGCTTTTAAGGATTTCCTGTAGTATCAAGACAGTATTAAGTAAAATCAAGAAATTTAATATCAAAAATAAATGCTACATAATTAGCATTCCCTATGCTAAAAGATACTTCATCTACTATCTAATTTATGTAAATATTCTTAGAGGAAAAATCTAAAGCAACAGTAGTTTTTTATTAGGATATATTTATAAAATATAATTAAATTTGGGCAATTTAAACAGATTCAGTTGCTTAGTTAGCTGTGGGACATGCACCATTTATTTTTAATAAATATTATTAAGGTTTAAAAAATAGAATAAAAAGATTCTAAGTTGAACTTATAGCTAAAGGAGTAAATGTTATAGCATTAGCGAATGACAGTGTTTAAACCTATGTCACAGAAGTACTGAGATTAATAAAGGAATAACTAATATTTAAACTTTATCTTGATTGTTAAGGAGTTCCAAATAAAGTTATTTATTTATCAGTATCATCATATGAGCCGTTGGTGATATCAGAAGTTATACCTATTGAAATTATAATAAAAAATGACTTCAACCAAGATTAAATGATTTTATAATAATTAATTTTTTTATTATTTTCAAACTTACCAGTAGAATATTATTAAAAGTTAAAAGAGGACAAATTAACAGTTGAAGGTGTGAAATTTGCAGCTGACGATATTTGAGAGGAGAAATCAAATGAAATAATGTTTCCATTTGTAGAAGCAACCAAGATATAAGATAACTCTTATATTAGAATAGGCGATATCATTTATATAGAAAATTAAAAAGTGATTTAAATTGCCCCAAATAAGTTATAGTTATTGCTTATCAAGTCATTTATGTTGTATATAGATATATATTATGTGTAAACAAAAGCTACATAAAATTATTTGTTATAGAAGATATTTTTTATCTACTTGATTAAATTACTTGCACCTATTATAAAAATAAAATTAGAATTAATAGTTTTTCTAAGTTAAACATACTAATCGATATAGCAGCTGAAGGTGTAGATATCATTTGTTTAAGCGAGTAGTCATAAGTTGAAACACCACCTTGTAAATTCTGTAAATCGAAAAAAACTAGAGAGTTTTATTAATAATTAGATTGCTGTGGCGGAGAAGAGCCACCAGGTGATGATTAAGCTTAACCAAACATAATAGCGATTATTGTTGTGCTTTATAAATGAGTAAAGGCATTTACAGGATAATTTAAAGAAGTACCTTACCAAACTCCTGCATTTATCATAGTACTAGAAATTGAATTAGATATATCGCAACCATAAATCAAATTAGATGTAGAAATTCCAAGAAGAACTTATTTTTTTTAACTATTTTTTAAAATTCCAGATGCATCTTAAATTATTAAAAATTAAGATGGCTAATCGGATATCCCTTACTGCTATGTTGCAGAGCTTGATATTGTAACTTTTAGATAAAAAATTATTATTTCAGCATTTTAATTGTTATATCTTTTATATGAATTTATAAGTTATCATATTTACTTTAGAATGAGAGGATATATTGATAATTAGAATCAATATAACTGAGAGAAGTAATTCCGTATTGATTATCTGCTTGTAGAGTTATCAAATATTAAGATAAACTGGAGTTTATGTATTATTTTAAAAAGCTTGCTGTTGCTAATATTTACTATTTTTCTAATTTTGTTATAAAAATAAATTATTTTTTAAAGTTATAATATTATCGAATTGCTTACAGGCGTTTGTAGTTATTGAGGAATCGAGTAAGGTCTGTCCTGAATATACATTATAAACTTTGTATTCTATTTAAGATATTACAAGAATATCGCCATTTTGATTAGATGCGATAGATTGAATTCCTAAAGTATCTGTTGTATAACCTGTTTGATACACTATATTTTACCCTGTCTTAATGTTACTTATTAGAAATCTGCCTTAAGAATCTCCAGATGCAAAAAATATGGAATTAGGTATATAATTAATTGCCTAAACATTAGTAGGGTGACCTAATTTTAAGAAAAGTTAATAGTATAGTAAAATTATTTAGAAATGTTGCTTTTAGTAAAATTATTAGCTTACCAGCTTTATTTAAAAATGTCGGGCATTAAATTGATGACTGAGGGAAACTAATTGCTTTTACTGTTTGAATGAGTAAAATAGAAAATAAAAATATGTTCATTTTTAAATAGCTTTTGAAATATTGATTCCGTTTTTCTTGTAATTATTGATCGTATTTTGTGTTGTTATGAATTAAATATATCAATTATTCCACATTAATTTTTAATTAAGAATTCTTAAATTATTTCAAAATAATTGTGCATTTTTTATAATTTTAAGGTTAAAACAATAAAAAAAAGTACTTTAAGTGCTTATAACACTTTACATTTATTTTCAAGTTAAATTACTACCTTTCTACAGCCACTAAATTCACGTTTTCAATTAATTTAAATAATACTTTTTAGAAATTTAAAATTAAATAAATTTAGGTGATAGATAGTTAATAGATATTTTATTTTAATAAAAGCTGATAATCGATTTGTTTGAATTTTAAAATAAATTTAAAATATTTTGAAATCATTCATAACTTTATAAATTAAATAGAGATATTTACTTTAGAGAATTAAAAAATCTTATTTTAACGTTTCTCTAATATTTTTTTGCAGATGAAATGAAATGTATCAATCATATAAGAAGAACCTATTCAATTTTTAGCGGTAAATATTTATAATAAGAATTGATTAGAAAAAATTTGATTGAAATTGTATTATCTAATCAATCATTTCTAAAAATTAATATCAAAAAATACAATTTAGAACAAAAGATATAATTAGACTTACTTGAAAAGCTTTTATATAAAATGATATAAATACAAGATAAAGTTTTGTAATTTAAAGGATAACAATACAAAGGAACTATTTCCTGTACTGGTATTTAAGAACTCATTTGTTAATTTGGGTAAGTAAAAACACTTTACAAAAGTACTTTATTAACATAAAATAATGTGAAATAATAGATCTGCAAATGATTTTTATGGGGATTTTGGTGAATTTGTTAATGTTTTTAAGGATTTAAATGAAGTTCAAATCTTATAAATCAATTTCTGGTAGTGAATTTAGTGGAAATATAAATTTTAATATTATATCATAATAAAAATTAGGAATTGCGGATTAAATACTTTTGAAAGTATGCTGCCACAATTCTTAAATATGTTTCCTAACCTTAAAAATTTGAAGTTGAGTGTGTGGTAAATAAATAAATAAAGAAATATATTTTAATAAAAACCTAAATATTTAATTAAAAAAGGTCATGCAGCTTAGAAGATGAAGGTTTAAGAATAGTGTCTGAAGCACTATAAAATTTGAAAGCACTCACTTAGTTATTTTTAGATTTTAGGTAAGATTAAATTAAGAGTGAAAAGATTTAAAAATTTTATGTTTATTTTCATAATTTTTAATTAGATGGAACAAGATTAAAGATAAGGGTTTTATCTCTTTTTCATAAGCATTAGGCTAATTAACTTAGTTATAGTCACTTTAGATAGATGGATCGTAAGTTTATTAATTTTTTCATCAGAATTTAAAAATATTTTTTTTTAAAGTAATAATCTAGTTACTCATAAGGGAATGCAAGAATTTGCAACAGGGCTAGCCAAATTGCAAGAATTAAAAAATTTTGATTTATTTTTTGAGTATAAATTATTGATAGTAGAAATTAATAAATATTAATTATTTTTACCCCTAGATCAAATGAAATGTAATCTATTGGAATCAAGTATTTATCAGAAGGAGTTAAATAATGTAAAAAACTGACTGACATAAGCTTGAATTTTAGGTTATATTGACTGAAGTTAAAGAAAATTATTTTATTATTTTTTTAATTTTTAAAAGAAACAATATTATCAAGGACAATGAAACTCTCAGAAAAGCATGCTAAGCTTTGTCTATGTGCAGCTAGTTAATCAACTCTAAATTCGACTTTCTGTATTCAAATTAGTAGAAAGAGTATTTTTAATTATAAAATTTCTAATAAATAGTATCAAGAGAAGAAGATATTACTATAATCAAAATTAATAACCAAAAGGAAAAGAAGGTCTTTATAAAAATGAATTGTTTAAACTACAAAGAACTGTCTTGCTAGATATCGATACTACAAATAATGAAAATGACTATTGAGTTATAATAGCATGCATATCATTTTTTTAAATTTTTATATTTTTATTTTATAATTTGTCAACTTTATGTTATCAACTAATCTTTCTTGAATATAAAAACAACAAATAATTTAGTATTTTTAGTAATCTACACGAACAATCAATGAGGAGTTTAATATGTTAATTTCTTTTCATTGCTATTTTAATTGAAATTTAATAGAAGAAAAGTATAAAATACCAAAAGTTAAAAAAAAATGTTTGCAAGTAGAACAGTAATTTATAGTTAATAATACAAACTATATTACTATCTATATCCATAAATAAATAGCTTATTAAAAGTAATTAACTTGATTTTACTATATTGCATTTAAATTCTTTTATAATAAACAGTAAAAATATTGATTAAATTGTGTGTGTTATCCTTTGAAAATTAATCAAAATCAATAGAAAACTATCTAAAAATATAAATAAAATCAATCAATCAACTTTACTTGATAAAGCATAATTAATAATAAATTCAAAAGTCATTACAAAAATAAAAGAAATAACTTAGATAAAAATGAATTCGGCTTTGGATTAACTTAAAGAATAAGTTATTCAGTTTGGAAAAAAAGCAACAGCTATCAATGAAATGAATAGTAATTATAAATTTATTTTCAGCTGCTTTAAGCTTTAAAATTTATATATTTCTGTCTAAAGTAGATTTTTTATTTTGAAAAGATGAATTCATTTACAAGGGAAAGCCTCTCCTACAGAATTTCGATAATGTATTTTATAACGCACTAATATAAATTGATTTAATGATATTTACTGTTTGTTAAAAAAATGTAGCTACTTAATGAAGTTATTGAGATTTCATAAAAGATCAACTAAGACTTGAAAAATCTTAAATAATATATAATGAACCCTTAAACAACAATTTAATAGAGACAGGAATATGATAATATGCAATTAGATTTTTTTAAGGTATCTGAATACAATTTGAAGAAAAAAATATCTAATTTATTATTTTTAAATAGTAAATTGAATTAGTTTAGGATATACAAACTAAAATTATAGAGAGAAAAATGGAAAACTTAAGAAGCTATAACAAGAGTATCCATCATAGACAAAGATCTTAAATATCAGGTTTGAGATCTTAGATGTCTCTTGGAACAAATAATAATTTGGGAGAATCTAAATTGAAAGATAAATCCTTCACTACAGGTTAAAATGAAAAATCAGAGAGTTTTGTAAGATTTAGCAACTAGAACAGCGATTCTACTCCTAAAAACCTCATGCAGTACTAAGAAAGTGGTGGTTCTAGCATGCTATATGACGATAGCTAATTAAATTCTGATTTAGAAATGAGCGGTGATCCTTAACAGGATTTAGAGAAGTTATAATAGCTAGCTGAATCTACTGAAACTCAAATAAATGGTAATTTGTATTACACAGCATAAACGATTTGTTGATGATTGATTTTATAAAATAGATTAAATCTCAAAGCTTAACCTCATTAAAGATATTTAAGCTTTGATAAAAAGAGAACAACAATTAAGAGACCAAGAAATAGATGAAGAAAAGAAAAAATAAAATTCTTAGTCATCAGTTGGAAGCTCTTAAGCTAGCAGCTTGAATATTTTAGCTTATAATCCAAAATAGGGGAATTCATAAAAAGTACAGTAAAATACTTCAAATAATGTAACAACATTTAATAATTAAAGCACAGTTGTTATAGTTAATCCAAATTCAGACACTATTTATGTGAAAATGAATGATAATAGTAGCAGTTAGCTTTCAGATAGAGGTACTTCTTATGAGCAGTCTAAAAAGAAAAAATATATTATATTAATTATAATTGCTCTTTTGATAATTATTGGTGTTGGAGTAGGTGTTGGAGTAGCACTAAGTTGATTGAATATTTAAGGCAAAAACTAAATAAAAAACGTAAAAAAACTATTAATTAATTAATTAATGAAAATAAAAAACAAAATAAATTATAAATTAATTTTACCAAAGAAAGATTTAATATAAATATTTATATAAATTAAAAAAAGTTAATAAATTAAAAGATATAATTTGAATCAAATAATCAATTGTTTCGTTTATTATCTGTCTAAAATATATTTATCAAATTTTGTATATAGTATAGAGAAAATATTAAAAATTTAATTTATTTTATAAATTTAATCAAATAAGAAGAATATATTTTATTTAATTAATGTCTTATTTTTTATCTTTGATGAATGTTTATTTTTTTTAAATAAAACAAAATTATTTGATTGAATTATTCTGAAAACGTTTTCAGTTTATTTATGTGAAAAATAAATCATCAATATTTTTTATGATAAATGATTTTTTTTTATTAAAATTTTTATATTAGAAAAACAACATCAATCAATCATTATTTTTATTTAATTGAAATAAACTTTAAATTTATTAGTTGAGCATATTTGTATAGTTTATAGGTTATTTTTTGAATAAATAAAGCATAAAATATGAAAAAATTATTAGGTTTTTATAGATTTAGCACTTAAAAAACAAATAGAGATATTTAGTAGCTATTAAATAACAATAGGGCATGGTCAGATTAAGTACTAAAAATGAATCCTGATTTTTTCCCAGGTTTAGCTCAATAATAAACTCCAAAATTTTTATGGATAGGCTGTGTTGATAGTAGAGTATCTCCTGAAAGACTTACTGGAATGCTTCCCGGTTAGTTATTTGTATAAAGAAATGTAGGAAATCAAGTAATACATACAGATTTAAATTGTTTGTCTGTTGTTTAATATGCAGTAGAAGTTTTAAAAGTAAGACATATTATTGTGTGTGGTCATTATAATTGCTCCAGTGTTAAAATTGCAATTACAAACTAACAAGTTGGACTAATAAATAATTGGATTCTACATATAAGAGATTATTATTTAAAGCATTAGAAGTATATTGATTAGTTTGAAGGTAACATAAAATGGGATAAACTAGTTGAAATCAACATTGTGGAGCAAGTTTTAAATTTAGGTCTATCAACCATCGTTTAAAATGCTTGGTAGAAAGGACAATTAGTCTACATTCATGGATGGGTTTACGGTGTATAAGATGGGCTAGTTAGAGATTTAAATATTTCCTCATGCTCTCTTTAATAGCTTAAGGCCAATTACGATAAATATTTGGATTAAATAAAATAGTAAGCAAAAGAGTGCAAGGAAGATCAAATCATAAAATAAAATGAATAAAATTGAATAAAAAAAAACATTTGATAATTATATTCTAGTCGATTTGTAGTTTCAACAAAATGTTTAAATCAAATTGTTAAATATTTGTTTTTATTTTAACAATGTACGTGAGTGTAAAAGAATACTTTAAAGAGAATAAATATAAATTATTTTATTTTTTTAAAGTTTTTATATACGGTATCTAAAAATCTAATTTTTTTTAAATTAAAGAGTTTTTTAAAAATAGTATAAATCTAATTAAAGAAAATAATTAACAAAAAAAGTTCATAATTAATATAAAAATCATTTGAAATATCACAAATCATGATTTTATGGTTTGTGATATTTTAAATCCTGGAACAGCTGTAAATTATTTTTATTTTACTTCTTTTATAAAAATCTTTCTTGAAATTATTTACTACTTCTATTTAATTATTAAACTCACTAATAAAGTAGATAAGATACAATACTAAATAAATAAAAAAGATTTAATAATAATTATTTTTCAAGTAAATTAAATAAAATTAAGATAATTAAATTATTATAAATTCAGAATATTGTGCATGCATTTCCATCATCTTTAGCTTCTACTTTTTTTTCTTCTAATTCGCCTTATTGCTCAATAGGTTCAACATTACGATATTAAAATTTCTAATAATTCTAAGCTTTTTATAAGCTTGTAGCACTTTTTTCACTTTTTATAGATATTTTAGATGTGTTATTTTCTTCCAAGTTGTTATTATTTATCTTTAATGAATTAATTCCCACTATAAATCCTTGAGGATCTTTGAATTACTTTTCCATAATGACCTTATCGTTACTTGCTAAAGATATACTAGATATATTCAGGTTTTAAATTTTAGATGTATTTAATCCTTAAATGGTTTAATCATTTGCTTCAAATTAATAATTTTAATCTATTTGAGCTATTCCCTATTATGTTTATCTTTAATAAGTATTTTGATGATTAATTTGTTAGTTTTAGTTGGAAATTTGCTAATTTGATGAAGCAGCAGTAGTAGTAGTAGCAGATGCAGGTTCAAATTTTTTATTTACTATATAGTAATTAACATCATCATCAAAATAATGGTCTTTTATTTTGTAATTTGCTGATTCTGGAGATTAAAATTAATTAAAATTTCTTTTAAATACATCATACTTAATTTAAGATTCGTCTTAATTATCAATCTTTTTTACATTTTAATTATATTATTAGTACTTAACATTATTTAACACTTTATAATTGTCCCCATCATCGTAACCGAATTATAAATCATATTAATTTAATCTACCTTAATAATTTCTATTTAAATTAGCCCACTCTTATTCTTAATCAGCCCTTTATTATAAAAGTAAAAGCTCCTATTATCTTTATAATTCTAATTGCAATAAACGTTGTCTTTCAAGTTCTTCTTTTTCTAATAGCAGTTATCTCTACCTTTTGGCTCTTTTCACTCTTTCTTCTGCATCTATTTCTTCTTAAGTTTTGTAAAGATTTTTGATAATTATTAACTCAGAATTTAATATAGTAATTAACTAAGATAGGAAGGAATTTTAGATATTTAAACCTTATAGTTTCTTAATTAGTTATTATATCAATTCAATAATCTTGATGTTGATTTAGTCTTCTATTATTTAATATTATCTATTTAGCTCTTCTTCATTAATATATGGTAGATTCCCCTCAAATATTTTCCAGTATTCTTTGAAATTCATTTTGAATCCTCCAAATTTCATCTCTAAAGTATTTAAATCCATAGTTTTAATTATCAAGCTTTTGTATTCATCTTCTTCAAAAATAAAAAATACTTTTCCCTTAGTGCCATCAGGTATTAAATCTGTTTTAATATTTAGATGGAAAAATTTATATAAACTTATTAACTAAATAGATTGATTGCTTACATTAAAAAACTTATTTCTTTTCGTGATTCAAGAATTTGTTAAATCTTATTAGATAAAGCTAGTAAAGTGTGTTAGGAAGATAATAAGAAAACATTTCAATCAAGAAGTACAAAAACTATTTTTTTATTTTTAGCAAATAAGGATTAATAATAATTTAAGATTTAATTAGATTAAATTATATCCAACAATTAAATAAATAAATAATTAATTTATAAATATACTCCAAAACTAAGGTCGAAATGCATTTCATATTCTCCATCAACAATAATTCTCCATTAATCTATTTTTCCATAATTGAGCATATATGCTTATGCTATGATAAAGCATCTACTAAAAATTGCATAAATTTCAGCTTTTTTATATTTTTAAAAGTCGATTCTTGAAGGGTTAATTACTATGACTGGCCTGAAACTTTCATCCCTACCCTCTATATAAATAACTCCTGCTTTCTATTTAGTTTATTTGAAGTCTTTTTTTCATATTAAATATTAATTATTTACCAACATTTCTAAACATCCTTTACTCAATCTTAACCCAACGAATTGATCAAGCCAATTGAAATATCCTTGAATATTCTATATTTTAAATTTACATTAAATGAGATTATTAAAATTGGATATTTTAGTTTACCTATTCTGTCTTTTAGAAATTGTTATAGTTTGCTTTTAAAAAGTCATCTAGTAAAAATGGTAGCATAGCTCTAATTTAAATATTAATATTGTAACTATTGTTTAATAAAATTTAATAACCTATATCTGAATAAGCTTGTTTGCTATTTGATAAACTTATTTATATTATTATGATCTTCAAGACTTGCTTCTCCTAATAATTAACAATATTAAATGTTCATCATAAAATACAGTTTTTTATTTCAGTTTATTGAATGCTTTAAATACTCTTCATAGGAACAGCCTCTAGATCATAATCTGATAGACTCAAATACAAGTAGTCGTCATCAAATGGTTTAAATTAAATTGTTCCTCTCCCTTAATGTAAAAACATTTTTGATTTATTTTCTTTCAAAACTTAACTTTATATGTTTTTATTCGTTTTTAGATTTAAGTAAAAATTATACACAGAAAATTATTTATTTGCTATTTAATTAAATTTTGATAAAAAATTAAAGTTCAATAAAAATAAAAAATATATTTAATAAATCGGGTTGGGGTTGGGGTTGGGGTTGGGGTTGGGGTTGGGGTTGGGGTTGGGGTTGGGGTTGGGGTTGGGGTTGGGGTTGGGGTTGGGGTTGGGGTTGGGGTTGGGGTTGGGGTTGGGGTTGGGGTTGGGGTTGGGGTTGGGGTTGGGGTTGGGGTTGGGGTTGGGGTTGGGGTTGGGGTTGGGGTTGGGGTTGGGGTTGGGGTTGGGGTTGGGGTTGGGGTTGGGGTTGGGGTTGGGGTTGGGGTTGGGGTTGGGGTTGGGGTTGGGGTTGGGGTTGGGGTTGGGGTTGGGGTTGGGGTTGGGGTTGGGGTTGGGGTTGGGGTTGGGGTTGGGGTTGGGGTTGGGGTTGGGGTTGGGGTTGGGGTTGGGGTTGGGGTTGGGGTTGGGGTTGGGGTTGGGGTTGGGGTTGGGGTTGGGGTTGGGGTTGGGGTTGGGGTTGGGGTTGGGGTTGGGGTTGGGGTTGGGGTTGGGGTTGGGGTTGGGGTTGGGGTTGGGGTTGGGGTTGGGGTTGGGGTTGGGGTTGGGGTTGGGGTTGGGGTTGGGGTTGGGGTTGGGGTTGGGGTTGGGGTTGGGGTTGGGGTTGGGGTTGGGGTTGGGGTTGGGGTTGGGGTTGGGGTTGGGGTTGGGGTTGGGGTTGGGGTTGGGGTTGGGGTTGGGGTTGGGGTTGGGGTTGGGG